AAATGTCCCACCATCTTCAAATTCGGTAGCCACGATCGAGTTTCTTGAGACATGTATATTTGCCGCCACCATGCTTGTTTGCGTGGTATGGCGTTGGATGTGGAGTGTGGGTATGGTGGATTGTTTGAGTCTCTAATTTTTAGAGTATGAGATAATGAAGCCCTTCCAGTTTATCCAAATTCCTGCGACTTTAGATTCAAACACATGCGAGCAGCCCTAATCTTACTTACGTGTACCCCAAATATCCATAGTGGTATTGAGCAGCACCTTCAGCAAGTGCATATGGTTTGCCTTCCTGAACAGCAAAGTCGTAAATATTGTAAAACGACAAGTCAGAATTCTCAGTTCCATTGCCGGTGACAGTATCAACGAATCTGTAAACCCAATCTGGTGGATCTACACGAGAAAACGGACAGCAATCAACAATTGATGAGCTATTGTTTTCTCGAATTCACCAACAACATACTCCTTGATGACGGAATATCACTTACTGTTGTCGGTATCATAAACATTTCGCTTGAAATAAAGCGAATTGCCAATCCAGTCTACATATTTGGCGCCAGGCCAAAATGGAGTCCATGCTATGTGAGATGAATGTCAGGACTTGGATCAATTTGCCACAGTTTAGTTGCTTACGATCTACAAAACGGCAAGAAACAAAACAGTCAGAACCAAAAACGGGAAGAAGAATTCTGATGCATAGCAACACGTACTGTCTTTCCCATCAATCGAGCCGTCCTTGTTCGTATCCATCAACTGCTTATCAGCATAACTTGACGGGTATCCAAACGGAGAACTGTCTGGCCCAATCGTATTTGGTGCCCATATCATAGCCGTGCTCTATAAAAAGAAATCATTTATAGAAATATCTGGTACTGTTCGTTTTTTGTGCTGGAGTGCCCTCTCCTCAAAAACGTTTCTTGGCTTACAGTAGCTCCATAAGTCTGCAACGCTGTCCATAATTTAATCCACGATGCATTAAATGCAGTCGGCTGTTGTCCATACGACATCCAGTTAGCGTTGAATTCAGGCAGCCATCGTATCATGATTGGAACACCGCTGTTCTTGTTGATGTCGGCGCATGTGTATCCAATGTCTATTTGAAAAAAAAGGAGACGATTAGAGCCAAACATTCGTTCACATAGAGCATAGAGCGTTCCTTGCTTTTGTTAAAACGATTTCCCAATCTGCTTTCATAGAAATAGCCTACCATTAAAGACCGAATCTGAGATACTATACGAGCCCACAGATATAGTGACGCCCATTGCGGCACCTAAACTTCGCACAGATCCAACATAGTTGTACAATGTCCACTTTGCTCCAGAGAAATCAGATCCAAGTGAACTATGAAGTATGATGGCAATGAGGTTGAGGTTGATGATTGAATCTTGACAATGTATTCCTATTTGCTTTTTTTCTTTTCGCACTGAGAAACCAGACATCAAGTACTTACACGAAAAACCAAAAGATGGAAGGACCAAAGCTTTGCACTCTACTAGCTCCAAGCTTCTTCGCAGCCGCTTGCCAGCTTGACACCCAGGCACTCGGTTGTTGAGAATCAGGCTGCAAGTAATTCCTAAGACGTGACGAGATGTCAGCTTCTAAGGACATTCACTGAAGATACTGTCTCCTTGCTTTTGGTGCCAGGCTGGGAAAAAAGAATCTCGGCTTCACGGGAAAAAGCATTTACATTCCTTCACTCACGTTGAATAAGCAATATGAACACCAAACAGCATAGCACTGTTCGGAGGTTCCAGAATAACACGTTTTCGAGCAGGAGGATGATAAGCACAGGCATCGAATCGAATTTTCGTGAATCGGAAATAGTGTGGATCGTATCCAGGGTGTGTTGGTTGATATGCTGACTTGGTGTTGAAGAAGAATTTACCAAAATAAATGTAACGTATTCTTGTAAAGTATTCTCCTGATGAGATTGCAGTCTATTGGTGGAGGAGGTGAGAGATTAGAAGTTGTGTTGAAATCATGTATTGGAACCTTTGGTCGTTTCTTTTGAGCATGAGACAAATATCAACCAACCACTTACAGGATCAGTAGAGTTACCACCTGCCAGCAGAGTGTGTAAGTTGATATAAATGGTTTGTTGTCGTCCAGTTGCAGGGACATAGATGGGATCTGTCCTGATTGTCGTCTCGACACTTGAGCACGTCGAGTCGAAAATGTCGAAAGCTATACTAAAGTGCGATACAGGCGGCACAGTCACATCCAGTAGCAAGAATGTATAGTTCTGGTTGTGTAAAAGTGTGAGTCAACCAAAAAAATTGAGAGCAACACGCCACACTAGCACGTACAGTAGCATCAAATCCACATTCCTCAATCCCAGGCATGGGAAACCCAAACAAGAACTCTGACTCTCCACTCGCAGGTTGTCTTGGGGTTACATTCAACAACCCATTCTTCTTTTCAGGAGAGTAGCTCGAGACCCCTTCGAATGAATACGTTCCATTGTACAATGTAGTGAGTGAATTGTTGACTGTGTTAATTCCCGCCGCACTCATATCGTCCAGCATGTAAAAGAGTATTCCTGGCGATCCAGGACAATTGGCAGCAGTGTCGTTTGTGCCATCGCCTGTTGTCGTGTCTGCTGGACCTGTTGAGATCGAGTCGTATCCTTTGCCTATATGATGAGAGTGTGTGAATGAGCATGCGATGTTAAATTTGAGCAATATGAGTGTGATCAAGAGTAAAACTGGCAGATGAGCGATTGGATGATGCACGTTCAAATATTTCGATGCAACAATTGTGGCCAAGTTCTAGCTTGTTCTGGTGGACTGGAATCATTCCAGACCACAGAATCACGAATTTCAGGATGCAGAATAGCGATTCAACCTACTATGCCACCATGCACCGTTGGCTGGAGTTGGTTGGCCGGCATGCACAATCTTTGTAAAAAGTAGCAATGCGCCCCACAGCACAACCTGTGTGCAAAAGGTCATTGTTCTGATACGAGAAGGGAAGCTAGATTCCAGTACACGTAACGAGACCTAGTGATCCGGCTGCAACTAGAGTTGATGGTGTCAAAAGCAAAGAGCGAGGTCTCTACCAAGCCAGGACCTTGGCAAAAAGAAGGGGACTTGTAAAGTCGAGTGGATGCAATAAATTCATCAATTTAATATAGCCACACTGTGATTCGTGATTCGACGTGTTCTTGTCGACTAGATCCACGTCGCTCGTCCGCGCTGTTGTAAGTCTTGCTTGATCGCGATTATGACTTTTGATGGTCGTGACATCCAATCTCCAAGCATAGCAGCAGTAAAGATCCACCTGAAAACTGCATCAGAATCAAATAGAAAACGGGATCTCTTTAAACCACGTAGCTCCATTGCACCTGTCAAAGTCAAAATATCCAAACATCCTATAATCAACAATGATCACTAGAAGGGCAGCAACCACATCAGCTTGCATAGCACTATTCCTCTTGCTAATACCATCATGTTTTGCTACATTTGCATTGCCTGTGGCTACTGCTGATCGTGTAATTGTCTTGACGTGAGTTCACATTGAAGTGGGATTATTTGACCTCTTTTTGCCATTTGAATTATTGATCCTCATGATACGACTGCTAACATTATTCATTCATATCGTTTAGAGATGCCAATTTCGACAAGAAAGTCACCGGTGGAGAATGGCTTATTGAATTGTATGTTCATCATTCGGCGAGTTTGGTAGAGGGGGTTTTTTGCTAGTGGTCCGTAGAAGCAATGTCCAACCATATTTGAAACTCACTGTTGATCTCGCTTCCTCTACATTAGCTACGCAGAATGGTGTCCTGCTTGTCAAAAGTTCAAAACCGACTACGAAGATGTAAGCAGTGTTATTACCCAGATCAAGCACACTCCCTAACTACCACCCTATTCACAGCTAGCTGAACTAGCTGCCCGTGAAAAACCAAAAATGAAACTCGCAAGAGTCAATATTGACGAAAATCCAATCATCACTGCACGGTTTCTTGTATCAAGGTACGCCAAGGACGGCGAACAAGACAGAAAAAATATTCCACAAGAACTTGATCATGCATATGTAATGCAGTTACTCAACGCATCACACCTAGACTACCAACTCTATATCATGTTACCGACAAGAAGGGATACAAGGAAGGTATACCGTCCGTCTCTGTCTAGATTATCGTCCAAAACTCGTCGTCCTCTTTTTTTCTCGCTCTCTCTCTCTCTCTCACTTACACCATCACACTCCAAAACACACATATAGTTCGAACAATACAATCAATACGTGTCGGAACACTGGCTGATATGATTATGGGAGACGTATTCGACAGTATCCCAGTCAACAATTCATTCATTGGACCGTTCTCAATACTGTACGAAGTGCAATTTAACTACTTCACGGATCCTTTTTTGCTGCGACAATCATTCTCATACAATTACTCTCAATTAGGGGCAGAATACTAGGCTACGCAGGCGCTGTAGGCCAACTGTTAACTGGCGCTGCATCATTCTTGCAACAGTACTTGCCGTAAGTTTAAGTTTCTGAGATATCCTCATCCAGTGTAACTTTTCAATTCCCTTTTTTTCTTGCTATCTCGCTCTAACCTCAATCCAACGCACAGAATGCCAATAATACTCCTTTTATCAGCAATACTATTCGTTCCCATCATCTACATCCTGATCTTTTTCCCAAATCCAGCTAGTACCGCCAAACACGAAATTCAGCACGACTTGGATGAAGACGATCAGGAAGACGAAGAGGAAGATGACTATGATGCTGTGCCGTATAACGATGATGAGGATGACGATGATAATGGCAGTGGCGGTGACGACGAAGAAGCAGCAGATTCAAGTTCTGAGAAAGACGAGAAGAAAAAGGACAAGTGAAAATGTGTTTGATGGCACTTGCGTCGAGATCAAGTGGTTTTTTTTCGCTCTGATGTATAATATAATGATTGCAAAATCTCCCACATACACGTATTTAATATGCTAAATGCTTTATATTTTACAGCTCTTTCCAATTTTATACAACAAAATCTATTCATCATCCATCAAACCAGATGATTCAGCCGTACCCGGCGTAGACACAGCTTGTACATCAACCATTTCAACATCCTCTTCCTCGTCTTCATCACGTCGTTGTTCCTCTTCCTCTTCATCATCGTCATCATCTTCATCAAGATCCACTTTTCTCGTATCAATCTCTTCTAAGAAGGTAGGTACAGCTCCTTTTACTATGCCAGACTTTATCTTGTTAGTCGTGCTGCTACCACCACTGCCAGTACCGACAGCACCACTGTTCCCACCATCATCGACATTATCAGCAGCACCCTCCTCAAACGGATCAAGCACATATGCCGGCGTCCCCGCAAACTCTCTCCAATCAATAAACTCTTGCAAACTCCAATACTTGACGACAGTTCTAAACATATACTCTTCAACCGCCCCTATATACTCCTCATGTCTACCATTATCACCACCACCACCACCATCCTTATTCGCAGCATTCAAAGCAGCATTCTCCTGGAAATCATCCACATCCAATCGATGCTCCAAATCTTCTTCTTGCTGTGCTTGCTTTAATGCTACTCGATCAGTCTCGTCTTCGGCGGCAGCTAGTGCTTGTTCCCAGTCAACGGTTCCACCTTTGGTTGTGATAGAGTCGATGGATGTACCGCCTAGACCGTCTCCAAGCCAGTCGCGCCAGTCGGATTTACGGACATAGTCGGTGGTGAAGTCTCCTTTGGCGATAACAATGTTGTCGAGGAGTCTCTTTTGGTTTGCTTTTTTGAGCATGTTTTCTTCAATGGTGTGTTCACTGATTAGACGGTATATGTGGACGTCACGAGTTTGACCGATACGATGTGCGCGATCTTGTGCTTGAGCTAAATGATTCATATGGATAGGTCATAATCAGTACGGTTTTTCCGTTGTTCGATGACTTGATTTCTCTGACAAACAAAAAATATCCACGATCAATTTGGTTAACTCACCGTCCATAGCGGGATTCCAGTCACTGTCATAAAATATAACAGTATCAGCTCCCGTCAAATTCATACCAAGACCACCACTACGAGTTGACAAAATAAAGACCAAGATCCTTTTATCCGTATTGAAACGTTCCATCAGCACTTGTCGCTGCTCTACTTTGGTTGCACCATCAAGACGTAAATATCGGTGTCCATGAATATTGAGGAATTGTTCAAGGACATCTAAGATAAGATGTTGAGAGTTGTTAGATTTCACAAAAGAAACTACGCCAGTTGAATACAGTTGTTTTTGTTGCACACAACAAACACCGAACGTACCAAGCATTTTAGTCATCTGCGTAAAAATCAATGCCCGATGACTTCCAGCCTTCAGCTTCCTCAACAAACTATCTAACGCCTGTAATTTCCCACAATCATACTGCAGCAGCCTTTTATCAGGAAATGCAATCGTCAACCCCGTAGCCACATTATGTACCAACTGAGACGTAGCAGGCTCAGTGCTCTTAACCAACTCAACCGAATCATCATTGTACAATCCAATGACCCGTCCCACAATCCGTACAGGTGGCGTAACAAATGCGAAATGGGTCAAAACATCTTGCAACTCATCTGCTCGTCGCGAGTACGGTGCGACTAGATCTCGTAATGCATCTGGCAAGTCTAGTAATTCGGATTGGGTGGTGGTGGGTAGATTCACCATATCTATTGCTCGTCCACCTAATAATCGAGCTTGACGACGTAGCGACCATCCATATATCGGGCGAGAAGTACTACGGAATCTATTTACATATGCGGATTGTTTCGTATCTTGCAAAATCTGGGCTGCTGATTCGGCATGTACTGTCTTGATTAATTCAGTCAACTTCCAAAAATTGGGCGTTTGTGGAGCTATAGCCCGTAATCCTGCTTCATTCATCTCAGCAGCCTTGACAGCTTGTTCAAAAGCACCTCGACAATCAAGCTCACTCAAGATTTCACCATCATATGCAGACATGGATTCGTGTCGAATCATATTCGATAAATTAAACAAATCCAAGTTGATATTACTATTGGCTTCAGCTTCATCCTGATTTTTGAATAACTGTCGTTGAATCAAAAATTGATCCAATTCCAATACATCCATTACTTGCGATGACATTATAAACGACGTCAGGATGGGCCGTACTTCAAATAGGTCTGGATGATTACATACTTTTCTTAATTGCATCAGACAATTGATAATGCTCATATAATTACCAGATGCTAGATTTTGACGGGTTTCTGCTCTGGATAGGAAATCATCATATAGGAATCGTTGTCGAGTAGATAATCGGCAATACAAGACATGCTCGTATTTACCAGGCATCTGCTTCTCTACATCCTTTTTGAGACGTCGTAGCAAGTATGGTCGTAATACAGTATGTAGTTTACCAACAGTTTCTCTCGTCTCGTCATTCATAGTATCAGTAGTCTCGATCATTTTATCCATCGGGTTGGAAAACCATTCCTGGAATTCCTTTTGATTGGCAAATCCAGATGGCATCGTACTTGTAATGCCTTTAGGCATTAAAAAGTACAGCAAAGACCATAATTCCATTAGATTATTTTGTAGTGGTGTTCCAGTTAATAGCAGACGACGACGTGCATTAAACATTAATAGATTCTGCCATCTCTGCGATCGAAAGTTTTTGATATTATGAGCTTCGTCCAAGATGAGGTATTGCCATTCCTTTCTTCGAAAACTGCCATGGTCTTGTAATACGAGTTGATATGAGGTTATGACTACGTGGAAGGCATTGGGTTTTGACCACCCTTGACGTTTCTCTTTACGTTCTTTTGGATTACCATAATACGTCAAGATCTTGAAGCCAGGAGCAAACTTTTTGAATTCAAATTCCCAATTTAAAAGTACTGAGGTTGGCACAATAATGAGATGTGGACCTGCAGGTAAATTCAAAGTCAATATCACCTGTTCATGCGGAGACACGCCTTATTTGCTGTCGCGTCTAATTGGAGTAATACGATATCACCGAGAGTAACTTACCCCAGATACCCTTGTCAACAGCCAACCACGACAGTAGCGATATAGTTTGAATAGTCTTGCCGAGACCCTAAAATTTGGACAGGCGAAAAAAATTATTAGCACATCCGGGAGCAATGTTCAAAGGAACTGAGCACACGCATTACCATCTCATCAGCCAATATCCCATTAAGCCCATTCCGATACAAATTAGCCATCCAATCCAACCCTACATGCTGATACTCTCTCAGAGTACCCTTCAAAAGAGAAGGAATTGTCGTCCTAACAAAGGTACTCGACAGCGTAGTACCCGTAGGAGCAGCAACCTCAGCACCTCGAACACTATTCATATCTACATCTGTATCATCAGGTTGCTCTTCAGCTACGGATTCTTCATGATCTCCAACTTGCTGATCAGAGTCATTATTTTCAGCATCATTCATATCGGTATCGGATGCTTGCTCGTCACGAGCAGGTGAGTTTTCGACATCGGGAGAGGGAGCAGGTCGTTTGCCTCTGGCTGTTTTACTACTTTGTGGCCGGGAACCATTAGCTTTCGGTGGATTGTCGATTTGCATCATATCACGACCATATTGGCCTAAAAGGTCTTCGATGGGAGCATCAGCATCATTTTGTAATGCTTTCAGCTCATCGTCACCACTATCTGAAGCTTGCTCGTCAGCTTCTAGGGTGGCTTCATCGTCTGGTTCTTCATCTTCCTCTTCAAAGTCAGCCTCACTCTCCTCTTCGTCGTCTGCATCATCTGCAGAAGAGGAAGCGGTATCATTATCATATTTTGAGACTAGTTTTTCTGTATGGCGGCCGTTCTCGGCTTTATCGGGTTGATTATCTTCTTCTTCGTCTTGTTGATCATTATCATCTTCGACACTACCTTCGTCCTCGTCGTTTTCTTCTTCCTCCTCTTCCTCCCCCTCCTCCTCTTCATCAACGTCATCAGAGTCTGGTATCAAACCAACCTGATAACCACCATGACGAGCCAACAGTTCTTCTATAGGCATATCAGCTTCTCGATCTAGTTCATTAACTTCGCCATCTTCACTATTGCCGTCTTCATCGACCTCCATGGCGGCTTCACCATCAGAGTCTTCTCCTTCTTGATAATCATCAGAAACAACGTCACGAGGATTCGATTCTTCTTTATCGTCATCACTCTCGGGAGGAGCAGACATTCGTTGGGCATCAAGGACTTGTTGTGAGTGCTCAATGATAGCGTTGAGTTGTCTTTTACCAGCATGGGCTTCTTCAACATCAATCAATTGCTTCCATTTAGCTCGGACAATCTGCAAATTTCAGTAGGAAATGAGCCAAAAGAACGGATGGAAGTTATAAAACATAACTACGAGTTCAATCATACCGCTTCAACAACATCCCACTTCTTTCTGACTTCCAATGCAGTAAGTTTAGCCAATTTCCTAATACGTTTCTGCTCATCACGTTCCAGTTTTAGCGTATGAGCATGACGATCATCGAAGAAGCGTACGACAGCCCTAGCCAATTTCTTGGCCATGGCAATCTTCCACTTCCGTTCTTCTTGAGCAGCCTTGGCAATAAACATCATTTCATCAACCAGATACTGCATGTGTGTCTTTTTCTGTACAGGCTCTTGGGCAGCTTTCAAACCTCCCTTACGATGTGATGTTGGTGGAGGTGGTATGGGACCTTGTAGTAATCCTTCTTGTCGAGCAAGATATATTCTATGTGACATGTCGCCTTCACTTTTGGCTCGGAATTCAGCTACTTCGGGAACGAGTTCGTCTTCATCAATCCATACGAACGAGTCGAGGTAGTCACGAACGGTAGCGAATTGTTTGGAAAATATTGGTGCTGCAGGTGGTCGAGAAGATGTTGCATCCGAGTCCGCCTGAGCAGAAGCTGGTTTTTGATTACTGATATCTACTTCTGGTGGTGGGATATTCTTCCACAAGTCGTAGACATGTTCATACTAGATTAGGAGATCGATGTTAGATTTCGTGATACTCTGGTTTGAAGACTCAGAAAAAAACCAATATACCTGCTCCAATCCTTCAGAATCATCCAAGGCTTTCTTTTTTTCAAACGTCAGCATATCACCATTCAAAACTTCTAAATGATGCAATTCCCTGACTCGGGTATCATGATCTGCAATAAACTCCTTTAGACCATCCTTCTTATGCTGAATCTCTGTCCGTTTGAAGGAGCCGAACTGCGTCAACAGTGCATGAGGCTTTTCATCTTGCATTATATAATCCTTCATCGAGATAAAAAATCAGTTTAGGAATTATTTTAAGATCTCAAACTAGAATTACCTTTCTAGGATCCTCAGCCAAACTCCTCTGCAATATCCGTTCATAATCTTCAGCCCACCACGGCGGATGAAGCAATGGTTGCTGCTCAGCTTTACTCGGTTTGGACGGAGACGACCGATCCAATCTATATTCGATCGGTGGTGATTCATCACGCCCGTCATTTTGGCTCTCATGTTCCTCTGCTGAATCATCAGGTACAGTGATAAGAGACAGTTTACTAGCTGATTTTACACTAGATAACGGTGGTCGACCACGAGGCTTTGGCTGATTGCCTCCACGTCGCTTGTTGAACTTCTCGAGAGGGGTTGCAGCTGGCGATGATTTACTCGATTTGTTTGATTTACGTGATGATGGTGTTGCATCGTTCCGTTCCAATTTGACGGGAGTCGAGATATGGTAGGATGCATCTTCTTCTCCTCCTCCTCCTTCTTCTCTGGATCCTTTTGTCTGGATCTTTGGACTAGAACCTCTAAAAATCACGAAACGAAAGCGTATCAGTAAATCAAGAATGCAGTCAAATACGACAATAAATATTTTGAAAGCTGCAAATTACGCTGATTTCCTCCTCTTTTGCGGTTTGGTATGGATTGTGTCAATCTCAAAGATTTGTTTCGGTTTCCTAACGCGCTTGGGCGATCCACCAGGAGTATTCGTAGCCGAAGATGATGCACTTGCACCTTCTTCTCCTCCTCCATCATCATTAGCACCCGCAGCAGATCCAGTCATGTTTGGTGCTTGAGGGTTAATGTTTAATAGAGTTTCCTGTCTTGCTTGATGTCGACGATGACTAGTGCTGCCATCGCCTGCTTCGGTTTTGATCCTTTTACTAGGTTGCTCTTCTGCATCTTCTTCAATGTCAATGTCCTCGTCTTGCATGGTCTGTAATTTGAATGTGTTAATGTCGTCAACTTTTTGGATATTCTGCTTCGTTACGTTCAGTCAATCAAGAGGCATTCAGAGCCATATAATTGCGACGCGTTCATACCTTATATACACGTGTAAACTGTCCCAGTTGTTGTAAACACAATCCAACTTGAAGACTTTTGACAAAGTGTGAATTGAAGCTCAAAGGGTGTTCGTGCTGAAAGAAACCATGAGAGAAGAATGAGGAGGAAGAGCTGTTTTCAGAGGCTTGCAATATTTTTCAGAATATTATCACTGTTCGACAACGCGTACCTCGCCAAAACCAAAGTGGGAGTCAACATGGAACAGATTTATTGGAATCTTTTTAGCTGGTCTTTTAGGCTACAAAACCGACAACATTCGATCATTGGTAGCTTTGTAAGTGATTGCGTCCCTCACCACTGTATTTAAACTCGCTCTTACGTTGCAGACAACATAGACGCACACAAATCTCCTTTCTCAACCTCATACATCGTGACTGAAAAGGCGTTATATTAAAAAATGCAATAGAAATTCAAACAGAATATATTACGATTACGGAATAGTCTTCCTCGTCTTCTCCACATTCAGACCCTCAACAGAATTCCGCGGTGAAGCTTTCGGCGATGCACTAGCAGAAGCCACACTCTTGACACTCCCAGCCTTACTTCCAGCCTGTTTCGGCGATGCGTTGCCAGCACTACTCACACTATTCAAACTTCTAGCACTATTATTCAGTGCTCCACTTGACTCGGTGGCTTCTTCTCCAAGGCCATCGTCTTCTAGCAACGGCACTAGAAGCTGCTGTTCACCATGCAAAACACCAACAATAAGATTCAATCCACTATCCAAGTACGCTAGATTATCGGTAGCACCAAACCCAGCTGGGGCAGTACTTGTCTCATCGTCTTCTTCACGGTCTTGATCATACCCCTCAACAAACAGGTCAAACAAGCTAGCTTCATCCAGCAAACCATTATTCCCACCACTACCACTATTGCTATTGTTTGGATCCATGCTGCTTATATCTGTAGCGAGAGACGTCATGGATACAGCGACGGATTGCAGTGAATTCTGTCTGGTACCCATACTAGTCATTTGTGTAGGCGAAGCCACCATATTACCATTATTCGATAGTCGATTACTGGCAGCATTACCACCATTATTATTGTTTAGCATACTGCTCATAATACTACCAGCAGAAGCCAACATCTCATCTCCCTTCTGGTCCTGCCAAAAGGCATCAAGATCGTCCAGAGCAGCAAGCACATTGCCTCCAAGGAATGCAAACGGCACATTATTCTTGACTATGGGCGATGGCTGTGCAGAACTTTCACCACTCATTCCACCATTATTACCACCACCACCAACATTAAATGCCTTATACCCAGACTTGCTTCTACTCATCGGACTATTCTCCATTCCAGCACAGGTAGACGACACACCACCAATATTATATCTCGCCTGTTTAACAGCTGCAGTGACATCACGTACACGCCATCCAGTGCCCTCCTTGACTTCCTTACGATGTGCATTCAATGCAGATGCAGCTCCAGTCTTTTGAGCCATCAAAACATCCGTCATAATTCGTTGGTTTCCTTCACCAGCCATGAGGAAACCAGGGAGGATCTCATCAAGTACTTCAAGTGTATCAACTGCTAAATCGGTTTGTAAGAGTGCTAATAACGGTTGTAGCAATCCATCGTCTCCAAATGTAACAAGTTCTACGCGTCGTACTACATCCAGGGTGGCAAATAATACATGTATGGTTTTGAGGGTACGACGACGATAAAAGGTGAGACGATTCGATAACTGTCCAATCAAGACTCGTAATGTGGCTCTATCGTGGGTTGGGAAGAATGAATCTCTTATAATAACACATAACTGTCTCAAGAAATCCTCCTTTGACCTAAATTTACGTAATGAATACGACGTCAACAGACGTGCTAAAGGTGCATATCCCTTCCGCTCAGCCAAAGACGACAATTCAGCAGCAATCCTAAGCGTATCGGTGATATTAATCATGGCAGCTTCTGTCCTACTATTACTACTATTATTGGCAGCACTATGACTATGCGTATTGGTCTTTGGATCAATTTCCAGACTCTGCAGCATCCGTGGCAAGTTAGCGAGTATGGAGTTCAGCACTCGAGCATTGCCAGTATCAATCAGCGAATCATCATCAATACCAAGCAAAGAATTAATCACATTCAGAGCAACAGCTTCACTTTCAGCAGAATACAACCCATTCATCAACAATGGCTGTATACCCGTAAACGGTCCCCTCCATCGATTAGGCAGTGAAGCAGACAGCAATCGTCGAATGCCATCATCGTGCAAATCAACTTTATCGATTATTTTGTGTAGCAATCCCACCCCTTCCACAAACTCGCATTCATGTGGCGAATACAAGCATGCAGAGGCAGCCCAAAAGAATTGCGGGAATACAGCGAGCTGTTGTGATTCAAGTGAATCACACATACTATGTAAGGTAGCCAGTATCTCAAGTGCAAACCCCTGAATCTCTTCGGTAGAATCACCGACAGTTACAGCCAGTCTACCAAGCACATCACCAAGCATCCTGGATCCAAATGATGGCCGTAGCGTTCTAAACAGTTGCAAACTACGACATGCAACATGTCGGACTGGACACGATGTACCCCATACGAGTGCAATCTCACCCCACTGCTGTGCTAGATTTATATATACAGGACTAAACAATTCCACGACCTCAAGACACAAGGTTGATAACTGTTCGGTGGATTCAAGCACCCGTTTTAGTTGCGTGATATCCTCGTATGTCCACAGCCGTTTATTATCTCGTCCAAGCATACCGACGATTTCACCCGTATCGGTTGAGTCAATGCTCGGTGACAGGATCGATCGTATAAGGTTAAGCAGCAAGAGGCGAGACTGTTCACATATTATAGCAATAAAGTGATCCAATTGCACGAAAATCACATGCAAGAGTAGTGGCAAGTAGGATCTCAGCACGTCTCCATACTCGATAGACAAGTCAACTAGCAAGACACAAGCTAACTGCCCCTTTGAGAAAGCAGGTCGTTTAGGCATATCAATCAGCACCTGTTCTAGATCTACTACATATAAATCACTGCTAGGTGAGGACGGCCCCAATATACCACCAAGCTTAGATTTCGAACGCTGTTTAGCAGCACGTTCAGATCCAAACCCCTCAAACTCAACCTCGGGAACCTTTTCAGCAGCAAGTATAGCGACATTATTGGCTCCTGACGGCACAAGCCCTTTAGGCTGGATCCTCGCCATTATAAAGTCAATAAGTTGGGAGCATGCTGATGTACGTCCGAGATACACCACCACCTTTTTAGCATAATTAACAAATTTCGGATTACGTCTCTGTACACCAACTTGCAGTAAAAAGTCAATCACGATTTGAATATTCCGCTCACAGACAGCCAACATGACTTCTTCACGTTGTACTCTTTCTTGCCGTTTCTTTAACCTAGCTATAGGATCTTCACCGTCCAGAGACTCTGGTTCAGGCTCAGACCTTTCGACAAGCTGCACCCATATATCTTCTAGCTCAGTGACATAATCATCTGCGTATTTTATAGTCAGTGCAAATAGATTCGTCAAGACTACATCGGATGGAGATATGGGGCGAGTCAGAGTTGATGGTTGAGAATGTAGTGATGATTGTAGCGAGTTGTCTCCTCCTTCTTCAGAGGTCGAAGACACGAGAGCGATATTACGGACCCATGGAACCATGTATACTAATATATCATGAATTCCCTGTCTGTATATATAGGTCGTAGCAATACTGGATGCTGAACTAACGGTAGTCGTTTGTGCTGCTTGTATAATCGCCGAGAGGAGCTCAACGCGTTGAACCATTTCTGACAACATCTATCATGTCGACGAGTGGGTTTTTTTAGCACTTTGTAAAAATCGAATCCAAAAAAATCAGCATGAAACCACTAAATTTACCTCAAACGTTAGATCCGGGTACTCCTGCGCCAACCTCGCAGACACACCCGCCTGTGCATACTTATATATAGCAGGCAGCGCACTAGTCATGGCCGCCTCTTCATACGTCTCATGAGCATCAACCATAGCAATGTCAACACTCGACGAACTAGTACTGCCACTACCAGTCTGCACCTGCTGAGCCTTCAACATATTATCAAGAGCTCTCAGCAGCTGTATAGCACCACGTCGCACCAACGGGTTGGAATCAGCAGCTTTATACAGTGCAAGACACAATATCCTAGCCACGTTTCGTCGTGGTTGTTCTTCAGACGGTCGTGTCGGGTTCGATCTACTATATACTTCAGCGAGCACGCCAAAATATCCACTCGTGACGTTACTGGATGGCAGTCCTTCATAGCACTGTTTAACGATATGCTCTACAAGTCGTTCAGCCTGTCGATTATTATCGAGGAGAGCAGATAAAGCAGCCCGTGCAATAATCTGTACTTTTTCGTCAGGACTTGACAAGAGCGAGTCAATCCATGATGTGAATGATGTCAAGTCAAACGTTTCTGGTCCTGTACTACCTGTAGAAGTACTAGTTGCAACGATAGGACCACGACATAACGCAGCCATAGCTTTCAGAGCAGCAATCTCAAGTGCCTTACGTTGCTCTTCCATAGTCGAAGTCAAAGCACCTCGTTCCCTAATATCCTTGACCTGATCCAACACAGCTTGCATCATACGAGCCTCTCGATCTCGTGTCGGACCAGCAAATTGACCGTATCCACACCATCCTTCGAGTAATCTAAAGAGAGCCAGTCTCATCTCAAAAGGCATGTGGTGTTCGACTGTTTCCGGGAACTCGGTGCTGCCACTCCTCTTGACATTACTATTGTTGTTGGTAACGGTAATAGAAACACCACCACCTTCCTTCTTCTCAACGGCGGTAACCAGCTGATTATACAACCGATCCAGCAAGCCCGCGAAATAATATCTCAGCATCTGATGCTCCCATTCAGACTGCACTTCGGAATCACTCAAAAACTTCATACATTCCGATACAAACATCAGCACAGATCCCATCATGGCTTCTGAATACCGATACGAGTGGTGTTCCGCAAAGTTGGCGACTAGCCCAAGCAGATGCGTCAATTCCATACGTAATCGTTCCATTCTCTTGTATTGATTACCAGTAGCATTGCTATTTTTGCGTTGTGCGGTGGGAGCAGCTAGTCGTGATCTCATATCATCAATAACCTGTTTCATATACGGTTGCAAATCTTCTAGCAACTCCTTGTAGCTACGGTAATTGAGACATCCTAGTGCAGCTACTATCCCTTGTCGAACCATGACACGTTCACAAGACAAGAGCGGTAATACTAGCGCCAAGATATGTTTGAGTGATGCATTATTCGAATGCTTGTTTGCTGAAGCTGTTATTATAGGTGCTGCTATTGATGCCGCAATGGCGGTATTGGTGGTTGTGGTGGTAGCAGTAGAAACAGCCGAAATCACACTTGGCGTATTCAGACTATTGGTACTGCTAGTCAAATTCGATGCTTTACTAGGATATAACGATGGATCGCTTCGTGTTCGAGACATTTCCTGCTTATTAGCAGCATTCATGGTAATAGCGTCTGGAGGCGACAAGGCAGCGATTTTGCCAACCTCATGATTTGCACAAAAAAATACCAGATACAATCGCCATTGCTCCATCATATCTTCCGTAGCAGCTATAGCTCCTTTACGTTCTGTAGCTGCTGCACCATATCTGGCCGCAGTTGTCAATGGACGATTACCAGGTGTCTCGGCTGCTACCGCAACAGGTGGATGTAGAGCAACCAGTCGAGCAGAAGCATCCTTCAAGCATATTTGTAATGCTTTTGGTGCTGCAAACTCAAAGAATCTACATATTAAATCTGGATAACATCGAGTCCACACAACAGCATCTTCCGGATTATCTGATCCAATAAAGTGGCGGAGCGAGTCACCAGTATGCTCTCGTCGTTGCTGAGCAGCAAGTTTCGTCTGTTCTGAGCGCGTAGATGATGCCAAGACAGGGTCATGGTAATGTCGTCTGACAAGTTCTGGTCCATATTCTTCTAGTATACGGTTTAGACGTGACGAGGATGGATTTAATACTGGCATCTGGCTAGCCCGTCGTTTGGTTTTCAAGGCTGCTGCAGTGTGTGCACTTCGATGCGTAGCACTACCAGGTACTGGACTTGCAGCAGTAGTGGGACACTCCGACTTTTTCAAACTCTGGAATTTAAAGTCGAATTCTTCCGCCAGCGTCAATACTTTTAATGCCTGCCTACGTATAGCAGGACTAGTCGAGCATAAATAAAAGAGTCCACGAGCTTCAATTTCTTCTACGACAGCAGCAACTTCCCGAGCAGGCCATACTCGTTTCTCACGTTCGACTTCCTGAAGCCACAGATCTAGTAGTTCGACATATAGACCTAGCGTACCACCAATAATGGCTTCACCACCATCATAGGACATGGCAGCCATAACATCCGCGAATCGATCAGTGACAATACCAATCGAGACATCAGCAGCAATGCGGACAATACCACCAGCAAGCCCCTCGAACTCATCCCCTAAATTCCATTTCTTGCGTGCTGCATCATCACGTAACGAAGCCACACGTTTCAGAGCTCGTACAGATGCTACACGCACACCATCGTCAGCATGGAGTGCATATCGACACAGCATTTCAACTAGACGGCGTGGACTGACTCCAGCAGGTACAAGTCTTGGTATACAATCTATATACGCTCTCATCAAATCAAACAAGACTTGACGGTCTCGTCCAAATGGATTTTGCGGTGGATCTGGTTGGAGCAAAGTGCGTTCAGGAAGATTCGTTAGAGTTTCACCAGAGAAACTGGCTCGCCGCGTTGGATGGTTTTGATTTGTTGCTGCCGTATTAGATTCCCGTGGTAGATTACTGAGTGGGATGACATCAATGACTAGTGCCCACCCTACTGCACCATCAAGTGCAACAGCAACTTTACCCAATACATCATTAACACGTTCTACAGCTTCTCGTACCACGGCACCCATGCGTTGAGTCATTCGTTCAGGAAGTGGCGCATTTATATCTATTGCGGCATTGGTTCTATTGGGTCGCTCTCGTAACTTCATGAGCGAATCCAGACTAAGCCCAGATCCTACTATACTACGGATTGCAAATGGAGGTTGCGGTATAGTATATCGACCTTCTACAATGACCATACCGGATGTAGTAGGCATTGATGTAGAAGTACTAGCCAGAGCATCTTCAATATCAGCCAAGATCAATAACAAGGATCGTAACCCAACAATCATTCGTTCTGGATTGACTGCTGCATCACCAATAACAATACTAGGTGCAGCAGGAGCTGAAGACATGGTAAATGAAGTCAATCCAGCTTCTTCAGGAATGGTCACTGTAGCTACATTTCCAGCAAGACCTGAACTGAGGCCTGATGCTACAGACGACATGGTCATACTAGCTACTGTATTCGAGCTTGATGGTGTTGTGCTAGATACGGTCGTAGATACAGTACCAACAGTAGACGAGGCTGTTGGAGTGGCGGTACCCACAGACTGTGCAGGCATCAAATGCTCCAGACCCATCAATGGCAATATCAGAGTCTCGATACCATGATCCAAGTGCTTGACACATACAATATACACGAATTGGACGAAATGGTCTAGATTGATGGATTCTGGTATAACTCCACGACGATTTCGTGGAAAGAGCGCTTGTGCAATGAGATCTATACGTCGTAATGCTGTAGCGGCAGACGTTTCGGAATGTCTATTTACATATACCCATAGTAATCGGATGAGAGAAGTGATGGCGATGGATTTCGAGTTCTTGTCTCTAAACTTGGAGACACAGAGCTCAGCAAAAGAACCCCAATTCTTGTGAAAGAAGTCTCTTTTCGAGACACAAAGCAGAGTCGTGATCAGCGGTAGTGCCTCCTATCACAAACCTGAACAGTGAGTGAAACGGTTCCTGCATATTTTTTTTGCAGTAGATACAAACCTCGAGGTGACGCTGTTTGGTTATCATACGACTCGCTTTTGGAAAGATGGTTTCTATAGTCTTCATCCATGCTGGTAGATTCACTTCGGCCGTAGCGATCTAGATTGAGCAAAAAAAAGGAAAGAATATCGTAAAACGAGTCCAAGAAAGATCCAAGGCTTGACTCACAGCAGCTACAGGCTCCAACAACTCAACAAAGACATCTGAGAATGCATGCTTGATCTTTTGCGAATGTGTAGTTGAGAATATCTCTGCACAAGTTTGCAAAAATTCAGCTGTTTCTTCCAGTGCGTCCATTGGGTAGATCTATTCATCATTATTGAGTTTGAGAAAATCGGTGATTTATTTTGTCTCAACCAACATACTCGCCATACCTTGAGTTGAAGATAACGCATACATCTAATAATCATTTCCAGCTTGTTTTCTTTGATCAGGCCCTTGTCAAACTTTCTCAATTCGAGAACGTAACGATCACTGACTGATGCAAACCTGCAAGAAAACTGTTTCATTCAATATCGTTTGGACGGCTTTTTTTCGCTGCCTTACTTGAGACCAGATATACACCCAACGAGAGATGAGAAAGCATCGATGTTGGCTTGACGATTAGCAGCCTTGATAACTTGATCTCTGCAACATATTTCACACAGCAAAAAAATCAGTTTTCGTGATTTGCATTCGGTGGGTTTCAACAGATTTCTCTTACGGATCAGCTTTCTGAAGATGAGTAAAGCACATGTCCTCTAACTGATCCGCCAGTTCCGACGTCAGAGTTTGTTCAGTCAAGTTTTTGACGACCTCCATTAAAGCTCGACATAGAATAAAGTTGGCAATGTACTAGGTGAGAAGAATGTCAGGAAGATTTGGCTGCTTATCGATTAACACGGTTTACCATCTTGCGCTCCTTGAGTACTCCTTCCATATCTTTGCCTCTCAAAGATGGATATAAGGAAGATCTGGGTAAATGACATTGGTGAGTTTCTGTAACGTCGTCCAGCCACGTCAGCAAAACAAATAAAACCGTACATGTTGACATTGGTCTCCTTGCTTGAGAATTCACCCTTATTACGCCTCCATAGACTTATACTATCAATGACGACTTTTGGACAATGTTTGGCCATAGATCCCAAAGCTTGTAACAGTCTATCAAAAGACAAGTCTTGGCCAGCTCGTAATGCCATTGATAAATCCACATCTCGATCCTATATATATAGCTTAGCTGTCATGTTACAAATACCAGAATACCACATCTATGTGACACTTGCCAGCTGTAGATACAACAGTGCATTCATCTTGGTATCAGCTTCGAGCATAAACCTCGCGTACAAGTTATGGAGCACGAACTGCGAAGGTTGAGTCTTTGCATCAGGAGGTTCAAGCAGATTTATTCCGTCTTGATTACTATTAGTATGTTGACCTTGTCCACCGCTAGACTTTCGCGACGTAGCCGGCGATGATGTAAGCTGGAATGCCGGCGATCCATTGGGCGTTGTTTTCAATGGAGTGGCCATGTTGGTGCTATTTATGGTGCTGGGTGGTAAGGGGAGCACCATTGAGCCTGTTGGAGTCGCAGACCTCGAGTTGAGAAACAAGTCATCGAAATCAGCCATGATGATTTGAGGTTTGAGGGATGGATTTGAATAGTTCGAAACACGGAGATCAAGAAAAGACACTCATATGTTTGAAATGGTTTGTTGGCCTGTCCCTTTCTATTATCGAAAACAGTATTAGAACGAACGGAAACACTGGATTTGATCCATTAGTTTGCCGTTCAGTGATTTCTCTTACGTGATTACAATAAACAGCTTGGGTTGGACCTCAGCTTGAGAACAATACTACGAGTATTGCTCAGATCCTTCCTGTTCTGCCTTTTGTTTCCTTGGGACAGCGGTCAGTTAAGAATGTTTTGAATGGGAAACGTGAGAGCACCACTTAGCAACATTTGTGCGATTCTGTACAGATGCAAGGTCAGATTTACGTGTTGTTACGCGGTATTATGCAGAAATGATGTCCACTTATCAAAGAACTGTGCTCGGTAGACACCTCATCGCGCTGCAACTTTTGACTACAACAACAATGCTTAGGCAGACTAGAACGACTACGGAAGCCCTATTAGCCAGGCTTGATGAAACGTGTGGAATAAGGCCCAATCTGATACAGGCAAACAACACACCATTATCACCACAGTTGACTCGTAGCCACAATGGACGACTACCTAGACTCCCCAACAATACCAACCACATAGATCTAGATGCTGCTACTGCTGCCAGAAGAAGGAAATCTACGTTAAATGAGGATTACGAAGATGATGAGCCCGATTTCGATCCCTACTCTAGAGGTAATGTGTCTTGCAATCCTGTGTACAATTGCAGCATAATATCAACTACAAACGAGCTGCTTACATCCGTAGCGTTTTGTCGGATTTATATTTTAATCCTTACAACTAACACGAGAACTATAGCCGATGTATCTTGGAGTGACGAGATCAGCACCCTAAGGAAAATAAAACTACAGCTACTCTCAAAGCACAAGAGAACTGTTACAGACATTGAATCAGCATCTCTGATATCCTATCAACCATTTTCAAGGATATTCTTACTATCTTTCTTCAAAACGTTGCGGTTGAACGACTTGAAGATTGAACATGTGGATTTGGACACCCTGCAGCATTTGAAGGAGGTCGTCCTTATTGGCAATGAAATCAAGTTTTTACATGCTAGAAATCTACCTACTTCGCTCGAATCGTTATCGTTGTCTGCAAACCGGTAATGTTCGGCATATGGCAATTGAACTACTTGGTTTTGTCTGGTGTCTGACAATTTCATGTAGGTTAACGAGAGTACCAGATCTCTCCACTCTACAAAACCTAATCACGCTCTCTCTTGCTTATAACCATATCGACACCCTCACAAACGAACTGCATCACAGCAACAAGTCACAACCAACATCAGTAATAGGAACAGGACGACCTCCATCAAATGACGATGCATCAACACGTCCACGGACGGCAGCTTCAACGCGAGAATCAGCAACACGACCAACAACAGCTACAACTGGTGAAATTATACCACCAGCAATCGCCACCGTCTTGCCTTCAAACCTAGTATCGCTCGACATTTGCTTTTGTGATATTTCAGACTTGAATGAGACGTTGAGGCATCTTGTTCAGACAAAAAATCTACGATTGTTGAATATGATGGTATTGATGAAGTCGATTATGCTCATTCATACCTGCTTCTGAGGCAAGTTTTTTCCTCTATAGGGAAATCCATTCTCCTTACTGGAACGATACCGTCGAACGACATTACTGAATCTACCGCAATTGTTTGCTTTGGACGATTTAGAAATCACGGAAGCTGAACGAAGTAGTGTCAGTAGTCCTACAACTCCTACTACTAGTCCTATCCAAGATTCACAGAATCAAATCATAGGTAACAATACGTTTCGTTTTATTGCACCGAACGAAACATCAGCTCCCTCTTGCTTTATTTTAGATTCAGAAGTCGTGATGCGATTCACACTAGCAGGAATGACTGGTCTCGCATCGCCTCACCCAATAGAGCCACGAGAGGCCATGGAAGCCGATGAACCACCAGACGAATACATCTTTCTCATAGAGTTACGACTAGGTCAACATCCAACAGCTATCGTACTCGCTGAATGTCGATGGCAGCCGGAAGTTATAGATTTTGCTGCATCGCCGGAAATCAAGTGTGTTGCTGATGTGGCGCTGAGAGATTCCTTCATGGGTATGTTCCAAGCTTTTTTTTTGGCCTCGTGAAGCTAACTGAACCCTATGTAGATGGATTACATATAACACTCACACGTAAACGACTGACGTCCAAACTACGTGACGTCGAGCCAGCAGAAACTATGCCTCCATCACGAGAAGCATCTAGGCCGCCGAGTGGTAAATCTGGAGAAGCTGCAGCAGCAAAGAAGGCAGCTACAACAGCTACTGCAAGTGGTAAACCGTCACCATCACGACCTGTTAGTGGAGCAGGCAAGAAACCTGCAGCTGCTGCAGCAGCACCAAGCAAGCCATTGGAATCGAAATCTCAGCAGCCTGCCAAGCCTGTGACGAAGGAGGAGGGTATGTCCTGTGCCGACGTTTGCTGAATTATTTTTTCGCATGCTAGAGAGAAATGTCGTGCTTCCTCTCTCTTCAATTACAGCTATCGTTTTTAATGTGATCAATTCTTGTATAGGACGATGGTTACGAGTTGTCGTAGAAACACTCGTAATTGGTAAAGCTAATGTCCAACTACGCGACGTCTTTGAAGGACAGGTACGATTACAATCCAAAAAAAAGTCATTAATTTATCACCGGATTGAAACTGTGTCTCAAACATAGACCGCCATATCTGGTGATTACCATCTCGAAAGCAAGACAACGCTACCGGCACCACCACCTGCTGCTACAGAATCGTCAAATGAGCCTGTTGCTGATGCTCCAAATGACGTTTCCAATCTGGTTGCTACTGTACGTGTTGGAGTCAAACTGCATCCACCTCCACCGGAGGCTGTGCCTGAAGTGGCTGAAGTGAAGGCTGTCAAGAAGGGTAAAAAGTAGTAACAGTAGTAGTTTGGGTGTTATGTTGTTGGATGCTGTTTGCGTTTTTGTACTTATTGTACATATCGTGTGCTATATACTTGAGGAGAGCAAGTCGTTGGATTGAAACAAACAGTTCAAAAATTCAATTTGACAAGTCCTTGGGTTTTTTGCTACGCGAGATCATGCTCGATCGCTCATTGCAAATAGGGTCGAAGCATTCCTGACACGTGTCTTTACTGAATTCTCCTGTTGAAACGCGTCTTTTCTTGCCCCCAAACATCAGACGAGTCCCCGAAAACTTGACACTTTTTTTTCTCAAAGCCAAACTCGAAACAAACGAGAGCAAGAGAGGACAACCTAACTTGAAAAGAGGTCTCACAGCTCCCTATTTACACTCATCTATTTATTATTTATCTAGATCTATCTATCCTGCTTCCCAATAATTAGCACCAAGACACACAAAAACCAACCATGCATCCAATCTCCTGGCGAAAATCACGCTACCGCCTCCCCGTCGAGGTCCTCCTCCACGCAATGGACATCCTAACCCACTCAACAAAGCTAACTGCCAACGAACTACGCCAAATCCTATACAACCTCGCCCTCGTTTGTAAAGGCTTCAACCATCTCGCTTGCTCCATCATGTATGATAACATCGATCTGGAAGCTACGAGAATTATATATACACCTACCGAGTTCCCTGAATCGGAATACGGGGTCAGACATTTGAGGTTGATTGCTGCGAGTAGCTCCAGACAGGGAGCAAGTGCATTGTGTAATGGGAATTTGTTGGGATGTGAAAGGAGTTTGTTTGCGATTCGCAAGACGAATCCGTGGGCTGGTGTTGGAAGTGGAGGTAAAGTTTGTCTTGATGGGATTTTGTGGTTGTGTGTGTTTGTGATCGCTGGTTATGCTTTTTTGACACTGTACGCCTCTGTTATGAAACCCTATTGATTCACACTGAACTCCTGTAGATCGGAGCAGTTCTGATATTAGTGGATCGTCATCTAGTAGTGCTTCATCATCATACACTATAAGGAAGGAAAACGACGTGAAGAAGGCTGTTAGTACTAGTACCAGTCAATCACGTCAACAATCCCAACCACAACCAACTCTATCTCGAAGCAGTACTGGAAGTAGTGAATCATTATCTAGTAGAGCTTCATCATCTTACACTACAAGGAAGGAAAACGACGTGAGGACGGCTGTCAATACTAGTACCAGTCAATCACGTCATCAGTCACAACCACAGCAAACTCCACTAGCTCGGAGCAGTAATGAGGGTAGTGAATCATCATCTAGTAGTGGATCATCATCATACGGTACAAGGAAAGAAAACGACGTGAAAATGGCTGTTACTACTAGTACCTGTCCATCACGTCAACAATACACACAACCACAACCAATCCGCTTCCGCCAATTCCCACTCGGCTTCATCACCCGATTGGCTGTGTCCATATCAACAATAGGATGGATAGCTCGTCTAGACAATCTACAAGCTCTCCAACACTTGTGGATTTCTCTTGATGCCATTCCAGTAGCACCGATGAAATATTCATATGGAATGCCATCCCGATTGACAAACTTGACATTGAGCTTTCTCAATGCTCGATCAAGGAGGGTATATGAGTATTGGAGCAAACAAGACTGGGACTGGCTTGCAGGCTCGTGTCCACGTCTCACGTCTCTTGTATTGCATGGACTGCTAACAGCTTCTACAAAGGCAACTGATGGACATAATATGGGGAATGTAAATGTGGGCAAACTTGTATCGCTTGTATCAAAACTGAAGCTCGAGACGTTTGCGCTGATGAGTGAACGGCTTGCTGAAAACGTCCCTGCATCGATCGTTGGTGATATGATGATCGCACTCTCCAAAAACAGCTACGAGAAACTCGTTAATCTATATCTTGCATCATGTGACTTGGACATCCATGCAGAGCAATGCTTTTGGGGATTTATGAATCTCGTCAATATATACTTGCAGCATGTCAAGGGCGGTCTGCCTCTCTTGATGGCACGTACCGGTCGTCTCGAAACATTCGAAGCCGACTCATGGGACGTTGAAGGACATCCCACATGTCTCTCCGATATATTAAAAGCCCATTCTGCATCCCTGAAAACGTTTGTAGTGAGCTACGACACCCACATCCCAGACCTCAAACTATTATCCACAACACGCAAACTATCCAGCTTGGCAATCACGACCGAACAAGGATATCGAGGCGAGATACTACGACGAATCAAAGTGGTTGGACCACAATTGACTTCATTGTGTATACGGCAGACGCATCTCGAAGTGATTGCCCAAAGCCAAGATATAGTACGGCTAGTCAAATCTTGTGTCAATCTACAGCTCTTGACTCTCATTACACTACCATTCAGAATATTGAAAATGCCAATTCTGAATGAGATAGTCAGCCATGTAGTCAACTTGAAGGTCTTCCACATCCAGGATATGATTGTTGATCCCAAAACCGAATATTTTGATGGAAACTCGTTTGTACAGGCTCTTAAGGCTCGTCGTCAGAACATAAAACGTGCTGCCAATGTCAATAGAAATAGTACCAGTACCACTTCCAATAGTACCCACAGTGTCTTGTATATCAACGTGACTCCAGACGTCCGAATGCTGTTTTCTCAAGAAGTTATTGGACCGTATGATTTCAAAGGACTGTACTCGCTCATGAAGGGACTTGTCTCTACTGATGGACTGGTGTTTGATACACGTAGATACGTCAAACAGCCACTACTACCGCCTGTTACAGTCACTAGGAAGGTCGGGACTGGATCCGCCCCAGTCAAATTGGTTCCCTGGGAGGATGATTTGTGGCGGCCAAAGAATAGAGGGGTAGGCTGCTTGTGAGGGGAATATGAGAAGGGACTTTTTGTGTGTTTTGGCTAGTAGGTATGAAGTGCTTGTAAGTTGCAAAAATGTAAAAAACCAAAAATAGTGGTAGTAGTGTTAGTAAACAGTATAGGAAGGATGCAAATAAGTGTAAAGAACGAAAAAGAATACTTGTTTTACTAGTTTTTAGGAAATATAAGATGGTTGGCCTTGAGCTCCCTGTTGCCCTTTTGAATGATGTTGCCGAATCTGAGAAGGACACTCACATGTAAACTGAATAGATTTGAACTCGCAAAGGACTCGGTTCGATGACAGCTATGTTATGTACAGCTACTCATAGTAAGAATCACCTCCTAAGCAGTATATTGGTTGTTTGAAAGTGAGCTAAATGGCTTTGAAACGGAGAGACCAAAAACTCAATTTGCGCACAAACGAGAAAGCACCATTTAGTCAGAATACTGCATCTAATCTAGAATCGAAACAACCGTCCCAACTTTCTGAAATCATCGACACCAAAACCAACCAATTGACCACGATCCCAACACTCACCCAAGAAACGGTCTCATGATGGTGACCTTTATATACGAAATCAAAGTGTCGTTCTAATACAGGAGCTATCATGGACAAAACGAAACCGGTGTCTAAAGAGGAGTAATTGAGAACTGAGGCGCCAGATCGAAGGCACCAGGCGGTTTTTCTGGGGAAGTGAAGGCAGGGGTTTCCAGTTCTTTTTTTGCCATTTGGAAGGAGGAGAGAGGCGAAAGGAATCAATTTGTTTGGAATGTTTATGCTTCCTCCTCTTGCTTCTCTTGCTGCGGTTTGTACAAAAAGCGGTACGTAGTATCGACACAAAGCTTGCATCTGACTTCTGAAGCTTTCCGTCTTGACATGCAAGTGTTTTGATTCTTGGCTTTGAAAAATTGGAATCCTGTGAGAATTGTTAGCCCTCTCGCTAAGCTTGGCACCCACCTCATAAGTCATAAGCAGCACAATTACAAGACGATGCATCCTTCCATCAAGAATGGAGGTTTTTGGAGCAGACCCAAGTCAAGATCAGCCAAGCATTGGTATTCAGAATGTTTTGAATGTGTCCATATCTATAAAGAGGCAAGAAAGTTCGTCAATCTTCAGATTATGTCCTGCAACATCAGCAAGATGCTGCTTTTCTGTTGCGCGTCGCGCAACTCTCTCACTCTCTCCAAACCTTTGGTCTCCCATCACCACTAAGTGCAAACCTATCTCAGCCCAGATGTTGACGCATTTCGGTGGATCCTGGCAAAGTTCAACGTATTCAACAGAAACATTAACGACTGGAGAGAGCGGATTGGGGAGACACTCTTCCACTCCTCGGACTGTCACGACAAAGGAGGATTTAAAACTTATGTCCTTGCTTGTATCTGGATGGTCAAAATAATTTTCGGCACAGAATTGTAATCACAATATCTATGTATATAGAAGTGATATCCATGTATATAGAAGTGAGAGCGAAGTGAAAGCGGAGCAGCTCCTCTCTAATTTGAGACCTCTCTCTAAACTCATTCCTTTGGGATTATTGAGGAAAACATTACACAGTGTCCTGTTCTCCTTTCAAAAACGAACCTTTTTAATGATCCCCACTCCAAGGATATAATCCACGTATGCTCTACATATTTCAAGTCTACAGCTGAGTGGCTTATATTATATAAAGAGGTAGGAGGTGCTGTTGTCCTAGTTATGAGATGATTTGTCATCACTGAGGTGCGCCTTCAGAGGATTTGGGGGGATGCGAGAAGAGGGGGACCTTGGTTGGATTTCTGGCTTGAGACAACAAAATCATACTTTTTTTGTGGATATCAGAAGGGGAAATTAGAGTGAATAGAGGAAACTGATTGTTTCCATCGATTTGCCTCTACAACTTAAACGTATCAGTTGCTGTTTTCAAAAGCGAGCACAAGAAAAAGCATTTTACTCGGGGTGACACCAAAGTAACAGACGAAAGTAAAACGAAAGAGCTATGCTATCTGGAAGTATATGGAGACACAAGTAGAAGAAAGTGACATGTTCATTCTCGGAAGCGTCAGTGCACAACCATCCAAACCGCAACGGCTGGCTGCTCGTGCTGTTTCAGCACCAAATGTAGTCAGCGCTGCGTATATGTCGTTCGTGTATAGCTTGTTGAGGTGCCTAATTCTCATATACCACGGCAGTTGACTCCTGTCCTATCAGGAAATGTGATTCAGTCTTGCGAATGTTTCAAACAGCAAAAAGCGGACGGACGGTAAGCTGCTCTCAAATGTCTCACCGAAGTATCACTCTCTGATTCATTGCCCATAGCATAGCCCCCTTGTTATGTATGGGATTTAGAAAGAACGAGAGACCCTCACAGGCCGTTTCAACAAGATCAACCATCGAGAGTTTCTTGAGGCTTACTTCGAGCTAGCACTATCGCCACAGTAGGAAGAAATGGTGTGAAAGGATCCAATGTTTTGGTTGGTATACGAGTGTTTGATCTACGGTCCATATCATTATGGTCCTTTAGGCGTGTTGATGCTAGGAGCATACTTGACATACATAAAGAAGCCGTTGGTCAAAAGGTCAGCCGGAGAATGATGAGGCCAAAAAAAAGCAGAAGGTGGCGTAACCAAATGTACTAACAACTTGCTTTCTAGTCCACAGAAGCCTAGGTTTCCAAAAATCAGATCATAACCATTTACATATCACCAGTAATCAGTAATCAGAATCCAGTGTCAAACTTTCGATGTTTGTTGCACAAAGCTCAAAGCATCAACCAAACAATCAGGCAAACAAAAACGTCTTCATAGCAAGTTGTAGAATGCCACTAGCTTACATGCCATCACAGACCTTGTGAGCCATCATACCAACTCTAGTTTCATTGCCATCCAGAAATAGAGAAAGAAACGGTCCACACCTCCTTGTCTGCCAGTAATGAAAATTATAGGAACAATTCTGCTTGTCAAAATTTAAGTAAGACACTTCCGTTTGCAAGAAAAACCCGTCTATTTTCAACTATATACACATCTCTCTTGCATAATCTAAACACAAATGCGAGATTCACTTTTTCAATGAGGAAGATGGCGAGCTCATGAGTACATCACCATCAGGTTCAAGTTTGACATTTCTGTTCATGGTATGATTACCATCACCAATTGGAGTATTGATTGGATGACGGATTTGGAAGGCACCAGTACCGCCTCTGGTAGGTTGTCCCATAACGAGACGAGCAGATGGTGATTGTAAGGAGTCAAAGTCACCGGATCTAGGAGACGTGATATATCGTATAAGTTTTTTTTATGAATACATTCCAATGGCTGGAGTTCTCTTTTGCGTCCCAAAACTTACAAGGTAGCAGCCGTCAAAAACGACGTAGTAGTCTCAAACGACATTTGCGCAAACGGAGATGGATTTGAGTTCATTCCCATTCGATTGAAAGCTTTGTATCCTCCTTCGAACGTCTAAAAACAATCGAGGTGAGCAAAAAAACCTTCGCCGAAAACCCAATATGTGACCATCAAATCACCAATCCAAACATACCATATAATCAGCAATCAAACTCAAATGCCTCTTATCCACCGATATTCCATAAACACCAAATACACTAGCAATTTCTCCTACAATGGCTGCTCGTGCAGCTTCAACACCATATGTAGTCAAGACGGCGTATATATCGTTGGTGTATATCTTGTTGACGTCAATGTACTTGTCTAATTCCCATATACCACGGAAATTGACTCCTTCTGTGCCGAGATTGACCTAATGAAAAGTTTGTGTGTTAGTCTAAGTATAGTTCCAGTCACAAAAGAGTCCAATAGATTACAAGTCTCGATTGGGTGTCTTACCGAAGTATCATTCTCTGATTCATTAACCATAGGATAACACCTTGTTATGCCCTTGATTTCAGAAAGTACGAGACGGTGACATGCCTTTTCAACGAGATCAACCATCAAGAGTTTCTTGGTTTTAGCTTCGAACTAGATTTTCAATGCAAAAACAAGTCAGATGATAGGACTGCATCATATGCTGTTCTTGCATTTCCTGTCTCCCAACTCACCTCCAAATCAATCTCACACCAAGCACCATGCACGTCGTCAAACCTAAATGCAGCAGCAAAATCCCGTTTTCTCAAATCAATATCAAACTCCCCTTCTTCTTCTTTGACAGCTAGATCTTCATCATCTCCATCCTCTGTTTCCCCTTTAGCGGCAGCAGCTTTACCTTTACCCTTCTTCTTTTTACCAGCACCAGCTTCTTGACCATCCTCAGCATCATCGTCATCATGATCATCGTCCAAATCCTCTTCAACCTCTCGATGACTATCCATAATGACCTGCTCTTCTTCATCTGGAGCATCATATGTAGCATGCTGGGCCGTATTTCTGGCTCGTTTGGCAGCACTAGCATCCATACCATCAGCATCATCGTCATCGTTGTCGTCGTCTTTTTCTTTAAGTTTCTTGCCCTTCTTTTCTGCTGATGTCGATGCTTCGGCGTCGTCGCCACCTGTGGCAGCACCAGATGAAGCTTGCTCTCCGAAAGTACCCAATTGTACGCCAATGGCTTGTACATCATCATCGCTCTTCTTCAGCTTCAAGTTGAATTTGATAATGTTTTCCAGTTGTGGGATGAAGGATCCAGACAAGAATTGTTTTAGTTGAGGGGCTTTTATACCGTGTTCACGTTCGTATGCTGCTTTGTGCCATAGTTGGAGACGGACTGTTATTACTTTACGACGTGGTTTTCCATCCTCCTATAGATTTGTCGGGAAATGTCAGCAAAACAACCACCACAAAGAACGAAAATTCGAGAGGATCGCTTACCTCAGGTCTCAACCTCTCACGAACAGTAACACCTTCCGTGATTTGATTCAATGCCAATCTACCAATCTTTCGACACAGCATATCAATATATTCAGTAGGTGCTCCAGGAAGTAATGGAAGTCTCATCAAAGGTGTCTTGATTTTAGAGGAAGCAGTCATGATGATTTCACGTAGTCTTGGAATACCAAGTGTGACGTTTTTCTATCGAAACAGAAATCTTTGATGAGCAAAAAAACCCAATAGTATTCTCAGAGGATGCAACCAATGCAACCAAATCTGCACTCACAGCACCAAACCCAGCAAAATGGAAAGTATTCAACGTCATTTGAGTACTTGGTTCTCCCAATCCTTGAGCAGCCAATAGTCCAACTGCTTCACCAGGATCAGCCAATGAATACATATACTTGAGCAACATTAACGGCCTGAAGTGTTTGGGCACGACGGAATTGCCAGTCCATCTCATATTGGGATTGGATCCTTTCGTATGTAAGAGATTCTCGGCATTCAATTTAATGTACTATGCGAGAAAGACAGTGTGGGTTTCGCATGCAAAAAAAAACGGAAGAAACGACAAATACATATCAACTTTGAACTCACATCATCCAATTCCTTCATAAAGGACTCCGACACGCTCCCCATATACCTGCTAGGCATAAACATACTCAACACAGGCACCAAATCATCTCTCGCCTGCTTCTTATCATCCTCATCAAGCTCAGCGTCAATAGCACTAAACCGTTTCGCCCTCTTTTCTCGGACCTTGATTAAATCAGGTACGGTGTATGTATCTACTCCAGCAGTAACAAACTCTTCAGGCTTGTACCGTTCTTTGAGGGTTGCGTAATTCAAGGCAGCCAAATCGAATTTGGTGAGTGCCTTTTGTTTCATAACGTCGAGAGCATCTTCGCCGTATAAGAATTGGAGGACTGAGCCGTCTGCATCTCGTACAGTGTGGTCGTATGCGACTGTTGCTCCTTCCAAGTGCTTGATGAGACAACGTTGCAGGTATCCTGATCGAGAGGTTTTAACGGCTGTGTCAATTAGTCCTTCACGACCAGCCATACCTAATTTATTTGGAAAACGATAAGTAAAGTGTCCAACTCGTGAACAAAAAAAAATGAGAATACGAGCAGGAAACACACTCACAATGGAAGTAGTACTCTTGCGGCCTAATTCCAGAAAAGAAACGACCAGTAATATACCCTCCAGACCTCGCACTAGAATCAAAAGCCTGGAAACTAGGCAACGTCTTTCCAGAAACCATAGTAGGTACTCTTCGACCTTCCAGTTCCTGCTGCCCCAGCAAACAGGAAATCTGACTGACATTCACATTACTTCCTTTAGCACCAGACACAGTCATCATTTGCATATTATTTCCTGGGAAGGGTTTCAGCAATTTATCGGGTATACAGGCTGAAATGATTTCAGAGGTAAGTTTATTCGTCTTGTTTTTCATGGTGGCGTCTAGACCAGCCATGCGCTCAGAGCTACGGAGAACATCTTCTAGCCGCGATGTAATCATATCGTCGGTGATGGATTTCACATCTTCTTCAGGTGTGGCTTTGACATATTCGCATGCTCCTTCACGACCAATCTCAAGACTCTTGGCAATCAATAGAGTTCTTTCTAAATCACCGGATTGAGTCAATCTCAAATCGTCCATACGACAGGTGAAGCCCTTATATTGCAGGTATGCCGTAAAAACTCGACCAAAGATGGAAAGGAGTTTGCCTGCGTAGGTTGCTCCATAGATTTCATAGACGCCATGGACGAGACCATGAGCTGTGGCACCGAATTGTGACTTGTCGAGAATACCTTGGATTAAGTGACCATCTAATACGAGGACCGTTTGTTCTTCTGGTGCTGATGGACCCCATGACTTGGCTGGTATACGAGCTTTTGATCTCAGGTTTAGAGGATTACGGTCGTTGGAGTGTGTCAGATTTAAAAGTATTGCTGATATCTGTTTGTTGGGCGAGTGAGTGGGTGAGTGATGGCACAAAAACAGTGATGCAACTAGGGGGCAAGAAACTCACAACTTGCTTTCCAGTCCACAAAGGCTTTGGCTTCCAAATAGCAGGCTCCACCATAATAACTCTACCCATATCGCCAATAATCACTTCACTTTCAATATTACCATCTCCAATCATACTACTTGTCCCACCATTTTGCCGTGATTCAGGCCGCAATCCAACATATAATAATTGCATAAACTGTTCTCGTTCCAGGAATGTATCTCGAGATGTCAGGTCGACACCTGCATCAACGTGATCTTGGATGAGACCTCGAAGGACATCACCAGCAGTGGGGACGAGATATTGCTGGTCTGTACGAGCTATAATCATGGCTTCGGCACGACCCAATTCGGTTTGCGGCAAGTGGGCATTCATTTCGTCACCGTCGAAATCGGCATTATATGTGTTACCTGAAGTAGAGTGTGTTTCTTGTTATTCGAATCCACACCGACAAAAAATCCCAAGATAAAAGACAGAAATGTGCTTACAATTGGCATAATGCATTCTCAGCGTCTTTTCGCCAGGTAATATACGAGCTGTATGAGCCATAATGGAGGGTTTGTGTAGAGTAGGTTGACGATTCAACAATAAAAAGTCACCATTGCGAACGTGACGATGCACTTTCTTGTTGATATTCGGAGACATAGCTACATGCAACGAGAAAAGGGAGAGTTATTGCACGATCGAGCGAAAAAAATACACATTGGCGATGCTGAATGTCTTTGTATCAACTCTTTCTACACCCAATTCCTCTAACATTCAACCTCTCTTACCATCAAGTTCACGACCAGTCATAGCAGGAGGAGTCAACAGTGTTTGAGCAATAGCAGCTCGTCCTTGTTCAGTGAATTGAGACAGACTAACTAGTGTTCCATCTTCATTTTGTACATGAGTTGCACCAGGCCATTTGTCAGGACCATTGATGACAGCAGCTCGTAATATAGTGGCATTGTATTGCGTGACTGGTTCTGGATATGTGAGTTTGGTTGCGAACACAGGCGGGATCTAAGGGACCAAACAGAGTTGAGTCAGTGAACTATTATTCTTGGTATACTCAGTCACTTTTTTCTTTTGGTATAACACCGAGCAAAAAAATCAACAGACAGTAAGAGATGATACAACAACAACAAGCCAACACATACCCCAATCTCATTAGTCTCGATATAAGGATCAGGTGAGATAACAGACCTAGCAGCATAATTTACACGTTTACCCATCATATGTTTTCTAAACAGCCCTTCCTTCTTTTCCAATATCTGTCTCACACCAGCAGGAGCTTCCTTCCCACGATACGTGGCAACTTTAGAAGAATCAATCAGCCCATTAACACCATCCTGTAATGATATCCAAGCATTCACCATCCGTTTCATGAGATCCGACATTTTCTTATTCCGAGCAGTAACAGATTCATTGGCGTCAGCGCCATCTTCACGCAACTGTTTGATATTCTTGTTTATGGTTCCCATGAGTGAATTTGCTTTGAGGATGTTGATCAAGTGTGTGTTTTGCGGATGTTCGAATAGGGCATCGTCCATTTTGGATGCTGGGCGGAATTTGGTGGGTGTTACGGTAAGTATGTCGTAAAAGAATATATCAGAGGATGATATACGGTGTCGTGCTTCTCGATGTCCGTATAACAAATCAAGGACGCTTCGTTCTCGGTCCCACAACATGTTGAGATGTGCACGGACTTCTATAGGTGGTACGTATCGTGCTTCTCTACTACTTGTGAGAGAGATAGGAGTGACAGCTGTTGCTTTGGCAGTAGCTTGTTCGAATTCAGCTTGTTGGTCTTCAGCTTCAGCCAATCTAGCAGATCGCTCTTCTTCCTGCTGAATATCATGAAAGCCAGCCTCCATATCGTTTCTGCTCATACCACCTAAAGCCTGCTGTATATTGGGTAGGCGTTCTACAGATCCTTCAGAGTCTACACTGGATGCTCGAGACCATCCTCGACGTGGCGATGATCTACCGTCATTAGACGCATCATCTGTTCCGGCTCTCTTTATGGGACTAACAGCAGCAGCGAATACGTTTTGAAGAGTCAGACCACGAGCATCCATAGCCATAGCCACCTTGGAAGATAATCTCTTTTCAAACACTTTACGATTACCCTCTGCTCTATATTTATGAGCTACACCACGACAGTTCGTGCAATATCTCGGTGGTACGGATCCCAGGAATTCGTGTTCGATTTTACGAGCTGTTTCCGTTGAGTGCGTCAATTTGCCAGCTCGTAAAGGAGGTGGATGACCATGCTCTTTGGTATACGTAGTCATTGCTTTAGCAACATATTCACCAACCTGTTTTACAAAGTCTGCTTCCGTTCTAGCATCGCCCGGATCGTCTCCTTCGTCTTCATCCTCATCGACAGGTTCACTATCAGCCATTTTCTTCCGCTTGGCACCCTGTGCTTTTGATTTTGACTTTACAATGACATTTTCTATATCGTTGGCAGCGAGCACTAGACCAGCTTGCACGAGTTTGAGTTTCGCGATGGTGATTGCTATTACGACACGAGAATGTCTGAATTTGTGGCAATATAGACAGGTTGAGGCTAGGAGTTTGAGCATCAACCTAAAAGTGACTGGATTGTAGCATGGTGCAGCTAGCTCTATGTGACCAAAATGGCCGGGACACGCGAAATAGTTTAGATTACATGTCGAGCAACTAGGATGATGCGTGTTGTAAAAGTTAGCAAATGCTTCCATTGAATCAACTCTTTTTTTTTGCAGAGCTCCAAACATCAAACAAGCAAATCAAGCAACGCAAGCGGTATAACGACTAAGTAAAGGTGCAATCAGCTTACATGTCATGAGGAGTCAATGGACCTAAAGACGGATCGTACAGACCAGCTCTAGTTGGATGGCCCAGCGTGTCAACCAGTATAGGATTTGTGATTCTTTTGACAGAGAGCCTTTTGACCTCCTCGGCCGAGTAGAAGGAGAAAGATACTGCGGATACCTCCTTCGTCACTGGCCGCGCAATATCCATACTTGTCCTGGCTAGCTTTTATCATACAGTTTGCTCTAAACTGGAACGACCGGTTTTTTTCAAAGTCTTTCCAAGTCGCTGAGTTTAGATCGCATTCAGAAGAAGAGTAGAGACGGCAACAGCACTTCCAATGCGTGACTTTACGTGATTTGCGCGAGATGACACGTTTTCTCTGTATGGTTTCATATTGCTAAATACCTCGATACGAATTCAAATCTCGAAAACGATTAGATCTTATAAGCTTCCTCAATAATGGCATTCTCTGCACGACAAGCTACCTACTGGATGTTCTCCCACTTATTACGGAATGGTAGACCTAGGAGCTCGCCAACGAATTGGAGAACGCTCGCAACTACAAGTGAACAACCCTCAACATCTGCATCAAGAATAGGAGGTGTGTTCTGGTGTTTGGAATAGATTCCAGTATTCTATGTGATATCTCTTGCTAAAACGTTCTTCTTCTTTCTCGGATCAATAGGTATCCTATGGGGAGTACCAGTCTTAACATTCTGTCTGGGTTGCTGGCAAACATACAGACTAAACTGGAAACTAGATCTCATCAAAAAGACGGAAGATTCTTTGAAAGCTGATGCAATTCCATTCCGAAAGTAAGCATAGTTATGTTGTGCAAAAAAAGAAGCAGCTCGATGTGACCAGATGTATGACTGGCAGACGCGCTCACACCAACTTTACATTCTTGTTAGGGATCAGTCAAAACAACATCAACGAGTCCTTCTACATGGAAAATTTATCCGGCCTTCCTTTCTTTTGGGACCAAGACCACGTAGTTCAGATACACCTACTTCTGGACTGTTTTCAACTGGTGGAGCGAATCGCAGTGGTTACTACATTGTGAATCCATTCTTGATGAATGGTGATGAGGACGGTGGTGGTAGTGAGAAGATACTTGTGGCCAGAGGGTGGTTGCCAAAGGATGTTGTTGAATCGAACTGGAATGACCAGGTATAAGAGAGTCAATGGTACGATTTTGGTGGTCGTTGGACGATCCGCTGAACGTCTCGCTTGTAATACTCAGATGATTGGAATGGAGGTGACGTTGGAAGGCATGGTTCGACAAGGAGAGGTAACGCAATCACCGTCTACCATTCCAAGTTTACCTTTTAGACAATACTCCAAACATTCTATCTTTAGAACGGAACATACATGCCTAAAAACAACCCAGACGTAAATCAATGGTATTGGCTAGACGCATCTGCCATGGCGAAACTAGCGTCTAGCTCGGATACAGTAGTAGAACTGATATCAGGTGTGTTCCTTCAGAGCGTTATCATCCTTATCTGGCACTTGACGGGTATTTTGCACCGTCGTTCATACCTTCCAAACAACCATTAGGCTCAAAACTAAACGATGCTCAGATGGGAGTCGTGCCAAAACCGCGGACACCCGGCGTCAATATAGCAAACAATCATTTATCATATGCGTTGACGTGGTATGGGTTGTGTGCTTTTAGCACTTGGGCACTGTTACGTGGTCGTCGTAGACCATCTGGATTGGTATTCTGAGACACGTAGACTGGAGGACACGGTGGTTGTTTGAACAATATGTACTTGCATCTTGTACAGAAACAAATTTATATCTTACAGACACAAGTCGTTTTTTTTTCTTGTTTACAAGTTCGAAAATTTATATTTGTCTCCTCCTTAACTGAGCTCGTCTACTACAAAACTACGTTATATTATAGATAGTGGGTGTTCCACTGATTCATCACTATGAGATACTGGTGGTACTTCAACTATATGCTCTACTTCCTTCTCGTCCTCCTGTTCTACTGCAACCTCTCTCTGTTTACCTTTAGAGCTCGCTTCCGTCTCCTCTTCTTCCTCCATTGCAACCTCTCTCTGCTTGCCTACAAAGCTCGCTTCCGTCTCCTCCTCTTCCTCTATTGCAACCTCTCTCTGCTTGCCTTTCGAGTTGGATCTAGCCACAGCCGCAATCCTCTCCTCTTCCTCGACATCCAATGTCGCGTCGCTAATACTAGTTGATGGTCCGTCAGCAACAGCTTCACCACCACCACTAATATTACTAAAAGATATAACCGGTGGACTCCTTATACTCTCTGTCCGCTCAGTCAAGTACGGACTTGCCGGCCTCACAGGGGTAACAACACCTTCCTCCTCTGGCAGCATCGCTGTATGACTCGTCGCACCAACACTAGACCCCCCACCGCCACCATGCACCGAATCAGACTCAGCAACAGGCGAATGCCGTCCCATATCCTGCAACTTGTACCACGTCGGCGTCGACGCCCCTCCACCTGACGATGACGACTCTGCTGGATCTATTTCGTCGTAATCAGGCGGCGGTATATCATACATATCGACTCCATTCCCATCATCACCATACTCTTGCGGCAGTATACTATTCCTCGGCGGCGACTGCATCGACGTTCGATTACTCATACTTCTCCGTATCGTCTCCCGCAAATCAGACTCTTGGTCGTCATCACCTCTCGGAATCATAAGCGAGTTCCGCACATGTTCTACCAGCGCCATTTCCGCTTCGGGCGATATCTCACGTTTGGCGTCATCGGGATGGTTTGCTAGCTCGTAAAAGAAGGGATCTCGGCCGAAATTCACGAGCAGTTGGGTTGGGCCGTCTGCTGCTACTGAGGGGTATAGTCTCGTGCCTGCAGCGAGGATTGTTGAAGCGTTGATTTCCCCAATATATTCGCCGTTTTTGGTGTAGAATATGATGCCTGTTTCGGGATAGTATCCACATCCCACCACGTCTGCTTCAGCCCAGTATTCGCCTTTGGGTTGATGGCCTGATCCAGCTGATGTTGGTGATGCGGATAACGACCATAGGAAGTCGCCTATGGATGAGTATCCGGTACTTATAGCGTGGAGGCCTGGTGGTCTGAATGGTGGCTATTTGGGGATGGTACAGAATCAATTTTTGGCGTGAGTATGTTTTCGGATGAGTAAAACCTGTTATTTTGTTCTTACGTATGGTCGTGCAGCAAGTCCAATATAAACATTAATAGTGGGATCCGGTTTCCTCGACACCAACACCTCAAAGTACCCATACGCCAACGGTTCACCACTACTCCTGTCGGATTTTGGCAGCGGTATCAGTGGATGGGAAGCTAATAAACTAGCTTCACGACGTCTTCGAAATATAATATTGACATTCTCTTTCACGACTATGGCATCGCCCGCCCAATCGAATCGATAGGCTTCAGCTCCCAGTGTTCGTAATTCATTCATTTCACCCGGTGATGGGTTTATTTCAGCGATTGGTGGATGTCGTTTCTGCCATGTCACAGTTCGCACCTACAGGCGCAAATATTAGGTCCTTGTTGCATCACATCTAAACACGATCAACCACTGCTTCTTGCATCCCATGTATAAAACATTAACAACACAACACGTACATTTGGATCCTCATCCCAAAAACCACCACTGAAGTCCAGCCTTGGGCCATAGGCTCGCGGTGGGAACCGTAGCTCACCATCCGCATCAAGATACGGATGCCTCTGTCTGAACTGATGTTGGGATGATGTGTCTGACTCGTTTTCGGCTATATACATCCTCGGATCGACTTCGCGATTGAATCTCCTCATCCTGCGGACGACTAGAGCCCTGCAACAGCATATAAACACGACCAGCCCCGCAACCAGCGCAACAAACTAGATGTGAGATATTTGGTGTGAGATGTTTGGTATGAGAAGATATGAGTTAATCAAACAAGGGAGACGAAGCAGCGATGTATTGAAAACTGTGACGTAAAATCAAATCAACAGGTGCGGTTAACGTACGAATTGGTATTGAGTAGCTAAACTATCGCCCCCACCAGATGGTGTTGGCGAAGACACTGGTGGAGGGCCTGGAGTCACGACTGCTGCACTAGCAGCTGCGGAGGGAAGCTCAGTAGCTGTATTCACTGTAGTGCTCATGGTTTATAGACGACCCGGAAGGGAGTGAAAAACTTGCGAAGATTTGTCAAGTTCTTGGCACAAGAAGGGAGAGACGACACAGGACAAGGATAGGAAGTAGATCAGATGTCCACGATTAGCGATGAGGATTTGTCCTTTGGTAAACCACAAGTTTAATGTTGTGGCTCCATTGCAAGTTCTTGTCAGGGCCAACAAACGGTGAGAAAAAGCAAGGGAGAGTAGCCATCTTACGTAAGGTCCGAGAAAGGCAATTGGGTAGACTAGTCAAATGAATAGATTCGTCAATAAGATTGGGGCGTATAAATTCTTGTAGACTCTGCGACCATTCACGCCTCGTCCAAGATCAGTCTCGACAAAAAGCGATCGCTCCATAGAGATCTTCGTGAGTTCACGTTCAAACAGATCAGATAAAAGCACGTACGTGATAGAATGGTATAGATACATAATTACATCGCGCAGAGTTAGTTGATCGTCGCGTTGGTCAAGAGAATGAATGGTTTTCGTCCATTTTTGACACTGTATTGCGAAAAATACGCCAACCAAACCGGGCCAGGTATTGAGGAAGAGCTAGTTTCAGTGCATCGCCAAGCTGTAGAACGAGGCAAGTACTAGTTCTCTCTAAGATCTCTTGCGTCTCGAAGTACCTCGTGGGTGAGCTCCTAATTGGTTGTTGGTCTGCATCTTCAATTCCAGGCATTCCAGGTTTTCGACAATGTTTAAGACAATCCAACTTCAGTTCTGACCATTTCATCTCCATTTAGTACTAGATTCGCCTTCTTAACAATGGCCTCATCACCGGATACTCAACCGCAACCTCAACCTTCAGTCCAACATCAGACACCAGCATATGCAGCTCATGACTGGAGTAATGTTGAAATACGAACAGATACAAGTACATTTAGAGACCAATTTGGAAGAAATCTGTTGCTACGTGGTGTAAACCTAGAATGCAAGACGCCATCGAGTATAAGCCAGGATGGCAAGCCCTCATATGTTGGTCGGCCGATACCCGTGAATGAAGCAGAGTAAGCTCCTGTTTTATATTTGGTGCTAGGACAACGACGAAGGATATCGCTCCATGTTTGTTATCTCGGTAGCGAATGGCCTAATCTACACTTCACACGATGACCTTTTTTTTGCTCTAGCCAACACTTTTCACGGTTGAGAACATGGGGCTTTACCATTCTAAGATGGAGTGTTGCATGGGAAGCTCTCGAACATGCTGGTCCTGGTGTCTACGACGAAGAATACATCTTATATCTCATCGACATGATACGGAAAGCCAACGAGTATGGAATGAAGGTCTTTATTGATCCGCATCAAGACTGCTTCAGTCGGTTTAGTGGTGGCAGTGGTGCTCCAGAGGTATGTCGTTACAGCTTTCTCAATCGCAAAACAAGGAGAAAGTAATACATACTCATTCCACTCACTCAACACTGTAGTGGACATTCCGAGCTGCTCAGCTAAACGTCGAAAACTTTAACGAAGTCGGTGCAGCCCTCATCCACAAAAAAGGTGAACACGTAAACCGTGGCTTATGGTCTACAAACTATACCAAACTCGCATCATGCACAATGTGGACTCTGTTTTTCGCTGGAGACATCTTTGCACCAACTCTGAAATACAATAACCAGCCAATTCAGTCCTTCCTGCAATCTCATTTTATAAAGTGTTTTCAGAATCTGGCCAGACGGTTGGTACTTGCTGGCGTCACGAATGTGATTGGGTATGAGGTTATGAATGAGCCACATATGGGATATATAGGGATGCAAGATATTAGGAAGCAGTTTGATTCGAGAGTGAATTTGATTGTGGGAGCTTGTCCTGTGCCGTTAAAGGCTTTTGCACTTGCTGATGGTCATTCACAGGTATTTGTACAAATCTAGTCGGGGTTTTTCGTCTCGCATACTCACCTTCCAATCCATGATGTTTGTTCTAGTTGGTGGATATATACGTAAGGTCATGGCCTGTTCCTGGTCGAAAGAGTCACAAGCGGGCAATGAACGAGGCTGAGAAATCAGCTTGGTTGACTCCTTTTGGATGTATATGGTATGTAGCCTAAAACAAGCTGTAACGTATTCAAGATGCTCATTTTGTGAATGTGCTCTTTAGGAAACAGCACGGTGTTTGGGAATGGAATGAGAAACTTAAATGCCCTGTCGCTCTAAACCCTCACTACTTTTCACAACACCCTAAAACTGGTGCTAAGATTAATTTCGACAAGGATTTATATCATCCATTTTTGAATTCGTATATGACTGCTATACGAGAAGTACATCCAGGAGCAATCATTTTTGTTGAGCCTATACCATTGCACCATCCACCGACCATTGAACAGTCTGAACGAAAGGATATTGTGTATGCTCCCCATTGGTATGACTTGAATGTTATGTTTTACAAGAGCTTCAAATATATTACTGTTGATGTGCAGGGATTGTCATCGGTATGTCATGCTATTAGTTTCCTTTGTGGTTTTTTGCTGACCTTGACTTCTATGGTCTCAGGGGAAGAGGAACATCTTTCAGTCAATATACCTGGGTATGGAAGGAGCGTTCAAGAACTATTCTAGACAGCTGAAGAATGTAGTTGAAGGTGGCAAACCATATGTTGGTAACATACCAGTGTTGATTGGCGAGACTGGACTTCCACAGGATATCAATGGCGGTGAAGCCTTCCGATCTGGTGAATACAAGCACCAAATAAATGCTTTGGATTGTATATTGAGAGGACTTGATTCGAATTTGGTTAGCTACACGTTGTGGTATGGTGATTCAAAGTGACGACCATGTACCTCCAGTTTTTTTGCATGCCTGACATCACTGTGTTAAACCAGGAACTACCACGCTACCAATAATCATTCAGACGGTGATGACTGGAATGGAGAAAACTTTTCCATCTTTACGCTAGAACCTCATGCATCTTCCATCCCAATCTTCCCTACACCGTCTGATAAAGTAGGACATCCAAGTCATGCAGAGCATAAAGGTGGCAGGGCTCTCGATGCAGTTATAAGGCCATACGCATCTCGTATACCAGGTACACCTATAATGATGTCATTCAATCGCCACTCAAAGGGTTTCTACCTTGAAATCAAACCTGGTGTTGTTGAAGGGGCTAGTGTGACTGATATATTTATACCTTCATTCCAATTTTATGATGGGATACGTGTTGAGGTGTCTAGTGGTACTTGGGAGTATCGAGAAGATCTTCAAACACTATATTGGAAGACTGTCGGGGCAACAGAGACATGTTGGATTAAGGTTGAACCAGTGAAAGGAGTCAAGAGATCTAAATTATTTCAGAAATGTAGATAGATTTGCATGTGTATATAGCCCATGTTTAGAAGTGCATATATATAGTAGCACGCAAACTGGTAGCTATTGTCTATACTTGATATTGTTAATCCTTTTTATAGCAATAATATTCCGCCACATAGAACGCTTACTCGATTGTAGATGGCCGCTACTATTCTCTTACCAACTCTAACCCCACCTTGAAATTCTATAGACACGGCCTAGAGGTGGAAGAGATTTAAGTATGTCGCTGTTGATGTGCAGGGACTGTCATCGATCGGTCAGTGGCGCTCCTTTTCATCCAGTGCTTTTTCTCGCTTGCTTTGTGTTCTTTCAAGGCGAGAGGCGGCCCTGTTTAATCTGACTACCTTGGCATGGCAACCAGTATTCAAGAATGATGTTGGGTATTACAAGAATGTGGTTGAGGGCAGTAGACTTTACCTTTGTAATATACCAGTGTTGATGTACTGGACTTTCACAGGTGAGGAAGGTTCCTATCCGGTGAATTCAGGCATCGGGAAAAATCCTTCGGACAAGACCTTCAATAGTACCTTTTTTTCAGTTAGCTGTGCTTTGTAGTATGATTGGTTGAAAAGAGAGGAGTGCCTCTTATGAGACAGCTACACGCATATTCTTTTGCATGTCAACTAACACTGATTCACTAGGAATCATTCATGCTAGCAACATTCACGCAGACATTGACGATTGGAATGGCGAACTCTTTTTCACGCAAAAAGTCGGAACATGCAAGTCGTTCAGACCATATCGGATTGGATCATATGCATTTAACGTGCCAGATCGAAATGACATACAGTCACTGTGTTTTGTTTCCTCCCTCAAGTCAAACACGTTGGTGTTGAAGGGACCAGCACTGATTCATTCATAAGAACTTTTCCCCACCATAATGTGATACGTGCTGAATTGTCTGGAAACACGCTGCATTCTTGCTCAGGGCTTCAAACTATGTGTTGGTCGCCTGTTGCGGCAATGCAAGCGTCGAGTACACTTTGAACCAAGACGCAATTGAAGGGATCTGAATTGTTCAGACGATTTTGTATTTTAGTAGCATTTTATAAACTTTAATAGAATGGCTGAAGAAGCCAAAAAAATCTGGGCTGTGATATTCTATGTACGATGCGATTCTTCTTCATGCTTGTATCGACCAGTCCACGAATCTTGAATGCGTCATGAGAAGGCTCAGAAACGAAGCATGGAGTTTGGGACCTCGACCCTGTGCGTCACAGAGAAAAGTCAACCCCAATCACTCCGGGGCTGGTGCTGCTCAAATCCAACTTTTTTTGGATTTTCGTAGCCGTCACAAAGGCATATTAAACGAGTCAATTTCAAGAGAGCAATACTGTAGACAGATATCTTAGACGCGTGCATCCCGTCTGTATCTCTCCTCTCACCACCCCACATCCTCCTTAAACTCCAACATCAGATAATACCAACATCATGCCCCGTGATCGTCTTAACGAGATGAAGGTATGAGACGATACCATCCCAAAATACTCCATATATTTAACAACTGTCACTTTCATAGTCTCCCGATGACGCACAACCAGAAATGGCTGAAAAGAAACCCGAAAAGTCGCCAAAGAAATCCAAGGTTGCGAACGATGTGCCGGCTGCTGGACCCGACATTATGGCTGGATTTTTCGACGAGGTATTTCGAGCAATTCCAATTCGTGACGCGTTATTGTATGACCAGACACTAAGTTGGCTTTGTTCTTGCAAGGTGTCGGGAATCAAAGACGCCATTCAAGGAATCAAGCTGAATGTAGATTCGATCAAACAGTTGCATCAGAAGGCTTTGAATGTTATATTGGAGGAGCAGAGTGCAGGTTAGCATATACATCGCCGACTAGAGCAGTTTTTTCTTGGGTTGGTGTCGACATGCTGATATTGGACCCTTAGAAAATGGACGAGAGATGGACAAGCTGATTGCAATCACCAATAAGGCTGCCGGTGAAGTCAGAAACAGAATCAAAAGTATATAGCATCCTCACTTTCTGGTTTTTTTGGCTACCTTTATCTCACACTCCTTTCTGGGCTTTAGACATGGAGCAACAAAACAAGAAACTCGCCAAACAATACGAAGGTTCCAGTGATGTCAGTATTCGAGTCAGTCAGGTAATGCCAACGCAGTTGAAAATCGAACAGAAAATTGATCGAGTGCAAAGGACTCAAACCAGGATATATTTTTCATAGCACGCAAACCTAACAAAGAAATTCCTGGACATTATGACTGACTACAAGAACCTGCAAAAAGAGTACCAGGAAAAGTACAAGGCTCGTTTGCAACGACAGTTTTTAATTGGTATGTTTTGTTGTAAAATGAACAACCAAAAAAACACGACCATCATTATATAAAGACCATTGCCTGCCAACTCACTCACTCCTTGATACATAGTAAAACCAAACGCAACAACCGACGAAGTTGACAAGATGCTCTCTGGTGAAACTGGACCTATATTTGCTCAACAGGTACACATACCAAACACAGTTGTACCAAGCAGTGTTGACATCATAATCTCTATTTACGTCGTATTTTTCTCACCCCCTCCCATCACCCTTACCTCCAACACTAGATTCTCGAAACAGGCCAAAAAGCCCAAGCCCGCCAAGCACTAGCCGAAATCCAAGAGCGTCATCAGGATATCGTTCGTATTGAGAAGTCTATCCTCGTAAGTGCCCCACAGAAAGAACTTATACGTTGCACAAGCACAGGTCACACCCCCATTTCGTAACTAATTCTTTGGTCTCACACAGGAACTCCAACAACTATTCGCAGACATGGCCGTCCTCGTCGCTGCCCAAGGCGAGCAGATTGATCAAATCGAGATCCATGTATCGAATGCGGTTGATACGACAGAGAAGGGTGTTCAGGCGCTTCATAAGGCCGTTAAAGATCAGAAGAAGAGTAGAAGGGTGAGTTGATGTGTTTATGGATGCACTTTATTCTATTTCTGAACTTCGTCGTTTGTCTTTTAGAAAATGTGTATGATCATGGCATGTATTATAATTGTGGTGGTTGTTGTCGTGCTAGGAACGACATTGACAAAGCATTAGATTTGGACATGTCTGACGTATAGAACCTCTTTAAGTTATTTTCGCATGCAAAACGTATATAACAACACATACATAAACACATTTTTTTCATCAGTCAAAAACTAAACTAGTTGTATTTCGTGTATGTTTTACAAAAAAATCTAACTAGCCCGTGTTTTCATCATGTGAACATCATCCTTTCGTTGCAACAACTATTTACGAATTCGTAACATATAATACTTTAATATTCACATCCATGCTTTTTCTGCCTTGCTAGCCGACGAAGAAGAAGGTGTATCTTTTAGTGGCTGTTGATCTTTACTGACATCTTTCAGTGTAGCAGCAGCAATGGCAGCAGGTGGAGAAAGGTCTCTGTCTCGCCATCCTCCTCGATCTCGATCTCTAGACCCATCACGACTTGCTGGTAGTCTGCGTCGTGTATCTCGACTCCTGCTGTCTCTACTAGAGCTTCTACTCCTACTCCTTCTTCTATCTCGATCGTATCGACTGTCATCATGGTAGTCTCGCCCTCGACTTCGATCTCGTCTGTAATCATCACGGTAATCTCGATCGTAATCGTCATTATAGCGTCCACCACCACCACCACCACGACGTCTATCATCGTTTCGTCCGTCACCTCTGCGATTACTATAGTCGTATGAATCTCGTCGACGACTACTGCTACCACCAACATCACGGTCACGGTCACGATGCTTCCAGTCATCGTATTTACGGTTACTATTACGGTTACGGTCATAACTACTGTTTCTTGAAGAATCATAGTTCTTCTTGTTAGAATATCCCTTTCTATGACTATGACTACTGGACCCACTTATGCCTTCATCGTTTCTACCAATAGACCTGGCATCATCGTCATCATCCCAATGCCCACCACGATCTTTTCTGTTTCTACTGGTAGATGTTGGTGGTTCATCATCATCGATTCTATTACTAATTAGAGGCCTTGAATCTTCATCTTCATCATCAAGCCTACCACGGAGCGGCCTTGTATCCTCATCATCATCAGGCCTACGTCTAGCACTACTACTATTAACATTACCAGACCTAGATAGATCGTCGTGATCGTCATCCCACGGCCCTCTCTTCTTTGTAATAGGACGTAGATCATCATCATCTCGTCGCCCTATAGGCCTATCATACGGATGACTGATATCACGATCATCACGTTCAGATCGTGATGGTGGACGTTCTATTGGTGGATGACCATTAGTTGCTGCTGAGACTTGTGGTGCTGGTGGTGGTGTGGAGGTCATATCACTAGTACGTCCATGCACATGAGACGCTGGTGGTGGTGTTGGCGGTGGTGGGGGTATATGAGGTATTGGGTCGATATATTGGGATCTTACCGGTTCGAATGATGGTGGTGGTCTTACAGGTTCGAATGGTGCTCGCGTCGGAAACTGCGGTGTACGATCCCATGGTCCACGTGGCACTGGCATGGGCCGCATCGGTTCAGAGCCTCTAGATGGATATGGTGCATATTGTGGTGTTGTGCTATACTGCGGTGACGCCGTATATTGAGGTGAGGAAGAGTACTGCGGTGATGCAGCATATGGAGAATCAGCAGGTGAAAGTCCGTAAGACATTCTACTATCTATGGAAGAGAGGCAGAGTTTGAATCATAGGTTGCGACTACGGCACATGCCAGCCATGAGTACAAACACAAAATAGCTTCTTTTGGCGTCAAGTTAACATCACATTTTGCACTATACCTTTACTCTGTATCTTCCCTTTATCAATAGCTGATATCCACTTGTCACAAGTCTGCCTTAGATGACCTCGCTCCAACTCTGGTTCGGCTTGATATAACTCTTGCAGATACTGTAAGCAATCTATGATCAAAAGTTTCGTTGAGTAATTGGGAACTTCCCAGTGAAATACATATGTTATTGTTTTTCTTTACCCGACAGCCATGCCGTCCTACACTGAAACTCTTGCATCCAATCTCCAGTCAAGTTTAATTGAACTGGCGTTGGCAACGAATTGACATCACAAGCAACCATGAGGAGGCATAATGCAATGACATTTGGTGGATATAATATAGATATGTTTGTAAGGTAGCTAGAGAAGGTGAGTAAGTGTAAGCGGAAAAAAACGAATCTAATGATTCCAGAAAGGTTGTGTCTTTACCAGTCTTCTACCAGATCCCAAGCAGCAAGAGCTGCCTTCTTGGCACTAGTCTCATCAACGCCATACAGAGTCTTGGCAAAGCATATTACAAATGGATGTGGATGCAGCTGAATGCTATCAAAACAATAACTGATTGACTCCATGACGATTTGTTCCATTTCCATCATGCGTTTCTTTTGACCGTCAACATCCTATTATGTATGATATGGGTGAGCGATAAGACTAATATTATGGAGAGTGAGTGTCTCGTCTCTTACGGCAGCCGTTGCAGGAGTTCGTTTGAGTGGATTTTGGTTTGCAAAGTAGTGATAGGCAGCTATAGCTTCACGAGCTTTCTTTACAGTTTCTTCCATCTTGGCTGCCATATGCACACAAGTCAAGTATACATCCTATACAGCGAATGGGTTTGAGTCATAGCTCTCGCAAGAACCAGGAAGACAAACGTCCAAGTACACACGACAATCCTGTTTCCAGCCCCTCCGGTCTTGTCATAGTAGTTAGCCAGGGACTCGACAGCAAAGAAGCGATGATACAAGCGTATAGCGGTGGCAGCGGTATTCCAAGGATACCTCAGTCTAGCACATATTCTACGAATCATTGCGATGCTTGAATTCCTGCATTCTCGTTCATCAGCGACCGAGACGCTGCTCTTCCTGGCCCATAGTTTGATGTCATTTCTGCTATAATAGAATGGCCTTCTTGGGCCAGGAGCGCTGGTTTGATGTATGCTGGAAACATAATCCCAATTCTCGTCCGGTGTTTGAGGAGTAGCCATTTTAAGCAGGTCTAGAAGAGAGGTTATATGAGGCGATCAGCTGGATCAATCATCATCAATCCTTGCAGCTTGTTCCTTTGCGGCTGTTTGTAGTGCTCTTCTAAGCTTTTGTTGGTAGATACGAAGGCATTCGAAGTGCTGAAGAGTTGCCACCTTTTGAGATCTCTGACAGTGAAGACGTGCCATAGTAATATATTGATCGTTATAGGCTAGTCTCTGGTCTAGATTTGGCGTGCTTGACGCGACTTTTGGAAACCAATTTTGCTTGGTATCTTCACAATTGCAGATTGAACCTCGAAGAGGAAGCTGCTGAGCTCCAAATCAGTACGCACGTTTGATTAATACTTAATGACGCGTCCCCTGTGTATTTCCAGGTGTAGACCAAGTAAGACTCAGTTTTTACACACATTCGCACCATCTGCAACCAGAAGAATAAGGAGTTGGAGCTTTGACGATGCCGATCCTGCAGCCCGAGATGGCGAAGGACGACTCGGATGATCTCGACGACGTCGATGAGACATTCAATAAGTTTATATCAAAGCTGGAAAATCCAGACTCTGCAAGCCAGAATAGGTAAGCAGTGTTTGGAGTTTGGAGCTCATGTACAGTAGTTGGGGTTGGTGAATGCCCTGATACCTAAAGTCAAACCAATTCTTATTTAATTTAATCTGATAGCCAAGAATCCTCTGACGTAATGCATCACAGATCATCAGAGGCAGACCCCATCACACACTCGCAGAATTCGCCAACGATCTCAACCTTCCACAGATGCGATGCCATTCCAACATACCTCGTCAAGCAAATGCTGAATACCATCGCATCACCTCATCAACAAAAGACTATATTACGCTCAATACTATGGGACTTGGTCCGACAAATCACAGCTGAAGGTGTTGAACACATCCTCGACCAAATACTCTCGGGGTCCACTGACTGTGTATTGCATTTACTGGCAAATTCAACCCTACTGGCCGAGAAGATAGATCAGCTGGTGAGGGAACGACAAAGAGCCATGGCTATGATGCTATCTGGTGACGACCCTGGGCAATCAAACGCGAGAACTTCTCGGTTTGATGGCATGTCGTTGACGCCATCTGACGTGAATGAACTTATCTCCATGAAGTCGATGGAGTTGCCTCCCAATGCCGTCTTTGTTGGTGAGGGTTTGTGCTGCGCAATTCGTTGGGCACCACAAAGTTCTTTTTTGGTGCCCATCCAAACTCACTCACACCTCTTTGCTGAGCACAGTCGAAAATCCACTCACTGTGATGCATACTTTCTCCTGCAGGCAACATTCCACCGAGGATGCGTACAATCGAATGCAAAGATCAGATACGGTCTGGCTTCGTTTCTTATGGGTAATTTTCATGCCAGATACTTCCGCTGAACCCATTGCTTCATTGGCCTCTACTTCCTTCGCTCTATAGAAAACTCGACCGTAAAGTCGACATTTTCAGAATGTCCACCTGCTCAATTGCCCTCATCTCATTCCGCAACAGTAGAGGGGCAAATGCAGCCTTGGCAGGGAAAACAATCTTCGCTGATCGTGAATTGGCAGTCCAGACAAAGCCATTTGCTCGTGCCGATATTCTCAACTGGAACTCGAACCATCCTGCCGATATGGAGTCTCGACTTAAGCTTCTTGGAAAGTCTTCACCTCTATTGTCGAGAGAAGGTCGACACTACTCTCCACCACCACAGAGCGTCAGATACGACTCGCGGCCGAGATGGAATGAAACCCACCGCAAGCTGTCTGATGTATATGATGAAGAAAATGATGAGGAGGTCGTTGTCATCGACTCTGGGGAGCTACAAACCATTGTCGCTGTTGAAAAATTTACGCAAGGTATAAATGGCCGATGTTTGATTCCAGTATAATCGAAGACTCATCACCTTGGTATATGTCAGAATTCGAAGCTGACAAGGACGTTTCTACTCAGACAGATGTTTCTCGAATTGCTTTCGTTTCAAATGTATGGTGGACGAAAAGCCTCCGCGACAAAAAAACTCGTATGTCAAGGAAATAATGAACCTCTCGATGATTCTAGGAATCTCAGCCGGTCATTCAAGAAGCTCAATCTGAAATGCTGGACTCATCTATGTCTATCAAAGAACAGGGCAAACAACCATTTTCCATCAATGGAGCTTCCCAGGAAGATCTCGATGTTGTCAAGACTGAAGTAAAGGTCGAACCTATAGAAGATGATGTTGTCGAAATGGCTGCAGCTTCAAACAATAATGACCAAGTAGAAATCGAAGATGCTGACATGTCTGAAGCAGAGCCCATCAACCGACGAAAGATAAGGGGTCGAGGTGCCCTCACATCAATGTATTTGGGAGCGTTGCAATCTGAATCTCTCCACGAGAGTCAGAGGTACCGTGCAACTCCCGAACTACGTATCTATCAAGACGAGCCTGATAAATTTGATTACGGACGTCGTCCGAGACGAAGTATCAAAAGCGAGAGCACAAGGGAATGGGAACGAGAACGAGTCAAGAGAGCAAGAGAAGAATTACTCTCAAGAACTATATTCGTGGGTGAGTTTCATCCGCTCTTTGCTGTATAATTTCTATGTGTACTTTAATTAGAGGTTTGTGCTTGATTGCTCAGCCTGTTGTTGCAAATACTAGATGGATTGCCAGCACACGGCCGCCACTTGATGGACAGCTTGAGAGGTGGCGTCCAGCGGTATGATTACTGTCATTTCTCAGGTGTTAGCGATTGAACCACAGTCTCACGGTCCATTACTCCATAGGCCATGCGAGAGTGTCGAGTTGAGTACATTGAGTAATGGCCGAACGAGAGCAACCATTGTCCTCAGGTTCAGGCGGGATGCTCAATACTATATTGAAAATCCGCCACGAATAAAGGGCATACAATCTCAAACGAAGATGGCGGGTTCTACTCGAGAACGTTACGAAAGGTCGAGGTCACCTCGCCGATCAGAAAGCTACTCACCAACTCGTCACTTTGATACCGCAATCGAGTCCGCCATATACGATACGGGAGTTACTACCGTCAATGCTGTACCAAGCAACGGCGGTGGTGGTGGTCGTAGTAATCGAACTCGATTTTCCGTTTTGGAACGTAGCATTGATAGTGGCTCTGCAGGATCTTCTGCTACCGCTTCTACCGTGATGGCCAATACTTCCAACATGTATATTCCATCCCATCAACAACAACTACAACATCCACAACCCCTCACAACGTATTGGCCATCATCAACACCCACAAACATTCTACATATATCAAACATGCCAACCACAGATTATCAATTTCATATGATATATCATCCATACGAACCATTGCGTATTGATACTCGTACATCAAAGTCTCGTGGTGATCGATATGCATTCGTCACCTTTCAGACTGCTGAAGTGGTTTCCAAGATATTGGAAGCTTCACTGAGTAAGCATGTGGTTGAAGGTAGATTGATACAAATAGGATATGGTACCATCATTGCTGACTAGAAAAGGGTGCGAGAGGAGATGTGTTGCAAAATTTGTAAGGTATACAAAGGCCACATAGGGCAAGTTTAAATTTATTGCAAGATGTAAATCCATGTTCTTGTATTAGAATAGAACTCATAAATCATACTAGTAGTTTCAATGTTAGAGGTCACAGAGGCCAAATGAGCATTGAATCTGTCTTGTCAGTTGGGCATAGATTTACAAACGTAAAAGACGCGTCGCTGAGCTATTTCCTTGTAAGCCATGGTATTAATGTGAAGTGATCTATAAATCTATAAATGGTCTAAACTTTTACTTGATTCGCATTTTTCCAACCACAACGGAGAATGAAAATGAAGACTTCTGAGGAATCCGCCGTCAGAGAGACGTTGGACAACTTTATGTCAACGTTTGGAAAGCCTAAGAACCGGTTCTCTTCGAACCACATTAATTCACTCATCCAAAAATCATGTGATTACTAGGTAAGAAGAAGAAATAGTACGAAGCGAAGGACACCAGATATGCATACTCAACACTTGTATGATGGACGACACTATCGACATGCCTCTGAATTGGCTTCGACAAGACCTCTTTCAATTCTAAAACATCACCAGCGGACAATTGCAATCTTGAAACATAGATTTAACACTTTCTTTCATACATTTCCGCTAGATGAGCACTTTCACAGACAAATAAAGTCATCCATCCATCATAATCTGCAACTCTAGCTGCTGCACACCTTGGTTTTATGGTCTTGCCGTCAACATCACAAAAACACGCAATTCAGATTTCAAGCTCCAGGAGCGCCCGAACAAGTAAATGAAAGAGAGAAATACACCCTCCTAGTGTCATACTACTACTGTCTATAACCCTCCATCAATGCTGGCAAGGACCAGCTCTCGTTCATCATCAAAACATCACTGCTGCCAATTGCAATTTTGAAACTTGTAGCGTCAATTTTCATCTTAGTGATCGGATGGGACAGTTTGACTTGTTTCGTGGGATTGGGGATCGGCAGGGTCCTAAATTTAAGAAATATGTTGACGATTTACTTGACACGACTCATTCCAATGAGAGTGCTTCTCCTTAAACAATTGCTCAAATTGTATTCCTTTGCGACGATTGTTACAGTCATGTACATCGTCCGTCTGACTGAGTGTATACATCCACATGCTGCTAGTCTCATCAGATATATTATATCCTCGTTTCTCCTTACAGACTAAGCATCATTGTTTGCAGGACAACAATCAACATGAACTTTGGTCCAAGAAAAGCACAAAGCGCGATTTGCGATATGCCCCTGCGTGGCATTAGATCTCTGAGATCTTGGGCTTAGTAACGATGACAGTGAACTAGCAAAGAGCAAATCGACCCCAACGCGGTTAATGTATGCTTCCGTTTTAGCGGTGTTTTCTCCTTCGTTTTTTGCCCACTAGTCACGAACAAAGTACTACACTGAAAAAATCCAAAACTCAACTACAAAAGCAACCATGACTGCCGCAGCTGAGACCACTGTGACCTATGCCAAGGGCTCCGTAACTGTACCAACCGGTTTATTCATAAACGGCGAATTCGTACAAAGTGTTTCTGGAAAGAAGCTAGCTCTTTCAAACCCTTCTGACGGTCAAGTGAGCATATATAAAAAGTGTCTATCTAGCTTATCTCACACCAGAGTACTGATGTTTCCTACCTTTTTAGCTCCTTGCCGAGTTCTACGAAGGTAATTTTGTTTGTCATCAAATTAATGGTGTTGTTGCTTGCAACCCGAGTTTTTAAGTTGGATGGATGGAAGTGAGGCGAGCGTAGTTGGCATTGGTTGCGACCATCGTTGTGGCCTGTTACGATAGTCGATTGGCTGGTCTTCAGGCCATAAATCGATCCACCATTGTTGTCACACACAAGCTTTGAGGCCAAGAACGGAAAGGAACAATGCATTTGACCCTTCAAACTTGTCGGAATTAGTGTGAATGTCATTTTGAACCGTTAAAGTGGTCAACTATCGCTTCTAGCTCGATTTGTAATCCAACTTTTATTTGGGCAAAACCGGCTTCCGTTGTACACAACGAAACACAAAAGGGTTTTGAGATGTGGAAGAACCGACATGTAATAATCTAACCCGATGAATCGATAGGTGATGCCGCTGATGTCAACCTTGCCGTCAAGGCTGCCAAGGCTGCTTTCGTTGGATGGAGCAAAGTCCCACCAGCAGAACGAGGACGATTACTCTCCAAATTGGCTGACCTATACGACCGTGACTGTGATTTGTTGAGTGCCCTCGTTGTACTTGAAAACGGAAAGGACATCAACTCTGCCAAGGGTGAAGTCGTTGGATCCGCCAAGTTGTTGCGATACTATGCCGGTTGGTCAGACAAGTTACACGGAAAGGTCGTTGATGTTGGTAAGCCCATAAATAGATTCACTTTCGTTGATCGATGCGCTTGATTACTTATGTTATGGTTTTTTTTGTGTCTTAGATCCTTCCCTCCAAACCTACACCAGACACGAACCATTCGGTGTTGTTGGACAAATCATCCCCTGGAACGTCCCAATTGCCATGCAATCCTGGAAGTTCGGCCCAGCTTTGGCCTGTGGTAACTGTATCGTCATGAAGTTGTCTGAAAAGACCCCCATGGCTGGTCTCTACGTCGGAAAGCTCGTCAACGAAGTACGTAGAAACTCGATCTGAACTCTTGAACGCCTTCTCTCGATACAGGCGCTCATACCCAATTCTATAAATAGGCCGGTTTCCCACCAGGTGTCGTCAACTTGATCAACGGTTACGGTGCTACCGCTGGTTCCGCAATGGCTTCCCACATGGACATTTCCAAGATTGCCTTCACAGGTTCAACTGCCACTGGACGAAAAATCATGGCCATGGCTGCCGCATCCAACTTGAAGAAAGTTTCCCTCGAATTGGGAGGGTAAGATTACAGCTCACGTTCACGCGTTTTATCGAAGCAACAAAAACTCACCTTCGTCCTTGATATAGCAAATCCGCCCACATCGTCTTCAAAGACGCCAACATTGACAAGGCTGTCTTCTGGGCCTGTATCGGTATCTACGCCAACCAAGGACAAGCCTGCTCTGCTGGTTCTCGTCTATTCGTACACGCTGACATCTACGGTATACTTTGATTTGATCCAAAATTCTTGTTGCGTACAAAACTTTTCTAATACTCGTGTTTTAGACGAATTCGTTGAGAAGTTGGGCAAAGCTTCTCAAGCTTGGGCCGTCGGTGATCCATGGAACGAATCTACCCGTATCGGTGCCATCGTTGACCAAGTTCAATTCAACCGTGTCTTGGGATACATTGAAGCCGGAAAGAAGGCTGGTGCCAAGGTAGTTACCGGTGGTGGACGTCAAGGTGACAAGGTATGTGCTTATTTATCAGAAAAGGAGATCATATGATGACAACACTGACGAATATAACCTCAATATAGGGATTCTTTGTCCAACCTACCGTCTTTGCCAACGTTACCGACGACATGGTCATCGCCAAGGAAGAAATCTTTGGTCCCGTCGTCGTTGCCCTCAAATTCACTGACGAAGCCGATGTCATTGAACGTGCCAACAACACCGAATACGGTCTCGCTGCTGGTCTCCACACCACTTCAATCTCAACCGCTATGCGTGTTGCTAACGCTTTACAAGCCGGCAGTGTTTGTAAGTATAGCTCTTGTTTATATTATGATGGCAGGAGAAGAAAAAATAATCAACCGTGATACTGACAATGATTCCTCCCATAGTCATCAACGCTTACCACATCTACGCCGACTCTATGCCATTCGGAGGATACAAGCAATCCGGTATTGGACGAGAGAAGGGCAAATACGGTCTTTTGGAATACCAACAAGTCAAATCCATCTACGTTAACTTGGATTAAATGGCTTTTTGTGTACTCTTCTTGTGAATTTTTGTGACTTGCTAAATTCCTCCTAAAAAATCGAAATAAAATTGTGCTCACTTAAGCTCGTATACGCATTTTGAATGTTCAGCGCAATGTTTCAACTGATATATAAAAGCGTCATATGATGATACTTGTAGGCAAAGTTTATTATTGAATCCGTCATGTGGACAAACCAATTCAAAACGCTACATATAATGATGCTAGTAGGCAAACATTCGTCTCTACCAAGGGAGTATGCTTCCATCATAACTAAAGAACTTGCCACTATCCTCCTTCTTCAAACCATCCTGTACCTTGAGCAGAGAAGTAGCGGAATACTCAACAGTGATGGCAATGGGATTCTTTGTCTCGTCCAGACCAGGGTTCATATCAGTCATGACCAAACCAGGCTAAAACAAATAAAGGAACTGTGAGCACAGCATGGCAGCCGCCAATAAAACAACCCTGTGACAACTCACATGAATGGCAATAATAATCACATTCGGCGTAACAGCAGCCAACGTAGCCGACAACATATTCATAGCAGCCTTTGAAGCACGGTATGCTGGAGCAGCACTGTACTGGATTGTGGACGCAACAGCAGCGATACTACCCATCCCAGTAGAGATGTTCAAGACCTTGGGATCTTTACTTTTTTCCAGTAGCGGCAAGAATGCTAACGTTAAGTAGTATGCGGATAGGGAATTGGTGCTGAAGCTATCCAGGAATGCTTTTCGCGGTCTAGCACAAAAAATACAATCAGTCCCTGCTTGTATGTCCCCATACATGGAAACCAAGCAAACATACACATCAGCAAGTGGACCACCACCAATAGCAATGCCCGCATTGTTGATCAGATTATCAATACCGTTTGGATAAGCTGTGGTTACTTGTGCTGCGAATGCCTTGATGGAGACGTCACTGTCAACGTCGAGAGCAAAGATGTGGAGACGACCTGGGTATGTCTTGGCTAAATCATCTAGGTCTGTGGCTTTTGATGGTGTGCGGACGCCTGCGACGACTTGCGCCTTGTCGCTTTGGAGGAGAGTGTATTTCACGAGGCCGAATCCAATTCCCTGTGAGAACAAACGTCGTAATAGTTTAGTTAGACTACATAAAGATCAATTCAGTTTCGAATTGAATGTTCAAGGGACTGACTTACTCGGGAGGCACCAGCGATAACCGTGACTGACATTTTTGTAAGTGTTTGTTGCGCTTGTTGGGATTGACTGGAGGAAGTGTGAAGGCAAGCAAAGGACTGGCTAGCTAGTATCCCAGTTTAGTTTATTTGGGTGTTGGAACGCAGTGCAAACAACCGACCTTTTATACGTCTGAATGGTATTTCTCAGCAGGTGCCTTGTGGTTTTGAAAGGTTGGTTTTGTAATCCGTGACATGCGTAATTCCAATGTAGACATGCAAGGAAGGTCCACGAAGGAAATGATAATTACGTGCATACGAGTCCTAATATCAGTTCCAGATCTTGAGATTGATGTGCCAAATAGTGTGAAGGAAGTAAATTTATGATTGCGTAAAAGTACAGACCAAGTGTCAGTTTGCCTTTGGTTGACGCGACAATATGCCATCAATGGAATGCAAGCAATCCTAGAAATTTTAGAAATCTTGCGTGTCACGTTGGAGCACGTTCCATATCAAGCGTTGCGTATTTTCGTACTATAAGTACTGTAAGTTTTCGATGCTTCTGCTGGTGCTCCTAGTAAATGTTCTGCATCTTATTGAAAGGTCGAAGCACAGCTCACCTCTCAGCCATTATAAAAGGGCAGGGCTAACAAATCATGTTGGAAAGATGATGCTAGATTGACAATGTTTATTTTATGTTCAGATAGTCATAGACCCTATATCTTTTACCAAGGCAATATACTGCCATCGTAGCTATAGTACTTGCCACTGTCCTCCCTCTTCAAACCATCCTGTACCTTGAGCAAAGAAGTAGCTGAGGTATCTACGGTAATGGCAATTGGATGCTGGGTCAAGTCCAAGCGAGAGTTCATATCAGTGTCTACCAGACCAGGCTGAACAGGAAAAAGAAATTGTGAGTATAACATAATAACCTAAAAAGGGGGTTTAAGAAGACTTACATGAATGGCAATAATAGTCACGTTGGGCGAAACAGCAGCCAGCGTCGCCGACAACATATTCAGAGCAGCTTTTGAAGCCCGGTATGCAGGCATAGGACTATACTGGATTGTAGCAGCGACAGAAGCGATACTACCCAGCCCAGTAGAAATGTTCAAGACTTTAGCATCTTTACTCTTTTCCAAGAGAGGCAAGAATGCTACAGTCAAGTAGTATGCGGATAGTGCATTGGTGCTGAAACTATCCAGGAATGCCTTCCTTGGTCTGCGAAACAAAAAAAAGTATGAGTATCCTAAAGTTGCCAAAGCTTCCCAAGTAAATGTGGAACCAAACTTACACTTCAGCAAGCGGCTCAAACCCAATAGCAATACCGGCATTGTTGATGAGATTATCGATACCGTCTGGGAATGCTGCTGCTACTTGGGATGCGAATGTCTTGATAGAGTCGTCGCTGTCGACGTCTAGGACAAAGATGTGGAGACGGCCGGGGTATGCTTTTGCTAAATCGGCCAGGTCGGTCGCTTTTGAGGGTGTACGGACACCGGCAACGACTTGAGCCTTGTCGTTTTGTAAGAGAGTGTGTTTAACAAGGCCTAATCCGATTCCCTGAGAAAAGCAATGGGAGGAATCGTGCGTAAGCTTGTAGGCAGAACAGGAATACGAGATCAAATATTGAGAGCGTTACTTACTCGACTGGCACCAGCAATGACTGTGACGGACATTGTTTTCGAGTTTGTTGGAATTGTGGTTTACTGCTGAATGTGAAGCTAAAGCTTGTTGGCTAGGTCTTGTCTAAAATTTATTTAGGATTGTATTCTCTGATGTTGGAATGAAGTGCAAACGACGCCCTTTTTATACTGTGTCTGGCAATTTCTCAGCTCTTGTGTCGTCGGTTGACTTTGGTTTGAAATCAATGACATTCGTCATGCAGAGTAGAAGTGGACAGAATGTCAAGGAAGTAGATTAATAAATCGGTGCATCCGGTTCCTCGTATGAGATCTGGAGCTTGAAAATGACGTGCAAGACGGTGTTAAAACAAGGACTGCGTAATTGTGTAAACTGATCAAGTTTTTAGTTCGCTGGTGCTTGACGCCGGAAGATGTCTACAAATATACCGTCAACAATTATAAAACTCCTCTCTGCTTTTCACGTAAGAACACGTTCCATATCGAAGATTGCGTCTTTTCGCGTCGCTCATTGCTTACGCTTCACGATTTCCAATGAAAGTCACGGCAAAGATCGACTATTCAACCAATTCATGCAAGCTAGAGCCAGCAGACCAAACCAGATGAATTTTGCTAAGTATGCAATGTTTATTTATCATCCTGGAGTCATGGACCTATATCGTTTACAAAGGCAATATAGTTCCATCGTAACTATAGAATTTGCCACTATCCTCCTTCTTCAAACCGTCAAGCACCTTGAGCATAGAAGTAGCGGAGGTCTCTACGCTAATGGCGATGGGATTCTTTGTCAAGTCCAAGCGGGAGTTCATATCAGTGTCTACAAGACCAGGCTACGAGAAACGCGAGAGAGATTGGTGTGAGCTTATAGAGCTTTGTGACAATTGCAAACATACACAACCATTTCCAAGATCACTTACATGGATGGCAATAATCGTAACCTTTGGCGAGACGGCCGCGAGTACCGCAGACAGCATATTCATAGCAGTCTTAGACACACGGTATGCTGGAGCGGCACTGTACGCGATTGTCATCGGGAGAGCCCCGATGCTTCCCATTGCAGAGGATACATTAACCACTTTGGCATCTTTGCTCTTTTCCAGGAGAGGCAAGAGTGCTACCGTCAAGTAATATGCAGACAAGGTATTTGTGTTGAAGGTATCCAAGAATGCTTTTCTTGGTCTACAAAGGAAAATGCGTGAATATAGGCTGCAAGCACGACTGTCAAACGTCATAGGTTGAAACGTACATATCAGCAATATCCTCGAATCCAGGAAACACACCAGCATTGTTGAACAGATTATCAATGCCGTCGGGGAAGGCTGCTGTTACAGATGCTACAAATTCCTTGATGGAGTCGTCACTGTCGACATCCAGAGCAAAGATGTGGAGACGCCCAGGATATGTCTTGGCCAGAGCAGCTAGGTCTGTAGCTTTAGCCGGTGTTCGAACACCAGCTACGACTTGAGATGTGTCGTTCTGTGAGAGAGTGTATTTCGCGAGTCCGAGACCAATTCCCTATTGTTAAGTTGATGTTCCCTCAATATGTACATAATTCAACGTCAGATTCAAGACACGAGGACATACTCGAGACGCTCCAGCAATGACTGTAATCGACATTTTGTGTGTGTGAGAGTTTGTGTTTTGGTTGGGGTTTCTTGGAATTGTTCGGTTATTGAACCGATAGGTGGTATCTAAATTAGTTGCTTTTGACACTTGGAATGCACGTAGACAGGTCTCTCGTTCAGTATTACTCAGCTTTTCTTGAATGTAGGGAAATTTGAAACCCGCTCCGTGTGTAATGTGTAATCCAGCGGAGAACTGGATGGAATGAGAAAAGTGAGCCAATGAATTGGTGCATCACTGAGTCTCTATGTCAGTTCTGGGGACTGAGATCAGCTTCAGATTATGTGTCAAACGAAACTACTGCGTGTTTGCGTAAACCACAGATCAAGTTTCGAGCTTGCCGATTGCTATCGTGTTAAACGCGACCATTGGACTGAAAATAATTATAAAATTGACATCCGCTCGGCCATCTCGACGTCTTCTATATGGATCTTGTTGCATATGGGGTAGTTCACCTCTGGCTTGGACGTTTCATCATTGCGAACCTTCTTTTCCCTCAAAGGGACTCTTTGATTGTCTTTGGCATCTATTCTGCGACATTTGCATTAACGAAGCCATGCAAACGTTCAACCTGCTGAGCTTCGTTCTAGTGCTAGGCGTCTCCTTTGTTCGATGTAAGTCCATCAAATCTGTGGGGAAACTCTCTGTGGATTTGCAGCGATACTACTTACAAGACACTTCTCTACTGAAATAGCTGTGACCATAACCGGATCATCATTTACACTTGAATCTGCTGTAAACGGCTCGCAAGCTCAATTCACATTCACGGGTAACGTGATTTTCACGCAACATTTCATTTTGTGGGTTTGCTGCTGTGGTGAGGTGAACAGGTTCACTGACTATTCAAGCTCATTTATTTAGGTCAAACTAGTCAATGGATTGGTTTTGGTGTAGGCTCCAGGTACTTTGACTCTTTGCTCAACAGCGATTGCAATTCGGATATCTTTTTGGACAGCTCCTTGCGATGCACGATCTCACTCAAAAAGCTGACTCAACTCTGTCGCCTTCGATTCATGCAGTATGAGCCAAGCTGACATGATTATTGTTTGGTGCACTTCAACCACTTGTGTCGCTGGTCGAAGATACTCACAAGGAGAAATCATACCCACGTACTTTACGACACAAAACCTCGTAGTGCAATCTGAATCTGTTACTGGCCCTACGTTCAGGATCGTGGTGCAGCGACCGATGGTAAGTCTGTCATTCATCTCTTTCTGAAACTGGATTTTGACATTGTCGAACATGTGTTTTCTAGGCTGCTTTACAAACCCACGAAATGGCACTCTCTAGTGGTTCAAACTCGTACATATATGCTGTTGGTGGTTCACCTAATGTTGCCACTGCAAGCGCTACATTCAATCAACACAAGTAAGCCAAGTCGTTCATGTCACTGTCAACAACCTACTGACCGTTCCTTTCGATCAAAAACAGCCCCAACGATCAAAACTCTTTTAATGCTGATCTGTTCCCATCTGCTTCATCAACTGGCAACTCCACAGCCATAACAGTTGCTGGATCGACTGTTAACTATACATTGCTGATTCAAGCCCATGGTGGTATCATGGCTGCAGTTTGGGTGGTGATTACGCCTCTTGCTATTCTTATTGCTAGGAATTTCAAGGCACAGTTGGGCATATGGTATGGACAAAAAAAAGCTTTCTTGGGTCAACAAGTATATTGACTGTGTAACGAAACATGTCTCGACTTTTAAGGTGGTTCCGTTTACATGCCTCACTGGCTTTGATCATCATGGTGGGAACTGTCGTTGGTCTTCCAATAGCATACTATGCGCATTCTGTCACCTCAACTCCCCATTTCTCGTTTTCGTAAGTTTAATCGCAGTAAAACGAGCTGCAAGACTCCTTGACAAAATATCTCACAACGAACTTCTCAGTGATAATGGCATACACGTCGTCCTCGGACTCGCGATCATAGTCGGCGTCGTGGTACAATTTGCCTTGGGAATAGTCATCAACGCTCTTTTCAACCCACAACGAAAATCAGTCCCTCTCACTGACAAGCTCCATTGGTTTCTCGGACGCTTACTGACTCTAGCTGCAGTTGTCAATATCTGGTTTGGTCTGTCGCTATACGCGCAAAAGCAGTCACTGTCAGTTGCTCTATATGCTATATACGGCGTATGGTTGGCCATCCTGCTAGTCTTGATTATTGCTATTCAGTTTAGATACCCTGTTGTCCATCACCTTAAGGGAAAGATTGGGGATAAGATTATGGAAGGGGAGGAAGAGGAGCAGAATGTCGCAGTGGCTGCAAAGCGAAAAGTCGAGAATGAATGATGATGGTTGGCATGTTGGTTTTGTGGAGATGTTGACTTTGGGACCAATGTTCTATTACTTACTTCTTATATATGTGATATCATTTAAATCACACGGAATATATATATACCTCTCTGTCTCTTGAACCTTGAACGACCTTGCGTCTTTGTTTCGCCGTAAAAATGATACTATCTACGCCTTGGTTGTCGCGTCGCGGCCCAGACGGTCAGCAGCGAGGAGAATTTTGAATCGGATGCATCGATACATACGTAGAGAGACGCTACAACGTACATAGAGTTGCAAAACACGTCCATGGCGCGTCTTGTATCTCAAAGTTTCATAATCTTACTCAATTCTGCCAGATAAGCCTTCAGTCGACAAATCTCAACAATCACGGCCGCAGAGTAATTCAACCACCTATGTTATTGATGAGATAGTGCTCGGAAGTGTCGGAAGTCGCTGATTTTTGATTAAGAATGATTTCAAAGACGAAAATGAAGTCCTCGTACTATGTTATTATAGCACTTTTCTTGGGGATCGCTTTACTTAAAGGTACAACTTATTTTTCAGAGTTTCTGTTCGTTTGCTGTGAATGCGAGGAGCTATAAGATGCTATCAAGGCTGAAAACTCACTCGGAAATGAATGCCATTATTCCTCTCATCACACTTTTCTAGTCAATGACACAACATTTTTTAAACTAGTTGCAAGGGCTCAAGTCGTCATAAAAGCCGACCCAATGAGCATGAGCATATTCAAAGTAAACGCAACTCATGCGACCGTAACTCTAACGGGCCCAACCAACATCTGGTTGAGCATCGGCGTTGGGGCAACCAGTAAGCCATTGTTGTAGCTCTTCCGGATGAACTTCTTCTTCAAGCAACAGTCTAATTTAAATCCTTATCCATTTCAATCCAGTGTCCAACGCAGACTGTGTGGTAGCATGGGCCAACGGCGACAACAGTGTGACCGTCTCAAGACGCTTCTCATCTGGCCTTGCAGTGCCAATGAACTATCCAACACAAAACTTGCAGCTCGTCAACAAGACTGTGGCTGGAACGACATTTACTGTCGTTGTGGCACGTCCTATTGCTGCGATGGGCGCTAATGAGGTTGCTCTTGCATATGGAAACCAGGCGTATATATATGCGTTTGGGAGTGATAAGCCGACGAGTAATATGGCGAATGCTGCCTTTGGTATTCATACGTACGTATTTATTATTTATTCCATCTCAGTTTTTTTGTTGCGTTGTTTGGAATGCTATCATTGACGGACTTCTAACACTTATTTTTGCGAAGGCCAACTGCCAGGAAGGAATTCATGGCCAACTTTCTTGATGCAGTAGCTGCCCCTGCTGGTGGTAACGGAACTAGTGCTGCAGCATCCGTTACATTGGGTGGTCCATCACCATTATACCAGCCTTTAGTCCAATACCATGGTATACTACTGTTCTTTGCTTGGTGCGTTGCTGCTCCCGTAGGAGTTACCATAGCAAGGAATATGAAGAAAGAGCTTGGTGTATGGTGGTTTAGGTACGCTAAGAGTGGTTAATTGTAGATGGTGTGATTGTTGAACTCACTTTCTGACTTTTCTGTTTAGGTTCCATGCTCTTATTGGAACGACAGTCTTTCTCTCTCAAATGGTGGGAACGTATATGGCCTACTATGCACATAATTTGGTTTCGACGCTACCTCATTTCAGTTATGCGTAAGTGTGTTTTCGAAACCTCAATCAGATTTATAATTCGTCGTTGAAACTATGTTCTCTCCGAGTGTGGACCAAACCATCACAAAGACCCGTCGTATTCTCACCACTCAATCACTTTATAGCAACACTGGCGTACACGGCCCACTAGGCCTAATAATCACCCTCGCAACACCCACCCAGTTTTTCCTCGGTATCTTCATTGACCGTATGTGGTCTCCAGGTCGTCAGGGCATCCCCTGGTACGATAAGACACATTGGTGGATCGGCCGTATTATCTCCTTTGTGGGGATTGCCGTCACAGAAGCGGGTGTCAACTTGTATAATAAGAGCAACCCCATTGATTTTGGATGGATTATCTTGGTTTATGGATGGGTTGTTATTATTACGATACATGTAAGGAAGCGCAGAATTTACATGATTTTGTAGTTTGAGGTCGTTGGTGAACATTTTTTTTGTTTACGCCCAACAGCAGGTGTTTGCGGAATTGATATACCCTCCTATTCATCATACTGGTACGCACCAACCTATATTGATTAAACCTTCACAAGTTGTACATTGCATTGCTACGTCCTCACGCTCACTCCTATCTCAAATAGCCGAAAACAATGACCTGTTTGAAAGGGAGGATGCAAAGAGTCACGCGTAAGTACTCAAACACGAGTCAGAGAGCACGACTCAAAAAAATCAGGTTTATTGTAAATACTGTGTGGTTTTCCTCTCTTGTCAGTTGAGACGGCAAAGAAATTGTAAATGGTCGCTTACTGCTCTGTTTTGTGATGAGGTATTATTCACTTACTCACGTAATACATATACCTCCCTAACTGAATCTTGTTGTTGTCCGTTTCGACGGCGAACCGAAAAACGAGAGGTTTCAGATCGAGTATGCCCTACACGCGAAGGACGGTTCTATCACGTACGTAACAGTATCAACACGTAAAAAAAGCGCTGCAAGTTCTCAAATTTGATGTTACTCATCCTCTCTCTTTCCTGGCACACATGAGAACCATCACGCCGCAAAAACCAAACCCACTGTAGTTTTGAGTGACGAGAAGCTTTGACCTACTAAAACTTACTCTTAGGAGCAATCAGAATGTTTCCGAGCTCTAGAATGAAGAGCTCCTACTATGCCATCTTGGGATTTTTCCTGGCCATCTCATTTAGCTGGATTAGAGGTACAAATCAAGTTTTGAATGATTCTGTTGAACAAGGCAAAGGAAAGACGTATCGAAATCATGTCTAAAATATGTTGCAAAGATGATATATCACTCCATTCTGCGCCTTTCCCTACATCTGCATCTCCGTTCCACATTGCCTTCTCAAAACCATTACCAACTAACCCCACCAAATCCCATAGTAACAAATGCCCAAGCAGTTGTAATAAAAGCCGATCCAATGACCATGTCCATCTTCAAAGTAAACACCACCCACGCAACCGTGACCCTCTCAGGCCCAACAAACATCTGGCTGTCCATTGGTGTCGGTGCAACAATGTCCAATGCAGACTGTGTGGTTGCATGGGCAAATGCAGATAATACCGTGACAGTATCACGTCGCTTCAGTTCGGGGTTGACGGTGCCCATGAACTATCCAACGCAGAATTTGCAGATTCTGAATCAAACTGTTACGGGTGCTACGTTTACGGTTGTTGTGGCTCGACCTATTGCGGCTGTGGTTGCTAATGAGGTAGCGCTGGCGCCGGGTAATCAGGCTTATATATATGCGTTTGGGACGGATAAGCCGACTAGCAACAAGGCGGATTCTACTTTTGGGATTCATACGTATATCTGCTTTGTGCTTTTTGCCTTTTTTGACATTTATTTCCTTTGTGATTATACTGACATCTTGTGGTTTTACATAGCCCAACAGGCCGAAAAGAATTCATGGCCAACTTCATGGACGCCGTCGCAGCACCCGCTGGTGGCAACGGCACCGCTGCAGCCGCTGCACCAGTCACACTTGGTGGTCCATCCCCGCTCTACCAACCGCTCATCCAGTACCACGGCATCTTGCTCTTTTTCGCATGGTGTGTCGCTGCTCCAGTAGGAGTCACTATCGCGAGGTATGTAGTTGGTTGGCTACTTTTTATGGTGGCAGTTGGACTGATACTCTATTGCAAGGAACATGAAAAAAGAGCTGGGAGTATGGTGGTTTAGGTACTTGCCTTGCGAAAAAAAAATCATATCTTCATTATCTAGTATTGAAACATTCTGCTTTGTAGGTTCCACGCCATGTTGGGAACCACAATCTTCATCTCCCAAGTGGTGGGTGTGTATCTGGCGTACTATGCACACAATCTGGTTTCTACCCTACCACATTTCAGTTATGCGTGAGTATTCATTCTCATTTTGCAAAAACGACACGGTATATCTCAAATCTATCTTTCCTCCCTTATAGAAACACCGGCTTCCACGGCCCAATAGGCGGGCTCATCACCATCCTAACACCAGCTCAGTTCTTTCTCGGCATCTTCATCGACCGCATGTGGTCTCCAGGTCGACATGGGATTCCATGGTACGACAAGGCACATTGGTGGGTTGGTCGTATTGCTACTTTTACTGGTATTGGAGGTAAGAGTTCGTGCTTTCCTCGTTCTTCTTGTTCAATATACGTTTGTTTGGTGGGTGGGTGGGAGAAGGGGCTGGGCTGACGCATTCACTTACTAGTCACCGAAGCCGGCCTCGTATTATACCAGAAGAGCAACACGGTAGATCCTGGGTGGACAGTATTACTTTATGGATGGATTCTAATTGTCACTGTTCTTGTAAGAGATTTACATTGTTGTTCACCGTTGCAGAGCATTTTTCCTCTAACGGGTATTGCTTTGGCAATTTGTAGCAAGTGTTTGCCGAGTTGATCTACCCGCCGATTCATCATACTGGTACGAGTATCAGATTGCTTTGGCTATCGGGGTTTTCTTTGCCAATTGCTAACAGCCCTTGTCTCATATAGCTGAAAACCATGACCTGTTTGAAAAGGGTGATAAAGACCACTCCTAAGTCTTGATCGCGTTGTTAATATCAATCAAGTCCTGTGTTCTCCTTGGTGGTTTCCTGTTGTTTCTTAATGTGAAGAAGATAAACTGATTCGATCTGATTTCAAGTCATGTTTTCAGACATTCACGGGAAAATAAACATATTCTCTTTGTTTCCTATTCATCGTGATATGTATTTGAGGATTTTCACTTTATTAAACATCTCTTTTTCGTTTATATATTTACACCTCATTTTCTATTCAACAAAACCTGCCTACTTCACTTGAACTTGATAACCATCCTAACAGAAGTCCTTGCCAGTGATGGATCAGTAATAGCAAGTTCATCCCCATCATGCAACAAATCCTTCATCTTCTTCTCCAAGTTGGGTCGAAGCATTTCTTCAAGAGGTGGCGGACCACGAATATACAATGATTTGGTTCCAAGAGTTGCAGATGGTGCTTTCAATCGTCTAAGAAAAGATAGGCAAAAAGTAAAGAAAAATCCAAGAAAGAATGCCTTCGATTTTCAAATCCCACAACTTACAAGTCCTCAATCTCAATCAAGGATTCAAAGAATTCCGACAAGGTGCTTTCTGGATTGACATCCATCTTTCGTAGTTCTGAGCCACATACAGGACAGTCTGGCTTACGTTCTAATGCAAACGTGTTTGTGTATAAACCGGCATCAGCATTGTACATGATGTAGTTGTCAAGATGAGAAGCACAATTCGATACGAGTTTGAAGGCTTCGTTTGCACAAGCAGCTACGGATTTAGAGAAGTATGTTAACACGAGGAAAACAATTGCGACAAAAAAAGCACAACAAGAACAGACTACAGTGAAACTCAGCTCAAGATGACGATGCTGTTTCGAAATCTTCAAAGTAACACTAACTCACCAGCAACAAGAGCGTTTGTAGAAGCAATCGCGGGTATGATGTTTTTCACTACACCCTGCGTCAAGGAATACGTGACACCTTGAATGTTGAACTCTTTGGCTCGAGTTTGTGCCTTTTCCAACAACCATCGAATATGATCTGGATCATCACCATCCACTTTTTGTTCTAATATGAATGTGACAAGGGTGTGAGGTTGTAAAAGTAGGTTTCGAAGCGGAACCAAAACAAATCTGCAACTACAGACGTCTCATGGTTTAGGTCGTGCCAACACCAATCTCATAAGCATACATGTTGATAAACCAGCAAGATCACATCCGCATACCTGGAAAGTGCTTTGGCCACTCCAACACCGAAGCCCACTCAATGCAATGTTCAGGCATACGTGGCGTGTTTGCAATAGTACATATCGGAAAGGTAACAGGTTTGGTCTGTAAATCCAACGAGCATTCAAAGCACGCAGTCTTTCCAGGCAAGATGACACGAGCCTGACCTCGAACACCTTCCGTGCCGCCATCTACTATAGGTTTGAAGCTGACTGGATCTTCTGGGTCGTACATTCCAACAATCATCGAGTTGATCCAGCGACGTGCGTCTACAGAGTCGAGCCCACATATTACAATCTGGAATTGAGAGTAATAGGCTTCGTCCTTGTCTTGGATCTTTCCAAAGTATCTGGATATGGGGAGGGCGTGATGAGTGTTTGCGAGAGCAAAAACAGGGCAGATACTGGGTACTCACGGCGTGATATGGACACCAGGTACTCGTTTCATGACAAAGTTGGCAGCAACTGTGGCTTTAGGGCTGCCAACGTCCTTCATGCTAATGTAATTGAAGAAGAACAGGTCAGCTCTTGCGCTTGTAAACCAACCGCGTCTGTTGAGCACTTAGTACCCGTACCGAAACAAGAATTGTCGATTGAGATTGGATACATCGATCGTGTCCTAATATAATAAACTGTAAGCTTCAAGGATCATAACCGCTGTTTGTCTAAAATTCACAAGCTCCATACCATATCGATGACATGAATGTTTCGAAAACCCATCAAAGCGAGATCCTTGAGTAATTCACATCCCAATCCACCCGCTCCTATAACCAGAACTTTGACATAATTCCTCATGGCATCTTTGAGCTGAGCGCGGTCGATGTGAGAAGACAATGACGACAGGTAACAGCATAAATCCATTGAATGCTTCAAATTCAAGGCCTACATCATCTCCAGGTACGAATTCAGCAGTAGAATAAGGACCAACACGATCTAGCGAGTAGTCAATGTGCTGCCATCGTGAATCCCAGTCGTCGTAGGAAGGTAGAGTGTCCTCCATCTCCTCGTCGCTCTCATTATCGGCCATTGTATCGTTGAGCTCTCTCTTTCTATGCTTCTATGTGGTATTCGATGAGCTCCGATGTCAAATGAAGCTTGGATTATTATGATATGGAGAGGCTTTACGGGATTTTCAAGTACCAAGCACGGTCAAAGAAGGTCATGTTACATTCGATAATATTACTTGACGCGTGGGAACTGCCTAGCTCACTCCACCCCGTCGTATCCATCAAGCTCTGGATATAATCAGACTTGAAATCAGACATTCAAGAATCGTGTCGATCTGCTCAAGATCCCAAGATTTAATACAACTCTGAAGGCATTACGATATAAGAATATCATCCACCTATATGTTTCGCACGTGACGATGTCAGATTTAGTCACTCTCGAAACATGATCTCGGACAAAGTCGCATACATTCGCCAATCACCAAATCGCAACATAGAACCTGCATACAAGAACCAACGTATTATTGATTTTTTAATCAGGCAAGATCATGACCAAGCTATCACTCTCCTTCTGGCCTCTGAAACTGAAAAGGAATGGATCAAAGCTCGCAAGCAAGGCCGCAACACCTGTACCTGTTGCTATCCTTCCAACACCGTCACCAGCAGATTCATCAAATGTAGCCGAGAAATCTGCCTCAATTCAACCAATAACAGCGCTTGAAACCTTGTTACCAGCCTCATTGCCACCACAGCAATCAACATCACAGCAGCCTGCACCAACTTCCGCCACCACACCCAACACGATCGAACCGCGTGTATCAGTTAGTAAATCTGCAGCTAATATAGCCCGGAATCCAGCTCGAGGTGGTACATTTAGAAGAAAGTTTCGAAGTGGCAAGAAGCAGTTGGTGTCGATCATTCGTGAGAGATCTAGCCTAGATCCATATATGGTCGCTGTCTCAACCGTGCTTGTATGCTTGGAAGAAGATGCACGAGGAGTTGTGGGGTCTGTGCATCCCACTCTGCTGTCGGTGTTTGCCGTGGTGTCGTTGATTTATGATGATGAGCTGGATCATCCTGGAAATAGCGTTAGACGGGCTTTGCTTGGTCGTATGGCAGGTAAGCCTTTCGAACATGTTGCCGTAGTTAAGGACTGTGACTTCTTCTTCTTAGTGACGTATTTTGTGTTGGTGGTTTTAGCTTGACGCAACCCTTTTGTGTTTTACGCCGTACCAGAGCATTAAAATAACTGTAACCCATCTCTAGATGCCGCTTCAGCTTTACGGCCACTCCGAGAAGTCCGATATATTCAACGTATAGAAGACAACCTGAACTCGATTATGGAGACAATGTATGGAGCGGCCGTCTACCTCGAGTACTCTTGTAAAGGGGACTCAGCCACAAATGGTATATATTAGAGCTTGATTTCACCCTTGATCAAATTACATTGATGACATTTTGGAAACTTTTTAGCCGATATATTCCATAACCACATGAGATCCTTGCAACGAGTCAAGGAAGAATTCAGCTCTAGTATACTTCAGCATACACCGACACCTCCCCGGCTCCATGATAGTAGGATATCGCAGATGCTCGATATGATGGAAGACCCCTTCCAACAAGCAATAGCTAGTCAGACAGTTTCAGAAATCGAAGCTAGAGCCGCCGAAGCTCGCTTCTCATCTCGCTTGAGCGGTCACCTATCTGCACTCCGTCAAAACATGGAGGGAATATTTAGGAAACCCTACGAACGCATCCAGGATCCAGCATTTGCCACAATGTGGAGAGAAGAAAACTGGAGCGGTAGTGTCAATGCTCTCGTCCTGTTAGAAGCCATATACGAACGCAGAGGTGATTTCTTAAACCCTATCGAGCTCGAGAACTTATACTCTCAGTATTTAAAACCGCCATATTCGTCCTTCTTGGTTGAATATTTGGACACAGATGGGAATGCATCTGTTAGCATTGACGAGTTGAATTCGTTTGTGGCTAGTGTTCCGTCGTGCTTTACGATGGGAGAACAATTGGTGTATTTATCTGCAAGTAGTAGCGCTCATCTAGCACATTTAATCACTCAGTTGCAGCTAACGAGCTCTGCCATGAATGCAGTCGCAGAGAAGCTGCTGACTGCACCGAATGGCGTACATCCCACCGTATCGAGACGGTATGCGAGATGGTTGAATGAATGCTCGTAAGTAGTTACATCATGTTGATGGTTGCTCGCATCTGCTGCACCTTTCTGCATGAGACACGGTCTCGTTTTGGTATTTTTGCCAACATCTTCACCTCTTTAGATTCCTTCTCTCAAACCTCAAAAAGCCATGGCCATCCTGGTCATCCAAACCCCTAGACTCACCCACAGACCGTCTCGCCGAACGTCTCGAAGCCCACATCGAAAACGACGTGCAAGAACAACTAGAATCCACATCATCCAAGCTAGTGATCGCTGTCGCACGCCGTCATCCAGCACTAGGATCATGGCGCGGCGTACCCCTCACAGACGAAGAACTGCCCTCGCCAAACCAACCCCCCGAAACCACGATAGAAGAATCTGAGACGTTACGGTTTGACCCAATACGGGTTTTCATACAGCTTAGAGGGACGTTGGATTTGCATGTGCTTGCGCTTGAGTCGCATATCGCGTGGACGATTGAGCAGGGAATGCCGATTGTGGCTGGTGATGAGTCGTGTGGGCTGCTGACGAATACGGGGTTTGAGGCCATGCAGGTGGCCGAGTCGCGAGCAATGGAGGTACTGCTGAATGCGTTTGTGAATACACGGCATTGGGCGCAAATGGGGAGGGTTGATCCGAGGCTGCATTTTCAGTACAAGTTTGGTGGGATTTTCGCAAAGTAAGAACATTGATGTTTTGTCCGTTCCGTTTTTTGTTGGTATCGGAGGAATCTGACTATGGACATTTTGTAGATGGTATGAGCTGAGTCTGCAGCCAGAGCACAAGCATAGGTTTGCTTATAAGAGGTACGATGATGTGCTGGTGGGTGAGTTCGATGGTTGTTTGACTCCTGAGGTACGGTGAAGACAAGTTGGCCATTGAAGGCTCCACATTCACGGTTTTTTCTGCTCCTCAAATACTCAACATACTCACAAGTCTTTTGACGTAGATGGAAGCCGTCCATGAAATCAAACGAATACTGGATACCATGCAAAAGCAGCTACAGGCTTTGCAAAAGAATGTTATTAAGAAATAGGGTTTCGTTTGTGGTCCTGCACTTGTTTTATTTTTCCGTATCAAACTGTCAAGACCCCCTTTTTGAAACGATTCAAATTGTTGATATTAAGCATAAAATATATATAACTGGACATTCTTACTTTTGTGATGTTGTAAGTTCGTATCAGTTGCGTTTGACAATACTTTGGCCCCAAACCATAGAAAAATCGGGAGATGAATTCGCAACCGATATACTAGTACCAACCACCGTTGTACTTGAAACGATAACAAAACGAATACTACTACGACGACCCATCCACCATCCTCTTCCTCACCCCATCACCATCTCCACCACCCATAGCCAATCCACTCGACGCCGACACTCCCATCCCAGCACCTCCCATTCTCGACGCAATAGCCCGCCGGACAGGATTCACTCCCAAAACACTACTAATGGTCTGCCACACACTGTTTATCGTGTTTGAGAGCCAGCCTGTGATTACTGAATACCAAGGGGTTGTGTTGTTGTTGGTAGTGCTACTGGATTGAGGTCGAGTGCCACCACTGGACGATGAGGTGAGGACAGTGACGATTAGTGTTGAGGAAGGGATGAGGTCTAGGTCTATGGAGGAGAGGTGTTGCTTAGTGGGGAACAGGCAAACAAGGAACATATAATATAAGGATACCTTTGAGGCCCTTCGACTCCTCGCTACTCGTGAATTTCTTCCTTGGAAGCAATTGCGTAAACTCTACATTCGTCCAATTCTCTGATTCTTTGGCCTATAAAGTCTACAAGTCAGACACTGGCACCAAAAGAAAACCGAATAATGATCGCATCCGTACCTGCAACAACCACTCTTTGCAATTCAACAATGTATCATCAACCGAAAATCGTTCACGTAACGTCAATCCGTTCGGCAATCTGAATGCAATGGAGGCATGAGTTGGTGCAGGTTTTGGTGATTCTGGTTTCTGTGCTGCTGGAGATGTTTTGGGTTTTGTGGGAGTGTTTGAGGAAATTATTAGAGATGATTTTGGGGGTTGTGGCGGTGATTGTGATGGTGATGTTGTTGAAAATGGAGATTGAGGGGGAGTTTGCTGTCCTAGTTTTCGAATGTTTATTTTGACTGGACGTATTGTCGTGTCGGTTTCAGACGGTGTGCTAGTTGATGGTGATGATGACAATGGTGGTGACTGTGATGCCCATGCTGCTGTTGGCGGAGGTCGTGAAGTTGAAGTTGGTTGTGTAGCTGGCTGAGAAGATGAAGCTGAAGCTGGTTGTGTAGCTGGCTGAGAAGATGAAGACGACGCACTGCCACCACCAGCGGTACCACTGGCATTATTACTAGATCCACCACCTATATGTTTGTTCAGCCGTTCCACGACTGATGCTGGCGATAAGCTCTCCTCATCAAAGACAATATCGACAGCGACTCCCTGTTTGACGATATAAACAGACGGCGTCTTGAATAGCGGGTATATAGAGCTAAATTGCTGTTGCTGTTGCCCAGCAGCAAGTTTTATAGCGACCGAGCTGGATTTGATGAGTTGAGCGACCTGTCGAGCAAATGTGATGGGTTTTTGACGTTTAAGACGATAAACAAGGGGGCTATAGCTTACAGAATCAGATTCCAGTATACGTAATAGTCGTTCGTTTGCTTCCGACTCATCTAAGAGGGTGAACAGTCATTATGAGGCTCAACTGTTGGGTGATCTTTTAAAATACCATTGAAGTGCTGTACTTGCCAGTTATAAAGACGATAAAGAGTTTCGCGTCGCTTTGGGCAGATCTTATAGCTGCTTCTATTGGGCCCGTAAACCACATGGTTGTCCGTCTTTCTCTCAACGTCGTCGTTGATGTTGTTTTGCGAATTGTGAGTATGTTTGGACGCGAATGACAATTACATCTTGATAGGTAAACACGGGAGAATCAGTTATCTATACACTATAATATTTTTCGTGGCTCTTGACGCGAGAATTATCTGCACAGCCTTCGACACCAGACCGACAACTTTAAACCCAACAAACTCCAAACATCAAATCATGTCTACTACAGGCTCTCCCCAACCGTACGCAACGAGAACGCAATCTAATCTGGTTGCTCGAGGAACCTTCCGTGAGAGTGTTCCAAATGCAAGGAGGCCATCAGTCGCGCTAGTTGGAGGTACCATCAACGTCAACTTGCTCTGTTTCCAACCCTGAAATGATGGACGATAACAGATCAACATTTGACACGTTAGAAAACCATCCTCTACTTGCTCCAAATGGCATGATCGGATCCATTGCTGTAGAACCAACATGGACAGAGTCTCTCAAGCAGGCCATTCTTGGATCTGGATTGAATGTCTTGTTGGTACGCATGCGTCTAGTAACAACGATAGGGCCGAGGGAATTGTTTCTTGGATTCGTACCTGTAGACAAGTCACAATTACGCTGCAACGATCTATTCAATGTTTCAAGCATCCCAGTTTGCCCCAGGGGACCATCAGTTCGGACCAAATCTATCACACTAACGTCAAACTTTTCAAAGATCTGCATTCCACTGGGAGTCCTCTCTGCAAAGCTCGAATGGCCTGAATACGCTACATTCTTCTTGAACTTTTTCGCAATCATTCCGCTAGCTGGTTTGCTTGGATTCTGTACTGAAGAGGTTGCGTTGAGAGCTGGACAGGTAAGATCCCCATATTTGAACGTCAATCTAGATAAATCGCTCACGGTACTTATGCTATCTAGACGATCGGCGGGCTGATCAATGCCACCTTGGGAAACGCTGTTGAATTGGTAAGGATTGTCGACAACAACACGACATGACATACGACTCATTAAACCCTTTCTCACCACCTACTACAAGATTGTGGGAATTTTTGCTCTAAGAGAGGGACTAATCAATGTAGTTCAGGCGTCACTGCTTGGAAGTATTCTGTCAAACCTTTTGCTGGTTACTGGATTCTGCTTCTTCTTTGGAGGCTTGAAATATCACACACAGTCGTTCAATACGACTGCCGCTCAAACATCGGCGAGTCTAATGGCGCTGACTGTGTTTGCGTGAGTGTGCTTTGCGGCACGAAACAAACAAAGAAGAAGTTTATTACTGACCATTTTGTGTACACAATTAGATATCTCATTCCTGCAGCATACGTTATGCAGGCTTCGTCTGAGGATCCAGATACTCTCAAGCATGTCGAGAGTCTGAGTCGAGCAACAGCCGTAAGGTTTTGGTTTTGCATGGATTTCAAACATTGGTTGATTAGCTATTCCTAGATCATACTACTGATCATATACGTCTGTTTCCTCGTCTTCCAACTCCATACACATACCGTGAGTGAATTCTTCCAAACACCCCACGTTCAATCAATCCTCACTGCCGCCTGGCTTTTATCCTAGGCCATATTCAACGACACTACCCAACACCACGACACCGCCAACGATGCAGACGACGACGAAGAAGAATCCCCAACCCTAAACTTTAAATTCGCGATTGTACTCTTACTAATCGTAACAATCTTGATATCAGTCTGTGCCGACCTCCTTGTCGGCTCAATCGAGGGTCTGACATCCAAACTAGGTCTCACGCAATCATTTGTTGGAATCGTGTTGCTGCCGATAGTGGGTAACGCTGCAGAGCATTATACGGCCGTGCTTTGTGCTATTAAGAATAAGATGAATTTGGCTATTTCGGTTGCTGTCGGGTCGTCTATGCAGGTGAATGTAGCGTTGAATTTGTATTAGCATTTGAGTGGTGACTGACGTATTGAAAAACAGATTGCGTTGATGGTGACTCCCTTCTTGGTATTGCTTGGGTGGGTGCTTGATCAGCCATTGACGCTTGCATTCCCGCCGTTCTCGAGTGTTACGATATTTGTTGCTGTGTTTGTGGTTAACAGTCTGATACAAGATGGAGAGGTATGTAACGTGAATACAACCGCTTTGTGGCAACTTTGCTAACTCCTTGTTTCGCTTTCTAGTCGAATTGGATTGAAGGCAGCATGCTGCTAGCCGCATATTGCATCTTGGCTGTAGCCTTCTTTTACATTGCATAGATTCTTCTATTTCGTTTGTTGGCATATGGACTCTTGTTGATAAAGCAATATTTCTGTTATTAAACAACGCCAGGTTGTAAACGTTTGTAGTCGACTTGTTTGGACCCATTTGGCTTTCTTCTCGCTAACAACGTTGGATACACAATAAATATTGATTCACGAGGCCAGCAAAAGTGGTATTTAAGTGGTATTCTAGTTTTTACAAGTTCTCTTCTCTCTCCCCAATGATACAGTCTCCCAAGCACCAAGCACCCCCTCAGATAAAGTAATGCGCCAGGCGCTTCCTCACATCATCAGTCCCCACAAACAGTTTATCTGCCATCAAAACAGTTAGCCTAAACTCGTGTGCATACCAACCCACAAACACAAACTCACTAAGCGGAAACGCTCCAAACGTATCAGACATCAGATTCGTGCCCATAGCCCACCTGTCCAACCAAAAAATCAGCATCACCGTAAACACGCAAACAATCCACAGTCGTCCACTCACCCATCATCAAACACCTGACTAATCACAACTAAATCCCCCACACCCAGCTGCACCTCATCGCTCTCTTTCGGCCGATACGGGTACGCGACCATGAACGGCTCCTCGTGGTTTGGGAACGAGTGCCGTGACGATGAGGGCGTTACAGTCGCAGACCGCGACGTGTTGCGGTGTTCAAGCGACGGTGTTATCGCTCCCTCGGTTATCATGCTGCTATTGCTAGGCTGCTGTCCAGTTTCCTCGAGCAGGCGATCGGATGGGAGTGGGAGTGTGCGTGAGTTCGTGCCTGTGACGCGGGGAAGGCTACTGGTACCGTGGATGGCGACAGGGCGGGTTTTACTCATCATGAAGGGGCGTGAGATGCGTTTGTATATCGACCAGCGGTCATCTGATACGTCCATGTTTGGTTGAATGGGTTTTTGTTTTCGGCCGCTGATGTGGTGTTCCTCCATGTCATCGTCGTCGTCGTGTTTGATGCCGTTGAATTGGACGGCGGCGGGCTCGTAGTCTCCGTAGATGAATCCGGGACCTGTGTTCGGGTGTGGGCATTGTGAATGTCGTGACAACAATGCAATAGGCTGTGTGGTGGACTAGCTTTTCGACTGCTAACGTTTCGAAGATATGGCATACCAGAAATAGATATTGGCTCCTTTGACTGGTGGTGGTTGCGATAGGCGGATATGGCAAGGAAGCCGATGAAGCCTACAAAGACAAAACATCCAATTACAACTCCTGCTAACGACCCAGCAGATAATCCTGTACAAGAAGGAAAGCGACGCGTCAGTTTCGATGCAGAAAAGTTGATATTTGTAGCCATACCTGGATCCTTGATAACAACAGGAGGATCTGCCAAACTCCCACCGACATACGATAAGACGGTCACGGAGAGGAGGACGAATCGAAGACGTTCAAGCATGGTATGGCACACGACAACATATGCTGGACGTGGCCTCCAAATCCCAGGAATGTAAGTGCTAAACTGGTTGAGATTCACACCTCCGACGCACTAGCACGAAATCTACAAAAAAATACACAGCTTTCGTACTACGCACCCGTTTGAACGGTGAACTTGGTTTTGGCGTGACTTCTTTGTAATAATTAATTATGCTTGATCGTTTACAAGTGGCTAGTATTGTTATTATTTACATTCTCCTCCTCCTGCTCCTCCTCCTTCTTTTTGGTGATTGCTGATACAAGTTCCCGCAATACCCCTGTGACTTGTTCCACATTCCGTCGTTCAAGTGCAGAGCACTCAACCACAGTACATCCCGCTCGACTCCTCAGCTCCTCCATATTACTCTGCGCGGCATCAAGATCCGCCTTATTGGCAATCACAACACTGGGCTTATCGGTCAATCCAGATCTATACGCCTCGAGTTCAAACCGCAGCGTAGCCAAATCATCCCAAGGTGCATTCCCAGAAGCATCGATAACATAGACGAGTACCCGTGCTCGTTCAATGTGTCGTAAAAAGTTGTGGCCTAGCCCTTTGTTGAGATGAGCACCTGCGATTAGTCCGGGTATGTCTGCTACGGTGAGAGACCACGAGTCTGGCCACTGCACCGTTCCGATGTATGGGTTTAGGGTGGTGAATGGGTATGCAGCGATTTTCGGGTGGGCGTTGGATATAGCGGCTAGAAGACTGGATTTTCCTGCGTTAGGTATCCCTACTAGTCCACAGTCTGCTATAGTCTTCAGTTCTAGTTCTATAAACGTTTCGTAACCGTCTTCTCCTCGCCCTGCCATTCCAGGCCCTCGCATCTCTGCCGATACAAATGTCGGGTTTCCTGCTCCTCCACGACCACCTCGAGCTAGTACATGTCGTTCACCGTCCACCATTAAATCCAATTCAATTTTCGGTGGCGGCGGCATCCATTGCGGAGCCCGTTCCAATATATACTTCAATCGATCAGGGCGTGGGAAGTAATCATGACGGAATTTATACAATTGTCGAGCTAGCTGTACTTGCGGCGTCATCTCGTACTCTGCTTCACTGAGTTCATCCAATCCATCTACAGATATACTAGCACTGCGTCTTCTATACTCGTTCGTATACTCGGCCGGCGATGATGGATTCAAGATACTCTTGACATCGACTTTCTTACTGGATGGACTGGTATACCATTCAGGAGGATCAATCTCTTTTACTGTTGTGCCTATTGGTACGACTAGTCCTATATCAGCACCAGCAGACCCATGTCTTCCACTTCCTCGTCCTGCTTCGCCATTGTTGCCAACATATGTGGTCTGAATGCCGTGCAGAGATGTGAGTTCTTTGGAAGCTGATACGTGTATGTTGCCGCCGTTGCCTCCGGAGCCTCCATCTGCAGGTCCAAATGGTACTCGAGATGTCCGAGCAAATGATATTGCACCATCTCCTCCTCTTCCTCCACAAATCCGTAGCCTTTTATAATCAACAAAGCGCCGAGCCTATATAGAAAAATAGAGTGTTATCTTGGTGCATGCATCAGTGTTACGCTTTTATACCTTATTAAGAAACCTCGGCGAAGCTGTCATTTCTCATTTCTTGCAGTGTTTTTGATCAACAGAAAAAAAGTGCACAATGCTTTTTGCAGTGGACGCGACAACGATATAGGATCTTGCTCGTTTAATTTCTGTACAAATAGAGCCAGACGATGTCGACCAAACGACTTTGCGTTCTGGGGTTGAGACAACCCTACTCCTCCGCAACAACTTGTTCAAACGAACAGAACCTAGCAGAGACTCAAAAAGGGATCACTTGCAAAGATGGCCGATGTAAGTTATGAATTGTTGTTGGATCGTTATCGTTTCTATCATGCTTATGGTAGAACATGGTGTTGTTACATTGTTACATTGCAGCATTTTCCAGGTTTGCAGCTCTCCTACTAAAGCACAACATTACTAACAAATTCGCTCTCGGACAGATGTCCAGAGCTACTTCAAGCGATCAGCTCTTGGAAACCGACAAATCACCGTTACCTTCTCCGATCGCGTCACCACGTTTATCCAAGTTGCGTACCTCAAATAAAATTGGTGTTGTTACCGCCAAATCTCCTACTACTAAACGACGATCTCCTATTTCTCCAAAACCCAAGTACTCTCCAACTTCTCCAAAGGCTCTCTGGCGAGGATGCTGGCCTTTAGGTGAAGGTGTGTTTTTACTTTGAAAGTTTCGACTCAAGTTTCTCGGTCCCCACTGGTCCAACGTTATTCACTGAACCGCTTCCTCTTTAGGATGGACTGGCGACAAGAAGCCATGGTCTCGTAAGAAACGAGTCTATGCTGGAGCTATCTGTTGTGTCGTAACCACGATTCTACTATTGGTCATCTTGTTACCCATCATCTTTCTGGTTATAATCCCTGGAATCATTCGTTCCAGCATTGACAACTCCGTTTTCGCCATTAACTCCAACACAATCTCGAACGCTACCGAGACAAACTTTATTCTCAGGCTTGTTACGGATGTCAGCAACGCAGGTCCTAATGGATTTAGTGCTGTAATTAACTTTGAGACTCCTCTGTTTGTCGCTTACGGTGGAAAGACAATGCTTAGCATCCCAATGCCGGATTTGCAACTCTCAAACGGTAGGTCGTTTTGACGTATACTGTCTATAGTTCAACATCCTCAAACTTTTCAACAGGTGCTGGAACGTTTGATCAGACCGTGCTCGTCTCTATATTGGATAGTGCTACGTTTGCCGCCTTCAACAATGCACTCTACAGCCAAAACGAAGTTGCGTGGCAACTGACAGCTACTAATGGAGTGAGTTTTATGGGCCTTCACTATGGTGGATTGACACTCAACAAGACTCTAACCTTGGCTGGAATGAATGGACTACAATTCTCGACTTCAAACTTTGATATTTTACCGGCAGACAATAACGGCATTAAAATCCAAACGACTCAAACCACAATCAACCCATCTACATTTTCAATGCCGTTGGGTCAAGTCAGTTTCGCTTTATACAACCAGTCTGATTACGTCTATACATTGAACATTCCTGATTTCAACATCGTACCAGGTGTGTAAAGCATCGTAAACAGCTTTTTCTTGTCGTCGAAACTGAATTTAGCCAATGTAAGAATGTAAGAATATCGACTTAACTGACATTGTGTTTGTAGGCACCACATCCAGCAACAAGACTATTGATATCACACCCACATCATCAGAAAACATTACCGGAATAGCCAAACTCTTCACCCTCGGTGAATCCTCCACCCCAACGACTTTGAATATGGTCATTACTGGTGTGAACATTGGTGGAACTCAAGTCTCGTGGTTGAGCGGCCTTGCTATCGGCAGAAGTTATCCAATCGTGTTCCCTGCAGCCCCGTCAAACGTCATGTCTGGCATATCGTTCCCATTCACCTTATCTACCTTCGTGTCGGGAACTGCTCAAGGAACAGTCAACATCACCAACCCATTTAGTATCACTTTGAATATTACCAGTCTTGCCACCTCCGTCATGTGGTCTGGCACTCAGATTGGAAGAATGACTTACAACCAATCGATTATTGTGCCTCCTCATTCTACTGTTGTTAGTCCCACGCTGACGCTATTGTTATCGTTGCCTGCTAGTCAAGCTTTTTCAGTGAGTTCAATATGTTGGTGTTATTAGTCTTGCAGAAAACCCTCTAACAAGTACATGTCACAAATTTATGCAATTTAGGCTGCAGCAGCTTACGTTCAAAACAAGTTGAATCTCGATATAAACAGTTCAATTGGGCTCGGTGTCAGTGGATACACAATCCCTCTTGAACTCAACAGCCATAACGTTTCAGCTTCAAGTTTGTAGTAGATGAACAAACAATTTATAAGATTCTCTATATGATACGCTTGGAATATTATCGATTTCTATTCGGATTATAATAATACTAAGATTGAAATTCTGAGAACTGTTGCTACGGCGTTACGACAGCAAACTCAGTTGCGTCCATTACTGATTTCTGTGCGAGTGGCAGTATATAGTTGAAATTTGAGAGCAAAGACTAAAAGTTGGCATTGTAGCTCAACATTTGTCGGAAAATCAGTGGTAAACAGGACGACGATCAATTTGATTGGCTGTCATGTACCCAAATTCGGTCTTGTCGACAAGAAGCGACAACAAATTTGCTGACTTGAAAAGGGAAACTGACGGTCTGCCGCATGTCTTATGAGGCATGGGACTCAGTAAGTAATAATTTGTTGTTCGTAATCTGATAGCCCTCTAGTTTGAAACTCTCGCTGACTTGTAAACACTTTTCTCGCAGTTTTCACGTTCTTCTTCGACGGAGGAACTACTACCACCAGAAGGTCCAACTTCATTGACGATTGATCCATCGACAAAAAGAAATCAAGTTTCGATTGGGCCAGACACTAAAACTGCGGACTTGAAGGGACTGAAAACCAGCAGACGATTGACATCACCAACACCACAAAACTCTAGTAGCCCAGTTTCCACCAAGAGCAATGTAATACGATGCTGGCCTTGGTCTGCAAGCAAAGAGCCGTGGACCAGAAAACAGAAATGGATGGGATGGTGAGATCGCGCATCACCACACCACTTGATAACAAGTGTTTTTAATCTGATTTGGCTGCGAATAGTGGAATCTGTGCCCTTATTTCCGGATTGCTCTTTGGTGCTGTTATACTGCCGATAATCTTTTATGTGGTTATACCGTCTATGGTTTGTGAGTAAAGCATTTTGTATCTAGTTTTGAGCTTTTACCGTTTGCTGACTCTCGCTGTCTTATCATTTCAATTAGATTCGGGAGTTGGCTCTACCAAATTCAATATTGTGTCTACGAGTATATCTCAACCAACCGAAAACAACTTCTTGATGAGAGTCATTGCTGACGTTTCTAACGCCGGACCACAAGGATTCACAAACTACCTGGACTTTGAGACGCCGTTATATGTAGTCTACAATGGAGTTCCAATGCTCAGTATTCCTGTCGTCGGATTCAACATTCAAAACGGAGACGCACATATAGATCAGAACTATAATGTCAGCATTATCGACACACAAAAATTCTCAGACTTCAACGCCGCTCTATATGCGCAACCTAGCTTGGAATGGGGCTTATTAGCCAATGTTGGAGTAACTGTTGTTGGACTCCGGTATGGTGGCCTGAAACTAAACAAGAACGTAACGCTCAACGGCATGGGAGGCCTAAAAGTCAGCACCTCTGGATTTGATCTGGTGCCTACCGCTGGACAAGGAATCCAAGTCGAGACAACAACCGTTATAAACAATCCATCATCGTTTGCAATCCCCCTTGGAACTATCAACTTTGGCGTTTACAACGGCACACAATACCTCTATACGCTCTCAATGAGTGATGTCAATATCTTTCCCGGAATTCAAAGCCTAGAGAGACGAGTCGATATAACGCCAACTTCACAGTCGAACGTAACCGATTTGGTTAGATTATTTTCCTTTATGCTGGGCACCAAGAACCCATCCGTGACACTGGTGTTGAACGCTGTGAACGTTGGAGGTCCACAAGTGTCATGGATTTCGAAGCTCGCTATTGGTCTTAATTTCACGCTGGGAGTTTCTCAAGGTTCAAGCAACTCATCAATGATTTCTGGAGCCACTTTCAAACTAGACCTGGCTGCTTTGCTAGCTACGAAAACAACAGGAACAGTCAATATAACGAATCCATTCAGTATACCGTTGAACATCACCGGATTTACCCTTGTCGTTACTTGGCCGAATGGCGACACGGAAGTACAGATTGCCCAAATTGTAACGACGGAGCAATTCATCATTCCAGCATATACAACTACGACGACGCCAGTATTAACTTTGCAGCTGGTGTTTAGTAGTTTACAAGTTTTCAACGTAAGTTGTTTTCGAACTGTTTTTCAGTACATGGATCTTTCTAATTGATTTTCGATAATATCTACACACTTTAGGCACTTTGGGCCTACATATCGGGGACGTTTACTTCAAATTATCATGGTTTAATAACTTTGGGTGTTGGAGGCTACGTTTTGCCTCTTCAGTATGACTATTATAATGTTCCCTCACTCTTGTCATAAGCCAGTAAAACACAATCCGTATTGAGAAGCAGCTATAACATTGCGGCAACGCTTGTCGGGAATTTGTGAACTTGTGTTTGTGTGTTTGGTGTTTGTCGCCGTTGTTTCAAACAATTTCGATTGTAATTGCTTTACGAAGATTTATAAGTCCCCGCGTGATGAATAGAATCAACGTATCATATTACGCCACCTTTAGGCTTCCTGGTGATTGTATCTCGCTCGTACATTGCTCGTTGCGTCCAATCGTTTTAGAGGAAGAAAAGAGTCGAAGGCAAGGACAAATGGAAACGAATCTTGCGGCAGGTATACGCACACAGATTGTTCGGAACCTCTTGACAAGTAGATATCAAGCAAATGGAGCAGAATACTCAGGCTGCACAAGCTGCGAAGGTACTTGTTTGACTGTTTGTTGGATCTGGAGCTTCACCGCTAAACAACTGCTTAACTCCTTCCTCTACACACAAATGCTATTTCTTAGATTGCAGCAATGGCGCAATCCCGCCTATTGCAAATACATGACGAAGTTCGAGCTGCTGCAGTTCCATCTGCTGGTGTGGTAACCAGGAATCGTGAATCATTGGACCGAAGGGATTTACCGGCAGTTCCCAAGAACTATAACAGTACAGCATCTCCTGATTTACTGTACTCTCATGACGGCATTCATAGCAAGGAAAAGTTTGGTGGGAATTTTATGGTGGAAGATGATGAGTATGAGCGACCGACATCTTGTTGGAGGACTTGTTGGCCGATGGGAGAGGGTTGGACGGGTGATAGAGAGCCATGGAGCAAGTCTAAGCGACGTGTAGCCTGGTATGTGTTCCTCTAGCTTCTGAGAGGATCGGATGTCGTGATCAAACCAGTTTATGATAACCAATATACTGATCTTTTTTTGCATAGTATTGGCTGCGTGGGCATAACCATACTTCTCCTTGGAATCTTCTTGCCGCTGACATTCCTAGTCTTTATCCCATCTATAGCACGCAGTGCGGTCGCATCATCCCAATTCACAATCCAATCAGCTACAATCAGTCAAGCAACCAACACGAGCTTCACTTTGAGACTGATTGCTCAAGTATCTCAAGCTGGACCAGCTGGCACAACCGCAAATGTAAACTTTGAGAACCCAGTCTCGATATTATGGAATGGGACGCTATTGAGTAATATGACGATGGCGGACTTTAGTATATCTAGCGGATCTGCTTATATTGACCAAACGGTGACAGTTACGCTGTTAAACCCTTCCGCGTTTGTTGGATTTACAAGGTAAATCGTAGCACTCGCGGTGATTGCTTTGGTGTTCTGACGGTTTGTTTTGCCTTTTAGTGCTCTTTTTTACTCAACATCCCTTAACTGGCAGTTGGTATCAACAGTCGGAGTATCAGTCGTTGGCCTTCATTTCGGTGGCATACCACTGCAAAAGAATGTCACCATTCAAGGAATGAATGGACTAGGCTTCAACGTATCAAACTTTGATCTCGTGTCAACGGATACGAATCAAGGTGCTTCTGTCGTTGTAACAACCACCATAACAAACCCGTCTCCGTTCTCGATATCGCTGGGCACCATAGGAGTAGATTTGTGGAACTCTAGCTACTTTTTAGGCAACTTGACCTTCCCGAATTTCGTACTTACACCTGGAACGCAAACTGTAAACTTGACGACATGGTTGAGTCCACAGGCATTTGTGACTGAGAATGCAAGGATAACAAGAGTGTTTTCCTTCTTCTTGTCAAACACTAATGCTACAATCAATATTGTTGGAACTGGTGTAAATATCGGCGGTCCACAGGTGAACAAAAATCGATATGTACTAATGATTGATGACCCAAAGCTCACGTCTTTTCTTATTTCAGGTCCCATGGCTATCCAACGTCTTTGTCGGATCAACCCACCCAATATTATTCCAAGGATACACCTCACTAATCCAAAAATCACAATTCGCATTGTCGGTCTCAAACCTCTTTACTATGACCACTATGGGCTCTGTATATGTCAACAATCCATTCACAACACAGCAGAACATAACGGCTATTATGGCTAATATTAACTGGAAAAATCCAGTCACGGGGGCTACCATAAGTATTGGACAAATCAACTCGGCTGCGTCACAGTTTTTGCTACCAGGTAATGCAAAAAAAACCGTTCAAACTGCATGACGGATGACTAACAACTGTCTTCTAACTTTAGCTCATGCTATAACAAAAACACCAGCATTACCTATGGCGTTGCTCTTCAACAGTGTTGACTCACTCAATGTAAGATCATATCTCTCCATTTAACTTTTTCCAACAGATACTAATCACAAATACCATGTCATTAGGCCCTGCTATCCGTTTTGAACAACTCATTACAAGTCTACATCTCTGGACAAGTAACCTTGAGCGTCGGAGGCTATCCCATCTCAGTTACATTCAGCCAACAGGACGTTCCAGCAACAATAACTAGCAATCCATAGTTTCTTGCTTACTTTTGTAGAGTCGTTTTTTAGTTTGATTTATTATAACTTAGTATTTTTAACACACACATCTAACTGTGACAAAACTGTTGCGTGGCCGTTTACAAGAGGAAAGAAAAAAGCAAGGGATTTCTGACATTATTTACAGAAACTTGAGGGAGAGTTAGGGCATGGTAACCATTACGAGCTTCAGCACATCAGTGGCATTGCAAGGGGATAGTATAACATCCGTTCCGTTCACGGCAAGACAGAGTGATCCAGATTGACTAGGAGACATTACATCCGATTGCAGTACAAAAGCAGCCTGTGTTTGAAGGCTGGTCATGGACGTCATTGTCGACGTCACTAGAGCTAAAGCATCGGTGCTTGTAGCGAGTGGTGGCATAACACTTGGATCTATTATTGGTTCTATACTTGAGGCGAGCGGTGATGCCTGGCTACTTGAGGCTATTGGTGTTGCAGCAGCTACAGAGCTAGTCATTATTACTTCAGTTGAGGTATAAACGGCTACAGATGGTGATGGATCTAAGGTGGCACTCAGAGGTGCAGCGGATTCAGACACGACAGATGGTATGCTGGTAGCTGCTACAGAGTCAGTTGATGCGATAGCGATTGGTATGCTGGTAGCCGCTACAGAGTCTACAGTTGTGACGGCCGATGCGATAGAAGTGGCAGCAGGAGTCGGTGCTATGGTAGTATATATTGTCATGCCCAGTGATGTTGGCAGAATAACCACTTTCACGATTTCGGATGCAACAGCTGTTTCTAATAGTGCTGTACTTGTCGTGTCAGATACTACTATAATTGAAGTCATTGCCTGGTAACTTGAGGCCAGGCTCGTCGGTGTGATTGTTGGATTGACTGACGGTACAACATCGCTGGGCGAAGGACTAGAGGCCGCATTACTTGTTGCTGCAGCCGAATTCATTATCATTGTACTAGTAGCATCAATGGTGGTTATAATGTCGGTGCTGAGGACGACAGCAATCGTGGTATCAGTAGCCATACTTGGGCTTGAAGTGAATACCACCGGCATTATTGAGTTCGGAATGGTCGTGGCGTTCGGGCTGCTTACAATTGACGGTGCAGCTGACATTAAGACCTTTACCGGTGCAGCAGACGGTGCTGTAGTTGGCGATGGTGCTGCAGATGGTCCAGGAGATACTTGAGCGCCAGAGAATGCTGCCTGTACGTCCACTACATACCACATAGCGTTATTAGCTGTACAGTCACCCATAATCGTGGCTCCCCCACCATTGTCTAGAAAGCACGCTCCTGTCCCTTGATTCTTGATAGTAGTTAAGACTCGACTTGGACCTGTAGGAAGACTAGACAATTTCCATTGTTGTGACGGGTCGAAGAGTCTGCATCCACTTCCTTGCGGTAGTTTAGTTTGGGGAAGTTGGGTAAAACACATAGATGTTTGAAGATTCGTAAGTGCCATGGAATCAGGAAAAAACGCCCAAAGCTGTGGCGGATCGCCACTCTGATATGGGGATGAGAAGACCTGGTTGTAATGGTTACTGTTAGCAAGATAATGCTGTCAAGACATGAAAAAAATGCATCATATGACTGAGCTAGGGCGAAATTGAGCCAACTTGTGCAACTTTTCCCATCAACGGTGCCAAAACCACGTACAGATGTTCCTTGACTCTGACTACCCCCGTTTTCAAAGACACCACCAGAAGAGGCAGACGTAAAGTAGTATATTGCAAATTTGAGATTCAGCCCTGCTCCTCCTTGATTGTAGCTGTTTGCAGTAACAGATCCAGATAGCGCCAACGCGAGTAGAAAACAAACAGATGGCGAGAGGGACCTCATTGCGTGGTTCTCGATGGGCAATGTAAGTCTACGGATGTATAGTGCTGTCTTGACTTGGAGTCTTGGGTATAGCGACAGGGCGTTTGCTGCAGAAGATCCAGATCGTAAATGTTTCGGTTTTTGAAAAACGCCCACAAACAATCTGTCCAAAGAAAACTGTGCAAAATGTATTGATCCCATTATTAGTATGTAGAACGTAAGGTTCATACGCGTAATACTGCCATATTTGAAGCTGCTCCTCCCTTGACTTCAAAAAACCAAATTACTTTCGAGTTGTAAGTGACCTCTGAATTCCTCTTAACTATATTAGCATTCCAAGCTTGGAATCCATCTAGGAGCCACAACGCTTTATAAATTGCGAAAGTCATTCGCATACGACTTGCTCTGCTGTCAGTCGCATAAGCAAGAAATGGAACCATTCAGTGGCAAGTTTGGCCTCATAATACCAGAAAAGAAGAAGGGCCCATCAGCATCCCAAGCTGCTAGAATAGCCTTCAAGCAAAAGCTATCCAAAAACCCACTCTTTACCGGTAGTAAATCAGACGACGAAGACGACAATGACACTGAACTAGGCCAGCAACGAATCAATAAAGAGCTACGAGCAGTCCAGTCATCCAGATCGTCAGCTGTAGAACAAGAACACGCCAAAGCACTAGAAGAAGATCCAACTGTATTTGACTATGATGGTGTCTATGAAACATTAAAATCCGCTGAAGACTCGAAACGTAAGCAGCGCTCTCAAGGAGGAGGAGGAGACTCTGGAGGAGACCGTAAACCACGATATATGGCGAATCTCATCAAGGCTGCTGAAGCCCGTAAACTAGAGTCTGAACGAGTGGAGGAACGAAAAGTACAACGGGAACGAGAAGCTGAGGGTGAAATGTATGCAGACAAGGAAAAGTTTGTGACTGCTGCTTTTAGGGAACGTCAGGCAGAGCTCAAGAGGCTGGAAGAAGAAGAAAAGAAGAAGGAGGCGCTAGAATCTGATGTTACGAAAAGGAAGGACTTGACGGGCTTCTATCGTGATATGCTAAACAAGACTACAGCTGATAGATCTGTCGTTATAAATCCAACCAATAGTAATAGCATAAAACCCATAGCAGTCAAAGATGATGATGCCGACGACGATGAAGTGAAACTTCTAGTCAAGAAGGCTATATCATCTGGTCAAGTCAAAGTAAATGATTCAGAAGAAGTCGTTGACAAACGGCAACTATTAGGAGCTGGTCTAAACGTATCACGTAAAAAGACTCAGGAGATTGCTGATGAAGAAGCCAGACGAGCTCGTCAAGAAGAAGAAGATAGGAAACGCCAGTTACAACGACAAGCTGATGAAGAAGCTCGTCGAAAGAAACGAGAATTGGAAGATCGCAAACGAGAAGCGGAACGCAGGGCTCGTGAATTGCTCGAGTCTCAAGCTACAGAGGCTCAGGAAAAATCCAAACGGGAACGAGAAGAGGAGAAGGAGTCTCTTGCTAAAAAGATGGCAAAGAAGGCTACTGAAGCTGATGTATCAGATGCTCGAGCAAGATACTTGGCAAGGAAAAACCAAAAACCAGCTGCCAAAGAAGCATCAGACTCGGATGATGATTGAGTCTTCTATATCACCGCACGTATTGAAACATAGTAATTGTAAACGAAGCCTGATAAAAGAGTAACTTGCATCAGAATGCTGTATATATATGAGGCACTGCTGTACAATAAACATAGACCGTCTAAAATCCGACTCAGAAAGAAACGACTATTACGAGTAATATAATAAGAATAATGATCAGGCCACAGATAGCGCATTGTTGCTTTGGATCTAAAGATGAAGGAATTTAGATCGGGCTGGTCGGGCGGGCAAAATTAAACAATCTTCCAAACCTACCAGCATTAGCTTTTATGAACTCGTCCATTCGTTTATAAGCAGATCTTAATCGACCCTGCGTGTTATCCACACTTGTATCTAGATCCTCCAATAGCCTATTTCAAGAAGATATGTTAGCAGGAGGGCAAAAAAAACACAAATATGACAGCGGCTGACGAGTCGTACCTAGTCTGGTCATCTAACTCCTTGCCCATAACAACAGCCACATCCTTTAAATTAGTAACAGTATGTAACACATCTCCCATCTGATCTTCTTGCTCAGCCATAATAGTTGATTGAGCTTGTTGCTCTCGATCGACGTGTCTCTGATTCGACATTTTGTAGTCCTCTTGTGTCCTGCCGAATCTATCTGTGTTTGTGCGGGATGCGAGTAATGCCTGTTCAAAGTGTAGTGTTACTTTCGGTAGGAGAGTAAATTTCAAACGTTGAAGCCTTACAGATCGATCATCAGTCCTCTGATTTGGTTTTTTCGATTGTCGATCATTCAAGTTACTCCTCAGTTCCTGCGAAACATGATATAAGTGAGATCAGCATGCTGAAGTGCATTTCAGTGAAGATCTTGTCCTACATGTATAGCTCGTCGTGTCCTCGTTATAAAGTCTTTACGATTGCCGACTTCTCGAGCATCCAGTCGAAACTTTGATGGGTTGACTTCCACCACCTTGATTGTATCTATAAATATTCCACAGTTTCAATAAAAGAATTCTGTCTTTCAAACAAACTCCAAGCGAGCTTGCCTTCCAAATCGTGTAAATCCAATTCGATGCTCTGCAGTGCACTTCGAAGCTCGTCGACCTTCCACCGGACCTCGTCGCTATTGGACGATCCGGAGTCTACGAGCCGTGACCATTGCTGGTATAGCTTGTTTGCATTATTGAGAGAAGCCTCTACTTCACTGTCGTCAGGTCGGTGGAAATCTCGTTAGATTTGCGATCTATGTCGTAGAGCGAGTGGAAGGAATATCAAGACTCACTCTTTGACTGCGAAAAATGGATCTTCAGACATATTTTGCCAGCTTTACTGTTCTTTATATATGCCTTTGGCTGTGGAGCTTAAAACGATTCAAATCAAGAAACCCAATCAGGATTTGGTAAGTGGAGCAAGCCAAAAACTAGGAGATTTTTTTGGACGAAGCGCGCGCTTATATTGTCATTATATTAATCGACGCGTTATTTCTTCTTGTTACATAGTCTATACACACCAAGCCATGGTGGCATCAACCGCTGCCCAACATGAAGAACTCATGCCGCCTCCATTACGAACTCGCCGATCATCAACTCAGCTAATACAAGGTGTCATGCAGAGTGCTCCAGGTACACGCTCTCGTCTCCCATCCGATGTACCGCCATTAAACAATTCCATCATCATATTCGACGAGGACGACGAAATCCACATGGACAGTTCCAACAACCGTTTAAACATTGACGCAAATTCAACCAGTCAGGAATTACGAAAACATGCAAGCAGTATATCTCATCCTGCTGCTGTATTGGGTGTCTTTGAGAAATGGGCTCTCTTGCAAAATCAAGGGCTGGCTGCCTCTCGTAAAAATAGTAGTGATGAGCATGGCAATGGCCAACATGTGGCGACAGAGTACGATGAACTTTGTATGGAGGTGCTGACAGCGTTGGGTGAATTGGAAGCATCCATGGAGGAAGTTATGAGATGGAAGGATGGTTTTATTAGCAATCAGGGTGTTCCTTCTGTCGTTAAGCTCAAGCTTGTCATTATGTTTACAAGGCTGTTTAGAAGGTATGTCACCTGTCTGGTTTAGGTGGTATTGTCGAGACACGGACTGACAAGCTTGAACTCTTAGCAAATCGGATTTACATGAACCCCTGTTTGAGCTTATAAAGCAAGTCAAGGTCTATTCTCAGCCGTGGCAGGAAAGGAGGGAGGCATTGCTTGCTATTGAACACGACTTTGAAAAGTATGCATGCACTTGCGTCGTTTCCTTTTGCTGTGAGTCTCACCTTTTGCGATCTAGTCAAAAACACTTAGTGGATGTAGCTATTCGTAGAGTCGAACATTTGGAATCGCAAGTAAGCCCAGCAAAATGCAAGAGAATTCTTATCAGCTGACTCGATCATGTATATAGATAGCGAGGATGAAGAGTGAACGACGGATTGCTATGTGGGAGAGGCTTACACTTCGGATGCTTGTAAGTCGCTTATGCCACGCATACTTATCAACTAGGCCATTCCCAAGCACGATTATGACTCAAAATGTGATACTTCTAGGAGAAAGAGTCCATGAAGAGACAACAACTGGCTGCCAATTCAAAATTTAATGCTGCATTGTCGTATCCTGAAAATGTGGAAGAAGATGATGCTCGTCCAGCCACAAGACCAATAACACCTTCGATTCGCTTTGACGGTGAACTCACTCCTCGTAAATCAGTAGTCATCAAAGACTCGGTGACGTTTGAATCTCCAAGACCATCCAGGTTTTTAGTCATTGGCCGTTTGTGTGGATTGTTATCAGACCCTAACAAGTTTTCAAACCACTAGCCCGACCAGAGAGTCTACCCTGAAAGAGGAAATGAACGCAAGATCCTTAGAGTCTATAGCGTCGTCCAAGTCGAATTTGGAACGTCAGTCTGAAGAGACACAAACAGACTCGGAGCTTCCAGAATCGAACCTAGTATTATCGGAATCTAGTAAACCTCCAAGCGCTCCAGTTACCGTCACACCAGCCAAGATATCATCATCAGACTTTTTCATATCCGATGAGCCATCATGGAAGGCACCCAAATTTACTCATGATGCACTCGCAGAGTTTGAAAAGACTCTGCACACCCAACATCCCAATATCGAGAAACAGCTCGCCGAACTCCGAGACCTGAATGGCAGAGGAGCTGTCAAGAGTATCAAAGCAGATCTACCACCAGTAGTACTAGTCAAACGTGGTATCAAACCTGAATCACCATTGATTCGAGGATGGACAGTCACAGACACTGCAGACTTTAACAGGACGAATTTGCAGTCTGCTTTAACTGGTGACATGCCTTCGTGGCTCAGTTTTGATGGAGATGTGCATGTTGGTCGGCATGTGGGACAGTCGAAAGACACGATTAGTCTGAGTGCACGAGAATCAGAAACTAGCAACGGGAATGCTAATGGTCTTGCGTTCACAGCCAATGTTGTGGAGCTGACGTCTCCGTCACCGCCACGACAAAATTCAAATCCACCTCTTCCTGCACAGTATCGACAAGTTCAGGATGCGAATGAAGCCAAGATGAAGGCTATGGATGACAATTATAGGTACGCATATGTATACTCTGATATTTGAATTGTAAGATCGCTTCTTATGACATCTATGCTTTTTTGGTCCAGCTCACGAATCGCAGAGCTCTCTGCCAAAATACTGGCAACTGCTGACAAGCCCATGTCTCTCCTATGCCCATTACCAATGAATGGCGGCGCACTAAGCACCATTGCCTCCAAAGCAAGCTCACTGGGCAGCCTCTCATCAAGCCCATCAACGTCCTTATCGCAAATATCACCAAATCCAACCAAAGTGGCCTCCGTCGCATCAAATCGGCCGGAACAACCTGTTAGACCATATGCACCAATACGAGCAGCTTCCATAGCTGCTGTTCCATCTCATCAGCAGTCATCACAAAACGTCGCACAACAAATCCAACCACGAATGTCGATTGCCACGGCAAGGTCTTCCAGCACTCGAAATTCAGAGACTGGTAGCGAGGCGTCTGTTGTGGCTCAAAAGTCCATGCATGCCGAGTTCATGCCACATCCTGGTGCTGTTAAGGCTTCGGTGCCTATTGAGGCTGTTATGAGACATGGTACGTTTGCAAAAAAATTAGAATTTTCGTTTGCTTTATCTTTGGTGGCTGAAGAGTTAGAGCTACTGAGGGACGATATTGTGATAACAATGGTGTGCTGAGACAGTGACAATGTTTTAAAGCAGTTTATGGTGCATGTGCTCTCACAGCTCGCTGTGAATGACTGGTCGCGATTCCATGATATTTTTTGAGCTGGATTCACTAATAGTTGATGGCTCGTTATTCTAACACTCTATTTTCTGAATTAGTGGTTGAAAGTGTAAGGATTTTACCACAAGCTGAATCAAGACATTACGCTTCACCGCAATCTCAATCCAGACAACCTTCAACAACTTCAACAACTCATCCATCCACCATCAACTTGTTTGATTCTGCCAGGAAGAGAAGCACTATGAGATAATTGTTCACTTTTTCAAACAATACAAGTTCTAGTGGTTTTTGAAAACGCAAGTCCAAGTTCCCTTTTCTGATTGCTGGATCGAGATTTTCAGAAGAGAGTGTTTGGTTATCTAGCAATTTGCATTTGGTTATCTGGCTATTTGCATATCAAGCCAAGCAAGCTCCAAGGTTTCGTGCGGTTAGATCGCCGTGCTTGGGACGTTCTCTAGCTACTTCGAGGCACATCAGCAACCCAAATGGACTGTTTGACGGAAGGCTGGACTGTTTGGCTGTGTGCTTTACATTGCTTTGCTGGCAGTCTCTCCACCATGACAACCTAAAAAAACATAATCCAAAGACACAAGAACAATGTAATGTGTTGATTGATATGCTTCTAAATTTTATTGATTCAAAGATTGCACATATTGTACAATACTTTTATCAATACCATGGCACGTTCCCAGACACACCCGTTATATGCTTTGCCAAAGCATTGAGGCAGGTTGTGTCTGTTACGTTAGCAGGTGTACACGTTTCCTGCTCGTGTACACCCCACACCACGTCCAAAGTAATCCAAATGAATACTTCGTCAGTGTTGACAAAGCTTATCTTGACGTAAGGGCGAACCGTCAAGCAGCGAATGCACCAGATGAAAAACTTGATTCTTAAGAGTTGGGTGTCTTGAATCTAATGAGGTAGTAAATGAAGTGCCAAGTAAGTATTTAAACAATGAACAAACGTAACCAAAACTTCTCAATAATATAAAGACATCATCATCGACCAATATGCAAATTGACAAACGGCATCAAAAAACGCTAAAACAGCCAGAGAATCAATTCAAACGCATTCCCAAAGGGACCTTACTTGCGACTTGTCAAGATCCGTTACGTTGCGTAGTGCCGTTTCTATATAATTTAAGGTTGGCTTAGAGTGAGCCTCGTCAAAAAATTGCACTTCGCTACTGAACGAGCGCCAGCAATCCAACTCCACTCATCAATCACCCCGCTCGAGAGGACTCATGGTTCCCGTAGGTGAGATAAGGTGAGATGGTTTGTTTCTCTCGACACTAACATTTGGGAGGTTGCTCAATGCTCATTCGGGGACTTCCAACCGTCAGATGCTGAGTATTCGTGTAGTCGTACTAGATGTCTCCCCAGGAAAATGATCCTTCAAAGTAGACTATCAGTACGGTTGAATAATGCCCACCTCGATTAAAAGCAAGTGTTAGGAAACGCCTCCCGCGGTTCCGAGTAGTGGAGGATGATGGATGTATGTCTTGAGACTGCATTAATATGTAGATCTAATAGAAGCATAAGAGAGAATGTGTTAGATCTATGTTTGAAAATACCAATTGGCGGCAAGTGATGCTTTGGTGATGAAAGAGAGCTGGTTCTTCCCAGGATGGTATACATGGTTATGACCAATAGTATGATAAGCACAAAAAGTGTGCACTGCTCATGTTTACTTGCCTTATTGGGCACTCCTGTAATTTGAAATTGGAATTGCGTGATTTTGTAGATGTTGACGGCAAAACCAACAAACCAAGGGATACAGCAGCCAGAGTAGTGGAATATGAGGCACAGATGTTCTGAGATAACATGTTTCTTGTGTATCCAGTAGAAATGTATTTGGAGAATGTGTTAGATCTATGTTTCAAAATTTCAATTGGCGGCAAGTGATGTTTTGACGACGGAAACAGAGCGGGTTCTGGCCAGTATTGATAGATGGTGATAGCCAATGGCATCATCATTATGCAAAGTGTGCATTTATGATGTTCATTTACCTCATGGGGGGCTCCTCGACCTTGAAATCAGAATTGCGTGTTTTTGGTGCTGTTGACGGCAACACCATAAAACCAAGAGTACAGCCGCCAGAGTAGTGGCATATAATGGATGGATGTCTAAATATGGCAGAACTAGTGCTCATCTAGTAGAAGCATATGGGAGAATTTGTTAGATCTATGTGTCAATGGGCGGCAGGTGATGATTGTGACAAGGCAGGGGCCAATTCTTGCCAAATTTGATTGACACTGATAGCGGAATGCATCATAATAGTTCATAGAAGGCTCACCTGGTCTTCTGCTCTTCGTCGTATTCCTTCTTTATAGCCTTTCTAGTAATCACATCATTTTTCGATGTTTTGGAATTGTTGGGGGATAACTTCCTATTATAGTGTGGCCAAACGAATGCTCTCATTGGCTGGAAAACATCGACTTCGCATGAGCCCTGGGGCACACAAGCTGTCACGTATATGCTATGTTTTGTATTCTGTATATGTTTTACAGTCACTACCAATACTTCAATCCTTCGACCATTTAAAATGGTCCATTTCTACATCTAATTCCTGTACTAGACGTTCATCTTCACCCGGATACGTTCCGTTATCACCACCATTATAGACGCCATCTCCATCAGACAATCTTCTGGGAGGCGACGTTACAGGCTCGGGCATGAAATCATTCAGAAGATTCGAAATCGACATGGAAGGCTGCTGTTTTGAAGTCAAGTCATGTGAGGTGCCTTCGAGTCCTTCTACAACTATGACCTGTTGGTCGGCTGAGGATTTTTCTACTGTAGGTTCATTCGGGGCGTCAGCCGGGCCGTACACGAGATCCATCCAAGTGTCCAAATCACCCGAATCACTGATAGGTCGATATATTGATGGGCATGGATGAGCAAAGTCGGGTCCAAAATTGAGAGTTGCGGAGCCACCAAAGTAGGACGAAATTGCTGGATAGTACTTGCCTGTGAAATAAGAAAATCTATCAGTAAGTGACATACCAAACCTGAAACCCAACAGCTTGACTCAACCGAAAAACTACCAGTCTTACCAACAAATAGATTCGAGAACGCTGCTCCCAAATCAACACCATTCTTATAATATCGTATCTCGGAACCTAAAGCGATTTCCATGGGCCGAGATCGGAAGGGCATGTACACCTCTGTTGGATTCCACAATCGAGCCAATAGCAGTTTCATCTTTTCTGGAGCTGGCAATGATATCGATACACCAATAACATCTCCTGGTTTATACCCTGCCGAGAACAGCTCTGGTGCATTCTCTCTGGCTTTCGCTTGATGAAATAGAGCTCCGTCTGAATTTCGATACGAATAACTATAGGCATCATATCCACATGGTGCTTGCAGATCTCCAGAGATCTGAGACCAACCAATTCTACGATTAGAATCATTGTCATAATTCCACTCAAGAGAACGAGAGTATGCAAAACCAAGAGAAGGAGATTACCTCAGATGTCCTTTCTCAGTCAAAGGCTCATTGATCTTGACTTCAAAGTACCATTCTCCTTCCCAAACACCATGCGTGGCCTTAGCCATACGATATCCCTTCTCATTGTATACAGTCAATCCATCGTCCGAAATCACCATTTGAGGAGCAGCATGAGTAGTCTCGGTACTCATCCGCGCGTCCATATCTGGATTATCAATATCTGGATACATGGCTATAAGGGTGATGATAGTGGTGAGAATAAAGTCCCAATGAAATAACTTGAGATGCGCGAGCTTACTGATGCCAACTCGATCATCTTTGGGCTCCAAAGGATGTTTTTTCTTCCTCTTTGCTTTTGGTGCTCGACGAGACACTGTGTCTGCACCTTCCTCCTTCTCTTTTCTTCTTTTACTCTTGCCAGGCTATATGGAATTGTAAAAGGGTGAGAAAATCACAATCCTCAAGTACGTCTTTCGCCTTTTTTTGGGCCTTACCTCATCACCATTTTCGTGTTTCTTTTTCTTCTTCTTCCTGGGTTCTCCCGTTGTTGGGTCAATCTTTGGCTTTTTGGCCTCTCCATTCCTCTCCTTTGAGTAAAGCTTGCTTACTCCTGGAATCGCGACAAGCGTACCGTCAGGAGCAATATCAAATGTTGCGTCTCGTTTCTTCTTTTCAGTTAGGTCAATAGGAAACACCATCTGATCCATTGCCCAATAACCTATAAACGAAGAAGAATTCATTCACGATGGGAAGGTGTGTTGGATTTCGAGGAGGCGAAAAAGACCATCCCAGATAAGATGAAGACGGTGCAACCATGAACACCAAGGCAAACAGCAGCAGAGGATAGGAATCTGCTCCGAGGTAAGAAAGTTTCCAAAACACGCATATCAAAATGCCACCACCATTTACCTTGCTCGTTGTTGAAATGCTTTGTCCCAGACACGAAACGCGGAGCAGTCGACAAGCAACTCGTAACCGTATTCCTCCAAGTGGGAAACTTGTCACGAATCCAAAACCTGTCCCAATTCTCATCGACAAACACATGAATATCGTCTCTCCAGTGATAGTATTTCCGTCCATCCGGACCTTGTTTCGAGGTTGGTTTTGTATAGGTCATGTTGTATATGGCGAGATTTACGATTTCAATCCATGATACTGGTGTTCTTCGGATTACTTCGATTCCGTGTGTACAGTCTCGGCATTTGAGAGTGTAGAAGCCGTCTGCGAAGAGTGGTTTCTCTTTCCAGCCTTTGATGGCGTCGATGCACTCTATGAGGTCGTGAAAGAGTATTGGTAAAATCGCCAGAGATATAGGTTTTGCTTGTTCATTGGTCAAGGGGCGTAGCTATTCTTGCGAGCTCTTTCGCAACACGGTCATTCATCGCTTTACCTATATGATACTTCTTGCCACACTTCTTGCAAGATAAAAGCGGCCATCTCCTACATTACGTTGCAAGTGTGAGTGCGATCTCACTTGATTCCTGAACTTGGGTTTAATGTAGGCGAACGTACGAGTCTTTAGCCTCATTACAGCACATCTTGCCCTATATAGACAACATATTAAATCGAGTTCAATGAATAAATCAGGTTTGGTTTGTACCTTTCCAGACTTCTCCTTCTCTGGAGGAACGCTTGCAATCTTGGGTTCAACTCGTTTTCGTTTTCGAACTTCCTTGTCGATGAGGCTCTCTGATGGACGAGCTTCCTTGGTCTCTGCATGTTCTGAAACCTGTTCAGGCACCGATCCCATCGGTCTGTTCTCCTCCATCGATCGTGCGCACCAAGTTTGACGTTGTGAACACGTCGCAGTCGACACTTAACACTTGGAACGCTTTAAAAACTGCACACTTTGCTTATTTTTATATTTAATTAATATCAGACTACATACTCAGACTTTTCTAAAGGGGTATCATTGAAAGATCGCAGTTTTCTCCTTTGTTTGCTTTGAAGCTAGTTGCAGAAGACGCTTCTTGGTGTCTGGCTCTAGCGTAGCCATGAAAAGAGGAAACCTGAAATTGAAATTTATGGTTAGATCCAACCACGCTAATATCGCACAAAAAGTCTATTTACACATTCAGCAGAAGGCCCTGAGTTACTTCTTGATATGATGCCTTGAAGATCTCAACGTCGGGAGCAGCACCACCAGCTTTCGCTTGGTCGAATGCAGCAATCACAGCCTTGACCTGCCATGATGGTAGGTTCAACTCGTACAGACTTCCCTTTTCAAAGTACATTGTCACAATCCTGCGACATTCGGGGAGCAGTGCATCGGGTATTGGTTGAAGTGGGTGCTTGGTAGTAGTAGAGGTATTGGCGGAAGGCTCAGCAGATGGAGTCTTCGGGGACAGCAAGTCTGACGATTGTTTTGCTGGTTTCTGCATTAGCAGGTCAGAAGACTGTCTTCCAGTCACTTTAGGGAGATGTGGTGAATTAACAGTATTGACGGTTGATGAGTTCTTTCTATTACCACCAGCTGCGATCAACGCATCAAGGTTTTGTTGGTATAGTTTCATAATTTCCAAGATAAAGGCCACATTTTCAACACAGAATAGCTTAGCGGCATGGGCTTTCAGTCTATTAGCTAGGGCGGCATCCTGGAGCGTGGCTTGGAGAACCATTTCCTTTTCCGCTTCCGTTCGATTGGCGACTGATACTCGCCCTGCTGGTACTGTGAACGAAATCAAACGGTCTGTAACTCGATATGATTTCAATAGTGGTAGGAGCTAGGGGAGCATAGCAGTGGATCAGTATTGCGTTTAAAAGGGGTTGTCACCTCAGCCAACACATACGATGGAGCCGAATTGAAGAACACATCCTCCAATTGGTAGTATTGCGAAACCTGGAAACATGCTGTAGCTAGCATTTGATTGGATGGCGGTCATGCCAAAGTAAAGCAACATGGTCACGTACAACGCCGTCGACAGGATGATGATCTCTGTCCTTATGCCCAGCTATGAGTTCAAAGTGTTAGCCCTCAATTATCAAACACGCCCAAATTCAAGAGAGGACCTACCCCATCATGACAGTTTCGAGTTTTGATCAATAAGAACGGGATTGATATAGCAATTGAAGCCATCATCAGGTACGCTGGTGTGAATTCCCAATCGACTATAGTCGTGCTTGTGAGACATGATACTTTGGCGTTGACTCCATACAGAGGCGACACAACCAGGCCGACAATTTCGAAAATGATGATCAGAGCAAGCACAACCCAGAACGAAATCCAAAAGACCCGGTTGTTGTATTTGCGTGTTGCTTTAAAGTCGGGTTGTGTCTTGGAGGGCTCTAATTCTCCTTGCTTTAATTGGGCCTGCTGAGCATTGTAATTGTCGAATAGTTCGGCGGATTCTCCAATTGTTGCGAATAGCAATCTAACAATGATGGATTGGTATCAAACAGACCAAAATGCGTTGAAGATTCTGTGCCTTACAAAATACTCCAGATAGGCCCCACGAGAAACACCATGACGCAAGAACAGTTGGTGTCGTATTGCCAACTCTTCAAGAAACTTTGCAAATGCATGAACAGCCCTCCTCCGGCCATCATCAATGGAGGGAGAAAAGGGCGTTTCTGCAACGTGCGATCCTCGTAAAACCGTCTGACAAAGAGAGCAGTCGAGATAACAACGAATGCCATCCAAAATCCAGCTGAAAATTTAAACACAGTTAGCTTAAAGCCTAAAATGAACGGCACGTCATAACACTTACATCCATAGCGAATCAACAACACCGTCGAGTCAGAAATTGTGTGAAAGGTCGTCACATTGGTGGCCATGGTTGGCGGCTTCCTGAGCGACTTTCAAGTCCAGAAAAAACACAAGGAGAACGTGAAGGTTAATGTTCAGTGTTTAGTACTGCGCCCGAATTCTTAAAATGTTGATTGGTTCCAATATCCTCAGCACAAGGTGATGGCTTATTGGTAGCCGAAAACCGTCATCCATAGCCGGCATCGGATTTAAATTTCAACAAGGTTGTGCAAATGTGTGTGAGTGCGTTTCCACAATCAAACATTTGTACGGTTTTAATGGGGCTTTCCGTTATTAAAAAACAATTTCCTTTCGAAATACACTGAACTGAGCATCATGAAGATGAAAATAGGATGAAAATCCCGTTCTCGTCGCCACGATCTTCAAAGTTCCTTCCAACAGCAACAAGAACCACAAAATCACCATCAAGCGATCAAGCAATGCCAACAGCACCATCAACAGAAGCGTCATCAGCGTCGTCACAATGAGCTATAGTGAATGCAGTCTGTGTTATGGGAGTAGAGAATCAGCCTGTAAGTTGGCTTGATTATATTCTTCCTTCTTCACTTTTAATTTACATATCAGTCGCTTCACTAGTATATAATACTACAACGTCACGACGTTGAGAGATTACGGAATTCTCCTTTATCAGCTTAGTCTGTTTGTAAGCTGTTTGCAACAGACGCTTCTTCGCTTCAGGCTCTAGTGCGGCCATGAAGAGGGGAAAGCTAATGAATCCTTTGGTTGGTTAGATCTAAACGCGAATCAATAAAGACGCAATAACAACTTACACATTGCCCAAAAGGTCTTTAATCACTTCCTGATATGAAGCCTTGAAAATTTCAATGTCTGGAATAACACCCCCATTTTTCGACTCATCAAATGCGGCAATCACAGCCTTGAACTGCCATGCTGGTAAGTTCAACTCGTAGAGACTTCCCCTTTCATAGTACAATCTCACAATCCTGCGACACTCGGGGAGCAATGCATCAGGTATTGGCTGCTTGGTGGTAGTGGAGTCGTTGATGAACGGCATGCCTGACGATTTGGCGGGTTTCTTCATTAGCAGTTCAGAAGACTGTCTTCTGGTTAGCTTGCCGAGAGGTGATGGAGTAGCAATACCGACTGTCGCCGAACTGCCTTTGCTAGTGCCGATGGCGTCAAGGGTTTGTTGGTATAATTTCATGATTTCGAAGATAAAGGCCACATTTTCGCAACAAAACAGCTTTGCGGCGTGGGCCTTCAATCTATTAGCTAGAGCGACGTCCTGGAGCGTGGCTTGAAGAATCTCCTTCTCGTCTTCCGATTCACTAGCTGTAGGTGCTTGACCTGCTGGTATCCATAATGAACTCAACAGGTCTGAAACTCGATATGATCTCCATAGTGGCAGGAGCTGGGAAAGACGGTGTTAATCTTGTTTTGGTAAACCGATGCAAATCGCCAAAGACACATACAATGGAGGCGAAATGAAGAACGCATGCGCCAATTGGCAATATTGCCAGACTTGGGAATATGCTGGAGCCAGCTCTGGATTGTAGGATAGTCACGCCAAAGTAGACAAACGAGGTCACATATAATGTGACTGCCTCAATGATGATCTCTGTCTTGATGCCCAGCTGTGAGTTCGAATCCTGTTAGCCCTCTGATATTTCAGATCGTTTCAAAGAGAGAACTTACGCCGTCGTTACAGTTTCGGGTCTTTATCAACGTAACCACTAATGTAATAGCAATTGAAGCCATCATCGCGTATTGTGGCGCGGCCTCCCAGCCGACGAGAGTGGTACTGGTTAGGCAAGAAATTTTGGCATTCACTCCATACAGAGGCGATACAATCAAGCCGACGATTTCAAAAATGATGATGAAAGTAAGGAGGACCGAGAAGGAAACCCAAAAGACCCGGTTATTGTATTTGCGTGTTGCTTTGAAGTCTTGCTGAGGACTCGACGGCTCTAATTCTCCTTGCTTCAATTGGGCCTGCTGAGAGGTATAATTGTCGAATAGTTCGGCGGCTTCACCAATTGCTGCAAAAAGTATGCTACAGAGAGTTTCTGTGAGTCGTTTTATGTTACTTTGCCTGCGGGTTAAAGACTTGCTTGGAAAACTACAAACGTTAAATGGGCAATTCCAGTAACGTACAAAATACTCCAAATAGGCCCCAGGAGAAATGACATGATACAAGAACAGTTGGTGTTATCCTGCCAACTCTTGAAGAAAGATTGCAAATGCAGGAAGAATCCCCCAGCAGCCATCAGTATGGGAGGAAGAAACGGTCTCTTCTGCAAGGTGCGATCCTCCGGAACGCGTTTTACAAACAGGGCGGTAGAGAGGAGAACCAATGCCAGCCAAAATCCAGCTGGAATATAAACACAGTTAGTCTCAAACCTAAAACTCAAACAATTCCTGACGCTCACATCCATATCGAATAACGAGGGCAGTCGAATCAGAGAAAGTGCCTATGTTTGTCATATTGGAAGCCATTTGGAGTCTCCTCGGTCGACCTCCAAGACTGAAATTAGGCAAGAAAAACGTGAAATTTAAAATTGGATTGAATGCCAGGAGCTACTGCGCCCCCGTCGATTTCGAGGTTGTGGGGAGTTGGCTTGATCTTGAAAACCATAAATTTCCAAGAGATCAGATGGCAACAGCAGCATCGACAGTAGCGACATCAGCATCGTCACAGCGAGCCATCGTCAATGCAATCTGCGTAATAGGAGCAAAGAATCAGCCTCTTTTCATAAAATCATTCAACACGTTGCCAGAGTCGTCACAGCTTCATTACCACTACATTGCTCACATAAGTGTCGATATAATAGAGGAGAAAGGTATGTCATGTCGAGTATTATGACCTGTCTTTGTTTGCTTCTAGTTGCAGAGTGCCTGACATGAAATCAACATCTTGACGTGAACTAACTCGCAGCATCTTGTCGCCAAACAACTAGTGAATGGGAGCAAATTGACTGACCTCTATCTCGGCCTGCTATACAGCATGGAAGATTACAGTGTTTATGGATACGTGACCAATACAAGAGTCAAGTTCCTCATCGTGATCCAGCTTGCAGATTTCGCAGTTAAGGATGTCGAGCTCAAAAACGTACGCATCACTTTGGCAAATATGATGATTATTGACCTGTTTCTGCTATCTAACGCTTTTTGATTAGATCTTTCGAAAGATTCACCAGGCTTACGTGAACTTGATACTAAACCCGTTCTACGATCCGGAATCAAATCAATTAATTACATCGAAGTCGTTTACAAAGTCAATGGAAGAACTGGTCACGAAACCTTAGTTGTATTGAGGGTTTATGTATATAGTGACGTGGTGGGTGGGTATAGATAGTAAATTAATAACGACCAAAACCTATGATGACGAGCATTGTGCAAAGTGTAAATCGCGTCCAGTAATATTCTTTGGAATCAGTTTACACGATCTGCTTGCTTTTTTTCATTCATCCTTCCAATCAACCATCCTTGCTCTCAACTCCCAACATTGCCGTTTCGCTGTCTTGCTGACCTCACAACAAGTCAATTTGACGAAAGCGAAAGATTTGAAACCGCACAGCTACCCTCACAAAGATCTTGAAATCGAAGTTAAAGGCAAGTCGCTCAGCACTTCAAAGTCACAGTGGACAACCACTTGGGTGTTTTCCGTGGGTGTATGGTTGTGTTGAAGCTCCTGAAAGCTTGACCAGTTTGCTCCGAAACAAGTGATATCTGACATCATAACCAGTAGCTAACCTACTTGTATTCCTTAGTTTGGATCCTGACGGGGTACATCTTAAAAGGAGAGGCAGCCATTTTGAAATCAAACACACATCAGTTGGTCAGAAGCAAATGACCTCCGAGACAGCCAACGGGGAGGAGCCAATAATCATTAATTCAACAGTATCTGTAGTAGAATCTACAGGTCTAGCTGTTGTCGACTCGAATCCGTCCGTTGAAAAGACACTCAACAAGAAACGCTCTTTCATCGCTAAACTACGTGACAACGCAAAGGAGTCGGTCTCTTCTCTGCTACATCGAGATTCCAATAATACTAATACAGCTGTGAACGGTCTAGTTACCAAGTCGCCGATAGCTGATAATCTCATCGCCGAGTCAACAACAGCGACTAGTCCAGTAGTCCCACTAGAAGAACCAACAAAGGGACTCAACATACGTGTGCCAAGGATACTGAGAAAAGTGCCTTCCCTCGTCGACCTCTCTGCCGCATCTCGCAACAACCAGAATAATAGTGCTATTGATCAGGTAGCCACCGCAACAACAAACGGTACTGCCAACACTAGTACTCCCAACTCATCAACCACATCGACTCTATCCGTGGCCGAAAGTAATACAGCCACCGTATCTGCAACTTCCACCTTGTCCGAGGAACTCAACACCACCACAACCAACAATAAGACTCCCGAAGGAACACACACACCCGATAGTATAGCATCAACACCCGTCCTCACCGAATCAACAATCCCCGATTCATCGTTACCACCAACACCACCACAGACTCGATCATCTCGGCCTAGACCAGTATCCGCCTTCTTTACTACTCTGGGTAGAAGAGCATCTAGATTGGACTTTGGTGTAAAACCATTCTCGCATCCTGTAACTCCTCCGTTATCATCAACAACAACTTCATCCATGTTGAGTGTCGTATCATCACCTCAAGGTGATGTATTTGATGCTAGTAGTCTTCATCCGGATGATCCAGCTTATGTAGCACCTTCATCTGTACCAACTCCTGTTTCTGCTACTCTATCGCCGCCTGCTTTGACTGAAAAGGAAAGGAAGAATATGAAGAAACGGTCTAGTATGCTGGTTATGAGTAGTGGAGCCATGACTGGATTGTTCCAGAATGCCTTTAAGAGAGGTGGAGACAATCAGGTATGAGTCCATTCGAAAACTCCTTTTTTTTGCTTCACTCAGTTAAATCTAATTAAGATCTCTTCCCTTAACAGAGTTTTGTATCCGCTGCCACTGACAACACAAACGGCACAACTAATGACTCTGGTGTTGGAGGATTAGATCAAGTTGGTGGTATGGTTGGTCTTGCACCTCCTGTACCCAAAAAACGTCCCACTCCTACGCCAGCTCGACGAGGTACTGGACCCATCAGAGTAGTGGATGCCGAAGTCGGTCCCAACTCTTTCCAAAAGATCAAATTGATTGGAAAGGGTGATGTTGGTAAAGTCTACCTAGTGGTGAGTACATCAAAAGTTTACATTTATCTTTGGTTTCGCTTTCATCACTAACATGCTTTTGTGATTCGTTATAGCGGCGGAAGGATAACAACAAATTGTTTGCTATGAAAGTTTTGTCAAAGAAGGAGATGATAAAACGTAACAAGATCAAACGAGTTCTGGCCGAACAAGAAATTCTGGTATGCATTGTGGCAAAAAACTGACACTTGCACGATTTACAAATTGAAGAACACTAACACTTGTCACTCTTTTAGGCTACCTCAAACCATCCCTTCATTGTCACGCTGTATCATAGTTTCCAGAGTGACGAGTACCTGTACTTCATAATGGAGTATTGTTGTGGTGGAGAGTTCTTCAGGTACGAAGAGTTGCTGATAACGTGTTGATGGTTTTTTGCTGTTTCTCACGTACTTCTCTCGATTATTACAGGACACTCCAAAGTCGACCTGGCAAATGCATTCCTGAAAAGGATGCTCGTTTCTATGCTGCTGAAGTCATTTGTGCTCTGGAATACTTGCATCTTCTGGGATTTATCTATCGGGATTTGAAACCAGAAAGTACGTTCTATGCATCACGCTGTTCAGTGGTTTTTTTTCTCTCTACTCTCAGGGACACTGCAATCGGATTGAAACTAATACAATCATTGAACTGCTCGTAGACATCCTTTTGCATCAATCAGGTCACATCATGTTGACGGATTTTGACTTGTCAAAACCATCCATAGTGCCTGGCTCACCTACTATGGTTAAATCTTCGTCTCCATTCGCCATGCTATCGCCTACTACATTCTCCACTACATTCTCATCATCTGTAGTAGATACTAAGTCATGTACTGCTAATCTTCGTACCAACTCGTTTGTTGGAACTGAAGAGTATATAGCTCCCGAAGTGATTCGAGGGTGTGGCCACACATCAGCAGTAGATTGGTGGACGTTAGGTATCCTCATATACGAAATGTTGTATGGAACAACTCCATTTAAAGGACCCAACCGAAATGCTACCTTCTCCAACATTTTGCATAACGAAGCCACCTTCCCAGATTCACCATCAACGTCACCGGCAATCCGTAACTTGATTAAAAAGCTGTTGAACAAGAACGAAGATCGACGATTAGGATCACGAGCTGGTGCATCAGATGTTAAATCGCACCCTGTATTTAAAGGATTGAATTGGGCTCTCTTAAGACATGCTCCACCGCCGCTTGTGCCTGTAGTCAAGACTGCTACGGATACAGCCAACTTTAGACATATTAATGAATCCATTGAATTGGATTTGGAATATGAACGAGTTGTGACGGATAATTATAATGAGTTTGGAGATGATCCGTTTGATGGATTTGAATCAGGTATGTGTGTTTGGGTCATTTTGCGTTGTTAATCTGGATGGTGCTGTCGTTGTTGTTGCTCCACCGTGGAAACAGAAAAGTGTTAATATCCTCGAAGACTTAACAGATTGTTAACCTCTTACTCTTCACGCACATAGTTACAATCCATCATCAAAATGAGGAATCATACTCTTCCACTCCAATTACTTCCAGAGGTTCGTCAGCATCAGCTAGTAGAGCATCTGCAGGTCGATAAAGAGGGTTGGGTGGGTGGAGAAATGGAAGCTTTTTTAATAACAAAGGGTCAAAGAGTTATTTTGTGAGGGACGTCATGTGAGAGAAGCAATATTGCAAAACAATGCGTGTGTCTAGTAGTAGTAGTTTATCTTTGCTGTGTTTTAATATACTGTCTGTTTCAACGAAAAAAATGCCTCTTCACAGGTCATATATCTTTTACAATTTTATTGGGTCAAACATGAGCGATAATATTTTACAAAGAATTCTATAGAAAAAGCTAGATGGAGAAGCCATGCCTCTATTTCGACGTGAATCGAAATCCAGCGTCGATGAAAGCAGACAAGAGTTTCAAAAAGTCGTCCAAGTCCATCTTTGCCGGTCTCTTTTCACTTATGTCCAGCGCTTCCAATACACCCATGACTTTGGCCTTGACGTCAAAGTCTGCTGGTACAATCTAATGGAACGAAGGTGTTGGTCAATATCAGCGGGGGAACCCCCACGGAAGATGAGCTATAGTTTCACACCCTCTCACCTTTTGCTGTATACTACAAACAGTCTTATAATTATGCTCCAACACATCCAGCACAGCCTGACTCCTAAAATTCGCAGCACAAGTCTTATTCTTCCTCACAAACAAGATCCTCAACAATCCATCCCATTCATCAAAATCAACTGGCGGTGGTGGTTGCTTCAACTCGATTCGGACGACAGATGATTCGACTTTGGGCGGTGGTCTGAAATTGTTTTTCGAGACCTTCATTATGTGTTGGACTTTTGCGACTAGCTGCACGTTGGCTGAGAGGCGGCAGTAGAGGGGGTCACCGGGTTGGGCGACGAGACGGAGGGCGAATTCGCGTTGGAACATGAGGACGGCACATCTAGTGTAGAGAGAGGGGTTAGGCGACACCGCTGGGGTATATCGTGTCTGACTTGTCCATCATCAGGCAAGTCGAGATCCTTTCTTCACCTCCATATAGGCCGATGCTGAAGCAACTTGAAGACAAGTGGTGAAGATATCTGGTATGGCGTATTCGATATACAGATATCAAAGTATGGTAAATCCACCTTTAGAAAGTCTCCAACAATCATTTCAAGCTTGCGTTGTTGTGGCCTACAAATCAAAGACGATTGTGGTTTGAGCTTTCGAGTGTTGATCGGTGACGACGATTAGCGTGCTTGACTCACGTTCCCTGTACACGTTTTGACAGTTCAGCAGCTAATCTAGCGTCCATTTCCACTGCAATACACTAATATGTAGACGTGAAGTTAGCTCAGTTTGTACGAAAGACATTATCGTTCACTTTTTTTTGCTCCAATGTTTTGATCAAACTCACCTTCTTGGCCTTCTCAAGTATCTTGACGGTAACATTTCCGGTACCAGGACCAACTTCTAACACTGTATCAGTAGACTTGACTCCTGCCTATGTGTTCAAAAGCTTGAATCAAAAGCAAGAAAAAAAGCGATTTCTGCGCTGATTACCTTTTCAATGATGGAATTAACAACTAATGGATTCTTCAGAATATGTTGTCCCAGTTCCTTATTGAACATGGGACCAGCTGTTGTTTTGGCATTCTTCGCTATTGGTCTTCCTTTATCGACTTTCGGCATCTTTGTGTTTAAGGAAGACAGCGACGCGGACAGATCACTGGCCAATTCGCGGGGAGACATTGCATCTTGATATTTTGTCCTCACACTCTTTACAAAAGTCAAGCGTTCTGTTATCTCTATTCTGTTATCTTTACATTGAAGAGCTTTACAACAGTGCCCGTCCATACGGACGGACACAATTTGCCTATCTCAGCATTTTGTCTATTTCCACTTTTCAGGAAGATTGCGCCCTAAATTGAGCATTGGTCAGCGACAACTCCCAATAGCAACTGCAAAAGGGACGTACCCATAAGAAACTCGAAAACCACACTCGGATAGGATCATTGTAATGGAAACGACGGACCAGTATTGGTTGAGGAAGAGGCAACAAACCAACGAGAGTGCCGGATTGAAGGTACTGGACTACTTGCTTCTCATCATTCAGTCCTCGCTCTACACAAAAGGCCTCGATTTGGGGACCTAATGTGTCAATCAGGGATAATAGTACGGCTAAGGGGAGATGCTTCTTCCAGTAGTCAAACTACAAGATAGAATTGTCAGTGAGCAAAAAACCAACTTGATATACAGTATGGACGCAACCTTACCCATTCTTTTGAAGGCTGGAATCGATTCTTATGAGTCGTTGTTGGCGTAGATGGAGGTAACGATTCTTCACTGCCAGTACTCGGCAACTTTCCTTTGGCCTTTTCTGATAGCTCGTCTGTTGCGGTTGTGCTAGACGACTTTGACAATGTGCCTGGTGTTCCTTGAGATGCTTTGGCTGCTTTTGCTTCACGTATACGAGTCAATTCAGCCAATGCATTGGTATACGTCAAGTCATTCAAACTAACAACTTTATCTTTGGCTCTTATGAGTGAGTATACCAATTGGGAGTTTCCTACGAATACCGTGCCTGTTGAGTTTTTTTTTCTTTCAACAAAAAGTGTTTTGCGCTCACCTGCAACTTGGAATTGAATCAAATTGTTGAGTGTCTCAATCATATAAAACACAAGTTTATGATTCGGTTCTGCTGACAACAAGAATGCTGGATTGGAGAAGGACTGGAAAAGTGACAAAAGCTTATTTGAAGTCACAACGGTCAAGGATTTGATATATGGTGAGATATTCGTCATGGTAATCATAAAGTTTTCGTGTAGAGTAGCAATAGGGGTTCGAGATGTGGTGGTGATAATGTGATGAATGCTTAATATCAGGAAGTCTCCATAACATCCTGCTCCAAACACCGGTAGTAGTTTCATTACTGGACCTGCGAGACCTGCTGGATCGAACGACGTATTAAGCTGTACGGCAAAGTTTCGATCTTGAGATAGGATGTGGATCAAGAAGCAACAGAGTCGAATGACTCCCAATTGAGCTAATGATATATGAAGGAGTGTGAGGAGATGTTCGTGACAATCGTTGGCAAAAAAGACCTCTTGTCACTTGATACTCACTTGGGTCTGATTTGCCATCTAGGACAAAGTACAACATGGATGTGAGCAATACCAGCACCTTATCATTCTCCATTGTATATCGTGAGAACCTCTGTACAAGCAAAGTGTACGTTATGTGAGCGTGGCTTCAAAAATCAGGCTATTACAAAATGACACATACCTCATTCACTTCCAACAACTTCCATAACAACATCAATACTTCAGCATACAATGATACTCGCTTTGTTGATCCAGGGAGGTAGACATTGGCAGACTAGGCAAGATATTGTTTGAAGTCAGAGAGTCAGCTCGTGAAAAAAAGTACACTCAACGTCTCTTTAATCGAATTCAAGGAACTCACATCAATCGGATTCCTGATCAGCCTAGTGATTCCAGTCAAAACAAAATTGGAGTCTTGGACTCTATACATGCGAGACATATAGTACTGAAAGTCATTATGTCTGGTCACGTCTAGGTCGTTAAGATGCAAAGTTTGAGAGATTAGTATCATTGATTCGGTTTTATAAGAGGTAAGATGCTCTCGTACCGTTCGTAGGTGGTTGAGTGCTGGGTTCGGCAGATTTGGACTGTTTCGTTGGTGACGACGGTGGTTTATCGGCGTTTGCTGCTTTTGTGACTTCTCCCTCTGTTGAGCCTTCAGTTCCACTGTGTTGTTGTTCACCTGCTGCCTCTTCGTCGTCATCGTCAGAATCATTTTCTAGGTCTTTAGATGCAATGACTCGAGCAACTGCCTTGTAATCCAACAAGACTGTCAATGTTTGAAGGCAGAGAGTGACTAGTTGTTCTTGTATATCCGAAAAGAGAATCTGAGCAAAAAATAGCACATCAATTGGGCTATCAATCTGGTAAACGGATTCTGCATCCGGGGTCATGGAACTTACGTGGTTGTAAGGTATGAAAGTCCACGAGTTTGGGTCATAGTTCATGGCCGTATTCAGCAAGGAGCATAATACTGCCAATACTGCCCTCCTTTCCAATCCTGTAACAAACACACTTGCCCATCGATTGTCTATGGGTTGTAAATATTTGCGAGGTGTCAATGAGGGTGGTAAATAAAATAAACGTCGGTCTGAATAAACTTGTCACATAGCACTCAGCAAACAAAAAAAAGGCAGTGGCATCTACAAAGAACTTACCAAAGTTGAGCAGCTCAGTTGGAACAACATACATGCCATGAGACAACAAGACTAGAAACAATCTCATTGTCTCAATCCTAGCACAATCAACCTCTCGTGTGCTGTTTGGCCCAACATTCACACCAAGACCTGGAGCCCAAATCACATACTGGAGCCCGTTATGATCAGACACATAATCTGGCAATGTAAATCCACGAATAAATAGTAATTTCACCACAGCTGTACATAGTTTAGCTCCTAACGTGTCCTTGAGTCCGCCATCAGCACCTTCAGCCTTCCAGAAAAGGTTTTCTTCGATAGGCGATTGTGGGACTTCGAATATATATGGCAAGATTCGAGTTAAGATCCGTACAGCATTGATGACACGTTTGCCGACTTCCTTGTCAAAGGGTTCTGTCGAGTTGGTGAAGGTGAGGATGTGTTCGACACATTTCGTTAGGAGGGTTACTAGATTTTCTGGGGCTGTATCTCGTGTCTTTTTGATATCAGCTGGTGCGAATAGATTGTGCACATCCTCGCTAGTCTCTGGGGAATAAAAGAAAGGATCAAAGAACTCGTAGTCCCGAGGATTGATTTTCTGGAATTGCCAACACAGAAGAGTCAGAGACACGAGGCTTGACTCGTAGATATTCATTATTGCGATTACCTTGTTCTCATGGAGTTGAAACACGTTCTTCCTCAGCTGAAGCTTGGATTCAGCAGCACCCTATAGAAACAGAGAATGTTGGTTTTGCGAGTGTTCAATACCAATGGATGCAACTAGTTCGCTTCAAAATATGATCTAAACTATCGTGGCCATAACTGTACTTACCATGGCAGGCAAAACCTCCTCCAAAAACCAATGAGCTCTGTCGAGAAGGGATTTGAACAAACGGGGGACGACGAGGTGAAAGCAAAAGAGTGGTTTTCCAAATTTTACGTGACCAACCCGGCATTCGCCATTGAATCAATTGAATCAGCGAATCGTTGAATCTGGAATCTGGAACCGCAAACCATGGCATGACTTCTCGAAATATATGTTGTTTGTGTTTTGTAGCATATAATAATAACAGTTCGGTTCCGCCTGCTCCTTTTTATATTAACTACCGTGCTCCGCCAACGATTATATTGTTGATGGGAATATGCACGAGTTTGACAATAAACCCAATAAAGCCCATCAACAGAAAGCCGAGTCCCACAGATTGAGAGATTTTGATGAATTCTGTTAATGATTGAGGTGACGAGTGTTTTGTAAGTTCATAATGTTCCAAAAATTCCATTCCATTCATTCAATGCGCCAACGAGTCTGTTGACACAACCACAGTCTCTTTCGAGTATTTGACATGCGTGGACAAACAACGTGACAAACACACCCACAAATTCAATGCATCCATACGTCACGTATCTGTTCTCCAAATATGCACGTTAATCATTTCAAGGTGGCTTCACTGCCCTATTCGACGCCCACCACTTCACCTCCACCACCACATCAAATGTTCTGACATTTCGGCGCCCTTCAATGTATAGTGTCCAACAGAGAGCGACTGTGATCGGCATACCTTTTCTATCTGGTTTTGTACATCGATTTATCAACTGTATGCTGTCTTTGAAGAACTCTTTTGGCACTTCGATAAATTCAGTCAACACGTCGCTCATTTTTGATATTAAATCTAATAACAAGTGATTAGTCAAGAGAGATAAGGTATGAATACGAGTACTTGCAGATTGGATAATCCTGCTTACAGGTTATTCAAACCTTTTAGAACGGCTGGTCTTTACGATTCTCGAAATGTGAAATTAGGACAGAGACGTGAAGGAGAGGGAAAACTGCCATTCTTTGCCAAAAGGAGTCATGCCTCTGTAAGTATCAAGTATCAACATTTTATACCGCCTTTACTTGTTTTGTTATGAAAGAAACACGTTTATTTGCTTGTCTTTCTGTGAAATTGGACAACATTCTATTCTTTTGCCTATTAGGGCTACTAAACACAATATGTCCTTTGTACAATGGTGAGTGCAACTGCCGAGTAAGACAATATTCACTCTCTTTGACTTTTATTGACATGGAAGGCAACACCAATGTCAATGTCAAACACTGTCCAACATTCCCTTCATTCACCATAGGGCCGTTACTCTATCTCTATGTTGTAAGTCTCTGGATCTATACTGGCACTAATCTCTTGACTTGTCGAGCTGATTGACCGAATGAATTCCCATTGGTGTTGCTTGAGACACCTCAGACGACGCTTTTGGCTTTCTGTGTCCAATGAAACAATTGACCAGACCCACCATCTAGTGGTGATAATCTTCACTGTTGTTGTCTTGGTCGGGAGCTCAATCTCTGCAATAATTGGATGTTTGATGGCATTCATTCTCATCGTCATTGGGCTCATCACTGCCATATATTGGCGTCAACGACATTTACGGTAAGCAAGACAGTGCAACGTCTCCATTTGTCTCCATCCGACAAAGGAACTGACCACTCTGTCTTGGCTAGTGATAACAGCTCATCTGTTGGGGAATCCCATCGCTACGAATCATCAGATTCATCGTTCGCTTCCTGCGAAGAAGCATCATTGAGCTCACCCATTTTTGACGACGAGAATGACGACGTCGATTCTGCAGTTCCATCACCACTTTCGGTTTTGGACGACACTCATTCTACTCAACGTGATATGTCCTCAAGGCCGTTATCACCCGTCAGTCAAAGCGAATGACGTGAATCTGTGCCATCATGGGCTAAGAGCAATTTGATTCGATTGGATTGATCAGGACGATTGAGGTTTTGAACAATGTCGTAAAGCGCTCCATCGTTCTTGTGTTTTCACTGCTTTTTTTTTTGACGGAAAGGAAAAAACAAACGTTCGACTCCTGTGAATGCATATAAAGCTAGTAGGATTTGTATCTGTAAAGCTTTCAATATCTCATTTGTATTTAGGTTAAATGTTGCCGCAAATGGTTTCTTGGACAGGTTTCTTTATTTGAGACAGGTTTCTCTACTTGAAACGGTTTACTTGCTACGTATGCGAGCATATCATGGTTGATGAGACCAGAACAGGTATTGTCTTGAAAGTAGTTCCGGCCGAATTGCGAAAAACACATTCGTCTGTGATCTAGACGGCGAAATGAGAGCTATACTTTAGGAACACGTTTCCACGCGTTCTTATATGAAGTCTAACAACAGATCGCTCGAAGATTCCAGTGCAGAGCTTGATTGAGCCTTGTAGTAACAAACGGATGGGAGAAAAGGCAAGTCACACGACTCGAGACTGTGAAACATTACCTCACATTCCTCTTTCAACGAACCTCAATAGCGGAATAGTGCCAAAAAGCTCTTACAGCCATGACTGTTGCCGACAACAAGAGAGACGTGCTCATAGTAGGCAAGTAAACATCTGAAACTGTTTCTGCGGCTGTTGTTGCGTAGCACTAAAACTCTCTATTGGAATTTTGTCCTCCAGGGGCTGGATTTGGAGGTAACTCTAGGCTCTCACAGCTCTATTTCGTTTCTATATGGCATTTTGAACTGTTGCCGTACTGATCTGGTCGTCGATTAGGTCTCTACCAAACACATCTATTACACAACGAACGAGGTTATTCTACTCAGACGTTTGAGACTTCAGATGAGCCAGGAGGAGTACGTAGCTTTGCTCAATCATATCGATGTTTAAGCGGTTGTGTTAATCATGTTTTCGTATAGACTTGGAACTGGAACAGGTTTGCACTTTTGGCTTTCGTTCTTTTAGCTGTAGCTTGACGCCCATCCAAAAACAGGTATCCTGGAGCACGTGTTGACATTGTCTCACGAGTAAGTGCTTGATCAATTGCCTTCTATTGCCTTTTCCGTTATTTTTCGATCTTGTCTCACTTGGTGCACTGTGGCGGACATTTTGACTTGAAAATAGTGGACATTATGGATTCTAGAGTGTTTTGCTCCAAAAGCTGGAACTATCGCTGCTCATAGTGATCTTTATGAACCATGATTGTTGTCTGACAAAAACTCTGTTTCTTCTTCACAGGACTACTCCTTCAAGTTCGACAAGGAACTGTATAAGGAATGGAACTGGTCAGAGATCTACGCACCACAACCAGAACTGATGGCCTACGTCAAGCACATTGTCAAGCGTTACAACCTCGAACCTCTGATTCAATTCCGCTCCAAAGTCATAAGCGCTGTATGGTCCGACACGGATTTCAACTGGACTGTTACCGTCGATCACCAAACAGCTGATGGCAAATCCGAAACTCAAACCTGGGTTGGTCGACACTTGGTATTGGCTACTGGTTGTTTGTCTTGTCCAAACATTGTTCCATTCAATGGTATGAAGGAGTTCAAGGGCAAGATCTACCATACTGCTCAATGGTGAGTGGAAACATTCTCCCCTTCTTCGGTTATGATTACTGAACAAGAGATTTTTTCGCTATAATAGGCCCAAAGGAGGTGTTGATTTCACCGGCCAGCGTGTGGCTGTCATCGGAACTGGATCATCTGCTCTCCAATCCATCCCTATTATCGCAGCACAAGCTGAGCACTTGACCGTCTTCCAACGAACGGCCACTTACACTGTCCCAGCTTGGAACCGCAAGCTCGGAGCACATGAAATGGATGAAGATAAAGAGAATATGGATGGTCTACGTGCCGTTGGCATGAAATCAGCATTCGGTAATGCAGTGTTTGAAAACTATTTGAAGCAAATGAAGGATCATACTCCTGAAGAAATTGAAGCTCGATTTGAGAAGGTATAGGAGTCAGTGTAAATTGGATGTTTGGTTGTGACCTTGGTTCTCAAATCTATTTTAAATACTCTAGTTATGGAATGATGGTGGACTGTTCTTCTACGGTGCCTTCCCAGAAGTGAGTGCAACTCCCACCACTTGTTTTTATTTACGTCAGGATTTGAACTGTTTTCAAACCTTATTCAATGTCTTAGCTACTGATATCTCAAGAAACTTCAAATGCTGCCCGTGCCTTCTTCCACAAGAAGATCAAGGCTATCGTGAAGGATCCCAAGACTGTAAGACAACGTGATTTCAACGAAACGGTTCCCCTGAATAACATAAATCATCTCTGATAGGCTGAAATGCTTTGTCCTGAGCATCCTCCAGGTTGCAAACGTATTTGTGCTGACACCAAGTAAGTGTCTGTCGCCAGAGAAAAACATACACGAAAACCCCTTCATTGACTGCAACTGACTCAACATGTTATTATTAGCTACTGGGACACCTACAACCGTGAGAACGTCAAATTGGTCTCCATCAAAGGCAACCCACTTAAATCCGTTGGTGGTGAAGATGGTTACATTGTTCTTGAAAACGGTGAACGGGTCGGTCCATTCGATTCCATCGTCACTGCTGTTGGTTTCGATGCCATGACTGGATCGCTGGATAAGATAAACATTGTCGGTCAGAATGGATTGACTTTGAAAAAGGCTTGGAGTGCTGGTGAGTAACCATCAGTAAGAGTGTCTAGATACAGTGCGAAATTTGTTCGTGGCGTTGCTGGGATGTACCAAGAGGAAGTGCAAAAAAGTCTTACCAGAGTAATGAATACCATATTTTTCTGTGCTATATAGGCCCCGTCAACTACCTTGGTCTATTGATCCACGGCTTCCCCAACATGTATCACATTGCTGGACCTGGATCTCCCTCCGTTCTCGCCAACATGATTTACGCCGTGGAGCAACACGTGGAATGGATCGGAGACGCCATCGTCAAAATGGACAAGGAGCATGTCAAGTCTATCAACGCCTCAGAAGAAGCTCAGAACTTATGGGTCGGGTAAGCACCTTGCAGTAGGTGGCTCTATTTTGTTGGTCTTATATCATCTTGCTTGCCTATAGACACGTCAATGCAGTTGCAGACAGTACTCTTTTGGGAAGCTGTAATTCGTGGTATTTGGTGAGTCTTTCTTTTTTGCGATTTCCTCCAGAAGGGACCGTTCTCTGACTACTATATCATCCATTAGGGTGCTAACGTGCCTGGAAAACCAAGAGTATTCATGCCAGTGCTTGGATTCGGAGACTATGTCAACAAGTGTAACGAAGTACTTGCAAACGACTTTGAAGGTTGTATCCTCACTAAGTAAACTACAATTCTCGACATCTCTTACTCTCATTCCAAAAATAAGATCTAAAATTTAAACTCCCGTCAGTGGCATGAGCTGCAACAGTTGAACATCTTAGTTTTTAGTGCCATGTGCTGTGTTTTCATTCAACATGAACTACACACAAAAGGTCCTGCGATCGCTACTCGGATGACATGGACTCTCCATCGCGGACTGTATATATGATATTCTCTACGCGGTTAGCATCACGTTCATGTGTGTTTCAATAATAACGTGTTGCATGAGGTTCCGCTAACTGCTGCGACGCCAAGAAACGCGACCATTCATTTTGTCTACACGCAGGATCTTTGATTTTGATCCTGGATTGGCCATTTCCTTACTTCATTCATCGTCCAATTTACTGGAGCAGTGTGACTTCCCTTTTTCACCCCTGGATTCTGCAAACTCAACTAATTGCCATAACAACCTTAGGAAAAGAAGTTGCCAACCGGGCAAATCAAAACCATGGCAGTCAAAGCTTTGATCTGGGCTCTTATAGCTTCAATCTCTTCCCAGATATTGCAAGTAAAAGCCGATACTCCATGGACGTCTACCTCACAGAATGGCTATGACTTGTTTGCGAGTGAAACCAACTTAAGATTCCAAACGGATCTGCCTGCAGGATGTGCGCAAGCTGTACATGACGGGCTGAATGCGCCGGCACTCGCGTGTGGTTTTGGACTAATCGACAACATTATGACAAAGACTCCAGCTGCACTTACTACTGCCAATGTGGACGCAACTTGTAAAGCAGTCACGCAAGGATGTAATGCTGCGATTTCTGAATTCTTGTCGGCTACTACCATGTGTGGCACGCATGGGATCTTTTCACCTGTTCGAGGTATGAAGCACGATTAGCAATGTGAACAGGCGGGAGTCATCTAACTTTCTGTATCCTAGGCTCTCCACCTGACGACCACAAGACAGACTCTGGCAACAACAGCACAGAAGAGATGGTGGCTGCTGTAAGTACAGTATGATCTTGAACAAGCTTACCGTCAACCCAACTGCTAACTCCTCACATCGACTACCACAAGGTCTTGCAAGGCAATAGAGCAAACCTCGGAACAACAGGTCGTACCGTTATCAACTTGGCGAATCTGTTTGCATCGACCTGGGCAATGGTCTGTTCAAAGGACCCAACCACGCTACAGTACTGCTTAATAGAAGACGCTGCTATTGCTTCATCGGCCGGCATAGGATCTCAGTTTTATTATAATGACTTGAACGCCGCCAACATACATGCGACTATTGCCAAACAGGGGACACGACTGTGTAATAGATGCACACAAGCTCGGATGCCATTTGCTCAGCAAGTAAGTCCTACAAAAGCATCTTTTTAGGTTGTCCCCGCATGACTAACATCACCCTTTGAATCTTAGTACGCCGACATAGCAGTCTTGGCCGATGTGAATATAGTCACTTTGGCATTAGCAAACAATCAGGGTATTGGGTGCACTGGAACGTACACACTAGCCTCATTGGATGATCAATATGGAAACCCAATAAGTAATTCCACGACTTCGGGTACGCCGCCTGCTGGTAAGTCCCCCATCCTTAAATTCCCACTGTTTCTCAGCGCTTACCATCTTCTACGTAGGTTCTAGAACGACCACAGCTGCCGCTGCTGCCGCTACCACACTTACTAGTGTCTCGACCAACGATGCAGCTGGCGCATCAACAGCCTCGTCTAATGGCCCGGGATTTCCAACGACAGCTGTTGCAGTCTCTGTAGTTGGAGTAGTTGCTCTGGCAGCAATGGTCGCAGTGTAAGCTGCAACTATCGTGTGCTCAATAGCAACGAAATCTCCCTGAAGACCACTGCTTATCCAAGAACTAACCGTTTGCAACCGTTTTAGCGGTGTTATGCTGATACGGAGGTCACGTAACCGTAAAACATCAACAGGAGGCGTATCGAATTCCAACCCACAACCACCTATGCGCCCAATGTCATCAATTACGGCACAGTCACAACCACTGTCTGATGCTGGAGTGAACCGAATGAGTTACCAACCATCAACTTTCACCGACGCAGAGAGTGGCGATCTAGGAACTTCAGCATCATTGGCACGTCCGTCATTAATACGACCAGAAGCCGTCTCGACTCTTGGTCGTGGCCCAACATCATCAGCGGTGTAGGGGGTTTGCGCATCGCATCCAGTATATATATTTGTATTAAATTTTATGCACAATTAGCTAGTAACGCACGTAATATTACACCAGTACAATCCTGAAAAAAGTCATGTTCACGTGCGTGTTGTTGTTTCAACCTCAATGTCGCAACAGTGTTGTTTTTGACAGTTGGCAACTGATCTAAAGCGAGATATTGCTATCTTTATTCGTAGACTACTACAAGATGGGAGCCGGATCTTCTCAGTATCAAATCCACCAGCCTCCTCTATTGAAACAAAAGAACACAGTGTTGGAATTGTATTTGTTTTCTGCCTCTGCCAAAGATCCTAAAGAGAAAAGTCAGGCTTCTGTATTTGAATATCATACTAGAAAAGACAGTGTAGAATGGGTCAAATCAAGTGTCCATGTACGTTGCCTTGTAAACCGTGACATTTGATCTTAATTTGTGAACTGATCATCTTTTCGATTGTTTCAGAGACTCAGGCTTATACGACATCCTGGAATTATTAAATTTATTAGTGTACAAGGTATGAGAGCGCTTTGCATCAATCATCATTCCTGATGCACGTTGACACTGTTGTCTTCAACAGAGGAATCGTCGGATGTCGTGAGGATTGTCACAGAACCTGTCCTTCCACTTCGAATGTTGTTGAATACTCTCAGTCAAGAACATGTGATACTTGGTATACGTCAGATCATCGAGACTCTGGAATTCTTACACAGTGAAAAGCTCTGTCATAATAATTTGAGACTTGATTCGATATATATTTCGTCTGAAGGTAAAGTTGTCAATCTTAAGCTGTATGTCCGCTTATAGAATCATTGAACGTGAATTCTTAGATGGGAGGTGGCTCGTTGGAGGACTGGAAGCCATGACGCCTTTCAATGATTTGAATCCAGTTGTATTGGCAAAACTAAGAATGCTCGTTCCAGCAGACATTGTTCCTCCAGAAGATCTAGATCCCACCTTGGTACGTATATTGTTGAAATCGTCGTGTGCCCGCCGCGGGTTGTGGAAATCATAGCGTTGCAAACTTCCAAGATTTTTTTGTTGGAGCTTTGGCGTGTGTTAACCGTCCATGCAATTCTTCTTAAGCAAGGAGAGCCTGCTGCTAGGGATTCATACGCATTGGGGTTCTTGCTGTCAGACATAATATCACGCTTCCTTGTCTCGACCAAACCAATGTACCCACCAACTCCTGAGAACGCAGCTCCTCCATCAGAAGCAACCACGAAAACAGATGTCTCACCCACCAAAACAGATTCACCACCACCGTCAAACGTGTACGACTGGTATGGTCTACAGGATTGTGCCGACAAGATGCTCAGTAGACAGCCTGTCAAGCGTTTACGGGCGTCAGAGTGTCTAAGGCATCCATTCTTCTCCCATAATCCTTTTGCCAATGCAATAGCAGCGTTAGGAGGCATTCGTACTCTTGATGCCAGCAAGAAGACGCAAATGTTCGCGTAAGAGCAAATCAACCTAGATATACTATTCTTTTTGTGCATCAACTAATTTGTTTCCATCCTTAGAGAACTACCTGCCAAACTGTCAATGCTGTCTTCTCAAACCGTCGTCGAGTATATATTACCACTGTTACTTCAGCCTGAGATGTTCTCGGAACCAGGCTCGTCAGCAACTTTTGCCGTCCTATTTTCGTGTCGCAACCCTCAACCAATATTAACTCCCAGCGAGTACCAAACCCACATACTTCCATACATAAAGGCGAACTGGACCATTAGAAGACTTGACGTTCGCCGTGGTCTTCTAGAAACCTTTGAAGAATATCTGCACGCACTCGTGGAAACAGAACACAAATTCATAGAAACGGTGCTGCTCTCTGAAATCCTGATTGGTCTGGAAGAAATCGACATGGACGTGTATATAATGTCTATTAAGTGTCTTTGTATACTGGTGCCACGTATAGCGCTTACGGATTTGCCATCATCGACACGAGCCAATATAACAGACCCACTTCGACCTTCAGCAGAGATGTTAAGACCATCACCTTTAGAAGTCAGTGCCTCTTCAGTCGATCCTACAAGGCCTGATTCTGCTACTCAATCACGAGCAGGAGATTCCTCGAGTCAACAACTACCCGCTTCGATGAGTATACAGAGTATTGTCGATGGATTTGTGATTCCACATATATTGACGGTTGTGTGTATGGAGGATGTTGATGATGGTGTTTGGTGGCAGGTTGTTGAGAGTTGTGTTATGCTTTGGAAGAGGTTGTGTGTGTTAGAAGGTCGTTATAAGGTGAATCAGATAGACTGTTATGTGCTATTTCGCTACCCGAAACTGACCAATCGATTGATGTAGATGGCTCAACTGCGAATTCCGACCAGATCGTTGCTACGTCTTATATCCCTCATTCTCAAATCCAGCTCCTCAACCCGCAAAGTGTTCATAGTATCCAAACTTATACTATCGGATTTGACACCACAAGGCATGAACGCCCAATCGTTTGCCTTTTTGCATTGGGGACCTCGAGCAATCGAATTGCTGACCCCCATGTTAAGAGATGAATCCAAGGACTTGAGAACTATGGCCGCATCTTCCATTCAAAAACTCGCAACAGCAGTATCAGAGGCTATGGATCACGCACCTTCTGTGCTTCGACGACGAGATGAATCCGAATCTACAACCCAAAGGCTACGTCGAGTTACTCACCAACACTCTGCATCACGAAGAATCCGTCTACCACGAATGGGTCCAAGAGTCGCCGCACCTCAAAAGGAAGAAACAGCCGGTCCGATAAAGCTCTCTATAGATCGTAGTAGTTTAGATGCAGAAGATGATTGGGTTGATGAGCCTACGAGTGCTGGTGGTGAATCATCGACTACTGGTATGGAAAGTCTCAATAGTAGTAGTAGTAGCAGCAAGACGAAATCAACAACACCAGCACTATCTGCCACCTCGTCGTCAACAACGAAATCATCTAAGTTGACACCTATAGAAGAAAGCAGGGGTAGTCATGAGGAGTTATCCAGCAGTAGTGCCGCTACAAGGAGCTCAAAGTCTGAAAAGGAGGCTAGTCAGTCGACGTCTGGAAATCAACAACAGCAACAAAACTCGAAATCTAAACCTCAGCAAATCAACACGAATAATTCTACAGACAGCAAGTCGTCATATAAGCCCAGCCCACTTAGAATGGCTCAGTCTGCTGCTGTGTCGGATGATGCACTGTCAAGTAGCGCGTCGTCATTGGAGTCTCTTAGTTACGACCACAATACGCGTGACGTGAAGCTCAATTCACCTTAGATGTCAACACGATGTGACCGTGAAAAAAGGATGTATTGTATATAGAAAATAGAAGTCCGTATGTGCATACCAAGGATAATCCTTGTCCGCATAGATGCTTTTTTTTTGACGTGATTGGGGGACGATAAGAGGGCAAAACGGCTACTCTACGTTCTTACACGAGCGTTAAAACATGAGGAGAACTTGTATTTATAGAGTTTCGACGTCATAGATCGCGTAGGGAATGCTGTCATTCGACATTGGCGGTTTGTCAACTTCTTCAATCATCGAATTCTTTGACAAGATCTTAACAGCCATTGTGGAATCATTCATGACGACGTTACGACTAGCAAGGCTTATAACATCTTCACAGCCGCTGGCTACTATGGCTCCATTGTCGCAACGGCTAATGCCTGTAACTCTGCTGCAGCAGACTAGGAAACTTGCAACTGAAAGAGTGAGAATTCGTCAAGATTTCGCTTAATAGGTCTTAACAATGTCGTAATAGCACTTTAAACTAACATATTCATTGTCTATATAGCCTCCTCACTTTGTCAAGATTGTCGAAGTCGGACCACGAGACGGCCTGCAGAACGAAAAAACACACATCCCAGCCTCAACAAAAATATCCCTCATAAACTCGCTCGCATCCGCCGGCCTCCCCGTAATAGAATCCGCATCCTTCGTCTCCCCCAAATGGATTCCCCAAATGGGAGACGCGACACAAGTAATGACTGGAATCACCAAACTCCCTGATACAAACTACCCAGTCCTAACCCCCAACATTAAAGGCTACGAAGCAGCCATCAAAGCCGGTGCCAAAGAAGTAGCGATTTTCGGTGCTGCCAGTGAAGCATTCTCGAAAAAGAATATTAATTGCTCGATTGCTGAGAGTCTGGAACGGTTCAAGGAGGTTGCTGAGCGGGCGAAACGGGATGGGATTGCGGTGAGGGGGTATATATCTTGTGTGCTGGGGTGTCCGTATGAAGGGGATGTGCAGCCTGAGGCTGTTGCGGATGTCGCGAAAAAGCTGTATGAGATGGGGTGTTATGAGATATCGCTGGGTGATACTATTGGTGTTGGTAAGCCCCTTTGGTTATCGTTGGAGTATGATTTGAGACTGAAGTTTGTGTATAGGAACACCGGCCAAGATGTTTGATATGCTGGACGCTGTGCGCAAGCATGTACCGATTGAGAAACTCGCTGTGCATTGCCATGATACCTATGGACAGGCGCTTGCCAATATTCTAGCTGCGCTTCAGGTATTACATTGTTTATTTGGTACGCTTGAAAGCTCTTGCCAACCAAGACAATCTATCTTAGCTTGGCGTTCGAGTCGTAGACAGCTCAGTCGCAGGGCTCGGCGGATGTCCATACGCCAAAGGCGCGTCCGGAAATGTCGCTACAGAAGATGTACTGTACATGCTTCACGGCATGGGTTTTGTCACTGGTGCTGACTTGAACCAGGTGGTCAAGATTGGTGACTTTATATGTAAAGAGCTGAAACGGGCGAATGGAAGCAAGGTTGGGATTGCGATGCTGGCCAAGATGGAGCCGGAGACTGAGGCTAAGTTATAACTTAATTTTTTTTGTGTGTGTGGATAATATAAGGTGTCAGTATTTTATTCAATTTGTCCTTGTCGACACGATTCTTTTGTACGAGCTTGTTGCTAGCATGTATGGCTTGAATATCGTATTGGTAAAGTCTCTTCCAAGTTGGGTTTTGGAGAATATCAACCTCCATAACTTGACAGCCAGAACAATGACAAGACGTTAGACACCGTGAGCTAGTACGGAATTTTGAGAGTGCTACATTCTTGGACGAAACTAAAGTGACGCAACAGAAGACATAGAAACGTGCCAGATTGACTTTGGATGGAAGAAAATATATATCAGTCCTTCCTTTGAGTATCATTTTACTATAGCAAAATTGTTGACAAGCGCGTTTGCGTACATGTGTTTACGTGAAGTGCGACGAGAACGAAATCAACTTCCAAGTTGCACGAGGCAACTCCCAAATACAGCTAATCTATGCTATAGATCTATTTGAGGTGCTCTTACAAAAAAAGATGCTTTACAAAATGTGTATGTATGATTTGCATGTAAAAAAACTATGAGACAAAATCTTGCTCTTTTGCATTGACGTGATGACTATGTATGAAGATCAACAAACCACCCAAACTTCCTCTTACTCTATATATCACCTATGCCTTTCCTACCTTTACCCACTAGCAATTGACACGTCAGACCAGGCTTGCTGCATTTGAGCGATATCTTGCTCTACTCTACTATATTGCTCCAAGTTTGCTCCAAACTGCTGCGGAAACAAATCTTGCAAGACCTGGTGCAATTGCGTGCAACACAATGCAAATCGTGCCTCGACTTCTTCATCGTCACCCATTTCCGCCAACACTTTTTTTCTGACTGTATGGATGGCGGGTATTGGTGCGTCACCGTCAACAGCCATGCTTTGGTCAGCAGCTATTGCGGGACCGATTGCATTCATCATATTGAGTGGCTGGTTTGCGATGCCTGTTTCGTTGTTTCCTGAATAGTATTCATTCATCTTGACATATATACTCCAGAATAGCTCAAAGACACCTGGAGTCGTCCTAAAGCATTCGGCGATAGGTCGACATTCGTCAGCCCCATCCGCCACCAGTAGAGCATAAACTGTTTCTACACCAGTTTGCATGTCGACTTTGTTTGATTTCGAGACTGCGTATGCCAAAAACTTGAGGAGCGGAAGCAGGAATCCTGAGAGGAATATGAGTTGTATGCATTCTGTATCTTTTGATGTGGCAATCTAAGTTTATAAAAACAACGGTTAAAAAACCCATTTCATCCGTAACTGGCGGTACATTCCGTCACTTACTTGATGCACGACCCAGCAAGCTTGTTTTCTAACACCATTATTGAGAATCGTTTCATCTTCTAACGCTTCCAAGACACAAAACAAGAGCTCTGATTGCGTGACTAGTCGCCCTGAGGGACTTCCACAAATCAATGCTGCTATTGCCATATTTATAGATCGCACCGAAGGATTGTTGCCTTTATTTGGCAAGAACCGTTTGAGTGTGGCCAAAATTCCTGATTGAATCAATTGCTACGTGACATTTCGCAAATGTTAGTGGAGTTGGGTGACCATTCAGTCAAAAATATTCGCATTACCATAACGTTTTCATCAGAGGAGGCACCAATCTCATGAAGAGCTTTGAGTGCAGGTAGCAAAATTTCGAGGTTTGAGGCGGGTGTCCATCTGAAAGAGTAAAAAAAGGGTTAAGATCTTGGCGAAAATAGCAGCAATCGACGACAGTAGAGACTCCTACTCTATAATATCGACAAGATATGGTGTGACGTATGCGGGCATATGATTGAAGGCAGTCAAATCGTAAACAGTAAAGACCAAGCTCTACAAAACGCCAGGTAAGAAACGAGTAAACACAAGCAAAACCACGAGCAACGAATGCGTACCGTTTTGGTTGCTTGTGTGAGATGCCTATGACATTGCAACAGCTTAGAGAAGACACCTCCAGCATTTTCAATCTGTTCAGTCACATTGGAAGCTTCCAATCGTGTTCGATACAATTCGAGCTGTTCTGGTGTAGTTTGGATGAGATCAGACCTGATTTCAATCCAATGGGCTGTCTCTAACAATCGTCTGATGGCAGACAAGCACGAATCTGGTATCGAAACGTCTTGCTGATATCCTAGAGCTGGGAAGGCAAATGTGTGTATATCGGATAGGATTTCACTGATGGCGTTTATGATGCCACAAGATAGCATTTCTACGTGTATATCGGGCGACATTGATGAATGGGTTGAGGCCATGTTGTTGAGGACTTCGAGAGCGTTTATGTTTATGTTTGGTAGTGGTGATGCCAACATCGATACGAGGAGTGGAGTGAGGCCGGCCTTGTATATGAATATTGCTCCAGCTTCACAGGAAGATACTGGCACCAAGACGCTGATTGCTTCAAGGGTAACTGAGTCTGGCACAAAGTCGAGGGAGAGAAGTATTCGTGGGAGGTACTCCAATCCAGATTTGAGGGCATAGCCTACACGTCTGGCTGTACTCCTTGAATCTAGGGTGGAACGATAGTCAGAAATCATTCGAGAGATGTATCTGGATCGTTTCATACCAGGGATCTCTGTGAGATAATCTCGAAGTGTTGATAATGCCTGAGATTGGTATTCCTGATTCTGAAGCGCCAATATGATAGAGTTCTAAAATTAGTAACAAACGTGGTGAGATGTCTGTATTTCCGACTGATGGTAAACAGAAGAGCAAATGGGAAACGGCATGTGCTATGACTTGTCAGCATTTATCAATAAAAGATATCGCGATTTCTCACCAGTCGGCATTGCTCCGAGCTGTAGTCGTCGACCAGATTCCAATTTGATGATCTGTCGGTCTCTGCGACACCAATAGAAGACAATTGTAGTGTAAGAGAATCCAGATCGTCCGAGGAGATGGGAGCTCGTCTGTAGCTTCTATCCATTGTTGGAGCAAGCGGCTCTCGTGAGGGATTCATCTGATCACGTTCCAAACAAAATGTTGAGCAGAAGTGGCGTGTGATCTCCAAGTCGTGTCCTATCAGCAAATAATACCAATCTTGCTATATGATATTAGGTTTTGAGTTGCAATTTCTATCAAGATGTGAGGCCGTTTCTACTGTGCGGCGAAAACGTGTATGGGTGACGACAACTATAAAATGGTGAAAGAATCGGGGATGACGCGTCCAAGCTGGAGAGAACGTGTTGCTTTGCGGATTATGGCTACGTAGACGTGATAAAATCTTTGGATCTCGCTCATAGCTGTTGAAAACGCCATTCAACACAAAAGAGATAGATTTGATGGCTTTCAAACACGAGTCATGCTTTTCCGATCTGTAACATACAATGCCGTAGTTTCGAGGAGCTTATTGAAGAGATCGAGCTGCAAGTTCGCCATGGGGTTAGCCTTTTACATCCGCAAAATGACCAGCCTTTGCGTCAACCATCAACACAGGAGCAGACAGTAAGCAGCCATTGCGTCAACCATTAACACCGAGTCAATACAGAACCAATTTCTATCTCACAATGTTTCAAAGTTATCTGACTTTATTACTACGATACTTGTTAAAACACCAATAGACCAAAAATACCAACACCGTACACCTCTATATACTATTTTTTAATCAAACAATGTCACTTGTTCAAGGGCGGCCACCGTTGCTGAGCTTGCCAACAACCACTTCACCACGTTTAGCTTTTTCTAACCATTCAGCCCATTCAGCATCCTCCTGTTCCTTGGACACAGCCTTGATACCGAATGAACCAACTAGGAATAGACGGCCAAACAGTCTAGATCTCATCAATTCACCAGCTCGTTTAGGTTGGAATCGAGTCTTTAGGTCAGTTCGTACAAGGAAGACAGTGGTCTATGTTTGGAATTGTAGAGTGTAAGCCAAAGGGCATTTTGACAGAATGTGATGGAATACGCAAGTTCTTACCAACCAGCCAATGATGACCACGGCAGACACCCAGTAGAAATCGACTTGGTATGAGACTGGGTCAACTAGTGTAGATCCTGGAACGTGTACAATGTTGTTGTTGTAGATGGCTGTGAAGATGAGACCACCAATGACACCCTATCGAACAACGCAATATCAGGACGTGGTCGGTAACCATGATAAATGCCAAATAAACCTCACATCGAAAGACCAAGCAGTTAATATGAAACCGTGAGTAGCACCAGTCATTTTGCCACCAAACTGATCAGCCAAGAAAGCAGGGATCAGACCGAATCCGGCTCCGTAACACATGGTAGCGAGCTAAGGCGAGACGAGTTTAAAGCTAAATCTTGGATGTTGTCGAACTGAGCGAGATAATGACTTACGAAGATACAGAACAGGAAAGCACCGTATATTCCAGCTTGAGCAGAAGCCAAGATACCATAGATACAGGCGATTTGGCACGATAGGGTGAAGATGAACATTGGGCGACGTCCAAAGTAGTCAGACATTGTGGAGAAGCCGATACGACCAGTCATGTTAACGAGCGAGTTGATGGCAACCATTGTAGTTCCCTGTAAGACAAGATTGTGAGTACAAAGTGGAAAAGCACCAAGAGACAAGATATCTCATACTCACTTCGTATGCTGGCTTTCCGAACAATTGTTGGACCATGTTGGATAGACGGGAGACGATAAGGAGACCAGTTATAGAGTTACCCATCAACATAATGTCTAGAAAGTCATAACGAGTTAGCTTGCTGTTCAAGAAGGATAATTTTCACAACTTACACATGAAGATAAAATCAGCGGAGAAGATGAGTTGCAAAAGATCACGAGATGAGAAGAGGTTGGTCTTCACAGCTGGTTCGTCGACGACCAAGACACCAGATTCAGCAGACTTAAGGTCTTTTTCGGTAACAGAGGCAGCATGTTCAGCGTTGATGGCGGCTTCACCCTTAACAACGTTGACGTTGATGGCACCAACTTGGTAGCCTGGTGGGGGCACTCTGAAGAAGGGGACACATAACAACATGACGACGGCGTAAGTGATACCCTAATGAAAGAAAGAGAGTTGAGCACTCATTGTTTCGTGCTCTGGAATTGTTGCATCAACTTACGGTAACGAGGAAGGAGTAACCGACACCGTAGGTTGTGATCAAGTACGAGATGAAGTAAGAAGCAACCAATGTTCCACCACCAAACCCGGCAACAGCCTAAAAAACCTAAGAGTGAGCATTCTTGTTATGTTTTCGAAGAATTGCTGCTTGGGCTTACGAATCCAGAAGCAAGACCTCTCCAGTCAGGGAACCACTTTTGTAATGGGGATACCGGGGAAATGTATGTAAGACCGAAACCGATACCAGAGATGCCACCGTAACCGAGGAAGACCAATGCGTACTAAAAAATTGTAGGAATGAATTCACTTTGTTTGCATAAGAAGCTGCAGTGCCATGTTCTTACGATTCCAGTGAAACATCCAACAGCAGCTACAACATGACCGATCAAGAAGAGAGAGATACCCAGGAGGAGAGCTTTAACTGGACCAGCACGTTCTATTTTGATAATGACTAGTTAGTTACTGACAAAAACAAACAGCAACAAAGAGTGGCATTGGCATGATACACACCCAACCATGGACCCAGAGTAGCGGCACTGACACCGAAAAGACCGACAGCAACGTAGAAAACGTTGGGGGCTTGAGCGAGACCTGGGTTTGCCTTAAAATTTGCTGCTCCCCACATTAACGAGTCGAGAGGGGAATTATAATTGGACCATGCGTCTACAGGAGAATTGAGCAATTAGAAAATGTTGCCAGAATCTTGTTTTGTCTTGGAAGGACTTTACATAGAGATCCGACAGAGAGTTGTACTACATTAGGAGTTAGGCATGTGTGAGTCAACATGTGAAGGAAACGATGCAAACGAGAGATCCTCACCGAGCACAGCAGCAGGCAAAAGCGTCCATCTGTTAAACTTGGGGCCTGATGTTTTTGATCGTTAGAGAGTTCTCCGTATGCAACAAGGCTTGTGATAAATTTTTCTTCCAAATGCTTGAGCAAAACACATACCTGCTCGTATTCCAAGAGTGCCGAGTAGGTATTGTTCTCGTTCTAAAGGGTAGAAAACGAATTGTTAGATGATTATAACACGTTTCCGTGAATCCAGTGGCGTAGATCTTTCATAACATACCGATTTGTGCATCAGACCTTATCAAGGTCGTATTGTTGTACCAGCCGAGGATAGAATCACGAATACCCATTGTTGTTGTATGTCTTTGGGATGTTTGATGGAGTCGAAGTTGGTTTCTTGGATGTTAAAAGTTAGAGACAGGGCTGGAGACGTTTAATAGGGGTGAGCAAGAGAGCAAAAGGTGATACATCGGTGAAGCACGCACTCAGCTGACGAAAAATTTGCTCGTTCCATGAGCGCATATACTCCATTAGGGCTCACGAAGCCATGAAAAGACCCCTTCTCCATCAGTCATCGTCGAACAACTTCCAAGCCAGCAGCACCAGCGTGACAGGAAAAATTGATGATCTTGTGGGCCTTTTCCTGGAAAAATGCTCAGTAAGCAGGATCTTGGCAAGCTGGAAGCAAGGGGATTGTCAATCGGTGTCGAATGGAAGTATGGTATGGAGACTTCACAGAGTACTTTGTCAAAGTGGTTGTCTGGAACTCACCATCTCGGGCGGAAGACTTCATAAAGATTTCTTGTACATACAAGTCCTCACAGCAATATACAAGTATATTCACGACGTCAATTTTCCGAGTTCGATCCAGGTGTATTAGAGCTTCAAGCGAGCTTCATTCATTAGGTCCCAATGGGGTTAAAAGTTGTCGATGTTGAAGGTAATGTTGACTTGAGCCTTCCCACATTCGAACAAAGCAGACAGATTCCATGATCCATAGGAGATTGTAGCTAGCTCTCTACTGCAATTCATCTATCGTAACATAACAGTGGTAAGGAAGCACGTTTGAAGACGTAGCTGCATTCTCAAATCCTCAAAACCCAGCTCATCAATTCGAGAACTTATCCAAACTGACGATCATTCGTCCAGCTAACAACAGAAAGGCGTAAATGATAGTAAGATTACCTATGCATACGGCGTCTGCACTCTCCTGTCCCAACCATGGACTTTGACTCGTTGAATTGGGTTTGCGTCGTTGGACAAAAGGTTGGCAATTTTAATTCATGATGTAGTACGTCAAAACACTCAATCACACCCGATCACCCTCAAAATATATTGTAGTCCTAGGATATCTATTCAAAATTCTAACAATTACGTTGCAATTAAACTTGCTGTGCTCGCAGTCATCTCCACTAACGACATTCTCCTGCTCTCGAGTATCATTGGCTGTTTAGCTACAGCTGCTGTCTTTGTATTGACAGGCTTGATATCGACAGGAATCTTGACGGCAGAAGCCTCTGCAAACAAGGCTCTCATTTCTCGTAAAGCCGTCGCAATAGAGTCTGATAGAGCACTTGCATTCAGCTGCTTGAGACATGTAACGGTGACTAGAAGGCTGTTATTCTTGACGCAGTACGGGATGCCATAGGCATTGGCGCAGACTTGGCTCCTAGAGGTCCAGGTGGAGTCACATTAGTATTAGGTGGCTGGTGGTATTTGAATTTTAGAGTTTCTTACCATCCATAGCCTTCAAAACACTCTGAAGATACTTGAGAGGTAGATAATATCCAAGTCCTGGTGGCATCGTATTCTGGATCAGCAAACATACGTGGTATTTCTTCTCCGGATTTTATCTGGTGTTTCAATCCTGGAGCAAGGTGATGAGTGGAGAGTATTAAAATGGCTAAACTAACTTAAAATAACTCACCAAGAAGATGTCTATCCACTCCCTTGGCATCTACTGCTTCGCCCATCCGTTTTACGTGTGACGTGATGGCTTTCAACAACAGTTCAGCCTTTTCATGCATCTGCAAAAGCTTATTTAGAGGGCATAGAGGACATCGACTGGATCATTTAAGTACATACCGGAAGTGTCGGATCTCCCATAGCTTTGCACCAAGCAACAGATTCAACAGAGACAGTCCGGCAAGTTTCAGTTCGACCATACGCATACTTGCGAGTTTGGGCACTTTCATATGTCGGTTTACAGTAACCGTACATCTTATAGTATCCTAGTTGTATGGCCATTTGTACAAAAGCGTCTGGGGATACATTAAACTTCTTAATCTGTTGTTTCCCAAACTCATGGAATCCAAGCACCTTCATGTCTTCCCGGGCATTAAGGTCTTCAAAGGCCCATTCTGCACTTTTGATATGGAATAGTAGAGATTCATTTAGTTCCCATCCGAGTTTGGTGGGAAGCGGTAGACTTGACGAGATTTCTGGTGGCCCGTAATTTATCTTGCCCTTGTCAAGACTACCAAGAACACGAGTGTGAGGTAAAAAATCAAGAAAATCTACAATTTAAACAACTCACCTATCGATTATGAACTCCACCATTCGTCCTGTGCTCGTACCGTCGATCATGGAATGCTCACCAACAAATCCAGCTTTGCCGTTTTCGTAAATGAGATATTGACAAGTGACTTTTAGAAAGGACCTAGTTAGTTCGATTATCGAATGGCATGCAAGACGGATTTAGACTCTGTACCATCATTCCATCGGTTTCTTCCATCACCAAGCCATGTACTTCTAGACACGTCTGTTAGAGACTCTGGTGATCCATTTTCTAGCACAATCATGAATGAAGCCGATTCAATCTGGTCCAGTGATGCCAGGTTTACTGAGGATTCCAATAATTCACAACGAGCTTGAGCCCAAGCATCACGATTGTTTGCTGTCAGTGAACCAAGGCAAACATCCTTTGTTTGCCCAGCCATCTGCAAAACTCTTCTAATTTGACTTTTTGAAAGGTTGCAAGGTTAAGAAAGGTCTACTAGACGTTGCAAATCACCAAAGCTTACGTTTCAAGCTCGGCAGTATTGAGCTGTACACCAGATGCATGTACGGCAGACACCGAGTAGAATTTGCCGTTCCGGGATACTATAATATGATTGTTCTTGATCTTGTCTGATACACGGATAACGTCTGTCCCTGCTTTTGGAATTCGGCACGTGTTAAATAGCCACTGATATTGATCCATAGACAACGGCCCTGTGCGAGTGCTGTCTGCCTCCATCGTCTCACTAAGAAGTGTTGGGTTTGGATCAATTGAAGATCAACAACTGAACGGATGTTACGAGCTTCGTACTTGACGAGGATAGATTTGAAAGACAGTGCCGCAGTACAGATTTCTGCAGCCCGGCGAGCTTGATTGTTTAGGAGACGGGAGACATCTCTGAATACATAGTAATACGAAACCGTAATAACTGGGTCTCTAAACGATAGATATTGTTCTAACATCCATTTGTCAAATATCCTACACACATAAAGTTCATGGTCAGTATTCCAAATTTTAATTCAAGACTAATTTAGTGCAAATACCAGCTCGTCGGAGACGTTCGACTGTTTGGGTGCGGTCGCCCTTCAATACCTTCTACAACAAACTGACCCCAATTGGTACATTGACATGTAGAGTGTTCAATTAGCCTCTGCTGGAGAACTTGTCCAGAACCTTCAACGAATTCTCTAACATTTTGTTCAGCTCTCGAATAATGGCGATCAGACAAAAGGGGTCGAATCGATCTAAGATATCTTTGTGCTGTTTCTTGAAGGGAAGGTATTGGCAAAGAAGGCAAGGTTGCTTGATGTTTATAAAGGACCTTTGTCTCGTCTGAAGGAACTATTACGAAACGGTGCGTAAGCTGAAGTGGAATAACACAATGTGATTCAAGTGATCTTACCAAGAAGGTGCATTTGGATGAACAAAGCTGGGTGACTTGTATGCGAAAGGTCAGGCAAAGTGATCTAACAATGTTGTTCGAGTTATAGATGCTCCTACGAGTGTAAGTTTCCTGACGTTGTTATGTGGAAGGCGCGTGTTTGTGTGAATCAAAGTTGTGCGACAGAATGAAGTACATGTTCGACGAACTCGCATAGGTTATGATGGTTTAGCAGAGGCATCGATGATACAGAAGAACGCATTTTTGATATTTTTTGAGACTATGGCTCCCAATCTTTGCCATCGATAGCGTTTTTTATCCTGTCGCGTAAAAAGGAACAACTATAAATGATCCAACCTCATGCACAAGGCTTGTCTGGAAAAATGAGGCCAAAAACGATTGACTATGTGCAAAAATTGATTGCCTATGTGCTCCAAAGTTCTCTGTAAGAGCGATCGTTCGAATGATTTTCCTCACTTAGTTTTGAATATTCTTGCACCAGGCACATCTCTGCTACTCACCACAACAGATTCGCTGACTAAAGCATCTAACCTGACTTGGATGTGAACTCGATCCTGTTTCCGAGTCTGTCTGCAACACCTTGGGTCCAATCATTTTCGACCTTTTTTGGGACTCACCACCTTAATTCTATTTGTTTGCGTTGACAAAACGTAAATGCGTGCATTTCAACACCAAGACTCAATCGACGTAAGGGCAGTTGAAAGTCATTAGGAGACAAATGGCTTCTCTCTCTACTGCTTCGACCCTGTCATTAACTCTGGGGTTCGGCATTCCTCTTTTATTGGCAATCACACTTCTGCCAGCGGTTATCTATATCTATTCTCTGGTTACAAAACGTAAATCTAGTCAAAGTGAAATCACTTCCAGCAAGCTTTATGTGGAAGATCTCCATACCGTAACCATACTTCCAATAATCTCGCCGCCGAACTCCACCGTTGTCTCGCCTAGAGACATCAAGTCCCCAATGTCAGCACCATCTACCATATATAAATTGAATCCTAGCTCTCCTGCTGTATCACTCACTACGCTAACCAGTGCAGTCAATGGGACATATAGTAGATTCTTTAACAGGACTTCATTCACACCACCACCAGTTCCTATGCCAGCTGCCTATAAGAGAGCTACGTATGATATGAGCCCTTTGGTACACAGGAAGACTCAGAGGACAGTGCCAACTATAATATTGCCACCATCACCTCCAACTACAACGACAAACAAGCCATATTCTCCAGTATCTGTAGTGTCTGTTGTCTCGGCTGTATCATCTAGTGGGGTGTCTTCAGGTCCAACATTGGTCTTGGATGATGATGAGGATGACGTCCGGGCTCGTCAACTCACATCTCCTGAACCACTCAATACGGACGAGTTTGGGTATCTCAACAGATTATATGGGCTGGACCACAGTGAGACGTTGAACGAGTCGAATGGGTCTGAGGTTTGAAGTGGCTGTTGGATTTGGAGGTATATTACATTAGAACTGTTGGTCAAAATCCATATTTTCCACTCATCTATATTACTATAATATTGCAAATAATGTGTAAATATAACTTATAAATTGTAGACAAAACAAATCGATTGTAAAGGCATTTCAAGTCGTTTGGTAATAGACTAGTACGAGATCCCTCAGAACTGCAGCTCTGAAAAACGAATTGCGTAGTTTTCCAGAAAAACTCTTAAGACAACAACAAACAGTCGTCGGAAGGTAAAATAGCATTCACTTCGTACCTCATTCGGTGGCTTAAAAGATTCTAACAAAGAAAATTGACACGAAAATTTAAGGTTGCGAAACGATTCGCAAACTTCACATTATTGAACTGCAAGTTTATTGTTTTTTCAAAAAGCACGCGACCGGGGCCAGCTCTGAAGCAGACAGGAATCTGATTAGAATATTCGAATATGCGTGATGATGGATACAATGCTGGATTCGAGCCTGCTCGACCTGGACGGAAGCATTCATCATACGTAGCAAAACAAAGTCAGACCAGAGATCAAAGAGACCAACGAGAGTCTCAATATCAAGATTCGCATGGATCTTATGGTCCCATAACGCCCACAAATCCACGTCAACAATATGTCAACACGTCACCATATGCAGAACAGCAACCAACATCAGACATGAGGAGGATTAGCACAAACCACAACGAAAAGAGGCATAGATCGTCTCCGCCATCGCCAAATAGACCTCATATGATGACGTCGCCGATTAGTCGGGTTTCTACGGCTTCCTCAGTGCGTCGAAATGATGAAGTCGCACCACCATGGAATGCAACAACTACGCTAGATAAACGAGCCTCAGTCTCAGTTCACGGTATGATTTCTTACTGTGAAATTATTCTGTAAACGAAAACAACTTTTTTATTTCGAAAATAGCTATAGCATCTGGTGGACCACTTATCGTCAATTCACCACCAAGAATTCCACCTAGACTACCACCACCAAGACCACGTGAATCTGTCACGAATAAAGGTCCTCGTGCCTCAACTGCCAGCAGTGGTAGTCTCGTAAACACCTCACCATCAAAATCCGTACTCGAAGTAGCTAGACTGAAAGCTGCAAGGGAAGAGAGACGAGCTAAGCAAGCAGAAAGAAAACGAGAACTTCAAGATTTGAATCCAGATGAGCGTGAGAATCGAGAGTATATGAACTCGATAAAATCCTTCCGTGATGAATTTGATGCCCAGATTAATGCTCTCGGAGACAGAATACGGAATTCAGATAGCAACTCTGACAGAATAAGGGTTTGCATGCGTGCTAGGCCGGTAAACCATCGCGAATCTCAAGACCATCAATTTAACATTGTTACTGCTGTAAGTCCACGATAGTTTCAACGCTTTGAGTAGAACTGGCTTTTCTAATATGACATACTTTCTTAGCGCACTACATCGTTCCCGTTCTCCCACTGTTACATTCATGAGCCTCGCCAACGGGTTGATCAGGTTGGATATTTTTGTTGAGGAACAAATGATACATTCGCCTCTTCTTAACAGCCCAAATCTCTTGTAGACAAAAGAAGTAGTGCACCATCGTTTCATATTTGATGACGTATTCGACGATACCGCTTCAAACGCTGATGTTTATAACGCTGCCGTTCGACCACTAGTCGAAAGTGTGTTCAGAGGAGGAAAAGCGACTCTTTTCGCATATGGGCAAACTTCGTCTGGCAAGACGCACACAATGTACGTCTCGTCTTCGCTACATCCAGAATGTGAAAAGTACTCACCCAATCCTTCTACTAAATTAGTTTTGGAAATGACAAGGAGCCAGGAGTTTACGATTACGCGACACGAGATCTTTTCAAAATCTTGAAATCCAAACGTGGTGCATCCGACACGTTTGTACTCGAAGCTCAATTCTTTGAAATTTATGGTGGACGAGTGTTTGACTTGTTTGCAAAGAAAGCACGCGTTGAGCTTCTTGAAGATGCAAAAGGGAATGCTCGTCTAGTTGGGCTGTCCTCTATACCAACCGGGACGCCAGACGAGTTAAGGAGACTCGTCGCTGCTGGCTCATTGGAACGAACAACTGGAGCAACCGATGCCAATGAACAAAGTTCTCGTTCTCATGCGGTATTGCAACTGAGTATATTACGGGAAAGTGAAAACGGTAAAGGAATGGTACCTGTAGGACATCTGGCTCTTGTTGATCTAGCTGGAAGTGAACGAGGGGCTGATACGGCTGGCAAGGATGTGCCGAAACAACGACGAGTTGAAGCTGCCGAGATAAACAAGTGAGAACATCACGACTTTTCTTTTGTGAAATTCGTTGCTAATATTTGTTGTTTTAGGTCGTTGCTAGCCTTGAAGGAATGCATTCGAGCTCTTCATCGAAAGAATGCAGCCCACGATGAAGACAGACACGTTCCATTCCGAGCGTCAAAGCTGACACAGGTGCTAAGAGATAGCTTTATTGGTCCACAATCACAGACAGTGATGATTGCTGCTGTAGCTCCATCCAACGCCTCTGTCGAGCACACCTTAAATACTCTCCGATACGCTGACCGAGTGAAAGAGTTCCGTGGCACTGAAGGTAGCCGTGGGTTCGGCGGTGGAGAAGAAGTACAGCGACCTGGTCTCGACACCTATATTCAAGAAGATATGGATGATGACGTGTCTCCTGATGGAAGTCGTGAACTAAGGGACTCGTCAACATCGCAAAATGGTCTCCATCCACTTGTAGAAGGCTATGAAGGTGCGCAAGACCTTGCACGACCACCTTTAAGACCGTCATCGACATCAACGACAGCCTCCAACTCTCCTCGTCAACAAAAGAAGGCCATCCCACAACCGAAATCGTCTAGCCAAACACCCAAACTACCGAAAATAGAACCACCGTCTGCTACTTCTCACTTCCGATCACTGTCAGCCTTACTTGAAGAGGAAGACGCTCTCCACAGGCTTCACAAGTCCTCATTAGCCCAGTTACGAGACCTAGATGAAACAGAAGCCAGACTACTGGCTGAAGCTGCACGTCCAGATCACGATGTCGATTCATATCTAGAAGGCATTGAAAAGATGCTTCGACGCAGGAAAACAGTGTGGGATGTCTTGAATGAGAAGGTTAGCCTCTTTAGAAAGCACATTGACGAAGCAGAAAACTCCTAGACTTCATAAAAACGCATAAAAAGAACTCACGTGTATATATCTGACCTAATAACGACCTAATAATACATTGACAATAAAGCACATTCTTTCCTTATTTCTTCTGCAATCACATGCAAGCATGCTTGAGCAGGACTGATCAAGAGGGCCAAGGAAGGCAGTTTCCATTCGATAGACAGGTTTTGATTTGCGCCATCCGACTCAATCCCTCCAAGTCCGTCAGCAATTTCTAATGATGCTCGCAGAGCAGAAAAGTGAAGTCAGTGGAATTGCCACAGCAGTTTCATCGTTCCAAGCAAAAGAAAAGAACGAAATTAGTCTCAATGAAGGCGATACACTATACGTCCAGTACGTGCTTCTGTGCAGCGTTTGCTGTTTTGGGTGGGCATCACATGAAACGTCTCTTTTAACTTTGATCTCTGTAAACTAGAGACACTGCTAGTCCAGGATTCGTTACGGGCTTCAACTATTCATCAAGAGAAACGGGCCGCTTTCCATTGGTCGCTATAACAATGGCCACCAAACAGCCGGCTAGTAGTGTTCCAGAGGAAACCAGTAATCCCGAACCTCTGGACTCTACGAGCAGTACAGAGCCTGCATCGGCGTCGGACCAAGATTATTATGTTGTAGCAGCCGAGTATCGCCGAACCAGAGATGATGAACTGGACTTGAATGTTGGAGACAACGTAATCGTTGTTCAGGCCTATAACGATGGATGGTGCAGCGGCAGAAATATCACCACTTCTAGATCTGGCATGTTTGCTATGAATCTGATTGTCTCGAGAAAGGACGGATCTGTACATCCTGAATTCTTAAAATTGTTGGCAAGTGGTGACGTGGAACTACCTGAATCTAGTATTGATAGTCCAGTAGAAGCCAAAGCTCCAACTTTCGTTAATGAAGACGCGAGTTCATTTGCTATACAAACTCTAGCTCAAGAAAACTCTGAAGCTCGAGAGTTGTGGATAACGTCTTTTGGACCGACAACATATACAGTGTCTTTTAGTGATGTAGTGTCGGCTCTAGCAGGGTATTTTGAATCCCCACTAAATATTGAAGCTCTGAGGAATCGCTTAGATCCGTTGAACACGACAACGGTATCAGCTGTCGCCTTTAGAACGATCGCACGACGTTCAAACACTATGCATGGAGCTTTTGGAATGTTTGTGAAATCTCCAGAGGCAGTTGACGAGCAACGACGTGACTCAGTTTCGTCGTCAGCTGACGGATTTAGTGTAAGACATCGGCCATATTCGTTCGTCAAGCGCCGAATCTCATACCCTTCCTCTCTAGCTGCATCTTCAGAGGAGGCCAACAAGCTCTTCAATTGCTACGTCTAGATTGACTGTGGATACAAATGATCTTCGGGAACGCTTTCGTGTACGTCTACTATTGCAGTCACTGATTCTCACAACGCTCACCCTTCACACATCATCTTAGGTTCTGAACGGCACGGACGCTGAAAACCTCTTGGTAGAGTCACCATCTGTGCTCGAGTCGCCATACTCGACCGTATCACGTCGGCCGTCAGTTGCATCTATAGCACCAAGCACACGAGATGCACATGCAACCGTATCCAGAAAACCATCTGCAATCTCGATAGCAGGCTCTACGAGATCCACTGCAACCATCACTCAAGCACGTATACTTCGAGGCAAAGCATCTCTGGCGTCCATTTTCACTTCTCCCCAAAACAATACCAATAGTATTCCAACACAGTCCTCCTCTGAGCTGAAACCAGACCCGATACCGTCTCATGAATACCCACCGGCATCACTGTCAGCAGTAGATTCCACTTTATCACGAACATCAAACATATCAACTCTGCCCAGAAAGTCGTCTATGAGAGGACCCATGATTAGAATGTTTACAGGAGGTCCAGAAGGTGCCAAGGAATGGCCCATAACAAAAAGTCCCAATAGTACGTCAATACCAACGCCGGTAACCTTATTCAACACTAGTACCGCATATGTCCCCAATGATAAAGTGCTTGCCATGGCTACAGACCCATTTTGTGCTACACTTTACACGGCCGTAGGGATGACTGGTCGAATATTAGAATGGGACGCTGGTAGCGGTGCGCTAGTTGGAAGTAGGTATCCACCAAAAATAAAACCAACCGGTGGATTAGGTTCATTCTTATCGCCAAAGGATCCCAATGCGCCCGATTTGGCAAATTGTATTGCCTTTTCAGCCGGTAATTTATATACAGGTCACCAATCTGGATCAATCAATGTATGGAAGCTGTCGAGTGCAGCAGCTATAAGCGAGCAGCAAACTCTGAAAGGACATACTCAGGCCGTCAAAGCTTTTGACTCTCTGTTTGATACAGAGCTCGCATCTACCAGTGCTGATAAAACCATAAGGATATGGGACCTGAAAACCGAAACTGCTAAAGCTGTGATACATTCACAACAGTCTGTAAACGATGTAGCGTTTGATCATTGGCAACTAGGAATGATATATGGAGCTATGGGTAATAATATTGCTAGGTGGGATTCACGTGTCGGAAGCAAAGAAGGAGATTCTTGGTTTGCTCATGATAGAGGAGTGACTTCTATAGTGCTAGATTCTTCCCTGAACACTATTTGGTCTGGTGGAGGCGACAAGCTCTTAAAGTGCTTTGATTTGAGACGATTAGACAAACCTTTTATAGTGTGTAGAGGTCACGATGGTGCGTTAACTCAAGTCAAACTTGCAGGAGGAAGACTCTTTTCTGCTTCAGCGGACGGATATATTCGAGAGTGGGGTGTGCCTGATGGCAGAGCGTTAGGAACATATTGGAGGGCACACAGCAGCGTGACATCAATGGTTTTGCATGTACATGACGAGTAAATTAAAAAGTTCCAGTTAATAGTAGTAATAGTAATAATAAGTTTAATGCAGTTTAATTAAAGGTGTTTCACATTGCTTAACATAGATATCCCTTCCCAGTACAGAATGCATCACCAGGCAGCCATATCCTCTTTCTCACTATATGCAGCACCACGCCCAGAAACACTACCAATCCAAAGACAATCATGCCTCGATCAATCAAGTCTCGCCTGCTCATACTCAGCACGAGTCTCTTGGATGAGTCTGTAACCGAGTCGATTACTTTGTATCTGTCTGATGTTTGTGCAAGGGTATCGGTGGATGAAGCTATAATGGAATCTAGGTGTTATTGAAGTGCGATCATAGTCTTCGTTTGCGTGTGTTCATACCCAACACTTGAGCAGACTCTGTACTCTTCTGGACTTCTTCAGACATCATTTTCAATGCTTCTCGCATCGAGTCCGTCAGTTCATTACTAGCTGAAATGACCGAGTCCTTTGATCTAAAGCATATAGTAGCAGGTGTTTGTATCTGGCAACAAAGATTTGACTGAAACAGCACACGACACTCACGCCAATCGTTTGATTCGTTCAGCAGCAGCTTCCGAAGTGCCTTTTGACATGAGCTCTTGTCTATCTGCCTCTGCCTGTAACTGAGCATTCCTGTTTGCTGTCACTATAGCTTTACGAGACAATCCAGTCAATCTATACCAAGAGACGCGATGAATGAGTCCCTTGTTCCGAGAATAAATAAGAGACAATCCAGCGTGCCTACTTTTCGTGTTCGTCTTCTAATGGCTGCAGTAACCTCAAAATCAATCTTGTGTCTGATTCTCGATCTTCCTCCCAGGCTGATTCCTTAATTTGCTACATAACAGTATGGTATTTAGGTGACACACTTTACTATGAATTTCTGTCCTTGCTATTACCTCTACAGTTCTCCCTATGCTCTGAAGCAACCCTCTAATCTTGTTTGATTTTTCAGTTATGGCATGTGTCGAGAGTTTCCCATCCTGGCTCGTCAACTCATCTACAAGTGTCTTTGTCAAGTGCTCTGCTTTGGCTAGAGTGTCCAGCTTCTTTTGAACCACATCCCTTGGTTTCGACATTTAAACTTGCTTGAGGATTAACGAGTTGTAAGGTGCAGAATGAGGATGCAGTTCAAGAAGCGCTTTGTGCACGTGAGCTGAATTCAACTTTGACGCTGATACTGCTCTGTATTGCGTCGCTCGACGTGATTTTGGTGGACAATTTGATTTGTCGTAAATTTACTCAGACAACGCGTCAACAATTAGTTGCACCAACAAAAGTATCTTAAATTAATACATCCTACGTACTTACATGTATTTGAAGTGGATCCATGACGTTTTTATCCCTTGTTGCGTCATTTAAGTTTCATCAGCAAACATAACCCAGAGAGGCATCGGGTGCTCAATTCTGGACGAGCTCGCCTAAAAAGAAGACTACAGTCTCTTTATACGCCCGTGCTGATAACATCTGGCTCTCAAAATTTATCTCCTACCACTTACGTCGCCCGTGAAATGGCATCAACACGACGGATAGTGACTCTCTTCACAAAAGCTGGTCAATGTAGCCTATGTGACGATGCCAAAGAGGCGCTGCAACGAGTCCAGAAACGTGTAAGTTAGGATTAATCTGCTTCTGAAGCCCATACACCCGTAAATGGTTTCTGACATTTCATTTTGTAGGTTGTGTTTCAAGTCAAAGAGGTCGACATCTTACAGAACCCAAGTTGGAAGAGACTCTATCAATATGATATTCCTGTAATACACGTCGATGACAAGCTAGTGCAAAAGCACCGTGTCGATGAGGAAAAGCTGTACAAAATACTCACAAACTAAATTATATGTTAAGGCACAACAAAGGCACTCACGCGCGATTTTGGATACATTTTCTAGTCTGTTCGAATGAGGTTTATAACATAAAGAGCCTGATCTGCATCGTATAAACGAACCTCCGTCCACACTACATGTCGATTGCGTGAATTTTCTTTTCGCTCAAATCCACACATCAACAAACCAACTTGATACACTCTGATCCGCTAGTCATGACTCAAACAAAGGCCACCAACATCGTATGGCACGACGGTGCCTTCACCCGTCCAGAACGTGAAGCTCTCGCTAAGCAAAAAGTAAGCCTCTTGTTTCGTTTCACTTTGAGAGCACTCGCCCGTCCAACTTGATTCCAAGTTCCAACAATTCCTGTTTATAGGGCTTGACCGTATGGTTTACCGGCCTCTCAGCCTCTGGCAAATCCACAATTGCATCAGCTCTCGAGCAGCATTTACTTGTACTGGGTCTTCGTGCGTACCGACTAGACGGAGACAATATACGGTTTGGATTGAACAAGGATCTTGGTTTCTCGCCTGAAGATCGTGTGGAAAACATTAGAAGGATTGGAGAAGTATGTCTGCTTTGAACCTTTTGAGTGAGTGCTTAATAATTTACTTACATGTACAACAGGTCGCAAAGCTATTCGCAGATTCAGCTACGATTTCATTGACGTCCTTCATATCACCATACAAAGCTGATCGAGAACTGGCTAGAAAGTTACATGATGCTGCTGGATTGCCGTTTGTTGAGGTGTATGTTGATGTGCCTATAGAAGTAGCTGAGACGCGGGATCCAAAGGGATTGTACAAGAAGGCTCGAGCTGGATTGATCAAAGGTTTGGCAAGATGACAATTTTTGGTGTGTGAGTCAGTGGCTGAAACGACTTTCTGCAATAGAGTTCACTGGAATTGATGCCCCATATGAAGCGCCTGAGTCTCCTGAAATACATTTACGGGCTGATCAAGTCTCTGTTGAAGAGGCCGTGCAGGTAACAGTCGTTGTCGTTGAAAGTCAGATTGAATTCATACAGTAACTCTTGCTTGTTTTTGTAGATCGTGTTTGAGTATTTGGTATCCAAAGACCTTGTACCTGCCAAGAACTAGACTACAACTTTCTCACTAGACTCGTGTTTGCACTCCTCATCATGTTTATGCAGAGAGATATGCTTCTATGAACAAGCGACAACCTATTGGTTTGTGAATTTAGCAGCTCGTTTCTCTGCAAAGGCAGACATTCCTTCTTTTTGATCTTTCTGTTTACGGAGAAGAAGAAGCGTAAGTAGCCATATCCAGTGCAGTTCATTCAAACCTGAAAACGTACGGTAGCAAACGTAGAATGGAAGAGTCTTCTTTCCAAATGTAACCCTTCTTCCAACGACAATTCAAACGCTAAAAAAGCATTTATCGTCAGAACAATACTTCAAGCGTCTCCAGAACATCCACCTACACTTATTAACAGCCTCCTTAGCCATAACAACAACCGGCGACGAGTAACTCGCAATCACTTCAGCAGTCTTGACAGCCTCTTCCACCAACTTCTCAACAGGGTATACACGAGCAACCAACCCAGCCTTTTCAGCTTCTTCAGCTGAAATCATGTTGCCAGTCAAAACCAATTCCATTGCTTTGGATTTTCCTAGTGCGTGTGTCAAGCGTTGCGTACCACCTGCTCCTGGGATTGTGCCGAGCTTTATTTCCGGTTGGCCGAATTTGGCTGTTGCGCCGGCGTATATGAGATCGCACTATGCATAGACGAGGGTTGGTGAGAAGGGTGACGTGGTTTTGGTTAACGTGTTTGGCATACCATCATGGCGAGCTCACATCCACCACCAAGCTACAACAGAATGAGAACATGAGCATTGAGATCATTGATATGCAGAGCGAACTCTCCTCTTACAGCAAATCCATTGACAGCAGCAATAATCGGCTTTCGAATCTTGGTAATCCCCGTCCAGTCCGCAATGAAATTGCTCGTGTATATATCAGGGAAGGTCTTGTCCTTCATCTCCTTGATATCAGCACCAGCTAAACCAAAAAAACACTCTCGTCAACACCCTACTTTCTCAAAATCCCAAATCACAAAATTACCAGCAAATGCCTTCTCGCTTCCCGTCAAGACCATACACCCAACAGCCGCATCAGCATCAAAAGCCTTTAGAGCTTCATTCAATTCCTTCATGAGGGGCGATGAGAGTGCATTCAAGGCCTTTCGGCGATTCAGTTGGACGATTCCAACTTTGCCTTCTCGAGTCACTAGAATGTGTTCATATGAGGATGTAGTAGATGAGAAGCGAGCTAGTCGCTGAGAGACAAGGATTCGACGAGCACTGATGCCAAACATGGTGTTTTCGGGTTGTGTTGATTGTTGAGTGCGTCAACGTTTGTGATGTAAACCAAGGATGGACGAAAGTACCTGTAGAATATCCGCATACGGGTTCGAAACGTACTTTCAAACAGTAAACTGTAAATTCTATTACGTGAACTATACAACAAAACTAATCTTAATGCGACATTTTCTCAACCAATATATCGATAACCCCAGGATCTGCAAGTGTACTCGTGTCTCCTAAGACTGCTCGTATACGTTCTGGGTCGGCCAGATCAGCTTTGGTAACTTCCATAGAAGCGATCTTTCGCAACACCCTATTTTGTTTGAGCAGGCTGTTAGATCCACGTCGCTCTAACAAAATATCAACTGTTTGAGTAAATACCTTCTCATAATCTTCCCACTTCGAGTCTTTGGAAGATCAGGAGTGACAACCACACGTTTCGGTGTCGCAAATGGACCAATGGTAGTGCGCACTTGAGCAGACAGCCCCTTTTCAAGGTCAGAAGCACCAATATGATGTGACTTGGGTGTACAGAAGCAAACAAGTGCTTGTCTAACAGGCGGATATGGATATCAGCAAAAAACTTGGCGGTCAACAAACTTCTAACGAGCCAACACTCACCCAGTCACATCATCTGGAATTCCAACCACAGCAGCCTCAGCACAGCCAGGGTGCGCCACAAGAGCACTTTCAACTTCAGCTGTACTCATACGATGGCCAGATACGTTGATGACATCTGGACCACAACAAAAAGGGGGTATTGAGTATAATATATTGTAACAGATGCTAGCACTTTGATCTTCATACCATCAACACGTCCACGAATCCAGTAGTATCCATCGTGATCTCGAGAAACACCATCACCGGTGAAGTAGAATCTACACAGATGAAGCCCGAGTATGAGCCAACAAAAAAATACGAAATACTACCCCGACCGATACCCTTTGTAAGGCTTCATGTATACATCATGATATCTCCCATGGTCTCCATGAATGGTCCTAGCTACAGAAGGGAATGTCCCCTTCAATGCCAACACGCCAGTAGCTTCACCCTTCAACTCTGCACCAGTGGTGGGCTCCAAAATAACTGGCTCAATACCAAAGAATGGTAGAGTAGCAGAACCAGGTTTGACGGCATGAGAACCAGGCAGTGGTGTAAGGATGATGGATCCAGTTTCAGTTTGCCAGTAAGTGTCGACTACTGCTGCTGTTCCTCGACCAACCATGTTGTAGTACCACAGCCAAGTCTCGGGATTGATTGGTTCACCGACAGATCCGAGGACTCGCAGTGATGATAGGTCGTATGGGGTGATGAGGTCGTCGCCTAGAGGTCTTAGAGCACGGATGGCGGTAGGTGCCGTGTAGAATTGTGTCAGCTGGAAGGAGAAACGAATGAGCTATTCGTTTCTAGAGTACTGCATTGCGTCACTGACGATATGTCTACCTTGTGATCTTGAATACATTGCCTGTGACAAAAAAATAATCATCAATGACCGAATACAAAGAAAGTTGTGAATTTCCACGTATATCTTACCAGTATCTTGATCCATCTGGATATGTTGGTATCGATTCAAACAAGAATGTAGTGACTCCACAAGCCAATGGACCATAGACGATGTACTACGATTGAAGGGTGAGGAAACCAAAAATAAACCAGAATTGACTCCCTTTTGATCTTACAGAATGGCCAGTAATCCATCTAGTAGCCGGTGAAGATTAAGACGTTTCTCGTAACATACTTGCGTTGCGTAGGAACTTACCCAACATCAGCCATACAAGCATGACGATCACCTTCATGCAAATCAAAGACGTATTTGGAGGTAGCTGCAACGCTCATCAGGTAGCCCCCTGTTGTGTGAACCACACCCTTCGGTTTTCCTGTACTTCCTGACGTGTATCTAGAGCGACAAAGGTTGAGTTTTCCATCTTGGTGACATGCGATGCCATGCGTATGAATAAGACTTACAGCATGAAAAGTGGATCCTCAGAATCCATACTCTCAGCAGGACATACTGGTCTTTGAGTGGCAATCTCTTCGTTCCAGTATACATCACGACCCGGTGTCATTGCCACATCAGGGTTTCCAGTTCGTTGATACACAATCACGCTCTGATTGTTTGTTGGTTAGACGAGAAAAGAATCGATCAAAAAGTAATTATATCGTTGTACCTTGACATCAGGACACTCCTTTAGTGCTTCGTCTGCAATCTTCTTTAATCGAACAGATTTGCCACCACGACGACCCTCATCAGCCGTTATCAACAAGGAGCAAGATGCGTCTCGCATACGATCACGAAGTGCTATTCAAGTAGCATTACTGTTAATCGAACGGGTGTTTCTTTGGAAGACGGAGCGTTGCAGCAACGTAAGAGTTACCTTCGGCCGAGAAACCAGCGAAAATGACCTGTAGAAGCAAAATAGTGATCAGCAAAGACATTAACATGAGAGATAGATGTAGCTCTCTCCCCTCCACCCGCTCTTCATCCGAAACAGCAGCACTCTCTAAAAAGCACTTTCGTAAGACTTACAGAATGTATAGCCCCAATCCTCGCACACGCAAGCATAGCAATAGCAGCCTCTGGAATCATTGGCAAGTAGATCGCAACCGTATCTCCCTTCCTGACACCATACTTTTTCAGCACATTGGCAAATTGACAAACTTCAGCCAAGAGTTCCTTGTATGTGATGGTTTGAGAATTTCCTGGTTCGTCTGCTTCCCATATGATGGCGACCTAGTACATGGGCATGGACATGAGCGACAAAAAAATACAAGATACAATCGATATACGAGCTTACTCGATTTGGGTCCTTCACCGCCCAGCGATCCACACAATTGACACTTGCATTCAGCTGGCCTCCAGAAAACCAAGCTATGTCACCGTCTTCGTAGGATCCAGAGCGAACGACGTCGAAAGGCCGTTGCCAGACTAGCATTTCTTTGGCCATCTGTCACACGTGAAAGACACATCTTTTAACAAATGAAGCTCTTCTATGACACGGTATAAGTCATTCTGATAGAGGCCTAAACTTACACGCCCCCAAAACGCATCTGGGTCTTTGATCGACTCATCATACATCTTGTGATATGTAGCCATGTCAGGAATATGAGGTATTGGATTCCCAGCACGAATAGGTGGTGGCTGGTATGTTTTTACAGTTGGATCTTCCTTGTTCAGCACATTGTCCATGTCCAATTCACTATATTTACCAAAACGTGTGGAGTCAAATGAATCTTAATGGACAAACAAAACACACTTGATCTGACTGCTTTGACATACGTTTGAGCCTGACTGCTAGCTTGTGATAGCTTGGTTGATACATGGAAGGAAGAACGTTGGCCAAGTCTAGCGTGTAATGGTCGAGTTCCAACATTATTCGTTGCGTGAGAAACAGTGAGGTTTGGTGAAGCTGCGATGCAGCGTATTTGGGAGCGTGAGGCCTTAGCAACTACCCTGCTACAAGTCCTTGAAATAATCATATTGTTATTGCAGGCTTCTTGCAAAAACAGTTTGCGACAAGCTCGAAATTCCAATGAATCGAAGTTGTGCAACATGCGCAACATGAGCCGGCAAGCAAACCTTGGAACGCCTACTCACGCGTACGCAATTTACAATAATCTATCAATGTAAAGACATGTCGAATCTCTCAAAAGTAGTGTCTCATTTCGTCTAAATTTAGTGTTTATTTCCATTTTCAAATTCTTGTAGGCGATTCCTTAAGCCATTATCCCATTTATAGTTTATTGACTCATCTTTTCAATCAGTAACTCTACTACCGAAGGATCGGCAAGCGTCGAAGTGTCACCTAAGACTGCTCTTATTCTTTCTGGATCACCCAAATCGGCTTTGGTAACTTCCAATGCCGCGATCTTTCGCAACACCCTATTGATTTGATCAGATTTATCAGAAGACTGATTGATACGATATAAGATGCATTGCATAGCTTACCTCCTCATAATCTTTCCACTTCGCGTCTTGGGAAGATCAGGTGTAACAATCACACGTCGTGGTGACGCGAATGGACCAATGGTCGTTCGTACTTGAGCTGCGAGACTCTTTGCGAGGTCAGTGGATCCTCCAGCGTGATGTGATTTTGGTGTACAGAAGCAAACCAGTGCTTGTCTATGAATACGAGCGAGCAGTGAGCAAACAACGTCAGCGTAGGACTTGGAAGACTAGACTCACCCAGTCACATCATCTGGGATTCCAACGACAGCTGCTTCAGCACAACCAGGGTGAGCCACAAGTGCACTTTCAATCTCAGCTGTACTCATACGATGACCAGATACGTTGATGACATCTACAACTCAGTATGTAAGTTGCCGGGAAGCAAAAGAAATCATATGCCAAAACGATCATACCATCAACACGGCCACGAATCCAGTAGTATCCATCATGATCTCGAGAAACACCATCACCAGTGAAGTAGTAACTGCGGTGTTATACAACCGTTTAGAATGTGAGCCAAAAAAAATTCAATCATAGCGCTTCATACCCTCTGTAAGGCTTCATGTACACATCCAAGTAACGAGAATGGTTTCCATACACAGTCCTCGCAATACTTGGGAAGATACTCTTGATAGCCAACACACCAGTAGCTTCACCCTCTAACTCAACCCCGGTAGTAGGCTCCAGAATGACTGGCTCAATACCAAAGAATGGCAGAGTAGCGGACCCAGGTTTGACAGAGTGAGATCCAGGTAGCGGTGTAAGTATGATGGATCCAGTTTCAGTTTGCCAGTATGTGTCGACCACGGCTGCTTTGCCTCGACCGACCATGTTGTAGTACCAGAGCCAGGCATCAGGGTTGATTGGTTCACCGACGGATCCAATGACTCGTAGTGAGGAGAGGTCGTATGGCGTTACCATGTCGTCGCCGAAACGGCGAAGAGCACGGATGGCGGTTGGAGCAGTGTAGAATTGTGTCAACTAGATTCAAAAAAAAGCGATTAAATAAACCATCGCAAAAGAGCGTCGTGTCGCGCTGTGAATGTTTGTACCTTGTGGTCTTGAATACATTGCCTGTGAAAATACAAATTTGTCAGACAACGGCACGAAAGAAGCAAACACATTAAGGACACGAACGTTTCTTACCAGTATCGGGAAGCATTAGGGTAAGTTGGAATTGATTCAAAGATGAACGTGGTGACTCCACAAGCCAATGGACCGTAGACAATGTACTAAAGCTCAAATTTGAGCAAAAAAATAACAGGAAGAGAAATGAAACAGGAATTGATCTTACAGAATGACCAGTAATCCACCTAACAAATCTCATAGTTTAGATCCATTACCGTGTACAAGTGGCCTTGCATATTTTACGTACCCAACATCAGCCATACAAGCGTGACGATCTCCTTCATGCAGATCAAAGATATATTTGACTGTAGCAGTAACTCCCAACAAGTAACCACCTGTTGTATGAACGACACCCTTTGGCTTTCCTGTACTTCCTGATGTATAACTATAGGTAGATAGATCTCAGGTTTGGGTCATTATGACGTCGCACCAATGTATGATACATACAGCATGAAAAGTGGATCTTCAGGGTCCATACGTTCGGGTGGACACACTGGACGTTGTTCATCAGTCTCAACGTGCCAGTATACATCTCTGTCGGGCATCATTGGTACATCGGGGTTTCCAGTTCGTTGATATACAATGACGTTCTAGTGTACATTATGATGAGTATTGATGACATTTGGCCAGATGTCGATAGATTTGATTGGTAAGGTTGCTTACTCGAACCGAAGGGCATTCTTTGAGCGCTTCGTCTGCGATTTTTTTCAGATGGACTGTCTTGCCTCCACGTCTACCTTCATCCGCTGTGACAAGGATACCAGATTGAGCATCCTGCATACGATCACGAAGTGCTTATTTGAATATTGAGAGTTGGTTAGACTAGGGGTTTGTCGTGGCGATGAGAAAACATCAAGCGTAAGTTACCATCTGCCGAGAAACCACCAAACACCACCTATACGATCGACATGATGAATCGGTATTAGTGGATTTGGACGAAAAAGATCTCTGTCCCTCCCTCCTCGGTCGAAAACTTACCGAGTGTACAGCACCAATACGAGTACAAGCAAGCATAGCAACAGCTGCTTCTGGAACCATAGGCAAGTATATAGCAACGGAATCTCCTTTTTTGACACCAAACTTTTTCAGTACGTTGGCAAACTTGCAAACTTCTGCAAGCAGCTGCTTGTAAGTCATCGTCTCGACATTTCCTGGTTCATCAGCTTCCCAAATGATGGCGACCTATGATATACACAAGTCGAATTGTAAACGTAAATGAATGTAAAGCCTCTCAATTTTGATCTTGTTTTCAAAAATGGTGTGGCCCCAATATCTTACTCGATTTGGTTCCTTGATTGCGTGTCGGTCAACACAGTTGTAACTGACGTTCAGGAGACCACCCTGGAACCACGCGATATCACCGTCTTGGAAGGATCTATAGGTAATCAAAGGATCAACGCTGGCTTCAAGACACTTGAAACGAAGAGATGTGCCCGAGGCTTTCTCAAAAAGAGGGATGCGCCAAAGATTTTGGCACAAAAGTCACAATCATGTGTCAAATTATCAATGTGATCATAATTGATAATAAAAGCCTGCGTTTGCAAACATTTGTGACGTGGCGCTCGTCGTCTTCAAACCAACACCATTCCATGCAGCAAACACCCAATCAACTTTGCCAAGATTGATGCAAAACATACCCAGAGCGGACAGTATCAAATGGTCTCTGCCAGTCAAGTAGTTCATTGGCTAGCTAAAAAACGTTCCAAGCAAAAATGTGAGTTTGTGAAACTCGAAAACAAATGCAGGCTAGACAGCATACTCTGCCCCAAAATGCATCGGGATCTTTGATGGATTCATTATACATCTTATGGTATGTTTCCATATTGGGAACGTAAGGAGTGGGCGATAATGTTGGAGCGTTGAAGACAGCGCCGGATTTGTCTTCCTCATTGAGGACATTGGTCATATCCAGATCATCGGTCGTCATGTTTGGGTATCAATATGGTATTCTTCCTCGTTCTGCTGCCTCTACTGCCTGAGCTACAAATGATTCAACCTCGAACCTCTTCGTTGAAACTTTTTGCGCAGACCAAGCTCCCCTGTTTCACAGGACAGACTCAGCACCCTTTTGGACTTAAGACGCTCTTTCAAAGGAAGTAAGGCCATTGGAACGTGCGAATACGAATGCTGTCGCTTGCAGGCACGGAACTCGAGCAACCGCTGCTGCTTATTGCGTTAAACCCGTGCCTTCGGATTTACGGTTTGATGTTCAAAAATTTTACTATGCCGCAGACCAGATCCTAGCTTCAAAACACCTTATTGAAGTGTCTGAACCGGGATTTCACCACACAATTCGTCTTTGTGTCTACGCAATTACCAGAATCAGGCCTTTATATGATTTCAGCAGCATTTAAATACCAAAACTACGATTCACGAATCCAGAATAGGGGATTTTAAAGTGCTTCAGCAGTTAAATACTCGTAGATCATTCTAGCTCCACCCACAGTCATACAGGTGAAACTGGCATACATAGTAGTGATACCAAGCGTCGATCCTAGAGAAGCCATATTGATAGAAGCCACGACGAAGAGAGATGCATTTACCCAAGATCCGGTAATGATCAGAGCTTTAGTGACTGGTGAGAGACAGTCTGCGACAGTTGCCCCCAGTGCGAGTTGAATCGTGCCCATCATTATGTAGTCGATCTATATCAAATAGACAATCAATATGGTTGGATATGACCTTCAAAGTGTCAAGAAAGTGCGAAGAAAGAAATTCATTCCCTGTATCCAGGCTAGAACTAACAAACGGTTGGTGCAACACCCCAATGTGCGATGCTCAAATGTCGTGGGCAAAACCACCATTCCACCATATAAACAGAGCGACCGTTCATGAATGAACTCGCAGCTACTAGCGCTGCATTCTATTCATCTTACTAACTGCATCACTCTTCCTCATCTACACTTACATGGCCCTTCAAAAACAACGATCGTGACTTAATTGGACCATATGGTTCAGTAGGTTTCATTTTTGAAATAACCCAGCCCATGCAGATAGCAAGCTGGAGCTCCAGCAAGCCAGAGATAAGGAGCTCATTCTTCTTTACAACCCTTCCAGACATTTTTTCGTTTGCGTAAACAAGTAACACCAAGCGTGACAAACGAAGGGTTTAGCAATAGGAGCGTCGAATGGTGGTGGTCTAGAGCGCGATCTAGAGACTTGCGAAACTCATTTGACGCGTTTCATAAGACAATCGGTCAATCGTCAACTGTGAATGATGTTTATGTATAAAGGGTATGTGATCCACTGTGTGGTTTATATACATTATGTGGGTACAATTCGCTTCTGTCCTGCATTCAATATTTGAATCATCGTAGTAGCCTGTTCTTGCTCATTTTGTTCCTAATGATCCCACAATCAGCAACAAAAAAAATTCCAAAAGTCCATCAAGGGTGTAAGCACACGTACTCGTAAGTCTTGATCCTTTGTTCTCCAGCCGTTACAAAGTTTTGCAAACGTGCACGGAAATCCGTTTGAAGAATCAAATCATCATCCAGAATCTCCTCGTCGTCTTGATCAAGTAGATTCTGCACGTCCTTGATCATTCTCTCATATGATTGAGCCACAAGTGCAGTGGCATAATTCCTTTGTCAACGTGGGGAAGGTTTTAGTGCAACATGGCAGTCTAATGCATATAAATGCCAATCCTTTACCCGATTCGTTGATACAAGAAATCCTCATCTCTAAAATGCAATACTTTACGTTTCCGTTCACCCACAACTTTTGACGCCTGTCCGGTCTTGTTCTGATGTGCTGCATCAAGGAATGAAGATGATGGTGACGCGCGTGGAGTAGGCCGTTTATAAGTTGGTCGTGGATCACCACCTAATTCTTCTGGCAAATGATCCAACACCAAATCCTTGGCTACCTCATGAGCCCATGTCTTGAAGCTCTCTATAAATTCCGTATGCGAATGAAACCTTTGTAACGCGTCCATGGGTTTGTTTCGTTCATTCTCTCTAAATTTTCTAGCAATCTAAATGGTGAAAGGCTTGTGTCAGTCTGTGCAGACGTAGAGTTTACCGTTCTATGGCAACAATTTCAAGTGGTTCAACCTTTGCTGCTTGAATCTTTAGCTCAGCTCTACATTCTTCTTCCAGTTCTTCTGGTAGACCTTTGATGTTGCAGACGAGGATTTTTTGTATCTGCTGTTGAAGTGAAGGTAAATCTGTCCAATTGGAATACAACAGAGCCTGCTCATATTTATACGTATCAAATTTTGTGTCCAAGAAGTTCAAACCAACATAGCGACACGTACTTGCATACGAAGACGTTGTATAATCTCCAAGAACTCGCTCTTGTTTCTCAAATTGGGAGGAATCGAATCTTCAGCTTCCAGTTCTCGAGCCATAGCGAGCAGAGTTATTGGACTCCTTAGATCCTTGTCAGTGGCATTTCCCCAGATATCTATCACAGAGCCAAACGAGAAGCGATATCGTACGTATTCATCCGGTATAACGAGACGGTTCTCCTTGAATCTTTTGTACTCGTGAGAATCTAATGGGACAATAAACGAGACAATGAGGTCTAAACCCTTCAAATGATAGGTACGAGTCGAGATATTACCTCGCAATGCTTTGAACTCCAAGATGAAGAATTCCTGCTGATCATCAGGTGAGCCCGAGTATCTTCCAGCAAAGTCTATTGCTCGACGATCAGTATCGTTGCTCAAAAGGTAATGATATAGTAGTCGACAACACTGAACGTCTTGAGGAATGTATTCCCAAGACGCCATGACAGATCTAAAGTGGGGGTTGGTTTAGGGGGTCGTAATGAAGTGTAGCATATAAATAGCATCGCAGTCCAAATTGCTTCACTTCATCTTTACAAAATGGTTCATATACACAAACGTTTGCGGAAGTTGATGTTGGTGTTTTCAGCGAGTGAGGACACTTGATTCAGTAACTACACCACATTCTTACCCAGAATGAGAGCCCATTTCGTCATCCTATAAGGACAACCGTGTCAAAACCTCTGTTAAAACCCAACAACAAAAACACTTCCTGAAAAACGCACAGCAGTCAACGTGTCAAGCAAGGCCCACGAGGATGCTGATCTCGAATAACTCAGTACTTGACGTCACGTAGTCTCTTGTCTATCATATGACGTGCAATCGTCCCGTTTCTAAGAAGCGAAGTCGCGATACGAGCGCACTGTTCAACCCCTCAAGCTCGGCAGTCCCCAGCGCCTGGCAGACAGTTCTACAAGCTTATTCGTCTTTATTTCGCATTATTCACAATACACAGTTATTTACGGAATGTATGGGTCAGCCTCAATATTTCTCGACAGCAGCTATTAGTTTGGCCAAGTCACCAATTATCGTTTTACCAAACCGAACAATCTTTGATTTCGTGTTTAAAACTTCGATGGACTGTGTCAAGGCAGAGTAGCGTACAGCAAATGGTCGCTCCAAGGATAGTGAGTAATCCCTTTGTGAGAAACAGTAGGTGAGAAAGTGATCGAGCGATTCCTTAACGGGCACTCTTACTTTACTAGTTCTTTCATATCACTGAAGGACTCGGCAACATAGTAGACAGGTTGATATTCCGTAATGCTGTGGAAAGTGAATAACATGTGAATTCCGTGACTAGCAGGAACATCAGCTTTTTTCCTCCTTATTGCTTACGGGTACTTTTGCACTGCAGTCTTCAATGGATCAAAGGGTCGTTTCTCAGGCTTGTCTGTCAAGCAGTACTACACAGGCATGAATAGTCAGACTTGAAAAGCAGACCCGCTTCAGTTGCCTCCAACTCAACTCACTTCAAGTTCACCGAAACTGGAAAGCAAACCAGCTCCAAACGCCTTGACTTCATCACCTTGTCGACAGAGTCCAAATTCAACAGTAAACCAGTATATCGTTGCTAGCTTGTTAATATCCTAATTGTGGCGAATACACAGTTACTTTGCTGCGTGAGACTGAAGCATATAGTCATGCTGCCTACTTCATCTGTAGCTCCGAGACTAGCCAGTCCAATTTCCTACTCTTGCTATCGTCAGCGACACTCTCCACAACATCCATATAGCGACAACCACAAATGTAACGTACTTGAGAAAAGTCGGCAAAGTCAGGGTCTGCATATAGAGGTACGTGGCCAAGGAGTTCGTGACACACGTCTGTGCAGATTGGAAGCAACCAGTCAGGCGATACAAAAAGGCTGGACCATCTTTGCGTTCAAAAGGAAGAAGCATGATTACCTGGTTCAGGGGTGTAGAAAGGCTGGGATGTGTGACGCATGTACTGCGTCGAGTTGAAAACTCTGAACGCAAGCGAATTTAAGAAATCACGTGAAGATAAAAGACCTATTTTAGAATAGACGTTCAGGATACCTATAACCGAAAACCCAATTCCCAACATCAGCTCACCCATAACAGGCCTTAACGTCCAGCCAGTGCAATCTTTCAAAAAGTTTGAGACATCCTCCAATTGAGGAATGTTGTCATTTCGATATCCACAGTTTTGAACCAGTAACTTTGAGGATTGAAAAGCAATATTAGAGCTACTCTGAGCTTTGAGTGGATTGTTCAAGCAATTAAATGACTCACAGGGAGTACGTATTGCACCTCTCTTACGGCATGAGTTGGGTATAGCTTTGTAAGCCCATCAAAAATCACGCCCCATGTCTTGACTTCATCTGGAGTGTATTCAATATGGGGAAGTTTGCCTCCATGTCGAAACTCTCGAGCTAATCTCGTTATCTCTGCTCGTCGTTCCCTGACCAAATGGTGCAAACCATATAGTTGGGATCTGTCAAAGCTTGGTAAAGTTTCATATCCTGATACCTGTATTTGAGGTCCTTGAATCCAGGATGATCAGCATCCAATTCCTAGCATGATACAAGAAGTCAGCCAACACAACGTTCGTCAAGTTTTTTTTTGTCGATGGTCCCCCCTACCGCGCCGTAAGAGAGCACACGATCGGCGAATTGATCCAGGTCTGTAATCTTGCGAGGAAACCATGGAACTCCGAGAGTAGCTAAAAATCGAGAAGTCAGGATTCGAACGTCACAACAAAGTTCTCTAACCGCATGACTTCCAGACCAGGTAACGGTCAGCAGACATACTTGTCTCGGAATCTTTGGATCCAGAGGACACTACTTTGACGCCCTTGACACAATCTTTGAGTTTGGTCACGACATTGTCAACTTCACGTGAATCAGCGGCTACGAAATCGACAACAAAGTCATATTCTCCTCGATTCCGAGAAGGACGAGATTCAATCGAAGTCAAAGAGACATTCAATCTTCTGATCTCGAAAAGTACGTCGTCCAATGACCCAACTTTATCTGAGATGGAAAACCAGAGCGTCGTTGGTTGTTGAGCAATTTTGGCTTCATTCGTAGCAGATCCAGCACTATTTATACTATTACTATTCCATCGTAACGTAGATCCAATGGGTCGAGAAAATCGGGTTTGTGGAAGAAGAGATCCAAATGTTTGGCTCGAAAGGAGAATGCTATGAGGTGGTCTCCTTGATATTAGTCTTGAAATTCCCCATATAACCATGCCGGTTTTGGTTTGCAATGTACAATTGTAGGCACTGATCTGTGTGAAAATTGGCGATTACTGATGAAGTATGAAGTTTGGATTTAGAACGGGCTGAGAACGAGAAACTATGAAAGGGAAGACTGTACCATACTGTATTTGCTACCTGAGAGTGCAATGAGCGTGGTTATCACGTGAATACCGCCTCAATCGCGTCGTAGATCCTTAGCTGGGTTGATTTGGTTTCGCGAGGCGAAGAAATCAAGGAATACAAGACGAGAACTGCTCGAACTACACATATGTATTACTGTACGTGATTGAAAACTAACTGGTTTGCTTGGTGTGCAATGAGATCTATTCAGTTGATTTTGGTTTTTACTCAAAACTAGAACTAGTTCTGGCCAGACCTCTCCTCTTTGACTTCGACCTGAAAGCTAGTAAGTAGTAAAGCTAGGGCAGTTACGTCGTAATCCATACAAGAGCCATTCGCTCTTGACCACCAGCTTCAAGGGTCAGTGTCAGTCATCGTTGGTCATTGGAGCCAAGCCAGAACGAACAAGCTAGATGAAGCATGTAGACCCCTCTCAGAAAATTTATGACTAATATATAGAGGTACCACAATTGTGACAAGGTCCTTAGTTTGACTCACCAAAGCCTAAGCTACTTAAACAAGAGCAACCCAATTCTACTCCACACACAAAGTTTTCAAGCTCTTAATACTACTCACTCACCAACACAAAAACCTTACAAGCTCTCATAACAAACTTCCCAACTCGCACGCAAATCTTTGATAATAATCTCTGCTCAAATGGCCGTCACCGCTGATACTACTGCTCATGAGGTTGCTCATGAACATACTAAGGAGAATCACGAAGTCTCACGCACCATTGTCATTGCCATCGATTCTTCAGCTCATGCTGAATATGCGTTTCAATGGGCTATCGATGTGAGTACAATCTGATCCAAACTTCCCTACAGTTGCTGGCGTGGATGCTGACAGCTTATCAGCACTTTTTACTTACACAACTCCTTTCCTTTCGTAGAATATCATCAAGCCAGAGTCTGATGAAGTCATCTTACTCAACTGCCGACCTCTGCCCCCAGCACCTGGTGCATTCGAATTTGCCAGTAAGTGTTGATATCTTCGAACCTAATACTGACGCGGTTGACTCACCCGAGGTTTCTGCGATGACTAGCCAACGACTATGGATTACAAGAATACGAAACCAAGATGAAGGAGGCTGCCCATACTCTATTGAAGCAATACGGTGCCAAGTTAGCCCAGGCTCATGTAAGTTATGATGATTCAAGCTAAAAATCGCAGTGCCAACCGACTTCACCTTGTAGATACAATGCAAGGCTATTGCTATTCAAGGGGATGCCCGAGACTCAGTTAGTCGCAAGGTCGAGGAAGTGAATGCTGGTCTTCTGATATTGGGATCTCGAGGCCTTGGCCCAGTGAAAAGAACCGTCATGGTATGTAATCAAAGCCTGTTTTCTCGTTAAAGTAACAATGTTCTTACAACAGTCCAACTTTCTAGGGCTCTGTAAGCGACTATCTCGTCCATCATGTACATTGCCCAGTTCTTGTGGTCCGAGACATCAAGGAACATACCAAGGCATCAACTGCCGTTGACGCCAAGGCCGTCCCAGTTGCTAAAGCTGCTCCAGCTGCAGTCAAGGCTTGATTCCTCTCCTAAACCATTGTAGACGTCGTAATCTGTTACAATTGCCCATTTGAAATAAATGATTTGATTTAGTAATGAAAGAAATCAGAATGATATTGCGACTCATTGTTTGATACCAGGTTTGATGCGAGATACGTCGTATGCCTCAACTTCAATTACTATCACACTGAACGTTGACGTTGTTCAATGTCCATGTGAAAGAGAATCAGTAGAGCCGAGTTAAAAGAATGAGCTGGATATATGCTGATGTAGCTGATCGTCCTATACTGGAAGAGTTGGCTGTAGTTCCTCATGCCAGGTATGCCAAAAGCTCAACGAAACCAAGAATTGAATTTCAGTGCTTTCTACCAGCTCTACCATTGTCAGACTATGTGGAACAGATGCATTCGTTAGTAAACTGCAGTATTTGTATGGAGGCCATCGTTGGATCTACCCTTTGTCTATCGTAAACGAGCGTACCGACCAACATCAATCTTTTGCGCGTTTTGAAGCTAACTTCCAAACATCCAATTCGATTTTAGGATATCCCAGACGGTCATTCAAGCTCCACCGCAATCTAGACCATTTTCTTCTTCGTCCTGTGGTGCTCGTAATCGTCGTCCACCTACTCCATCATCGCCGTCAAGCTATGCGCCTCAACTACGCCCACTACGACGGGAGAGTCCATCTTCGGCAGCAGGACGATATGGTGGCCTGCTGAGTCCTGTATCTGGTGGAACTACTCCGATCAATCCAAAGTCTCGCAACTATCGACTGAATGGATTTATGGTTTGACCCACCTCGCAAACATGTGTATTTTATGTTTCTGACATGTAACTAAACGCATTGCTAGTCCAAGATTGAGGATCTGACCAAATCTCCTTCTGATGAAGGTCTGCCATCACTCACAAGCCCCAAATCTGAAAGACCATCCTCGTCAACTGGCAGAAGGCCAAAGTCATCATCGGGCTTTCTCTTCCAAACTACAAACAAGGGTAAGAAAAAGAGCGCTCCAACACCTCTATTTCGTGTGGATGCCAGCAACAGTAATAAAAAGGCCACTCCAACACTTCTATTTGGTATGGATGACGCCGGTTCTAGAGTAAATACACCTATAAATAAAGTTGCTATGTCTCCGCCCTCGGGCTTCAAGTACACTCCCAACATTCTCTATACCCAAAATGATGATGACTTGCTGACGGATGAAACTGTATATGATCAAATAAGTAATCCTCGATACATGGATGCTATTGGTACGGGTGTTGGTGATGAGACAGTCAAATCACCATCACCTTCTCAATACTCTGGTGGGAACGCTATGGAACCCGTGCTCATGCAATCACGACCTTCTACTGCATCAATAACAGCAGCAACACTACCATCCGCGTTTCAGTATCATCCTCGTCGTCTTACTACGGAACTTGACAAAGACGACCAGTGTGATGATGGCGAACGTGTCACTAAAAACATTTATGCAAATCAGGTTGAACGTTTGTTGAAGCAGCAGCAACATCAACAGTTTGAAGGAGATGAGACTGCTAAATGGGAGGCAGCGTATACAGAAGATGCTTTGAATGCGGGGAGATTGCCTGACGAGCAAATATAAGAGGAATGTGAGGGTGGATTCTATTGATAGTCTGCAAAAGACATTGAATTGTAATGAGTGGATCTTTCAGAAAGTAATGAGTACTTGTTAAACTTTTATTTTCCTCTATTATTAATGTCGTTCTTGTATATATACACGTATTTACACTCGTTTCAGTATCTGTCTATCTTTCTGGAAGCGCAACAGTATCCATATCATCGCGGCAGCGAGTGTCATTCCACCAGCATAAAATATAGCTGGATAGTAATTAGGAACTCCGTTAACAGTGAACTTGTCTATGATGATTCCAGCCAAAGGAGCTCCCATGAAGTTACCGACGAGCATCGGCAGATTGAGAACCGCAAACAGGAAAGGCAGTTTCTGAAGTCCAAAAGCTTCAGCCACCACTACCGGCAGCAAACTCACAAGTCCGCCTTGCACAAAGCCGTTAAACTATTAGAAAGGAAAGTCAATGGTGTGGCATGTGAGCGCAAGAATAATTAAAACAAGACGTGGCTTACCACGCTGAAGCCCATAGTATTCGCGTAGCTGGTTGCGGTTCCCCATACAGACAAGACTGCAATGGCACTCGAAGTACAACAAAACAACATCATGTTGAATCTGCCTAGCATGTCTGCACCAATTCCTATAAGAATTCGACCAAACAGTCCTGACAAATTATACATGGAGAGACAGAAAGCGCCCTGTACAATGAGAAATGACGTGTGAGTCACGCTTTTGATGTGGATATATTTTCAAACTGCGATCAATTGCGTACCTGTTGGGGAGTCGCTCCGAGGGAGACTGCAAACAAGGGTATATATGCCAACGGCACTAAAAAGCCACAGCTCTGTAGGAATTGCTGAAGACATAGCAAAAACACTTTGGAGTCTTTAAGGTCCCTCCAATCCTAGCGTCGAATGTGGTTTTAGCAATTTAGAGATTCCATAATGAAAAAGAAAAGGGCTAACATTTTTGGAAGACTTCTTGGATGGCGGTATCCTTTGTTTCATTAAAAACGATGCTGACATCAATACAGCTGCCAAAATCGAAGTCCTGTTAGCGGAACTCAACTCCAAAACCTGCGACTTTTTTTCCCCTCAATCTTACAGAAATTGAGAAGGGCGATGACTCGCAATGTCCAGTGACTTCCAAGTGTATCTAGCAAATATTGAATCAGAAGAGACTTGGTTAAGCCCCCAAGCCCTGTGCCCTGTAGAAACAAAGCTGTATTAATAACAAACATACATTCATCCAGCGCCAACCATAACAACTTTGAATGCCTACAGCTACAGCGATTCCAGTAGCGAGTCCCCGCTTCTTGTCAAACCACTGAGCAGGCAATGTAGCGCCCGGAAAATAGCAAAGTGCGGTCCCCACGGCACTCAGGAACCCTTGCGTCAGCAAAATAATAGAATATTGGTTTGCGAAACTTGCTGCCAATAGAGCAAGACCACCAATAGTAGCTCCGAGACGAACAGAGAATGCATATCCAAATCTTTGGATGACAAAGGCTACCGGAATCGCACAAAGCTAGAGGAGAGTCAGGCTTAATGCATAACAATAATCATTTGACGTTTCACTGAAAGTGATAATTCTTTGACGCTGACGGTGATGATACCAGTCAACAGTTGGACTTACGCTAACACCTCCAGTTTGAGCAGAACCAATTAGTGCCAACAATGGATTCGATTCTAGACCTTCAGCAACATAGTATCGCTGCCAGACGCCATAGCTCTGCGTATCTCCCCAAATCATCACATGAATGGCGAATCCCGCAAGAACTACACCCCACGCTGCGTATAACGTAGGATTAGGCAGAGATACTAGAGCATACATGACGACTTTTCTTGTCATGACTTGGGCATTGCCTTACCTATAAGTCGAAGAGTTAGAAAGAGATCCTAAGCAAATTTAATAGTTGCGACTATGACGATTTGGTCATGGCCTTACCTGTAAGTCCTCCATCAGGCGGGCCTTCGAGCACAGTAGATGGTGCTAAACTCTTTTGATCCAAGTTCACCACTTCCTCTACAATCGGAACCGCAATAGTAGTCTCATCCTTTTGATCAGCAGTTTTAGCCTTCCATGGTATCCAATTCGGTCTTCTCCTGGTTGAAAGTGGCATGGATTTGGCTTGAATGTCGTCCTCGTTTTGCAGCCCATTGTGGTCACCGTTCGGTGTAAGAGTTGTTATATTGGATACTAGAGTCAAGTCAGAGCTGAGATCAACCTCCTCGTCGTCTCCTATAGGTGCCATGGTTCAATGACGTCGGGTTTCGCCAAAAAAATCGATTCGTGGAAAAAGATAGGTTGAAACGTGACAAGGGCAAAGTGGTTAAGGCCGCTAATTGTAAGAAGATAGATGATTTTTGAGTGCGATTTATAGCATTTCGCTGGACCAGAGACTCAGAACTTGACGTGAACTATCTAGATTTTCTTAAGAGCGGCCATTTTGTTTGAAGATCTTACACCAACATTGATTCGAACATGGACTACACGCCATGTGAATACTTAGCTTTGTGATTATGTTTGCAATTGGTATTTTCTTGAAATCGCTGTCGTAACGATCCACTCAACTTACAATTCTGTTTGAAATCTCTATTTTACATTTTTATAAAGGGCAGACCCAAGTTACGATGCCTACGCCTTCGTGGCAAACCCAAATATATGATACATGAAATCCTTCCTCTCTGCTTCTTCATCTAACGGTATTATCTCCACGTTACCCCATCCATCCATCTCCTCAATCATCTCGTCCAAGTTTCGATCTATTCTACATCCGTTTGCACATAAACTCCATAGTGGTGCAATCCACAACTGCGAAAATCGACCGTTGGGATCTGGATGTCGAATATGTTCGATAAATACTAGTTTTCCTCCCGGTTTCAACAGGCGTTGCAGTGATTTTAGGGTCCTACGAGGTCGGTGCACACTACACAGAGTCAGCGTTGAGATAATCGTATCGAATTCGCCGTCCATGAGACGTCCCTTGTCAATGGCGTCTTCTATGGTGTCCACCACAGTTGTTGCCCTATCGGCGGACAATCCAGCTCTCCAGCATGCAGCTTCTATATACACCTTCATAGAGTTGTTGGGCTCTAAGCAAACCATAGATGATACGTTTGCACTCTTTATGTGCATCATGTCATGACCCTAGACAAAAAAACGAGCAACTTCAGTCCTATGCCATATGTCTGACATCCTTTTAACGTACCATTCCGCTTCCCACATCTAGCACTCTTCCCGTAACATTGTCTCTAAACAGCTCAGCCTAGCATCGACTAGATCAGGTCGGGTTGACAAAAAACGTTTTCATAGAAACTGGCATTGAGTCGTACCTTGCACCGTCGCATTAGCTGGTTCGAGTTAGAAATTTGTGCCCATTGACTGGTAAGAAAGAAGTAGTAAATATTTACTGAGTTGACTTCGTTCTGCAGCATGAACAACCAAACAAATGTTGTTTTGGTTGCTAACCTCCAAACGTTGAACCAGTATCGTTCTGTATACGAGCTCCAGTACAAGGACGAAAAGTCTCCAGTGACCTATGTTTGAGTGCAAAAAAAATTGGACACAGTGTTGGTAAAGGTCGACAAAGACGCCTTTTTCTCGTTACGCATACCAAGAATCGTTCCAAGCAATGAGCTACAGCGCCAATTCCGCAACGAATCCAAAATGGAAGCAATGTTATGATTGTGATTAGATGCTGCAGCAAGCCCATCTCGTGGTCTCCTTGGCCTCTGCGAGCTGTTATCGATCTGTGATACAAAAGAAAATATGGAATTGTGCGATGTGATTTGGACAGTAGAGCTTTTGGATGGGTAATATCAACGTGTCATAGCCTCGTGCATCCAGCTCTTTACAATTCGCCACTGTTCCCAAACGGTGAGAGGTCGTGTTCCACGCGAGATCATATTATTATAAACATAAAGGCCAAAAGTATGGTGCTTATGAGACCAAACACGTCCAGCGCGTTGATATTCGAGTTACTTGTCGTAGTTGTGTTGCTAGTGTTGGTATTATTCACTTTCAGAGGGGTTTGACCATACCAGCCAGTAGGAAACGATAATGATGGTTGTGTCCCGCACGTCAAATTAAGTGTAGCCAGCGGTACAGATGCGATAGATCCCAGCAGGAAGATGTCCGAGTACTATATCAAAGTGTTGGTTTCAGCAAAAAAAGCCTATCGTTGGCAGCAGATCCTCACACCTTTTGAGCGACGTCAGCCCTGCCCACTGAACACGGTGTACAAAGATTCAAGCCGTACGCCGACCGTAGCTGAGAATACACCTGTGACGTAACCAAGTCCTAATAAACCGGAAAAGTCAGGACAAACTACCTCTCCAAAGCTTCAAGATTTGTAGCAACTCACCAGCTGCCCCCAGTCCATGTTTGACGCAGCACCATAATTAGCTTTTTCAAGCATAACAGCATCATTAACGACACAGTATACCCCATTATACTGCGAGCAAATCAACGAATTGGCTCCAGCCAGCAGATCTATCATTGACTGAAGATTCCTTCCGTTGGGAAGGTTTGCTCGATTCCCCTGTAAGATTGCAGCGACACATTCCTGCGTGCTATTATTTTGTACGTTGGTCACTTTGGCTTCTGTTGGTACACCTCGTACTGGGTAAAAGAGAGTTTGGTCTGAAGAGCATGCTGTAGCTGCACTAGATACAACATTCTTCAAAGCTCCACTACAGGTTAATTGTGCGATTGGGGTACATATTTTATCCAGTAACGTTGCGTTCTGTGGTCCCAGTTTCGTGACGGTGAGTTCGGCAAAGTACCCAAGACCACATGCAACAGCTAGTTGATGAACTCAGTGAGAAGCACTTCAATAGGGCAATAGCAATAGTAAATGCTGCAAAGAGAGCATAGAGCTCGTTTCTTACCAGCATCAGCCAATGGCTGTCGCAATGCAGCTTGACACGTCTGTGATATTGTAGACTGCCACCGAAGATTTGTCCTGGCTATGAGGTAATCGATAAATGATACATTGGAAGCACTCTCGGGCCAAGGAAAGGCAGGTTCAGTCCTGGCGGAAGTCGTTGTGTTCGTTGTACTGTTTTGGGCGTTGATGGAGCTGATAAAGCTCAGGAAAGTGATCAGCAACCTAGCAACTGTAAGCCGCATTTCGATCTAAAAAGTGAAATCGTTAACATTCAGTATGTAACCGCTCAGTGAAGTGTCAAAAACGTACCCTTCACTGTCCCTATTGCAAGTGGCGGTGGTGCAACTTCCCAAAGGCCAAAGAAAAGGGTCGCTAAATCTTGTATGAGACCAGCTACAATGTAACGATTATTATAATTCACTTGCCAGCTCTCGTTGCTATGATGTAGGTCAACTTGACCTAGCTGTAGCAGGAAAGGTGAAAAGCGGAAGTCGCAAGGAATCGTGACAACATCCAGTTGCTCGACACAGATCAGCAGATCAGTATTGCTAAACGTATTGTGGCGCTTACAGATGTACTTTCAGTCAGTATTTGAAGCCGTACCATTCTTTATGAGAGGTTCTAAGTACGTCTACATATGAAGAAATCATTTACAACCATTTACAATATATACGCTTTAACAAAAGCTTTTTACAAATCTTCAGCATCGTCTATAAGCAGATCATTCTGCAGCCTTGTTTCAATATCATCATCTTCACAAACAACATCTTCAAAGTCTTCCTCTTGATTAGCAACAATAGTTGAGGGTATAACACGTGGTGACTTGCTGGCGTTGAATTGTGGGCGTTCCGTTACGGATAAGGTGGCAGTCTTTACCGCGTCGACGATCGGCGCAGCTATTAAGGTCACCTCGTCATCAGAGCCAAAGATCTCAGGATAGCGTTCTATGCAGTACATCAACCATAGACCTCCACCACCACCTTGGTTCCCTGAAGAGGAGACGGAGGCGATAGCCAGATCTTGCAGAGGGTCTTCGCTTCTAAATATGTTGGGCCCAAAAACAACTGTCAAGTTGTATGGTGTCATGAGATTATCTGATGATTGTTTAGATACGGCATGGAGCAAGAAAAAGATTGCCTTTAATAAGACACGGCTTGCGGGTGGCAGACTCGGTATAACGTTTGTGCGGATATAAATAGGGGCAGCAGCGTGCCCGAGAGCTGATTTCAACACCAAATATGAGGTTAGTTTCCATAACTCTCATACAGGACACAATTTTACTTACTTGAGAGAATCTTGAGAGAGTGGTAATGAGAAGCAGGAAAGATTGGCTGACTCAATTCTCGAAAAAACATCTTGATCAATACACACGGTAGATGCACATCATCGCACAAAGATGACAAGTCGACCTTCTCTCCTCTCTCGTATAGGACTTTTATGTCTTTCAGTCTTTGTGAGGAAGGGGAGCGCCGGAAGAGTCCTTCCGTCTTCAAATCTAGAAGTTCGTTTTAGACAAAGGACATTAGATTAACCACCGGAACTTACTGTCATCACGCCGTATATATGCTATACAGTCTGAAATCACAAGTGGCACTCCCAATTCACCGTCCTTGCCCATCATATCTTCTAGTCTGGCACCAAAGTAGCGTTTTGGTCCAAGTAACTGTTTTGGCTTCATCAAAGATGACGACTCTTTTGGTTCAAACTTTACATTAGCACTATTTGAAGACGTTTGCGGTTAGCTATTGAATGACTGGCAACGGTCAGTTGACTGCACTCGCTCTCGAACCACATCCGGTATAATCAGTTGCTTGATAGGAATGAGAGTTTCCAGCTGAGTGAGATTATGTACAGATATGACCTTCTTGAAGAATTTGGGACTAATGACTGTTCCCATTACTTGCAAAAGCAACTACAAACATGAAAAGAGTTGTTTAGATCCAATACATCTCTATGCACCCCACAAGGCAAACATCTTCACCTTGGTCAGCATATTAGGATGCACAATATAGAGATTTTTTAGATTCTTTCGGTATCTAACCACAATAAAATCGTCAATTTGCATCATCAAACTGCCAGGTCAGGGCGTTGTTGACTCACTTTCTTCCAAGTTGCTTATATGCACTATAAAACCATGTCATTGGTGGCTGATACGAAGCTCCAGACGAAAACAGCACGACCGCATAATCACTCTCTACAAACTGGTCGAGTCTGTCCTTGATCAAGCTATTTGGGCGAAAGTAGGCTATAGGGTCAGTACTCGAAGACAGGCGTCTCGAAGACAGGATCAAGCATCTGACAATGATCAAAGTTCATTGAGAATATGGCGACACTCACGCGAGCAAACGATCATAATTGGCATGCTTGGGATTTGGTAAGTAGCAACCGTATATTGCTAGTAGGGGGCGTGATTCAAAGTCGACACCTACAAAAAGACACTCAAATTCAGCATTCAGGGAAGATGTTGACATGATCTGCATGTTCTTCTATTCAAAATGCCCTACTCCATCCTCCCACACAAACGCGCTTTTCTGTAATCTTTACCTGATTCGAGTATAAGCCTTTTCGCCACCAGCTCCTGCAGATCCTCATCGGTGACGTCGCCAGTGCTCCTAGTTGGGCTGACCACCATAGCTTATTTCTTACTTGGAAGCCTGCTGCAGTGGTTTTTTTCAGACGATGAGTTTGCCTGCGACTCTGGTCGACGCATCCCAGGTTGGGATAGAAGAAGAACACGTACATTCTATTTATGAGAAGATAGCTCCTCACTTTTCAGACACGAGATATAAGGTTTTGTAGTTGAATCTTGTCGAAATTCCATCCAAGATCTAACACCTTTTTTTTGTGCTAGCCATGGCCTGTAGTTGACGCTTTCTTGAAGTACGCAATGAAGCTACACCATGGAATTTTCTTTGAAGTCACGTTTCTAACACGTTTTTCATGCCCTCAAAGAGACCTGCCAGATGGAATGTGTGGTCTAGGTTTGTGACTTGGAGAGGAGACACTAGCCGAATTTTTTGTGCTGATTTCCATCTCTTCAAGATATTGGCTGTGGGAATGGCAAGTACATGGGTGTCAACCCCAACATCTTTATTGTTGGTTCAGACAGGTAACATTTTCCTAACAGGATGTCATGGCTGTCTGGATCCATGAAGCAAGAATAAAGTCTTGATTCTCACAATACTACTCTACATAGGAGTCCATCACTATGTGGCATCGCTGCATCAAAGGGCCATTCATGTGTCGTTGCAGACACACTCGCACTTCCACATCCTTCATCACGCTTTGTACGTTAGCGCGATAAAAAGCATTATGGTATCCACAACGAATGCTTCTTCTCAAAAGTCTTGTTTCTACCATTAGGACTTTTGTCTAAGCATCGCAGTTATCCACCACCTGCACACACCTGAACGTCGCCTACGTGCCATAAAGGAAATGTTTAGGTATGTAGCCAGCGATATCATCCTTCCAATTGAATCCATTCTCGTGCTCCAAAAAACGAATCATTACAATTCCAGGATCCTAAAACCAGGTGGTAAAGCCCTAATCTTCGTATGGGCTCTCGAACAGGAAACCAAATACCGGACATTTGAAGGACAAGATGTTCTTGTACCTTGGAATCTTCCAAAGAGATACGGTGGTGCACGGACGTTAGAGAATGCAGTAGCTGATAATGTCGTGCTAGAGACTGATAAGATCTATCAGAGGTACTACCACATGTTTGTCAAGGGGGAATTAGAAGGTCTCATTACGCAAGCATGTCCAGATGCTATTCTAGAGTCCGGGTACCAGAGAGATAACTGGTATTGCATGGCAACAAAGGTTGGGTAGTGCTCGTTTCTTAGAATTGGAAAACTGATTGTACAAGAGATGCTATATGTAGATTTTAATTTGTTATACTTATACAAAGAATATTGTTTAGATACATAAAAAATTGCATTTTTCTCGATAACCAAGTGGCTTTTAGTTCGATCCCTTAAGGAAATTCATGAGTCGTGCCGGCTGACTACTTGGTACACGAGCCTTTGAGGCAGGTCTTGCCGGGGCGATAGGCGGTCTAGATGATCCACCCTATAAGACATTGTTCAACACACAAGTCAGAGCAGAGAAAACAACCGCAGTAACAGATTTGCTGATTCAAACCTGTTTGGAGGTATCACTACGAGCACTGACTTGGAAGGCCATAGCACGTCTCGCCCCTCTAGAATTCCCACCACCATCATCTTGACCCAGCTTCCCAAACCCTTTCTCTTTCTTGCCATCAAGTTCAACCGGTTGGTAGGACGATTGTCTGGCCGCTGCTAGAGCTGGTGACATCTACAAACCAACATCATCGTTCAGGTCCATGTTTGAAAGATCTCCCATATTTGTTTCAAACATGCACACTTACATAAGTCCCATTTTGAAACGAGGATGCGCCCAACTTGGGTCTCTGCGAAGGTACATTACGATTACGTATAATGGTCAGCACGTCAAAGTTGGGTAGAGGAGGAGCATCGTCTCTTCCAGCTCGAGGTGCATCGTCATTATCTGTACCAACCATCCCACCCAGGCCAAGACTACTCTGTCTGTGACGACGAGAACTCTTATCAATCTTCTTCTTGGGAGCACTATCCATCTCAGAATCAGCTTCTTCACCATCGTCCATATCACCCAAAGTAGAGAATTTATATTTGGGTCTCACATTCGACTTGTGTGGTGGTGCTGATTTCCTGTCTGGCTCCTAGAAAATCGTTTGAAAATAAAAATTTCGTCAGTCACTTAAACCAAAAACAGGAAACAAAATTCCGAATGTCATACTTCTGATTCGACTGACAGACTACGTCTCATTGCACTATTATAACTCAGTGTACTACCAGTGCGGATTAGTTCAGCTCGTATCATAGTGGCTGTTGAAACTTTAACATCCGCTCCTTCATCCTCTTCACCAGACTCGGAATCCAACTCGGAGGATTCTTGAAAGACAGCAGCAAATGCTGCAGTTTCCGGATTTTTTGCTGCAATCGCCAAAAGAAGTGAGCGAGCCAAGTATACACAAGATACAACACCTCGTTGCAACAATAACTCACCTAGTTTGAAAAGAGCTGATCCGTCATCTTCCAAACTACGATGGTGTCCTCGTTTACGATGACGAGCCTTGAATCGACGAATATCCTCGTCCGTATCTGAATCTGTATTAAACCCAATATCACGATCATCACCACCACGATCTCGTCGTCTTCTTTTAGACATTCCGCCAGCAGTAACATCTTCTAATAATGTGTCCACGGCCTTCTTGTCTGCGGCATCCATTTGTTGCCTATTGGCGAAAAAAAGTAGAGTAATAGTAGTCAATACAAGAGTATCACATTATCACACATTCCATAAAGCACGATGTTATTTAAAGGGACGATTTACATACCGATGCAATTCAACAACAGCCGAAAAATCCTCAATAACGTCATCATCACCACTCAATGGTCCGATATCTTGATCTTCAACATCTCCATCTACACCACCAGCTCCTTTAAATCCATCTTCTTCATCTTCAGAAGCTTCAGCATCAATAAACATGGACTTTTGTTCAACCTTTTTCAAAACCATTGGTTTATTAAAGATGGCATCCCAGCCAGTTGTTGCAGACGCATCCGTCTTGAGTTGTGAAGCAGGTATCAACAAAACCTCATCATCACCACCATCAGGTCGTGAATCTGATGCATTAGCATCCTCATCTTCGTCACTAGAATCTTCCGAGCTAGAGTTACTAGACTCATCACTGGAGTCACTATCCGACTCTATGATTCGTCTTCGTCGACGAGTGCCAAATCCAGCTGGCATTTCGTCGTCCCTGTCGAGACTGGTCACATCAGTTTTATCTGGAGATTCATCACTTTCCTTTACACCATTGGCATCACCATTGGACGAATCACCATTGTGACCACCGCCAGACATATGATTGTTGTCATCATTCTGAGGTATATCAGCCTGTTCAGCATCAGCTGCTGGTTGTGTTAGGAATCGTCCAGAGAGCAAATCCATTATATCTTCTTCTCTACTATCGTTCATGGCATCGAGTGACTGTTGCTTTATAGGTTGAGATTCAAACTTGCCCGACAGCAAATCGAATATATTATCATCTCTATTTGAATTAGAGTCTCCAGCATCGGGAGCTCTAACTGGCGGTGACGGGAATTTGCCAGACAAAAGACCAAATATTTCTTCATTGTTGGCTGCTTCTCCTTCTTCGTCATTATCTTTGGATATAGTCAAATCGTTAGCTCCTTCAGGTTTAAAGAAACGATCCAAAGCACCAGGCTTTGCCAGTCGCGTGGGTTTGAAGATGGGCTTTAGACGCTGAGTAGGCTGTACTATAGGTGCTTGAGTTGGAGCAGTATCGATTTCTGGTTCATAATTTTGTGCCAATGGAGTGGGTGGTCGTAAGAGCTGAGAATCAGAGGGCATGTTTTCTTGAGTCATGTTTGCCAACAATCTAAAAAGAGTTGAAGGACGTCAAATAGTTTTCTTTTGTGGCTTTGATTCATATTTGCTAGTTATAGATTTACCCATATGGCCGGTTATCATCATCGAAAGCAAAGTCATAGCGCGCAGACAGAGATCCAAACAACTCCATCTACGTCGCATTAGAATCAGTGATGAGGTTGTTTTCCTGCTTTTTTTGTTGCTCCATGACATAAGGTACCTGAGAATCAAGCGTTCCATCATCAGCACCATCATTGATAAGACCTCCATCGTCAGCCTATTGATATTCTGCGGTAAGTGGCGGTGATAAGGTCAATGTTTTTTCGCATTTCATACCCCATCAGGTTGGTCCTCATCCACAGACATCTTGTCATCCATTTCAGCAGTGTCCTCCAGATTCTCTCCAACGTTGTCATCATCTTCATGGTCATCGGTCACATCATGTAGCTGTATGTCCGGATATAGGGCATCGCCGTCATTCTAGGGTGAGTGCAGGACGCGAAAAAGAACGTCATTTGAGTTCACATTTGATGCCTACTAGGCAAACTTGCTTACCGGTCCTTCTATTCGAGCTTTCTTTGCATCTGGTTCTTGACCTTCAATACCTTCAGCAGCAGGTGCAACGACTCCACCAGCAGCTACTGCTGCTTGAAGAAGGGCCTTCTCTTCCTCTTCTCGTTGTCTTTCAGCTTCTCGTTCAAGACGTCGAGCTTCTTTGGCGGCTCTTCTAGATTCAGCCAAGGCTAGCCGATTCTGTTCTTCAGTTACAAGTTGAACCTTGATCTGATTTTTTGCAAGCTGAAATAAGGCAGCACTTCTAGCTGCACGATCTGCGTTTGGATTATGAGGCTGTATAAATGGCAGTATTCGTGGAGCTTGTGGTGTCTTTGGTCTGATTCGCTGATTACTTTCATCCAACAATTCGACTATCTCCAATTCAATATCTTCGTCATCGTCGTCATTCTCAGCTCGTTCACCTATGAGACGTGACACATTTTCGTTATGTCTGGCAATGGCAGCTGCTTCAGATATCGGAACTACTTTATCAAATGACAAGTCAAGCTGGTTTTTGGCTTGCGGTTTACGTTTAGCTGGTGTCTTCATGAAACTAGGAGATGCTGGATTTGATACTATTCTCGGAGACTTGCCACCAGCGGGTGATGGTAGTCTGGCGCCTAATAAACCTCGAGCAGGTGTTGTTGGTTTTGATGAGAATTTTTGCTGCATTAACTTTGGCGACGTTGGTGCAGATGTTGTGAGGTTGTTGGATGCGTCTCCTTCCGCCACTCCTTCCATTCCTATTATAATGTTTGGTGCATGAGGGTTTTTGAAACCGAATCCTTGTTGATCTGGCAAAACACTAGAGAAAGCCTCAACATCGTAAATTCCAGAGTCACTAGTTTGAAACAGATTAGAAATAGAGATCAAAAGATGATATGATTGTGAAAACGTCAATGTGAAAACTTACTCTGGGACTGACATTCCCAACTTGGTAAGCAACGACTTGAAGTTGAGGGACGGCTTCTTAATGTGTGGTTCATAATAAATATCTAGTTTACGTGTAAATTAGCATCACTCTGGCTTTGTCTGTTCGAAACGAAAAGCCTCACTCCGCTCAGCACGTTGTTTAGCAGCCTTCATTTCCTTCAACGCCTTTATAGTAGCCTTGCGCTGCTTTTTATTCAGCTTGAGTGATTCAATAGCACCTTCACCATCAGCATCATGTCTATGTTTCTTAAGCGTTTTTGGTTTTGTACTAGGTATGACTTCTTGACCGTCCGAGTCTAGCACTGCATCATCGTCTTCAGATTCAGATTGATCTGAAGATGGTTTACTTGAAGCTGGTTTACCAGCGGATTGTGGTTGACGCATTGGTGATGATAAATTACGTGGCGATTTACGACTAGGTGATGATGGCTTGTGTTTGGGAGATGAGTTCCATGATGAGCTATTTAGGTTTGACATAGATGGCATTGACTGTTTAATACGATCGGGGAACATCATATCTGATAGTTCATTGTCTTGCTGACCGACTCGATCGTCTTCGTCATCATCGTCGTCGTGGTTTATAAGTTTCATAGGTGCGTCATCAAGAGGCTTCTCCAGCGGTTGATCATCATCTTCAGGATATGCTAAAGTAGAGATCTGACGCCTTGTGTCGTCTGATTCGACATCAGGTAGGTTGTCATCGTCATCTTCCTCCCCCTCACGTTGATGACCATCTGGACTGCCATTCCTTGATGAATGGTTGCCAGTTGCATCATTTTCCTGTATCTCGTCATCATCACTATCTGGATCGATTATACTTGCACGTGCCTTTGTATTATCCATAAGACCACCATCATCGTCTACTGGTCGCAGCACTAGTTCTTTGTCCGTTCGTTCTGATTTCTCTGGTAGATCTGGTTCATCTAATTTATCTAGTTTGCGACGTCCATAAGTTATTGCTGCTCTTTTGATGGGCAGCTCTGGTTCCATTATTACTGAGCTGAATTTGAATTTGGTTGATTTTGGGAGGATTTTGTGTGGGGTATTGGAGGCTACGTAGTGTTGTCGATTGCTTTCTAGACGATAGAAATTACAGTAATGGAACAGCACAATTTGGATAATGCTCTATCACCCTCCTCTCAGTGTCAGATTCGAGTTTTGTCACGTACAAGCCAAGGTGAAGAAGATCAAGCATCTCAACTGCATTTGAATCGATGAACGCGTTAAGCTACTCAAATTTTGATTTTATTGTCTGAATTGTTTGTAAACGGGTCGTAATCTATACGCTACTTACATTTGTTCGCCTGACAATCTGAAAACTCAATTGTTACAAACATGCAGCAGAAAAGTCGTTCCTAAGCGCAAATAGACCGATCTCGTTGACAGTTGTGGTCGATCCGGACTCATAATCTTGATGCCGACACTCTGTTTCGGTTTTTAGATGGGCTGAGGGGGTCATCTCGAATAATTCACCGGGGGCCCAAGCAAAGATTGAATCAAATGCTGGAGAGTTTCATGTAGATGGCTTCTAATAACAAAATACGGCCTAATTTGACTCCAGTTTCCTCATCTCAGTCCTCTAGGCCGATAGTGCGATTGCCTGAAGGTGAGCTTCGATCGACATTTTTGCCAACCAACGTGATTTTTAACACATTTTGACATAGGGCTGGATGCCGAAACCTTAGAGGCCATACGCGCCGCCTGGGCTATTAAAGGAGTCGGTGGGTGTCACTGTTTGTCAATACTGAGCGAACGTTATAGCTGATGCTTGTGGTTTTCATCGCAGAGGCACGCCGAGCTTCAACGCCACTTTCAGACTCTCCGAAAGACGTCCCAACAACACCAACAAGTGATTTACGCCAAACCGGGACAGAGCCAAATACAATATGGGGTCTAGCCACGAAACTTTCAATGGGATCGTTAAACCAAAAGGAACGCAAACGTTCAGAGGATTCCGTGTCGATAACTTCATCCTTGACTGGTATACAGTCAACCACGGGAGACTTTGCTAAGGGAACATCAACTTTATCCGTTGGAGCACCTTCCTTAGCTAGTTCGACCACATCGTTGGTATGTTGGGTTGGGCTGAAGCACGCTGTGCAACGATTTCTTTGAACATCCATATTCATTGACATTTCAATATAGCCATCAATACAAGAGTTGCCACTGACTTCACCAGTTACCCCGCTTCTGCTGGATCAGCTGACAAAGACGCCCTCTGCAACATACTCGGACAGCAATCACGTACGTTGAAAGTCTCACATTTGGTGTTGCCCCAGGCCGAGTCTACCGCAATACTTAATTTCTCCACCAATAACAGGCGGAGGAAGAAGAGGGGGATAGGAAACTGCACGTGAGAAGGAACACTGACGAAACGCACGCCGAAATTTTTGGTGTGTAGGCTAGACTTGCCCAAAGAAGCAATCCCGCTCAGCTCGAAAGTACTCATTTAACACGGGGCGTTAACTTTAGGACCGTCTCCCCATACAAGAAACGTGTCAAGATTCAAGTCGTTCCGAGCTATGACCAGGAGTGAGGTTATGCTTTCAACAACACCAACCTCTACTCCATCAAGAGCATCTTCTCTTGCTGTCTCGCTTCATTCACCGCTCGATATAGACGATGTTTTACAATCAGGAGAGGACTTCTTGGGCATAAAACTGAACAAGCAGTAAAAAACCGAAGGATATCTATACATATGTGCCTCATTTTTTTGAATATCAACAGTTCCACAGTCTTAAGCAGTCAGTAAGGCTGGATCCGGTTAAACTTTGAAATTGGGCTATAATCTCCAAAGGTGTGCAAACACCGTGTTTCTTCACTATCAACTTTTGCATTCCCCGGCATACAAGTTTCACTTGAAGAACTCGAAAACAAGGTCATCCAAGACTATTCGCTATTTTCATTTCTTAATCTGTGGTAGCAACACGCAGATCGAAACCGAAATCGCACGCAAAATCCGATGCACACACCCACCGCAACAACCGCAAAGGCGCATTTTCTAGTTCTGATTTCTTTTCCGTATCATCAGCCTAGTTTATGGTAATACAGCAATTGAGGCTTATGCACAATCACCACCACCGGACCCACACCCAGGCAATTGCTTTTTTAAAACTTGTTTGTATTTCGTTTTAAAAGCTGTTTATTCTACGGCCCGTCCCACCACTGCCTACTTACTCGACTATCGGCCTCTCTCGCATTATTGAATTCAGGTAATTCTGGTCAGGTCATCGATATCAAGACATAGCTGACCGGTTCGATAATGGTTCTAGAACGAGAGGTTCTTTATCACCGTATTAATGCTGTGCAGGCGACTGGGTCACAATAGCAGTGCGGTGAGTCCAGATTAACCTTAATTTTTAACTTAAATGTTAGACAAAAATAGACTTGAATCCCTGACGTTTTGGTTGTTCCAATTGCGAATGACTGAAAATTGCATCTTGACTTGCCGCAACAGCAGCTATTAGGATGAGAAAGAAGTTTCAAGGCATGTTTCAGGAAGACCAAGTAGAAAACTGAGCAAAATGAGTCGTTTCACCAACGAGATGTTGGCGTTTCAGACTGAAGTTTCATGTCGCCACATTTCTTGAATTTGACATTCGGATTTTCCACCAAAAGTTGACAGTCGCATATGCATCAAGTGCCCTAAAGCCTCGGCATACCATACGGCGACATACCTGAATCATGCAGCCATATGCCACACTCCTTCTTCTGGCCATCATCATCAAACTAGTCGAGTGTGGATCCGTTTTCGTCAAGGACAAGCTCAAAGTAAATACTGAAACAAGAGCAAGAGGACTCCTTCCAGCTTTACAGCCGTTACAAGGCAATGGAGTAGTAGAAGACACCTGTATTCCTTCATTGAAACTTCATGAAACAGGCCAAGTGACTTTTTGACATCTCGTTTTTTGACAGTTTCAAACAAATGGACAAAGTTGTTTACATAATTGCAACCCATTAGCTATATTTCTGCCCTGGAGACTTTGTGTCCTTTACCATAGCTCGAAGCAGCGACTGGAAACCTCTTCTATTGTCAGTGCTGAAGGGTTCCCAAACTCAGCATTTTTGTTCGTCGCTCATTGACACTACAAATGGAGGCAAGTACTATAGCATCTTCAATCCATCGTTGCAATGAATCTCACAGATGTCATACATTAGGATGCTATCGTCATTTAGTTGCCGATGATGTTGATGCCAACGTGGACTCAACCAAGTTTCAAATATTTCCAGTGGAGAAAAAAGATGATGTCTGGTCTGTGATTCTCAAGGATCATAATGGTCTTTGGGTTCAAAGTACACAAAACAAGCCTGTTTCTGAAAAGAAGGTGTCTCGTGATGTATTGATGTGAGTGGTGATGTCGTCTATTGCATCTGAACCAAGCTTAATCAACTCATATTATCATTCCAAACGCCGGGCGTCCTCATCAGTGTCGATGTAAACCAGCCTGTTATGGCAACAAACGGAACAGCAGAAGTGTTTTATTTGGTACCAACTCGTAGAGTCATTGGCGACTATTGGTTGAAACGGGCTTCAGATGGCTGCTTTTTCAGGCAAGTTGGACGGGTGGTTGGTGAAGTAAGTACGCAAACTTGCTTTCGCCTAATTCTGAAATAAACTACAAACTCAATTAGCCATACTCTGAAACAAACACATTCGCCAACTCTTTAGTCACACAGTCGTCGCAGAAACCTGAAGGACGCTTTCGCCTGTGACACAGACGTCTATGATGGACTTGGTATCGGCATTGAACTAGTAGCTCCTCCACACGACAACGTTTACAGTGCATACTCGTTGAGTGTCACGGATCTCTCGATTCGATGGAAGGAAGGAATCTTGAAACAATCTGAAGCTCCAGGTCTACTCTCGTCAACTGTACTCAACTATGCAAATTTAGTCCCTCGCGCACAAATGGCGTCGTCCACTACTCGGACAGATTCCATTTCATTCAAAAAGGACAGGACGTGGGGTGCCAATATTGATGTTGGAAATTCATTTAATTTTGGGCCAAAGGTGTGTCTTTAATACTTATTTGGAACATGGCGATTATGACCTGAAGGAGGACTAACCCCGTTTTGGCAAACCAGGATGCTGGCGGATTAGGTATATCTCTCAACATTGCTGGCAGTTTAACCAGAACGACAACCCGTGGTACTGAAACAATGAATAGTTCTACTCAGTCCATCGACATGTCGTCGTACCCACCTAGCAACTCGGCAATGAGAATACGTGCGCAGATATCTCAAAGCTCGTTGGCTGATGTTCCCTTCTCTTATATCAATCATCGTACATTCTTTGATGGGACAGTGGCGTCGTGGAATGTGACTGGAACATTCAATGTTGCATGGTAAGTACGACGTCGATACTAAATACTTGCACCTTGGTTTCTTAATTGTGTGTTGATCCATTTCTAGGTTTGAACAGTCGAATGTCTGCTTTGGCCAACCTGTAGAAATGAAGGAAGGAGAGCCCATCGAGCTTGTAGACTGCCCACTAGACATAAATTAAGACAGAGTTTTCATCAGCAGTTTACGCAATGTACACAATGTATTCAATAAATTCAACATGCTGGCATTTTAAATGAGCCTTCTACTATACTTGAGAGGTGTGTTATGAACAATGTGCTATGGACAAATACTTTTTGTTTTTTCACAGCGACTGCATGAGCTTTTTCATAGCGTCACGAGCTTCCATCTTCTCGACGTCATTACATATTTCAAACACAAAATCACACTGTGTGATAAACGTTTTGATGGTACTACTCACTGTTCCTCCCTTTCCACCCCATATGTTCTTTGCAAGAGCAACCAATTGTTTAGTCGTGTTACAGTACCGTGAAGGATAGACATCTCCAAAAGTAGATATCCAGTGTTTCTCGAGAAGCAGCATTAGATTTAGAGCAGACCATGGAGGTTTATACGATGCTACCGATTTCCATTCGGGGCCAAATGTCTGTCGGAATAAGTCTGCAAAGAGTGCGCTAAGGTGAGACTCCAATATTTCAGCTAGAACGTCTGATGCAGGTTTCTCTGATGGGTTCGACAGTGTTGTTTGGGGTTCTGAGTATATTGATGGTACGTAATCTGGTAAAAAAAAAGGGTTTGAGAACGAAGATTCAACTCTAAGAAAACATGAGGATATCATCTCCCTTGCATACCTGAATCAATTTCCATCGCATCAGCTTCTACTCCATACACATCAGCGACAGGCGAAGTCCCAAAACCATTACTACTACTCTGATATGCCCCGTTTTCCTGTCTAAAACCAGGCCCCTGATGTCTATGATTCAGCCCCATATGAGTCAATATCCCATTAACGATTCCATGCGGTTCTGGCGTTGGCACTGTGGGTATGAATATAACTCCATGCGACATTGCCGTGACACATAAATTCTTGTCTAGAGAATACAAGAATGTATCTCTACACACATTCTGCTGTATATAGCAACAGCAGTCCAGTATCCTCTCGTCGTTCGTCAGTTCCTGTGTTGAAGGGAAGAGCGTTTCGCTCCTCTTTTGCGGTATAACGACTGGTAGTCGTGCATTCAAGGTCGTAAAGAGGAAGTCGATGGCTCGACGTGCTAGCATTGATAATTGCTGGGCTCCGTTGCTGTTGTTGGAGTTCTCGTATGTAGCTCTGCGATCATTTGCGTTCTAGCATGGACAAGAGAGTGAGTAAGTTCAATCTTCGGAACCTTTCAAGCTTGGCAAACAGATGGATACCTTTAGCCCGTCAAGCTCCCTCACTACAATCCATGGAATGATTAGCGCTATATCGATTGGAAGCACGTCCACCAAGTTTTTTATAAGTGACAGGTGCGAGATCAAGACATTTGTATCGACGACGATGGCAGCTGACGGTGGATTTACTCTTTCCACCTCCATCTACAAAACAGAAAAAAGGCCATGAGCATGATCTGGAATGGAAATCATCATCATCATCTCTACAGTTAGAGTAGTGTTGGACAAACATTTGATGTCAACAAAAGCTACGTTTATTCAATAGGGAAGTCGTCCAGAGAAGATTAAGAAGGCCGATCATTCGTAGCCAAGGAAGCGGCTTCTACTGACTTTTTCACTTCACATCGCCTCTGCGCCATACAACCAGTCCTTTGACCAAAGAAACAAGTGACTTACGCTGTCAAGGCCACTTTGAGCGAAAAGAGGTTTGGAGTTAGCATGCCGATACTGATAAATGCCATGGACGATAGGATCCTCCATTTGAGGTCCAAGCCGACAACTGGTTGAAGTTCCAATTCTTAAAATGGTTCTGTGCAGTACGGTGACATAAAGTACGGTGAGACATTTAAACGGACAGAACGTGTATTTATATAGATTTATATTAGTACAATGCTCCATGATCTCTCATGGCGCAATCCCAACCCCTCGACAGTGGCCAATAGCGTCGTCCGGCGTGAGAAAGAATTTCGGAATAATCACCACACTTGCCAGCACACATACCCCTATCCCAGGCACAATCCAGCTCAGTAACCCATGATCCCCCTTCCTCTTACTCTCCGCACTCCTCTCGCTCCCCTGATACAGCGAATACACCAGATACAAAACGACAATCAACAACCCAGCCCTCTCTCGACCACCTTCTGTCCTGACATCAAAGTATTCATCTACGTATGTGACTTCTGGATCTGTTAATATCGTGTATGCGGTGTTTAGGCACAGGGCAGCTTGGAAGGGAAGTGTTGGGATGAAGCCTGATATTTGGGAAATGGAGAATGCGTTTAGTGTTGCGAGGAGACATGCAGTGCCGTATGTCAGCATCCAGTATTCGGGATCTAAGGTGAGAATTTTGGACGGGAAACAATTAGCGATGGTGGTTTGGTCTTGGTCGTCTACCACGAAAAGTTCGAGAAGCTTGCGAAGTTGCAACTTGCCTGGATCATTTATCTGTACGTAGGTAGCGTATGCAAAGAATGCAGCAAACAAGTAATCAGAGATCTTCCGTGGAAGCGACATTTTATAGATGCCTGTGCGTAGTAGTGAAGTGCAGGTGTTTTGGTTCACTTGTTTGTGAACACAAAATATGAAAGGTCGACCGTCCCTGCACAAGAAAACGGCATATAGATACGTGTGAGTCAGCAAAATATCATCCAACTGCTAGATCAACGCAGTGTCACTGCTCCTTGGCTGTCCGACAGAACAAAAAGCAGCACTCCTACGCTCCACAGATCACAATCTCCTAGATCGCCATGGTTCTCAACCGACATCATACTTTTTGAAAGGTTTCTATTGGTTTACTTTAAAAAAGAAATGAAAAACAACAACAACAACAACAACAACATCTAAGTCACTCCAAACTTCTATCGTTGACTCAAATCATCACGTACTCCTCTACTTCCCCCAGTTCTTGGCAGCAGCACTCAACGTATCAGCGACCCTGAAGAAACGGTTGTGTGAGCGACCCAGCAAAAAAAGTGATCCAAAATAATCCTGATATATGACTTGCGTCCAACGACTTACAACAAGGTGATCATAGCATGTGGAGCGATACGAACATAATAAGTACCAAATCCACGGTAGAAGGCCATTGGTCCTTCATTGCTGATAACCTTCATAGCACAATCTATTGATCCCTTGTATGGAAGCACACCAGATGCATCAGGTCGTTGCCTTTGAAGACGGGTCTTTACGAAGTCAAATGGCAGTGAGAAGGCGGAAGCAGTGAAACCGGCGATTGCTGATGCTCCGAATGAGGTTGCGGCTGATGGTGGGGTGATCTAGCAGACAAAAGGTCAATCCATAAATTTCCACAAGACCAAAAGTTCATCACGATGCGTTTCAATACATCAATACACACCTTTTCAAGTTGAACCTTGGCTTCCGAGAACGTAGCCAACATTCCCAAATTCAATGCCATGGCACGAACGACGGTTGGACCAGCACCATTCCAGAGTGCCAATATGCCTTCTTCACGAGTGATTCGAGTCAATGCGTTCAATACACCGGTATAGTTTGCTCGTTGAGCCGCTGGCATGGTACCATCTGCTTGCATACGGATCAAGGCCAAATCACATGGGTTACCAACCTATGTTATGTTTGTGAAATCGTCTGAGCGAAAAAGTCTACGAGGAGGAAGGGATTGGTGTTTTCTTTACCATAGCTCCCAAACCACCAGCAGCAAGTCCAGCAAGTGCTCTTTGGCCAAAAGTGATTGGCTTTCCTGCATTGTATTCCTTGATTTGGTCCATGAAGGTGCTAGAGTATCCAAACGTGAGCAAAGACAGCGACAGGTCATCACATGAGTAAAGCATATGCTTCAAATCAATGATCCGCATTCAAGATATTATCACAGTCCACTGAGACATGCAAAGAACACTCTATACATAAATAGACGTGTTTTTTTTGTTTCGCACTCACTTGAACAAACCCAATCTAGCAGTAGTGTACGTAGCCTGACGCAACAAACCAGCAGACAAACCCTTGTATAACGACATGAAACCGTCCTTGGCGATGATTTGAGATGCGATCTTGATGGGAGAAGCGTTACCACCAGCACCCAAGAGTTGGATTCTGACTTTGACCATGTCTATGGCTGTTATATGAAATTTGCGTTAGTATTGGTTTCCGGTGTGTGAGTGTTGGCAATAGAGAAATAAGCCACTATGTTTGTATTATTGGTAGGTTCAACCAAACTAGAGTCGTCGACACAAAAGCTAGTATCTTCCCAAGCAGAGCGAAACCATCGTGACACCTACGTACGTTGAATGACAGCAGTAGCAGTCATGCCAGACAATCCTCCAAACAGAAAAGGCTGAATCGTGGTCCAGGTCGACATTTTTCTAATGTTTAATGATTCAAAGCTTTGTGGTTAGTTCCCGGATAAGAAAGGAACACTGCAGCATTTCCTCAATTGATCCCAAATAATGCATTGACGTTCATCCGATTAAAACTTGCACGAGCTTGCTTACTTGAAGAACTTTTTTTGTTTTGCGGAGTTTAGAAATCTAAAGGTGTTGAATTTGGTGAGGTGTGTGTTAGAATGAGCCTCGTTAGGACGAGTTCCTTGCGTTTACGTTGCCAAAACAATCGGAAATCAACTTACTTAGTACGTTCTTTAACTCTTCTTGGTGAAGCTTCGCTGCTGCTTTGTTGAAAAAAAAAAAGTCACGGACGAATTCTGTGTCGTCACTACCACTACCACCTTCGTGAAACCAAAATAAACTACATGATAGCCACTATGTTTGAAAATGATTTATGTGTTTCTGTACTTGAGCGTGCACGCGTGTTTAACATCTATGTATAACATGATCTTCTCCAACTCCCTCTACAATTCTAAACTTCTTCAAAATTCCTCTTCATATCTTGCCAAACTCATCATTCCTCTCCTTCTTCATCTGCTTCTTCCTCTTCTCCCTCAATTTCGTCACCACTATCATTCCCTTCCTCAGCATTACTATCACTAACAACTTCATCGTCATCAAGAGGAGTAACCCTTTTGCGAGACGGTTTACGTCCAGAATTGGGATGATCTTTGGTTCCCTTTCGTATCGTATCCAAATTATCAAGTCCCCATTGTATATTTTCAGAAAAGGTTCTGGTCTCCAATTTGGGAATACGGTTTCGTAACCAAACCCATTTGTCTTGTAGAGTATCTCCTGGCCTAACGAAAAGTGTCAATATTAAGTTCATATGGGTGCCTTTTTTGTCTCGAAAAAGCAGCGCTACCAACTTGAAAACACTTCGATGACTTTACCAGTATCGCCATCCATTCCTGCCAGCTCCAAGATTCCACCATTTGATTTCAGTTTCATCAACGGCATTTTGTTGCAGCATTCTAACAAAAAAAAGAGAAAATGAGAATTCTGTGTATCGTCCTTCCACTTTCCACTGACCGACCTGTCACCCTACTCTTACCTTTCCAGAAGCGTTTGATCATCGTCTCGATTCCAACGAGCTCCTGGCACTCCATAGAGCAATCCAGACTCGGCAGATAGCTTCACATGTAGACCATCATTCCTAGACAAAAAATATATGTTAGCTTTGGAGAGTGTATTGGCTCCACTACCACCAATTCCAGCATCACCATCACATACCATTTCCTCATACACTGATGTGGTCGACGACTTCCAACCTGCTTCGCCAAGTACGTCCAATCTCGAATAGCCATAGGATCCTTAACGTTTCGTTTTTCCATCAGTTCCTTGACAGCAGCAACAAGTTTATCTTCTTCTTCTTGCGACCATTTACCAGCCTTCATGAGTCCGGTATCTTTGGCTTCAACAACGCGATATCTTTCTTTACAATTGATACGACCCATATCTTCTTCAATACGCTTCCATTGATGACCGTGGAGTGTAACTAGTTCTCGTAGCTTGTTATCATCTTCTGCAGACCATGGTCCTTGACTGTGTAATGGGTAGCGTTGTAACAAGAATCGTTGTACTTGTTCCTTGGATCTATTTATACTAGCGTTTGTATGTATGATGGCAAAGACTTGTTGATGCAAGTGGGCATGAGTGCCTCCATATCGACGGCGAAGAAGCAGTGGAATATCTTCATCGGATATACGATATGATGTGAGATATTCTGCGAGTGCAGCATCTACGTTGTCACGTTCGGTTTTTGTAAAGGCACCACGAGCGGTTTCACCTCGGCTGATAGTTTGTTGGCGAGACGTTTCGGGTTTTTTATATTCTACACCAGATAGTGCTGATCGGAAGCGAGAGTATTTGTTTTTTCGTTTGGATGCAGAAGTGGAAGAGGCATTGCCTCCTTCATCATAATCGTCGTCGTCGGCATCTGCTTCTGGCTCTTCTTGTTCGTCTCGTTCTAGTTCTTCTCTATCGGGTTCACTTCTAGTAGTATCATCTGCTTCTTCTCGTGGTCCTGTATCTTCAGGTGCTATATATGTTGTTGGCACTATGGGACGTTGACCTGATTCTGCTTCACGGATGGGAGGTACAAAAGTCGGAGGAGGATCATCCATAACAGGGGGAGTTACATGCTTGTCCTTATTCTCCTTGCTCCTTTTACTCTGTTTGTCCTTCTTCTTCTTGGTCGTTTTGCTACCATCTTGTTTATCCATTTCGGCTGGTGGCAAGAAGTCGTCTATAGTTGGACCACGTGGTTCTATATCTTCTTCTTCGTTCATGATATGTTGCTCTGGTAGTGGTTGGAGAAGTTGCGACTGTTGTACCATACTCAGAATACTATTCAACAACGGAGAATCTGCATCACCAGTACCATTAGAAGTAGTAGTAGCAGCACCTTTACGACTTTTCTTTCGTTTAGGTTGGGGTAGAGGCTGCTCCTCACCTTCGGAATGACTGGGTAGGTGAGTACGCGTCAAGTCTTCCATTTCACGTGGGTCATCCAAATTACGATGTACATCGGCTATATCGGTATCCTGCTCTATAATGGGTGGAGTAGACATACGAGGCAGCATGGGACCGAGGAATGGACTATGCTGGTAGACAAATGGCTGAGGAGGGCTGACATGTTGTTGAACTTGTTGCTGTTGCTGTTGTTCAACAGGAGGAGTAGAGGATGTGGAAGCACCGGTAGTCAAGGCCAATAATTCCGCTTCCTTTTGCTTCTTTTTTAGCTTCATGAGTTTTTCCAAAGCCTTTGTTGCCGGAGGTTGTTGTTGTTGATCAGGTTGATCAGGAGTGCCATTGTTGATGTCAGTTCTATGTTTCCTTTTCTTCTTCTTTTTGATGATTGTGCCCGGAGCATCAGGTTGGGCATCGATAGGAGCTTCAGCAGATCGCTTCTTGCTCTTCTTTTCAATAATGGCTTCCACCTCCATCGTCATCCTAGTCCTACAAGACAGAAGAAAAAATCGTTAGGATCATAAGTAAAGGTCCGTAGTAATATAAGCAACAAGTAAAGCTCCATATCGACGTAACAAACTTGCCTGGCGAATGTGGTGATTGAACTCGTTGACGTTCTTCAATTGGGCTCACTTTCAATAATAGTCCCCAAAATGAACGTCTCAAGTCAAGGGGATTGTTTTGGCTAGAGAACCAGAAATGGAGAGACCAGCAGCCTTTCTTGACCAAATCAGCGAGGATCCAGAACTAGAACTCAAGAAGAAGAAGAGACTGAAGAAGAGAGACAGTTTCATTTTCTTGTTTATATACAAATATATACAAATTTTGTTCACAACATCATTTATGTGCACAATCATAGTCTCTGCAGAACCTGGTGTCAACAGAGCATATACATAACTCGACTTGTTTAACTACTTCTTGGATTCTTGTGTTCGCGGCCTCTCTTGGGGTTTTCTGCAGCATTTCTGTTTGTCAACGTCAACTAGACTAAAAAAAACGGCAAGAAACTGGGGTTATAGAGCAACGACAATACGAAAAGGTGAGAAGAGAGACTGCTAGAGCATATCCTGACAGCGGCGACATCGCTACGTTCCTGTGAACTATGTTGTTTGAACGTTTAAAGTTTGACCTTTTGACACGATACCACGTAGAAGTACGAACAATGGTCCGATTCCATCACCAGCCCTTTACATACAAGCATGAATGGCAGACTGTTACCGCCGCTATATGGCAAAAGTACCCAAATCCATTCGCTAGGCATGTCTTGACTGCAGATGTCATTGAACGAACTACGGACCCAGTCACAGGCAAGTCTTATGCAGAACAAGAAGGAGAGAGGAGGCTGTACATGAACGCAGCATCTAGATTACGACTACGTGAAAGAGCACTGTGACTCCCGCTCATGTCTTTGAACTTGCAAACTCAATGGTCACAAGATCCTTACAGCTAACCATCATCCAAATCCTTGTATTATAGGTATTATGCACACGACAAGGCTGTTTACAAAGGCTGGCATGATGCCCAAATGGGGTCGAACGGTATGTTGCTCATCAGACCTTACCGCAAGCTGCACGTCGTTCTGACTTGGACCGGTTACACCTTTCACTTCCTACCTAGTTCTTCAATGTCGCCGGCACAGCATACATAATCGAACACTCAACGATCGATCCAATAACTCGAGTAATGACTACCCAAACACGAAACTTGAGTCACTCGAAACTAATGCTGGTGCTTGAAACACAACGAATACGACCGCATCACGAAAACCCTGACTGGACTGTTGCTGATACCGAAGCCAAAATCATCTCAAATACTGCATTTGCTCCATTAAGAGGTCGAGTTGAAGAGTTTGGAGTGTCCAAGTTTCGGGAGAATTGCATCAAGGTACTGTGCTTTGCTGTTTGTTGATGGAAGGGGTTGCAATACTAAGCTTGATATTGACGTAGAGCTCGAATGGTCTCTTACGGGTCATACAGAGGCTCATCGGCAAGGCCGATCCTCATGAATTCGCTTGGGAGCCACTGTAAAACCACTTGTCTTTAACGACGTGTGTTTGGCACAAACTCTTATTATAAATTAGTTTAAGTAAATTGGAAAGTTTTGTATATGCATTAGGCAGCACAACTCGCAAATATATGGCTCATCATCAATCAGTCGCGATATGCTCTGGGGTTTATGTTCGTTATTTTGCTCGCTACGTTTAAGCTTCACAAGAGAAAGAGAGCATCGTTCTTGGAAAAGGAACTAGATCGAAACGTGCTGATCGTGTAAGTAACATGCTGGAACTGCTTGACTTTGGGGTTGAATTTGGCAAAGAACCGTGTTGATGACACATTCGTTTCGGTGATTTGCATAGATGTAATCAATCTTACTTCGAATCCATTATATTAGATTTATTGCCTTAATTTAATGGCCTTCTTTGACTGAGCCTGCGTCATCGACCAACCAAATCAAATCAGAAGTGAGCGAGATCACACATTGCGCTGCAGACAGCAGTTGACTCGATCTCAACCTTCACATCACGTCCTTCCTAGTTCAAACCAATGAGCTACAATCCACACCAAGTATCCCTCAAATCCCTGCTGGAAAGCAAGACCACCTCATACACACCCAAACCCGTCTTTGATACGCCCATATCCTGTAAACCGCAACAGCTCAAGAAATTTGCTCCTCCGAAAAAGAGTATATTATTGCCAGATGATCCACCTGAAAAGATTACAGATTTCTTTTATCGGCAAGAGGAGCTGAAATCTATGGTGCATTTTCGGAATGAGGGGCAAAGTGACGTTGGTTCGAGATCTAGAGGGCAGAGGATGGCTAATCATGTGTTGGGGAATATGATGGATTATGAGAAGAGTGTTATGTTGTGTGTTGAGGAAAATCATGTATGGTGTTTCTGGCATCAACGCTCCTGTTTTTAGCTTGTTTTGTCGTTCTCACGTGTTTGAAACTATAGAGATCTATAGCAGAAACACATCTATACATGCAGCAAACAATCAGCTCTGGCAAAAACCCTGAAAAGCTTCTGACTCGACTGGACGATGAAATGTCAGTCGAGGAGTCTCGTAAACGGCCAAGCACTGAACGGGTAATAGACATTGTTAGAAGGAAGAGGGCACAAGCTGAAGCAGCTGCAAACGCTAGTGACTCGATGGGAGGTGGTAGTAGTAGTGAAATAGGGCTCAACTATTGTCATTTTACCCATCGTACCAGTTTACATGAGCAATGTTAAATATATTTTCAATGCAGGTGTTTGAACTATTCATTACTATATATAACAGCATGTTTTGTGAATATAATCATATCATCATCAGTAGCAGCAAGTCTTTTAAGAATTTACACTTCTGGACTTTGAGTGACACCGTGGACACGAAACAAGGAGTTGTTCATGACACCCCGGTAGTTCCACAATGGATGATCAGGTTGTGTGTTTTGTGAAGTATCAACTACAGCGGGGGAAAAAGTCAAAGACCGCAATCACAGACCAAGTATATCGTCACTGAAACAACCACCACTTACAAGCTCGACAAACAATCTCGTTCTGTTCAGGCAAAAACTCAACACTCAATTCAAACAACGTCCAAGAAAACACAGGCCCAGCTTTTGGTTGACCATTATTGAGTGTAGCAACCATCCACTCTTTACCTCCATCGACAGATACATCCACACGTTCAATAGCTCGACCACCACCACTCAATGCATATCCTGATATAGTGACGGGCCCTGCTGGTAGCACTTGGTTGTTGACTGGACTGCAAATCACAGATTGTACATTGAGTTCTTGAATGGATGGGCATTTATTCCACCATTCACAAGCAGTGAGTTCGTTTGCTGAGGGTGGTAGGACTTTGTAGTCTAGCTGTTGGTAGAAGGCTGTACTCTCTTCCTCCTGAATTGAGATTTTGGATAGGTATTTGACCCATCGTGCACCTACACAATAAAGAAAATATGAGCAAAAGAGCCCGTACAAGCTAAGCTTCTATCAAATCACTTACCAATATGACCTGGAACAACCACCCGCAACGGAGCACCATGATCACGACATAAAGGCCTTCCATTCAATTCGTAACATAGCAAGACTTCTCCCAGCGGATCCATAGCTTTATCAAGTGGTATCGAAGCTCCATAGTTGGCGTCCTCTTCACACGCCTCGACAGAATTGAATGCCACGTGCATTTTTCGCTCACGTTGGAGAGGATTTGTTGGAATACCAATATGTTCCAGGACTTGACATAGTCGTGCACCACTCCATATGCAGTTACCAGTCGTGCCAGCACCTATTTCAGTTTTGACGGTGAGTGATGAAGAAAAACAGTGATGAAAACGACCCTATGAGCACGTTACAACTATTTTTACCCCATATGACTCCTTTCGTTGGCTTCACGTCGTTGAGACCATCTCGTCGGTTTCCAGCACACATGAGTACTGCTGTTGTTGATACTTTTTCGAACAGTGTTTTGATGTCGTTCACGGTTAAGGTTACAAGTCCATCTCGCACACCATGACCTGGAAGAGATTTTAGAGTTGAGAACAAATCCTTCACACGAACATCCGCCTTTGTTGAATCCAACAGAGCGTTATGTAAACAGCAAACAAGACATTACTAGCAAGTCCTTGCACCATGCACCACCCGTTCATGAGTTCCCACTTACCTTCAAAAACAATCTGATGATCATCGTGACCCGATAGCTCCGGCACTGGACCATGAGTACGGACAAAGAGATGTTGGGTGGGAGTCACAAATTCGTCATCTAGTTGATCAAGTGGAGTCTCTGCATTGAATGGGATTGCCTTGCGCATGATGAGTTGCGTTGATGCTCGGCATGGTTCTATAGGAGGTCAATGAAGATGATAGTGAGTTTATCGGCGTGATCCATCTCAAACTTGAGACTTTAATATTGAGAGCAACATACCTTTTGAATAGTCAAGTGATATGGGAATGGTAGTTTGCGCACGTGCTGGATCTGAATTTGGAGAGTGGAAAGAGCTATTCGCTACGGGCGGCATCGTGATGAAGAGTCCGAGATTCTGTTTAGTGTTTGCGTATGTTTGAACTGTCCTTTTCCGTCAAGGAACGAACGGCGACTGGGTTGTGATCTTAAATCACGGGTTCAGAACCAGCGTTGTGCGTTGTGTGGGGAAGCCTGTCGCCGTGGGAAGCGGCGTGTTTCAGACTAGTTAATGGGTCAGGGATTTTGCAAATTTATCTGATTTATTTGTCTCTTTGCCAGTTTGGGTAAAGATAAAATAAATCTGAGAAACAAAACATTCCACCAAATAAATGTAACCGACAGAGACTAGAAGCATCAAGTCATTCGCGCCTCTCACGCTGTTTTCTAGACATCTCCGCAATCCTGATTCACCTCCCGAGTGTTGGTCGTGGGATGCCAATCATTAAACCTTCACATTTGTACCAGTGTTAAAAACTCCATCAAGGAGCGAGTTAATCACAGAAGTAGGCTCTTCAAGGCCTTATTCCAGTTCGTAATTTAAAGAGAACATGAATTCTCGTATCGGCGTGTCCTTAGATTCGTCAATGCACGAATCCACTCCGATAAACACTGTAGGATATCGCCAACTTTCTATTTGTTGTTTGATATGCAACCCACAACGGACACCATATACTAATGATATTGTATTGATTTAGGGCCTATCCGTGCCGTTATTAGACGCGACAGCCACATCAACAAATAGCTTACGCTCAAGTGAACGAAGACTGCAATCTGTGACGCAACGACGTCAATCTCGAACAATGTCCCACATTCAATCTTTTATAAGAGTGAAAGTCGTAGTAGATGATTCTGGCACACTTCGGAAGCCTTTCGATATTACCATCAACCAGGCCTTCACTATTGAGCAAGTCGCGCATCAGATTGAAGCCGAGTATGCATTCAATGCTGGGTCTGAGGGAGCAGCGATTGTAGATGATGTAGAAACTGCTTCATTCAAACCATTGACCTGTGGTATGATTCATGATGCTGGGAATATGGAGCTCAAGTTTTCGGATGTCATTGGCAATGTGGTCAAGTTTAATGACACTTTGTTTATTACAAACACGTGGCTAGGTAAGGCATGAGAATTAGTTTAAACGTCATAGTTTGGCAGACCATCACCTTTTTTTGCCTTGATTTCTCATTTATATAATTCGGGTAGGTCCAGTGATACCGAAGACGTTAAAGACATCCAGTGGATCTGACAGTGGCAGCTTCCCAGAGATTGAGCGATCAGCCAAAAGCCGAATTTCTGAGCTTGACCGCCCGAAAACTCCTACATTGGAAGTTACATCCCATCATCTAATTCCTCTAATAACTTTGGAACAAAACAGGCTCCCCTCCCTCCGAGACATGAGCGAACTATCCCCAGCAAAATCCAAATTAAAACTCCTCTCTCGACAAAACAGTCACGCCTCTTCAATCTACACTCCACTCGATATCCAAAGTCGTAATAATCTCGCAGCATCCTCAACAACCACCGTTGACACTGATATTGACAATGAATTACAATCGCTGCTATACTCTCGTATCGGATTAGATTTCTTGAGAGAATTCTGTACGTGTGAATTCAGTCTCGAACCACTACTTTTCTGGATGGATTGCGAAGTGTATCAAAGCTCGGATCCATCAGTACGGCGAATACTGGCTAAATACATCTATCTGACGTACATTGAACCTACCGCTCCCTTACTTGTCAATCTCGCCAATGAAGTACGACGCAAGTTGCAGTGGGATGTCATATGTAGTCCGAGTGAATCGCTGGATATTACAGTGTTTGATGAAGCACAAGAAGATGCATATTGTATGCTGAGAGGATATCAGTATTTGCGATTCGAATCCAGTCCGTACATGCAGTCTTACATCAACAAACGTGAACGAGGTGAGTTCCGGAGGATCGAACTATGACAAACAAAAAACGGACCCAGATTGTCGATTTATAGACATTTCTCAAAATCATTGCTTCAATATTCACGTTATCTGATTTACTAACCAAATCTCCTTCTCCCATTGTGGCAGACCTGACCGAATACACCAAAGGACAAATCAAAGACTCATACGCCCAAACATTCCAACCAGATATGAACTTTATCCGACTAGCTTGTGCAAGTTTGGAAGATCCAGATTCGGCTACCTCCTTTGAGGCCATACGTAAACTAGCCAAGGGCCGTACCGACATCACCATCAGCTCGAAATCATTCAAAGAAATCGTCCTGAGCCAAATCATTTCTCAGTATTTCGTCGGACTACGAGCCAACGCAGCAGCAGCCTATTTCTCAGATACAGCTCGTCTAACATGGGGCTTGAAGGAACGCAAACTAGCCAAAGCCGACAAACTATCCAAATTCTTTGGCCAACGATTGACGAATTACGAGTTGCAAGAACAAGCTGTGGGACGCGTGCATGATCCAGCTGACGACGTGGCATCGTCTGTAGACAGTATGAATAGCAGTCCAGACCGACGCTCCCATCGCAAAAGCAGAAAGGAAGGAGCCAGTAACAAGAGTGATGCCAACAAGCGTCGTAAACGGGCTGGGAAACTAGAAACTATTTTCGGTGAACGACTACCCAAACGGCAACTCAAGGTGCAGAATCTTGTTGATCAGTCATCGGGTGGTGAAACTATGAGTGAAGAGGACGATGAGTGGGAAGATGTGTCGGAATCAACCATGACTCTACAATCTATGGATGTAGTAAAGGATGAAGAGCTAGTTCCGCTCCAAACCATCAACAAATTGACAAATCGCCAACGCAAAGTACTAGCCCAACGATCAGCCAAACTCAAGAACATGATGGGTGCTGCGTTACGTGAAGATGTAGCTGCTGGTCAAATGGGTCTCCCACATGGTTTGGACCGCGCTCTATCGGATTCTAGTCTCTTGACACCAGAACCTCAATCGTCCCCCGATGATGTCGCTACCCCATCATCATCCAACCCGTCTCCGACTAAATCACCGTTGCCACAGATCAATACGGATGTGATTTTGTCAAACCGTGACATGATGCGTAAACGTCTCGGCAAACTAGCTGATGTGTTGGGTGAACACATCACAGAAGATGAGTTAGAGCAAGCTAGTGTTACATCCAACCAAATGCTTTCAAGCCCTTCTGGATTGGCGTCATCGAGAAACTTGATGTCTCCACCATTGACTGCAGATGAACGACGAGATTATTTGAAACGTACTGCTAAATTGGACCGAATGTTTGGTGCTATGCCACCTAGCTTGTCAGTTGTTTCTCATTGCAGTGATAGCGCAGCAGCAGAAAAATCGATATCGCCCGCCTCTGCTTTGTCGACACCATCTTCTTCTGGATCTGATAAAGATTCACCTACCGCTCGCGCCCGGCGAGCTATCGCAAATGTAGACTTGATTCTTCAATCACCTGCCGACGTCCAAGTCGCAGTATTCGAAGCCATGGCCAGTGACGATGAAGACACCGAACTCCACGTAACCCATGACGAAACAGAACGTACCAGCTTTGTAACCGTGAAATCCCTACTCCCATCAACAACCAACAAAGAATCTCTCCAAAAGAAGCTGTTGAAACTAGAACGCCTACTCGGCCGTGACAATTCTGACGTGCAAGGAGCCATCCAAGCCCAACTTATTAACGACTTGGAGCAGAGCATTGAAGATCAAGTCAAAGATCAGGACGAGCAAGCACGACTAAAAGACGAGGTTGGACTACTACGAGATAAATACCGTATACGACCTCTTTTGAGCGACGGTTCGATTGGAACCTCTCTCAGTGATGAGGATCAATGGGTACCGGAAACCAAGAATGATTTAGGTGCTGAAGAGAGACGAGTGCTGACTAAGTCAGCCAAGAAATTGCATAAGGTGCTTGGTGAAGCACTAGATGAAAACACGATAAAAACAAGTGGTGTGCTTGGATTTAATAGCTTGGCAAGAAGTCCTACAAGCCCAACAAACTCTAGCCCGAATACTGCCGAACAAGAAAAGACGGCAATCGCAGCAACCATGCCACGATTATTCAAGCGTGATGATTCAAGTTTGAATGGGAGTGAAACGAATCTGATTGCTGCATTCAACCATTCACTCCCCGAACGAATAATCGAATCACCTTCTGCTACTTCTACCGTAACTAGTGCCATTACTGCGGACATCCCCGGTGACGATCGCGAAGAACGTCGTAAACGACTAGAAAAACTATCTGCTGTGCTTGGCCAGACCATTTCTCCCATGGCACTGGAAGAAGCCGCTGCAGCAGCGACCAAGACCCGTTCATTATCTGCCAACGAGCCTCAAACACCACTCAACGAAGACGAGCGCAAAATGCTGATGAAGAAGGCCAGCAAGCTTGAACGAGTGTTTGGAGAACTCCCACCTGCAAATGCATTATCGGAGGGCTTCACCAAAGCCCAGAAATCAATTCAGGGTGTGACGGAGCTTCTAGCATCACCGAATGAAAACATGCTGGGTAGACTGCTCGATACTATTATTGGACCTGGACCGGCTGCACTACCTGTATCTTCCAACGAGTTGAATATCCCATCCTCCTCATCAACATCCCCAGACTCCGCAAACGTCAGCGCCAGCTACCTTCCCGACCGCTCAGTCTCCATGTCCTCAACGCAATCCCACCAACCAACAATCCCGTCCTTTAACGATTTCAGTAACGGACCGGACAAGGAATCCCGTAAACGACGCCTAAAGAAACTGCGTAAATTCTTTGGTGGGAATGGCGCCGACCTCGGTGCACTAATTGAACAAGTCGTAATCAAGGAACTCGAAGCTTCGCTAGACTATGAGTTCAATTCCGAAGAAGAACGACTCCAAATCCGTCAAGAAGTCGAGCAATTACGTCCTCTCGTCAGACGCCAATCGCGTGCCATAGCCATGGAATTGAAACAAAACAAGTTTGGATTGACAACCATGTCTGAGGTATCGATTGTCAACAAGGAAGGATCGGAAGAGTCGCTTGCAAGTGCTAGTGGAAGTGAATCATCGTCTCGTCGAGTGAGTGTTGGTGCGCCTCCACCGATGGTTACTATTGGAATGCTGTCTCCGAAAACGAATGGTAGTAGGAGACCAAGTCGGGAAGCTGGGGTTGGAGCTAGGCTTTCGCAGATTATTCCATCGTCGAGCTCGAGTCAGCAGCAACACCATATGGACGTACCTGGACAAGAACGAATGGTGGTTTCTGGATCTATTCTGCCTGTACCGGATGCATCAACTACTAGCTTTTCAGAAGCGATTGGATCTTGGTTGGCTATTGGTTCTAACGGGTTGAAGAAACAGCAAGCGGTATCAGTTCCTGAGGTGCCTGAATCGAAACGCAAGGCATCCAAATGACACCAAGTAATTCTGTAATCGTTTCAGTCATAAAGTTTAATCATTTCAACAAAAGAGGATTGTAAACTATTTTTCAACTGTAATCAACACGAAAGCAAGTTATAGAAAACCGCTGATAATGATATCTATTGGTTGTTTTGTTTATGTTTTTTGAGCTCTTACAATTGGGAGCTCTTTGAATCATTTAAAATAAATGCATGTTGTTGTCAAATTCATTTCTCTATAGTTTACCACTGTTTTGAAGCTTCCCAATGCGTTCTACCAAAGCCTTTATCTGCGGTGTTCCCGATGCCACAGCAACTTTCCCCAACCCACCAGTCTTGATCACCACAACTCGTTTCGTCTTTCCACGTAAATCTTTAAGCGGCTGTGGTGCAAATGTCTCAAACGACACCTTCTTATTACTGCTACTAGTATTGATGGCCTCTTCTACCGTTTCAGGGAATTTACCTGGATGAGCAGGTGCTAGACATACAGTATACACTCTACCAGTACCACTAGACGGATTGATTTGATGAGCAGCATGTACGCCAACAGCGGAATGCGGATCCAGCAGGTATCCAGCTTCATTGTATGCTCTGATGGTAGCAGCTGTTTGAGGATTCGATGCTCGGACGGCATCAAATGTCTTTTTACCGAGACTTAATTCACTCGACGAGACAGAGAAGTGGCCTTGAGATTTCAATTCATTCATCCATCCTGCTACTTTGCTTGATGCTCTGGTATCATCGGTTGCAGAGACACGGGACGATGTAGTGTTGCTGGCTTCGTCACCACGAGCTAGATACCATAGCAGACGTTCAAAGTTTGAGCTGACTAGGATGTCCATGGCTGGTGATAGTGTTTGTCTGACTTCTGATGATGCACTATTACTACTATTACTATCGGATGGAGCATTCCTGGCATAAGACCCAGACTCGAAGAATCTCGTCAATATATCGTTTTCATTAGTAGCTATAATCAATCTATGTATAGGCAATCCCATTCTCAAAGCATAATATCCAGCCAAGATATCACCAAAGTTTCCGGTAGGCACACTATACTGCACTTTAGGCAGTTCACCCTTTACGACTTTACCATTCGAATCAATAATGACTCCTGTTCGTTTCACGAGTGCCAAGTACGAAGTAAAGTAGTAGATGATTTGCGCCAATATACGAGCGGCATTGATACTGTTTATAGCTGCCAGATGATACTTTTCCTTGAATTCCAAGTCACCGAACAAGTTTTTTACGATTTCTTGACAGTCGTCGAACGTTCCTTCTACAGCCACGTTGTGGACGTTGGCGTCTTGTACTGTCGTCATTTGCAGTTCTTGGATTGGCGATACTCGGTTGTGTGGATGCAGGATGATGACTTCGACTGCTTTCTTGCCTCGTAGACCATAGATGGCTGCTCCTCCTGTATCTCCTGACGTGGCTCCTACTACAGTTATATGTGGTGGGGTTGACTTTTTACTATTCCCACTAGATTTACCACCTTTAGCAGCCTGCCTAACCAGAAAATACTCAAACAAATTCCCCAGCACCTGCAACGCAACATCCTTGAACGCAAACGTTGGTCCATGAAACAATTCCAATGCATACATATCCCTCCTGTTCTGTACAACAGGCAATTCCACCAATGGAACCACATCTGGATGGCTAAATGTTCCAAAACTGGTTTCTAGCAGCTTGCGTAGGTCGGCAGCGGGTATTTCGTCACTGGATATGTAGAGTGACAGGATGTTGTAGGCAATGTGTGCGAATGGGAGTGAATGCCATGATAGGATGGTTGCTAGAGGGAGTTGGGGGATGGTATCGGGTACGTAGAGTCCACCATCTGGCGCTAGACCTTCAAAGACGGCTTCTTCAAAAGATATTGTTGAAGAGGATGATGAAGCTCGTGTTGACTTGAATCTCATTTCAGAGTTATAAGCTAAAGAGAAAGGGGACAGTTAGTACTTGATTAAAGGCTATAAGAACTGAGTTGACGATACCTGTAATGTCCTATATCTCCTTATAGTCGATAGTTTGCGAAAAAGAGTTTTTTTGAACAAAGTGGACGTGTCATCCGCAAACCAAAAACTATCCCGAAACACGTTGCTAGCAGCCTCAATACGTGATTTAATATTAGTTTTATAGCAAATCTTCTCGTCAAGCTCGTGTTTCGGTAGAGAATACTCTTAGACGCAATATGTACCAACTTTTTTTTTTCTCATCCAAACACATTACATTTTGTTGTTGGCAAAGAAGAAGAGATACAGAATAACCATAGTTCTAACTACTCACGATGAGGTTAGAAAAGTGCTATTTCTGCTCAAGTACCGTGTATCCAGGTCATGGAATACAGTTTGTGAGAAATGATGCTAAAGTAAGAATGTTTGAAGCATGCTTTCGTTGTTTCAAAGTAAATAACACATTTATTCACTAGATATTTCGATTCGTAAGTCTCATTCAAGACATCTCTAACTGAAGATACCTGCGTTAGCTTATGACCACTAACATCTTCACATTTTTTTGCAGTGTCGATCAAAATGTCATAAAAACTTCAAGATGAAACGAAACCCACGTAAAGTGGCATGGACTAAGGCATTCAGGAGAGCTCATGGCAAAGAAATGACTATTGTATGTCCTGAAGTAGATGTAGTATCTATTTTTTTGCTCAACGACCAGTCACTAATCTTACCTCACCCATCAGGACCCAACACTCGAATTCGAAAAACGACGCAACGTACCCGTCAAATACGATCGCGAACTAGTAGCTTCCACCGTCAAGGCCATGAAACGAGTCGCTGAAATCAAGGCCCGTCGTGAACGTGTATTCTACAAAAACCGTATGGTCAAGGCCGGAAAAAAGGAACACGAACGATCAGACATGCTCAAAGATATCTCGACACATATCGATTTGGTGGTGGCTCCTGGTGTCAGGGAACGTGTCAAGGAAAAGATTGCCGACGAAAAGAAAAAGGCGTCAACGACAAAGATGGAGGTCGACGAGTAATTCTAGTCTTCGTAGTTGTAGTAGTTGGGGATTCCGGTTTCTTATTGTTGGTGGGCTCGTGGAGCTGCTCTCTCTCTCGCATTGTATAGTAAATATAGCATACGGTCTGTGTTCTTTCAACGAGCCATCCATTTTTATTTGCAAGTTATGATCATGGATATTACGAAGACGAAGATTTGCTCTTTTCTTGCAACGACACTACACTTTGAGTCAACTCCCATAGTTGAGTCTTTGATTCTAAATGTTCAACTCTGAGATCATCCTACAGCAGTGGGCGAAAAGAGTCAGCCTTGCGCTAAATACCGTGTATGTAGACAGGATCTTACAATAGCTTTCAAAAGTTCATTTCTCAGCGTTTCTATATCGTCTTTTGTGGCAGCAACAGATTTGTGTGTCTTCAAATCTGGTTTTTCACAAAAGGGTTTTGTTAGAATGCGTCTTTTAGCTCAATACTCTACAACTGAACACATACCTTTCTCAACAGACACGATCTTCTTTGTATAATCTTTCACTTTGGCAACAGAAGTTGCAACATCTTCCACAGTAGATAGTAACGAGTTGCTGCTTTGTTGATACTCATCCAGCAAGAAAACATAGCATGCTAATCCTGTCAGCGAAGTTCCAACCAAGAAACCAGTCAAACTAATGAGGGTATGCCAAAGAAGAGTCAACTTCTGTGCGTTTGGACAAAATGTTTGATGTTGCAAAACAGCGAGGGCTCTCATTAATCACTCAAGAAGGACCATCACATTAAAAAGGAATGCATTCCCAATCTCGTACCTTCCGGAAAAGTAGCCTCCTCTTCGTGGTGGTGGAGGTTTGACGACTACAGGAGCAACAAATGTTGGTTGGGGTTGCGTAGCTGTTTCATTGAAACGCTTGGTGCTCTGCTTTATAGCGCGTATCAATGACGGCTGCTGGAGCATCCGTGACGTTATTGCTAGTCGTATCATGTTTGCAGATGTGTTGCTCAAATGGTGAACGAGCTATTGGCACGGACGGTCCATCATTACAGCACAGACACCTTAAACCGACGCGATAAATTACAGGTTGGAAGCTTAATTTATCTATTCACAGCAAAACTACACAATTGGTTCACGAAACTCTTCCTGATACAGCTCTTGACTAGTTCCAATCTCTAACAGTTACGTGACTACAAGAGCTTCACCAAACTCTTCTTGATACAGCTCCTGACTCGTTGCAACTCTTTCTCCTCTTTTCATCGCCAACGATCCAAACCCAGCAACCACAGAGCTCATATATTGAGCTTCCAGCTGTGGACCCATAAGTGCCCGTGGAGGATGCAATCTTCGGCGTCTATCTACAGCTTTTATACGTTCCGGACCACTAATCACCTACAACATCACCAAAAAGGGTAAGAAACCAACTGGACGTCTTTCTCGACAAGCACTCCTACCTTGAGAGTGTAAATCAAACTAAGATGTGAACCCCCCTCCGCTCTGCCCTCATCAATCAATGTAACAACCAAATGACAGACACGATCATATTCCTTGTCACTCATTCCAGGTATAAACTGCAGGAGATTGTGTTCACTTATTGATTGAAGAAGCAGACATGTGGATGCGACGATTTCTTTGTTTTTGCGGTATTTTTCCAAGTAGCTTAGAGCTATTACTGCGAGGGCTGGCATAGTTGAAAGTGATTCTTTGTACCCGAGCTGTGGGGTGGAATTGAGATGTGAAGTGAGTGGGTGGAGCAAAAAAACCACATGCGGAGGCAACACTATGAGAAGTCAACACACCCAAAGCTCTGAATCCCATATGATAGCACGTTGAGCATCATTCAGTGGCCTCAACGAATCATCCAGCGTCAATCGAAAGAACTCAAACAGTGGATCTGGACCACCAGTCGTGAACTTGTAATCAAGCAGCACCTGAGGAGCAGAGATTATGAGATTTGCTGCATCGATTCCTATATCGCAAAGATATCAATCAGAAACCCCATTCTTTAAACGTTTCATAAGAGTATCCTTACCTGCAAGCAAAGTCTCAACATGTTTTCCATCAGGCTTGATCAAAACATCAAGAATTTTGGGCAGACAGTTCACAGCTTGCAGCTTTGAAGGCGCATCTGAGTACGTCACGTCACAGATAAAAGTACAAGCCAGCAAGAAGACAGATTCCAGATTCGAGTGTGTTTCCAGCAAGCGATGTATAGGAGCCAACAGTTGGGATATTTGAGGTTTGCATTGTGGCTTCACAGCTACAAAAGTATGAAATTAAGCAAAGATGATCTTCTTTAAGAATGATTTAGCTTAAAAACCTCGACTTTGCCTACCAACCCAATGCTCAACCAACTCCTGAAATTCTATCCACGCATGCCCCCGTTCATGTGGATTCAAGCCAAGACTCATTCTATAATAGTCCGTCAAGCAGTTCAAGATACTTGATAAGGCGTTTGCAGCGAGTTGGGCACTGCGTCTTTCGTTAAATGATTGATGTTGAACTAGCTCCGTGAGGAACAAGATTTGAGGGCACAGAATGTCACGAAACGTATTATCATGAGCCTCTAAACAGTACCGGCAAGTAAAACTAGGTTGCTGCGTCTCCATATTCTCAGTGTCTTCCAGTTAAGCCAATGAAACTTGCGATGGGCCGTCGAGTTTTACGTAAGTTATATTCTTGCAATCTCTACTATATTTACGGTGCTTACAGCTTACAGTGTATATTTACACGTTGTTTACACTTCACATTTCCCATTGAGCAGCTAAATATTTTCGCTCACGGTTCTCATCTTGTATGGCTCGCTTTCGAGCAGCCATACACCTATATATAATCTGCTCTTCTCGTTCAACACGTTCCAAAATATCTCTCTAGGCAAAGAAAATTTGGTTACATGAGAATCGAGTACTCAAAACCGTGCTTTGTGTCGGGTTTTACTGCACACTTACATGTAATTGAGCTTGCAATTCCAATTCCTTCCTCTTTGTTGCTTCCCAACCATCATGTTTCGGACACCTTCCTTTATGTACACATACAGTTGCTGGGTTTGGGACGACAGACTCATCGGAAGACACACAACCAGGTTCAAGGTCTCCATTGACAATGAGATTCAACCTTGAATCAAAGCCACATACATTGACATGGAATTCATGAGCTCTCCTGACAGCATTTTCAACATCACCAATCCTATTATCGAGCCTCATTGATAAATCCGTCTGTTTGTGCTTTGTCTCTTCCAATACTTCGAGGCGTGCACAATCTTTTGCGTCTAGAGCTTTGCAATCTGGGATTGGATATTGCAAGACAGCCTTTCGTGCGGTTTGCAATATTTGTTCGGCAAGTATCTTGGAGTGAGTTGTTTCACATTCAACGTTGCAGTATTTCCTTGTTTGGCTTTTATGGATGGAAATTTTGCATTCGGGGTTTTCACAGTTTTTCTGTGTGAGTTTACATCCGGGGCAGAAAAAGATGGCGTCCTTGTCGAGAGTTGGACTGACACATCGGTAGTGGAAGGGTTTCTGGCATTGTCCACATCGGATACATGCGAGTGGGGTTGAGACTTCGAATGGTTGATGGCATATACATATTCGCACTACTCGTGATTTCTTCGCTGGTGGTTGGGGGTTTGTCGGTTGTCCTTCAGCTAGCACTTGCTTCTCCTTTTTTACATTACGGGTTTGAGCTACAGCTGCCGTCTAAGTTTCATTAAACGACTTAGATATGAGCGAAACATCGCAAAAACACCTATGTCTTCAAGCACTTACCTCCTTCCTTTTCTTTGGCATCCGAAACGTCGACACGTCAGCAGGCTCTACCGGAGGCGCAACAGGCCTCCCATTCAATCCGTCCTGACTGCTGATACTCCAACTACGTTTCAGCGTCTGTTGCTGCATCAGATTTATTGCATTGTAGTAAAACGGCATCGGTGGCATTGCTTTCGGAGTTGGCACTCCCGACAATGTATTCGGAGCTGTGTAATAATATGTGTATGGCGGTGTCGGTGCTTGTTGCAGTTGAGTTTGTGGTACATTTACATTTTGATACGTCGGTTGATATTTCGGTTGCGGAAACGAAGCGTACACTGGTTGTTGATATTGTGGTGATTTCATCAAATGTGGTGTTCCAGGCGCTAGAGCAGGCGACGATCCAAACCCCATATTCATCTTTGCTTGCATATAGTTCTGATACACGATGAGTGAGTGCTGCTGACTGTCGTCCTGCTTGTCTGGAATGTGTGCGTTGGTTGTTTGCGTATATCTCGGCAGAGCGTCTAGCAATGCCGATTGGGATACACTGATACGTGTCGGCATGGTCGGCATATTGGATTGTTCGTGCATCATGTATGACGATTGTTGCAGTTGGCCAGATAACTACCAAAATCAGGTCAGATCTCGAGCGACAAATGAGACCAGATCTCGACCAAACGACAAGGACAGGACATTTCTGAAACATACCTTAGTGTAGGGATTCATCTGTGGGCTCAGCGCATGGGCTAATGAATGGGCATTCCATGGAATAGACATTCTCCAAAAAACTGGCGACGGAAAAGAGTGTGAGATTGACGAACGAAGAATGAGTATCAAACCAGTCTTACGGCTATTCCAAGTGGTCTCTCAATCTGCTTCAATTCGCACTCGTGGTCTCTCCACGCCAGCGTGAAGAATCCCCTGTGTTTGCCTGAAACTGCAAACGTTCGTGGTGTGCGAACGAGTTCAAGTCTATTCAGGCCTCAACGATGCAGAGGAGGAACGTGTTGTTTGGACCTATGGAAACTGATCTGGATATATTTGGGTTGGAACGAGCCGGATCTAGCCAAACTTGCAGTTGGGCTGGTTGTCATAGAGAGATGCGCAGACCTTACCTCAGAACTCATTGTTGGACGTGAAAGTGCGCACATTGCATCAAGAAATTCAATATATTCAATATTCAAACTTATTAACGAGCGACCGGATACATACGACACGAAAAATATTTAGATGAAAAAGAGGAGGTTGATTCCAATACATATCAGCAACGTAGCTAGCCCAAGCACGGCTCCAGGATTCACTCCACTAGTAGCCGACGTGCCCACTTTCAATACGCCACCATCCGAATACATTGATAGTGAAGTCAAATTCATGTTGGTGCCAGTTGGGTTGGTGATGCTTTGGTACATGTTGGTGTATGATAAGCAATCGGCAACGGTTTTGATCTTGAATCCAGCTTGTGTTATCAGGTCTTGGGCTGGAAGGGCGTATGCGGCTGTAACGGTATACAAGTCGTGTTCTAGTGAGATTATGCCTGTTGTCAAGTTGGGAGCTGCAGCGACCCATTGCGATACGTTGCCAATAATCCATGATGGCGTGAAATTCAGGGCGGGGTTGTTGGATTTCCAGTCGGAGGTGTCACGGTTCCATCCCATCACTAAGTGGGATTGATGTTTGTTAGTGATGGATACTGTGAAATCTGATAAGATTCATAAACCAAATTCCAGCAGTTGATGCACTCACTTCTCAATCCCATAGCCTTATAAACCGACCTAGTTCGGTCGTCCTGGTCACCATAGGGTGTTCGAGTACAAGTAGGCACAATTCCAAGCACTTGGTAGACAGCTTTAGCAGTCCAATATGTATCAGTCACGATTTGCTCGTTGGTCATCGCGGTAGGTGCAGCATGTGCCCAAGTATGAAGACATATCTGATGTCCTTCGTTGTATGTCCGTAGTAAGATATCTGGTCTTTGCAAGACACGAGACCCGATTACGAAGAATGTTGCGTGGACGCCTAGAGATTTCAAATGATCCAGGACGGGGACTGTGTTGTTACTACAATGTCAAGGTAAGTGTGAGCAAACTAGAAATCCCTCCAACTCGCAAAGTGATGCGAATCCTGTCGATCACGCATTCATACCTTGACCCATCATCATACGTAGTAGCCCAATCACCCTTCGTAGGACACGTAGTATATTCACCGCCAACAGACGGATTACCCGCTCTCGTACACCCAACACATGTAAAATCACAAACGCCATTTGCTCCGTAATAGTCAATCAATGTCGGATCACAAGCAACACTAAACTGCATCGAGGCTGGTCGTATCGTAGCAGAAGCAAGTCCAGTAAGATTAATAGAAGCTACCCATTCCGGAACTACGGCAGGCACTCTGTCCGGTGTTGGCCATTGCCCTGGTAGACAGATTCCAGCATTGGCAGCACATTGAGCAACACTATACATGCTTCCTATCAATTTTGAAGAGGCGATGTGAATGAACTGTTTGATTAAACCCACGCTCGTCCCTTCCGTTCTAGTTTTCTTGCAGATTTTCAGGAATTGTGTTACGAAATTACCTGGCTTCGGAAAGGAGGAAGCATTGTACTGAGCCCATGTACCACTAAACAAGGCTGTAGCAGCCAGTAAAGTTGCTGTCCGTTTAGCCATTGTCGTCTTGGTCACTGAATTGTTGCCGTTTGCGTCTATTTCAGTTTGGTCAATGATTCAAACCCTAACCCTTGCTGACTTTTGGAAGAGGAGCTGGGAAGGAAGAATGTATAAGCATCAAAGCGAAATGTAACGTTAGTACCCAGTGGAGATAGCATCAGTAGAGATCCTTGGTGGTCACAACGAAATAGAAATACTAAGCACACGATTTTGGAGAGAACCACGAACTTAAAAACCCGCTACTTAAAAACACTGGCAAACGAAACGAAAGCACACCAACATATTCTTCATCAAGTCATTCTATTCTCCCATATAATAATTGGCAACAGTAAAGTAAACAAAAGACATTTCCTCCTCACAACTGGCAATCCCATCCTTTTTTACACACACATCATCCTCATTTATTCCTCTTCCTCCTGTTCCTCTTCTTGTAGTGGTACTCCACCTAATTCTATGACCTGACTCTGCAGTCTAGACACCAAGTCCTCTAACTCCTGGAGGCGCGACTGTTTGCGGTTACGGCTACGGCGAGCCGCTTCCGTATTGCGCTTACGTTTGGCTTGGGCTTCCGCCAGGATCTCTAATGGATCAGTAGGTCTATTGTGGGTTGTGAGCGTGTCGTTCTTTCCCCAACACTGCAACAAACACGACAAGAACTCAGTCTTACCTAGGCTTTGGCTTCCTTCCGACTTTGTTCTTCTTTCGAGGTTGCTCGTCTACAGCCGATGCAGCCCTCTTTCTACCAGAAGTAGCCACAGATGTCTCGGCAGCAAGACTAGCCAACAGAGCATTCAAGTCCTCCGATGACGTAGCAATAACAGGAGCCGGTACGACGTGGCTGGTTTCCAGCGCCTTGGCCATATGTTGCTTGAGCTCAAGAGTCGACAAGTTAGGCGACATTTGTCCCAAATGCTTCATGACTTCTGAAGCATACAACAATTCGTTTGGCGATAGAGTTGCTGGCTTCTGTAGAATGGAGGTTGAAGCACCCATTGGAAGGAAGGTCGCTTCTATTCCTGCTCCCATGGGAGCAAAGAAGTCGAGCGATTCCAATCCTTCTGGTGATGGCAAGAAGGTTTCTAGTGGTGAGCCAGCTGGACTGGTAAGAGGAGATTCAAGGTCGTCTTTGACCTATGTGTGTTCAGTGGGACGAGTAAGCGTCAAAAAGAATTCTTCCGGTATAACGTCACAATGTGATGAGTGATCAAGGCAAATATACGCACATATGGAGAAGAGAATGAAGAGAGTGGAGATTCACAGTCTTCTGAATAAATAGGCATGTCACCCATCCATGCGAGGATGTCTTCTTCACTCGACACGGTGGTGAGAGCCGGCGACGACCCAAAGTATGTAAGGTCTTCCACTGAGAGAGTAAAGAATGTGTTGTCAGATTTATTGTTTTAACGACCAATGCATTTTGAATGTGCATCCTTCAAAGCATCTCCCACTTCAAGCCACATGGGAAAAAAAAAACCACCGATCAGATGTTGACTTACTTTGAGTATAATTCATAAAAGTAATAGGAGTAATGGTACGGTAGATGTGATTATATTATAGGAGATTGTTGACACTGACACTGGCTACTACACTGACGTTGTTGCTGTTGTATTTGTTCTGACCGTTGTGATTGTGGTATTGGTTGGGCCATTTTGAGCGGGTTTTGACTAGATTGTTGCGAGATTGCGAGCTAGTAGCGAGCTGGGTTGTGTGGATTACTGTGGAGACATCTTATTGTCTTGGTATTGGTTTCTTTGTTTCTTTGTTGATTGAGATGGTGGGAACGAGTAAAAAAAATGTTTTTCCACCATCCAACATTCAGCCAAGCCACCCAGCAATTTCCATAGTGTCATCGGAAACTCAAATGAGGGAGTTTTCGTCTGCTAAATAAACGCGTCTGACGATTGATCGATACTGTATTTTCATTCGCCAAGTTGCGAACGATCTTCAATCGCTCAGACTCAGAAAAACGGTGGGAAACGCGACAACCGACCATCATGGCATATCTTGACCTGATCTTCGTTGTAGAGAGCCGTTGTTAACAGCTGATCATGACATTTGGGACCATTTGAGCGTCAGTTCTTACCACTCACAAGCAGTTCCGCCACAAAAACACCGCGGCAATGAAGTTTGACGACGCAGAGATCAAGAAGTCGAGCAATTCGACCCGTGCTTGCGATGCAACTGCCTTAGAATTCACGAAATTCACGTAGTTGACACGTCATTGAGCTGTATTCAGAGCAAAATTTCCATGGCGTCTATAAACTTTTGTCCCAACGGTAACAATTTGCTGGAAGAGTCTAGTAACAGCACATGGAATTTGGAATTTCCAAAATCATATCGACGAGAACTCCTCCATAATTCCACGTAAAACGTAGATGTGGCTGTGAATCGTGTGATTCAACCATTGTCTTTGCTCTCAACAGCTTTCCAACAAAGGATCAAAAAAGAGTCAACCAGGTCAATAAGCAATGTCTAGCCCAAGTCCAACTCCACCGCCAGGATATCCAGTGGATCCAAGGCCTCTTCCTCAAGGCTGGGTGAGTTATTTTCAGCATTGTTTGGTTGCAACTTGCCGTTTTTGAAGCTCGCCAAGTTGGCGTTCTCTTGACGGCTGAAACTAGTCTTGCAACCCTTTTGAGCTATTTTGGACTCATTTTCTATACTATGCTGGCCATGTTGATCGACCAAATCGCCATGAAACTCTGAAATATTCAACATAAATGTTTTTATAACCCTTCCTAACAAACCGTCTCACTTTAGGCCCAACAATGGTCTCAACAGTACAATTGCTTCTTCTACCACAATATCGCAACTGGAGAATCTGTATGTCCTTCTTTTCTGACTGTTTTCAAATTGTCGCTCAAACACAAACTTATGCTCATACTAGGTCTGGGTCGATCCGCGTGGTCCAATGCCATCTCCTCCCAGTGCTCCTCCCATGCCACTTGCGGGAATAAATCCGGCTATGGCTGCCGCATATGCTCCGGGCAGTACTAGCACACCGCCACCATATTCGTCTCAACAACAACCTCAATATCAACAACAACCTCAATATCAACAGCAACAACAACAATATCCAGTCCAACAACAATATCAGCAGCAGCAGCAACCTTATAGCGGTCAACCACAATACGCTCAGTATCCTCAGCAACAACAACCTCAGCAAGTCGTCTATTCTCAGCAACCAAACAGCAGTCAATCAGGAATGTCGGGCTTGGGAATGGGAGCGTTAGGAGGTGGTGCTGCAGGTAAACCCACCTTTCGTAAACTCTGACGTGGCACACTGTTCTTACCTTACCCTTCAAACTAGGCCTACTCGGCGGTGTGTTGCTAGGAGAGATGATGTCTGGAGGATTGGGTGGACATCATAATCATCATCATAACAACTACCCTCATCCTATGGGTGGTAAGCAACATGATTTCAACGATCTTGTATTCCTATCTCATCTCCAACCTTTTTTAGCTCCACCGTTCATGGGCGGCGGATTCGGACTACCATTTGGTGGAGGTGGAATGGGTATGGGTGGAATGGGAATGGGTGGAATGGGTCATCATCATCACCACCACAGGGTAAGCTATATCTGAACATGTTGACGTTTGTCTGTCTCGCTAACACACTCCGAACTCGTATCTAGTGGTAGCCTGCGGGAAGACCCAACAAAGTCATGTCGTGTCCGAGCTCTGTTCGCATTTCAATTATTTACTATTATCAATCTCCTTTTTTTGTTTAACGAAATGCAAATCTTTATTTGAACAAAGACGAATATGAAGTTCAATGTCTTCTGCTTTTGCGGACACGCAGTCGTGCCTTGCTGGTACAATGCCTGTTCGCATCTGACCGGCTGCTTGTTGTTGCACTTGTTTTGTTCAACGACAATGCAAATCTATATTGAAATGAACAAGAACAAAAATAAAGTATACAAGTCCAGTCTTTTGGGTTCTTTTTTTACTTCATGGACGTTCCACTCAACGACTTGCTTATTACGGCTTTACCAGCTTGTAGTGATGATTGTTTGCTTGCACTTGCTTGGGGTGCGGCAGCTAAAAATTTGGGAAGACATATGAGCTGATAACCTTCATTAAAGATTTGAACAACGTAAACACATACCAGCAGCAGCCTTCTTAGCAGCAGCCTCCGCGCGTTCCTTCTTGATGATAGCCAAACGTGCCAGATCTGAACGAGCTTGTTCAGTCCTTCCCTCGTTTTGTGCCTTCCAGAAGGCAGCTTGTGCTCGTTCCTTTTCCATTTGTTCTCTGATATGGGAGAAAATGACGTGTCATGGTTTGGAAGTGCGAAAAAAATTGCATGCAACTCTCGAAAGACGAATAGATCATTCCAAATCAACATACCGTTCACGACGCGACAACTCCCTCGGCGCACCACTCTTCCCCAACTCTGATACCTTGACATTTTGTCTCTTTGGTGCATTCGGATTACTTATATCTATAACTGACGCTGGTCCCTTCTTCTTATTGCCTTCTTCGGCATCATCATCGTCTTCGTCTGCATCACCACCACCACCGCTACGTTGTTGTGGTCGTCCCTTTATTTCGCTGGTATCAACTTCTTCATCGCCGTCGTCTTCGTCATCAGTGGTTTTGGAAGTTTTGGTAGGTTTAGATCGTGGTGTTGGTTCTTCATCATCATCGTCATCGGAATCATCAGTGTTTTCTCCTTCGGGCCTCTGCAAGCGAAAAAAAAAGCCAAGTTTGTAAGATTAATGTGACTCGTCATCAAATAATCCTATCAACAACGATCGTATACAAAGATTATCTCACTTCAATGCCTTCAGCTTCAGCGTCTTGGTCTCGTAGATTTTGAGTGAATCGTTTTGAACCTGGTTTTTTCACGAGTTTTGATGTCAATAAGGGTGTTTGGATATCAAGCATTCAACATATGATAAAGAGTGTTGATCAGTCTAGGAGGATTGCAAATAGAATGGGAACGTTACCTCCTCTCTTTGTCTTGTTGTACTTGCCCTACAGAATCACAACGAAAGCAAATTAACAAACTTTTGCCAATGAGATTTGACAATGACTGCAAAGCATTAAAGAAGCTCAAGCTCGACAAGGGATCTCATTTCATGCATACCTTTCGAGCAGCAGCTTGTGCACCTGCAGAACTCATTAGATTTGGCTCAAAGTTCACCGAGTAAGATATGTGCAGAAACTTGATCAGAAAGTAAAATGAGTTTGTGAACTTCTTAAAGATCTTTTCAGTAAAGAGCTCTACGTGACAGCCATGTCCACGACATCCAAAGCGCGTCGCAACGTTTCATTTGAACGACAAACTGCGACTCTCAAGCCAAAACAAAAATTCTTAACAAGTTTCCAGGCAGGTGAGGTATAAACTGCAGCTTTCTATTTCTACTGTACATTTTGAGACTATTACTGGTGTTGCTTAAAAACACAAATTCTTAACTACCATTCAAAACGCCCGCTTTGAAGATACGTTTCCTGTAATATGTATACGAAATCAAAGAGCCTTAAAGGCATGTTTCTTGTAATACGCCAATTCACCAATCGACTCCTTGATATCATCTAAAGCCCTAAGGTTTTGACAGCGTCAAACATTCTCGCGGCCAAAAAAACTTGTCAAACAGGATACACCGCACACATACCTATGCGTAAAGGCCTTCTGCGGCGCACCGCCAAACACATCCGGATACCACCTGCGTGTCAATTCCTTGACGGTCGAAACATCCACAATGCGATAATGCAAGAAATCCACCAATTTTGGCATTTCCTTTTTCAAGAATGCCTTGTCTGCATGCACAGTGTTGCCAGCGAGGGGCAGTTTGCCTTTCGGGACATGGTTTGATTCGAGAAAGGCAATGATTTGGGATTCGGCTTCGGATGTGGATGTTGGAGATGCGAGGACTGATGCTGTGAGGCCAGACTAGTATGCAAATAGTAGAATGAGAAATCGTGAATGTGGGGTGATCGTGTTGGTGGTAGTTGGGGTACCTCTCCATGCTGTTTAGTGCACCTGCCAAAAAGAAGATCGCCGTGTCAGCCACTTAAACAAAAGGTCAAGAAGCAGTGATTTGAATTTATTTACCATTCGCCCATAGCATCCATAACAGATTTGGGCTGATGGACAATGATATTGGGTCCTTCAGCAACAATGTTGAGATCTGCATCTGTTATAATGACAGCAATCCTGGCGTAACACACATGATGATCAGAGCAAGATAAAAGGTTTACTGTGTTCAATTTTGATTGCATACTCGATGATGTGCTCTGTATTGACATCCAATCCAGTCATCTATTGAAACAAACCAAAATGTGTCGGAAAGGTTGTCTTTCGAGCTATTGAAATCTATAGAAATTCGTGAGAGATTCATTAGTCCTACTCACTTCGCAGTCAATCCAAACAAGTCCATTTTCGATATTGGAAGCCATGCTTGTTTCTTATGTGTGTGATAAAATTGGTCGAAAAAAAACCGACGCAAACTGACCACCCATGAAAGCTATCTATATACACACAATACTCATGTTTACAAGTTGGTTACCGGTACATCACGTTGCAAAGCATCTACAACACGTTCATAGACGCGTAATATGGAAGATGCACTGTCAGCATCACTCTCCGTATCTTGACTGCCAACATCAGTAGCATCAACAGTCTGCATGATCCCAGCGTCATTCGCCACGCGTTTGACTCCGAAAGTTGACCCAATTTCATCCTTGAGCCTGACTGCGGACGCTAGTCTAGTTCGGGACAAGTTCGAATCACCGGTTTGGATTGTCATTCGAGCCAGACATGTCATAGAAGGCGTGTCCAGCCAAATAAGCCTAAAGAGTGATTTGCATGGGTGAGCTATTGGTAAGATGGATCTCTCTATTGAAAATCTAATACCTTGTTGGAGAGACGAATTGCTTCTTCAAAGCTTCCAATTCGGCCAAGTTGGTGGGGAAGTTGGCGAGTATCCAACCATGCTCAACACAGTCCGGTTGCCGAATCCTCTTGGCGACGAGTTGAGCTATTACATCGGTCGGTGCTATCATGCAAAAAATAAGGTAATCAGGCCTTCGTATGGCACAGGCAGCGACAATATCCGCATACCCTCATGAGGAGCACGCGTATAGCGTTGCAATGTGGCTCCAATCGTGCTACGTGCAGAGATCTGCTCCAGTATAACGATTCTTGGGGAGACTAGAATTTCGAAACCAGTCAAAACAGTGCGATGGATAACTTTACCAGAATGTAAGACGTTGGACGTACCTAAAACGCATCCATAACGGTTAGCGCATAGTTCTGCGACTTCTTCAGTCACATTTCCGGGTAACGATGACAACATCAATCTGATGCCCCTTGGTGCATTGGAAATTGGGGTTGTCGTCAGGAATGTCAGAGCAGCTTGAGCAGCATCGTCTACGACTCGTCCTAATCCTTCTTCAAATGTCCATTTGCGAGCACGAGAGGGGAAGAGGTCCATGACTCCGGGAATATGACGACGGAATTCTGCGAGGTTGAGCTTTAGAGTGGGTGCTGCATTGTAAGCTGACAGTAAAGTGTGATCTGGCACGTCGAATACAACTAGCAGCAAGATGATTGGGTTAATTCTTGACAACAGTTTGTTTCCGTTGATCTACATGTACCTAAATGGTTTGGCAATATTCCTCGTCTCGCGAGCAGGAGCCCCTGTTCTCGACTCTGCGGGAACCCTTCTAACACATATCCTCGTTCTTGAGTATCTGGATCCGACAAGGAGCTATTCAACAAGGCCATAACAATTGGATCTGGTACTGGTTTGCTCTTGTCCAAGTACGGTTTGGCCTGTAAACCCAATGTTGTGCCTTTAGTGACTGCCTGCTGGATTAGTTGTGAGACTGATATATATTGGCAGCCCAGTCGTCGAGCAATCAGTGAGGACTAAGTGCGTTGTAAACTGTTAGATAACATTCTTGTATGCATTTTTTTCGATATTCGTTCTCTCGTTTAAACGAATAGATCTGTACATGAACAGCGTACCACTGCCGAGATCCCAGATGTAGGAGGCCCGATGACTACGACGGAGGGTACTAGAAATAACAAATGTGAGTTGATCTCGGTCTTGTAACAAAATCAAGGAAATGTGATGAGAACAGAAGGAACCAAACAAGAAGTTACCTGGACGTTTACGTAGAGCACTGATCATCCAATCTATAGGTTTATCAGGCTGCTCTAGCAGCAGCCCGGAGAGCAACGACGACATGGTAGAGAACAAATCATTCTTTTCAGCATATTCTGACATGCCGAGATCTGGTTGATGTGCCATGTTGAGTGACCAGGACGGTGTCTAGACTGTCTTAGTTGTGGTAATTTCCGAGGATCTCCACGCTATTTTCTCTCCTAACTTTCTCTCCTTGATCTGTGTGATTGTGAACAAAATAGGCACAGTCGTTCGAAGATGACGACAGAGACAAGAACTTGCTCCCATGGCACTCTTTTCAACTTTGAACACGTATTTTATTTCATATTTGATTCTGGATTGCACACCGTGACAAAAAAGACTTCTTAACTCAACAAGTATCCTTCATTACATCTTTGCCTGAAGGGCAGCGTGATCATAACCAAGATTCATTTCCTCCCATTTAGGATGCATGATTGCATCATAATCTATGCGTGGGATGAAACTAAGATACAAAATTCACAACCCAAATCACAAACAATTCAACCACTTACAGTCATATCCCGATCCCGGCCAATGCAGGACGAATCCATTTGGACGTACGTACCAACCGCCGCACGGAAGAAGCCAAGTTACCTTATTCTCGCGATGCCACTTTTGAACGGAGTCGTTGAATGCAGCTTGTACGTCGGCTCTAGGTTCAACGTATCTCAGGCCCTTCTCCTGTTGAAGCCTGTGCACTACTTGAATCATGTAGTTGACTGATTGCTCAGCGTCAAGGTACAAGTTTCCAGCCAGTGGTGGAGTTAGCTACGTAGAATCAGCAGTCAGCGAATTCCCGAATTTTGCTACTGAAGTTTGGTGCGAAACATACTGGACCCAATCCGGTGAAGTAGTTTGGTAGTCCCGCAACCTTTCAAGAGTGACAGTTAAAAAATTGAAAGAATAGCAACTGAATTTTCTTGGCACTACATACCATAACACTCTTATAGGCGTTGGGTGATTCCTTCCACAACTCTATCATGGAAGTCGAACTGTTAGGTCATCCATACTTCAACGACATCAATGTGGTATAGATCAACCTTCCAAAGTTACACCACGAGCCTTGACGGGAAACGGCGGCCGGAAAGAGACATCAAATCCAGTAGCCAACACCATAGCTTCACACGGATGATGGGTCGTTGGTCCAGTGAGATTTTCCTTTGGTGCAGTGATGATCCCTGTGTCAAAACCGCTGAAGGAATCAGACATCTATTCTGGACAGCAATTCCAACTTCATCCATTTACCTGTGGCGTTGATTTCGACAATGGTGTCGAAAAGAACATTGACGTTAGGAAGCTGGCACCTACAGACGGCAAATTTCATGAATGGGAAGAACTGGAAGTTTTCAAGGCAAAACAATACTCACTTTTCGTAAAAGTCACTGATGGGTGTGAAACGTCTGCACCCGAATGGATAGTCCGGAGTGAGCTTTTTACGCAGTTCTGGATCCTTCACTTCCATCAGTTTGGCTCGAGCAGTTTCGGTAAACATCTTGTTGACCTGAAAAAAAGAGAAGTCATTTTATCATCCCGTCAAACTAGTATTTTGGCAAACTTTCAGTTTTACACATACCTCCGATTCAGCATTGTGGAAGCCTCCCAGCTTGAAGAATTCCTCTCCAAACGTTGCCCCTTCTTTATAATACTTCCAAGCATATCGCCCATCTTTAAACAACTCTCGTTGCTCTTCTCCCATCTCATCAGGCTCAAACATGGTCACCTAGGTCAATAATTAAAGTAAAAAATTCAGATCAAAACATCCTTCGTAACTCCAAGCAAAGCTCAAACATACTCACCATCCAACTTGGCGTTCGCAAATACAAATCCATTCTTTTACATTTCGGTGCCATGGCACAGAAGGTCTGCAACGCAGACGACCCACCACCAATCAACGCAACTTCCTTGTCCGAGTAATCATAACTACGATCAAACATGGCTGTATGCAGCTGCTTCCCAGCAAACGTCTCAACACCCTTGATGTCAGGAAGACTAGGTCGATTCAATAATCCGATTCCACTCATGAGAACGTCGCACTCATCGTTCACGATACGGCCTTGGATGTCGACTTGGACCTTCCATTTGTAGCGAGCTTCGTCCCATTCACAGTTGATTACTCTGGCATTATAGGTCACGGCTTCGTCGGCACCGTATTTCTTCACGCAGTGGTTTTGGTACTCCCAGATCTATCGAAGAGACGGGTTTGTCTTTAGTATGAACTGTGCAAGACGATCCCTCATCAGTACCTCATCAGAGCCTGCGTATGTTGCAGACCAGTTGTAGTTCTCGAATCGAAAGCAGTATCGGTGGGTAGTCACGTCACATCTGCAGCCAGGATACTAATTAGAGCAGAGATAATTTAGAGTCAAAATGTCCAATACTGCTTGTTTATTAGTTCTGCAAACGCGTACCTTGTTCTCCAACCACGTGCCACCCAAAGTCGAATTCTAGAGGTATATGTATATGTGACAGTGAGCACGCGTTTAAATCAGACTGGCAGCGAAAATTCACAAAAGTGGACCAAACCTTTTCGTAGATTCTAACGTTGGCTTTCTTGAGTCGCCATTGCTTCATGATCCCAAGAGTGATGCCCGTCATACCGAAGCCGATGAATATAATGTCACTAATTCAAAGTTTGAAAAGAATGAGTAATAGGTGGAAGCCCTGCCAAGGCAGCTCCAGCAGTAGTGTAACAGTTTGGAAGTCATAAACAGTTCAAGAAGACACGATACTTACACTTCTCTAAGTTCAGATTCCGGCAAATAATACGGGACATATTGACTTGTACGAACCACAGCGGCCTAAAATCGTGTTTGATCAGCGATTGTCATGACATGAAAAAATCCGACGGTTCTGAAAAAGGACATATCTCAGGAATGAAACCCGACAAATATAGATGAAATGTTCACTCACATCCTCTGGTGAAAGCCAAAATGGGTCATCGTGGGTTGCAGGTGAAACGTTTGTGGCGTTTCGAAGTTTTGCGAATGGATCAGGTAGTGCTTGGATTTCTTTTCTTATAGCATCCCAGTCTGGTGGAGCCAAGATATCCTGGACAGTTCCTTCAGTTTGGGCCATGATGCTAGCTCTTTTCGTCGTCGTGAGGTGTCGAATTGCGTCCAGGTCAGTCTTGTGCTGTCACACAATGTGCAACAAAACACCCCCACTCCATGACAGGCCCTTTTTGCGAGTTTTCTCCACGCGAGCGGGCCACCCCAGAGTAAATCACTTGAATCGTCCCAGCAAATCCTCAGAATGCCACAAGGGACCTGTTTTTTAACAAAACCGTAAGTGAATACGTGCACATGAATTCAAGATTGAGAAGCATCGAGGTCAAGAAGTTAAATTCAATAATAATATAGGTTCAATTACAAATTTCACTATTTTAGATCGTGACTACAACAAGGGATACCAATACAATGACATTAAAAATGAAATATTCAAAGTAAGTGCTGCCTGACGTAGTCTTAAACGAAGGACTTTCTGGTGCGCTATCTGCTGTTGTGAGGTTCACTTTGCCGTTTGTTGCAGGGTGAGAAACAGAGCCAACAGAAGTAGATCCCCCTGATGTCGAACCACCACTACTAGTTCCAGAAGATCCACCAGTATTGAAGTTGCGACGCTCTCTGCGGTATAGAGAAATTAGCGTGTTTTACGGATTGGAAAGAGATGCAACAGCAAAGCATGCCCAGCATTGTCGGAGCCACAGGCCATAGTGGTATCACACTTGCTCTTGCAAGCCTGAATATCTGTTTCTGAAGCACCAGTGACTATTGAAAGAAGATTGTTAGATTGAATAGTTGAGAACAGAACCAAGATTGCCTACCAACACAAGCTTGATTACAATCTTCGCTTTCTCCTTGGCATTGCAGTGTTTGAATAGGAAAGCGATGGATGCCAAGACCACCACTAGTTCCATCAGCGCAAGTCTGAACAGGAAAAGAGGGCGAGGTGTGAGATCGTTTTGTTCATTGCAAGTGTCAACTGCCGCAGACTTACACAAGCCCATGCTAGATTAGATGCATCACTAAATAGTCAGTTGAGGATCATGTTACTAAAATAGAGCGACAATGCGAGGAGCGTCGGTTTACCAAGTGTTAGTTTTAGGAAGAGCAGAACCCTTGTTGTAACAAGATTGCTGACAATATTGCTGGTTCTGCTGACAGACGTTTGATCTGTAGCCGAGTGACTCCTTTGATAAATCGTAACTGTAGTTTTGAGCTTGAGCCTGAAGCATCAACTGCAATAGAGGAATCACCAGCAGAAATATAAGAGCATTCATGTTTGGAAACAAGATCTGGTAAAATATAAGAGTCCAGGAGACGATGAAGAGAGTTGTCGGTTGGGAGAGTTTTTAAAGAGCGAGACGGGATAGTCATTCCCACGAGGTGTGATAGGCGTCATCCTCGCGAGGATTGAAGTGTCGCGATGACTTTGCCGCAAAGCACAGGAAGTCATAGGAGGTTGGTCTATAGGAGAGGTAAGATAACTTGTAGCCTATAACACTATGAATGTTAGCTCTACGCAGTCACGGTACGCTCTGTTCAGAGCCATCGAACGACGTGTCGTTTCAAAGTAACACGAACCAATTTCAAAGAAAGTAACGTTCACATACGCTACATACCTTCATTTATACTTGGTAGCTTAATCAGAAATGGCATCTGGAAACAAGGCCTTGACCGAAGAACATCGTAATGCCATCCGGGGAGTCTCCATGCTCGGAAAGCGAGCTCTTATTGGTAAGATTTGGAAGTTACGGCGCATTGGTGCCCCATTCAACATTGGATCGCTTGGAATTGAAAGTTCTTGATGTTTTCTTGTATTCACGGTTCATAATGGTCATGTACACCTCTACATTCGCGCGAAACGAACTGTTACTTACCACGATTTTACTTCATTTGAATCTAGTGGGTGGTACTCAAGGTAAATTGCCATTCAAGCTGTCGATGAACTATTACTTACCACACGTACTACAGGATTGGGACTAGGTGTCGGCTTGTCTCTAGCAAGACTTGGATGCAGTGTCGACGTCGCTGGGAGAAACCAAGATCTTGCCGACAAGGCCATTGCAAGGTCGGCCCATCATTCCATGCAACTGTCATGTCAAAGCTGACCTGACCTGTCATTAGATTCCAGAAACTCTCTCCACCCAACTCGAGAGCACATTTTAACTTTGTTCGCGTCGACCTTGAATCCATGCGGGATGTAAAGCGCTTTGCGCAATCATACTTGGATGCCAACAAAAATGCCGGATTGGATTATTTGGTTTGGACGGCAGGTCAACTTATGAATGCAAATGCTCCATTGAAGATCACTGATGAAGGTTGGTCGACAAATTCTTGAACAAGTGCTTGCAACTCTTGACCTGATTCCATTTACTCCTCAAGGACTGGAGAAATACTTTGCTATTGACTACTTATGCCGTTTTGTCGGGGTAAACATATTGATGCCATTGCTTAAGTCCCGACGTGATTCTCGCGTTCACTTTGTATTCGCTGCGGCTCATGCCGGACAAGCACTTGACTTTAATGACATTGAAGGAAAAAAGTCTGGTACAACGAAAGGATTGACGGCAGTCCCGCTTATGGTGGACCTTCTGGTCGAGGTATACTGACCGAAAATATATGTTTTAAGGGGACAAAGTGCTGACGTGTTTACTACCAAACAGAGTCTAGCAAAACGACATCCTGAAGTAAGCTTCATCCATCAACAACCAGGTCTAGTCGACACGGATCTGTTTACAAACAGCCAGATCTCAGCTGAAAACAGCTTGTTTGGCAACAAGAACATTAACCGAGACTTTTGGAAGAATGGTCGAACTGTTGAGGTAACTAGCGCAACATTAAACACTTTTTGAGCTGGAACTTAATCTTGTTTCCATCACTAGGAATGGGGAGATACAGCAGCTCTAGTTTTGTCATCATCTGAATACTCTGCTTCCAAGAGTCCGCTCTTACTGAATCCAATGGCTAAGGCCGTTCCACGTATAGAATGGGCAAACAAGCATCCGGAAGCAAACCAAAAGCTTTGGGATTATAGTGCACGCGTCAGTGGGCTCAGACTTACTGGGGACGCGTAAATACTAAGCTTCCTGTCTTCGGCATTACATAAAAAATTGTTTGAATTGCACCAATATATGAAATACCGCGTCTCAATTTTTTGTCGCTGTCCAGATTCCAACATGACAACTTAACAGACGCTGTCGCTCAAATCACTGTACACAGCTCAGGCGTCTTCCAATACCACGTCAACGTGATAAGCGAACTTCAGCTGTTTCTTAAGTCTTGTTCCACTCGTGGTGACTTCCAAACTAGGTCGAAACCGCAGTAGAGGTGAAAAGGGTGGTTAATAAGGCGTGAATACGTGTCATAAAAGCCAGGCAAGATGACCCTTCAATGGAGGTAAGCCGTCGCTAATCACAACTAGCTGCCATATCTCAAAAGTGTTATTCGCAATCTAAATTCTAAAGCTCAACGACCATCCCATCTCTAGGCAATTCAATTTCGTCGATCGCTACACCGTATCTGATCCAGCAGATCCATCTAAGCCTGTCCAATGGCTTCAGGCAAGGCATTATTGAAAAGATTGTGGAAAATCAAACCATCAACTTCATCTTTAAATTTTTATACAGGATTTGGATGTAACTAGTTCGACGAGTGGACGCGGCCATTTATTTTTTGGAGATGCTGCTGGGTCTGTGTATATGGTGGATCATACCATGGCTGTCGCATACTCGTTCCAGGCATATCATAAACGAGTGACACATTTGAAGATGTTGAAGCAGAAGAATGTGTTGGTTACTATTGGAGTATGGAAGTTGCAAGTTGATTGTTATGCTTTCTTGGAATGTTTACTTATCTTTTCCTCTTGGACTTAGGATGAAGACAACAATGTTCCAACCCTCAAAGTGTGGAATATGGACAAGACTGAGAAGGGATCACGGAGTCCTGTGTTGGCTCGATCGACTAAATTGCAGCATGGAAATAAAGTGTTTCCTGTAAGCCAAAAAACAACCTCATCTCTACAAGGACGTCTACTCACACCGAATCTCACAGGTTACTGCCTTTGCAGTTTTGGAAAACATGACACAGATCGCCGTAGGTATGGAGAATGGTGTCGTCATCCTCGTCAGAGGCGATATATCACGAGATCGATTTACCAAGCAAAAGACTATACATGAGGGTAGCGAGTGTATTACTGGTGGGTGTGGTCGCAACTTAGGCCCTGTTGCAGATTCGCTATACTAAATTTCGCATAATCACAGGTCTGGGATTCCGTGAAGATGGCAAATCGACGACTCTGTATATCATCACACTGGCCAAGGTGCTTACATGCATCACATCCAACAAAGATATTAAGGTATACCTCTTTTACTTCTTTTGTTCAGTTACGTGACGGTGACTCCACAATACATTTAGCAAACATTGGATGAGCATGGTTGTGATGTAGGCTGTGCGATACTTACAAATACTGATGACAATCAAGAAATGGTTATTGGGCGACGAGAGGTATAGTGGTCTGAGATGGATCTCATATCTTTAGACCGTTTAATTGAAGTACAAGTATAGGCGGTTTACTTTTATGGGCCAGATGGTCGTGGTCCTTGTTTCATCATTGATGGTTGGTCACGATGCAAACCCTGTTCTTTTTGCCTGCAGGACTAAAAATTTATTCTTGCGATTTACAGACGACAAGGTATCCATGACTTGGTTTCGAGGCTATGTCGCTATAGTGTCTAGTGGTACTCGTAGTGCAGTCACTTCATCTGGTTCAACACCATCGGCCGTCGCTGCTTATGGTGAATCGTCTACGGGTACCATCCTGACGCTGTATGATTTGAAAAACAAGTATATAGCCTACACGGGAACGTTTGGATTGACTGGATCTGGTGTTGATGAGCGGGGTATACCTATATTGTGTGTGTTGAGTGAATGGGGTGAACTTTTGGTTGTTACTCGTGACAAGAAGGTATCCGTTTGGAGAATCTTGCTCTTTTTCTAGCCGAGAAGCTCAAAATCAAATTGCCTCCATTCAAACTAACAACAAATGTTTAGATGTTTCGGTTGGAAGACAAGGACTTGTCAACAAAACTGGATTTGCTCTTCAAGAAAAACATGTATACTCTCGCCATTAATATCGTCACATCACAAACACAAGCGTCGGCCGTTATATCTGGTATGGCTCAAAGTCCCGTAGACGAATCGTCAATAGAAGCCACTCCTCCAGCTCCTGGTAGCGGTGGTGAATACGATTACGGCACAGTTGTAGAAATCTATCGACGCTATGGTGATCATCTATACGCCAAAGGCGAATTCGATGCTGCCATGGCACAATATCTCATGACTGCCGGACAGCTCGAACCATCATATGTCATTCGAAAGTTTTTAGATGCCCAACGTATACATAATCTTACGTCATATTTATCGCGGCTCCATGAATTGGGATTGGCTGGACCAGACCATACTACACTGCTACTCAATTGTTATACCAAGCTTCGTGATGCTCGTAAACTGTACGAGTTTATACGAGGTGCTGATGGAGTAGGTGGAGCCAATTTCGATGTAGAAACCGCTATACGTGTATGTCGACAAGCAGGATATCACGAGCATGCATTATGGCTTGCTGAGAAGCATGGTCAGCATGACTTGTACCTGGCAATCCAGGTTGAAGATTTAAAGGAATACTCATTGACTGTCCGGTATTTGGCTACACTGTCTCCGATAGAAGCAACGAGGGCATTGAAAAGATACGGGACCCTCATAGTCAAGGAAATGCCCAAGCAAGTCGCTGATCTGCTAGTGAAACTGTGTACGAGTAACACCACGACCAATACCAATCCGGAACAATTCATTCATTTGTTTGTTGGACGCCCTGAATGGTGTATAGAATTCCTGGAACGCGTCTTGGATAGTCAGAATCATAGTAATAATGGTATATCTCCTGTTGTTGCATCGATACAGGCTTCCGTTGTAGTAGGAAAGGATAAGGGCAAGAAACCAGCTCTTACTCCTGATACTGGTATTGGTGGTTTGGTTGGATCTTCTCCTATAACACCTCCTGCTCCACCAGAACGCCGAGAATTGAGTAGTGAAAGTATGCGAGTGATTTGTAATACCTTGTTGGAATTGTATTTGGATGATGTTTCTGGTGATGGTGCGGAGACGCTGAAGAAGGAAAGGCAGTCTCGAGCTATGGATTTGTTGAGGAATCCTCAGGTGAGTGGCGAGTCGAAACTCTGACTAGATTGAAGCGCATAACGTTGAATCTTTTTCTCGCTCTAGTCCAACTATGACGTGGATCATGCTTTGGTATTGTGTGAGATGCATTCATTTTCTGCTGGAACGCTCTTTCTGTATGAAAAGATGGGATTGTGAGTATTGATCAAGCAGAAGAAAATGCAGTCGGTTGAGCAAAATATGTCTGATTCATGACCTCTAAATCGCATTATAGACATAGCGGAATCTTGCAGTACTACATTGACCGTAACGATGTAGCAGGCATTATAGATTCGTGTAAGAAATACGGGTAAGTACATTTTGAACACAAGTAGTTATTCCGTTGCCACGTTTCTGACAAAAAACGGGACCTTTTGCTTGTGGACAGTGACAAGGACTCATCACTATGGACACGATCTCTCGCTCACTTTGCCGAACAATCATCTTCATCCACCGATGCAGCCACAGCACTAACACAAGTGCTAGATCAAATCGATCGCCGGAACTTGCTACCGCCGTTAGGTGTCGTCCAAGTATTGGCTAGAAACTCATCTGTCACCTTGGGGATGGTGAGAGACTATCTCATCAAGAGGATTGAGAATGAGAAGCGGTCGATTGATGAAGTAAGTTTGAGCGAAACATGCGAAGGTCGTCGCGAAGTGCTAACGTTTTTGTGGTTGCGAAAATCTAGGATCAAAAAGTTATTCGCGGATACAAGGAAGAGACTGATCGAATGAGAGCTCAGATTGATGAGTTCAAGAACAAGTGAGTGTTTATGTTGAACTGTGACAATCAGAACTCTTAATACTCGATCCCTTGAACTAGCCCTGTAATCTTCCAAGTGACACGTTGCTCATCATGTTCAGCCCCTCTCGAACTGCCTACCATTCACTTCCTCTGCAAGCATTCGTATCATCAAAGGTGTTTGGGAGATGCTGATTTGGAGTGTCCAAGGTCTGGAAATACTTTACTATTCTAGTTCGTTTTTTCTGCTCACGTCCTTCGTTTTTCGTCTCTTGAACAGATGTGCTCCAGATCACAGAGTCGTGAAGGAGTTGGTAGCTACACAGGAAGCCAATCATGGAAAGCACGATGTTTTTCTGCGACAACTGGATCGAGCAGACGACAAGTTTGCACTTATTGCCGAGTATTTCAGCAAGTCGCCGTTTGGTGTTGCTAGCGGAACAGCATAATCTTTGTATAGCTACGAATGAGGCTCATTGTGCAGTGTATATAATAATTACTCTTACAGCGAATCCTGTCTATATCATCCTCTTGCTTCTTGTAACTAGCATTGAAAAAAGGGTGGTATATGTGATATTATTTATTTATCTATTAGTTATTTTATTCCTTACTGATACTGTTACTAACACTATTTGCAGCCGCGATTGCTTTCACTGCATTTGACCCCAAACGACACGTTGTGTGCAAATCCTAATCAGTAATCTCCTTCTCTCCAATTCACCTGCCATTGACAAGACGACTTATCACGTCTTGCGTGTTGAAATACACTCCTCGTACATGCCGTGGCCCAGTGAACTTGGTTCGTGCATGCAGCATCCTGAAATTATCATACAACACAAAGTCACCCGGTTTGAGAAGTGTACGATATTGGAATCGGGGGTTGCGCTAAACTCGAAAAAAAAAATCTGATAAGCAATCCGTCTGAATTCTGTTGCATAAAGACACACTTACACATAGCTATAATTGAAGCAAAAACGGTCAGAGAAAACGCCTTAATTCCGAAACAAGAACCGAAATCGCCACAACTCACCAGCGAAAACTCGTTATACGCCCGATAAAACTCCCTCATCCTTTCAAAAGCCACCCCAACATGCGGCGCATGTGTAAAGTACGAGTACCGCACTTGCACCAGCTCTCCATTCCCATCTACCTGCAGTATCGGCGCGACATGCAGTTTTGAGAATGTCGCTTGTTTACGATCGAATCTGACTGGCACTTGTGAGAGAAGCTCGAAGGCTCGTTCGTCGACTAATTTGAGATACCGGGCGGCTTGTTTGATGTCGCAGAGGTAGCTTTCTCCTCCTAATGGAATTAGAGGAGGAGTGAGCGATGCAAGTTGGGGATATGAAGAGTGGTGGTAACCTTGATCTGCTGCTACGATGGATTGCAGGAGCTGCATTCCTGGTGGATTTGGGAGGAAGGGCTGGTCGGTGTGAACGTCTACTGGTGCATCTGTGTCTGCAGTTCGATAACAGTGGAATGAATTTGATTAGCAATTCAGCTTTCGCTGCTTATATCGGTTTGACTTACATCCCAATTGATCTAACAATGAGGAGGTTAGAAACGCGTTTACAGAGGGATAGGCGAGAACACCAATGAAGACTTGCCAGTATTGCTATTAGTGGTGTTGTCGGTTTTCAGATCTTCTATCCTTCCAAAATGCGTTGGGACGACTTCACATCCTTCGGGAATCAAGTGCAATATGAGAGCCTCGGTATCAAATCCAAAGTTTCGAACTAAGGCGTGCGTGTGGTCGTTACGTCAGGGAAGTTGTAAATTGTGTATGTAACTTATCATTACCAATAACCAAGCCCGAGTCACTCAACTTTGAGCCCATAGCTCTTCGAAACTCAGACACCTTGTCCACTCTAGACGAGTTAACTTTGCCAAAGGCTTCAAAGTTGAGCGACACTGCTCCCAAGTCACTGCTTGGTGGGAGGACTTCACGTCTGTTTAATCCGTATGCGTTTGCACGAAGAAACTCGTACGTAAGATCAGAGACATGATCATCGTCCCATATAATATGGATTCCAGTTTCGTTCGAAGAGACTGTTTTAGGTCTGATATCAGCTGGAAAATCGGTGGAGTCAATCATTCGTTCGAGAGTTTTGGGATGCCGGCAGCCTAGTGTGATTAGATGTTAATTTAGAGCATAAAAGTGTTTTCATAGGTTATGTACTTCACCATTGAGACAAGGACAATTATGTCTCAACCACTGGTAGTGATAATCGGCATGGTCGTCAGATCTAGGAAATTTAATCCTCAGATACGTTTCCCTTAAAACTGGTGGGACTGGCTTCAGCTCGGGAGATGCGGACGGGTGGGCTACAATCCTCGAGGTTGCAAATTGTCTAACAGTCCAGTTGGGTTGTAATCTCGGCCTGCGTCTTCTGAGAAAACCGTGGGTGGTTAGTAAACAAGTCGAAATAGATGAACGGAGAAGCTTACAGCTGGAGAGGGACAGCATATCGTAGGAGCGCCACGCTCGCAATGATTGCCCTGTGGAGTCTCATCGTTGAGGCTCCCTGGGCGACGTAACTTTGAGATGTGGAAACGAAGCAAAAGGTGAATTTGGAACACCACATCAGTAAGAGTACTTCAGTAATGGCGCTTTGAAGTTGATAGCCAAACAGTATAAAACAGTGCTTTGTGCAATTCGTTCGAGTGGAAGATTATGCAAGTGTATATAATAGATACTCTTACAAGCCAACTTCTACTATCTATATCCCCATCCTCCTGGTCCTCTCAAGTAACCCGTAGCAGTTCCATACACCTTGTTCCATTCTTCTAGAGATTTTGATAGTTCGGCCTTGTCTGATATGGAAGCGACAATCTCGCCACCTTCTAGTGGTTTTACAAAGTGATGTAGATGCAGTACTCGTGACAAGTCCGTATCAGCAGTATGTGGAAGAATTTGTTCTCGTAGGGCATTTAATGCTGTGTTGAAGACAAAAGGTAATAAGGTATACAGACTTGTATAAGGCTGGTGTAAATGCCTTACCAGCTGCGATACACAAATTCTTCAAATCAGAACCACTAAAATCTTTAGTCCTGTCGGCCACCTCTTTGATGATTTCGCCCCGAGACTTTGACGAATCTTCGACTACTTCATCACGAAGGAGGACATTCAAGATTTCAACTCGCTCATTGACATCCGGCAGGTTGACCAAAATTCGACGAGGAAGACGTCTTAAAACAGCTTCATCAAGGTCCTAATCATTAGTTCAGTGAGTGAATTTGGGGTTTGGTCGCTTCAATGAGCTACTGTCATTCGTTTTTTTACCATTGGTCGATTTGTCGCTCCAACAACTATAACTCCATTGTTCTCAGAGTTCAGACCATCCCATTCAAGCATAAACCTAAATGCGTCAATGTATCACATTTACGTGTCTGTGTTGAACAAAGTTGGTAATTCCTAACTTACTCGTTGATTGTAGAGGTCACATAACTCGGCTGATTTCTAGCTCTAGCTCTTAACAAGGCATCAATTTCCTATCAAGCTATGTGAGATACGTGTCTCAGTGAGATAAAAACAACAAAACGGGGTTTACATCGACGAAAATCACCGAAGGACGCATTTTTCTATTCAACAATCGTCAGCATCACAAGTGACATGCAAGGACAAATTCATAAAGACGACAGTAATTCTGTACCTAGCAAGACTGAAGAGACTCTTCACATTCTTCTCATTCTCGCCCACTAGACAAAAAAAAAGTTTTGGCACAGATGTCGAATTTGAAGAATATTGAACATTTTTCAACGTACCCCACATCGAGCTTAAACTAGACATCGAAACACTCAAAAAATTTGCCCCAGATTCATGAGCAACAGCTTTTGCCAACAGGGTCTTTCCCGTTCCTGGCGGTCCAAACAGCAAGACACCAGAAGTGGATGACTTTAAGATACCAGTTTTAAAAAGATCCGGCCTTCTCAACGGCAACCGTATCAGCTCATCTATAGTCTGCTTAGTCTTGGCGAGGCCACCGATGTTCGAGAATGATGTTCCAGAGGCAGACGGTGGGAGATAGCAAGCTGCGAGCAGTTTCTCTTCATGTTGATTAAGCCGCAACCGATCTCTCGGATTGGCAAACAACCCACTGAATTCTACACCACCTGCGAGGGTTGCCAGGGCGGTCTGAGAATGATTGAATATGCTAATTGAGGTTTCTAATGCCTTGGTGCTGGGAGTCTCTTGGTGACTGGAAGCCATAAATACTATTTTCTCAATTTCGGGTATAGACAGTGGTCGTTCTTCCAAAATACCAGCTATGCTGGGATTACTTCGAAGAAACGAGTCAGCGGTTGTTGCGTTCCCAAAATCCACATCTGCTGCGTGAGCTACGATATCAATCTCCTTGGCGTTATAGTCTCTATATATAACTTTACAGTCTGCCTTCATCTTATCCAAAAATGTTTTCATTCCCGTCTTGTCTAAAGGCGGGTAAACATTTACAGTGGATACTCCAATCCACTCATCAAGCGGTGTATCAAACTTTACAGCTCTTTGAGGCTTCTTCGAGCCTCCCATCATCCCCTCTAATGGATTCTCTGATCCGCCCGACGACGAGTCCTCGTCAGCAGGATCTACGTGAGTATCATCATCATGTCGTCCACTTAAAGAGGCCATCAATGCAGACTCTATGGAACCACCTGCTTGCGATTTGCCACCTCGTTTATTAAAAGTGGGCGTGGACGGGGCAATCAATACTACAGGGAGACGAGAGCTTCGGGCTTTACCTATAGCTTGTTGAATGGCAGAGAGAGTATCTTGGAGATTCAGTGATGGGGATTTTAACAGCTGCATGAGGTCTTCGTAATAAATTATAAGCGGGCGAGTTGTGGGCACCAATTTGTCTACAAGACCAGCGAAAAATATGTCAAACGCTGCCTGAATTAATGTAATCTGTTCCGGTTTATCTACTGTTGTTGATGATACTCGAGATGTTATCAAAGACATGGGCTTTCCATGAATCGTGTACGGTTTATAATACGGGTATGGAAGAAACGGAGAATCCGTCTCCTTCTGATCTGCATTATCGTTTTCTTGGCCGTTGTTCATCACCATTCCACCACTACCATTCAAACCTATACTGACCACTCCAATATTTCCAAGCCCAAATTTGGGACCTCGTCTCCGTCCTCCCTCTGCAGCCCTTGGCCAGCCACCAGAGTCACTACTGGGCTGTTTTATTGGAGGGTTGGCGAGCACCTCATAGCCAGACATACGTTCAAAGAGATCCATTGTGGTTATAGATAGATATGAAGCATGAAGTTCGGCAGCTAGCGATTCTATTATAGCTTGAAGATACTTTTCTGATCCCCTGAAAGGGCTCGAGAGCACTACAATTCCACTAGACTGACTAGGAATTTTCTCTCTTGATGGTGCGTCTTTACCTCTTGCTAACGCAAACGGTGGTTCTACTAGAGTTCTAATTATAGCCCTCAGCTCTGAGAGAGTTGAAGCATGCAATGGATGCGGAAAGGATTGTAGTGATGGCACTTTCTTGATATTATGCACATCTGCTTGCCGAGAAAGAAGTTTAGTATAAATTTAAATAAGAAGTTACTGCGATGGAAATTTACTGTTATTTTTAAGCAGAGACATATTAACTCCATCCGGTGCCTTTGGATGCTGGATCCTCGAAAGCAAAGAACGCATTATTGGCACCTCATTGCTCACTACAACCGATAATGGTACTGGCACGACACGTTCACTAAACGATCCACTCTTCACACGTGCAGTTCGTCTCGTGATGCTAGGATTCGAAAACACCATCGTGTCGTCAGCTCCAGGTTTCAAATCAGCTCCAAGTTTCGAGACCTCCTTTACAATCTCCTCAGGTTTCAGCGAGTTCAGGCCATCTACACCATGTTTTGCAACTAGATCCAAGCTTAACACGTCGACTGGATCTGGATTTGTGGGTTTCTCTGTTGATCGATCTGATGTTGGGATTTCCTTGTCCGATGTCGGTTTAGACGAGGACGATGAATCAACCGGGTCATCGCTACTGGGTTTCGGCTTGCTTGATGATGAGGCATTGCGTATTATAACGTGATTGACATGTGCTATTTGAAACCTGCATCTGGCAATGCTTCTGGAAAGCTTCATCCTATTACCACGGACCTAAAGAAAAGGAAGAGAGCTACAGAGAGTTATTTCACTTATTCGATTTCGAGGTCAATTTGATGCCAGTGTTTCTCCTTCAACTTGGAGCATTGACGTTTTGTCAAAACACCCAACTGAAGCTTAGAGAATTGCATAGAAGGTAAGGGCGTAGCGAGAGGAGAGATCACTCATGTTTTGCATCCACTACACATCTAACTGTCTCCCAAACTCTCACAGACATGACTGACACGTCACCAACCCTCCCAAGCAACACCCACCACATCTTCCTCTCGCCCCATCTCGATGACGTAGTATTCAGCTGTGGCGGCCTGATCGCATCCCTAACGCCACTATCGACCGTCGTAACCGTCACAGCCCTAACGGCCGACACGCCTCCCAAACCGTGGAGTGCATTCGTACATCAATTCCATTCAACATGGAGGGCTCAAGCTCCTGAACAGATCTATGCCGCTCGTCGTGTCGAAGATGTGAATGCACAAGAGATGTTAGGTGCGCGGTTGGTGCATCTTGGGCTTTTGGATGCGATTTATCGGGATCAGAAGAGGTGTGTTTTTGGTATGTAACAGAGTTTGGTCATTTGTGGAAGCTAAATACTTCAATTGATAGTTATGTGAGCGATAAGACGCTCTTTGCACCTCCAAATCCGAATGACGTGCTGCCGAGTCAACTGGTGCCAATCCTGGAAGGAATCGCCAAACAACTGCCATTTGCTACATTCTACGTCCCTCTCTCGATTGGAGAACACGTTGATCATCAGCTAGTGTGTCGATCCGCTATACTGGCATGGCTCGGTAAAGTCAAAGTCGTGTTTTACGAGGTATATGTACAGTTAAAGCCTTGATACCCGTACGCTACTCACCCTTTTTTTGGTGGTAGGACGCATACATACACTCATATCGCAGAAATGGATTCGAACGAGTCATAGATGACAAAATCAAAGCACTGAATCTGCCTGCCAAGTTTAAACTAACACCGTATATTGCCGACATCACCTCGACGTATAATACCAGGACGAGAGCGTCTCAGCAGTATGTTAGTCAGGTGCCGGGACTGGGGAAATCAGTGTGCGCCTTGTTTACTCCTTTTCTGTTGCTTGTCAGGAGAAACTCTGAAACTGTTTTAATTGTAGAACATTGGAAAACGTTGCCGACCTATTCCGCCCATACCACTCTCTCGTCGGCGAAAAGTTCTTAGGACCTGGCAGACTCGGAGAACGGTATTACCTCGTTGATGAGACACCAACCGTCAAGCTGTAATACAACCGTGCGTTACTATTCGTTTTGTCAAACAGCAAACCTTCCCACACGATCTTAAATAAACACTTACTTCTGAATCACAAACAAAACCTCTCGTCTTACATTCAAAACAATCCATACTGTCACAACAATCGTCTTACTCATCATGCTCCTTCTTCAAGCTCATCCTCACAACACTCCTAACATTCCTCCTCATCATCATCCCAAACGATGCACTATCAGCATCTGCGCTACCCAAAAGCCAGCAAATGCTGTATCTTTTGAACATACTGTTGTTGCAACCCCAGCAACTCCATCAGCCGTCGTGAGTAATACCACCTTACAATCACACAGCTTGAAAGCTATCACTACACCTGCGCCAGATGAGATTCGTACTGCGGCGATTAGTACAGCTCATACAGTGAGTTGTGATTGAGTGTCTGCCAACTTGTTGGATACGTGCTTATTACCGGTCGGCCTTTTTGGCAGGCTGCTGTATCCCATCACCTTGGAGCCGCGCCAGCAAAAGCTTTACGAGGCGGGGTACTCTGAAGGGTACTCACATGGTGTGTCTGGCTTCATCCAACCTTCAATTGTTATCGCCTCTCCTTTTGTCGCCTTGGCATTTCTTAATCATTTCAATACCAACACCCACACTCATTAATAGGATACAACAAAGCACAGACTCCATCACACGACCGCGTCGTATCCTTCTACGGGTCAGGATACCTGCCAGAAGATACTCCATGCTCTGGTCTCTCTACGTGGGAAGAATCTGACTATGATTGCTACCAGCACTCATAAACATGATAGTGGCGGTAGTGCTGGAGAGAAGAAGGTTGCTAAAGGTGGTGGCAAGAGTTGTACTCATTACCTTGGTGATGGTGTGTTGGATGTGAAGGTTGCTGGACATCAAGGTCTATAGGCAATGCTTGCAGTGCGAGTTTTTTGGGGTGCGATCTTGTTACATCAGTATGGAGGTACGATGCTGAACAGTTATATTATCATGATAATATTCATTATTTATCTGTCTGAATTTGATTCACAATGCACGTTTAAGACTCTTCAGTATCATTCATTCCTGTTTCACTTCTCAATGATCAAAACAAAACGACACAAACAACATAATCAACAAATAATAATATCATGTTGAAATACACATACAAGAGCATCTATTCCTAGCTTTGAACAAAGAGCAATACAGCTAATAATTATTCTTTTTGGCCTTTTGAACACCCCTTTTTTCTTCTACCATAGCTTGCGAAAAACAACTCGTATACATGCTCCTCCTTTGTGAAAACACGAATTCTCTCTCTCTTTTTCTCTCATCTCAACCAGCAAACCAATCATCATAAAAAGCATCAAGCTCATCCAACTTCGTGAGCTGGGACAACCACGGAACTGAAGCACTCCATTTCTTTTTCAAACCACCACCACCACCATCCTTGAATTCAGCATCTGTAGTAACGGATTCCATAGATCTCGAATTGGTGATGTTTGATAATACTGATGCTGATGATGGAGAAGTCAATACAGAGTATGGTGATAGTGGTGATATGGTGTCACCAGCCATTGGAAACCATTCACCACTGGTAGTAGTCGACCAGCTTGTAGTGGAATTGGTACTGATTTCATGAGGTGTGGAAGCATCATCAGAAGAAGACCACGTTGATGGAGTATTCGATTCTTCAGAAGACCATGTTGATGGCGGAGAGGGAGTATCCATAGTTGTCGCTGATGATGTATACGAGTGCGTTGGTGGAGTTGGGTGCTTGTTGAATGTGCTGTATACAATATCGACACTAGGAAGGGATGTAATGTGTGACGAATTGGGCGAGAGAAAAAAGAAGCCACTTCACTGCTTACGCCTTTTTCACGTCTTCCTCAGTCACCCCATTCACGAGTAGCTGAGACACATCATCCAGTACGTCAACGTATACGTTTCGCATCAAACCAGCATCCCTACATCAAGAATTAAAGAGTCAGAACAATGTAATATTTGCACAGATTATACTTGAGTAGAAAAACAACGTACTCCAACAGTTGTGTCAAGCAACTATCTTCCAAATTGAATTTTTTTGGCACTGCAACCATCGCTAAAAAAATGAGTCTGAGGACGCTCTTCGCACGTAATCAATGAGTTTTGCACCTTGGTGAGTGAGAAATACCTCATGATCTTGCCCTCGCGACTTGTATCCTCCTCCATCATCACGGCCTCCTTTTGCATATCCTTGAGTAGATTGGATTTGAGAGTGTTTTTGGTTGCAACCAAAAGTAGCCGTGATGGTCTTGACGCTAATACAGAAATGAGGAAATGATTGTTGAGAATCCCATGTTTTGACTTAAACTGCAAATGCATTCATGTTTCTAAGTTAAAGCTCTGAATTGCAGAAACGAAAACCTTACCACATATCAAACCCAATCTCATCATCTCCCACAATAAGAATCGAATGTCCTTTGGAAGACATTACGAGTTCAATCGTTGTCATGAATTGGTTTGCGATACGTCTAATGTTTACAAAGAAAAAACCGTTACTTCCAATTAGCGAAAACGTAAACAAGGAATGTAACAATCAAACGCGTCGATTTTTCTTGCCGAATTTCGTTTTGGGTTGAGCGTTTTCGTAGTTTCACTTGACTCCATCCTGGAGAGATTTTGATGAGTTTGGAATTTGAATATGAGGCTATAGAAAGGGGACTGTTTGAGCATTGGATATGGAAAATGCCACATAAAGACATGAACTTCTATGTCATTGTTGTCTTCGTCATGCTCTTTCTCACCTGCGAAGTTCATCGTGCTGCCTGTTCCTTTTCGATAAAGCTTTCAAAAACACCGTTCACTCGTCTAGCAGACAACTGGAATTTATCAAGTATGTAGCCTGATGCGATGTTTTAGAAGGTAGTATCGTTTAAACGATCGCTTCCTGTTTGCTTGGGCAAGAGTCAGCGTTTGTGGGGAGTTGACGTGAAGGACAGGAGAAATTAGACGGATTCTGACGCGTCACACGCGTCCAAAGGTCGAATGTTCCTTGAGTTCATGGGTTGAATGTTGAATGACGATCCGCGTGCCTAACGAAACATCAGTTCCTTCCCCAAAATGACGACACATCATGAGTTAAATGACAATTCGCATACAAAAACGTTCACGAATACATGGGTAATGACAAGAGCGAGGAATATACGAGCGGACTTATATTGACTTGAATACACGGATACAGCTAGAATACAAACCTAACTTGGAACTTCTATATTTTATGGCCTCGGACCACCCCTAGGACCACCACGAGGAGCACCATTGGGGTCTCCGAATTGGTCTATAGGAGTATAAGCAGGAGGCGGTGCGTCAGGCCGTGGAAGATCATAAAACGATGGATTAAAAGGCAATATCGGTTGTCCGTTGACCACAGTCTGTTGTGGTAACTCTCCTATAGATGATGGGGCAGATGGTAGCAGCGGTTGTCGTTCAGCATCACTTCCTCCTAATCCAGCTTCTGGGTCTTCTTCATCATATGCAGGAGCAGGTGATGAATATCCTGACAATCGACGACCGACAGATCGACAACACGATGTCATGTTTAGCCATAGTCGGTACATGCCTTCTACAACGCTCATTCCGAGCAAGTACAAGAGCTGTACTCCACACCACGATACAGTTATGATTAAGATACATACGGCACAGGCTGTTCCTAGCGACACAAATACGGCTACGACTGCACCTTTACGTTGAGCGTAATTCACATTTACGGTATATGAGTCTCCTATTGGTGGTGCTACGAGGAGTAGATAGTATGGTTCTTGCAGTGCCTTGAAGGCAAACTCACAATCACCCGCTCCAACCATACACGAGTGATCAGGTTTTGGATCTGTGAGGGCATAGGTATTTGATGTAATATAAAAGTCTGCGGTTCCTGACGTTCTAGCTTGGAAGTTGGTCTGTAGGAATATTATATAATACTCTGGATTATCATGCCCTTCCGTAATCAACGTATACTCTCCTACATTAGCAACCTGATCATGAATCTTCATGTCAGATCGCAACCCACCAGTCGTCCTCCACTGTTCAAAGGCTTCAGTAGATCGAATAATCAGCAAGCGACATGGCAGTCCAAGCGTAGTGAAACTCCACGATACTCCTAACGTCGATCCTCCTAAAAGATTGTATACCATATAGTGATACTGTCCGGCATTCAGAGCCACCTGTATACGTTTCGGCGGGAGGGTTATAATCTCTCCGACACGTGGTTTGGTTGTAAATATATATCCTTCTACGTCTGAAGCACCAGCGATTGTTAGGCTGTCTAGCCAACGACCGTCTACGTCTTCGAGGTATCGTTCGCCCATAATCAGTTGTTTGGTCATTTCAGATGGGTGTACGGTTGAGGCAGTTATGATGATTGTGATGATGAACCCAAACAAGATCATCAAGCAAAAGGAGCATGTCCACCTCCTTGTAACGAGAAGAAATGAGTCAGTGATTGCAATCAATTGATCAAACAACCATGACAAACAAGAGGAAGAGAGATAATGAATCGACTTTGATGACAATTAAGATGCAAGTAGCTTACCTTCCTGGATTTGACGGTACTGGAGGAATGCCACTAACTTGAACGTGGTGTCGAGGATGTGAATAAGATGGAGGTAGAGGCGGTTCTGGAGGCGTGTCAGGCACTCTGGGTATTGTTGTACGATATGATCTTTGCGTTGGACCATTTGCAAATGGCTGTCTATCATCGGGTATAGTAATCGGGACGTGTGTCTGATTTCGAGATCTTCCAAACAGATATCCCATCATTCCGCCCAGCACGACACCTATAACACGGCGAATAGTCAGTTCAAGTGTTTATATAGTCAGTCTTGTAAGTGGACGTACCTGGAAGAACACCTCGAAACCCATTTCCTTGGTTGTGATGGTTGTTGCCGTTACTTTGATTGTGATTGCTGTTCCCATTATGAAGGTGACTATGACCGCTATGATCTCCTGGAGACAGTAGATTCAGTGTTCCTGCTCCTTCCATGGCTCTAGAATATGAGTTGTTTCAAAGAAGCTTTGCTCTCGTCTGAAAAACGATTTGCTGGAAACAATGCGGAAATGCCACGAGCCACGAGAACTGAGAAGATGGTTGATTTGTGAGCAAATTCTGTCTAGTTCTCGCCTTTATTCACTTGAGAGAATGTGATCTACGCGACTTTGGGTAAACTTGTTTCAAAGCTTCATGAATTTGGAGTTTTCGTGACGATCACCGATCTGGGGATATGTTACCTACTAGCGACTAGGACGCTGAGTACATACTCTATAATGAGCACGTGGAACGCGTTCAACTCCACCAATTGACCAATCGGGCGAATTATTGACTTGATTGTCAGCCGTTGGCGAAAAATCACACTAAGCAAACCAAGTTTTGAAGAGTTTGAAGATTTCCGTCTCAGCATATTGACAAGAATAGCCAAGATCTATCGTATTAAAACGCCCTTAGCCACCAAACCCTCTTTCATCGTGTTGCTCTCGTTGCACCACTAATCCCAAAGCGACCAAACTTCAATTTTAATCTTTGCCCGCCCTTCGTCATTCCCATCTCGACAATCAAGGACGTCAAACTCAACCCATAATCAAGTACGTCACATGCATCCATGCGCCTCATTCTCGTCGAGCTCTGCAATTCGCCCAAAGTTTTTATCGTATGACGACACTAACATTTTATCTTTTAAAGGATGGCCCCAATAGATTCAACTCCTGCCGTCCCTGGCCAAAAGAAACCTGTCTCGGTATGAATATACATGCCATACATCTCTGCTATACATCACCGTCAAATCCCCATCAACCCCTGACATTAACACCACATATTCACCAGGCAATCAACTTGGCTATCGGAGCAGGTCTAAACATGTTTGAAGTATCAACTCTAGGCCAGCCATTCGAAGTCCTAAAGACCCATATGGCTGCTTCTCGTGGAGACACTCTGCTAGGGGCTATTAAAAAGACATACCAGCGTGGTGGTGTCTTTGGCTTCTACCAAGGCTTGATCCCTTGGGCTTGGATTGAAGCTGCTACAAAGGGTGCTGTGTTGATGTTTGCTGCCAGTGAGTTGGAATACCACTTTATGACTTATGGATTCTCGGGTCCGGCTTCTGGTATTCTAGGCGGTATGGGTGGTGGTATTGCTCAGGTGAGATAGAGATAGATGTGGGTTGTTGCAAGTGTATTTTGTTGATTGGCATGAGCTGTGAGGGACGTTGAGACTTTGAACATTTGCCAACAACAACAAAAACCGCCAACGTCAATAAGACATCTTTGACATGACACCCTTCAAACATATCTTCATCATCTCTTACTCACACTACACTCAAACCCCTACCACTAGGCATACACCACCATGGGGTTCTGTACATTTATGAAAACCGTCGAAGTCACCCGTCACAAAGAAGCCGGCGGTAAAACAACAATCCAAGTCGCCCGTGAAATCTTTGCCCGTGAAGGAATCCGTGGTATAAACAAGGGTGTCAACGCTGTCGCCGTCAGACAATGTACCAACTGGGGTTCTCGGTTTGGGTTTACTCGTATCGCCGAAGACGTTACTCGAACAATGACAAACAAGGAAAAGGGCGCTCCATTATCTCCTCTGCAAAAGATTATGGCTTCTGCTGTCGCCGGCGGCATCAGTTGTTGGAATCAGCCTATTGAAGTCATTCGTGTTGAAATGCAATCGCAAATCAAACAGGTTGGAAGACCTGAGAAGATGACTATTGCAAAGGCTGCTGGTTGGATTTATAAGAATAGTGGGTTTATGGGATTCTATCGTGGTGTTACTCCTCGTATCTGGTACGTGTCACACTACAGAACGGTTGCCTTTTTGGCGAAAGCTGTGATGGACAATAGTACTCATATGTACCTTTTTTCTAGTTTGGGTGTATGGCAAACTATTTGCATGGTCTTTGGTAGGTTATACAACAAAATCATCGACAGTTTTTTTCTTCGCTTGAAGTCACTGAAGCCAAACACCCAATTCAACACACGACATCTACTAACCCACGTCTTCAACAGGTGGAGACTCACTCAAGGCCTACGCTGCTGCTCGTTCCAAAAAGTAAAGCACCTCTAGCTCTACTTTATTATAGTTATCCATAATCGTTGGACTGTATTTTCGCCAGAGACACCGTTTATAGATATTTCCAACAAAACATGCCTCCTATTGCCCCTATATAACGCATAATTAGTAGTCTGTTTTAATCCGGATGCTTAAATTCATGCCTAAGCGAGTTCGCCCAGAAACCAATCTCACAGTATTGCGCAGCAACCCAATCAACAGCTTGAAAAGCCTTCGCACACGTTCACACACACACACACACACACACACTACACGTGTAAAGAAATTAATGGCAGACGAACACATACCACCACTTACAATCCCCCTCAAACACGACAAAACCGATGAGACACCATCCCCATCCCCAACAACAACATCCCCATCACGTAAAAATTTCAGAGCCAGTGTCGAGGAATTGAAGGCATCCGTACATTCCCTTACAGCCGAAGTAGAGCTCGCGAAAGAAACCGTTGCGTCTGTACAAGAAGACAGGAAAAAGATTACAGGCAGTGTAGCGAGTCTGAGTGATGCGATTAGGGACGGGAAAGTGTTGGTTACCGGGTCACTGGAAGGTGGTGTTGGTGGCTTAGGGAGGGAGAGGAATGGGAGTGTTGAGGGTGGGAAGATGAAAGGTTTGTTTTTTGGTGTTGTGATTAAAAACTATCGAGCGAGGCTAACGTGTTTTTGGGTGTAGGAGCACGAAGAAAGTCATCGATGCAGGAATCCGTTACGGCTGATGATAGTCTGTGGGGCGGGATGCGAGGTGAACCTGTTGGAAGGAAACTAGGTGAATCGACACCAACGGGAAGTGAGACCCAGGTTACTGCGCCAGTACAGCAAGCTCCACAGCCACAGCAGCCATCGGTTCCGGAAGAAGAGGAGAGACAGAGCCGTGTGTCTCGCAGCAAAGGGATACCACACCAACTACCACATGCACAACCCGCTGTGGCACTTCCACCGTTACCATCCGACAAGCCAGACACGATACGAAACAGCAAGGTTATCAAAGACCGTACATCAACAGTCCAGCCAAACCTTGCATCAGCCTTACACACCACATCAGCAAAATCCCCCGACCAACCCCGCACAGACTCCTACCACGTAGAACCCATCCACGCCCCATCCTCCTTCACACCGCACCGCTCAACACCATGGAAAAAACCATCGTCGGGTGGGCGTGGCAGTATGATACAATCGCTGAGTCTGGCGTACAAAGCCCAGAAGGTCGCTATTCAGGCGCCGGCGCTCGAGGCGGTTAATTTGGAGATTATTAATAGTGTTGCTGAGAAGGCTAGTAATGGTGTCAGGACCGAGGTTTCACGTATTGCTAGACCGGCATCACCGAAAAAGGGAGTTACTGTCAAGAAACCGAAACGGCCATCCACTGTGGATGTCAATGTGCAGGCGCAAGCTGGTGATGAGGATGAAGGGATATCAAGACTACTATGGGCACACCGTATTATTCCTTCCAAAGGTGGCCACGACGATACAGAAGAAGATATAGGGCTTGGTGATGTTGCGCCGAAGTACGTACATAATCCCAAACCGATACGGCCACGACGAGATACCAGCAGGACGTATCTGTCCATGATACCTGTTTCTCCATCGTCAGCAGCTTCTCCGGTAAAGGAAAGGGTGTCGGCAAACAAGCAGGATACGTTTGGCAGTGGTATTAAAGGGTCGTCGTTACATGCTACTCGTCCCCGGACAGCACAGAAACAGAGGCCGGCTACTGCTACGTTGTCGGTCGTTAATGTTGGAGGTGTAGGCTCGATGTAGGCGTTGATTCAACACGACAGCAGGGATGATCTAGTTTCGCGAATACATAATATCTATAGACAGTATTTAACATTAGCATTCAATTAATTTGAAAATCAAACAAAATAATGATACATACGCGAAGCTTGCGAAAATTTTCAAGAGGCAGCTTGGTTTGTTATCTTGCACAGTTTGACGAACAACACACAGCAATGACCACAAGGATACGAAAGCCCAAGAAGGATCGTCCACAGCAGCCTATCGTAACATCCGACAAAGAGGATACGGTTGACGCTACAGGCAAACCAAAGATAGACTTCACAGACTGGAAGGTCATCATAAAGTACTTTTGGCCATCCATTCTAGTAATCTGCTTTGCCCTAGCCTACTTTCTGGCCCTGCCCCACTACAAAGCTGCACTAAATAACCGGATCTTGAAAGTAACGGAAGAGTTCACCGGTGCGTGGTTTGATAAGGAGTGTTCTGAGAATCCAACATTTGTTGAAGGTATGTTTTTGTTGGCTGAGATACGGATTGTGTCATTTTAGATCATTTGTACACTATCAGAACTAACGTATTTGTGGTGTTTGTAGGATGCTCACCATCGATATGTGGTCGCTACATTACCGACAACTTTGCAACACCAAAAGAAGTCCGGATTTTGAAACTTATCGCAGACAAGGCCATGAATCTCTCAGATACGAACTCGTGTGCTACGATATTTGATATTCCTAGTGGTGCGGTTACGCTGAATGACAAGTTCGTGAATGTGTATGAGGTGGTCAAGGCTGCGAGAGCTCGAAATGTGGATGTTGATTGGATTACGGCGAAGGAGCTGGCTGTGCTTGAAAGAGGTATGCATGAATCTCGAGATCTAGTTGAAATGTATCTTTTGGAGCTAACTTACACGTTTCATTAGTCCAACACCGCATCAAAACACACGTAAAATCCATCTTTGGCGCACAAACCGTGCATCTCGCCAAGCCATCCTTCTTTAGCCGTATCGACGGTGGCAAGAAGCCTGCCACCGAGCACGACGAGTATTGGCACTCGCACGTCGACAGAGACCAATATGGGACATTTGTGTATACGGGACTGTTGTATCTGTCTAATGCCAAAACGGATTTCGTGGATGGGGAGTTCGTGTTTTTGGATGCTGATGAGAAGAGGTTGATTCTGCAGCCAAAGGAGGGGAGGTTGAGTTTGTTTACGAGTGGGAAGGAGAATACGCATCGGGTTAATAAGGTCAAGGAGGGGAGGAGGTATGCGTTGACTGTTGCGTTTGAATGTGGGGATACGCCTGTAGATTACAACGAACAATTACAACGAACAATTACAACGTAATCAACGTAGCAATAATTATAATCAACGATCCATCTCTAAACGCCTCCTCATGTGCTAGGTGGGTTGAGGGCGTCTGTGGTATAGATTTATTTGGACGGTTTTTGCATCGGCATCTGTATATAGATCAAGTTGTTTGCCATCTACAGGTATAGGCTAATTGAGGAGATTCTTGCATTAGCTTGGTAATGAACATTTCAACATTTGAGAAAACACATTCCGCATTCTTGGCGTCGTCTGAACTTTCAAGTTCGCAAGGCAGATTTTACACAAATGTCAAGCGGGTAAGATCCGACAGACATTGAACATTAAACAAGCCCTAGAATGTAAGTGTTCTGTGCTTTCCCGTCTATTCATTCAAAAATCTAGTTCTTCCTCACGAAGCAGTAGTTTTGATTTCTATTTATCCTCCGAAACCCTCGCTCCACAGTCGAACAAAATATCACTCGCATCATTCTTTCGGCAATTTGTGGTCATCTCAAAAATTATTCATTTATTTTGGAACTTTTGAATTGTCCCTTTTGTGGAGGTCTGCTAGAAACTAATCTCTCAATTTGAATCCCCACTCTTGAATTATCGGTTGCACTTTTCACACCTACGCAAAGCACCAGATCAAGAGAAGGATACTGCTATCATCATCTAGAGGTATATAGATCAACTTGGATTTTGTTTGTTGAGACTACATTGAGAGCAATTTCTGTATTAAAGGGTTGACTTTACACAAACCGCAGCCATCACATCATCGCATCAACTCATTATTATCTTTTTTTCTGGAAACAACGAAATTAGACAAGGACGCTAGTAGACATATCAGCTATAGATCGTTATTCCCTATTTTATCCCTCCTCGTATAACTATACTGTGCAAAGTAGTAGCCCTTCATTTCCGAAACTCCAAAAACACCACACGATGGACAACGAATCAATCCAAGTCCGATCGCTCAACGATATCACTCCACCACCATCCGAAACCGGCACAATCACACTATCCAGAGATAAAGGTCTCTTTGGAGCTGACCGCTGCCTGTTTGACAATACACACCACACATTGTCATTCTTTAGCTTTGATGAAGATGGAGAAGACCATATCCCACTCGCAGCTGATAAACCAGATTACTGTGATCCACCACCAACGCTACCGTTATCGTACCAGCAGTCGTCGGTATTGTGTCGTGAGAAGGGTGACGCCATTGTTAATTGTGAGATGACGGGTAATACCAATAACAGTAGTAACCAGTCGGGAAGTATACCAGTTGCATCATCACCTATACAACAGCATGACGACGATGATGCGTATATGCAGTTGTCGCTACCGGTGGTGTCTGATAGTATGGGTGCTAGTACTGGATTTACGGCTTCGTATCCAGTTTCAGGAGCAACTGCAGGGACTGGGACGCAACAGGTCGCGTATCCGTATAATATGTATTATACTCATTCTGGACAGTATTCTGGGAGTCCTATATCGCCAACTTCTGCAGCTCAGATTGGTGCGATGGCATCATCTCAACAGCAGCAGCAGCATCAGTCAACGTCTCCGACTCAGCAGTTGCAGGGGCAGGTTATTAATCAGGTGAGTTTACTGGTGGAATCAATATGGAATTTGTTGCTTGAAGTTGCTGTCGGGATGAAGATGGCCTGTGTCGTCACAGCGCTAATACTTCAATGTCTTGCAGATGTATTCTTTTTGCTCATGCTCAAACCTAACGAAACTTTTCTACATCTTCTAGTACATGTATGGAAACCAACCATACTACTATTACTCAACGGCGTACAGCAACTACCCACCAGGCTCCTACATGGCATCTCAACCAACTCGAGGCCCAGGTCGTCCATCAACTCGTCCAACAGTAGTATCAGCACCTCAATACCATCCATACCCACGTTCGCACCCAAATGCACCAATCACGATTCAAACAAATGCAACTCAACTCCAATTACAACATCATCAGCTCCAACAACAGCAACAACAGCACCAGCAAATCCAACAAGTCCAAATGCAAAACCAGCAACAGTTACAACAACATCAACAACAAATGCACCATCAACAACACCAACAACAAACAATAGGATTAAACCACTCAGTTATAAATAATCTCGCAATGAACATGTCTCAACAACAACAAGTACAGGTACCATTACAACCTACAACAGTATCGCCAGCCACAGTCGCTCCCATACCCGCATCTCAAATGCTGGGTACCCCCATCATCGTCGCCACCAAGACAACCGTATCATCACCAAGCACATCAGCATCCACATCCGCATCCACATCACCCATAATCAAATCTGTGTCTCTGCCCATTCGCTCACTGACACCCGTACAGCAAATACCACTCGAGCGAGCATCTCCACCACTCCAAGCACCGCAACAAAAGCCGAAAAACCGGGGCCGGGCACCGAAACAACCTGTAATCAAACCTGAAACGCAGGACGATGGGTTGATTCGTAGTGCAGTGTATTCAAGTGTGCCAGTGTATGAGTTCACCACTCGTGGCGTGTCGCTCATGAAGCGGGTCAAGGATGGGTTTATGAATGCGACGCAGATACTCAAGCTTGCTGGGATTGATAAGGGGAGACGGACCAAGATTTTGGAGAAGGAGGTGCATCCGAATGAGCATGAGAAGGTTCAGGGAGGGTAAGCGAATGTTGCGTTGTTGAAAAAGTTGGATGAGCCAATACTCATGCCTTTTTTTACAGATATGGAAAATACCAAGGAACTTGGGTACCATTCTCTCGTGGTATTCATCTAGCTCAGGAGTATGGTGTTGAGGAGTTGCTACGTCCGTTACTGGACTACAAGCGAGTAGAGAAATGAAAACATTGTTTGATTCTAAGTGGGACTTTGTGTGGGTGTATCACACGGACAGTTTTGTGTTTGTCAAGTCAAAAGAGCAAAAACCTCATATATCTCACCACCTCATTTCTATGTGTTGTAAGAAAATTGTAAAGTCAAAACAATCGTAAATAAATGGTCTATACCAACAAAAACCTCTTGTGGCCGTACAAATTACTTGAAAACACCATCTATATTCATCTGGAATTAAGCGTGCGAATCAACGACGCGAACGTCGAAAGCTCCCTCAACTGCTTCTCAGACCCTTCAGTCGGATCGCACCCCCACCGTCTCTCAGCCAAGAGTTTTTGGGCCTCATCAAAAGTCATTCCCTTGTTCTTTATCAGATATGCGATTACGACTGATGTTGACTGTGATGTCCTAGCGTGACAGTGTACAAGCACATGTGTGCGTGATTCAATCCCTGCATGGATGAACTCTAGCACTCCTCGATCGGTCAGCAAGTGTAATAGATCTTCAATCTCGTCATCTAGGAGTTTTAAGGCCATGTAGTATGAGAGGTTCTACAACGACGATAGCTTGGGTCCGAGCTCATGGTTTTTTGTGGTAGGTCAAGACCAAATGTCCAAAATCTCTTAAGAAAAAGCCACATTGCCAACACAACCATACCTTTCCATGGCCTAATTTCGCCTCCTTCAAAGTCTCCTTGTCGTTATCAGCAGCCAGATTCACCACCCAGCCTACAATACCATAGATTCCAGCCCTCATGGCAATTTCCTCTCCCGACACCCGCAAGTAGTCTTTGATATTTGAGATGTTGTCTTCTGAATCGTCAATGACAAAGAATTGTTGGCCGGTAGTACTGATGTCGGATGTTGGGGTTGATGCTGGCAGTTCTTGACGATCTCCTGCCTGTTCAATGGACTAGAAATTATGGATGTATAAACAGTTAGTATATTGATTGAAATGACGCGTAATTTGATGCATCAACATGTTGATATTTTTTTATGCTCCACATTCTTACTTTACGTCATCCACAGTAGTAACCTGCGTAGGAACAGGCTTGAGAGACTTTGTCAGATATGATCATCTCAAAATTTAAAAGTCATCAAAACAGTCGTGGAGGTATCTCAAAGGAAACAAGTTGGGAAACAGTGTCACAAACAGTCGTTTGACAACGAGCTATACTAGGATCCAACGAGAGACACACCAGCAAGCATATCCTTGAAGTCCGTTTACTGTATCAATCCAACGACGTTCTAACTCCAAGGATGGGAGCTGAAGACAGTCAAGCTGCAACCAAAGTGATTGTGGAGTACATGGACGCATGGAATAAGCAAGATTTGAAACGAACAAGGGCTACTCTCCACTATCCAAACTTTGTTATGGGTGGCGAGGAGCCGCTCATCACCAATGACTCCTTGGAAGGTATACGTCAACGACATTAGAATTTTTTTTTGGATTTTTTTTTGGCATCCATCAACCACCATACATGCATCAAACCATTCCCAATTACTAACTCCATATCATTCTAACATAGACGTATCAAAGCGCAACACCATTTTTCTATCCGGCTCTCCAGGATGGACACACTCCACAACCGACCACATGGAAATAATATCATCCAAACCTGGCGCCGTGTCCATCGCACTGCGATTTACAAGATATTCCAAGAACAAACCTCCCACATCTCATCGATCGCTATGTGAGTTTCGTTGTGATGTGTGTGTTTGACTGCTGGTGATGATGGTAGATGTGGCTGACATTACCAAAAATCTCAGACTATTGCATCAAGTCGACAAAGACTGGGAGATGGGGGATTCAGGCGCTGTTTCCGATGGAGTGATATTTATCGGATGGAATGTTGTGTTTTTGTTAGTTTACAAGTGAACTGCCCTTTTTTAAGTAATATGGAAATTGAATTGATTTGGCATGTGTATTGTCTGTTATGTTGTATGATGTTGGGAGGTGGCACGGGTTGTGGATGGAACATTCGCACTGGGGTTGCTCACTTTTTTTGGTCTTGGTCTCTAACCCATGACAAAAAACGAAAACAAACACCGCTTCCTTAGACAGTCATTCACTCCTCTTGCATGGAGCTGAATGGATACAAGAAATTTGAATGAAGCAAGATCAAATCAAAGTTCAACTTAATCGCCAGCTCGACGTTTAAGATGTCGTGATTTGGTTTCATGCGTTGTACACATCAATATATCTTTTTGATATGAACATGTATTGGGAATGAATAATATAATTAATATATGATATAATCAATATCGGAGGCCAAACGCGTCGAATTCGGGAGTTGCGTAGTCACTGTTATTCCTCCTGCTTTCTTATAAACGTTGTGGTTGAGAGGCGCATACTTGGTAAGAGAGGACGACGAAGCGCAATTGGCTCTAAAGCATTCTAGTCAATTCTTATGAACGCCTAGTCTTTTCCTATCGTCGCTTTCCAGATTACTCGTATCCTTTGACATCTAATCCACATTCATTGACAAAACATGATGGCCTCAATGACAGAAGAAGCAGTCAGGCTGCCTACTGAACTCATTAGAATACTGGAATATGTTGAAGATTATGGAGTGGTGGATATCATGACTCTTGGTCGTGTATCTCGTGCATCAAAACAGAATGAATGAGAACCACTTATTTTCGTTTCGACAATTTAGATACCCTACTACACTAATTACTCCTTGCGTAGGCTCTTCGTATACTGTACAGGACAGTGCCGCTTCCTGAGGAGACAAAGCATCGCTTGTGTTGTCATAAATTGGATGTCACACTCGCAAATGTCGCGACATTTGGTCAAAAGCATGTCAAGAAACTGCAACGTTTGCATATATTTACACGATCTCTTGAAGCTTATGGTTTGACTTGTTGTTGGTATGCAGTCCAAGAGAGTCGCAACTGTAAGTTCAGAGACTAAAGAAAATCTCAGTTCCAGCGATTTCAGACAGCTACAATTGGAAGAACATCGTGTTGCTCGCCTAATGCAACGTTGCAGCAATCTTCGTCATGTTGAAGTTTGCCAGGAATATGTCTGCATCCTGGAGCATGCTGGCGGTCTGGAGCATCTTCACCTTCAGTGCACGTTCGGGGACGAATTCGACTCTGCATCTATGGAAGCGGCAGTCCCTCGATCATTCCTCGAAAGGAATCTGAATTGCAAGCTACATATGGGAATTTGCGCAGCAGTTCCACCACGTATATTTGAGACGGCCGTGCAATTTATATATGTAGAAACCATATGTCATGAACCCTTGGTCTCACCGAAAACATTGTTTCGACTTCTACCAGGCACTAGCCTGACAAGTCGCAAGTCAGTGATTCTCCTTGATGAGATTTTGGAGGATTTGGAGGACTGCTCATGATTGGGATTTTTCCGAGTATTTTAATCTCAACGATGTAAACTGCACTTCTGGTCATGATCCCTTGGAGAAATATCGTCGTGTTTTGACATCTTTAGCATCGCCATCATGTAAGCTTCAAAGCTTAAGACTCGTCAGCAAATATGAAACAGGACTCCCTTGCACTTTAGTCTCCCGCTCCTTTTACGTCATGCCGCCACTCTTCGTAAAGTCACAACTACCATCTTGGACGATGTAGTATTCAATCCACCACTCGCAGTTTCATTCCCATATCTCGATGACCTTGCTATATACATGAATAAGCCTTCAGAAGAACTCTAACGTTTCCCTTCACTCTACCTTAGTTCATGGTCTGGAACAACTCAAGAATCTTTCTGATATGAATTGTGTATTTGTGAAAATGAGAAGTTGTATATAAAAGTGGATCCCAAAAACCAGAGTTAACGGTTATATTACAAAGAGAGAACCCCCTCTCCAAAATGTGGTTTATATTACCCACTCATTGAGGATTTGAACGACCAGCGTTCATACCTCTTTGAGAGTACTGTTTATTTGACATTGGTTGTTGTAATTGTTGCTGTGACTGCAGCTGATAATTCATCTGCTGCGATTGGTGATACTGCTGCATATGCTGTTGTTGATGCCACTGATGCTGCTGATGTTGCACTTGCTGGTTATAATCCTGAATCGGGCGATTCGAAGACGATACTACTTGAGGTCTAACAGTCACCATTGGCGAATGCTGCCTCACTACAGGTGAATTCCTCTCAGAATTCCCATCCTTATCACCACGCCCAAAGAGCGAAGCAAAGAAACTTGTCTTCTTCCTCTCCTGACTTCCTAGAGACACATTATCATCCTCCTCATCTATTATTCTGCGACGTTGCCGTTGCACTGGTGATGCTCCAGGCTCAGAGCCACCCCATTCTCTAGGACTCTCGTCAGCTATAAATCTACGAATTTCTGATATGGGTACCGTCCGTAGATTCGATGATGAGCCTACAAGTACTGGACCTCCTATTTCCTTGATTTCAGACTTAAATTTCTTATATTTCTTATGGTTTGGTGTTGCAAAGGATGTCAGTGTCACCGTGTTGTTGAGAGAATTTGGTGAGGAACCAGGTTGAGATGGTCTGGATCCTTCTGGGTTCTTTGTGGCTGATAATAGACGGGATATCCTGTTACGATTCTGTAGAGAATTGCCATTGTTGCCTTGAGTTGTGAGCACTTCTCCGACACCTGATATAGATTCAGCCAGTACAGAGCGTTCTAATGAAGCGTTACTTTCTTCTGATTCACGACGTTTACTAGTCCGTTCTGTTGCTGGCCGAGACATATTTTCAGCTGATCTCATCCGTCTTACATTATGATGATCTGATGAAGTCGATGCGAACTGCGGTGGCGGCTTATTTGGTGGTGGAGGAAGATGAGATAAGAATTCTATCTTGGCATCGTTATATTCCTGTTCCTGCTGCTGCTGTTGTGCCAGTTTATCTCGTTTCTGTTGTTCATGGAGCTCTCTATATTGTTCAGGAATTGGTGGTATAACTGATTCCTTTCTCGGTGGAAACACCTTCATATACGACTCCACCTTGTTTGAATCGTGACGTACTGGAAACTTCAATAGATTGTTGGCATCAGGTGGTGGGTGTCTACGTGGGGTTGGAGTTAACGATGTCTCTGGTCGAGGGGGTGGTATAGGTGATGGCGCGGTTACTGTTTTCTGACGACTAGGAGGTGGTGTTGCTGATTGCTTTGCTACTACATATGGTGCTGTTAGTGCATGAGCTGTCGCTGGTCCCGCGACCACAACAGCAGAAGCTGAAACTACGGTTGGCTGTTTACTGGAGCTAACACCATGCACTACAGCATTCTGAGCAGCTGTTGTAGGTAACTCCACAATCACTACATGTTTTTGAGACAGTTTGGCAGTCTTTTTACCATTGGTATTCTTCAAAATACCAGTCTTTACTACTGTGGTATCGGTTTCAGTACCATCACCATCTATAATGACCACTTCCTCCTCGTCCTTGCTTGGAGGTTCAGGTAGTTCATTTTGAATCGGAGTACTATTCATACTACTGCTACCAGCTTCATCCATCTCTTTGCGAATCGTGCTGATATGTATACTGTTGTAATTAGTATCAGGATGATCCTTTCGACTTGGACTACCAATCACACCACTGCTACTAGCAGTTTCAGGCATTTCTTTTCGAATCGGACTATTATTCACACTACTAATAGCACTATCATTCCGTGCTACTTTGGAAGACATTGGTGGTGGCGTAGGTCGTTTGGACTCTGCAGCTGGTGCACTATCTACTTTTCCTCGATTTGGTGTGTTTGATGCAGACGATGGTGGTGTTGGCAACTGCTTTACGTTAGAGGAATCTAGATTCATCTGTGGTGATGGTGCAGATGGTGTAGTAGCCAGCTGGTTTACAGTCGATTTTAGATTAATCTGTTTAAGTTCTACTTCCTTGCTTGAGTCAATCTGTTTTAGCATGTCTACAGTTTCTTGCGGCGGTGCATGCAACATAGACATGGTATGGCTCGGAATGTCTACAGAAAGCAACGACGACGAAGACACGGAGCTATTAGAAGACATTGGCGACATTGATAGCTTCTCCATCTTTAGTAGACCTACACAAAAAAACTATCAAGTCTCTACTGCGATTCTGTTCAAGTGCAGAACTCACTCGTCTCCGAATCCACAGTTCTGGAAAGCCGATTAGGAGAACTACGAATAGGAATACTTGGCAAAGCTCGATCCAGCGATGCTGCCGGCAACACTGGTGAAGAAAATGAGCTGCCGCGTTCTGGTGTTGTTGGCTCAGCCTAAATTCAGAAAACGCATTGAGACATTGTAGCAACGTCATAAAAGGCGGTAGCAGTTGTTCATGAGCAAACCGGGACATACTTGGAAAGAGTCCATGCTAAACTTTCTGTGAGGCACTGTTGCCGAATCAGGTGTTCTCACAGATACAGTCGGACCTTGATTGGGAGCTACATAAACCGGCTCGCTGTAATTGTTACTGCTAGTTCGTGATGCCGATGTCGGCATGGGTACGACTTTAGATAACGAATTATTTCGAGTCGGAGGTGTCATCTGTGGAGTAGGAGATGTTGGAGCCATCCCTGCCGGAGCAGCCGGCTTCGCAGTTGGTTTCGGCTTTGGTGACTTTGCTGCTACAGGACTTGTAGGCATTGGCACAAAAGATGTTGGGCTGGTCGGTGAGTTTGCGAAGAGACTGCTAAAGCTTGGTAATGATAGATCCAGCGTCGGTGGCCTGTCCAGACTATCAAAGATTCCCATAGTCGATTGTCTTTTCATAAACGAGAGTCTCTTTGGCGAAGGCAGTGTTGACGACCTGCGACTTTCATTCAAGCTTGTTGTAGTGTCCAGTTGTCCCAACTGGAACTTCTTGACTGTACTGCCTACAAAAGATTCGCCATCTACAGGGCTCTCCTCTCCTGTAGAATGAGATAGCAATGCGCTCTCTGCCGTGACATAAGATAACTCCTTCATCCGTGGGAAGGTCTCAAAGCTAAAGTGTTCGAAATTGGCTTCCCCTGAAGATGCTGAGCTCATGATTCAAGACCACCAAAGAGCCTATAAGATACTCGATACTAGTGTTGAAACAGACGTTAGAAGTCTCTCCTTGCTGGTACCACCCTTCCTCACAAACCAATCTGCTGGCAATATGCTGAAACGACTTGCGGCGATGTTGTTTTTCACGCCATTCACATGGAACTTACGATTGCAGAGGATGAAGCAATGCTCTGTGATGCTAATCATGGAATTGCACCGTCTCCTCCGGGCGTTGGTGTTGTTTTTGAGTCGAAAGGCGTGCGGTTTTTGAAAAGGTGAGGAGTGAGCGGTGCAGCTGTGATCAGACTAAACACCCCTCAAGTCGGACGCAATCTAGAATGTTATTGGGCGCATAATGCTCACTTCATACGTATTTGATCCTATCTCGTTTTGCGATAATTGAAAATAATAGAGTGCACATAACGCGAAATCTTCGTGCGGTTTGCTCGACAGGTAGTTATAGCAAGTCAGATTAATACAAGCAATTCTTACGTTTTAAGCACTTACATTCTCCCAAACTTTATATTCGAGACTGCAACTTGAACCCTGCGCCATCATACTCCCAGTGCTCATCCTTACCACCAAAGGTATCCACAGTCAACTTAGCAGCCTTCATATACACACCATTCGAATACCCATACTTGAGCTCATCCTGTTTGAATGCGCACACCAGTTTAGGTATATGATCGTCTTTGCTGGCGATTCCTTTGGCCATGACTTCAGACCACACATCCCCACCCTCACCTATCGGATACGATTCCACGACTTTTGAAGATACAGGCCATCCACCTTGAGCCCAACAAGCTATAATCAGCCCCTGTACAAAATATCGAAGTATTGCTACCTGATCTTCTGTTCGTCCATTCAAATACTTTACGATACATGATAGGGCGTGAGAAGCTGTTACTCCATGTGCCATAAAGAAGTCCAGTTTCGGTGGTGGTTTGTCATCTCTACTTCCAAAACTAGTGAAGGCATACATTGCGGCTGTTCTGATTTCTTTGACTTTATCTGCGATACTTGCTGTTGTGATGGTTTCACCTAACGACCACATATCCACATACTTGTTTATGATACTCGCTCCATTTCCAGATGCCGCATTATGAGCTCGGTCATCAAACTTGTCATTATGTTTTGCATTGCTCTTCAATTCCGAGTCGTTCATAGCCATACCTACAACCTCAACCAAAGACTTGTTTCCATCATGACTTCGAGTGTTTATCGGTGATATTGGGTTACTTCCAAAACACCAGAATGCCAACGCTTCAGACAAGAGTAGCGGGTGTTCGAATTCAAGAGCAAAGCCCATATGTATAAATGGATGGAAGGCTTCCGAGATCAGTGATGGTATAAGACGTGGTAGATATGTATATACGGTCTGGGAGAATCCCAAGCGTTCGATTTCAGAATCGAAAAAATCGCGATAGTCCTGCTTATACTTTTCTTGGCCTAGATGATGACTCCAGTTCTGAGCATTGATGTAGTTTATAGATGGTTTGGGAGTTTCTAGGTCTGTGAAACGAGAAGATGTCAAAGAGTACGCAAAAAAACGACGAGATCATAGCTCACATGACGCATGATAATCATAGCATTGTTGGATTCGTGATATAGGAGCCTTCAGCTTGTACAAGGAGAGCAAATCATGAGCCACATGAGATGCGAAATACCCGTGGTATACAATTTCGAAGCGCTTGTGGTTTTCCTAATGTTGATGGATGGACGCAAGGTTAGTAAACGAAAGAAACAAAACGATCAAAAGTATCAAATATTGATACGTAATTTTGATCGATGACAGAGTCTACATATGACCTCAACTTGGGTGTCAAACCTACCTCGAGCAGCCTAGTGACAAGCTTCCAGGACTCATCTGTCACAACAGGACGAAGTTGTAAATTGAGAGCTGTAGCCGACATTTTTGATATGCTCCTGAAAGTTGGCAATGGGATCTTCATGTGGTATGTGGTCCCCTTGAAACGGCCGTGTATTCGTTATGTCACGGGTTTACCGTTCTTATGCAGACGCGAAGTGAAAGCAACGGTATAACCCGTTTCATCCAGCGATTATATGAATCAGATCTTTAATTTACACTCACTTTAAAAATTACAAGCATATATCACACAACTTCCAACTACTTCCAAACCTTAATCACCCCTTGCCTATCGCCACTAACCAAAAGTGGATATGGCACTCTCAAAACACCCAGATCCACAATAGCATCCAAGTGACTAGTCAGACTTGGCGACGCCGCCAAGCCAATACCCAATCCAGATAAGAATCTAGCATCGGCTCCCATCGAATTACCCCCAGCAGAAGAATGAGTTGAACGATTATTGCTGTTTCCACTACCAGTTCCACTAATTGATCGTCCTGTTCCAGGTCGTCGTTGATTGTTTGTGTTGTTGATGACACCGGCTCCATAGAGATGCGATTGTGTATACTCGAGATTAAATGTTACATTTGCGTATTCGTGTGATCTAGTTGATGTTGGTTTTTGTGAGGCCGAGGAAAAAGGAAAGTTCTGCAGCTCTATATGCTTGTTAGGGTTACCAAGACAACTTACGCATATCGTGGTGCCAAATCATCAACATCTAACCCCGAAACCACATTGCTCAATTCAACATTCACAGTATCCCATAATCGAATCTTACGATCCGTACCACCCGTCAGCAGGAAGGGCAAATCAGGTTGCGAGACAATAGCTCGTACCGAATTGTCATAATTATTAATGGCTTCAGGAGCAAAGAGGGCAGGCACACCATCAAAGTCTGATTGTGAAGGTGGTTGTCGTGCCTTCATACCATTACCATACATTCGTTGCATTTCTTCAGCTGGATCAGCAGTGGTGCTACTATTACTACTATTATTATTACTTCCACTAGCATTGTTGACATTGATGGCATCAGCATTAGCAGATGTCAAACCTCCATGAGTTGGATTACTATTAGAATTACTATTACTGGTGGTATTACTACCACTACCAACAAGACACCACACTTCTCGACATTCAGCAGCTTCCAGATCCCAAGCAGAAACTTCACAATTACGTCCCTGCACAGCTACAAGAGCAAATTTCGTTGATCCATTCGATATAGCATTCGAACCAGTAGCTGATGCAGATATGGACGATGCAAGTCCATATGCTGGAGCTGTGTACGGTTCTAGACGATGTATACGGGCCTTGGCTGGATGGCCCCAAGATCGCACTCGTATACCAAATCGAATGTCCCACAATGACATGATACCACGTTCAGTTCCTGTTAACGCCCATGCTCTCCTTCTATCGAGAGTTAGAGCAGTCAATGCACCGTGATGTGCTGGAGAAGTGAATGTCCATGCTGGTCGTGAGCTGCGTAAATCTAATCCGACTAGTTTTCCTCTGGATGTCGCATAGACCAGCACAGATTCCATTTCTACAAGTGTGATGAGTTTGCTGAAAACGTAGGACCATCAAGAAGAGAAAAAACACTGAACAAAATCGTGATGTACCTGTGTCATAATGTTCCATACACACAGCACTCTCTCCTTCCTCCAACTGAAAGTGCCGCACAGGTATGTATCCATGATATTTTGGGCTGTTGGATTTCTGAAGATATTCAATCCTTTTCGTGTATGAGAGGTGCACGTTAGAACCGAGCGAGGCAAAAAAACGTAGACGTAAGTGTATTGCACCGATGACACATACCGACAAACATCAATCGTCCCATTCGTAGATGCAGAAGCAATGCTATGAGTCCCTTCACAGAATGCTATAGATCGAACTTCACCACCTAACCCATTGACTTAATTGTCAAATACATGTGGCGACCAAAAAAGTACATATTGAAGCTGATTGATAACTCGCCTTGCCGATAAGTTAGCCTCGCCTTATTCGTAACATTCCTTTCCAACCTCAATGAATCCCAAATCTTGACCGACCCATCTGTAGATGCCGAAGCGAAAAACGCATGATCTGGTGCAACTCTAATCTGCGTAATGGGGCCCTTGTGTTCTGTTAGATGAGCAACAAGAGTTCCTTCAGGTCTCCATTCTTTGATATCATTTGGATTCGAGGAGGCCGCAGAACCACTACCACCACCAGCTCTCCTTTGTCTACTGGACATACTGAATGTCGACGTTGCGACTTTGGGACCAAGTTCTAAGAAGAAGTACCAATAATGAGATTGTTTTGTCCATATCGGGCAGTCACGAACGCAAAAAATGACGTCTCGCAGTCACAAACAAACCTGGAATAGGAGGTGGAAACAACTCATACGTCTTCTTCTCCAACAATCTCTTAATATTCCTCTCACGACCAGCAAAGGGACTAGACCTCGGATCTTCCTTCAAACTGGCCCGATGATTATTCCCACTACCAGAATTACTTCCACCACCTCCATTGACCATATTCATCAATCTCTCAGAATCAGATGGATCAACAATACTAGCTTTCTTACTATGTCCACGATCCATCGGAACTGACGACGATGAAGACGATCCACCACCTCCTCCACTACCATGAATATCAATCATGCCACGAGCAGTTTCGCCACTAACTGCTACAGCAGCTGGTAGTTTCACTTGAGCACCACGTCCTACCATCACATTAGAGTAACTCTTGCCGCCACTTATTAGGCTGAGTGAGCTTGCTCCATCTTCAGAGCCTCCCGCTGCAGACAACGGTGAAAAGAATTCCGCAGAACCCTTTTCAGGAGTATTGTTGTTTGCTGCACCTGTTGAAGAAGTAGCAGCAGCAGGATGTAGGTTTCGTGATGGTGACATTATTGGTAGATCTGGATGTGTTTGTCGATGAGGACTTGTTGGTTGTGATGTTGGGTTTGGTGAATCTGATCGTCGAGTTTCTGTACGGATATTCGATTCTGTAGCTAGACGTGATAGCTGTGATAGAGCTTTCGGTTGTTCAAACTGTACGTTCAAGGAACGAGACGATGAGAAGCGACCAAAGAAAAAAATTTCAGGCAAGACTAACCTGAGAATCCTTCCCAGCTCCAGAATAATTCTTGGGTGGGTACAAGAACTCATTACGTGGTGTAATACCAAACGCTTTGAGATTTATTGTTCCAAACTTCAGTTCAGTCTCTTCAGTAAACAAGCGATTTACAGCATTCGAAGGAGGTGATTTTCTGTCAAGAAGAGAAATATTGACGTCAGTCAGTTGCTTCATTTGCACTTTAGAAAATCGACGAGTTCACCTTGACTTGGCCTGTGTACTCTTGAAAATATAATACTTCATAGCAAACAGTTTCTCCTTGTCTTCATCCGTCATTCCATGTTCACGTAACTTTTTCTCAAGATCATGCCTGCAACAAAACAGATTATCACCTGTCCATCAATGACATTTGTTGTCAACCTCTAGTACCTCTCAGCAGTCTTCCCAGTCGCAGCCTCATCATTAGAATCACGAGACGATTCTAAATCAGTCAAGGATCGCATGCCAATATCAGGTCGAGCAGGTGCTGCAGATTTCGAAGAGTGCTGAAGTGCTTGATCATACAAGACTCGACCAACCTACCCAAAAAATATGAGCCATGTGCGTGTTTCGTACCAAAACAAAAACGTTCTCTGCATATTGAACCATACTGGCTCTTTCAAACAATCCATTATCGCCAATTCAGTAATTTCAGGAATATCGCCTTTCAAAAAGGTACGTAATTGTGGATATATGACACATCGAACGTCAATGAGTGGCAGTAATCGTGCTACAGATACAATGAATGCGAGTGCACCTATTGAGCAAAAAGCGTCTGAGCAATTACTCTATGCGCATTGCATCCGCGCACACTCCTCTTACCATGTCTCAACCACACATTAGGATGACAAAGCAGCGGCAAAATCAAGCTTGCTAGCTCCTTTAGCTTGACTTTTTGAATCAATTTGACCTCAGCCAGGGAGGTTAACGAATTCAAAACTCGTTCAACGACAAACTCTTCCGAATCTTTGAAACGAGGACCAGAAATAAATGAGTGTTCCAATAGGATCTTAGCTGAAACGTTTTCTTTTTGCTTGCCTGTCAGAGCTTGTATCATCAACGGCAGAATATACTCTTCCAGCGATCGAGCTCCCACAAACATTCCGACCCCAACAACACTTTCAAAGAATGCGCTAATAATTTTGGCTTGAAATTGGAAACAAAAAACCGTAGCGTCCACCGTACGAATGCATACGCGCAATTCCATCTCTAGCCATACCTTCTAAGCTGCCACTCCAAATCATTCAAATACGTAATCATATGACTCAAAAACACATCATTCGTCTTTTGTTTGCCAAACAAGATACACAATCTTGGCATTTCACTCAGGAGGGCTCTCTTGACTGCTGGTTCAGTATCAACAAGCAGTGTTCCGACTTCATCTTGCACCATGTCCAGCAAGTCACGGAGTAGGACGTCGTGCGGTGGAGCGGTTAGCGATGAGTCTGAATCTGGATCAGAGGATCGAAGTGTTGCTGATAGGTCGAGGAATCGTTTTGCGGTTTCCGCTAAGCAAAAGAATGAAGTTTAAGACGTGCTATACACCGATTAAGTGATCTCCAATGATTACCCAGGCTAGCGATACATTGGGCATAAGTAGCTCGTACAAAGACTTCCGAGTCTGATGTAAATCGTCGTAGATTCGGTAGAATGTATTCTGGGAAGATGTTTGCATCCCCTGTTGATATGCTCTCCACCATCCATATCTTATTTGCGAAATGTCAGTCTCAAAACAACAAAAAAATGACGTAGTCACGACAACACTCACTATTTCAGTAAGAATCTTAACGGTCGTAGCTCTCACTATAGCAGCTTCGTCTGATAACAGCGAAACAAGATATGGCACAACACGGTCCAGCCGGTGTTCATCAGACAAGTGAATACTCAGGGCCAATAATAAGTCCAGAGCAAACAGTTTGGATGATGGGTACAGAGTGTTTCGTATGCATGAGCAGACAATGGATGTGAATATTAGACATCCATCAGCTAAAGGGGGAGGGGTGTTTGTATATGGATATGATGGAGACGAAAATATATTTTTTGTTGGGATGACTTTCAGCGAGACTTACCAGCTTCAGCTCTAGGTTTGATACTGACTGAAGAAACAGCATAATTGGGTATATTTAAATTGACGGGTAGCAAGCTAGCATTATTCGTTCCTGTTGCAACAAAATGTGTTGTAGAGAGCGAAAGAACGCTTAAACGGATGCAAAATATCCGGATCAGACAACCAGGGAATGAATACCTTGTCGAATCGGATCACCAGCCATTCCTCCAGGCTGTTCCGTCTTAGACTCATCTTTTACAGCAGATGGCCGTCTACTGGCACCTCCATCTGTTCCACCCATACCTAAAGCAACAGCAATCTTCCCAAAATCAGCATAAATTCGTTCAATTTTGGCATCAGCATCAGGAACAACCCATTTAGAATCCAACGATCCTGGCGTTGTTCCAGCAGACATGACACCCATGCTATCATATGTACTCGGAAGTGTGACTGCTAATGGTGTAGCAGATGCCGGATCTGTAACGGAAGCAACATATTGATGCAAGAATGAATAAAAGTATTCTGGAAACGCGGTTCCTCGACCACGACTTAGATACGATTCGGCAGATGATCGTTTCGTAGGATCTAGCTGTATCATTTGCTTCACGATATTTCGGATATGCTCGTCTTCGATTTTGGCTAGATCGGCAGTTGGTTCGTATTCTTTATTTCGATATCGAAGTAGCTGTGGGAATGTGAATAAGGGAGATCCTTCTAAGAATAGCTCAGCTATTGTACATCCCATTGAGAATATATCCATGGCTGCTGTAACCCGGCCTTCCGCGTCCTTGTCACCGAATAGATTCTCGCCTGGGGCACAGAATCGTTCGGGAGCTATATAGCAAGCTCTACGTGATGACGTGTCAAAGAAGAAGGAGAAGTCTGCAGGATTGTCTTCAGGGAGATATGTAGGTTTGAAGGGTGAAAAGTCTGCCAGGTAGGCCCAGTTCCATGATGTAACGAGGACATTCTCAGTTTTGATATCTCCATGATATATCTAGAGCGAGAGGAGTGTAAGAACGGCTGTCACATTTTTGGCAATCAAATCAGAGTATGGTTTTACGTGATGAGCGTGTGCTCCTGCTAAACCAGACAAGATTTGGAAGGCAATCCACTTCTTTTCAGCCAGAGTCAAGAATGGCCGTGTGCTAATATTAAAAGGTCAGCAAAAGCGCTTAAAAAACGAGGTATCCATGGTGAAGGTGGATAACGCGTTCAACCATCGTCCTGTCCCTTTACCTGATTCGATCATACAAGCTACTAAAAAAGTATTGTCGAATCAAGTATCCAGCTCGTTCCGTTTCGAATATACGTTGATAGGGAAAGCAATTCGGTATTTCGAGCAAGACATCGCGTTGATCTATCGTGACGATGATTGATAGTGAGAGTCTGAGTACATGAGTCCAAACGTGCGAATTCATAGATTGATTCTGCAGTAAAAACCGACAAGATCTATGTATAGATCATGTCCCCGTCACATACTCTGCAATTCCTTGACCCATTGTCTCAATGACACACTGATTTCAGGCTTGACAAAGATTTTGACGACAATGGGACCTTCTGGGTGCCTACAACGGATTGTTTTCAAGAATCTGGCACTACCCAAACTAGGTTAAACAAGTGTATGTTAAAGCTTTATGTCATAATATAGCTTGGAGATTTGTCAACTTTCATAACATCATTATCATACCTCCGTTCATACAGGACACTGGGAACCTCACTAACATATGAATCTATGCCAGCCGTGGTCGTACTCGGCGGAGTAGCACTTGATATTATGTTGCCCATTTGCTGATTGACTTGTTGATGTGAAGAGCGTGATCAAGAAGATCCACTTAAAGGCAAAGGAGGTGGAATCACGTCAATTTGAAGATATAGATCGTATTGAATTGAAATTTCTTAACGATTGCATACTTTAAATCCCGTGTTATTGGTGGTCTGTAGGCCTCAAAATCGTAATCAACAACGGCATCAAGAACTGCGAATGCAAGCGGTGGAACATCCCTCAAACCAGCTAGGACACGTTGGAAATTGCAAATGAGATCGAATTGAACGAGCCTCGTTGCTATTCCGCAGCGTTGATCATGGAAATCACGTTCTTGCTTCAAAACATCACCCACATTAAAACCCCATTGAAAACAGCTGACTTGGAATGAAGATCAATCCAATGATGGGCGTCGCAAAGGGCGACTATATTCTAGTTCCAAACGACGATCATCAGCCCATAGCACCTTCCAAAAGGAATCATCAAACCATCACACTGACGGTGCTAACAGCTCTAGCCCTTTTGGGGGTTCTCATCGTCGTCAACTGCAATACACATCGATATGATTTATTCATCCTCGACCTTATCAACCACAGAAAGGAATCTACCTATGCCGTAAGTTTGATCTGGCATTGTTTTGCATCGACATCACAAACCATATGTGACAATACGTTATGAAGCAGAACCACACATGGTTTAACGACATTTTGAACCAATAATCGACTTATTAATCTAATCCTTTCTTCCCCATCGTTAGATCGGCGTTGGCAAATACGACGCAACAGGTCCTATCGCAGGCGTGAATATGATGGGTTATGCTCAAACAAACCAGACTACTCATGGCATACATCAACGGCTATACGCTCGAGCATTCATCATCTATGACACTGTATCGAATAGACGTGTCGCCATCGTCAACTTGGACGCTGGCATGTCGGGAGCTGGTGTCAAACGTATGGCCGTTGCTCGCTTACAAGAAGAGTATGGTGACGTGTATCGTGATGATAACGTCATGATTTCTGGAACGCATACTCACTCGTAAGTGTTGACGCACGTGCACATAGCTGCTGTGCTTGAGACAATATCTTCTTAACCATTGTTATTTCTTCTTCATCAGCGGACCTGCTGGCTTCCTTCAATACGTCTTGTATCAAATCACTTCGCTGGGAGTAGTGGATCAAACTCTGCATGCTATGGTTGACGGAATCGTCGGTGCAATAGCGCGTGCTCATGAAAATCTGGAGCCCGGCACCATCAGAGTAGCTTTTGGTCATGTTTACAATGCTAGCATCAATAGGAGTCCAGCTGCTTATGACAGTGAGACATTTTGTATCTCTTACAGCAAGACTCTTTTCGCTAATTTACCAAATCTCTGAAAACAGACAATCCAGAAGCAGAACGTGCATTGTATGCCTCCCGAGTAGACACAGACATGACTCTCCTTCGCTTCGACTCGATATCTGGCACTCCATTAGGAATACTTACTTGGTTTGCTGTTCATTGCACTAGCATGAACAACACTAATGAGCTCGTTAGTGGAGATAATAAGGGTTATGCTGCGTACTTGATGGAACGTGAAATGGGGAATGGATTTGTAGCTGGATTTATGCAAAGTAATATGGGTGATGTGTCTCCTAATACTGAAGGACCCAAGTGTTTGGATACAGGATTGGAATGTGACTCAGTTTCTTCTACGTGCGATGGACGCAATGAGATGTGTGTTGCGCGAGGACCTGTGAGTACAGATTTCTATGATTATCATTCTGTCTTTTTTGCTGACATTGTACGTTTGATAGGGTTGGAGGATTGGAGACTTTGAGTCCACTCGAATCATTGGTGACTTGCAATATCGTGCAGCTCATGAACTCTTCCATAATACTTCGATATCTGTGCATGTATGTGTTCATGTTCCTTCGAATGTGGTGTAGTTTCTTTCGCTCACGTTATTTACCTCCAAAAACAGGGAGCAGTCGAATCCAGACTCAAATACATAGACATGACATCCGTCTCGCTAGAAGTAGACGGTCAACAAGTCAAAACATGTAAAGCCGCCATGGGCTTCAGTTTTGCAGCCGGAACTACAGATGGTACAGGAGCCTTCAATTTCATACAAGGAGATAACGGCACAATATCACACCCGTTTTGGAATGTCGTTAAAGGATTTGTCACGAAAAAGCCAAGTCAAGAACAAGTTGACTGTCATGCTCCCAAACCTATATTGCTTGATACTGGTGAATCGACTCGGCCTTATGCATGGCAGCCGTCTATTGTTGATGTACAGGTGTTTAAGGTTGGGAATGTCGTATTGTTGGGAGTGCCTGCTGAGTTCACGACCAGTAAGTGATTTCTACATCGTTTTTTCTTTGTTTTTTCGTTCTCCGTGACCCAACTAATTTAACGAATTGTTTCTTACTTTTTGTAACCAAAACAGTGGCTGGAAGGAGGGCACGACAGTCTGTAAAAGATACATTAAATACTCATGGTGTATTGAGTGAGGATGGTGTGGTCATATTGACTGGTCCAGCTGGTAGTTACTCAAGTTATGTGACGACGTTTGGTATGTTTGGCTTGTATGGACGTTGTCGGATTTTTTTTGCCTCAAACAAGTCACACGTAGAGGAATATCAAGTACAACGCTATGAAGGAGCTTCTACCATATTTGGTATGCATATGATGTCCAGATATTCTCGTTTCCACACCAGTGCAGGATATCAAGATTTTGACTCCAAATGACATCTGATAGGCCCTCATACACTGTCGGCATATATTCATCATCTGAATGAAATGGCAACATCACTAGTGCCTGGTAGTCCTCTTCTAGACAAGGGTATTCTTCAGAATTTTGTTGTTCTGTCCAACATGTTCTCTCGAAGTACTAAAGACAACTACCACATTTAGGCCTTCCCGTCCCAGATTTGATTGCAGAAGCTATTCGGCTTCAACCTGGAGTCGTGTATGATGGTGCACCCATCGGTGTCCAATTCGGAGATGTCAAGCAAGACATATCTCCCAGTTCAAGAAAGATTGTAGCTGGTGTTGGAGGTCATCATGGTCGTGGTGTGACTGTTTCGGCAGTGTTTTGGGCTGGTCATCCGAGAAATGATTTGATGACTGAAGGTATACACATGCGTTGAAGTCAGTTTGGTCATGCATCCACCTTACAGCGCTTTTTTGGTATGGTACAGGAACATACTTGACTGTCGATCGTCTTGAAAAAGATGACCGATGGTCAATGTATAGGACAGATAATGATTGGGATACCCGCTTGAAATGGGAGCAAACTGGTGCGTCTGTGCTTGGATGGAATCTAGCTACTGTGACGTGGGATGTTGGATCTGATGTTGAAGGTATACTTCACTCTACACTTGACTTTGTCTTTGGCTCGAACGGGGTTTAACTCTAAACAAAACAACCCTTTCTAGTCGGAACATATCGATTACATTACTATGGCTTCCACAAGCAATTTGGTTCTGGAAAGATACTACCTCATGAAGGGATCAGTTCCGCTTTTGAAGTGGTGCCCAATCTGTAAAAAAATGGACAACCTGCAAATTTATTATATTCCCCTGTACACAACCACCAACCCATTCTGATGCAAGCTAGCATTTGTACACCTTCGCTCCCTCCTCAATGAATATATCCGCTTCTCCTTCGACAACAAGTCCAATGTTGATACAGCTGTGCATACTGGTCTTTCTTTCCTTTTGATTGTTTTCTTTTGTTGGAATGGGGAATGGACATGTGGTTGGATTCACCCGAAGTAGAATGGGTGGCGTGTCTTCTAATACTGAAGGACCAAGTTGTTTGGATACAGGGTTGAAATGTGACTCGGTTTCTTCTTCGTGTGATGGACGTAATGAGATATTTGTTGCGCGAGGACCTGTGAGTACGTCAGATTCCGTAGCGGTACTCTATTCCCTTTTTTGGCTGACGTTTTTTTTTCCAGGGTTAGAAGATTGGAGACTTTGAGCTCACTCGAATCATTGGTCATTTGCAATATCGTGCAGCTCGGGAGCTCTTACATATTACTTCGATATCCCTGCATGTAAGAGTACATGTTTGCATCTTCATTATTTGAATTTTTTTGGTTCCTCCTCACCTTCATCTTGACTTTTTTGGTACGTTACAGGAACATACTTGACTGTCGATCGTCTTGAAAAGATGAGCAATGGACAACGTATGGAACTGAAGATGATTGGGATGCCCGACTGAAATGGGACCTGGTGCTTCTGTGCTTAGATGGAATCTAACTACTGTGACGTGGGGTGTTGGGTCTGATGTTGAAGGTATTCTACAGTCTACAGTCAACCTTCTTTTTTGGCTCGAACGTTTTGTTAGCGTCAAGCAAAACAACGCATCTAGTTGGAACATATCGATTACTATGGCTTCCACAAACAACTCGGTTCTGACCATATATTGCCTCATGAAGGGATCAGTTTTACTTTTGAAGTGGTGCCCCATCTGTAAAAAATGGAATACTTTTGCAACCTTCAATTTATATTAAACTCCCCTTGTACACAACCAACAACCCATTCTGATGCAAGCTAGCATTTGTACACCTTCGCTCCCTCCTCAAGGAATATGTTCTCTTCTTCGACAACAAGTCTAATATTGATCTTGGCGTGCCAACTAGTATTGATCTTGGCGTGCCAAGTGGTCTATTTTTCTTCCTTTGAATCAAATCTATTTCTGTTGGTGTCAACTTAAAAAGGGATTGCGAAAATATGATAAAAGGTGTTTGCCCCGATAAGAAGATGTTGGATTATTTTTAACGGCGAGGCCCCCCAAGGTATAAAAAGAGTTTGAAGACAGAGTAGACAATAAAATTTCTCTAAAAAGTCCCCCTGACTTATACGCCTTGCATGCCCATGCCACCAGTGAGGCTGCTCTTGGTTGGTGTTTCTAATGAAGAGAGGGTGTGAGCGAAATGCATAAAAAAGCGAGAGAAAAGGGGATTTCCACTCACCCCTCTTAAACATCGCAACGAGATAAAAGAAAAATGTCGCCGACAAGGTAATGGCACACAAAATGAGTGTGTCGGCCCTGATAAGGAGAGACAGCCATTCCAGTACGGCAAATGCAGCGTATAGGAATACTCGAGTTACATTTCGTTCAAAGAATTTGATAAAGTTGTCACTACCAGCAAAAAAAAAAAGATTTGAGCCGATTGGTTTAATAATAGCACTCCTTCAGTAACATTTAAGCAGAACGGGACCCAAGTTCTATAAACATTCAAACATCTACTTGCTCCTCAGTGGATTTTGGTAGATCAACGGGACTTACAATGTCGGGTTTGATGGACAGCATCGAGCCAACAAAGGGATTTCGAGAAAGACGAGGACGAAAGCGATTATCCATCCGATGATTGAGAAAATTGGGTTTCCCAATAGATTCATGATACCGAATATGATCAGGACTATTGTGTAAAAGAGGTAGGTAATGAGGGTTTGGTGAGTCAGACTGTTTCTGTGGTGTTTCTTCATAATACGAAGGAAAACAATGAAGGCTTTGTGGCACAGGCCAACAATGGCAGATCTGAGATTTTCATGAGTATAAAGTCCAACAAATCTGCTCCAGCTCCTCCTCCCTGTGATAAGTCAAACAAACACCTCCAACATTTTTGTGGACCTTTGACAGGTGCATGAGACGTGACTGATCCCGATATCAAACTTGCTTACAAATGACTGAGAGAATCGCCGACCTAAAATATATAAGAGTAACGACTTAGCATGCTTTTATTATATTCATGTCTGTCTTGCCGCCAATCCAAGAAACAGGCCAGATCTTGGTTCATGTATCGACTCAAGACCTAGACCCACAAATTACAGCCAAATGAGCTTCAAAAAAGACCTACCACTGTGCGTCTATTGAAAGGAAGAGCAAGAGTTAAAAGATGAAATGATATTCTCATTGCGATATAAAGCGTTCGATCTGTGGCATTTCTGGCAACGCGAAAGCCCAACATGGTTTTAGACACTTACAGAAGGTCATATGCCCAGAGCGGACCTCATCCATGCTACATAGGTATGGGGCTTGTTAGTGAAGTCGTGGTTGAATCTACAATCATGCCATCCATTTTGAAATAAAGACGCCACGCGGATACTGTCTTTGATAACGCTGCAATAATAGTATCATTGTGGCAGGAATACATACAATGACATTGCTGCTTTGTCTGTTAGTTGCTTTTGGAATGCCAAGGAGAGCTTTGGGGTGTTTGATGTGGGATGCCAAAGTGTGAAAATGTTGGCGGAACGTGATGAAGGATTAGTGGAGGAGTGATATCTTGTGAGGGAGAAAGAGGCATATGTTTGAAGCCAGGATTTACAGCTAACCAATTCAGGCGTCTTAGGGATCCGAACGAGGAATCTGACACGTCATCAACGCCAAGGACGGTGCTCAAGCAGGACACCGTGTTCTTCACGGTCCACGTGATATCAGGCGACAGTAACGTGAATGGGCGCCGCTGAACCTACTCTCTATTATATTCGCTGTTACAGCTCTTTAAAGGCAGGCAGCTCACGAGGTTGTGTGTTGTGCATTCACACTTGCATGCACAAGCACCAGATTATGCTGCTCGTCGTGCATGAGATGTAGATGCTTAGATATTGCCCAATGCACGGTTCTGCATCTGTGTGTGTTAGACGGGATGTTTTTCCAAGACCCGTTTCGACGTTTCTTACCACCTTGTCATCGGAATGCTCTTGGCCCTCATAGACGAAGAGAGGCACGATGTCTCGCAGACGAACGTTTTTTGGCTGTCAGGTCGTAAGCTTGACAGGCTGTTTGTCAAACGGGACTCTTCCCACACCATCCAAAATAAACTCTGGACCTTCCACGCACAAACACCTTTAATTCACTCTTAAATCTCTCAAAACACAAGCAACACCAAATTACAACAACGGTCTCAATAATCATGGTCCTCTGGAAGCTCACCTTGACAACAATTCTCGCATTCTTGCTGGTCATCCCTAACGAGAAGGCACTGGCAACCGCGTCTGGTCCCAGGCACAAATCAGCTACTGCTTTATCTCTTGATCATACTTCTACTGTAGTTGCTGCAAGTCTAGCTGCAGCTCCATCTATCGTCTCGGCCGACAATACACCGTCAACGCATAGTCTTGAAGCCATTACTACACCTGTACCAGATGAAATTCGAAGTGCTGCTTTGGCTGAAGCTCATATTGTGATAATAATCCGGTGGTGGAGTTCTTGTTGTAAGATAATTCGCTGAGCTTGGCCTCATTTTTTAGGATGCTGTATCTCGTCATCTTGAAGCTGGCCAACAAAAGCTGTACGAGCAAGGTTATTCTGAAGGCTATTCACATGGTATGTCTGCATTGAAGAATACATGCTGGTCTTCTTGTCAATTTTTTTGCTTGACCTATTGTTAATCATCTCTTGCCCCTACACCTTGCCCTACACCTTGTATAGGATACGGTAAAGGACGAGTCTCCTCACACGACCGAATCGTCTCATTCTACGGCTCTGGTTACTTGCCAGATGGTACTCCTTGCTCTGGTCTCTGCACTTGGAAGACAAGTGACTATGATGCAAGCAACACTCATGAACGGGATAGTGGTCATAAAACTGCAGAGAAGAAGGTTGCTGAAAAGAAAGAGAAGAGCCGTACTGATTCTCATCCAGATAATGTGCTGGGTCCTTTGAAGGTTGCTGGGCATCAGGGTCTATAAAGTGTTGCTGAATCTCGTTTTTAGGTTGTAATTGTTCTGTCAGTATGAAGAAGGGGACACCAGAACGAGCGATGCCGGGGGTTAGATTTGGTGCATATCTGAGAACTGATGATGACCTACTGAGTTTCAAGTTTCAAAAGTTGAAAAGCTGATCCCGCTTGATCTAGTAGTAATTCTGCGACGCGTGTTTCAGATCTCGCAGTTTCAAACTGTAGAAAACTACTCGTGAGTAGTTTGGGCGTAGTCAGCATTCTCGTTTCATTCATTTCTGCATCATCTGCAACATAGCATGTCCTGTGTAACTTTTGTTCAACAACGTTTTTTTTAGTGTTCTGATCGCCCAAGGAATCAAGAAGAAATTCACACGTCTGTTAGCCTGGATTGGTTCTCTATCTATACCTGGTTTCGGGTTTGTGGTGCGCTGGATTTCGCAAAGTCAAACAGTCATCAAGAACAAACCAGTGCTTGCGTATAACTCATCCGTGATTTTCCCTTTAAATGTGACTAACAATATTTCTTACGAATCGGTACATACATCGCCTGAATCGACTTCTCTATTATCTTATTTGGGGGTGTGAAATTCACCGAGATCTGCTTGCATATTTCCAAAAGTCGAGATATGACGATAACAACTGTAATATGAGCAATGAAGCGAGGAAATGAAGATCAATATCGTCGAAGCTTCAATTGAGTCGTTGCAGACTCCACCATCATCCTCGTCAACAACAGTGTATCATGCAAGCAAGGCCGACAAGCCTATGGCAAGACTATTAGCAGAAGGAAAGCTGGAAGGCAAGATTCCGATCCAGTACCCAAGTAATACGAGTTCTCAAAAGCAACATTTCTCTTTCAAACTCGACATGAATTCTAATAACGTGGACAAATCAGCAGCAATGTCACAATCCGATGATCTGATGTCTTTGGATCTTCCACGATCGTCTGCTACTGATACAGAATACAACAAGACATCCCAACGTACCTATTTCGATCCCAACGCTTCTCAACCTACGTTGAAAAAGAAGAAGATAATAACGTGGCAGAAGCGCGTGTACACATTCCTAACAGCACACAAGTCAAGTCGGCTAGGTATGTTGCACATTTTCTTGGTTGGCTTTTGTATGTTTGCGCCAACTTACATGATCTTTCGCTTGGAAGCCTGGTGGTGGCACGCTCTTGTAGTCTTCCTGGTCATTGCCTCCATTCTCACCATGTGTGGCGAAACTGTGCTAGCATGGAACGGCACAGATTTCCAACAAACAATATGGAATGGTGTCGAGATGTTTATTGCAATATTTTTAGGTGTTGAGTGGTTGGCCCGATTTTTACTGTTTCCAAGAAGGCCATGGTACACATTTCTTACCAAGGATTGGCTCAATGTGTGCGACGCAGTCGGTGTGCTGCCCTTTTTCATAGAAGTCGGCATTAAATCTTCGTCGAACGCCAAGGCCACTGCAGTCTTGAGATTATTTCGGCTTCTTCGATTATTCAAAGTTGTGAAGCGATCGAAACAGCTACAGTTGGTATGCGCTTTTTATATAGTTTTCATTTATATACGCTTCTCATATGTGAAATTTAGGTAGGAAAAGCCTTGGCCCGTGCTAAAGACGGTCTTTTCTTGCTCTTCAGTATTTACACCATTGGTGTAGTTACATGGTCGACTTGCATTTTTTACGCAGAAAACCAGTACTGTGATCTTGATCCGAACACTGGTGTACGTCCGATCGCAAAATCGTGCAGTAATTATGCAGAAGTCTCACATCAGTATATTGTAGTTCTACGTCTACGTCAAGAACGTAGGGGCTGACGCACTAGGGACGTATTGCTCCTTTCAGTCAATTCCTGATGCTTTTTGGTTTACGGTGGTGCGTTGTTCGTGTTTGATTTGGTTATCTGATGAAAGACGAACACGTTTTTGCATTGGGAGGACACTAGCAAAACGAGCCAGAATTAATGACTGCTTCTTTTTAGGTCACAATCAGCACAACTGGTTATGGCGACGTTGTACCTCACGGTTTGGCGGGGTAGGCTTGCTAGTAGCACAAACAGTCTACATCACTAACACAAAATGTATTCAACAGAAAGCTAGTCGCCGCCGCTACAATGCTTATGGCAATGCTGATTTTCAGTTTGCCCGTCACCTTGGTATCGGGATCATTGAATGAAGTCATCCAGGAGAGTCGATACCAACGCACATTGAAGAAATTCGAAGAGCAAGTGAAATTGCGGAGAGAGGCGTCGCCATCCCGAGAACGTTCCATAGGCGTGTATCGAGATGAAACCAAGGTCCTCTCACAAGCAATGCAAGAAGATCCATTGTCAGATCTACCACCAGTCTCTGAAGAACAAACGCAACCTCGTGCGTCAGCCTCACTTTTACAAGTCTCATCTCCCCACATGTCAGAAAGACAAAATGGAACCCCAACAATGAACCGAACAGTACTAAGGTCCTTGTCAGGTCTACGAAATACTTCCTTCACGAACGAAACAACACCCGAACCACCACCACCAATATCTTCTGCTGCCACTCCAACCACAACAAGAAGACGACCAGAGCCGAGATCTTATGCTGATGATAGACGCTTCTCCCTAAACTCGCCCTCCTTCAAAGAGATGCCAAGTGCTGGAATCTCTACCAGTGCAACCGGAGCAAAAGGACGTAGTGAACCACTTTTGCAAGATGCTGAAATGCAGTTCGCACCTCGTCATTCGGGAGCTCACGCTGCAGCAGGGATGAATATCTTGCTGGATTCGTTGAATCCGCATGGAGGCACATATCATGATATAAAAGATGTTATAAGAGCTGTTTTGAAACTCTCGGAGGCTTGTGACAGAGAGCTAGGGACTATTCATTCGAGAAAGACGGAGCTGCAGGCCATGAAAACTGCTATGGAGGTAATTTGTTGGTTGCTGACTTGCCATTTTTTGTCAACTCATTTGTTGCGTCTTCAATTAAGGATTGCGCATTGGTCTTGCACGACATACAAGGACGAGAGAGACAGGAATCTGTAACAGAAAGGACTGAAAAGACTGAAAAGGCGGAAAGGAGAAGCTCCAGGCCTGTATCTATGGTAGAAAGGCCGCCATCACCTAGAATGAGTGAATTTAACTCAACACAAAACCCAATACAATAGCGATATTATTGTTACCAATTCAAGTTATATATATTAGTTGATCTCCTTTCTTCCTCTATTTTAACTGAATTCAGTTTTTCATTTTACAAGGGTGTTTCTATTTACAGTGTGCTACTCTCTCTCCGTTTTACAAGGTTTAACTTGGACTCTCCTTTAGAAAATGTCAATTTGTGGTGTGTCTTACACCATGCTTGAAGGCTCGCGGGCTCCAGCCGCGCATCCCAAGCATTCTTCAAACATAGCCATATAATGACTGACGAGATAGATTGTGGATCCTAAAACAACAAAGTTCAATAAGAGACCAGCTCTGCAAGAACACGATACTGCTCTCCTCAAACATACCCATAAAGCGAATCAAGGACAGAATGGTCACAGACCAGAACAGGAAGGTCAAGAAGGGATTGACTGAACCTAATGCGGAAAAATGCGACTGAATACCACATCCTCATATGCATGCCATTCAAAATTCCTCACACACCTTGAATATCATGATGCAACCTAATGCGAAAAAAACTTTTCAAAAACCAAGCATTATAATCCAGCTGGGCATCTAAATACCGTACAGTGCAGTCTCCAAACTTGGGCTTGTGAAGACAATAATCATCAAAGCATTGGAAAACATCCACAAGAGCACAGTTCTTGTACGGAAGAGTTTGAACCAGTCTTCCATCTTGGTATTGGCATCTCGTTTCTGTTTTGGAGGCGCGACGCCCTTGTTGATTCGAACTGCTTCTAAGGATTTCATGGCAGTGGTCCAGCCTTGTGCAATAGCCACTTCGTTCACTTGGGCGACTGTGGCGGCGACGTCTTTGGGTTCGTTGGCTTTGTTGAGGCCTGATGGAGCTAGTCCTTGTTGTGAGCCTCCATTGTCACCTTGAAGTGAAAGAAAGTGTTGTTGGTCGTTTACGTTATTTCGGATTTGAGGAGAATGAGGGCAGTGCTTTACCTTTTGTACCCCAAGACACATCGTTCAAATTGCAAAAAGCGTAAACCATAAACAAATTGATGTATGAAGGCAATAGCAAGAAATATTGAATCATGCTTGTGACGATATGCCATGGGTCCATATGTAGGATACTCGAAACGACATAGACGCCATATGTGGCCGTGAGGGAAATCACGACGTCACGGAAAGTAGGTGAGCTTTTAAAGTCAAACCATATGTTGTTGCCACTATTTGCTGCTGCTACAATGGCTAAGTAGACAGAGTAGATTGCAAGGAAACTCCTGTATAAGGGTAGTAGGATCACGTTAGAAAAACACATAGTTTAGATGCCTCTAACACATCCTGATGATATACCAAGGGTCCGTATCATCAAACAAAAAAGCCGAACAACGCATGAACTTGCATGACAATAAAGATCGAAGCAAACAAGACGACAATCACGTAGTAGAGCGTTGAGGAGCCTTGAGGGCGATTTCCCATAGAGGAAATAAAGACAAGAACGATAGCGCCCAGGTAAACTTCTCGAATCACAGCAAATATTGTTGGACCCCATGGATAGAAAGCTAGTAGAAAACACAAACGATTAAAACAAAGGGAAAGCGCGGCAGTGCACAGGCTCACTACATACGATCGACACGAACTCCGAATCCTTGACGATGGGCATCAGCTGATAATACTTCAGAGTTGCTCAAGTCGAATACTGTTTAAAAGGTAGCGTTAGATCAAGAAGCGATACTTCTTGACACATGGAGATGTACATACAGAACTAACGAAAAATACAAGAATTAATACGTAATCTTTTCAATATAGGGATGGCAAAAAGGAAATGAAAAAAACTCACGTAGAACGACAAGTAGAAGAATGCAACACCAAACCACGTGAAGAAAATGTTGACTGCAGTATACAAGAGCTCAATCAACAGCAGCATCTTCCTGAAAATCGTGTGGCCCTGCGAGAAAAAAGGACTTGTAAACAGGAGGAAAGACACTCTATGGCAACACAAACACCTTACACTTCGGAAGATATAGTAGAAGTGAACGAGAGCATGTACAGAGGCAAAAAAACTACCATTCAGCCATCGTCGTCTTTGTGAGATGAGTTCAGGAAGGTTGTCTGGCACATCAGTCTCAGCCTTCGCAGATTTTACGTATTCAAGAATCCATGCTTGTTTGCGTTTTGTGACAAGTTCATAACACACTAAGAGAGCCAAAAACAAAGTCGCGTGGGTTATTTAATCATAAAGCAAGCTTTTAAAGCGTTCAAAGTGTTCCTTGTGACTTCTGTTGAAGAAATGGTAAATACACTCACAGATACGATCTTCAGCCAAGTACATGTTTGCCGCCATAATATCTTGACTGCCACCATGTAGTGCTTCACCACGGAAATAGACATCAAGAGGTCCATCAATCAAAGCCTATTTTGAGAAACTCGGTGAATGAGGTTTCATGATATGAGGGATTAGATGAAAAGGATTGTGGAAGACCATGACGATACCCTATATCGGTAAGCCGAAAACGCTCCAGGGAGCACAGAGATGAATCCAAACACACTTTCAAGTGGCTTGTCGAGAATGTTGGACATTCTAAGTGACAGATTGAGATTTTTTGAGAACCAGCGCAAGTACTACAAAAAAAAGTTGAATTTCAAATACATGAAGAATCTTACTTGTATTCAAAGTTTTGTGCAGCAACCAAGGGGTTCAACAGTTTGTTCCATGCAGTTCCCAGTTCAGCAGCAATTTCACCACAACATCCAGCCACTGCAGGATCCCTCTCAAAGGCACGAAACAGGTGATAGAAACTTGAATTGGTTGGTCTGGTTCCGACGTCAATCAGCATGCTAGGGTGTCAAGACGTTTTAGCAATCATACACAACGATCAACTCAAAATCCAGATTTACCAAGTCTCTGGTTGTAGAACTTTGCCGAAAGCGTTAAAGAACCAACGATGACTGTTGATCTTCTTGGCATTCTTCTCCTTGAGACAAAACAAGAACTACAAGAAAGACATGAGGTTTTCAAGCCAAAAACAAACGATGATTGTCCTGGCGTACCTGAACAGGAACATAGTCCTCCTCGGAAGTTCTGATTTCCATGTTTCGATTAACAGCGATTTGGGCAGTGTGTTCGAATACGTGAGCAACCACTTCCTTTTCCTGCACAGTAGTTTGCATCAAGCCGTCCATGTAGCAACCCATGACGTTGAGTACATCCAAGACCTTTGGGTTGATTTTGGTGCGTCCATCAGAAACGATTACTACTACGATATTCTTCCAGCCTTCTGAGCCCCAACTAGAAGAAAGAGCGTCATTGTGAGTAATTTAGAAAAGATCTCGTAATGTCGTGGAACAAGTGGTATCATAAGTCTTGGCTCAAAAAAGCGCACGATATAAACTTTCGACATGATTCAAGCTTCAGCTGATTTTTCTAATATATTATGATACTTGCCCATATTTTGAAGTTGTGCGGCAGAGATAGGCCACCTTTGAAAGTTATAAGTGACACGTCAGAACGGTGTTATAACCCAAAGCATGGTGAACTTTTCATAACCCTTACATTTCTCATCACAGCAGTCAAAGTCTTTGTAAACAACTCTTCAGATTCATTGTACATTGTGACTACGACTGCGATCTTTGTATGACGCCCGTACTCGGCTTGTCGCAAGGTGTAGTTTTGAGAATATTCATCAGCTCCACACGTGGCGGCAGTGTATCTATAGAGATGAATGTGATTTAAGCTGATGAATGAGACGCACAATCAAAGTGATCTTTTGAAAGATGTCTGAATCATCATACCGCAAAGTCGTGAATTCAGGTCCAATCTTGAATTTGGCATTCTTGAGAGTTTCATCAGAGACAGGTACTTCAACGACGTAGTTTCTATTCTTCATGTTTGGTACATGTCTGATGATGGTTTCTCGTCGTCGAATCGGATTTGGCGAGTTTGCGGCTGTTGCTGTTGATGTTCGAAGTGAATCGTCGAGGTAGAGTGATGTATCACTGAGCATGGAAGGAGCTGTAGTGATGATATTGGGAGGAGTAGGCAGGCCACGAGGAGATCTTGGAGGCTGCATCGGACTTGGACCTTTACCCAAATCCATTGTGTTTTGTTGTTGGCGCCTCGAGAAACTATTAAAGCGAAGAGCAGGGAATACTGTTAGTTCTAAGCAATGCATCTAATAGTTCCACCTGATAAGTACTTGTAAAATGAGTGTACTTGCCTCTCCAAATGATTCTACTTCTCTCTTTTCTATAATGCAGAGGCCTGCTCTGTGTATGCTGTATTTTACTTGTTTTAGGCGATGTAAACGTGACAAAGAGATAGCTTTTCAGCAAAGCACGGAGACTACGCATTATTGTTATTAGAACATGATCTTTCAGTACATCTTCGTGGCAAACGGAACGGTTGGATACAATGGATTATTTCTTGAATGAAGAATGTGCAAGTGCCGCAATGTCGATGGCAAGGAAACCAACAATCAGATAAGGCATAGTCAAGAATGTTTTCTGGTGCATCAGGTCTAATGTTATGGCGAGACCATCTTGCTCGCGCTAGTGAGATTTGGGTCGTCGGAAAGTTTGACTTCAACCTCGAATCAATTTACCAAGTTTAAGCTTGTTGGTGGTCTACGGTGAGATTTTCGCAGGTGATGCCCTTCAGAAAAGATCTAGTAGAAAGACGAGTCTCTTTCTACGTTGGAAGCCAACCCAAACAACCAACATCAAATGCACTTGCTGAGGACGAGCAGACAGATGGAAGATCAAACAAGACCAGACGGATGCAAGACCAGAGACGCAAGTCTATAACTGTAAAAAGGCCGTTGACCTCTTCCAAGATACGAGAGATTAGTTTATCGACGCAGTGGTTGCCGGTCCAGCCCCTGCAGACTCTTCAAGATCAAGCTGCTGCAAACTCTGAGCTCGCCAACAATAGTTCTAGTGCTCATTCAGAGCTCGCCAACAATGGTTCTAGTGCTCATTCCACTAGCAGTTTGATTCTACAATTTGGCCTGTATCAAGTCAAGTATGTCCCCTTCCAACAAAAAGGTCTTAAAAGTGTGATTGACCTCCCAACCAAGAAGTACCGAGGGTCTGCAACGGTGTCGACTCTGGATGCTAAAGGGATCTGTCTATGGAACAATGCCATGTCACACCTTGTCAGTCGTGTGGCCTTTGCATCGAAAATACGGTCTAACCGTGAGGGATTACAAGCGTTTTCGAAATGGACGTATTCTAGTGTCGCAGAATGCTTCATTGTTGGAGGAGATTCACCAGACTTACGTGTGCTGGACTTGGACTTTGTAGAACGAGCTAGCATTGTCACCAACCGCAATATTCTTTGCCTCCTGTACATTGAGTCTCGAAATGAAGTCGTGGCTGGTGAAATTGGCGGAATACACGTATATAGTCTGATCAAACGAATATCGAAATCCAAGAATGCCACATTCGATTTGAGAGTCCGATTAGATATTCGAGACCTGAGAGCTGATGATTGGGTGTCTAATGTTGCATACGATGAAACACTGCTCAAACTCTTTGGCATGAGTGAAACTGGAATCATCGTAAGTGTAGCGATGAAGTTGCTATTATCAGAGGTAACGAAGTACTTTAGATCTACGACATGGAATTAGGAATCCGAACGCACACACTAAAACTCGAGCCACTCGAAGTTGGAGTATCGGTAGCATTTTATCCTCCTCTCGAATATCTCGTTACTGGATCCAGAGACGGCAGGGGTATGAACAGGTCTTGAATTCTTCCTTTACTGGGACAACTGGTAACCCTTCTGTCACACTTAGTGCGAGTTTGGAATTCTCGGCTAAAGCCCCTCCACGAATTACGAGGACACACGCACCAAATATCCAGCTTGGCCCTCATGGAGAAAACCGACGTCAGTCCTTCCAGCTGGGGAACATTGCCTGTGTGCATATCTTCATCATGGGATGGTTCAATTCGACTGTGGCAAATAGAGACAGGCGAATGTTTGCAAAGAATCGACGTCGGACAACCCGTTCTGCAAATGTCTTTTATGTCACCCGATGTACTTGTGAGCGTCACTGACGATGCCATACAGCATTTTGGTATTGGAAGGCATCGTCTCTTCTTTTCGCAACTTGGGTAAGGACAATTCATGGCATTTTGTAATGCTCATTTTATTGAAATTTCAGATACATTTAGATCAACACCAACCATCTTACGCCGAATAAACTCTCTGCCTCCTCGGATTCTATGTGCAACAGTCGATGGAGCCATTCGATTCATTTCTCCAGTGTCTGGACAGACACTGTCCATAGGCTTTCCTTCGCTCGCCAATGTTGTGTTTACGAGTCTAGAATACGATCCAACACGAAGACGGATCTACGCATTCTCAAGTCAGTCATGCTTTGTGTATAGTGTTGCGACCAATCCTATGACGATCGTGGCGGAGCTAAAGACATCACGTACGTCTCCGCAATTGTAACGAGTGGTGATTTTGAAATATTGTTGACGCTTTTTTTGTGATTCTGACTAGCTGACCATACCGTATTCTGTGGAGTCTTCAATTCATATAATCAAACATACTTTGAGCTGTTATCTGGATCTCGAGATGGCAAGATCGAGAGACTTGATGTGGATGCTAACTTTCAAAGTCAGAGGCTGGCACTAGCCCATGCTGGTCCTCTTTCCATTTTGACCTTTGATTCAACAAACAACCATCTTGTATCTTACGGCAGTGGTACATCCAAAATTGTAGTTACACGAACCCCCGTCTACGTGAACTAACACAAAGTCATTAGATCTGGCAATAAAGATCTGGGAACCCGTTATGAGTCAAAGCAAGGACGGAATTTCATCTATTTCAGGCCTTTCGCTACTACAAGTGGTTTCACTTCCTATCAGCCTCACATCCCGTATATCATGCCTAAATCCCGCAACGAAATCCATAATATGTGAGATTCACGGGCACTTGAATGTCTTTGGTCTCACACCTGAAAATCAAGAGAAACTAGTACTGCAAGATCATGCAACAACGCTTCCATCAAAGGCGGTAGACTGTCTGTCATTATATGGTTGTTATGCTTCAGTTTCAGAAGATGGCGCCGTGAAAGTTTGGGATCATTCTGATGGATCTATGGTTCGAGAGGTTCAAATTGGCGCAAAGTCACAGACAATGTGCTTTGCAAATGAGAGGGGAGATCTTCTTGTCGGGACTGAACAAGGGATATCTATTGTAAGGTGTCAGGAATGTAAGTTGGTAACAAGTCTTTCAAGTCTTTTGCCAATTTTCTATGCAATTCTTGATTAATCGTTTTTTTGTCGTAGATATGCCTCCTCATCTAATTAGAAAGATATTGGATCTTGGACCCAAAGATGATTCTCTCGAGTCGCTCTTCCCATTTTCCGATGATGCAGATCTGTGGCACTATATCGAAGAGCGAGAGGTTTACGAAAGGTATCCCGAGGATGAAGAGCCTCCGACGATCTGTATGCTGACTCTCTGCCTCTATAGTTCTGGAAGAGTGAGTAAAGTCGGTTCATCTAGTCAGTGGTCAAGGCCAAGCTCTGCTACCCCGTTATCTAGTTCGTCGTGTCGTCTGCCAACTAGACGGGAACTCCAGCATCGTCGAATGAGAGTAAGTAAACAAAGCACAACAAAGGACAAACATTTCATAACCGAAATACTGTCATTATAGGAAACAAACGAAGCCGAATTCATTAATCGAGAAACTGCAGTCTTTCGACGTGGACAATCTCTGGGGCTTCCAAACCCATTCACAGAAGCTAATCCAGCACATTCATGGCAAATCAATAACGAAAATCCAACTCGAGATGTGGATACGATTATGGTTGAGAATGTTGAGTTGGGAGTATCTACTACGGACTTGTGTGTGGAGGTTGATGTTGTTAGTGAGGAGAGACCAACATCAGCAGCAGCTACGATTAGCCGTCACTCTGTAGTTCAAGCTGCCTTTGCAGACCCTGGTATGTACTTTAACTGTCTCATCGCAAGCAAAAAAAAGTGCTCAAAGAATTTTCCTGTACTAGAATACTCTCTAGATCCAACTCTACCAACAGCAACAGTATCAACCAAAATCGCCTCTCGTGTAAAACCTCGCAAAAAGATGACAAAGGAGCAAATTGCAGAAACCCACAAACGTCGAGAAGCACTTCGACTAGCCTTACAAAGACAAGGCTACAACCTTCCGAACTCGTTAGCACTGGAACGGGGCGTTGCTAGTGCAACGACACGAGGTAGACCAGGATACCAGCGTCCCATAAGAGCTCACCAAGATCCAGACGCTATCTTGCAATGGGAAGACGAACAATTTGAAATGAAGCCATTGTTCAATGATGATCTTGGTTCTGAATACGAGGAGGATGATGGTGGTGATACCGATTCTTCTAACTCGTCGGAAGGGACACCGTCTGAAGCGTCAGAGGATTCGAATAAGGTTGAGCGACGAGTACCAGTGTTACCACCTATTCAAGCCCCCACGACACAAGCCTCCATATCAAACAACGAAGTGGCTCCCACAATAGCTTTTGTAGTGAATGGACGGGATTCGACGTTAGAGCCGTTAACCAAAGTAGACCAAAAAGCAGCGGAAGCGTACACATGGGATTTAATGAAACAAGCAGATCTAACTGGCAAAAACCGTGACGAAACCCTTCATAAAGTGACTGAACAGTCCTGGTTTCCCGGGTTGGGCTCATTGGCATTCACCTTATTCAACATTATCAAGGTCGTAGTCCAAGTGTTACTTCATGCCGACAAATGGGAAGATCGCTGTGAAGCATCCAAAGCACTTTTATACCTATCTGCGACATTCCGAGATGATGTCAAAGATCCAGTGCGAGAGTTTATTCAACCGACACTCGAAGCTATGGCTGATGAATCGACGCATTGGAAGGTGCGAGCTACATGCTGTGCTCATATACTGGCGTTTGGGATATGGTCGGCTGAGGTGATTGCTGCTCTTATTGGGCGGCTGCAAGACTCTGAAGAGAAAGTGAGAGAAATTGCTGTCAAGGCTCTCATCAAGATTGGGATTAATACTACGGATGCGTTACGAGCTACGCTGGAACGGTTGGGTGCTCGTCATTTAAATCCAAATCTGGATATATGTTCTACTTATGTGCCTTTGGATGTAAGTTGTTGTCGTCGCCGATGTTGCAATTCTCTAGGTGCCGTTGACGTTTCTTTTTCGCTCACTGTAGATCTTGCTCGCAAAAATCTCACGAGAAAAGCTCGATCATAAACTGGACGAGACAAATCCAGATGTTGAACGATGGATTAGAACAGTACCAGATTTCTCTCCAACCGGATTGTCTCGACAAGCTAGTTACTATGAGCACTTGGCAGGTTACTTCTTCAAGGACGACAAACGACAAGTCATCTTGCCAGAGTACTTGACTAGCAGCGCTACCTACCGAAGCAGTGCTCGTGGTCGAGAAGATGAAACAGCCGGTCTCAACGCTCAACCTCTCTCACGCCCAGAAACAGCATACGTGTTATCACGACCAGGAACTCAGTCTGATATAGTCCGGGTCATGAAAGCTACTGGACCTTCACGACCATCAACAGCAAGGTTTTCAAGACCTGGTACGGCTTTTACTGGTTGCTCGACATCCAGTTCTCGTGCTACGACAGCCAAGGCACTGTCTCGCCCAACGACGAGAGAAAACCACCGTCCGTTTTCACCTGACTGGTCTGCGAAATATCATCCATCAGCAATTGAAAGACGGGAAAGTGGGTTCATAATGTAGCAAATGTTTCAATGTTTCTAGCCATTAATATTTCTAAATACAAGTTTAATACTATATGTAAAGGTGCGGACACGGTCAGGTGTTGGATTTATACCATAATTCAGGTGCGTTCATTTCTTTTTGCCCTTCTTGCCACCACCCTTCTTCTTGGAAGCCGATAACATCCCACCATACTCCATTATACCCTTAAATACCTCTGACGACATGTGTTCGGTGACTTTAACAGCCATAGTTGGCATAACCGGATTTCGTTTACGATCAACCAAAAACTGCAGCACAGTCTCTCCACCCTCAGATCCAATATCGTTTCCACGTAAATCCAATGTCGCAAGTGTAGTGTTAGTCGCCAGCGATCCCAGCAAAAGTTTCAAATGATTGATTTCTTTTTTCTCTCCATTCGGTAGTTGAGGCAGTATCCCGTTATTCGGCTGGTATGTTGAGGCATTGTATTTTTGGTATGGTGGCGGTATGCTTGTTGATGCGAGACTGAGAGATTTGAGGGACGAGTTGCTGGATAGTGCTCGTGACATGTGTGCGAATACGGAATGTGACAGGGGGTTTCCTGTTAAATCAAGTTCAAGTAGAGATGACCCAACGCCGAGAGCGAGTGAGAGGGCTTCGCCACATTCTGCACCTATATCAGCCCATTTTAACGATATGCATTTGGTGGCTTGGTTTGTTGTGGTTGCGTCGGGGTCGTAGTTGTCTCGTGCTTGTACGAGGCCTGCAAAGAATGATGCGACTGCACGTCCTCCTGCAAAATAATGTATAAGCATCCTTTCACTTTCAGAAAATTTGAATGTAACTGACCTAGATTGACATTATAATCCAAATTCACAAACTTCAAATCCTTGGCCTCAGCAGCAAGCCTGTTCAAGCATTGCGCTGAATCTGATCCTAAGTCACATCCCATCAAATGAAGCGTCGATACAGTACATCCCGGAGTCGTAATGAATTTCGTTATCGTGGATAGCGAATCAACCGTCAGCGGTATCCTCCACAGACAAAAAGTCGTTACTTGGTTGTATGCAGTGAATGCCTGCGTTATAGCGACCAATTCTCGTGACAGAAGCTGCTGCCTCGATAGTACAATCTAATAAAATTACAAAATGAGTCTTGATGATAGGGCGATCGATACAAGGCACACGTCGTGTGCATCGTGTTTTAAATTTCCCAAATGAACAAACCTTGTTTAACGATAACTCTGACTGCTGGGCATCACCAATAGCAGTCTGTACAGACTTTAATGGTTCAACTCCAAGCCTTTTACAGCTCTCTGAATATTCTCGTTTTAAATTCGTTATGCATTCCAATCGTTTCAGTTTCTCTTCTTCAGCTTTACTGCTCTTGTTCTTGCCACCACCATCAGCTTTCTTGGAGCCCTTCTTTGGAGCCGGCATCGTTCGAAATTACGTTTTTGAATGATGTCGCTTTCCAGGCTAGTACGGCTTCTTTCGAGAACAAGTTTGTAAATGGAAAGCGATTTTCGACACAAAAACCCTCAAAATTGTTGAATCAACCCAACAACACCCTACACACTCTGATGCAATCGGTGCACGACGTGTAGGAGGAGCGATGTAGACACAGGATAATTACAAAGGTGCAAATTTTTACTTACTGCACATGAAACGTGTGCACATTATGGTGCGACGGGACTGATGTAGATTATTGAATAAATACAGTTATGCGAATTTTTACAATACATGAAATGCTTCTATAATGCTATACTAAAACCCATCGTTCTTTACGACGCGTCTTTTCTCACTGAAACGATCTTCCTGGTAGGTCTCGAAGCTACCGTTATCGTCCGTGAGTGACCATGCCCGTGTCCGTGTCCAGCACTTAGTCTCAGGTAGTTATATGCGGCGATACCTAAAAATGCGACCAGATAATCAGCGATAATCAGCCTAGATACCTTTCGTTCTCTTCAGCAACTCACCAATAATGCTGATCCCAACACCAAGATACTGGATAAAATTCAGCATGTCTCCAAAGACAAACTCGGCAATAGCAATCACGAATACCTCTTTAGCGATACCAGCAACGCTCAACGTTACTACACTGGTCTTTTGTAGCAGCACTAGTTCCACCAGTGTCACTATAATAAACAAAAAAAGTTTTAAGAGTCACATTTTTTTTTGTATCAGCTTATAACCAACTTACTGCACAGCGCCAGCACACCACCACCAAACAGCAGCCCACAAGTCTCCGCACCGCGTCCAATCCCACTGAAGAACCCACTGCTGCCAACCATGCCCGTAGCCACTTCTCCAATAATACTGGCACACCCGATAACAACAGCCATTATCGGCGATATATAATACAGAGTATGTATCGGTGAATCGACACCTATATCGGTCGTCTGCAGCATGATTTGTGTCAGGGCCCACCGTAATCCAGAGAATATGGTTGCGGCGCTGATTAACAGGAAGCCAAACATGTCAAAGTGCACTTCGCCGACTATTGTTAGCGATACGCCTATGACAACGGGACGGGTTGGCAACACGGAAAAAAAACCGACGTGAGAAAGCTACATTGGTGAGATATCAGACTCTTACCAAATACAATCACGAATATCACTGCGATGAGAGAAGTTGTGATCTTTTCAAGACCAAACAGGAAGGCAAACAGGAGTACAAAGACGGGCACCGATGATTTTATCATCACGTAGAACTATACACAAAGCGTGTTAGATCAAGGAAGTCATATCCCCAAACCAAAAACGCATTGAGCTCACTGGCAACGACACGTAATGCAAAGACGCATTGCTCATACAAATATCTAAAAAAGGATGCAAACGTTCAGATTCACATAAGACATCCACAACCGACGTTGTACATTACTTTTTTACCTAGTGCACCAGCAAGAGCAGTTGGGATAACAAAAACCAAATAATGCCTCGCTGTAACCGTATTCGTCGGCAACGGATCATCCAGCTTATTAAAGCTCGTCTTAAACCCCTCTATACAAAACAGTGGGACACTCCCCTTCACCACAGCAGAGCAAAAGAGAAATTGCATTCCGGTGTGTATGGAACACATGAGCAATGGGAGGTTGAAATTATATTGATCCTATTGATTTGAAAATTTTGGAGAAGAGGAATGAGCCTCTGGCACGTTCTCGTTGTTGGAATGCGAGGGTTGGCGTGGAATTTCAAGGTGCCTATGCGGCTGAAATAGAGATTTAATGTTACCTTCCCTAGGAGCGTCTTGTTATAAAGACTCAGCGACGTACTAAACAGATACCTATTTGAACGAAATGTGTTAAACCACAAATGGTGACGCAGTTACTCCAAAAGCGAGAACTCATCTACCATAGCGCTATATACAGTAGATTCTTGAATGAGCTTGTTGGCAGATTAGCAGGAAATGGGCCAGGCAGTGTCGTTGAATGTGGGTTGAGGTTGATCGAGACTGATGCCTTACTCGGTGAGCTTTTGCCTGCATAGTTTGTAGGAACGGGCTGATACATCCATGCAACGTCAGAAATCGGGCCCTCACTCTCGTCCCTGCCTTCTTTTCTCCGTGTTGTTGACGACGAGGTCGACAACATTAACTGGTGAACGATGCACTGCATTCTAGATATAGAACGTGGTGTCTCGACGCGTTATTAATAAACTTGAACATAGATGATCATTCATTGATTGCAAAACGACACGAGAAAAAAATCGTTCCGGCAAACTGTGACTATGCGACAATCTCACAGTTCATTGCATTTTTAATAAGCACTATCTTCAACAGCCTCAATCTCTTGCTGCAATCGACCCAAGAAGGAAATAATTTCAATCACACGTTTGCGATTCCTCCTGATCTCTTCGTCATGAACACCCGAAATCACTTGCTCAGTGTCTTTTGCCGAGCCAGATACCAATGTGTCCTCCTACAAATGTCGTTGAATGTCAGACATGCTATGCTGTAAATGACAAGTATAGTGAGCTGGAAGATACCTGTTGATCTATCCTGGCCAGTCTAAAATCATGTGAGGCGTTCACACTGTTGGTTAACGAGTCCTTGTCTGATATGAGCTATATAACAAAAAAAATTGACCGTTGAAACCTTTGTATTTGATGAACTAATCAAATATTTTGAACTCACATCACGGAAATCATCATCAACATCATCGACAACTTCTCCCTTAGTGTATCGATCATAAGCAGCAGAAACCGCCTCAGTAAATCTTTCATGGAATTCCGTCTCGTATTCTCGTAATCTTGCAAAACACGTAGTAGCGAATTCAGAGATGCCGCTTGCGAGTTCGGTGTATGCTCGTTCGAATTCCTTGATTACGTCCTAATGAAGTGAGTCGATTTCGTCAAGACAACTGTCATGATGATTATCTACATGCCGAATTTTTTCTAACCTCTAATTGTTCTACAAGCTGCATCTCAGCTCTCATCATCAAGTCTGATAATCTCGTCCCTTCATCTCGTAGTGTTCTCAACGCATCATCGATTTCAGATTGCTCACGAAGACTAGCAACCATCTTCAATACCTACAACAAAACAAACGCTTGAGTATTCAAGACAGAAAGTCATCATTATAGAGACTCATACTTGTTTTTTGCCCCTCATAAACCGATCCAATTCCTTGGTAGCCTCCTCATCACCAGGAGCCCTCGCATCCTCAATAGCATACTTGAACCCATCAATCTCATTTACACGTTCTAAATGTCTCTTCATGACGAAATGTATCAATTCGTTAACGGCCACATCGAATTTTACACGGTATTGTTCGCGAATGTCGCTTATTCGATCGGTGTCGAGTGGGAGGAGGCGTACAAAGTCCTTGTCCTCGTTGAAGATCGAGTCGAATAGTTTGTCAAAGCCTGGAATGTGGGCTTCCTGTGTATATGGAAGGGTGGTGTCAACGAAACGATTCAAACAAAAAAAAAAGAGTACGACTCACAGCAAACTTGGCTCCCTCTTGTTGCGACTTGGTAGCAATAAGCTTCTTTTCAGTTGCAATACGTTCTTCTTCTTCCATTGCGATTATGTTGTCCATGTACTTGCTTCGAGCTTCCTTCATCTATGTCAAACTGATGAATGAGAAAACAAAAATTTTAAGAATACAAGCAACAACAGATCACACCTGTTCCTCATCAGCAAGTCTGTAATCCAGATACCTCAAGTTCCGTAACCTCGCGAGAATATACGGTCGGTAATCTTGTATCTTGCACAATGGGTTTCCAGCAAGATTAAGTACTCGAAGGTTTTCAAATCGTCGTAGGTATTCGATCTAAGTTTCCAAAACATCAGAAACGACAAAAAACAATGATCTGAAAAGCATTGGATGAAGCACACTCACAGCATCAACTCCAGATATTGCATTGTTTCCCAACGACAAGACATTCAACTGTGTCAGTGTATCCAATCCCTTCACTTCGGTAATGCGGTTGTTGTAGAGTGTCAAGTCCGTTAGTTTCGTGAGTTCTTCTAGGCCTTCAATAACAGCAATGTTGTTGAATGACAAGTCTGCGACAAAAAAATAACTTTAGCCAACTACATCAATATCACAATAATCAGTGATACGGACCCAACCACGTCAAGTTCTTAAGAAACCCGAGATTCTCTATCTTTTCTATAATATTATTGTCTAGCTGCAACTTGGTGAGGTTTTTGAACCGCCATAGATTGTCAATCTTCAAAATGTCTGTCAATGCAGAAAAGAAGTCAGTCACACAGGTTGATCAAACAAGCATTTTCAAACAAAGCTAAACACTATAAAACTCACTCTTGTAGTCCAATTGCAGACTAGTGACGTCTTCAGGATCAATTCCTTCCTCTTTTGTAAGAACTGAGATCTCGGCGGGTAGCTGCTGATCTACTCCCTTAGATAGTAGATCTTCATCTATAACCGTTGGCTCTGTACTGGAGTAGTTCATGGCTGCCTAGTTTGCCTTCTTTGGTTCCAGTTTAATGCTGGATTTTGTTCTGTGTTTTTGAAAAAGGTCAAGCAAACAGCTTATGGTCGCTTGGTCAGTATACCCAGACATGAATAGAGGATGTAGATAGATTCTCGAACAGATATAACACGTAATAGCAGATTTTCAACGTGTTTCAAGAGTTCAGACTACCTTTTGCATTGCTTTTTGTCAAAGCCTTAGAAAGCAGCAATCTGATGCACATGATATGAACCAAGACACGACCAAGCTCCTTTTATACAACTGAAGACGCGCTATACGTGCAGATGATGCAGCTTGAACCTTAAAAAACTACGTGAAGTAATCCTATTGTGGCTGCCCTGTCACATTATTTCAACATTCTTTGCCACTCAAAGTTGAGCAACTCTTCCAATATACTAGTTCCTCCCTACTACAACTCACATATGGGATCCTGTTGCAGCTCTGAAGAGCCTAAATCTGGCCATACTTTAGCATCAGCTACTCCATCACCAGGCAACACAATCCGCTCATCGCAAAGTGCTGGGTCTGCAACCGACCGTGAGAGAAGAGTCAAGGCTGCTGAAGCTCGAGCCAAGGTGAGGCTTGATGCGTGTCTTCTTGCTTTTTGTTGCCAAGTCTGTTGTTACCGTACATTTGTCGACATCAAAAATCCCAACAGTTGACCCAGTTTTTCTCTAGGCTGCGGAAACCAGAGGTGGTAACGGCGAACTCTCAAAGAAGCTCGCAATTCAAAAGCAAACCATTTCTCCCGGAAGGATACCCCCGGCTGCACCTGGGGAAGGAGATCAACCATTAAGAGTGAGAACATTTGCGATACACACTCTTTTGCAGTCACTCATCTCTTTTCTTGGTATAGTGGGACTGAGGTTTTCCTCGCCAAGTAGAGTACAAGACTGATTGTGGTGCTATTTCGCATGCAACAGCCAACCACAAATCTCGGATTTTATGATGTTTCATATGATCAGAAGTAAGATTTGCCAATTCATATTTGTTTATATATAATCAAAGTAGTTTTCTCAGATCCCAAAGAGCAATAATAATACAAGAAGTTTATTCAACAAATGACCAAGTTTCACAATCAACACATGCCTTTTCCACCCGACATTCAGGCACGTATTCCCATTTATCAAAGTACGTTTCAATGGCTCTGACCATAGAGTGCATCCGTATATCGAGGTTTGCAGATGCTCGTACTAGTTTTGGATCTTCAGCTGTTTCTACTGGTTGTCGGACTTCCTTTGGCAGAGTGTGTCTTACAGGTGCATCCACCTTTCGCAAGATAGGACGACCATTACTATCCGTCATTGGCTTTTGATATTCTTCGGGGTCATATAGACATGTCTTGCCGACATGGCATCGTGTTTCCAATGCATAGCCTCCATAGTAGCAACTAGAGGAAGCTCCATTACATACACCCAAAAAGATTGGATCTTGGGCATTCCCAAAGTGATATATCGGGAGCATGTCAAAGAGCCACGAGTAGTCTGGCACCGAGTCATGATTACGAGGTGGCGGTAAGAGACCTAGGCGTGATGCATACAGTACATCACCTGGGGCTTCATAGGCAAAGGCGGGTGCTCCGTTTGTGAAGGCTAGTAGGGCAGCTAAAGCTCCACCTAGAGAATGTCCTGTGAACCAAATAGATGCCCGAGGGTACATTATCCGTGCTTGCAGGTATATAGACTCTGCCAAATTATAATAGGAATCTGCGAAATTAGCTTGCTTTTGCACACATGAGACCGAGCATGTGGTAGAGTCTTGGCAGCAGTCACATATCGGTGTCCATGACCTATCTACTTTCGCGCAACAGCACGAGAACATCATATTGTCCTAAAGAGAGCGAGGAGTTGTTGGTTTGAAATGCAACCATAAGCTTGGAACAACGATCTCGAAAGAAAAAACATTAATGCAGCAGCAATATGATGCGATAACTTACATTGTACTTGTCACGTTTCGAAGTTGGTCCACCTCCAATACCAAAGACCTGTGCAGAAGTACCTTTGATGGCAATAACCAAAACATCTTCATCATCAGATTTAAAGACGTAGCCTCGAATACCATCAGAGTCCCAACCAAAAGGTAACGACTAGGCACAAAAAACCCAAATCAACACATGTCAATGACAACGACAAAAACCATGTCAATAAACAAGCACATATACACTCTAGACTTACAGCATTCCATCCGTCTACAGGTACCCATTCCTTCTTCACGGGCTCTGTATACGAGTCAAGAGTCATATATGCCATAGCTCTGACAGTATCCACGTCGCGAGCATTTGGCATAGCCCGGAGTTGAGTCCTTACGTTACCACTACCACTATCAGCACCACCCTGTTCTACAAAACTTGGCATGACTTCATGAATAGTAGATACGGTATAATAAGATTGTCGACCCGTAGCATCACATTCAGCTTTAATTTCAGATGGGTCCCAGTCCATTTGGGCGAACGAGTCCGGGGCGACGGTTCCACCACGATGAAATGCATGTGCGAGTCGGAATGTAGTCTGTTTTGTTACGGCATTCGAGGTTGTTGGTGCAGAGTCTTGTTCATTGTTGGGCGGCATCAGCCCTCGAGATAACGAGACGAGACATAAGAAGGCGAGGAAGGGCGATATGGATTTGTTCCTGAGAATCATTTTGAGGTTTCCTAGATGTCGTTGCTTGGACGATGCTAGTAAGTTTGAAGAGCTTTCTTGCAAGGAAAATGTTTCGACAAAACTAGAAGAAATCGCATCAGCTGATATACTCACGAACGACCGCACACTCCAATGCGAATGTGAAATGTTCGTGTAAATCACGTATGATGTATGATATTTGATTGTTACGTCCATATCTTCATTCCTCAAATACGTCAACTCGTTTGTCGTTTGTCTGTTGTCTCAAGCAAGAAGCTTGATCCAAAGGAGAACTTGCTGACTCCACCTTTTCAAGCAGGAGCAGGTCTCTAGCTTTGTAAGGACTCCTGTACACGTGCTGACAACGCTTACCATTTTATAAATCGGTCTATGATATACGATGCCTAAGAAAGTCTCCATTGTGTTTTGGGACATTGAGAATCTACAGCTCCCAAACAAGGAAAAAGATGGTATGAGCTTATTAGAACTTTGAAATCCATAGTTTCTCTACCGGCCACTCTCTCACAACTCCTCAAACAACTCCAGGTCAATCGCCACAAACCTGCATCAGGAATCTGAAGCTCCTAGCTCAACATGGCCTCGACCCAGCATCAACGGAACCATCGGAGTTGCTAGATATGATTGCGGTTGGGAATGTTGTCAACATGCCGGAACGCAACCGCAGAATTCTGTCGAACGCAAATGTGACGTTAATGGATTGCGCCAGTGAGAAGGAATCAGCTTCAGATCTGTCGTTGGTGGTAGAGGTGATGAAGTTTGTATACAGACACAAGCCGCCAGATGTCGGCCGAATCGTCATAGTATCCGGCGACTCTGATTTCCACAAGGTTGTAGGATTCCTCGACTTTGTTGGCTATGAAGTGCTGCTCGTGGTCAGAGACAAGGTATTTGGCTGTCAATTCATCAGCTTAAATGCAGCTTGCTGACTTGTACAACTAGGCTGTGGAGTACTTTAAGAGTGTCGGTGTTGTTGCTGGAGCGATAATATCCTGGGAAAAAAAGATATACGGCGCTCACGAAGAAGCTACTGCCAGCCAGGCGCATACCACAACCAACGGCACTACCACAACGAACGGTAGTAATATCAATAGCAGCAATAGCAGCCTCCTGGCCTCGCTGTCAAGGCCATCCTCGCCAACTCAAACTGCCAGCCCTGTAAAAAACAATCAAACAGCCGCCACCATGACGGCAACCGCCACATCAACACCTAAATCAAAGCCTCGCTCACAAGTAGAAACCATGTCTCCACAAGAAACATTTATAGATTTAACCGCAGTAGTAGCTCAAGGCATGAAATCCACAAAGCAGATTGAAATCTGTCTGACGGATTGCTGGCATCAGTATGGGTTCGATACGCTCAAAGAATATCTCGATGCTGCTGTAGAGAAGGGAATCGTGTGCAGGCAGGGTGATTTACTTGTCTTGCCACCTGTTGAAGCAAAGAAGGAGACAGTGAAACAGGGTACGACGCCGACAAAGGGGCCGACGACACCAAAACCTATCGCCAAAGTCGTTGACGCGATGGTTAGACAGAGGATGGTGTCTCAGGACTCTATATTATAGTGATACACTGTAGCTTTTAATACAGGCGCATCGTTTAGACGGTGCTAATAGCATATGTCAAATAGAAATAGAGAATTCGATATCGACGTACATCGTGAAGGGAGCCTTGCAGTTGCTGTTCCGGTCGAAATTGCTGTTGATACATGTTGCTTCTGTCCTGTCGCTGGGTTGACGAGGCTCTGGACATGCTTCACGAATTTTTGGCGTGCAGCAACATGGCAACATCGGACAGCTAGTTGACCACACGGTTCATTTGCGAAAAACACGACTTGATGACCCCCAAATGAATTCCAAGTTTGACCTGTCACTTCCAACCTTCTTCAGTGATGGGTAAAGGAAAGCTTGCGAGTGAAGGCGCGAGGATTTTTAAAAGGTTTAAATAGTTTAATAATACCGCTGGATAAGTCCATCAGGAGAAACCGTGGGACACTCCTGATGCAGTTGTGATGTGAAATGGCCGTTAAGAAGGTGATATGGCCGTTTGGCGTCAACTACAAACGGAATCAAAATGTACGTGATGGTTGTGCTTACGGACTGTAAAAATGCGTCAGAAAACGCAAGCAGCTCAAGATAGATCTCTATGATACATTTGAAGTTTGTATTTTATCTTAAATATGAGCAAAGGATTGTATCATATCTCCCCATTCCATCATGAGGAGTACAGCATCATTTTTATATACAAGTTTTATTGTTGATCAGCAGAGGCAGCAGCAGTATCACACAAGCACCACTTTTCAAACTCTACAAGCTGGCTCATAAGACTGAGATTCGGACTTATATGTGGTGCACGTTCCTTCACATACGTGTATGCTTGCCAAGCAGTCATATTCATCGACCTCATGATGTAAGCGATAACCAGAGAAGCTGACCGAGATACTCCTTGTTGGCAATTTACTAGCACGGCTCGGTTTTGGCCTCGTGCGGCATCGATAAAGCTAAAGGCTGAAGGGAGATGGGATATTATATGTGGTTCGTCGTGTGACCATGATAGGTTTTTATATACCAGTGTGTTGTTGTTTACGTGCTGTAGCGTTGATGGTGAAGTCACTGACGTTGATGGCGGTGGTGTGGTGATACTATTGCTGCTGTGACGTGATAATGTACTGTTGATTGATGAATCACTTACACATCTTTGATGGTGAGGGTTTTTATAGATGTGGTGTGCACGACGACTTAATGCTGGTGATGACTCTAATAGGTTGCGTAAGTTCTCATATAGCGCCATATCAGAGGGCGATGACACTGTATCCTCATACGACGAGTTGGAAGCCGTATCCGAGAAGCTGCATGATCCAGAAGAGTCTTCGTCCATAACAGGCCTTGGTGCTAAAGGACTAAGCAGAGAATTAAACAGTTCTTGTAGTTCTTCAGCTCCTTGAGATGTACCATCATCATCATGATGGTTTGACGCTCCTAATACAACCTCCTGTGCTACATTCAAAACATATCCTATGCCAAGTTTGATATTACGGCTGACATCCCTGGCGTTGATTTCGGAGCCGAGATACAGGTTTGGCAGTATAGCAGCTGGGCCATTCGTATACGGTGGTAGCGATATACTCGATTCACTGTTACTTTTACCATGTTTACTGGCACTATGAGGTGGTGTTGTGACAAATCCTAACGTTGGTCCTTGGAGTTCATATGTTGAGGTTGTTGGCGTCGACAATGGCGACGTAGATGCTGATCTTCTTGTTGCAATAGATAATTTAGGTGGATTTTTGGTGAAGGATAAAGGCGTCGGCCTTGATTTACGTCGGCCGTTGTTGGTTATGTCCAGATTTGAGAGCGCTGGCCCAGTGCAGACCAGAGAAGAGCGTTGAGAGGGCAACGTGTTTGATATTGTAGATAGCATTTTCCTAGCTATTTTCATGCAAGAAGGTCCTCCACACTCTCTCTATGCTATTAGAAAGTTTAAATATTAATTAACGGCCTGCAGCACAACTTTGCGAGCCCCGAACGATACACACCTCTCCCCACAACGAGACCTTAATTGGAAATGATCCAATGCTGCTACTATGCCTTGTAACTGTTTCTTGTTGACGAAGTTGGGAGAGAAAGCGAGGGACTGCTTTGATGTTTGTTGCGGCGAGAAACGGTGCAGTTCATTTTGGGTGGGAAGAGAGATGAAAAAGATCCACCACCAAAACAGACCCAGCTAGATAGAAAGAAAAGTGCCCTCCGGCAACTTTCAAGCTACCAGAGTGCCGTAGCAAAGGAAAATCTTGGAAACAAACACGCTGCACTGGTTGTCAAACTCGCAGCAAAACACACGAATTCAAGACACCAATATTGTGTATTATTAAACATTTATCGCATCGAGATGCACTCAAATCTTGAAGATCCTACTCACAATTATTCGATTGTTCTTTGACTGCGGAAACCATACCTGCTCAGACTCTCGTCATTGATCTTTGGTCCGAAAATTTTCAAGGTTTTGACATTGTTTTCAGCCGCCATTGAAGTCTGATCAGAGTCGGCGTACGCGAGACTGATCAGATGAAACGTGATTCGAGTCGCCTTGCAGTACTCCGCCGCCCGCCTGGTTCGCGAACTTTCGGCTTTTCGTTCACAATCGTCAAAAAACAGGAAGTGACAAACAAAAGACTTCTGAAAGGAGACTTTTCGAGGCGCAACGGCACAGGTATTCAACGCTCTTGCATCCAACAATCAATATCATCGCTCACAGTCCTCGTTCTAGCCGGTCAATACTCTGCTCTGGCCTAAAGTGGACACTTTTGAGACAAATCCGTCACCCAACAGATATTCACAGGAAAACCAAACACCTTAGATGTTGGTAGAGAGCTCGCCATCACTACTGAAACTGAATGCAATGTTCCCCCCTGCTACCTTGCTCTTACTGCCCAGACCTACTCCAACACATCACCAGCAACAACATCCACCGGCTCACAGCAACCACAACAGTATGATCTCCCAGCGTGAAATAGCCATCATGTTGGCCCAAACAGCCAGTCACAAACTGAATCAGGAACTATCACGCCATGCTTCTACGTCTATAAGGAAGGTTGTATTGATGCAAAACCTCCTTACGGCTATTCATGAAAGTTGGTCGAATGTCCAAAATGTCGGACGATACTCTGCTGCTGAATCATCATACAACTATGGAAGTAATTGTAATGGTAGTAATAGTAGGGACAATTCTGGATCTTGGTCGGCTGGTTCTAACGATGATATAGTAGAACTCACGTTGGAAGACATGGTCGTCGGAGTTGATTCATCACAACATAAACCATCATCACCAACAACAGACAGTATAGAAGCAGAAGAAGAAGATGGAACACCAAGTGAAACAGAAACTGAATCGGATTCCGGGTTGAGTGATTTAGATGCCCAATTCGAATCACTGCATCTAAGTCTGTCGCAACCACCAACACTACCACCACAAACATCTGCACCTCATGTGCCTCTACCTAGTACACCATCGAATAACAACAGCAATAGTAATAGTTATAATTATATCGTAAAGTCCAAGTCATGTCCCATCTACATCCCACCAGTGGATGATACTGATGATTCCTTCTTTGGTGATGAGGGATGTGGTGAGGATGGTGGTGGATGGGGATATGCTACCGAGAAGATCAAGGCTCTGGTGGTGCCATCCTCTAGACCTATAGTTATTGAGGCTTCTAGTGTATGGGAGACACCAAAGGAACTGGATATATTGGAACGATTGTTTGATGAACACATGTTTGGATCGCCTACCATGGCGATGTATGATGTCAGAGTCTAAAAGAGTCGGAACAATATGGGTTTGAGAGTGTGTGGGGGAGCGTGGAGCGGGTTTTGGCTGTTTGGTGAGATCTGTACATCGAAGGGTATTGACATAACAAACAAGAACGGACCTCTGTTATTAAATAAGTATTTAAAAGCTGGGACATTTAACGATGATATTCTAAAACAGTGTAGTGACAACTGAAATATATAATGACTGAAGATCTCAAAAAAACATAATCTTTTTGGCTAGAACGCAAGAACTGAGCTTCTAACGCGTCAAATCGGTCAGCAACACGTACATTTTGCACGGAACGTGTTCGCGAAGCCTCGATCAGATGTCTCGGGAAGGATTCACCACCATTTGAAATTTACACGTTGTGGTGAAGACAAAAGATCTTGTCACCTTGCATTTCTCTATCACTCTCGACGATCTTAATGAGTCGGAACGGAAGCATTCTCAACATTTCATCGGTAAGCTGCGAAATCATTAACTCTTGGCATCTCGTCTCAGCTCCGCTCAGACAAAAAACATCAAAACTGACTCAACTTTCAAAACAAACAGAACTCGATCATCGCATAACATATCAAACCAAGAATACGACCATCTATACAATGACTACAGAGCAAGTGCTACCCACAACTGAACAAGACGTCTTACCGAGCTTTGATGCACTGGCTCTGTCTTCATCAACCCAACTCAATCAACCACACGAACAGCAACAGCAGCAATCAGTAGAGCAAAAGATAAAGACTCTGATCTCTCCATTCCCACCATCGCCAATGTCTCCTAATAGTACCAATAGCACAAACGGAAGCAATGCTCTGTCTTCAATGTCACTACCACCACTTCATACTCCATCAATGGCACAAACTCGATCCTTGTCAAGTAACAATATTCGTGCTGGATCGCCCATTCGCGCTCGTTCGGATTCTCCTCATCCCTCTCTGTAAGTTGCATTGTATCGCATCGTGTGTCTCTCGATGTGTTTTTTCGGGAGATGGGTCTCAACATCCCAATGCTACTGTAAGCCATTCACACAACTAACTTGTTACAACCCCGTTGTGTATGCTAGAAATGGCAAAGAAGCAATAGACGAAAACGGACTCTCATGGCCAGCCCTCTCAACCAAAAACCGGATGACTGAATCTCCTCACGCTCGTCAAGGTCGTCTCGACAAACTCTCAGACGCCGTAAAAACAGTCCTGGGATGTCTCGGTGAAGACCCATCTCGCGAGGGCCTCCTCAAAACCCCCGACCGATTCGCCAAAGCAATGCTCTTCTTCACCAAGGGCTACGAAGAGACACTATACGATATCGTGAACGATGCAGTATTCGAAGAAGACCATGATGAAATGGTTATTGTTAAGGATATCGATATATTTAGTTTGTGTGAACATCATATGGTGCCCTTTATGGGGAAGGTCTCGATTGGATATATTCCTGATAAAAAGGTGCTGGGTTTGAGCAAGCTGGCTAGGATTGCTGAGATGTTTGCTAGGAGGTTGCAAGTGCAGGAACGCTTGACCAAGCAAATTGCTCTTGCTATTATGGATGTTTTGCAGCCACTTGGTGTTGCTGTTACTATTGAAGCCTCGTATGTTTCGTTATATCTGCTTTGTGTCTTCTTTTCTTTTGAGTACTATTTTCGTATCTACTTTACTCAAACACTTCCAACCATATAGGCACATGTGCATGGTCATGCGTGGTGTTGGAAAGCCAGGCTCCAAAACAGTCACATCCTGTATGTTGGGAGTTTTTAGGGAGGACCACAAGACTCGTGAAGAGTTTCTTCGTGTACGTAACCCTCGTCTCTAGAAACGGTGTTTTGGATAACGATGTATAAAAAAGAATAAGGATCTTACGCTTCCCCTCTCCCTCATTTTTTAAAGCTGTCTCGAGATTAAATAAAAACCCAAGAACCTCTCTCTCTGTCTCTCCATCTCATTTGTTGTCGTCGTCGAGTAGTCTCCCATAGAACTCTTTATATGTATATTTCGTAAAATAGAAACCAACGAGACAGATTATTTTGAAACTACTCCGTCTCTGTGTGTCTGATGTATTAACAATACAAGAAATATAAACAAATCGTTCGAGAATCTAAATGAGTGTCATTTTGATATAGTGGTATTGTTGTGTGTTTGACGAATGATTGAGAACATCCTGACTCAAAAGTCATCCAAATCATCCGAGCTGAAGCCATTACTTATATGCACATTCTCCAAATCAGCATTGTGCGGCGTTATGATATTCGCACTTCTAACCGAGTCGAAATCAACGTTTCCTGGCCTGGACAGTAACGGACGTCTGTTCCTATATTCACGCAAAACAGGGTCAGACCAAAGTCTTGAACGAAACACAAATCTCAGGAAACTCACTTTCTCAACATGAGCACCAGCCTCACAAACTGTATCCCATTCCTCACAACCAGCAACACCGTATCCAGCACCGCTTCTCGCGACCGTGCCTTTGTGCATTCGCCAAACAGCAGGTAGAGCAGTGTCATGCCGCATAAGAGCACCATTACGAGGTCGACAATGTTCCATGTTGATTTCCAGTATAGCTGTATGAGAAAAACTGTGAGATACGTGTGAGGGAAGGAGTTTGGAGTGTAGGGTACCTTTCCAAGCGCAATAAATCGAATCGACACTTCAGCAATCATTGTTAGGTTTACGACTGCTTCGAGGATGTAAAACCAGCCTGATGGACTACAAGAAAGAGAAAATGAGCTATGGCAACAGGGGCTACCAGTGCATTTCGTCGAGTTCAGCATACCACGTGTCAGATAACGACTATCAAGAGCAAACCGTCAGCGAAACACCCACTCCCAATACACCAAAACAACATCTCTTACCATTCCAACAGATATCAAACTCAACACCGCCATCACTAGATACAACCCCTTATAAAAGTTCGAATGCAGCAGCCTGTTTGCACCTGAATGTATGATTTCGGATGTCGTCAGCTTGTAGGAGCTGGGCATATTGTATGTCGAGCCAGTCCATGCTATGGAGGACGCGCCCAATACTGAGACGGGAGATGGTAGTTGGGATCCATTGCTAGTAAATTGGGAAATGTTGGTTAATGTGCGAATAAAGCGGGAAGAGTAGTAAAAGGAGGGTTTACAGGAAGGCGGCTTCGTCGGCATCAGCATCTACAGCAAGAGACGATCGTATCCAGCGTTGGGCCTTGACTTGGAAGGTTTGGGACATTTGCGTTGGTTGAGTTGCGGGGTTGAGGTTTGTGAGTTTTCAAAGACGAGCGAGAGCTGAAACCCTCACGAGTGGCGCATGAGGAATCCAGGATTTTCGCGTTTCTACATCATCTTTGATACTCTTCAAACTTGACGCAGAATCGCGGAATGATGTTTTTATTACCGCCAACAATATCAACTGCCAACACAATCTGTAATTCGTTGAAACAATGGGCGACCCTATATTTCTGTGGATACAGATCTTTAGGAGAGATGCTGAGAGGGCAAATCACCCTTCTGCCCCAGTCGAAGAGTTAAGGATGTGCAACAAAAGTAGAAATTGATCCCAAAGAGACTGCATGTTATGCACATTTACCGATCTGGTTGCTCAATGGAAAGTCTTTTGGATACACGCTGACAGGGAGATACGACAAACGCAAATTCTCACGGCCTATCAAGCTATCTGGTTTGTAGAGCGTATGGTTGGAGTAGGTTTAAAGTCGAACGCAGATGTCTATCAGGACGAGCTGGATACGGTCTTGTCCGCTGAAGCATCACAACGATGCAAGGTGTTGAAACTCTCTGTAAGCAATGAAAGTGCTGATTTGTCGGAGGTGAGCCCATATCCTGACGAAATGACTGATGAAGAGGTGCATCTTGAGAAATTGAAAATGGTTTATAGACTAGTCGAAGCCATCCGCGGCTCGACCGTAGATGGCCAGTAGGCTTGTCGACCATCGCTTGTAAATCCGTTGTTTCTTGTAAATTGCTGCATTATATAGATCTTGGATCTATATAGATCAAATAAATTATTAGATTCACATAGAAACCCCTTGTCAAGATCGCAAAACGCACTTTCAATTCGATCATACGGCAATATATAGAACAAGTCTCATTCGACTTGTACTCGGACGTTGACAATTGGAAAGTTGGACAAATTGGAAGATTTTCGGCGCAAAGGGTGCCACACCCGTTTCATCCTGACAACATATTTTTGCGTTCTGTGGTGCAAGAAAAGCTAGGATTTATGTTTGGAATTTAACTATATACAAGTTCGATGGTGGTTGTGTTGTTGTTGTGTTGTTACGTGACTGAGTTATTAGCTGTCACTTGACTCATTAACCAAGTCTCATAGAATTGTCACGTTTCGTCTTTTCTTGACTATTTTGGAAAAAAGGCTGGGTGATTTAGTGTTTGGCATCAATTTGTCACTAAATGGAATCTGGGCTTTTGAAAATCGAACTGAATCTGGGACAGATCATTTGACAATATTTGAGCGGGGTTGACTGCCATTCAGATGTTCCCAAAAACTTACGCTAATTGGATTGAGAAATCGACTGTATCCTCTTCGTCTTCCCATGTATCGTCCCAAACGTGTTCCTGTTGCTTTGATTCGTCAGTGTCTTCCCATGCTATGTATAGATGTAGGATTTAGTTGTTAGACGGTCTCTTTCCTGGTGAAATTAATGCTTGAAATTCGTGTCTCCTGTCGTGCAAGATTTGATACATGATGGTGGACTATCATACTCATGCAAATTCAAATTTTCAATTATCAGACATCAGCGGCTTCTTGGCGATATTCCAATTCCTCGTCTTGTTCCTCCGTACCGTCTTCGTGTTTGCAAAATGCTGATGACGAGTCTCCTCCTCCAACGACATAGCATCGTTGCAGATGCATTGACATGGATAATTCCAAGCAAAATATAGCACAATTCATCTGATCTCTTCTCCTCTTTTCCAAGTATCGTACCTTCAGTTGGAAAGTCTTCGAACTCATCGTCTTCCTCTAGCAAGACAATCTTCTTTTTGCTATCCTTGTCTTTATCCTCTACTTTGGCATCTTTGGAAGCAGGAGTAGCAGTCTTGGTATCTGCTGGTTTGGGTACTGGAACTGTCATTCTTGTTCTGGTATGCGTTTGAATGCGAATTCATGAATTATGAATGTGTAGCCTGTGAGGGAGCAAAACGAAATGAGGCCAGTCTGTATTATAAATCATCAGATTGCCTGGAAACACGCGTTTCGTCCAGCTTTAAGCAACGCAAAATTGCCAAATTGGCCCAAGACCTTGTTCATATCACATACAATGCAAAGCAAACATATGCACTAAGAATGAAATGAAAATAATTTCGTGATTTGTATGTAACTGAACGAATGCAAAGGGTTTCCGAGACTGGAAAGCGTCCTCCTGAGCAGCAGATCATGGTGGTTGTCCTAAAATGTTGCCGTCTATTCGTCACGATGTTTTGCAAGGGGTAAAAGGGAACCGCTGGAGGACATAACGATTCATTCGGCGTCTTTTAAGTACTAAGTCGGCGTAAATCACGTTCGTCTCACTGGACGTTTGCAGTAAAGTCTGTTTCCGCCGTTAACATTGGGTGGTGACAAAAGATCGTCAACACACTCAGACACGAAAACATGATGTGGAAGGCTGTGATCTTGCTGGCTTACTTTGCTGGCCTTGTATCATCGGCGCAGCTATTCACCACAACGGTATTCATCCCGTCGAACCATTCGGAATTCAGATGGACCGAGCTCGCCAGCCCTCCTGATGGTGCACCAGGTAAAATGCATTCAAGGACATGACTATCATGTCGACTCAACATTCCCTCCCTTTCCTTGCTCAAATCCCGTCTCAATTCCACAAAGACATCAAATCAGATTTCAGCTAACTTTTCTTTTACCTCCATCTGACTGCAAATAGCCATTTCAAAGACATCCTCCATTAGTATAGTGGGCAACAATGATGCTGCAAACAATCTGCAGGATCAAACCTGGGTGCGTTTGTTCAACTATAGAACTTTTTCGACATTGTTAGACACGCATGGGTTTCATGTCGAAAGCTAACACAGTCTCGTTATAGGGCACTGCATACCAGTTTGGAGGTGCTTCTTGTAACGATACCATCATACCTACTCCACCACCTGACAACTACAAGGTGTCGGCGTTCCTGCTCCTTCCATATCCACCAAACTCTGGACCATGCTCAGAGGCTGCATTGTTTGCGAGAGCCTTGAATTACTGTAAGATGATAAGTTTGCACTCACATTGCCACTCTGCATGTCGCTCCAAACACAATTCTACAAATGCACGTCCACTCCTTGACACGTAATCCTTTTTCTTAGCTGCCCAAGCGGTATTTTTCGCCTATTCACCAGCTCCAGCAGACTATTCAGGTGCAATCACAACAGCCATCAAAAGCACTTCCATATTCGTGCCTCTAGTGGGTCTCAATCTGAATGACTTTAGCAGCATGTTGACTGCGATACAATACTTTAATGCAATGGGAACTGTCTATCAAAACACTACCGCCTACAATTTTACAGAATACGGACCAGCAGTGAGAGCTGTACCTGGCTTCCTCGGTGTCGCCGCAGTATTAAACCCATCTGTAGCCAGCTCATCACTATTACTTCAATTCTTCCTCGCATTCGTTGCAGGTATCGTATTCGTCGGACTCCCATGTATATGTGGAGTACACCTCCTCGCCCGATACCGCCGTCGTCAACTCAACGGTGACTTGGCAGAAGGTGGACCTCTCCGAACCGGTAAACCAACACTCGACGCTCTAGATCTCGAAGCCCTCCCCGTAAAAGAATATCATCCGAAAAATAAAGGTGGACTGACTGATCCACCTGGCACACCGAATGGAGATAACGGACAAATGATATCTGCCTTGGAAATGATTAGAATGGATCGTATGAAGGCTAGACCTGTATCGGAACCAACTACACCAGTAGCTGCTATAACACGAGCTAATAACCCCTCTAGAGTGAATGTCCCGATTATACCGTCTTCATCATTAGGTGATGAAACACCATTACTTGCATCTGCTGGATCCTCTGTAAATAGCGTCGAGGGAGCCTTGTCGAATACTATGCCAAGCAGTCCGTCACGGACTATTGTAGCTGATCCTGAAGAAGAAATTAAGCCCGCTTCATTACCCGTATCACATAATTCATCTAGTGCTTCGTTAGGTGCAGATACCATACGACGTGCTACCCGTAAAACTAATCCAGAGACGGCTTCGATCGTCTCTGCAGCACCGACTATTGAGACTTGTGCTATATGTATAGAGCCGTATGAGGATGGAGAGTCTGTCAGGGTGTTGCCGTGTCATCACTTTTTCCATGCGGTTTGGTATGTAAATGTTGTTGGTGAATATCATGACAGTGCGAGTCATTAGCTTACCATTTCTCTGTTGTTCTTTTCGCAGTGTGGATCAATGGCTAAAGGAACGGGCAGCGGAATGTCCTATATGCAGAATCGAGAGTATGTTGACTCTTTCCATCTTCCTGTTTGCAAAGAAAAATATCGAGCTACAACAACTCCAAGAAAACCCAGCAACATCATAGACGTATGCTAACGCTACTTTTTCACCCACAGTCAAACCAGCACGATCCTCATTGTCGTCACAACGACAAAGGATAACCATGGACCTACTCAGGGACGACTCCTCTGCCATGTTTATCGCACCACCTACAAGGTCAACATCCGTATCCGTTACACCGATAGCCTCATCTTCTTCGTCTCCATCATCGCCAATATCGCCAATACATAGTGATACGACTACATTAGTCGAGTCTCCTGTTGAATCGAAACGGAATAGTGTTAGTGATGAAGAGGAAGTGGTGGTGGTTGGAGGTGGCTCTAGAGTGACATTTTCACCTGATACAAGAGATGAGAGTGGGGGAAACTGATTCAGTAATTGTATTTTGGATTTTTTTTGGTGGTCTTGCTAGGATTGTAGCAGAACGTTCTTTTTGTAATGTATTTTGCGAGATCCTTTTATTACTAAACATCAATTCGTATTGCTTCGTATATATGGCTTTCGCGGTTTGCTCGTAGATTTGGTTTTTCTGAGAAGTAATAGCGTACATACATCGCTTTTTTCGCTCACTTGTTTATATGACGATGCTTGTTTATGATTTGGCAACTTGATTCTGTGCTTATACAAATCGGGTTTATAAAATGATTTTTTCTTTTTTCCTCTCTCCCTACTCTTCATCATCGTCATTTCCTACTTGTAATCTCTTCCACACGACAGTTTACTTGTGCTGCACCCCATTTCCATTCGTCGCACCCCCCAGATCCTGGCTACTAGCCCCCGCAATACTCATCTTCCTCAAATTATCCATAACTTCACTGACTTCCTTTCTTGCAGGTCCCGGCACCGCCTCACCAGGTGCATTCCCACCCGGATCCGTAAAAGTACCCTCAAACCCTTCATCACCCTGATCTTCAAACGTTTCCTTAATCTTGGGTGAGCCTGGGGCTGATGCAGGTCGTCCAACACGTTTAGCGCCTTTGCCAGGTGATGGGTGCATGACAATCTGTGGCTGAGTGACGACATTAATAGGTTCAGGATACTGTTTATCGGTGGTAAACAACCCTCCATCCTCTACATCCCCTTCTTCAGCACCTGTCGAGTGATGTACAGACGACGATTCAAATAAATCGTCATCATCAACATCAGATCCTTCCGCCCATTCATCCTGTTCAGCAATCTCAGGCCACTTGCGACGTATCGCGACCCATCGTGCCTTCATATACTCGTACCCCATACGTTTCCAGTCTAGCAAGTCAGACAGCCGCTCGGTACGGTTTCGTTGATTGATGCGTTGACGGCGGGATTTCTGACAGAAGTCCATCATGCTGTCTGTTAGCTGCTGGACGGACTCCTCGACAGATTTCAGACGGCGGTCTACGATATATATGCCATAGTCTTCTGGATGGGATATCATTTCAGACATGAAGCAGCCAAAGCCTGATAGGTTGGTCGTGATACTGGGTACGCCCATGACGGTACATTCGGCTGGTGTGTACCCCCATGGCTCGTAGTATGATGGGAAGACACCGAGATGGGTGCCTCGTACGAATTCTTCATAGTCCATGGATAGGAGTGGGTTGTTTACAGAGAGGAATTCGGGATGGAAGACTACTTTTACTCGGTCGCTGGATGAGTTGAAGAGGTGGACTGTGCGGACTTGGTTTAAGATTGGGTCGTTCAAGTCGTCGGCCATGTTGTGAGTTACGATGGGTGGGAGTGTGTCTCGTGATAATGCAAAAATGCGACGTTTAAGGACAATGTTGTTGGATGAGGATATTATTTGCGAGCTATCGGGTAGTTTTCCTCTAACAACGATGGTAGGGAAATGTCAGGTTTCTTTAATTTTCAAACGTGGAAAGAGGCTGAAAACACAAAGTGGTCATGTGGTGTTGAGTGTAGTGAAGGTGACCAGGCCAGTCGACAGAATAACGATGCGAAGAAAAGAACGACAACCCGTCACAATGTGGAGTCGGCACCACTAGACTGATACACTCAACTAATTCACTCAACTAGTACTATTCTTACCTGGCAGCTGCTTCAAACAGACGAGTACCAATATCACGTTGGACTTCAGCAACAGTATCACGAAGTTGCTTCATGACTGCTTGACCTTTGAGTGCTTCCACAGTATAGCTGTGAGTGGCAGCTGGCATGATGATGAAGGCAACCACAGTCATTGGAGAATTGTAGTGCTTCAACCTCGCATTCAAACCTATACAGTAATGATGAAAACTTAGTTTGCTGCGACACAAGCACGTTTTTACTACCACCACCAATCATTGCCAGCACTTACGAGCCAAAGCCTCAATAAACATATCAACACCCTTGTTCCTGAATTCATATCGCCCAGCAGTAAAGAAGTACAATGTATTATCTAAGTCAAAGTCCTGATGCCCATAGAAATGCCCCCGCACAAACTCGTGAATCTTTTCCTTTGATCGAGCATGGAGATTCTGGAACTCGTGCAGAGCAGCAAACTTCACGACATTCAAACCATTAGGTAATACACCATCCGGTTTACGTTTCAGCAACCATTCAGCTTCATATGCGGTGATGTGGGATACGGTAGTGAACACATCAGCACAGTGTGCCGCTGCGCGTTCAATACAATATCGGTGGTAGATGCCACGTTTGCCGGCTTCGTGGTCTACGTTGAAATATCGGAGATTGTTGTAAAAGTCGACGTCACCTGCGCACAGGTAGCGGCCGAGGAGAGTAGCGTGGGTTGTGAAGACTGTGGCGATTTGGAGAGCTCGTTTGCGGATTAGAATGAGGGCTACACCTGCCAGCCATTCGTGGAAGTGGGCAATGACGACAGGGTGCGGGTAGCCTGGTCGTCCGTCCAGACCGACGACAGGGCGATGCTATTGATGGTAGTGGTGTGAGGATGTTAAAGATTGAGTCAAATGATGGAAAATGATGGAATGTCATGTTTGACTTGTCACTCTTGAGCAAACAAATGAGTGTTCAAAATCAAAATGCTTACAAGCTGCTGCAAGTTATGAATAACTTCACCCAAGAACCACGCCACCAAATACCCAAACACTATAGTATCATTAGCCTCGGTATCATCAGGTGGAGATGGAATTCCAGCAATACTCCATAAATCCGACTTCCATTCATTCATCCGATCATAACCAGAAGCGATATCCAAAAGCAATACAAAAGGAGCACCTTCCACGAGCCATCGTCCAAATACATATTTCACACCTCTGGCAGAGAGTGATTTGAGGGTACGTCGTAGAGCTTCCCAAGGCGGATCATCTATGACTTCAACTTCAATTTTGGCAGTTGCCCATGCCAATGGCCCAATAAGACAATATCTGTCTCCGTATTCGTTGACTGTGACTGGACATTTGGTTTTTATGACAGTGTAGATTCCTCCGACTGTGGTAAAGAGTAATGTGAGTCAGTTTTAGTTTGAGGTGCAAGCTAGCTGAGTGTGGACAATTGGCAAGTTCGAGTACCCTTGTTTGCGACCTCCATAGCACATTCGAATAGAATTGGTTTATTTGCATCGAAAGGCGGTCTGCCTATCTCTGCCGTCGACATCTTGAGCTGTAAGACAAGGTTTGAGTAAATGTCTGACAAAATGTTGGCGAGGAATGCGTTGATGTCGTCGTTTCGAAATCGACGGAATATCGAATTGTTCAGGCACTCTGACAGTTCGTAATATTCTCCATTATGGTCCCCATATCATTCCAACGATCAAAATTTGAATTCAAAAACCGCAAATTACTTCAAGCCAGGCAAGCTTGACTGTAGCAGTCTTTCAGGTAAAAGGAAGATCAACAGAATGATTTACACGTACCTAACGTCTGATTGACCGTCTTCTCTTTGAATAATACACGCTATTGAATAACCGCTAGGGTCCTGCGTTTTTGCAAATGTTCACGTCAAGCGAAGGAAGTACCGCAACCAACTATAAAAAGCTTACGACGCCACGCGCTGGAAAATGGCTTCTATTGGCAAAATTTACACCTCTGAGAACAGCTTTGTCACGTAAGCTCGTGTCTTAAACTAGCTGGCGACCACACACTATTTTTCAACATTTTTTAACTGATGGATCAAACATAGGGCGAAACTGCTGATTATCGCCAAATATTCTGGCGTTTCTGTGCAAATAGAAACAGTCACCTCTCTGGACAAGTTGAAAACCAAACTTCCATTAACTAAACTCCCAGCATTTGAAGCTCCGGATGGATTTGTCCTATACGAGTCAAATGCAATCGCTTATTTCAGTAAAGAATCAAAACATTCTTATCATTTTATATTTTGATGCATGTCGTCTGACCCTTATTTGCACACTTAGTCGCCGCATCGTCAAAATCCAACATGTTGGGAGCTTCAATACCCGATGCTGCAAGAATACAGCAATACGTGTATCTCGCCATGAATGAAATCGCTCCTGCCCAGAGCGCATGGGTGTACGCTTTGCTTGGATGGGCTGGTAGTCAAGCTTCGATAAAGCAAGGACAGGACAGTGCGAGGAAAGTCATGAATGCGTTAAACATTCATCTCAAACAAAACACGTTCTTGGTCAGTAATTCGGTTACAATTGCTGATATATTTGTTGTGGTTGGGTTGTTGCCATTGTATCGTGTGGTAAGTGTTGGGTTGTCGTCATAACATCATATATCGCGTTCATACGTCTTTTTTCTGCTTTTAGGCATTCGACACAACATTCATATCCGAATTCAAGAACGTGAATCGATGGTTTTCGACATGTATCAACCAACCACACTTTGTATCCATACTGGGGAAAGTCGAGATACCTTGCCTGGGAGGTGATCCAGCCAAATACAAGGCACCTGCAAGAATCAGTGGGGCGGCTGCTCCTCCAAAAATACCTACTGGGAAATACCTGGTCAAGACTGATGCTCCAAAGAGAACTGTTGCATTGTCGTCAGAAGGTGTGTATTGCATATGTAAAGGTTTTTTTGGTGATTGTACAGACATTGACTTGGGTTTGTGTTATTAGAACGAGCGGTATTTGATACACATACTAAAAAATATCCATATCTGAATGATTTGGAGTCGAAGACTACTGTTGAGATTCAGAGTATGTTGATGAACATAACAAGTTGACGTTGGGGGTTTTTTGGCTCACCCTTCTCAAATATAGTGTCAAACCTGGACAGCTCCAGTATCGCATCGCTTTCAGCTTTACTAGCTCTGCCTCTGATGGTTCAGGACCTAAATCTTTCATGCAAGTTGACAGAATGTGCAATTGGATAACCCGAATGTTCACAGCTAACACTCCATTGTTGTAGCCAACGCACTTGGTGAAAATGGAGCTGCTGCTCTCGCTCAAGGTTTAGCTCTGAACAAGTCGTTGAAGAGATTGTATTTGTCAAGTATGATGGGACTTGCATACCTCAAACCTTTGCCATGTTTTTTGTTGACGGAACTCTCCTCCATATGCTGTAGACTGCTCTCTTGGAGATACTGGAGTCAAGTCTATGGCTGAAGCCTTGTCAAAAAATACATGTGTTGACGAAATCTACCTGTCACGTAGGTTATCGTTGCACGTCAACCTATGTCACCAGACTTTACTAACTGCGTTGATGGTATAGAAAATGGAATCACGGATGGTGGAGCTAAGCTTTTGGCTTCAGCTTTATCAAAGAACGCGAGACTTCAGCTTTTGTCATTAACAGGTACGACGGAATACCTTGTGTTTACATGAGATTTGAAATCACTGAAGGCATGTTTTTTTGTCACAGAAAACAACATTGCGGATGACGGAGCGAGCAAGTTAGCTGATGTAGCCAAGAATTCGAGCAGTGGATTGGTTATTCTTTATCTCATCAGTGAGTATACGTCGTTGTTCTTTGGTTTTGAGGTTGTCTGACCTTCTCGTCATAGAAAACAAGATCAAAGACGCCGGTGCCAAATACGTTGCGGGTGTATGGAATAGCATAAATCCTTCAAAAAGCGCCCTTGCAAAGGTGTTTTTGTACGGAAATGACGTGTCAGATGATGCAAAGGATGCTCTGAAAGGACCCGCAGTGACTTTATAGATATCGCTTGGTTTGCATAAGAGGATATTAATAGAATATTATCAAGACACTGCGTTTATTATCCAAAGGTTGTCTTCGTTTTTTTTTTGGATCTGCGGCAACTCACACAATTCGCTCCAACAACAAGTACTCACAACGATGCCACAACACCACTTCACGAACTGGTCGAGGACGTATTCATGCGATGCATCGCATTTCATTAACGCTCATAACGAAGACGATGTCACCAAGGCCATTGAACTTGCCCGTTCGATTCGTAAACCATTGAGAGTTGTTGGAAGTGGACATTCGCCTTCTGATATCGTATGTACTGATGGGGTATTGCTGAGTTTGGATCATATGAAGAGTGTAGTCAAGGTGAGTTGTCATGTGTTAGTATTGTTGAGTCTTGTTTGAGCAATGACATTTGGGCCGTGCTTGTGAAGGTTGATCTTAATCATGAATAAGCCGGGGATGCAATGTGTAAAGGCATAGATTGATTGTGTTTGTGCGTATATTTAGGTTGACAAGTCGTCAAATACTATTACAGTAATGGCTGGCATCAAATTATGGATGCTGAATGAAGTATTGCACAAGTTGGGATGGGCATTACCGAATCTTGGATCGATAGCTGAGCAGTCTATAGCTGGAGCTATCTCTACGTGTACGTGAGATCACGATTTGAATTCGAATGCCCAAAAAACCGGCCTAACCACTGTGATATAGGCACACACGGCACTGGAGTCTCACTCGGAAACCTATCAACAGCAGTAAACTGACTCGAACTTAAAGTCCTCGTTTCGTACATTCAGCTTATCCGTCTCTACATGTTAGGTAGTAGGCCTTACACTAATAAACGCAAACGGCACCATCCAAACAATCACCAAGAACGACAACCCATCACTCTTTTCAGCTGCAGCATGCTCTCTTGGTGCCTTAGGCGTCATAACACGAGTAACGCTCAAATGCCCTAACTCATTTCGATTAAAGGCATACCAGTTGCCAATCAAATTTAACGAGATGGTTGAATCATTTGACCAGTTGGCTGCTTCTGCTGATCATGTACGGTTTCATTGGTTCCCATTGACTGAGGATTGTGTTATGTGGAAGGCTGGGAAGACTGCTGAGGTAAGACAGCCATGACGAATTTTGAGCTGTGTAGGACTGCCAAAAAAACCGGCTATCAAAACAACTAAATAGGCGATACAACCTGCCAAATCAAACTGGTGGAATGACAAACTCCGTGGCTACTACCTATACGAAGCCGCACTGTACGCATCAGCCTTCCTTCCATCCATAACACCAGTCCTCAACCGTGGCCACTTTGCACTAGCAGCCGGTCCAACAAATCAACCACCATCCGTTATCATTGACGACAGCTACCGCGTATTCGCCATGGAATGTCTGTTTAGACAATACGTATCTGAATGGGCTATCGATCGGAAGGATGCTCCTGCTGCGTTAAAGCAATTAAAGGCACTGATTTTGGAAAAGAAGTGGATGGTACATGCGCCTGTTGAGGTGCGGTTTGTGCAGAAGGATGATATCATGCTGAGTCCTGCGTATCGGAGGGATACGTGCTATATTGGGATTATTATGTACAAGTAAGTTTGGTTGTGAGGAAACAACATGGAATATGATTGGACCCTTTTTTTGTTTCACTAGACCATACGAACGAACAATCCCTCATGCTGAATATTGGACTGGATTTGAGAATATTATGAAGTCATTTGGTGGGAGACCACATTGGGCAAAGGTAATAGCCGGTCGTGCAAAAAAATCCTTAGAGAAGGTTTTCATATCACTGACTGTGTCGTCTCTGTCATTAGGCCTTCCAATTAGGACCATCGGAACTATCCAAAATATATCCTCGCTTCACGGACTTTGTTGATTTGGTCAGGAAAATGGATCCTGAAGGCATTTTCGCAAACGATTATATCAAACGACATATTCTTGGGAGCAAGAATCCTGCTTCTGTTACATCCAAACTATAATAAATTCGGTCTACTCTCACTCTACATGTCTTTGGTTTCGAAACTAATGGGATCGTATCTGTTGAATTTCTGGATGGCAACGCAAACCTTTGGAAGAGCAAAACTTCTTTCTTGGGAGTCGGCATCGTGCTCGACGTGCTTCAAGTCAACAGTGGCATATGGTTTCAGAGTGTAAACCTTGAAGTAAGGTACACATCTGTGCTCGTTTCGTGGTTGTTAAACACAACAGTCATCTGTTAATGATCTGGAAACGAAGAATAACGTTGAACTTCGACGTCAGTTGTAGAATGTGGAAGGGCATGCATTCTTCTCCAATAGCATCTCACCTTTTTTGTATATAAAATAGTTACAACCCTTAGGGACCACTTTCATTCGTCAGAGTCAGTTTCAGGTCAATGGCTCCGGGTCTAATCTTTCAAAACTAGACTTCTTCATGCTTGTTTGATAATGTGTACTTTGACATCAACACGGACGAAAACCTCTGGTTATTATTAGTCTAATGCTCCTTACTTTTGGCCAGCAATTTGGAAAAGACAGCAGGTGGACCAGCAAATCAACCACCCTCCGTAGTAATTGGCGACAGCTACAGTGTATGCGCCATGGAATTTCTATTCAGATCATGCGTATCTGAATGGGCTATCGATCGGAAGGATGCTCCAGCTGCGTTAAAGCAATTGAAGGCACATATCAAACACAGAACAAGAATGCTCGTCGTAGACATTGCTTCGGGTAGTTTAGAGAAACTCAACATGTTTCCCTCCGTAGACAGCTTCTTGCCACACTGACGAAATGAACGAACAATCCCTCACACTCAATGTAGGATTTGATTTGAGAATATCAGAAATTCCATTTGGTGGAAGACCGCATGGGGAAAGGGTGGAATTCACAAAGCAAAAGAAGTGTGCGTTCGAGATAAATGACACTTATGCTTGTCGTCCTTGTGTGTGCCTCTTTTCAAGTAGGACCATCAGAGCTATCAGTCGAACGTATGCTCACTTTACAGGCCTCGTTGATATAGCCAAGAAAATGGAATCCTGAAGACACCTTTGCAAATGACTGCATCAGACGACACACCCAAGCAACCAAAACTGCCAATACCATTCCAAACTACATTAAAAGAATTGTGTGTCTCTATTTACAACTTATCCTCTTTGAAACAATGGAGCAACGCCAATTTCATCAAAACCACTATAGACATGTCCCTCAACTCAGATGGCGAATCCAAAGACATTAACTATGACATACATTGTCTTTGAGTCGTACTTGTAAGTGACAGATCCTAATAGAAACAGGTGGTTAGGATGCAGGACCTGTGACCATTGTCGTTTTGTGTTTGTGTGTTTGTGTTGGTATACCATCAGTGGCTGCATCCCAGTAGCACGATGAAGCAGCATGCAGACCAGCACCGTTTTTCTGCATTATCGTGCATGTTACTAGGTATGAAATATAAAACGTAAGATTCAGCATTCAAGGAGCAATCGAGTTCGTAGGGTGATGGAATGGAGAGGTTTTTTTGGGCCATACCTATATACTTGAATGGTCGATTCAAGCCACTTAATTTCTTGAGACATTGTTCAATGACGTTGCTATTCCATTGGGATACTTTGCCGTGATGGTATGGCGCGTTTTGTATCGTTGATTCGATAGACTAGCGGGTAATAAAAAGCGATAAAATGGTAGGAATATGGTTACTCATAGGATACACCATCGTTCTCTCGTACCTCTTTTACAATGTTGGTAACGTCTTCTGCCACAAATGCTTTCTATAATAAAAGTTGGCATGAATTTTTGATGAGTTGCGTTGTAGTGGTGAATGCGTTAAGGAAGAAGGTGACGACAATGGATTTTATGCATGTAAGATCTAAATTTTGTATTGCCTGACAGCAACTTGAAGGATCATATTCGTCGGTTTTTGCCTTGTCTCTTCAACTTTTCTTTAAACAAATGAATTGCACAGTCTGTGATAGTTCTTCAAGAAGCAAGTCCGAAATGCAATGATACAAGATATGATCTGTGTGATCCCACTTACCTCTTCGTTGATCTCGTCCATTGGAAGCAAGACTGACAAGTTATTGATGTGTTTTCGGGAATTCTGAAATCTAGAGGTATGTGGAGTTCAAATGGAGTTGATAAACAGTGTGAACGGACGTGAGATATAGTTTGGTGAGTCAGGATGCGATTTACGTTACAAGATACAGCTGTTTGGTCTCTTTTGGAATGACATTGAAGCTCAACATACACATTTGACCCCTTATTAGAACTGGAATTGTGAACCTGTACCTTGTCGTACGTAGCAAGATCACGATTAAGAAATGAAGAGTCATCCCTCTCCGAACGTTGCCAATCCAAATGGAGATCGTTGAACGAATCTCGTCGAGATTTCAAGCTTATCGAACTCTGAAATTTCGAAAATACCTTTGTCGATATTTGACGCGTCTCATCTGTCTTGACAAATCTGTGTTTCACGCACTCCTTCCCACACTGCTCCAAAACGCTCGCACCAAAAACAAATACACAAACACAAAAACAATGCACATCCTCGCCTACCTATTCATAATCACCTGCGTCTACCACATAACATGCACTCCAAACCCAATCATCATCAAAGGCTCGAAATTCTTTGACTCGAAAACGCATGCCCAGTTCTTCATCCAGGGTGTCGCATACCAACCACAGAAAGATGGCAAGATTATTGATCCGATAAGTAACGCACGTCGTGCTGAATGGGGTCGTGATTTGAAGCTTATGAGGGGGTTGGGTGTTAATGTTATTCGTGTTTATGAGGTGGGTAGTGCATTTGATTCTAGAGTGCATGATTTGAACGATAATGAAACGCTTTTGTGCAGGTGGATCCAGACGTCGAACATGATGAATTCATGAATGCTTTGGCTCAAGGCAATGTGTATTTGTTGCTGGATGTTGGATCTGGAAAGCAGTCCATCAATCGTGCAAATCCTTCGTATACGGTGGAGCTTTTGAAGGGATATGTGAAGACTGTTGATGCGTTTTCAAAGTACGTATTAATAAGCGTGTATACAAGGAATAATTGTATTTCATCCAAACTATCTATGTGCACAATTTTCTTTGATTAGGTACGATAACTTATTGGGCTTTGTTGGAGGGAATGAAGTCATCAATAAAGCGTCTAATACCAATGTGAGTGTTATTAGAGATATGAGTAACTTCGGTTTTTTTTGTGTGCCTAAGAATACTTACTTCCTTTTACTTCAATGATAGGCTGCTCCATTCGTCAAGGCCTTGATCCGAGACTTGAAGACGCACATCAAGGAAACTGCTCCTCGACCAATACCTGTTGGTTATGCAGCTACAGATGACGACGCTACGAGACTTGCTGTTGCTGCTTACATGGCTTGTGGTCATGCTAATGAGACGGCTGATTTCTTGGGAATCAATGTAGGCTTTGGATATAACGTATTTTTGCTCGATATGACAAAACTCCAACACCATCTTCGTGACCTATAGCTCTATGAATGGTGCGGCAACAGCTCGTATGAAATCAGTGGATACAAGGATCGAACGGAAAACTTTAAGAATTATCCGATTCCAGTGTTTCTTTCTGAGGTAAACGAGTAAATATCTGTATAATCTAAAAACGAAGGAAGCCATCGATCGTTTACCATTCTACGTCCTTTTTCTATAGTATGGATGCAACATGCCACTTCCTCGAACGTTTACCGAAGTAGCCACTATATATGGTCCAGACATGACACCTGTCTTTTCAGGCGGTCTGGTATACGAATATAGTGACGAAGGCAACGACTATGGCCTTGTCAAAATATCTGCATCCAACACGACCATACTGCCAGACTACTACACGTTCAAGAATGCTCTATCACAAGAACATCCACATGGTATATCTATGGATCAGCAATCTGCTACATCACCATTATCAACATGTCCGAGTCAAAGCAGCACATGGTTGGCAACCTCAGTACTTCCACCCACACCCAACTCGTGCATTTGTGATGCTATGGTAAAATCGTTGACATGTGTCTCGTCGTCTATGGTACAGACAGCATCAGCCAATACTGTAGAATCCACCTTGTCTAAAGTGTGTGGGATGTTGCATGCTCAGAATCCTGACGATGCTTGTCCAGAGATTGCACCTGGAAATGGTACGTCGGCTAGTGGGTATGGGGTTTATAGTGCGTGTTCGTTGGAACAGAAGCTTAGTTTTGCTATGAACAAGTGAGTGCAAATGCTTGCAAAAAAAACGTTCCTTTGAGCTTTGAAAATCTGATTCCTTTTCCACTCGTTAGATTCTACTTCAAACAACAGTTACGAGTTCGATCTGAAGCATGTGATTTTGCAGGAATGGCTCGATTGGTGTTGTCTCGAACTAGACCCACTTCTGCAAAATCAGTCGATACAGCCCAATGCACTTCTGATTCAATGTCTTTTCCATCGTCTGATAGTAAACCTGCTAGATCTGGTACACGAATAGTAGTTTACAGTATAATTTCATTGTATTTTTGGGTGCTCGTTTTGCTCATAGTGTTATAAATAACATACAAGTTGGCGGTGCATACATACAAACAATATTTATATTTAACGGACACCGAAGCCCATGGCATCTTCCACGGCTCTGGCTGCTCGAGATTAGTAGCTTGCACACAGATCTTCGCCAGATATCTGCTCCCTTAAATCTGACGGATTACCTGGCAGACTCTCCATATGTTCAATGATATTCATGGTCATTATCAAGGTCGCCCATCTTTTCTTTATCGATTGCGGCTTGTAGTGGCATTGTTGGGGTAATAAGAAACGTCAACATCATTCAGCGATTTCTCCCCAAAATTCCAAGATTATTCCTCATGCGCCACTCGGTTTGGCCTTCTCTATGCTTTCAGACTTATAAATAGATATTGCTGGTTTTCCCAAAGTAATACAATTTACAAATTTGCAGAAAAAAACTCATGGTTTAGCAATAATTCAGCTGGTTGACCCTCGAAGAGCTCAGCGATCAAAGATGAAGGAATGTGCGCCCGGAAATCATCGACCATATAGGCGACCGACTGAATATCGTTCTTTGGACAATAATTTCCACCTTCGTCTGTTGAACTGCCAACAGCCGGAGCCCTCCAATGATTCAAAGTAAAAAGCGGTCTAGTGTAAGGTCTACCACCATTTTCCAGGTCTATTATCACCCAAGTCGTTCCACTAGTACGGATTACATTCTCCCAACTTACTAATACACAAAGATAGACTCAGCATTAAACTATCCGGTTTGCGTGAAATCCTGATTCATTACTCACAATCTCTATGCACCAGGTTGGCTCGGTGTAGAGTCAACAATCCTTTCAATATACATTTTAAGCAGTGCTGCAACTCCTTGGCATTAGATGGACGTTGATGATATCCAAGAGGCTGTAATGTAACCCGATATACGTTTTTCTCGACACGTGGCCCAGTGAGCGCGTGTATGACATATGGAGTCGTAGCAGCAGCAGCATACAGATCAATCAGGGCCTAGTGAAACTACAATGAATATTCTACATGGCAATTTTACGTTAAAGCAGTAAATGCACTTACCGTCAGATCTGACCAAACGTAGCGATTGAATCCCGCAATCTTCTTGTCAACACGATCATCATACAGAATCAGCGTACGTATCTAAAGGACCACAGAAATACTGAATAAATAGGTAAATGCCACGCCAGTACCAGAATCGTAGCGACGCACGATTTCCATCTCTTTAGATAAAACCTTGATATCTGGCTTGAAAATACTTAATCGGATATTGTCCCATCATATTCATTGTAAGCTCGAAGAACACGACAGTAGTTCAACATTATGACAGACGCTCTGATTCGAGACATTGGCGTCCGGAGATCGAGAAGTGGACTGACAAATCTAAGGCTTCTAGACTTGTCCAACGAGAAAAACCTGGAAGGATGGAAAAGAGGTTATAAATGGGCTCAATGAAGTTCGGGCTTTCACTTACTGCACCAACGTTCCACAGGTAGCGGTACACAATTACATAGGCTGCGGACCATAAGTCACTACTGACCAATTAGTCGCCTTCTCAACGAGCCCCTGTCGAGGAATCTCGATTGGGCTACCACTTTTCTTCTCTTCGGCTTTATATATCAATCGACCGTTCAGCCATATACAGACGTCAGGGCTCTTTTGGTGCAGCGTAGCGGAAGACACATCCATCTTGTCTCGATTGTACTCTACAACCAAGTCCGACAGTTTACAAAAATACAGCAAAGGCTTCAATATCACATCATCCCATAAACTGATAACTATTGACACGAAAGCCTATCAGCCCAACTCGCCTACAAGACGAGAGACAAGGACCTACACATTTTTTCGTTGCCATTTGCAGGTATACTGTCTTGGCGAACTACTTTTGACCATGTACGTAGCCAAGATTCAGGAGCAGAAGGGTCGACCGTGAGGTATTTGAGTTGGTCGAGGTCTTCTTTGTCACCAATCCATTCTCTTATAGGACAAGGTTGAGCAGGAGATGTTTTCAGGAAGGATATAATGCTCTCAGAGTCCATGCGCCCAGCGCAACGAGAAAGCAGAGTCTGTATCAAACCAGCGATTGTAAATTCTGTTTGCAGAAGAAGTGAGCCAAACATGGGACTTTCAAGCATCGAGTCAACGTCGGTATTGAGTGTTTCATGGGGGGCTTTTCTTGCGAGGCAGCGTTGGGCGCTGTAGTTACTTGGTCCTTTCATGTTCAATGACATTCTACTAGCTTGAGAAAGCGTAGGTATGACGACTCTCAGTGGATTGTCATAACTTGTATTGGTGATGTCTTTGATTGCAGCATTTGATTTGAGTGGCTGTTTGCATTCCGGATCAGTATACACATGCAATTCAGCAACAGCGACATCATCCAGCCTTGGCTTGAATGTATCCTTCACCAGTTGTTTCAAATCATGTACAATGCTATCTGCAGGAAACTTCACTGGAGCTGGTTCCATGCCTTCGACCTCAATAGGGACATTGTCGGCGTCTCGCTAGTATAGCCTGACCCATACCACTGCCGTCTCCATGGTGCTCTTATACGGCAAGTATACATATATACCTTTGTTTGCGATTTTTACGAAAGATGGAGTAGAGAGACTGCATAACGAGACGCGACAAAGAATGCCAGAAAAATATGCTAGATTATGCCAATATTCAATGTATGTTGCTATTGTCGAGTAAAGTTAGCGTTTTTTGCTTGGACAGTCTCTTTGGATCATCTCCCATCCAAACAGAAAACCTGCGAAGTTTGGCAGCACGAATCGATTTTGTATTAGTGAAAAGGAAGGAACAAGATTCCATCTAGATTGTGCTGCTACAGGCAACCTGGATGAGTCTACTACTGTGCCGTATCAATCATGGAGACCAACAATCAAACCTTTCCACAAAGAACCGTCCAACAATCAATAATACCGACGAAACCGAGTCAACCAGTCCAGACTCTCCTATCTCCTGCTGGATTCCCACCATTTAGAAGCGGAACTGTGCCTAAAGAACCATCGCCATTGTATTCAACTCCTCCTCCGGCTAGCAATCAATCAACGTCCAGTACGACTACTACGACGCAAGGGAGTAGCAACAATGCTGTATCAAGTAATAGCAGTAATAGTACAACAACCACCAATGCACCATCTACAGCATCGCATCCGCCAATACCGTCCACCCATAATGTAATGCCTCATACAATGGCTGCTTTCACAATCCCGTCCAATACTCAATCCACGGCAATAGGTCTAGCACCGTCTCTGCTACCTCCACCACCATCGCAGCAACACTCCAATAATATATACTCTCAGTCGCCACAACACCATCCTCAGCAACCAGCACAGATCAAGACTGGATCAAACCATTTGTCCGGAACGGGCTCGCCATTACCACCGCATCAGCAGCAACGGAATACGAATAATACGGGGTATACGAATACCAGTGCTGGGAATACTCGAGATCAACAGCATCTGTCACCTGGTAGTGCTAGCATGCCAGCAACTACAGCACCACAACCAACCGCAAACCCATTCGCATCGTCACAGCAGCCATCGATATATGCCGCTCCGCCTCTTAAAAAGGATGCTGCTCCTGCTCCCTTTGGTGCGAGAGGTAGAATAGGCGTCCCACAGAATAATAGCAGCAGTAGTAGTAATAACACGTCACCGCTACCCCCAATACCAATCTCACCGTATACAACCGCCGTGTCTGCAAACATGTCGTCGATACAAAACATGGCGCAGTCGAATAGCAATAAGGGGTATAGAGTCGCGCATGCTATGGATCAGGCAATGTATGACGATGAATCGCAAATGATGATGACTAACAGTCATTCGGGAGTCATGTCGCATCATCCTGCTACGTCTGCAAGCAATAGCAGTCTGATACCGAGACAAGTCCATGAGGATCATATAGTGAGTGAAGAAGAAGCTGCTTGGAATAAAAAACGTAAAGCCATACCGCAGGAAGAAACGCTAGGACAGTTCCTAGGTCTGCCCAAACAACAGCTGCATCAGTTTCAGTTACAGCAGGATGATCGCAAGAAACGTAAAGTGGGAGATGTTGTCGTCATTAACGATGATTCGCTGTGCAAGATACCGGATGGAGTCACTGAAAAGTTTTTGGGACATGTAGTGTATACAGGTGCTACAGTAAGGGGTAGCAATATGAAACAATTTTTGTTGCCGCCATTCTCGACACGAGATCATTATGCTACTATTGAAGTGCGTGTGCCCGCAAAGTACCTGTCAGTTAAAGATAATATTGCTGTCGCTAACATGGCTGTATGGGGTACAAATGTATATACTGATGATTCAGATGTGGTCGCTATGGCTGTACATGCTGGGTTCTTCAGACCGTATGATGGTGTCAAGGTCGATGGTGCTGGTGCAAAGAGTGAACCGAATAGTGCTGCTGGAGTGAAGGCTGAAGTTAAGGCTGAAGTCAAACAGGAGAGTCATGTTGCTAATGATGCGAAAGAAGACGCTAAATCTGCCGATGCTTTGAATGATATAGTAGGAGTAGGGACCAGGTCTGATGATAAACAAGCGAACAATGTCAATAATAGTAGTAGTAAAGCGTTAAAGAATGGCACACCAACACCACCACAGCAATCCGAACCAGTATATAATCTCTTTGAAGTACAGCCACCATCACCAACAATACCAAAACAACGACTACTGCCTCCTCCACCGTCAGAACCCATTCAAGGGGAATTCAACCCGAAAACAAATACACCATCACACGATATATCAGTCACATTACGTATCTTGCCACAACTATTGCATTACTATCCATCAATGAGACATGGCATCACATCTCGAGGATGGGGTAGTAGTCACGATGGTGAATCACTACGAGTAGAATCCGTGACGATTATAAAAGATAGGCCACCTGTAGATTCGTCTGGACGTAAAACTGGATCTAAGGAATGGAATGTCTTTGCCCGTGCTGTTGCTCTAGATATGCTTGGAGTATCTAGTAATAATAGCCCACAGCCAATGACACGACCACAAGAGGGATGGGAGACTGAATACTCGTTAGGAGGAGGTGTCACCGTTGTCTTTTCACCTCTTACAGGAGTAGCATGTCTGAAATATGCAGCCAAGATATTACTAGATTGGCCGCCGCATCTACGGGACTTGTATGCAGCAATCCAGAACCCTGTATATGGACAAGTTGTGTCTGTGGATGGGGATAGTGCTGATGGCTTTTCGAGAGCTGAAGTACGACATGCTGGATCTGAAGGGTGGCCGTACTGGAGGCTGAAACTGAATCGTGGTGACGTGTTGTGTATAGAGGATTCTGATAACAAGGGGTACGTCTTATACGGACTTGGATTGAAAAGGGGGGTTTTTTGGATTGGAAACTAACTGTGCATATTTTACAATCAACTAGGTATATAATCAAACTGGAATCTGCCACCCAAAAGATAATTTTGCACGAGCAAGGAGGAGCAGCAGCAACAGCAGATCAAGACGATGCTTCGTCTTCCAACAAGAAAAAGGATGTCAAGGGTATTACATGTGAGCAATTGAGATGGGAGCCTGAAGGACTGTATATTATGAATGGTGGTGGTGTATCGAATCCTCCTACTCTGATTGCTGCTGAGCGTGTATACTGGAAGAGCAGGCTGTCTGCTGCTGAGGCTTCATTGTAGTGTAATTTTTTTGCTTGTAGAGACGTACTGATGGAAACGGTCAATATAAAAATGAGGATATATTTGCAATGATACAAAAAATAGTGAGGGATTGTTACTGCATGCGATTAAAGCGTTATGCTGATTCTTGCTACTTGTAACTTGCGTCTTTTGGTGCGTATCACAAGGCTCGACAACACTTCTGCCTTCACATCTTTGCAGCATAAAGCTTTCAGATCGACTTACAAGAGTATACTAGATCATATCTTCAAAGGCTTGCAATAATGGCACAAGCACAACCAGACTACTCGACCCTAAACTCGGAACTGATCAAGGTCGAACTCAAGGACTATATCGGCGTAATCACATTAAACAGACCTGATATTGGCAATCTCTGGAGTGATGATGTTGCTAAAGAGGTGAGATTTGTGTGTATAGATGATTGTTTATGTTGGGTGATGGAGCTGGGGGTTGGCAACATCAGGACATTTCCCACGTTTGTGAGCTAACAAATGGAATGTTTGGTGGACTTAGGTTATTAACGCCTTCCAGACGCTTGATGGCGATGATTTATGTCGGGTTATGGTTATTACTGGTGCTGGGTATGTGATTTCGTGTCTTGCAAAAACCACGCAATGGAAGCTCAAACCAACATTTTATTGTCTCTTGATCATTGACCTATAATCTAACAACGTTTTCAACTCACAGACGAATATTCTGCGGCGGCGCCGACTTCCGCGGTGGCAAAGATTTCGCATCTCGCAACACCACATACCCCACAGGCGAGCACTACCTCCTCGCACGTGAGGGAAACGGCACGCTCGCGCTGCAGCAGTTGCGTAAACCAACCATTGCGGCCATCAACGGTGCCGCTATCGGTATGATTCATCTCATTTAACTATAAAAACAAAAGCTGAAGCATGATACCATCCACAGGCATCGGCGCCACATTCCCTCTAAACCTCGACATCCGCATAACCCACCGTAAAAACAAGATCGGATTCGTCTTCAACCGCCGTGGAATCAACCTCGAAGCCGCTTCATCGTGGAACCTGCCACGTCTCGTTGGCCATGCACGCGCAATGGGGATTGTGTTGCGAGGCGATATACGTGCTGCAGAGCATCCGAGCTTGCGCCCGTTATGGGAGACGCTTGTCGAAGCGCCTGAGGATGTTATGCCTGCTGCGATGGCGCTAGCGAAAGAGATTGCGGTGCAGGCTAGTGTGGTTAGTAATATTGTGAATAAGGCGTTGTTGCTGCATCCGAAAGGTACGGCTTGTGATTTTGCAATATATATATTTGGAGATGCTGATTATTTTTGCATGTAGATACGGCAGGACAGCAGAGTCATTTGGAGGGGACTGCATTGTTTTATCTGGGTGGATCTGCGGATTCCAAGGAGGGCGTCCAGAGTTTCTTGCAGAAGAGGGATCCGAAATACACGAGTGTGCCGTCAAGGGATGTGCCGCCGTTTATGCCGTGGTGGTGAGTTGAGAGAAGATGAGGGCTGTTTGGCGAGGCATTGGATGTTTGTTGCAGGGGCAGTTTCTTTGCGCAGTTTTCTCACCTTACTTGTCAACTTAGGTCGACGCCTGATATGTCCAAGGGCAAGTATAAGCTGTAAAAGATGCAAGCTGAAGCCGTGGTTTGTAGTGGTACTTGGTACTAAAGTTGTTCCATCTCAGACAAAAAATGAAATACAAAAAGAGTCAGTTGTACTACTAAACTTGAAAGATTTTATATGTTTCAATTGAAAATACAAAGGGGAATTGATTAAGTAAAAGGTTTAAAAAGTTGACTGAGTGTAGAGCAAAAAAACTCAACTACGATTATTCATAGATCGAATCCATCAATCTTCATGCAAGACATCCTCATCTCGCCCACCACCACCATTATCACTATTACCCTCATCGTCAAATCCAGCACCAGCGCACCCACACGCATCCGTTATCTCCTCCACACTCGTCCAAAACGCCGTATCCATCCCCTCCGCATCAACGAGCTCCTTGACCGCACACGTCAGCGCATTTCCCTCCACCTTTAATAGCAAACCCAGCGCCGCCCACCTCCTAGCCCGTAGCCAGTGCTTGACACTATCTATAAACAGACGTGTAGCAGTCTGTGATATGATCATTGCGACTATAGCGAGTATCCATGATGTGATGGCTACGAGGGCCATCATTACGAGCAGTAACCGTGCGTCTAGGAGCACGTACTGCTGCTGATCTACTAGTGGTGACTGTGTTGGTGTTTGTATTGTGGGAGAAGATGGTGTGGTGTGGGACCATGATGTTGATGGAGGGATGTATATGTTTGCGGTGTGTATTCGTAGTTTGGGTGCCTGCGGCTGCAGTATCACTGACTCTATAGGTATATTATCACTGGTGGTTGATGATGATGTGCTATTTGATGCGCATCTGGTTCGTATGCCGAGGTAGTCCGCTAGAGATGGCTTGAATGATGCGAATAGTTGTGAGAATGTGCATGTCCAGTAGTCCATGTTGCTTGTTTGGTTGTGGGAAATCGATTCCGAGTAGAACGAAAGAGAGGACATTATTGGCCGATAGCCCCCAAGTAAGTTCACCGAAATGGAGGCCTATGTATGAGTGTTCGTAGTGAGATTGATCTCGTTCGTTGAAGCTTTGGATATCTCAGATCGATCAAGCTTTTGTAGCTGTAACTTTTTGTACGTTTTGAATGTTGAACTTACAAGACTTGACTATAATACTAGGCCACTAGGAAATGAATTGTCGATCAATTCTACGCGATGCCAGCCTCATACACCGCTGTACATCCAATCTCGTGCACAAAACACCAACATCAAAAATGACACGTTCTACATTCCATGTAAGCTTCCCCCTTTATGTTTTTTGACTCAAACGTTGAGGTAAAATCGCTCACCAATATGAAAATCTATGCCATAGCGTCTATTCTCATCAGACACACCACCGTCCGGCATAGGAACAATCCCATTCGTCGAACCTCCATCCGAAATAATACCATTACGCACTGGATCTTTACGTGCAACACTCCTGAATCGACCAAAGGCATTAAATGCACTCAGTTTATCAATGATGAAGTCATTGACGAATCATTTGACTGACTTTGATCGTGATTTGACGGGTATGGCGTTGATGATTAGCAAGTATGGAGAGTGTAGGGCGTTTTGTTCGGGTGGTGATGCTAAATGTGAGTATAGAAAGGAGTCTATTGTTGTCGGAAAGAGCTGAAGAATCATACCTCCTGATTTATATTGCGTGTGTTTTTTGTTTGTTGGAGTGATGTTGCTCCAATTTGGAAATGGGAATCTATGTCAAGCCCATGCGTTTACGCTTTCTGTATACCTTCTTTTAGCTGTGGCAACATACTTGTCAAGTGGTGATGAACAGGGTAAAGCTTCTGCATATGAAGTCTTAACTACATTGTACAAGACTTGCCATGCTATCGGAACGCTGAATACGCCGTTAGTGGTCGTAATGGATGGCTATACTAGTAAGCAAATGATATTTTTTTGTTTCTTTGGAGACTTCTCGCTCTTACAGAACTCATTTTATTAGTGGGCGGAGGTCTTGGACTATCAGTACACGCTCCAATCCGAGTCGCAACCGAAAACACATCAATATGGGTCCCTGAAGGTTCCATTGGTCTCTTCCCAGACTCTGGTGTCGCATGGTTTCTAGCTCGTGGTATTGACGGTCCTGCTGTTGGATCCTATCTGGCGCTCACAGGACGCAAGATTAATGGCATGGAGGCTGTGTATGTAATATGGTTCAGCGCAAAAGAAACAATCCGCATTCGCATCAATGCCTCTGCATTTTAGGCTATCAGGATTCGCAACACACTTCGTACCATCCGACCGTCTCCCAGCAATGATTGACGCATTGTCAGATCTGCGGACGACTGATTTGCGAGTTATTGATTCAGTCATTGAGGATTTCGTGGGCAATGCTCCATCTGTTGATGAGTGGAGTAATTGGGCTATATCTGGTGATGTGAGAGATGGTATTGAGAGGTGCTTTAATTCTGCGTCGTTGGGGAGTATTGTGAAGGCTCTTGATGCTGAGGTTTGTGTATTACGGCAGCGAAAAGAGCAGATCGTCAATGTTGACTTATGTTTTTCTCTAGAACTCATTATGGTCTTCGGAAACACTGAAATCAATGCAAGCACAATCACCGACTGCTATGAAAGTCACCGCTGAGCTAGTACATCGAGCTCAGAAATTGGATTTTGCGAGCTTTATGAAACTTGAGCAGAGGTTGGCTTGGTTTTTTACGGTATGAGTGATTTTGTCCTGGTTCTGTTTTATATTTTCTGAAGTGCTAGTTTTCTTAGCATACTGTAAAAGATTTCGCAACTGGAACAGCTGCAAGTAGATTGCAGTCAAAACAAGAGTCAGTACCAGCATGGAGCCCTACATGGGAGGAAGTTATAGATGGAATAGCGTTTACTGATAACGATGTGAAGATTGTGTTTGGAGATCAGGATGCGTAAGTGTTGGTTAATTCCGAAGGTTGAGAATTCAAAAGTTGATAGTTGCATTTTTTCCGCGATGTCGAGTCAGACCTTGCATGACACTCTTTTCTCATTTTTACAGCAAAATACCCGAAGACGCACTCCTCCCACCCCTAACAACCCAACCCACCCTCTACAACACCAAAACCTTCCAAAACTACATTGGCCACACAGTCGTCGGCGTGCCCTCCGAAGAAGACGTCCGCAAATTCATAACCGGTGAAGCATCCGGCGCAGGCTCATTCGCATTCACGCGAACAGAGCTTATAGACTGGTTTGCTGCTAACTGGGGTGCGTTCTTGGATCAAGAGCACCTGACTCCTATCAGCGTTATTGATGGGAGTGGGACTGGTGGTAGTCGGTATATAGATCCCAATTACGATGAGGTGCATGGATTGGGTGCTGGTGGGAGACGGAAGAGGGAGAGATGGGGTGTGAGACAGAGGATTGAGAGTGTTGTGAATAGGAGGTGTAGTGAGAAGGATGGGTACTTGAAGTGGAAGGGCTGAATTCATGAGGTAGATCATGGAGAAGATTTTTTGGTATGGTTGATTACTTGGAAGCCATTGTGGGGATATCTTAGGGAGGATTTCTGTTGCATATATAATTGTACAAAGCATCGATATTAAGACAATGTGACAATACGTTATCAACACGACGCGAATATGTCAAACTCCAATGCGTCATTTTTTTGCCTGCAGTTGAAATAGATTTGCGACATTCATAGAACATGATTTCATATTATTTGGAGACTCTCGCTGTTTAAAATCTTGCACACAAACACAATTACAATTTCTGACTGGCAGAACTGCCAAATCCAGTCAGCTTACTCAACGGACCACCATCTAAAACTTCCAAACAGATATCACCCAATTCACGGAAATTGACGTAGTTTGCTGCGTATGCTGAGTTGTTCTATATGTGATGATGTCAGGTCAGTGCTTTGAACCTTACGGAGCAGAAAACCGATTGGATATTCAGGAAATGATTGGTTTACCTGACCAAGAGCAACTCGTGCAGCGATACCTTGCCTTATGACAGTACCTATAGAAAAAAATGAGGGATGAGTTGGCTTGCAATCTTGCTTCGTTGTATGGCTCTGGTCCTGTTTTTGTGCATGGAACTGCGGTTCATAAAGAACACCGACACACACCTCTAAACATGGCAAACACAATACAAAAAGCCCAGTTCTTGATTGGGTATTCACGGCCTGCTGTTTGGCAGCTGGTGAAATACAATGTGGTTAGGAGTGTGTTGACAGAGCCGATATAAAGAAACTTATATCATATCCTCTCATATCGCTTACTATCGTCTAATGAGCTCATCAGCTTCCGGAATAGGGAGAGGACGGGGGGCATCACGTAACCCTTTGGGAGCAGGGGTGTACCACATTTGTGGTGTGTGGGCCAAGTCTGCTAAGGGGTGGCCGATTGTGCTTAGTTCTATAGATGGTATGAAATAGTTAATATACTGAGAGCTTTGTAGGAAGAGCGGTTTCATGAAAAATAAATGGGTGAGTTTTTTTCCTACGTACCCCAATCCAAAACAGCAACAATCTTAGGCTCGTTCATGTCGTATATGACATTGTCACTTTTAATGTCGCCGTGGAAGAGTGTTACTGTTGTTGCGAATGGTGTGAGTACATCAGCCAAAAAAGAAAGGTTAGTCCATGGCTACATGTTGGAACATCACACACCTTCATCAGCAACCATATTCTTCCTCAACCAATCTTCAAGTTCGTCTTGTCGTGTCATTGGTCCAATTGGATTTCCAGTCTTGTCTTTTACGCTTCCTTGAACTGGTTGAACAGATGTCAATTAGTATACTGCCAAAGAATACCTCCCACAAGAATAGTAATACCTTTAGACAAGTTCGACAAATTCTTCAATTGCCTCTCATAATACCCTCCCAAACGTCCATAATCTTCCAACCCGACCTTCTTGACATCAATCTTGTGCAAATGCGCCATCTGATCAATCATTTCGAAGTAGTATGTTCGTCGATCATTGTATGGCACGGTTGGCAGGAGTGGGGATGAAAAGATGCGGCCTGCGATGAAGGACATGACGAAGAAGGGGGATCCGATTACGGACGAGTCTTCGCACAGCACGTAGGCTTTGGGGACTGGGTAGTTGGAGTTTTGGGAGAGGGCACGGATTACCTTGTATTCTCGTTCGACCTATCATAGGGAAGAATTGTTAAGAGTGTATTGGGTTAAGAGCGATTGTGTCAGTAACATACTGCATGGGCTTGCTTGCTGATGAGAGAACCTGGAGGCTTCTTGCGCACTACGAACTTGGAGCCTTTGGCGTCCACGACAAAGAAACTTGGATTTGATTGTCCTGTTGACGTCAAAAGGAAGGGTGATCAGATATACAGCTTCATTGCATTGGCTTCAATATGTTCAGCGGATGAAAAGTCAACATTATCCCAACGAGATCTCTACAACGTCATCGCACGAAATGTCGATCCAACACACACCAAGCTTGAATTGTTTGAGCTCAATAGGAGCTACGAGATCAGAGACATGTTGGACCAGGTAGCTTTCAAGTTTCTTAACGTCGAATTCGTGGCCAGCTCGGAATTCGGTGACATCTTGCTGTGAAAACGTTATAGAAAAAGTCAGTTCCAGCGAGCAAGACACGAATGATGCTAAAGGATAGAGTAAGCCTCAGTACGTACTCCGTGTTGATTGTCTCCTTCCATGGCTGTTTGGGGTGTAATGTTTTTGTTGGTCTTGCAGATTTGTGAGAATCACTTTATCCGGGCTTCACGAGTTTGAATTGTATGCGTTCGCTACTACTAGAAGCCTCTATCGCGTAAATAATATATAGGAATTCACGAATATAACGAATTTCGTCCCGTATCTGGTCCCGATCGTGTTTACATGATATCTTTGTACACTCTCGTACCAAACTTGGTGCAGAATAGGAAGACGTGCGGAGAAGGCAATCTTTTATGCAGCCTGGCTAAAGCATACTCAAAACGCGATGCAATTATGCGGCTTCGATTAATAGCTGACCAGTAGTAAAGATATGCCAGAGCGCTCCGAAATCTTGAATTTCAGGCATTCAGTCATTGACGATCCAAATCGGTATGTGGTTGATTTCATTGGATTTTTATTTAAAGGTCTTCTATTTATGTGATGATAGATAGCTCTCGCTGGTGACAATAGTGCAGAAAGGCGTCAGACATTTGATAGACAACAACTTGAGAATGACAAAAAATCAAGTTTCTTCGGCTTGATGACGCTTGAACGGGATTTCAAAACACGTGAAAACATGCGGATGACACGGCCCTTTGATGTCATGCTAGTCCGAGCTGATTCGCATCACCTTAACTCTCACACGAACCCCAACTGAAGTCCAGTCGATCTCCCAGCGGACGAGAATTATTTAACAAGCCACTATCAGTAACAGAATGGAGTGACCGTCTCGCCATACATCATATTTGGTTCCAAACATCTCTTGTTGGTAAATATGTCGGGGTAGCGGACACGAACAATGGTGGTGATGCTGCTACTACTACGTACTACTACGAATGGAGCTCATGAAATTATGAAGAGTATAGAAGGTATAATGAACCAAGAAGTTTATCGACTTATTACGAAACGTCAACTGACATGTTCACTCAAACTTTCAACACGTATCTACAATGCCAACCTTATCATCGTCATGGCCATCATCAACATCATCAGCATCGGCATCACCAGCAAGCGAAGCACCCATGACATCAATACCATCCTAGTACGGTTCGAATATCGCTCATACTACTATAGTAGTGGAGATTCTGTCGTACCATCATCACCAATATTCGTTACTTACGAATCTACTACTCACAACCCTTCAACAGCCAATTATGTGAATAACGGATAAGGGTGGGATACTAGGCCGGCATGGGTGAAGAATCTTCTGCAATTGGATTTGAGTGCAGAAGATGGGTTTTTCTTCTAACTATGCTAATCCACAAACGAAGCACATCAAAAGCTGCTGGAATGTTGAGCATATAGAAAGCTGTACAAAGTCATGATGAATTTGAGGGTTGGTTGCATATATATTGTAACATGAATTTCATTTCAAGAGGAGCTTCATCAACCATCTTCGTTTTGAGAACGTTGGATTAAATCTTTTTTTGATTTTCAAATATGATGTTGGAAATGATTTCTACTTCGTGTCAACATGATGTATCGTCAACTGGTCGAGACACAGAGGTGAGTTTCTTCGTCGTCAACGACCATTCAGAGAGCCTCAACCTATTTCAAGACCCTGGTCCATCGGCAAATCGAAGACATTGGCGTGAGAATGAGCTGTTGTTAAGCACGAGTCCTTTGGAAACTTTGGATCGACTATGAAGAGGTTTTGAGATGGAATGATCAGAATGTCCTTATGTTAAGCAAATCCAATCAATAGTGAGAGCTTACGCACCAATGAATGATCGAGCTGTACATTAAGAAAAATGGAACTTTATAAAACTATGCTAAAAAAAACACACAGGATCTCATCAAATGAAAATACACCTTTGTTTGGTCGGGAGACATTTTGAGAGCCAGCGAGTGATAGCATCTGACGTTCTTGGCTTCAAATATATTTTACAGAATGCCACAAAAAATGATGGCGAGTGCGACAAAGCAACTAACACTTTTGGAACATCATTCAACTCATACCACCCATCCCACCACCACGCCCATTCCGCCTTTTCGATGGTGGAGGCGATTTGGACTTTGGTCTGAGCGATTCGACCTCTATCAAAATGTAATAGATGTTGAGAATGTTGAATATCATCATGCAAAAAAAATTCACAAAACAAAACATAATGAATCTTAATCATACAGTACCCTGTGAAGCACCAACAAGAGTCCCATCAGGTCCATCAAATTGAGGCCAGTACTTTGTCGGATTGAAATCAGATATAGATAGATCCGATCCTACTGTTACCCATCCAGGTCGCATGTTGTGGTCCTGGTGGGGAAAAAAGGTTGGAATGCGAAATCGAAACATCTTCGGTTATGATGCCTTCGCACAGTTTTCTTTTTTCTTCACAGTCCAACAACCCCACACATCTCATACACATACCTCTCCAAATAATTCAAGTCGTCGTCGTCCAAGACAAAAGTGTTCAATGAGATGGTACATTTCTTCAGGTTTGGCTGTACCTGTTTATGCCAAAAATTTTTGAGTCATGACACTTGACGTCTCGTGTTGAGAGAGGATTAGCAACATATTGCATTGGGATCAATCCAGTACTCACTTCCAAAGGGAGGCTCTTCAGTAATAATGACATCAGTATCAATATTACAATGGACAAGATGTCCATCAGTGCTTCTACGAACAGTTCCACGTATACCCATCAAGCAATGTTCTTTTGTATGCTGTAAGATTCCTCTTGGTTCAACGATTTGTACACCCTTTACGAGTAAAAGTACATGTCAAGAAGATTATTGATTGCGAAAAAAGATACCAGCAACTTCGCCATATTACCTGCGAAGTTCGATTTGTTTTAATCCACGCAACATCTTCAGACCTTCTAAACCCCCATCGATGTAATACTTGACGTCCCTTGTCAAGTCCCTCGGCATCACCAACCCACAAGAAACAGAAGGATATGGGAGCAGCAATGTCTTCGATTCTTAGAGCTTCGATTTCAGGCCACGACCATGACGACTGTCCTGTTTTGGAGAGGTTTGTGCTTCCTGCGACGGCGGATACTCGTGAATATCTGGTGTCAGGAGAGCGAGGAGCGTCAGCCAACCAAAAAAAGTCACTTTCAAAATTGATGCAAACCACTGATACACACTCTTCAAGTGGTGGATCGACAAGAATAACGTCAAATTTGCCACCTAGACTAGCATTTAGGTCCAACGTCTTTAGGTCTGCACGCAGAGACATGCTAGGAGTAGCTCTTCTAGCGACATTGTCATCCTTGAGTCTAGTCAGTTGAGCAAGTCTTGGGTACTCGTCGTATCGAGAAGGCAAGGGTGGTTCACGAATAGTGTTTTGTGGGCGCACACCAGTGTTTATAAAGTGTTGAGAGTAATCGTTCCGTACTATTCTTGTTTCCTAATGGATAAATGGTTTTTGGTGTGAGTGTGAATATCATGTGTTTGATATCGATAATGTTGCGACAATCTGACGCGGTGGCATCGTACCTTGACAGGTTGAATGGATTTTATTGGATATTTTCCAATGATTTGTTCGTTTAGTAGATCCGTATATGTCTTGATTTGAGCAGCTTGATGTTGTTTTGGTCGAATGTTATGAGATCCAATTATATGCGATCGACGTCGTTGTCTCTCACGTATCTCGCGAATGAGATCTGAATGAGTCGATGCAGGCATTATTACAGCCTTCCCTCTGTTGGCGTTAAAGTTCAATACTGAATGATCACGCCAATTCGATATTTTCAAAAAAACAAAAAAGTTAGTGATGGCGAGCTTTAACGTGTATAAGAAGGTGATAGAGTACGGAGATCATGTTGTGATGTACACGGTAAGCTGCGTTACAGCATTTATCACGTCTGACCTCGTGGAAATTCACTAACAAGCTTACACCTAGACTCCAGAAAACATGCAGCTCATCAAAATTACAGAAGGAAGTGTATATAGAAACAAATACGGCGACTTCAAACACTCGGATGTAGCTGGAAAGAGATACGGTGACAAAGTAAAGCCATGCATCGATGACAACAGGAATTTTCTTCGCATGTCTGACATCCAAACATTCACACGTTAGATCAGCTCTGTAAATAAACGAGGATTCATGACCCTCCTATTCCCAACTCCTGAAATGTGGACTCTCTCCCTCCCTCACAGAACTCAAATCCTCTACTTTGCAGACGTCGCCTTTATATCTGCCTACCTGGAACTCAAACCAGGTGTCAAGATGATTGAGTCTGGGACGGGATCGGGGTCGTTCTCGCATTCTATTGCTAGGACTATTGCGCCTACGGGCAAGCTGTATACATTCGAGTACCATGAGGAGAGGGCTGAACGTGCGCTGAGGGAGTTTGAAGAGCATGGGTTGGCGAATGGTGTGAAAGTCGAGTGCAGAGATGTTTGCAAGAATGGGTTTGGGATGGAGGATGCCGTTACTGCTGGTATGTCATGTGTTGAAGGTTTGCCTCAAACATTTCTCTCATATACCCATTGGTTTTTTTGCTAGTGTTCCTGGACTTGCCAGCTCCTTGGGAAGCAATACCAGCTGCTAAATCTGCATTCAAAAAGAATCGAATTGGTAGAATATGCTGCTTCAGTCCAAACATAGAACAGGTTACGAGGACTGTTGACGAGTTGGATTCTAATGGGTTTAGAGGTAAAGTAAAAAGCGTTATGCATTCAAGTACAGCATGTCCTCCTCGTCTCTAAGTTTCTTTCAACTTAGAAATCAAAATGTTTGAATGTCTATTACGCTACCACGAAATGAGACAAGTCGGCTTTAAAGCAATCCCAGCTGCTTTACCTGCTCCCATACCACGAAACAAAATCAGTCCTTATGACTTGATTGAGGGTACATGGGATGAAGTCTCTGAGGACGCTGTCTTACAATTCGAGGCTTCGAACCCACCAATAGCAGATGATGCCAGTAAAAATCAGCCTACGAATGATATGGAAGTAGATGAAGTAGAAGAGACGGATACGAATAAGGAGGATGCTGTGAATGGTGATGGTGCTCAGAGACCTCATGCTAATAGAAGGCAAAAAGCTGTGCTGTTGGGAGAAGTGGCTATGTCGAGACCTAAACGAGATATGAAGAGCCATACTGCGTATCTTACGTTTGGGATATTGCCACCTAGGGCATAGAGAAGGTGTTTGCCTGATAAGATATTAAAGTTTTTGTACATAACAGCACAAAGGAATAGACGTCATCAGACAACCAAAAAAAACGTCCTCAACAGTTACCGAATATTATTAACTAATTAAAATGGAATGCATTTGTAACGATTAAAAACATAAGAGGCCCTAAGGCACACGAGCGAGCAAGAAGAAAAAGTAATATGATTCCCCCCAAACAACATAAGCTAACCCAAAACAGCATTCACATCAGAAGATTGAGTGACACAGCCACATCTCTCCTAATCATCATTTTCGTTGACTCTCCTGATATAAAACCAGTTCACTATAATGAGGATGATTGAGAAGATGGCGAACGCGACCTCCACATATCCTGCGTTATTGTTGTGGTCTACAGCCAGGTAGAAGATGCACACTCCGATGGAGACTAGGAGCCAGACAATGTAGTAGAGCTGTCATATGTTTAAGGTTAGTGAACGTAGCAAAAAATCGACACAGACTATGTTAGCATCACACTCCACATGGTCTTGCAGCTTAAGTTACATGTATACACAACATACCAAGTTTCCATATCCAATAAGAGTCCAAGATGAGCATATCAGTCCGAAGATGTTGAGAGCGCCCCTATCATCACCAAAGTGTTGAATTCTCTGGCGTAACCAGTTCTTTTTTGCTTCCAGACAAACCCATTCATACCAAATAGCCAATATAATCCCAACGATAAGCGCAGCAAGCGATCCAAAAAATGCACTCCAGATAGACAGTCCGATCAACAAGAAATCACAGAATGCGAGAAACCACCTGGTTCCTCTTGTTCTCTACGTAATGATACAGTGTCAGTGTTGCAGGAGTGTGCATTTGAGCCGTGAAATCACTACACGGTTAACATGTTGCTATGTGTCTTTGGATGTGTTCATGGCTTGCTGCTCCACCACCGCCCAGGCTTTTCAAACATCGGGAAGGCGGAGCGCAGTAGAGATATGGGAGGGGAGCTTACTTCGTATTCACGACGCCTGGATTCTTCTTCGCCCATTGTTTTGCTATGTGCTATTGGTTTGTTGAGATTGTGTTTGGGAAAGCGGAAGTTGAATTTTTTGGAGGCTGTAACAGCAGACGAATGAAGCTATGAACGCATCAATAGACGTGTTTTGAGGATCTAAAATAAACTTATTTTTGTAGATAAAATTGCAAAATGCGAGAAGATAAACATATAGACCAAAAAACCGTTTCTCTCCACTGGGTAGATATAGCTCGTTCAACCATTTCCTTCTCAGACATCGCAAACAAAAACACGCCTTAATCATATTCAGCTTGCCCAGCGTCACCATATGAACAACCCAGCAGCCAACGAAATCACGAATGGACAAAGGATGTGATCACCGATACCTCTTTTCCATGACGATAGTATTCAAGACTCAACAGGACAATTCAACAATGATTTTGGTGAGGATTTGAGCTGGTTTAATGCTACTACTATAGTGTGGTAGAAAGTGGTTAGGAAAGCTGTTACGCGCATGATGAAGACTGGTTGAGTACTTTTTTTGCTGGACTGGCCTCAGTTTCAGTACCACCATACAAGAATAACAGACGTCCCAGCAACGTTCCATATTTGTTTGCCCTTTTGGTATTTGTCAGTTCTTATATCCAATGGCGTTTCAAATCATGTCCAGATGAAGCCAAACAACAACGACGACATCGTTCTTGATACTCCTGAAAGCATATTTGTTTGTCAACAAGTTGTCCTCAAACTGGTTTTACTCGACAATCTCGGCATCATCATCCTCGAAAATCCCTCGTTTCCAAATAACTGCATGAGTATACTTCAGTCTCTATGAATGGGAGAAGTGTGAGCTCAGTGATGAGCGAAAAGCATGTTGGACTTTTGGGGTTGAGGTAGTGCGGAAATATGTGCTGTGAAAGGTGACTGATAAGAAGAGCGACCCCTCAGGGAGTGCCATAATTTGTCCAGACGGTTTTGGCTTTTTTGTTTGCATTTTGTCTTATGACAGTAGTAGGCAATCTTGTAGAGCAGCGCCCTTTTTCGGCACTTTAACGACGTGAATAGAGACCATGATCTCTTCATTTGGGATTTTACCATCGACTATGATGTGGTTTAAAGAATGTTGATTGGTGACGAGGAAGATGACAGAAAAATATTGCCAACTTGAAAGGAGCTCTAGCAATTTTGGACGCTCTTGACTGACAATTCACAATGAGAGTGAATTGGTTCATTCGCAAATACTCCCAGTTTCCTGAATACCGGCAGCGTTTGGAAACCTCCAAGCAAAACAAAATGTTCGACACCGGAAGCTTTCTATGAAATGTCAAGCAAAGACAGCCCTTCATCAACCGCATTGCATCATCATCGATAACACATGTCGGTTCTCTTCTGACGTGTTTGCAAATTGTGGTAGATGTTAGCAAGACTCACTACTCACATGCTGTTCGAATTGATATTTAGCTACGTGATTTCAACACGGCATAATGCAGAGTGAAGCCTAATGCGATTCTAGGTATGTTGAAATCGTTCTGATGAAGTTTCTTCTAGACTGTTGGTTGGATTGCGTCCAAAGCATACAATTTGACTTTCTCACAAAGTTTATGAGTTCTAACGATTCCAGTCAGTTTAACGAAGGTCCGATTATCAAGACGCCAAATGGATTTACCTTATAGGTCACTGAGGGCTGGAATGTCATTAAGCGTCGTTAATACACCACGAAAGCTTCGAAACTGGGAACTGGTAGGTTTTGCTCATTTCAACGTAGCGTTGGTTTTTATGGAGGTTGAGTTTGAATCCAATATATTCTACATATCGCCAGTATGTAAAATAGCGCTTTATACACGAAGCAGAGGCTCTGAACACCATCTTCAATCCATTGTCAACATGTCACAGCAAGAGCACCACCTTCCAGCAATTATTATGGGGGCTACAAGATCTCGCTTGGAACCTATTTGCGCCTAAAATCATTGGACATTCTTACAGAGTCGAATTTCTTCATGCAGGCACTCGTTGTTTCATGATAACAAGAATTCCTTTTATGCAAAAGTTTTGTACCGAAATAGTAGTATAGACTAAAAAACTTGATGTAAAAGAAATCATGTTTCAACCCCTTCGAATTTTCCTTTCGTTCTCTGACAATGCAAGCAACGACAAGACTTCTCCATCTTCAGTCTGCCCAAAACCATCATACCAGCCATGAAACTCTAATGGACAGATGATTTGATCTGCGACACGTTTCTTTTCAATCATGGTAATAGTATCTGAAGCACCAACAGGGACTGCGACGATGAGTTTGGCTGGGTGTAGAGGTTTGAGCTGTTTGAATGAAGCCCGTAATGTGGCTAAGAAGCAGAGATTGGAAGGCGGTCAAGAGCATGCAGCGAAGTTTACTGTGTTGTTTTTGGTCTCTCCCCCTGTTGTAATATCATCATCCACGACAATAAAAGTCATTGCAGCAACATTCAATGGTGGTTTGCCTTTTCTGTATTTCTCATTTTGACGATTGAGTTCTCAGTCTAACGTTAGATATGGTTTCCGTCATTCAAATTCCAACAAAAAAGACTTCTATCTTCTTCGGATTAACGCCCTCAAGGACTTTACCCCTTCTCAACAACCTTCCTCACATCATCACTCGGCAATCCCAACATCGATACCCCCTTGAATTCATGTCCCCACAAATAGCACCAAATGCCAATTCCTCATTTTCAGGTGTACCCAAATTGCGATAAATGATGACGTCGAGTTGCACATTCAGTGCCTTTGATGCCTTTGAGACTTGATATGCGATTGGCACACCTTCACGAGGTAAAGTCAGGACGATGGCGTTTGGATTGAGTCGGATGTGATGAGGTTTGACGCACTTCAAATGTACATGCAGGCAACGTGGAGGTTGATCAACAACAAAGGAAAAGTTCAAAATGACGACTTACCTGTCTCGATAACACACATGAGCCTCTTTTGAAGTATAAGCTGTTTGTTAGTTTTTACAAAATGTTCGACGTGATTGTGAGCTGCAGTGTGAAACATGTAATAAAGCAGTAAGTTCTAAGTCAATAGCGTGTTAATAGATCTTCTTACGATTTTGAGTCTTCATTCTTAACACGCCCAAAATTCAAGCTTGCTTTTTTCTACAAAAATATTTCACGAACAATGAGCTGTGACACTTCTGATCCACTTGTAATTTGACAAGGAAAACGTCTCATTATCAAGAAAACAAGGCGATTCACCGTCCGGCATCATGGACCCGAATAGTAAGTTTGAAATTAAGTGTGAAAGCTTGCTTGATGTTTGACTCACTTCAAATTTCAACGTTTTTAGCATTGAATCAGGTCGTGGAGGTGAGTTTTCTAGCCGAATCAAGTATATTTTAAGAGATACTAGTATGTAAACTGATGCCTTATTCAAAAACTAGGCTCTGAACACCATCTTCAATCCATCATCAACAAACGACCAACGACGAATAGCTCAACAAGTACGTTGCTGATCCAACAAAGTTTGCGATCCAGAAAGTTTAGATTCATTATTCTTCATATTCATATCACTTGCATCTGACGGTCCAGCTTCGTCTTGACCAAACACATAACACACTCCACATTCACAATCTAGTTCTGTGAAAGTGTCAAAGAAGCTCCTACTGGACCCATCGTTGGACACTTTCTCGCTCGTAAAGATTCAGGACAACCAGATGTAGTCAGGCATTTTGGATTGTCAGCACTCGAACACGGTATCAGGTTTCATTGGGCTCAATACACGGCACAAGAACGTGAACAGATTCGAAATTGTGTTGTTGATCTTGTTCAGAATGTAAGTTTGAGATATTGCGAGATGCTTACTACAAGGAAGAGGCTCTAACACGTCATTGTCACGAAAAACAGGGCACGAAAGATATATTAATTGAGCCATTATACATCAAAGAGAAATGTGCTCGATTATTTGTTGAAGTCGCTAAGCGTATGTGGCCTGGACAAGCTTGGGACAATGCTGATAGGCTTTTGAGGCAGCTTTATGATGCAACTGTAAGTTGAAATAAACTAGGGTCTGCGTTGTCATATACCATTGACCCACGTTTTTTAGCCAACTACACGAGAAGTAGTCCTCCTCATTCTCAGGTCACTAGCAGAAGACGTATTCGTATTCGAAGATGCAGTCGCAGAACTCCGTAAACGTGAATTATGTTCTGCAATGATGGCATCAGCTATCTCGTCACATTTACTCGAACAAGAACGCCAGAGTCGACTTGCTGAAACACAGAACGCTAATGGGGGTGGCATGGTTGGTGTACCTGCTGCTACTGCTACTGGTGCCGTGCCGATATCTGTTGCTGGCATGTCCAGGAAGTTGGATGTTGACATGTTGAGTAATTTACATCAGATGGATCAGAACAATGAAGGGTGGCTTGCGAGGTGGTCTAGAGCGTTAGGAGAGTTGCATGATGAATGGAGACGAGAGGTGAGAACCTGCTATTCAAACTTGGAAGCATGATCGGGAAGGTGTTTATTTCCCCCTTGTTTCTAGGGTCAAATTGGAAACGCGCCAGCGTCCAGTATTGCAGAAAAGTTATGTGTAGCTACTTTGAATGCTATACAGATGTATTTGGATTGGGTGTGGTTGAGGTGAGACACAAAAAACGAACTTCTCAGAACTGCTCAAGAATTGTCGGTTTGTTTAACGGTCTTGCTCAATAGTTCATTGGTCGAATGCAAGCTAGTACATCGTATCATCGAGCTACTCATTTCCGACAGTCCCTCTATACGCTTAGTACGTAATCATCAACTTACAATCAGGTGCCACGATGTCTTATCGTTTTTTTTGTAGGCTGCTGCTGAATGTTTGACAGTTCTCGGTGATCGCCACATTCCACCAACAGATACTTACCGAGACTCGTCCATAATTGAACCTGTATTCAGTTTTGGTCTTGATACAATGTTTGCTGCATGGGCTCGATCTCATAATGCTACGACTTTGGATCCAAGTACTTTGAATACTATAGAACAGACTGTTCTTGTTCCTGAACAAGAATATGCATTTTTGAAACGCTTTGTACAGGTTAGTGTTGTATCGCAGTTGGCATGACAGTCATATGTGATTTCCATCTAATGCTGTTTGTTTTGCGGTTGGTTTCTATGGTTGAAACTCATTTCTCCCTGAATGTCGTAGGCATATACACTCATTGGTGAAAATCACGTTTGCATGAAAAAACAAGTTAGTGTGGTACCACAATCTCTCAACAAGTACGTGCATGAACAAAGAAAAACCTTGCAGTTACGCGATTTGATGGTGGTATATACCTGTCACCCGTCTTAGATATTTAACTCTCATGATACTTATTGCCGATCACCCATCACTTTTACTTTCGTCATCAACGGACACGTTCTTTTCAGAGATCCTGAAGCATGAGAACTTCAAAAATGTACATATTGACAAATTGCACCTTTCTCTTTTTTTTCATGAGAGCCAACTTTTTCCCTTTAGACTGCGGAAATTCAAGCCATAATGCCAAAACTATTGGAACATTCAATTGAAGGCATATCTACCTCTGTAAGAGACACAGCTGGCTAATCTCGTCAACTCATGGGAATTAAACTTACTCGGCCCTTATTGCAGGTTGAGATATCAGAAGTCTCGAAATACTATCGAGATTTGGATTTCGCTACCACATCCGAATATAATATGTACCTTCAAACCAACCGCGTGAAGATCAAGGAGATTGTGAAATCGATTGTTGCTCTGAAGGTATTATCGCATTTCGGTCTTTCTCTGACAAATCCCATTGTTGATATCGTTTGATTTTTTCCCTCTAGCCTGTGGAATCATTCCAATGGTTGATTGGAAGGATACAATCTACATTGGTTGTTCCTGTCGAATCGTCTTCGCTGAATGGTGAGAATGCGATGTCCGTGAGAACCTTTTTTTTTGTGGCTCACATAGACACTTTACTCAGAGAAGGGCATGCTGACTCCTCAAGCTCCTGTATATCGTGCATTTGAAACAACTGCAAACTTAGTCGAAATCATGGTGCCTGGAATACCTGTTGAAATCATCAAGGGAACAGATGCGTCCAAGGTATAATATGTTGTACATGCACTACTTCGGCGCCACGTTTGTTGCTGATAGGATTTTTCTCTGCCACTCCGCAGATTGCCATTCATCAACAACTGCTACCACTGATGCAACAAGCTGTTCAAGCAATCATCAATTATGTTTCAAATGATTCAAGCATTTTGAGGTTTCAAATCAGCATGATATTACCTTTTGCTGCTGTATTGAGTACCAGTCGAGACTTGTTGATGGCTACTCTGACAAAAGTGAGTCTGACTGGATCTTTCTAGCTGTTTTTTTGGTTTTTACCTTCTCTTGCTCTGAAAGCTGTTCTCAATGGTGAGCTTTACTATGCTGTCTGAAACCAATGCTGTGCAACAACGATGGCCTATGTCTGAAGAGACCAAGATTGTTCGTATCAAGGCGTGTACTTCTTTGAGCAAGTTGGGAGTTGTTATGGCTGATGAGCTATTTGTGAGTATCACACTCAATTGCTCGGGGGTCCTGTTTGCTTTGTTTTCGCAAGTCCGTTAAACGTCAGAACATCTGTCACGTAGACTGTGTATGATCAAATCACTGGAGCCATAGCTGGTCTGATTCAAAAGGGACTCTTGTTTGAAGAAGAACATCGACATCTGGCTGAAGCGCAAATTACCATATTGTGGGTAGCTGGTCCCTTTTTTAGCAATACTCTATTACGATCTAACCTTCTCCATTTAGACATTATTCATCACTCGCACCGGACGAGAAGAGACTACGATTAAAAGTTGTGGTTGATCCGTACATTCAGAACTGGGCTTCGGTTCCTATGGCAGAGTTTGCAAGCAGCCCGACCAACTTTATGACCTTTTTGGGAATTGATGTCATCGCGTCGAATGTGGATACGCTGAATCGAGTGGAAGGTTCGTTGGAGACCGTCCAGCCTGCATTATATGAGAAATTGATGCAGAGAAAGTTTGACCGTAACAAGGTATACATATGTTTGACAAGACTTTTTTGGTCTGGCAGTTGCTGACACATGGACTTTTGTAGGTTGGGCTTATGGTAGCTGCATTGACTGCATTCCTTCGTCGAACAGTCGACACACGAAAGAAGAACAAGCATCCACTTGGTATACCACCATCTTCAGCTAAACGTAGAGAGAAACGGAATGCATCCAGTCCACCACCTCCCAACAGCTTTTGGAAAGAATTCTTGCCGAACATTGTTCCAAATGTGCTTTTGCTCATTCAGTAAGCGGGTCGAAACATTCGAGATATTCAAGCTTTGCTTTTTGCGTGTCTACTCCTAACGTTTTATCGTTAGGTCAATCCATTCCTTATGGGATATTCGAGCATGGGAAGGACTACCACCAGAATTGAGCAGCATTCGTGATATAAGTCCACCAGAACGCCAATTCTATGTATTTGGAACTGCTACGAAACGAGTTGATGACGATGGTACTGAAATGTCTGCGGGGCCATCTGGAAGTTCTCCTGAAGAGCTTGACAGGCAAATGCAGATTGTGCGGTTGTGGCTTGTGCATATGCGTGAGAACTGGTAAGCTTCCAATCAATATTGCTGAATCAATGCTTTCTTTTTGCAGAACCAATCGAAACGTTGACCTTTGGTTTCGTCAATAGTTATCACATGCTGGCATTGCTGACATATATCGATACAGACTTGTATACGCTTCCAGGCTTCTCTGAAGCTCTTACGACGTCTCTCTTCTCAGCCGCTCTCCACTTGGATAATAGGCATTGGAAGTCTCTCATCACAACAGCACTACCACCACTCATCATGCACTGTCCACCTGGAAATCCACTACTTCATTTAGTGCTACCGCCATTCTTTGAATATGTGACGAAACGTCTTGATTCAGAATGGGGTAGTGCAGCTGCTAAAGGAGGCTTCAAACCTGAGGATGAAGAGAATGGCATTGGCGTTGATGATGAAGACAAGATGGAGGATGTTAGTGATGAGATTGTATTTGAAAGAATATTGAGGGATTTTACGAGGTCTGTTGCAGAGTTTCTTGCTACTGTGTTTGCAGCTTCAATTGAAAAACGTAAGCATTACCTCATTTTATTGTTGCTTTTTTTGTCGATCATCTTCGTCTCACATTTCAATCTAATTTACTAGCACCACCACCAGCACCACGGCCAGTATTTGCCAATGAGGAGCTGGCCGAGTACATATTATCAAACGCCACTATATATACACCCATGTTGCATTGTCTTGCCCGATTGATTGTATACGAAGACACCAAATCAAGTCGTCGAGCATTGAGCACGATGATTCGGCTTGTACCCGTCATGTGTCGATCTGTACAGTTCGCTAGTTTTCTTGGTCGTGATGTGTTGATAGCTTCTTTGACGGTGAGCAAAGCTTCAATTTGGTTTTTTGATTATCTTTGCGCACAGGAGGATTGTGATGTGGATGCTGTGAACTTGGGAACGTTGGTGTTCCCATATTTGAAGACCTTGTTGCGTTTTTTATGCTCGTACTGAAAACACTCATCTCATCATCAACATAGACATTACACGATGGATATCACACGGAAGTACATAACGAAGCAGTCGCGCTTGTAGCAGAAATCCATCTCCGTCTCCGGTTTGGCCAAAACTCGACCATCCCATATGAAACCATGTTATCACTACCTGATATGACACCACAACGACTAGATGCCTTTGAAACAGAACTGAAAACAAAAACATCACCCAAAGATCAACAAGCTGTAGTCAAACTGTTCTTGCAAGGGATTACAGGAATGGCGATTTCTCAATGGTTTGTCAGGAAGGATTCATTTGTATTGTCGAGTGGGCCCAAAGAACGATTGCAGAATCGGCCGGCAGAGAGGGATTCACATCGAGGTGATATTATTGAAGGGACTGGGACGGATGAGTCTGTTGGGATTGATGGTATGTTTGCTAGCTCATGAGAATGATGGAAAGTTTTGTAGGAGGAAACTTGGTTATACATACACAGTGAGATGTTTGCATTATGTTTGCGGTGTTTGTGTTGTTTTGGGTCTTGTTTGAGGGGTGACGAGGTGTTTGCTCTTGTTGGAGGACAACAGCTTTTCGTCTTGAGTTGCGGGATACTGGAAAGCTTCACCTACGAACAGAGTGCTCAACCCTAACGGATGGATTTAGAGAGAAATATGAATTCATTTGTTGTTGAAGCTGCTTTTAGTTTTATGGCCTCAAACTCCCGGGGCCGCGAGAAGTGCCCTTCTAGGAACTTTTTCCCAAGAGCCTGATAAGAAAAGGCGGTAGACTTTGAGGCTATTACTGGTGCGTTTGCATGAAATAAAGGACGTTCATTGCTTTGAGACTATAGAACTATGATAACATTGGACGTGACTGACGCGTAACTGACTAGACTCTGCGGTGAGGTCAACATAACACTGGCATTGACCAAAATGGCACCTTCAAGCACCATCAACGGCGCATTCGACCAGTATATCCAGATTCCAAATTGCTGCTTGATTGACCGATATTAATTTATGTGGATCTCTTAATCCTCAGTGGCGAGAGAGAATAAAAAATGTTTTTTCTTTATCAGAGAGAGGAAAAGAGAGATCCAAGAGTGGCTGCATGCTCATCGCACTACGCCGTTCGTTCCTTTTTCAACTATATCTATTCTCTTCAAACAATATCAACAACTTATAATTTCTCTTCTTCTAAGCTAAATAACTCCCTCCTTCCTCTGCTCCCTCTCCTCGGTACCAAACCCCACAATCGCTTCCGCCAAAGACCACTAACACCTCCTTATGATCTAGCAGATAGTTTCCCAGCGATTTCAGCCTGGATTTCCTTTTGCTTTTTAGCATCAGCAAGAGCACCAATAGATCTCACATCATTGACAATATCTCTTGTCTTGCCGAAATAGATTTCACTGATTGCGTCTCTCATTCGTCTTTCCATGTCTTCTACCATTCTGCCAATGTTTGCCACGTGTGTGTCGTATGTGTCGACTGGTGCGTCTGTTTCGGCCTATTGGTGAGATATGGGGTTGGGAAGGTTAGCGATGCTGGCAAAAAAGGTGCTAGATCGAGTGGTAGATTGAAAGGTAGCCATTGCAATCATTACAACTGTCCAAAGATGAAGCGACCGACACCGAGAATATGCCATTTTCGTACAGACTGCTTCGATTTTTTTCTCCCTCTCTTTTCTCCCTTTTCATAGGTCTTACCTGTCGTGTTAGTGACCCCGACAAGTTCAGACCCCCTTGCTTTGCACTAGCCATTTGTAGCATGACTGTGGCAGTGAGTTTGTAGTGAGCAGCGCGACCTTTATCTTGGACTTCGACAACATGAATCGAGTCCCATGATCCCTTCACTTTGGATCCTTCATCATTGACTAGAGAATGTATCGGTGGAGAGTGAGGAGAGTGAAGGCAAGATGTGAGTTATCAATTGTGCAATAGAGTTTGAACATTTTTTTGGGCATTACCTTTTTTGATGAGGACGACACTTGCAAACCCATCATCGAGATCCCACATGTATACAGATGATACGCCACCTTCGAAATATCTAGATGGCGTGGTTTGATTTAGTTGGTTCAATCGTAAAACAAGGTAGAAGCGTATTCAACAGAATCCCAACGTTATTGGGTGGTTTCCACTCACAGTTCACGATAAGTGTCAAAAGCCTCATTAGCGGATACTTCCAGTTTCCTCAATTTAGTGCTTGGTTGGGCACCGTCAGAGAGTGGTGGACTGTATTCGTTCGTCCAAGGTGACCTATGAGTTGTTGGGTGTTATGACTAGAGGAGCTTCAAGAAGACACGACATATATTCAATGAAAATCCCGATATATCTCTCCAATCTAACTCTCATCCCATCATCGTACCTGTACGAGTCGCCATCCCTATTGTAATCACATAGCAAGTAATCCTTGCCCGTGCCAGGACATCTGTTGACCTTGAGAGGCTGGTCGACGGCGGAGAGGAGATCTTCGGTGAGGTCTGGTACGAGTTCTATTAGATTGGATAGGTTTTCTTCGACCTTGTTTGGAGGTAGTCTCCTCATCAAATCTAGTGCGGCGTCAAGTGGATCCTTTCATGGGAGGAGATTGAGTTAGTAAGATAGTGTTGGGAATATTACGAGAATATACGATGTAAAGTGATTAGTAGCTTACCATGATGTTGGATGTCCAGTCTTGTCCTGTCTGTGGATTTTGGCAACGAAACGTGTGATAATTCAAGAGCAGCGAACTCACTCAGTCGTGTAGGATCAAAGTAGCGTGATTTACGTGTAAACTAATGATATCTTATCAGATATTCTATAAAAGCGCGCTACTTTTTACCAGCTCGCTCCAGCACCCACATCAATTTAACACCTCCATTCACAACACTATCAAACATCATCTCATATACAGCACGTGGGTCCCATAATGGAGAGATATACAAAACTGGAAAAGCTCGGCGAGGGAACATATGCTGCTGTATTCAAGGGAAAGAATCGCCTTACTGGAGATACGGTTGCGCTCAAAGAGATTCAACTCGATCCAGAAGAAGGCGCTCCATCCACGGCTATTCGCGAAATATCCCTCATGAAGGAACTCAAACATGACAATATCGTAAAGCTATATGATGTCATCCATACCGAACGCACTTTGACTCTGATATTCGAATTCATGGTACGAATGAAATGTTGGAATGAATGTAGTAGAGGATTGGGAATACTGTGGAAGTGTCATGTAGGAAGTGAATGTCATTGAATTCGTTATCACAATGTGCAGTCACTCTATGTACTCGGCAGTCTATGATGTGCTGAAGTGTGCTGAAAGTGGTGCAAGTTGAATGTTAGATGAAGCAATGACATTGGTTATATCCAGATCCTCTACTCTTATTGCTTTCACATACTCACAACCTCCCACCATTACTGTCCCAATAGGACCAAGACTTGAAAAAATACATGGACACCAATGGAAAATACGGTGCTATAGAACCAATCCTATGCAAATCATTCCTCTTCCAACTATTACGCGGCATCGAATTCTGTCATGAAAATAGAGTACTTCATAGGGACTTGAAACCTCAAAATCTGGTATGTGAGTGATGGAAGTCAACGTGGAGGGCATGCTGCATGGTGTTGATGGTGTTGTCTGTGATGACAGATGTCAATTGGAGGGACATTGTGTGGGTGATGTTACAGTGAAGATTCAACGATGGTTGGAGTTTAAATTGGCCACGTTTCCTTGTTTTTCTTCACGCTGTTTTTCCATCCTCAAAACCTTGGATATGTTGTGTTAAAAGCACGTTATTGGAGTGTTTGGTGGAGCTCATTGTTAGATTGGGAATGGCGGAAGTTGAACTGCACAATGGAGTCATTGATTGTCTATTTTCTCCAGATCGTTTTTTATGTTGCATAGCTTTAACCCCCGCAGTTCACTCACCAAACCTCCTCCTCTCGTTTCAATAGCTCATTAACGCAAAAGGCGAACTAAAACTAGCAGATTTCGGTCTCGCCCGTGCTTTCGGCATTCCCGTAAACACATTCTCCAACGAAGTCGTAACCCTCTGGTACCGAGCCCCAGACGTCCTCCTAGGCTCCAAAACATACTCTACAACAATCGATATGTGGTCAGCAGGCTGCATCATGGCTGAAATGTATTCAGGAAAACCACTCTTCCCTGGTAAAACCAACGAAGACCAACTACTCAAGATATTCAAATTGTTGGGTACTCCATCGGAAGCTACATGGCCTGGCGTGTCTGGATTTGCGGAATGGAAGAAGACCTTCCCGTATTATCCACCGGTTGCTCTACCTAGTAAATTGGGGATGATGGATGCTTTGGCGTTGGATTTGTTGAGTAGGATGTTGCAGTACCAGCCACAGTTGAGGATATCGGCTACCCAGGCGCTACAGCATCCGTATTTTCAGGATATGTTGAGTGTTGGGCCTGGTGTGGGTACGCAGCAACAACAGTTGCAATGATGAGTTAGGACTATGAGGAAAGAGCACAGAGATAGGGAGAAGTGAGGTGAGTTGAGAAGTACTCATTGCATCTTCCGATGGTCTCTACTATTTTCTTCCTCTCTCGAGTACTAACATTTCAGCTATGTTTCAGGAGTGCCGAGAGAATTATCATTATTTTGGTTTTGAGAGAGAGAGGAGTGAAATTTTATCGTTTCTTGCACATCATCACAATGTTTGCATTATAATCAGTTAGTATCACGGATATCTTTTAGAGGAACGAGCAGAAAGACGTAAAGGGTGTATTTGTCATTCATAACACACACAGGGATGACACACGACATTAATAAATAGAGTTATAGATATCAAACGAACATGATTTGAGGACAGTGACTACTTTATATCGCTCTTCCTATGGGTCTCGCTCTTGTACATGTGCTTTTTCAGTAGAAGATGTGCAAATTGAAAATCGAGGTTTATAGATACTTTTGTGATAGACTGGCTATCAAGAACAGTTTGAAAACGAGGTTTCTCTCAATCTCCTTCGTTCTCTATTGTTTGTGAACCGTTGTCTCTCCACACCATACGTCGTCTTTCTGCCGAGAAACTCTCAAAATATTCCACCCCAAACAAGACACACAATCATATAAGTGGGAGGTGTCCCGAGCATAGATCTGTAATGATGCAGCCTCTATACCATCAGATCCATGCATATCAGCACCATGCAAGGTCACTTTGTCCTGTTCTTAAACAATTGCCGCATGTTGGATTTTTGCATCATTCTAACAACCACTATTACATCTCCTAGATTGCAGAGATAGGCTCAATATGTCTAGTAGTCATTGCTGCACTACCCAAGTCTCCTCAAGGTTCCGAATGGCTGCATCCTGAGCAGGACATTAAAAGGCATCAACCAAGTTTCTCCTGCCAACAGGATGTTGTTGAGTAGTCGTACGAGGTGACTTCCTAGCGTTTTTGCAGAAATTCAGCTCGAGTTAATACTTGGGCACTGCAGACAGAAACGACGTTTGAATCCTGGCGCTACGAACCAGTGACTGCTCTTTGTGAGTTTTCGTACGAGGTGAATTCCCAGCGTCTTTGCAGACTGTGAGCTCGAGCTAATACTTGAACACTGCAGACAGAAACGACGGTTGGATCCTCCGACGCATGCCGCAACCAACCAGGGGACTGTGTTGTTTGAGTGTTCGACGAGGTGAATACCCACGTTTTGGCAGACAGTTAGCTCGAGTCTATACTCGGGCGCAACGACGGTTGATTCCTCGGACCTATGCCGCAACCATTCATGGCCTTTGGTCAAATAGTCGTGAAAACCCACGTCAAGGTATTCATATTTTCGCTGTTAATGAACTAACTTCAAACGTAGGTGATGTGGCCATAGCCAGTCCCAAGCCTGGTTGACAAGTCACATTACACACAAAACACAGAGGGCCTACTTTGCACTCTTCATCTATAGGTCTACACACTTTTGAAACTGCGGCTTTGTGTATACTATTGAACTGTAATCCTCGTGTACACCGTATTCAAATCCAGACGAACGAAGCTGCGAAAACAAGTGTGTGCAATATTTGTATCTACATTGAAGAGGTCTATGTACTTTACATTTGGGACTTGAGTATCGTTCCAAAACAAGGTCCATCATCGTTTAGTGCGGCACCGACGTAGGCAATAACGTATTTGGTGTAGTAGGGGTACCCGATTGGCTCCCTTTAAACAGTGATCTTGTCATGTATAGTTGCGTGATTTCACGCACAATTTCTATTAAATGTTTTTTAGCAAGTTAGTAAAGTATATGTAGTGCAAGTGAATTGACCAAGGCACAATGCCCTAAAAACGTATTCACAAATTCCCACGTCTCTTACCCGTTACTCGAGGCAATTTCACCTGAGACATTTCCCATACATCAACTCGTAATTCTTCCTTGATTAATGCACATGCGATGTATAGTGCTGCTATGGCTACTTCTTTGGGATGATATTGTAATAGCAGTGGTAGTCGACAACTAATGTGTTGAGAGAGAATGGAGATTAGTTTCAACATGCAAAAGCAATGACGTTTGGTACTTTTTTTTTGGCCCAACAAAGATTTCAATCTACAAATTTTACCTGTCACTGACAATACCGATAGCTCGTTCTCCCACTTCTCTCTTGACTATTTCAAAAGTCAAAAGGTCCAGTCAGAAATTCACAGAACGTTCGGAGTCGGTGTTGGAATGGCGAGCCGAAAAAAGCCTCAAGCTTAGAAGGTACTTTGGCTGATTCTTTTCAACGCCATAAGCGATTGACAAAAATGCATATAACACATACCTCCCAATCGATTCCCAAAATCAAAAACATAAGTATACGGTAGTTCAACATACAAGTCCCAGGACAATGCTTCACAGAAGATTTGTTCATTAAATAATATCCTATGCTTCCAAATGTTCCATTCCTATTGAAAAAGAGAATACGTTTACACATCGCACAGAAATGGGCGAGAAATTGATGTCATCAATCTTAGTTACTCAGACAACAAAAAGGTGACAATCGTTGAACAGATCACTGCAACGAGCTAGCTCTCGAATCTCTATCTCATCACCACCAGCAATCTCCACAAACACACTTACTTTTGAATTAGGTTCCAAGGTCAAATTATCATTTCGTTCAGCTTTACGAGCAACCACCACTATATAATCCCCTATCTTGGGTACCGCTGAGGCATCAAAGTCGACCTTCCATGCTACCCATAGCGCTGTGGCTGCTATTTCCTGTTGATTGTAATAGTAGAGGTATCAGTGTTTTGAGATTCCCAACCAACAATAACAAAATCGAGTTCGATTTGAAAAGAGCTAAGCTGTCGGATCTAGTTCCCCACATGCCTATTTGGGCGGGTGCGTTGGGTGGTAATACACTTACAAAGTAATTTGTATTCTGCAAGCACTGCTTCATGTAGAAGCGATGATATAGCGTCTATTTTGTGAAACAAGAACGTGAGAAATCGAGAGATATAGATAGCAAATGAGGGATCTTCATGTTTAGAAAGCAATCAAGGATTCAACTTGCACTTGTATGCGAAGTCACAACCCTCTCACGTACCTGAGCAGTAGCAATCAACTCTTGCGGCGCATTATAGACAATACCGACCGAGAAGATCAGGGTAGTTCCTCTAAACCTGAAATTAGCTTCCTCTTTAGCCTCTTTTGAATCCTCCGATTTCATTCGTGTTGGAGTCCAATACATTTCATTGTCTGTGAAATTACTCCATTCATTTGCATTCTTGTTATGAGATTGGGTCGCTGGATTGTTTGGATAATTGCTGGCATTGCTGGTTGATATTCGTTGGAAAGTCTTGTGTGGTGAATGCGATGCCGATGGGAGAGGACGGGGAGTCGGAATCAGTGCCGGTGTATGCGATGGTGGCGGGCCTTGATATGGAGGTCCTAGCTGCTGCATCATACTGCTTGCTATCTCACAAACTGAAAAGCTACTGATGTTTTGTGATTTTGAAGGTGTGGCGAACATAAACACACAGTTCCTCGCAACGATGATAACAACGTCATGCGAACTGTTACCTGCAGCCAACAATGTTCATAATATTGAACCGAATCCGGCGTAAAACAAATGCAGATGATACATTATCGCGAACAACCTGACACTTTAACCCTTGCAGCAGCAATACGACCTAATATAGTGACAGCTTCGGGAGCTAAATCCTCAATAACTTTACAATTTCAATTATTTGTACAACCATCATCATCTATGCAAACCCTCATAACAAACCACCATAACACCACCACTTAATCATTAGCACCCATCAAAATCTCAACCTCTGCAACACTCCTCCCAAGCAACGTAGACGGGAACTCGTACTTGTTTTTCGGATCTTCAACTGCCCTACATATACGACCATATGTAGCAACAAGCTGTCGACATCCTCGCTTCATTATAGTACGTGCCAGACGTGACGATGTAATGCGTGACAGGTCGGACGATATGTCAACAGCTCCAGATGAGAGGAATGTGTCGAGTGTTGTCATTGCTTGTGATATTGCGAGGGCGTCTGTTGTTACTTTTCGTGATAGTACAACCTATATGAGTCAGAAGCGTTAGCGGTCAAGTCCAAAGAATGAAATGAGACCTTATTTCAAGTGTGCCGTGAGACTCAAGAGATATCACCAAAGTCTTGATGCCTCGTCCTTCTTTTCATTCTGACCTGATCATCATTCTTGTCAATCTCCTCAATAATGGGGTTTAATCCACACTTGATGAGGAGAGTCATGTACTAGAAATGAAAACATAAATAATGGAGACTTTCCAATAACCGATTTTTTCAGCCATACACATTTTTACCTGCTCAGAAACAAGAGCATCCACATTCGAGTCAATCTGTAATTGTAAAGACTGTACGAGACTCGTAGCAAGAGAATATGGTACCAATGCATTCTGCAGCGAAAAAATAGATTTCAGAAGTCTTTGGACTTAGAGCCGTCCCCATCAACACAGATTTTCGAAGCGTCACTTTCAAAAAACTCACATGAATCTGTTGCAAACAATTTATCATATAAATAGCTGATTCAGTAGCACTCAATCCTCGTGATGCCAATGCACACATTGAAAGTAATGGATCTAACATGGCAGAAACCATATTAAAGATATCCGTTTCATGTTCTGTTGATGTGTGCATTGATGTTTCATAGATGGTTATTATCTCCTTCTAAAAAAGTGGATTGGATGGAGGTGAGTAAAGCAATAGTGATGGATGGCCAATCAAAAATTCCGTTGAGGGTTTTGTTACCATCTGAGATACAACATCTTTGAGTATCGAAGGAGGTTGTAGTTCATGAGTCGGTATCTAAGGAAGAGAAGACGGATAGTAAGTGGCGTATATGACACTTCCGCCATCGTTTCTGGCCACCGAAAAACAAACTCACAGGTATAGATCTCATCATACTCGAAGCTCGAGCATTCAGAGTGTTGAATAAGGATTCGACTCCTACGACTCCGATTCTACGTTCGAAAAACAACAGAAATCTGTCAGATAAAATTTCTATCAAGAATAAAACTGATCTAACATTGACGAATTCCTTACTCTGCAAGGGTGGAAGTCAATTGCCCATCAGGTCCTAGCGTCTTGCTCATAACAACATGATAGAATTGCACCAGATTCACAATTTTGTACATGTCAACCACAGGTGGTTGTGATGTGAAGATCTGTTCCATTCGAACCTACAGAGAGTCATTTTTACTAAGCTCAGACAGCGAAAAAGCAGACCACGTAGAGCGCCCAATACCTTGAGAGGCCTACACGTCCCTTCCATATTCTTATCCAAAATGTGCCTTATAGTCTCTTCTTCGGCACCTTGGGTCGGTTTGGCAAATGATTCATCTTCTCCACCGTTCTCATCACCTAAACCAAAAATAGAGTGAATGCGTTCCCAGAAACCAACTTGCGGTTATGAAACGAGCTACTACTTCCACCATCTCAATTTTTTCCGTACCTTGAACTCCAGCATCCAACAGCCCCTCTAATATCTCTCGCTCAGTGGCGGCAGTTTGATGCAACCATGCAAGCATATCACCAGCATATCGTTGAGGATCCACAGCATGTATCTCGATAGGTCGTGGCATTCCGCTTGGACCGCCACGTGTCAAGGCATCCAAGAATGCTCGCACAATGGCGTTTCGTCGTATATGTGAGATTTCATCGATGCATGTTCTATTGGGCGGAGAAATGTAAGTAAGAAGTAGGGGAGCTTATAGACATTTCTTTTTGTTTCTCAATCGAGAAATACTCGTGTTCAAATGTTCAAAGTAACCAAAAAAGCAGATGGGGACAAAGCGTTTATGGTAACAACGAACTTACTGAAATAAAACGGGTCTCTGCTTCAAAGCCTTCATAGCAGATCTCAATGCAGGAGACACTTCAGGAGAATCACGATTCATGGAACGACATTCGGATTGTGCCCATTTAAATAACTTTTCAAATGCAGATTCTTGTATTGTTGCCATTCCTTCCATGATTTCAAGCCTACAACATTGACGAAAGCGTCAGCAAACAAAAAGCTGTCATGGCAACACTCTGCATGGCAACGATTTCTCGTCAGCCGGCACTTCTTTACCAATACGCACCCAGCTTGCTGATGATCCGTAATCAGCAACGCTTTACAATCATCGTTAATCTGCTGTAATCGTTTCAGAGCCTCAAAGTATTCTGGACCAACGGCGTCTTTGGATGATGTCAAGACCGAGACTTGAGCGTCAGATAATGTGAAGCGTGAAAGGAGAGCTTCTACGATTGTTTTGCGGACTTGACAGCGATGTCTATTGTGGTTAGATGTGAGCAATAGAGAGAGGAAAAACAGGAGCTGAAATAAAGTACTATGTCGCGAGTCTGGCAAAACCAAAATACAACCACACAGACATGCCTTTTAGCATTCAGCTCCTGAGCATGTTTCATCAAAGGCGCAGTAGCCTGATTAGCTTGTTCTAACTGCATCTCCATTTCCAAACACGTAGCGTTCATCATTTTGATATCCATTTCAATAGCTGACAGTTGCTAAATTCCAAATTTTCAAATCAGCATACAATCCAATTTAAATTCCAAATACATACGATGTCTTACTTGATTGACAGTTCCAAGCGCATTCAAAAACTGGCGATTCACTAACGCAGCACGTTTCTCCAAATCACCACGTAAAGTACGTCGAGAAGTGACTGTATTCGATGTATAGAATCCTGATAGGCTTGTTAGAGCTTCCTGTGTCGGCGCATCTGTTCATTTGACGTGAAAGATGTTGAATCAGCTTGGTTGAAATTGAAGATTGATGTTCGTGAATATACCATCATAAGAAGTATTCAGTATCTTTTGAAGCTTCCTAGCTAGTGGCGCTGTCTTGGACAGTTTGTTTTGTGGTGCCTGTGATGGTGTCTCCATCGTGCTGTTAGTACCTTGCTTGAGCGTTTCAGGGGATTCGGAAGTTTGCCAGTCTGGTTTGCGAGTATGAGCTGAACATAGAGTAAAAACGATCGCAAGGATACGTGAAATGTATCATCGGCTATCGCGTCAGCACACGCAGACATCCATAATTCAGAGGGTTTTCAAACACGAAAGCATCGTTCGCGTCAATGTAGCTTCCGCTCCTTCATCAATTAAATTTAATCATAAACTAGTACTGTACACCATCTTGAGGTCTCCCACCTCCAAACTCTCCTCCTTATACACTTTCACATCCTCAAAACATCAAACGACATTGATATCAGCACATCAGCTACCCAAAAATCAAACCTACAAAAACAATATGATCAATAACGTCGGTGTCCTCACAGAGAATTCAACCCAAGCCATCACACATTCCAATCTGCCTCGGATCAAACACATTTGGTTCACGAAGATTCAGAATCGCAATAACTGCGTAAAAGAAACCAACGAATAGGCCTTTTAACATGTCAAAGTTAGATCCGTTCACTACATAAAACGATTCAACTTGTTAGAAGGGAGCAAGAAGAAAAGAATGCACGGAGCCGGAACATACCCGCTTGAACGAATCGTTTGCTTCAACAGATCTTTGCGCGACTGCCATATTCTGAATCCATTCTTCTTCTGCTGCCTCGAAACCTGCGAGTAAAAGGCGTGCGCGAGAGTGCGAACCGAAAAAATACCAAATACTTAAGATGCCACCCCATCTCTAAGTACCTTCTCCGTCACCATTCGCATACAGCCTCCCCCCAACTTGAATGAACCCGATGTCTAAACCCTTCTTCCTAATCTTTCCATGATCCCAAATCCAGTAATCGATCCAATCCCATTGGTCGTGCAACCATCATATCTCCCCCCTGCGAAATCCAACCATCATTCCTTCATTGATCATTCAAAAGATATCAGATCCGTGTTCTGTTGATGCGTGTCCTGGCATTTAATAGATGATTATGATTTCCTTGAAAAAGAGTACGTTGGCATTAATCACAAAAGTCAATGAAAAAAAACCTTAGGCGAGGAAAATGGGATGGCCTCCACCTCCGCAAACTTCGTTTCTTACCATCTGCAAATATCTTTGACTGACAAAGGAAGTTGAAGTTCATGACTGGATATCTGGATGTGAAACAGAATGAGCGTCATGTGAATGCACTTTCGATAGCATTTCATGCTTTGTTGCCTCAGAATCCAACAACGGACTCAACAGGTGTAAATCCCAACATACTCAAAGCTCGAGCATTCAAAGTGTTGTATAAAGATTCGACTGCTTCTACTCCAAGTCTTAAATCAATAAAACCTGCTTCAGGGTATAAAACAAGCTGGTCCCTCAACTTCCAAATCCTTACTCTGCGAGCTCAGAAGTCAATTGCCCCTCAGGCCATAGCATCTTGTTTATAACAACATGATACAAATGTACCAATTTTGCAATCTGGTACCTGTCAACCATGAGTGGTGGCAATGCGATTATCTGTTACAGTCAAACTTACGGAATTTGCGATAGAAAGGCAAAAAACAGGGCAAGGACGATCCACACCTTGCGAGGCCTTCCACATTCATAGGCAAAACATGTCTGAGGTCTCGCCTTCTGCACTGTGAGTTAGTAGGGCGGAGGATTCAACTGCACCACCATAAGCGACAAATCACGTCCCCGTTCAGCATATCGTGCGTTGCTTATCGGATCAATAATCTTGCAATCCTTCAGTGGGTATTATGCGACTTGCTGAATAAATGACTTGTTGTGCGTTTTCGAGTCAAAGATTTTCGAGGCTTTGATGATGATTGGGGTTGGAGTGCATGTAATGTAGTGAAGATAGGTGGATAAGCATAGTTATACGAGGATTTTCAATGTTTTGGTGGTTGGGTATATTGTGTTTGGTTTTGGTGTGAGTGTTTTGATGTAGGTCAAACACAGAGCAGTCAAGAGATGACACGCGTTCAAAGACTGAAACACTGAAACACGTAATTCGAGATTTCAGAGTTCCATCAGCTTGAAATCTTGACGCGATTCGTTCAACAATGTTGTTGTGAATTGATGATCGTTTGAAATCAGCAGCGCTGGGAACGAGATGACTCTTTCTTTCTTGATCATGATCCTGCTACGTAAGACAGAGTATAGCTCGACAATTCCTGTTCTACAGAGTGGTCAAATGTGTGTGTTGGCCTTTCAAATGTCATCTCAAATCAGACCTAACGGCAGTACTCCTTTATAGCGACATATATTGAATGTTAGCATGATTTAGCATAATTTTCTGGCATTCTTTGTCCCGTCTTGTTATGCATTCCCTCTCTCTGCCTCTTCTCCACCTTTTGTAGAAAATCGTAAATCAAGGTATATGTATACTTGCCGTATAAAAGGACCATGAAACCAGCAGTAGTATGAGTCCAGCTATACCAGCGAGACGCCAACAATGAGCCTATTGAAGTCCAAGGCATGCGGGCAAGAAAGGTGAAGCTTCCTCCAGACAGAATTGTACATGATTTGAAACAACATCTGGTTGAAAAGACATTCCAGCATCACTTGACTGGTGTCGCTGCTGCTCAATTGTATGTGTATACTGATCCGGAATGCAAACAGCCACTCAAACCAAGCGCTGCAATCAAAGACATCACCAGAACATCAGACGACAATCCACTGAGAGTCGTCATACCTACTCTCTCTCAAACTAGTAGAATGTCATTTACCATGGAAGGACAGGGTAACCACAGCCGCCATCGCTGCCTCGCAAACCAAGCCCCCCATTAAACACTCGATACCTCCCTTTGACTAGTACTTGCCCTCTTGTCTGAGATTAAGCAAAACCAGACCGAGATTAAGCAAGAGCAGGCTGAGATAAAGCAAATATGTGAGCCGTGGAGATGTCTCATTCTATCAGAGAGTCTAAAGTATTCTGTCTGTAGTGAAGGAGACTATTGTGGACAGCATTGCAGTCTCAAGTGTAGACCAGCCTAAATTGGCCCTGTTACTGAATTCCTTCAGTTTGGTCCCCATATCAGCTACGCAGTACATAAAGCCACTCGACCAAAATATGGAGTTCAGAGAGCCACCCAGCCAAATTATAGAACCTTTTGTTTGGGAAGCAGGGCCTAATAAAGATCAACAAGCTCATAAATATATGGAATGGTTCAGAAAGCATTTGCCGTCAGCGAGGCTGAAAAGGTACATTGTGTTCTCGTCTGTGCTTGGTGCTGAAGTGACATGGCATATCATAGGGACCACTGTGAAATCAAGGATGTGTCTGGAGACAAGCAGCTATTGTCGATACCGAAAGGTTCCTTTATGAAAGCTCCAGTAAATGTACATGGGACTACCGATGTGGTTCTCTATCGCTCAGGTATCGATGGCAGCAATTTTTTTGTGTTTTCCGTGGTTTTTTTGCTGACTTTGTTAACAACAATGTCAGATTTGGGAAGCGTATCGCAGTCTCTGGTGGCCATCATTGAAGTGAAGAAATCATTGAACAAGGATGGGAAAGCGATAGATATATTCAACGACGGAAATCGATACCAAGTAATGACTGAACTCATTTCGGCAGATGTACATTCCTGTTTATGGACAATCGGGGTCTTGACCGGCCTGGCTGCTCAATGGGGGGTCTTTTGGATACACGCTGACAGGCAGATACGAGAAACGCAAATTCTCAATGCCTATCAAGCTATCTGGTTGATAGAACGTATGGTTGGAGTAAGTTTACAATCGGACGCAGATGGAGATGTCTATCAGAAAGAGCTGGATACGGTCTTGCCTGCTGCAGAGTCAAAACGATGCAAGGTATTGACCATCGTAAGCAATGAAAGTGCTGATTTGGCCGAGGTGAGCCCATTTCCTGACGAAATGACTGATTAAGAGGTGCATTTTGAGAAATTGAAAATGGTTTATAGGCTAGTCGAAGCAATTCGCTGTTCCGCCGGTAGTAGCCAGTAGGCTTCTCGACCATCGCTAGTAAATCCGTTTTTTCTTTCTTGTAAATTGCTGCATTATATAGATCTTGCAAATAAATTTGTAAATTTATGGAAACCCGATGTTTGAGATCTCAACACGCACGTTCAATTGGATCATACGGCAACATATAGAACAGGTCTCATTCGAGGCTGGCGCGGAGGGTCCCGAACCCGTCCAACATCGTAACATTCGTGACGTCTTGTGGTGCCAAAAAAAGGTGCTCGGATTTAAGTTTGGAATTTAACAATGTCCACGAAACTGATGGTGATTGTTGTGTATTTATTCCTGGCAATACCCCTTTTGTACATGGTCTTGAACACTACAAGCAAAACCAGCACCCAAAACCAAAACAAGCACCCAAACCACCCATGCCAATGACCGAGAAGCTCAACACCTCCACCTCCTTTTAGCCCCACAACAGTGACGAAAGCGTCAGCAAAAAAACTCATATGAAACACCCTGAATGGCAACTGTTTTGCCTTCAACCAGCACTTCTCTACCAACACGTACCAACCTTGCGGAAGATCAGTAAGCAGTACCATCTTACAGTCATGGTGAGTCTGTTGTAAGCTTTTCAGCGCTTCAAAGTAGTCTTCCAGTAACGGCGTGTTCAGGTTTAAGTGATGTCAAGACAGAGACTTGAGAGTCAGATAATGTGAAGCATCAAAGGAGACTGTTGTTTTGCGGACTTGACAACGATATCTATAATGTGAATGGAAGAAGCCGTTGACCAAATGGTTGAGAACAAAAAGTGCCGGAAGGGCTTGGATGTTGACGATCATCGACCACGCACACAGCAACAAACAGCGAACGGACCTCTCAGCGCCTCTTAGCCATCGACTCTCAAGCCTACTTCGTCAACGACGCCGTTGCTTGATTGGCCTGATCTCACTGCATCCCCGTAGCATTCTTCACCTTGACATCCATTTCAAGGGCTGAAAGTTGCCACAGCGTAAAATCAAACAACAATAGAACACCTGTTTCCATCTCACTGATTTCCGACCCGCCCAGAAACCGGAAAAAAAGCCATTACATCCAAAACCACCATTCGGATCAAACATAAACCCGTCCCTTCATCAACTTAATTTAATCGTAAGGTGATACAGTACAACATCATGAGGTCTCCTTCGTTCCAATCCCTCCCCTTCATATACACTTCACATCCTCAAAAACCCAAAAGACATTGATATCAACAACCCACAAATCACACCTATCAAAAAAGAAGCAACAACCATCAAGCTACATACTCACAAAGCATACATCACAACCGCACATACCAATCTGCTGCCTCGGATTAAAGACGTTCGGTTCACGCAGATACAATATCGCAATAACTCCAAAAAAGAATCCAACGAATAGGCCTTTCAGCATATCAAAGCTGGATCCGTCCACTACATCAAAAGATCGCTGAGTTAACACAATGCGGGAAAACATGCGTAAAAGTGCAGACTACCTGCTTCAACAGATCGTTGCGCAACAGCCGTATTCTCAATCCATTCTTCTTCAGCTGCTTGGGCAGCTGCTTCGACACCTGCGATGTAATCAGGTATAAGCCGAGACAGGCAAGCGAAAAAAACCGACGTATGTGAACGTCTCAGGTCTTGTTCAAACCGTCAACATACCTTCCCCCTCCCCATTCGCATACGGCCTGCCCCTCATAGAATGAAACCGATGTCTCAACACCTCCACCTCCTCTCTCGAGAATCCCAGATCCAGCAACCGGTCCAGTCCCATTGATCGTGCAATCGTCATATCAGGCACCTACACATCCAAACACCTCAGTTCCAATCCCACCACAAATCAGGTACGTCATATACCTGAGGTTCACTAGCAGGCGTCTCAGAAACCGAGCAGTGTATATAAAGCGGCAGGTTGTCTGGTGATGTGACATCAACTCCTAGATCGTTGATGGTGCTTGATTGTGAGAGGATTCGGCCTCTGAACAGGAAGCGGAGGTGCTGTGTTTGCCATGCTGGATTGGTTCGTAGGACCTATTATATTATACAAGTTAGTTTGCTATGCTTTAGATGATAAATGTCAAGTTGACGAAAACACGTTTTTACATGTTGTGATAAATCTGCTATTGTGGAGGTTGTGGAAGGTAATAGGAGAGATAAGTCTTCTTTTCCGTTGGCGAATCGTATGCATAGTGATACTGGAGTGTCGCTGCTTGAGCTTGTGGGCATGCTCATATATGTGTTATTTGAAGCTTTGTTGCCAAAACATGCAGCACGGTGAGCATCGGTTCTTTTTTGCCATATCAACTGAATTTTTTGATGGGCGCTACAAAAAAATCATATTGTTTTCTATAATATTCTGCTTTTTACTTTGATTTTATCAGACCGCGTTTGATCATTTCCTATATGGCACGAAATTCAGAGTCAGCAAACGAAAAAAAGCACAATATCGGTATCCTCGTATACTACAAACATACCTGTTTCATGGCAACACCCAACTGAGCAGGACTTGGACAAACAATAACACCAACAGCCTCTAACGCAGCAACCTTATCTTCAGCTCTTCCTTTACCCCCACTAACAATAGCCCCCGCATGTCCCATCCGTCTTCCAGGTGGTGCAGTTCGTCCCGCAATGAAGGATACAACGGGTTTAGGGTTCTTGAGTGTCATATTGTGATGTTTCAAGTAGTCTGCAGCTTCTTCTTCAGCGCTGCCGCCGATTTCTCCAATGAGGATGATACCTTCAGTGTGTGGGTCTGCGAGGAAGACACGGAGACAGTCTACAAAGTTGGTTCCGTTGAAGGGATCGCCTCCGATACCGATACAGAGGCTTTGGCCTAGCCCGACGTTGGTTGTTTGGCCGACGGCTTCGTATGTCAAGGTACCAGATCTTGACACGATGCCTATGATTGGTTATTGATGAGAGAGTGAGTGGGGGTTATGAGATGGGTCAAGGATGGCAAGAAAAAGCACAGAGGCACAAAACACCCCTATATTCGTTATACGCCATTGTCTTTCACCACAATACACCCATATCCCCATCTCACATACCGATATTTCCAGGCATATGAATATGCCCAGGCATGATTCCAATCTTGCATTCACCAGGTTTGATGATACCAGGACAGTTGGGGCCAATCAGACGAGTTTTAGATTGAGCCTTTAATATCTTGTTTACACGGACCATGTCTTGTTGTGGGATACCCTCAGTGATGCATACGACGAGGGGGACTTCGGCTTCTACTGCTTCTTGGATTGCTTTGGCAGCACCTGGTGGTGGGACGTAAATGACTGAGGCTGTTGGTTTGACCTTGTCCATTGCCTGCGTAGGTGATGAGGTGGAAGTGAGACGAATGTATGTGGTCAGGGATGACATAGGTTGGAATAGATGATGGAGCAGAAGGTGTTTTTCGGCTATGCATGTTTACCTCTTTTACAGTAGCGAATACCGGAGCCCCCAAATGTGTGGTTCCAGCCTTGTTTGGAGAAGTACCACCGACGACATTTGTGCCATAGTCGATAGCTTGTTTGGCATGAAATGTGCCCTAATAGTAAGTGTTTGTTGTTGAATATGATGTGTCGGGTTTTCAACATTTGCAACCAGCAGTTACTCTTGCTATACCTGTTTTCCAGTAAAGCCCTGTACGAGGACTCTGGTATGTTTTCCAATAGCGAGATTTGAGTAAGTGTCATCATAAGTCCTTGCAGCGGTAGCGAGACCTCTGGCCAGAACTAATGTTGCCCGAAATGGCAAAGTTTTAATGATGATGTCGTTGTTTGACATATAACGAAATCCAAGCAGTGAAGGAGAGTAGTAGAGTAGTAGCAATGCGATGATGATATCAGTGATGAGGTCTGTGTTGTCTGTCCAGTTCCATAGACAGCGTTCAACGTTCAACCTGTTCCGAGTTCTTCCAAGCTCGTTCTACGACCACGTACCTGATGCCTTCCTCAGGGTATTTGATACTGCAGCCATAATGAGAATAGGGCGAGATGGAATTATATATATGTCGCTCCTTCTCCTATATAACCTCGAGCGACGACTTCAAATTTTTTCAGAGACAAACGTTCGTGCAACGATAACGAGAAACGCTTAAAGAACATATAGAATTAGCAAAGAGAATTAGACAGCGTGTAGTAGTAAGCTGTAACAATAATAGTCAGATGGCTACTCCCACAGCCAGAACGACGTGTCTCCTCCTATTACGCAAACCATTCAAACCATTCCCATCCATACCACATCATCGAGCATCCTACTCAACAACAGAATCAGGCCTTCACGCAGGCTACTTCACTGGCAATCCCAAATACTATGATGCCCTAATCAAAGTAAACAACCTCATCAAATCCCGTGGTGGCCTGCCAACATCCACTACTCAAAACATCAAAAACAACCCAATGTGGATGACACTCGACGACATCAAGGCTACGTATGGTTATAGAATGGATGAACTCACGTACAACTCGTTTATTGCAAAGCTGAATGTGCTGTATCAGAGGAGGTTTGTGGGTGATGAGTCGGATGGGCTACCTCAAGGTACTTATGAGTAGAGTTGCAAGGCGTTTTTTTGCATGTTTAGTGATGAAGAACCCTCACTACACCTTTATCAGTCACGTATCTACCCACCCACGTTAACGTCACTAACACCGCATCCAACTCTCATTGTAGCCGACACAGAAATAACCACCCTCCTCCAACGCTTTGTAAAACTCGGCCGCGACATATCCATACAACCACCTCCACCTCCAACTCTCGACGCCGAAGGCAAATCATACGCATACGCATCCCGCAAAACAGCCAAAGCCCAAGCATGGATCCTCGCCGGCGACGGTGCCATCTACATTAACGGAATCCCAATGGGCGACTACTTTAAATCAGCACTCGAGCGAGACGTCGTTATGAAACCGCTGGTTGCTGGTGACGTGCTGGGGAAATATAATATATGGTGTTTGGCGAAAGGAGGTGGATTGGCGGGACAGGCGGGTGCTGTGATGGTGGCGGTTGCGAGGGCTTTGGTGGTGCATGAGCCGGCGTTGGGTGAGGCTTTTAAACAAGGTATGTTGTGGAGTTGGTTCCTTTTTCTGGTTGTTTGACGTTACGAGCTGGCAAGGAAAAAAAAAACAGCTTTCTCTCAATACATACGTTTCCTCACACTTCAATTTCTACTTCTTAGCTGAATTGACCAAAGTTGATACGAGACAAGTAGAGAGGAAGAAGACTGGGTTGCCTAAAGCTCGTAAACGTTATACTTGGGTCAAACGATAGACTATGTCTCTGCTCTCCTTTTCTTGGCATCGTCAGACATGCACGAATGTATCATATAGAACTTGCACTAATAATAACACTTACTCAACACTTTGCTCATATTGCCAGAGTGACCTGTTGAAACGGTTCCATGTTGCAGACCATTGTTGGTTGAACAAGAGCAGACGAGACCACGAAGCTTGCGTCATTCAGCGAGCGTGTGAAGGGCTTGTTTTTGCATCGCTTAATAAACATTGCAAAACTGCCATCCAAGAGCACAAGCTACAGAAAAATCCAAGTAGTGTATTGTTTCTAACGAGCACAGTGTATTATATGAAAAAAGTAAGGAAAAATTCTAATGGTATACTTATAATAAATTGTGTTCAGAGAAGCGAGACAAAAAAAGCCATTAAACACCAGTATTGGTGAAGTTCTCTATTCCAAACTATTTCCACCTTCCATCCCCCACTCACAACTCTAATTCCTCAACTCTGTCAGCGCAACAGGCCCAATAACACAAACAGCCTTATAAAGTACTTGCACACTTCGAATGATATTAAATGGTAGCTTGTAGAATGGTCCGGACTTGCAAATCAGGAAGGTGCCATAGAGTGCGACAGCAAAGAAGTGGAGTATTAGTGTTATGGGTGATGGGATGAGGCTATGAGGGGTGGAAGAAGAATAGTTAGTTGATTGAAAGAGGAGGAAGGAGGGTGTATCAAATCACAAGAAATATGTTGAAACGGTATGAGCGAAAAAAAAATTGTAAATCATGCTTGAAGTACGACACATTTTAAGTATCAATTGAGCTTACCCTGCCAGCAGACCAACAGGAGTAGATACACATATACCACCTAACTTGAAGTATCCAAAACATGCTGCTTGCAAGTCCTTGAGTAATGGATCTATCGAAGAAAAGCCGCCGAAGGAGGACGGTGAGCAACCAAAAAAGCTCCCACAACCAGTAGATGATAGTATTGTGTCAACACTGCAAATCAATCCAACCAAACTTACTATCACCAGCCGAAAACAAATCATACAACGCCATCGCCAAAATATTGACCACACTAGCCAACGGCTTTCTCTTCCAATGCAGCCTCTTCATCGATGCAACAACAGCTTTCGAGTCACTTAACGACGGCACTTTATCTCTTGACAGTAAATCACGGACGTGCACCACATCCCATAATGCAACAGTCATGCCACCACCGGTAAGAGGATGTCTCATGTTCATGGCGTCACCGAGGAGGATGACGCCTTGTTGCTTGTTGGTTGTAGGTGGGAGGAAGCTGTTTGGCATTGCGCGGAGACGGTCTGATTCGAGGGCTGCGAGGAAGCTGGGTTGGATTGCGAGGGGGAGCTGGGTGGAGACTGTTGTTTTCATGTATTCCTGAGTGTAGAAAGTGTTGGAGGTTGTGTGTGTGCGTTGACAAAAAAAATTCGCAAAAACGGTGGAGTGATGGTTAGTACCTTGAGTTCGCCGTTACCAGCACTAGGTACTTTTCCAGGTATATCGACCAAAATACGGGTATCATGAGTTCCAATCTAAATAGGCAAAAAGTCCGTCAGAGAAGCTAGCCATTTTGAGGTCGTAGAAATCATCAGTTTCCAGCAACCCGCTCCAACATACCTGATATAACAATATAGGACTAGGCTTTGCCAACACGACATGTCCGTAACTAGGGTATGGAAGTGGACAATCATGTAATATTATTCCAACAAAGTTGGATTTCAGCAATGGATCTTTTTCAGGATTGATTTGTTTACGGAATTTGGAAAAGCAGCCATCGGCTACTATTGTTAATGGTGCATTGAACTATCGTTTGAATAAAGGATTGATTTAGATTTTCGAGGGGCGACAAAAATATGTCAATGTCTTATCAAACTCACTTGACGTTCTTGTGATTCTCCATCTTCCTTCTTCACGGTAGCAGATACGCCCACTATTATGTCTCCGACTGGGCCTTTTGTTAATGATGCGACTGTAGCTTCCAGACATGTAACACTGAGTGTGAGAAGGATTTGTGAGCTGCAAAATTTGGAGCTGAGAAGTTGTATTTTTTGGCATGCACATACTTTGGAGCAGACCTCGCAGCCTTCCTCAAATTCATAACAAATCTCCCATGATGGAAGGATATACCCAACGATTCACCAACACTCGTCTGCTTCTTCTCATCACCAACATGTCCATTCGCAAATCCATTGACCAGCCCATTTCCATTTTTCTTTGGAGCAGCAGGTATAGGGTTTTCACTCATAGGATACGTCAAGACCTGTGGCTCATTATCCTTAATCACGACATAGCCCTTAACAGGGATTCCATCGATTCCTGTGATGGTATGTTCGAGTTCTAGTTTGCGAAGTGCGTTGATGCCACCTGGTTGCAGTAGTTCTCCGACGATACGATCTGGTTCCTTCCAGTCTCGTTCTAGATATGTTGGATTTTCGATCGTAAGTATTGGTATTGTGTGATGCGATTGCTTGCAGATGTTTGCAATGTTTGATTTACCAATAAGAAGTACATGACGTCCGTCCCTTCCTAGCGCAGATGCCATAGCAGATCCAAGAACTCCAGCTCCAACTATAATCACATCGTAATCGGTCTGATCGATAGTGTAAAACGTGTTAAAATCTTGCCTTTGCAAAATGTGTGTTTTCCAAAGCTTGTGCGAATCACCTTTGGAACATTATTGGAGTAGATGGTAGCCAGTTGTGAAGCGTATGCAGAGCCTGGCATTATCAGGATAAAATGACGGACTCAGATTGTTTGATGGTGGGGTTGTCTATGTCGATTCGACTTCGCCAAATTTTTGTAGTGGGGTGATATTTGGGAGGGTGAGTCAAACATCGCAGGCAGGGACGCAAGTAGGGAAAACTGGAAAACTAGTTCCTTACGCGTTGTAGTATCATTTTGAAGATGTTTCACGTATTGTATCAATCCAATCGCGTGAAAAGGGTCGTTTACATGACAGCTGAGCTGAATTCAGATCAATTACTACTATTATTTAGATGTCGACATTTCTACAAGTTTCTATGCCCTATATTAATATATTTAAGAAGAACTCGGTCCATTATATATTTAAGAAGAACTCGGTCCATTAATCCCTTCAGACAAGACGTGTTTTCTATGTTCGACAGCAACCAACCTCACATGGTCATTGTTTTCATCAGACCAACTTCTCCAAAGATAACTCTACTGTCCATTTCTCAAATTCCACTGATCCAGGTCGCTAACAATCTACTATTCACCACGCATCAAATACGTTTCATAGCTTCGAATTCACACCAAACGCTTTCGCCCTCCCCTCAACAGTCCAAAGCCCAGCAGCCTCCAATGCCTTCTGCAGCTGTGCAACACCAGATGCGGCAGCTCCTATAGCGTCCTCATCTACACCCTCATTACATGATTTGCACGGCGCAGAGGGATCCACCAAATGATCGTGGGTTCCATGATTACATTCTTCGCCATGAGCATGGTGGTGATGATGTGTTGATACCAGGTCACCTAGTTGATGAGACTGTATAGGGAGTGACGATGGGCGGTTTACGGTTCCTGCTTTCTTAAAGCTTATTGGTACGGATGGAGCATGGTCATTGTGTGTTGTTTTTGAATTGCAAGCACATTGGGAAGGAGTGCAGTGGCATACGCCTGCGTCTTTGCATGACTGGCATGAGTCCTTCGTTGGTTGGGACATGGTTGTCAGGTTCTAATGAGGGTGGTTTAGAGTTTTAGAGTTTGGAAGAGCGAATATGCGAATATGAGCGAATTGTTGCTTATTGAGATGATTAGGAGGGCAGCGCCAGCAGTTTGCTACGCGTGCTTGCGTGATATGTGTAGTTCCTCGTGCCAACAAATTGCAAAGATTCAAAACATCGAAACGTTGCGATTGTTGCGAATTGCGAAAAGAGCAATTGCAAACACCGGATGGCTTCGGGAGGTACGGGATTAGCTTCGACTTATTGGTAAGCAATGTGCTAGATGTGTGATCTATCATTGTAGGACTCAGAACGACTTTGGTCTACATTTTTCACAAGCTTGTGTTGAGAATTTGGCAATGGCATCATTGAAGCTCGCGGTGGCAACGCTGAGACAAAGGCGCTAACGAGAGTCGACCAGTAAATCCATGATACTACTCTTGATCTATACTTCTAATATACATTTGATGACTTGCCGCCAAACAACATCAACACATCAAAATTCAACAATCATCAACTTGTGCCTTACATTCTTCAATACCGCATAGATCATCGCAGCTGTCCAGATCAAGAGGCTGCAGCAACCAGCCAGCTGAGACAAATCGTGTTGGTTTGTGGATGCTGTCCATGACTCTAGTGATCAAGAACGATAAGGAATCATAACCAACACGACCCATATCTAGACGACCATCGTATCAATATTATTGTGGTTGTAGAGTACCCTGAGACGTAGTCTTGGTTTGTGAATATACAACTGGTTCTAGTTCTTCTTGCCTTCCATTGGAAACAATCAAGATTCAAGCAAGCGGTTTGATGGTGTTAAAATCTAGTGTATGATCCAATCTTTGGAACTCATTTCCCCTCACACGGAAATTAGGTGTCCAAGTCTCTAGTGTTCAAGAACAATGAATAATCATGGACCAACACGACCCATCTCTATGACGGCCATCGTATCAAAGTGATTGTGGCAGTAGAGTACCCTGAGACGTTGTGTTGGTTTGTCAATTTACAACTGATTCTAGTTCTTGTTGTTTGCTTAGAACAATCAAGATTCATTGATGGTGTTGAACTTTGAGCTTTCGGGTATGATTTCAACTTTTTTTTGAACTCATTTTCTCTCGAAACCCCATTAAGAAGCTATGTATCAGGAGATCCAAGTAAAATCTTCTCGTTTCAAGCTAAAGTATCATGGTCATCTAGCCCTGACGGTTAATGTGGCCATAGCCGGTTCCCAGCCCGGTTAAGAGACACAGAGGAACCAAAAATTGTAGTCGTGCTAGTATTGATCGGGATTGATCATTGGGAAGTCAAGAACAACTGGATAAGAGGATGGCCTGTCAACAGTTGGCCTTTTAGGAAACCTGGTACGATGGAGCATGGAAATTGAGAATCTGAGTGGATTTACCACGCGTGGTATCTCGACATCCGAGCTCCTCCATGCTTGGCTTGAGCCCAAATAGAATTCTTGCTGTACACGTGTCATTTACTTAAAATTACACTTGATCCGCATCGTTCTGCTAGTTCGCGTTCCTCAGCATGCGTTGCTCAGTATAAATCCTTCTCGTATTCTTTTTTATGGCCTGAGTGTTTTGTAACGCGATTCGAAATCATACTTCAAAAAACGATTGGAAGTGACTCCGACACTTTTACAAAGCTTTGGCATCTGGAGAGGCGAGGAGGCGGCAATGTCAACGATAGATTCTACTATAGGAAGCATGCTTTCAGAGGTAAATCATGCACACCAACATGTTTCATCAAGAAACTTTTCAAAAAACTTTGATGTCGATCTGTCACTAACTAACCTATGTTTTTGTATCGATCTAGTCTACACCTTCGATGCATGGGATTGAGCCATCTGCTCCCAATGCCTACCAGAAGATGATGTCGGCTTGTGCTGGTGCAGTTTTGACATCTCTTATTGGTAATGCAAGAAAACACACATCGACAAGAAATTGAAGCTTATCAGTCAAACAAACCCACTTGACTCACACCATTCTTTTTAACAGTAACTCCATTCGATGTAGTCAAGACTCGAATGCAAGTGGGATCCGATGTGATTGTTACAAAACCTTCACCTCCCGTTGCTCAAGAAGTGTGTTGTCGGTTTTACTATATGGAGATGGATAGCGGAGTGTGTAGGATGTATCCTGCTATGGAATGTCCGTCAGGTTTTGATGCGAGGATACCGGGTGTTGCTGCTCCACAACCGAGTATCAAACCAGTGTCGACTCCGTTTACTGGCACGCTCGTAAGGTTTTGGTTGTGTTATGAAAAGGAGTCAGTTTTGTTAATATTTATATTTGTGTTAGGACGGTGTCGTCAAGATTGTAAGACACGAAGGAATACCTCAGCTGTGGAGAGGATTATCACCAACTCTGTGAGTACTTCAAAGGACTTCTCAGCGGTTTTTTGCCCAGTGTACTCATTCTCTTAATATGTGTAGGGTTATGTCAGTCCCATCTACTGTAATTTACTATGTCGGATATGAAAACGTCCGTGATTACCTGATACCTTCGTTTCGGAGACGCGGGATGGAGGACTATGCACCATTGTTTGCTGGTGCTACTGCTAGAAGTAAGCTGAACGCAAAAAGTAGTACACCAAAATGATTGGCAATGAATAACCCTTGTCTTTCTATACTCGCACTAGCTTTTGCTGCTACAATCATCTCACCACTGGAACTTGTACGAACGAGAATGCAGTCTGGTGGAGCAGACAAGTCGATATCTAGAGTTGTCTTGGGTGTGGCTGAGATGGTGAAACAGAATGGGCCAAGTTCGTTATGGAGAGGTTTAGCTCCTACTCTGTGGAGAGATGTTCCCTTCTCTGGTAAATAGTTATCATGACGACAAAAAAGCCCATCTACAATGAATAATGCTTCCACTTATTCGTAGCAACGTATTGGGCTGGATATGAACTACTTAGGCATCGATTACCACGACCAAATATGTCGAATGAGTTTGTACGAGATTTTTGGAGTTCGTTTATAGCTGGTGCTATATCTGGAACGGTAAGTTATTCGCTTGTCGATCGACCACCAATCCTGGACGTTGAATCTTTTTTTTTTTGTGCTGCAGGTCGCAGCTACTATTACGACACCATTCGATGTCGCCAAAACGACACGACAAGTATCGAGAGATACTCATGTTCGAGCAGACGGTAAAATGCTGAACCTCATAAGATTTATTGTGGAACGAGATGGCTGGAAGGGGTTGTTTCGAGGATTGTCACCTCGAATCGCTAAAGTTGCTCCAGCTTGTGCCATCATGATATCCAGTAAGTGCTGAACCATTACTCTCTCGTGATGATGACACATGAAGTTAACATTATCGAAAATAGGTTACGAGATGGGAAAAGTGTTCTTCACGACTGGCTTCGCTATGAAACAGGCGTCATCACCAATACGGTATAATGCTACGTGATTTTGAATTCATCCCGACGTGTCAATAATGTAATCACGTTCACTATGTATATAACAACGTAATTTTTGTCTGACTCATAATCCTACAAACCAACAAAGCTTTATCCCTCACTTGCATCGATGCATCGTCTTTGAGTGATGGTTGAGCTTACAAGTGTCTGGTAGTAAAATGCATTGCAAGCGAACTCCAAAGTACAAACGCGATACAGGAATTGTGGGTAGGGGTTTTCCGCTCTGGGAGGCCTTGGTTGAAAATAATTTGTTAATGTTGTTCAATAAGAACAGATATCACGTATTATTATAAAATCATGATTAAAATTGTACAATTGTGTCAGCCATTGCCTTTGACGCGTCCTCAGGCTCGTACTTGGCAGCCCGTCTCTTTGTTATTTCACACTTTCATCTGAAACACCAATACTTCAGCTGAAGACAATAGACAAACATTAGAGCTCTATAAATTATATTACTTTATTTTGAGTTATATCAACCATGGCAGGACTTGGAGGAGTTCAGAATCTGAACGCTGATGAACAGGCGAACGAACGACAACGCTTCTTCCAGGAATTCATAGATCAAGACGTAAGTATCGTATATGATGATTATCATATTTTAACATTGCAAATTCAATGAATTATCGTCCTCATCTGGACGGATGACGTGAAGATCAAGTCTAGCTCACCAACTATTTGAGTGATTTTGTCACTGCGCATTGCTAACTCGTTCATCTTGGATGTATTTCTAGTATGGACAGAGCGAATACAAGGACCAAATACGCAAGATGCTTGCAGCTGGTGAACGACGATTGGTCATTAATATTAATCACCTGAGGACATACAATGCTGATTATACTCAAGGGTACGAAAATCGAATGCTTTGGTAGCCGTGATGCAAGAACGAGACAAATGACTGTAATAACAGATGTACTGGCTTACTTTTTGAATTACTAGACTACTCCTACATCCAACGGACTACATCCCACCTTTTGAACGAGCTCTCAAGGACGTAGCACTCCTACTCCACAATCCAGCCCGTGATGGCAAGATCTCTGATACCGCTAAATTTCATGTTGGATTTGAAGGTTCATTCGGTGATAATTTGTTGAGTCCTCGTAATTTGAGTGCCGCTCATTTGGGCAAGTTGATTTGTGTTGAAGGAATTGTTACGCGATGTGAGTATTGCTGTTTGTTTCGACAGCAAAAAAGCCCTTGTCGTCAATTGAATGATGCCAACATTGGAATGTTTAGGCTCTTTGGTACGACCCAAAGCTGAACGTACTATTCATTGGTGTCCAGTCACAAATGTCTTTCATTCCAAAGTCCATACGGAGGAATCGTTCAATGGCCCAATTTACCCTAAAGCGGTGAGTGCTTTTGCTTGCAAAACGAAGCCCCTTGATAAATACAAAAGTATCCAAGGCTAATGGTCATTTGACTCATTTAGGATGATGCCGGCAATGCACTAGAAACTGAATTTGGATGGTCTACGTATCGTGACTACCAGACAATTAGTCTTCAGGAAATGCCTGAACGTGCACCTGCTGGTCAATTGCCACGTCCAATTGATGTAGTGCTGGACGATGACATCGTAGACGTTTGCAAACCGGGTGATCGTGTTCGTATTGTTGGAATTTATCGAAGCACTAAGCGGAGGAGTGAAAACTCATCGGCATTCTGGTGAATACCATGATGTCAGCTAGCGCTTTTTGCATCTATGCTCTAAAATGGAATTTTGATGTGTAGGACTGTGCTTGAGGCCAACAACATTCGTTCTCTCGGCAAAGAGATTCAACAGCCATTGATTTCTGATACCGACATTCAAGAAATCAAAAAGATTGCCAAGAAGGAAAACGCTTTTGATTTGTTATCATCTTCATTGGCTCCATCTGTCTTTGGACATAATTACATCAAGAAGGCTATTCTATTACTCTTGCTGGGTGGTGTTGAGAAGAATTTGCCTAATGGAACGCACATCAGGGGGCAAGTGCAAGAAAGAGCCAGAAGGTCTTGCAAAGTATTCACTCGACTTTTAATTTAGTGACATCAACATGCTAATGATTGGTGATCCATCCACTGCCAAGTCTCAATTACTTCGTTTTGTCCTCAACATTGCTCCTCTTGCTATTGCTACGACTGGAAGAGGATCTTCTGGTGTTGGGTTGACTGCTGCTGTGACCACTGATAAAGATACTGGTAATATCCAATGGAGTTGGTTTTTTGTTACAGGTTTTGAACTCCTTGGTATTTTTCAAAAAGGTGAACGTCGATTGGAGGCTGGTGCCATGGTCCTAGCTGATCGTGGTGTCGTCTGTATTGATGAGTTCGACAAGATGAATGAATCAGATCGTGTTGCCATTCACGAAGTTATGGAACAGCAAACTGTCACCATTGCTAAAGCTGGGTAGGTTGTTTCCTTATGTTATGGAAACAAAAAAGGTTCTCATATTTACATCGAACAGAATTCATACATCCTTGAACGCTCGTTGCTCTGTGGTTGCTGCTGCCAATCCTGCATTTGGTTCTGTACGTCTCTCTGGGAATGCACTCAGTCCTCCAGTCATTAGAGCGTTTTCAAAACTTACCAAGACCTCGTTATTTTTACATACTAGTACGTTGATGCTAAGAAGCCATTCGAGAATTTTGCTCTTCCAGAATCGCTATTGTCTCGTTTCGACTTGTTATTTGTCGTCTTGGACAATCTCAGTGATGAACACAATCGTTTAATCTCAGAGCACGTCTTGAGAATGCATCGCTATGTACCTGCTGGTCATGAAGAAGGTATTGCTAGTTCTTATCCCTTGCGATGTTTCTTGAGCCTCAGCCCTCTTTTTGCGTCTGACCAACTTTATTCCAAAAAACAGGATCTCCCATACCAGACGTACCCTTCCAATTGCTCAGCATGGACGATGATGAGCCTACACGAACTAGAGTATATGAGAAATTCAATCCACTTATTCATGGTGCTTTGGCAGCTGCTCCAGCCGGTTCACGTTCACGTTCTCGACGTGGTCGTACTGCTGGCATGCCAGAGATTATCTCAATCCCATTCCTGAAAAAGTATATTCACTATGCCAAGACTCGAGTCAAGCCCATCTTGACTGAAGAGGCTAGTGATATTATTTCAGAAGCTTATGCTGATCTGAGAGGTCGTAATGAGGGAGAAGATAACAAGTACAAGGTAATGCTTAAATCCCATAGAAGATGGGAGGGTATTTTTCGCTAAATCTTTTGTTGCTTCCAGACATTGCCAATCACTCCACGTACATTGGAAACCTTGATTCGTCTATCATCAGCACATGCCAAGGCTCGCTTATCAAACAAAGTAGAAGAACAAGATGCAGAAGCTGCCAAAGAATTGCTGCAATATGCACTATTCAAAGAAGTTGTTGAAAAGAAACGTAAACCTAAACGAAGACGTACTGAAGGAGACGCTGCTAATGAAGATTCTGATGGATCAGACGGTGGTGATCCAGAGCATGGTGGTGGGGGAGATGATGATGCGTACAGAGAGTACGTAGTCCAAATAGTTTGTAAGTTGGTTCTTTCCAGTTTCCCGTATCTCACAATATTATCTCTGATTGGTGTAGGACGAAGGTCAAGTCTAAGAAGAGTAGTGGAACATCAAAGGAACCCGCTATGAAGCTTGGTGGAGGAGGTATTGATATCAAGGGTAATTTTCTGTCAGCTTAACAACTACTGATATAAACGTTCGGGTTAGTTGGACCAGCTGATAAAGACGATGCTCTTCCAGAAGACGATATTCGTGAAGAAGAGCCAGAGGACGATGAACCAGAACAGCCTGGTAATGCTATGGACATTGACGAAGAGGAGGCTGCACCAGCAGCTGAAGAAGAAGAACAGCCACCTGTTGTTCTTGATGACCAGAGGTATTAAACTATGACGAATTCGATTTTTTTGGTGCTGTGTTGCTGATATGACACATTCTTTTCTTAACTAGGTATGAAATGTTCAAAGAACGTCTTCACCTCGTGCGAGAGACATGTGAACGTGAAGCTGCACGTCGAGGAGACGACAGTGCCAGCATTATGGTGCATGATATTCCAGATAAAATCAATCCTGGATTACCTGGATCGTCACAATTTGTTGCACCGGAAGTTATGGCTGGTATTATGAGAGCCTTTGATGAGAATCTGATCTTTTATGATTCCAAGAATCAGAATGTAATATTCATGTAGAAAATTGGTGGTGGTAGTGGCCGGCATGAAAACTTTTTTGTAAAAAAAACTCGCTGTTGTTGTATCTGCCTTTTTCTATGTACTTTTCTATAAATCCGATACACAAACCAAAAATATTGTAAAGTGAATCAGTGTGTTTGTTGATGATGGTTTGAATGTTCAGAGGTTTTCTGGCGTGTAATTCAAACTGTTTTCCATAGCCTGTAACCTCCTCAGCACTTCGCCAACAGCAGGTCGTGATCTACCCTCCTACGCGAAAAAAGCCCCAAATCAGCTATTGGAATCAGTTATTGTAGTGTAACTTATACGCACTGTCGACAAGACGGCTTGAATGAATGCTCTGAATCCTGGGCCGTATGGATCAGGCTTTGACGGGAAATGAACTATTGGGTTAAGATTTAGTGTTTGATTGAGCCAGCAGAAAAAACGGAACGGTATTGTATCGGATGCTCACCTCTACCACCAACAGCAGCGGTCATGCTACCATCAAACGGCGATTGACGATACGCCATGGCATATATCGTGCATCCTAATGCCCTGTCACGAAAAGCAAAGGATGGTTAGCAAACAAGGCAAACAAAAAAAATAATTCCAAGGACAACGTTGGATACCAAACATCAGTCTTCTCATCAATCTGCGATTCACTTGGTGGATCGAACAGTTCTGGTGCTCTATATGGCTATATTTTTGTACAAAAGGATGGATGTTAGAATTTCCAAGTTGATGTCCACCAAAAAAAAAGGATATTAAAGTAGCCAAATGTTAACTCACAGCAGTCACAGTCTCCGCACACAGCTCTTGTAGCGCAAGTGCTTCCCGTCTAGATGTTATCGTGACGCGACTTGGAGCGACACTGCCTAAATCCATGAGGACGCCTCGTCCATCATCGTCAATCAATATGTTTGCAGGCTATGAATTCAAACTGGTTTCAGCTTTTGAGGCGTAAATCCGGGTGGTATAAGATACTTTGTTGTACCTTCAAATCACGAAAGGCGAGCGGCGGTTGATGTGAACTGGCCAAGAGGTTTGGTTACCAACGGCATCCATACGGATATGACTGATGTTTTTGGCAACTTACTGAAATGCAAGTAACCCACGACACACATCAACCGATACTCTTAATATAGTCTTCATTGGTATGAATTCACCGCTTGGCGTGTTATCAATCATATCCTGCACTGTGCCGTTTTTCAGCAGTGGCAGTAGCAGCAGTCCCTCCACAGCATGTCCATTCTTAATGACGAGTTCAGAGTCGAGGAGTTTCAGAACGTTTGGGGAGTTTACTTGGTTGTGTCTATAAAAGAAATGGTTTTACGTTTTGGAAGGTGGTGAGGAGCAACAAATTCTGGACACAATGAAAAGAATTACTCACGCTGCAATCTCCGACTTGACACGATCCTCCCATTCAGGCAACTGTATCCGTATCCTCTTCAAAGCATATCGAAGTGGCGAGCTCGGAACGCCAGGTGTGGATTCCTTGACTTCGTATACGAATGAGAAACCACCTAAACGAAAATCAAAGCATTAGTCAATCGTAAACCTCTTTTCTTTGGTCATCATGCCGCCTGCAAACACCACACCAACAAAAACTTGATGCCTCAACAAATCACACACAACAAATTACCTTCACCGAGCTGTCTAATAACAGTATACGATCGATTCTTGATTTTAATCGGCGGCGTAGCTCCAGATCCGTTCGAGAATAGTGAGAGGATGCTCATATAAATGGATACTAGGAAGGCATGCAGCACTTCAAGTGGCGATGTGCCATTAGATTGCCTCTGTCTAGGCTCAGAGTCTAGCAGTGAGAGCTCTTGGAAGCCACCATTCGAGCGATCCGGGCTGCTTGGGACGCTTGAAAATCTCATGCTTGAGTCCTTGTTGAATGGTCAAGTGCGAAAATGGCGCAAACCAACGATCACGATCAAGTGAAGGCTTTATTTACGAAAAAATCCGTGTATTATGGATAGCATTACATTATTACTGGTTTGATGAACTGGGTGATTATAATAAAAATAATTGAATGAAGTCTTGCTGCAATAAAAAAGTGGTTCTCTAACGATCTAACTTCCAAACTCTTGAAATAAAAAGATTAAATAGGTATCTAAGTGTCTAAGTGACCGTTTAGCAGTCAATCCATTCCCAGTCGACGTCAGTGACGCCGTCGTTGACTGCTCCAATCATCTTGTAGGCAGAGGTGGACCATATGTCGATATGTTTGCTATGTTGTGAGTACGAAAATACCTTAGTTTGGTTGATACGAATGTTGAGACTTGCTTGGGAGACTTACGCAGTGTGGAAGTCACAGTTCTTTGGATCACAGACATCAATGACCTACAGGAAGCAATGGAATCAAGACTCGACCAAATTAAATTGACGAGTACATATTTAATCTCGTTGAAACTGTAGTGCTCTTACCACAGCTTTAGGAATAACACCATCAGGTCCAGTAATCTTCATGCACTTGCCACAGAAATCTCCTTGCATGGCACCAGGAATGACACCGTTAATAGCAACACCGATTTGTCCAGCTGGCTGACGAGCGTTGCCAAGACTATCCCAAAAAATAGCAAACACGTGATTAGCGTCAAGACTCGGTGTTGGCGCCAATGCGAATTGCAGAAGGAAGAGACAAAGTGGTCACGACATACCATTGTGTCTGCTTATCCGTAAAGAATGTAGCAAACTATTTTGTAGTCTGGGTTAGTATGTGGGTATATCTGTACGTTGATGAAAATGCGAGTTGCGTACCCTAAAGAAACATTAGGTGAGTTTATTGTGAAGGGAAATGACAACGTGGATGGACATACCCAGCGACAACGTTCCCGGTATTGATCCCTTTTAATTTACTTGCTGCATCAGCCTCAACAGCGGCGTCTGTACTTGTTGTTGTTATTTTGGCAGCTGCTTTGACTGGTGTGGTATCGACAGCTGATTGCACACATGCGTTCTGGGTCGGTAGTGCTTGGGATGTGACGGCGAGGAGACATACAATGAAGAGTGATACTAAGCGGGCCATTCTTTTATTTGTTTGGGGTGTTGTGGAAGATGAAGAGGTTTGTGTGTTTTGATATGAGATGGTGGTGGTTGATCTATATACCAAAGGGGAAGTTCTTGGTTAGATCTGATACTAGATTATGTAGTAAAACATTATGCCTACCTTTTTTAATTGATATACAGTTTGTTGGTCGAGTTATCAAGTGAAGTTTAAAATTGAGAAAGCGCCAACTTGATCACCACGGGCCAGCCAGTCTTCTGGACAATTGCGATGCATGAGACAAACAAAAAAACAATTCGCCGCACATATACCGCTAGCCTGTCCGAATGCATCGTCTCTCCGCTGCAAGCTATTGGTTGCTACAACCCGAATATTGAATAGGCAACTCGTGTCAGAACATGAGGGCGCGAACAACCAACTTCTCAATCACGTGAATTCACATTTTCAGTCACTATACCTTATTTTATTATATATACCTGCTCTACAAGCTATACCGAGATTACATGGCCTCTGGCACCCAATTCTTTGCAGCATCCCAATAATGCATCACATCTTTCGGTGCCAAGATCTCCTTTACACGTGTTTCAGTTGGAGCCTTGAAGAAGACGAATTTCTCAAACGCTGGTGTCTTGACTTCACCCTCCCACACAAGCACACATTGATTTGGCTTGGCATCTTCCTCCTCTTCTTCTTCGTCATTGTCATCATCACGTGTCATACTCATTCCATTAACTTCCCATTTGATACGCTTGAGCATGAGCTTCTTGTACTTTTTGATCCCCTTTGGTCCACCTTCGACGACCACCAGCGTAAAAGCCTGATATACAATGACACACCCCGTGAGATACAATTGCTGGGCATTATTGTCCACCTTGAATTTATGCTGCTTGTTTTCTAAATGTCCGAGTCTGAATACAGCTACTTCGACTATTTCAGATGTATCTTCTTGCATTTTAGCACGATTTTTTTCTTTACGTTGCTCGTCGGTGAGTTTATTGGCAGCGTCGTGAGCAGCTGCAGCCGTCTGACGTGCCTTCATTTGAGCTCGTACGGTGGCTTCCATCTTGGTTGGATCTGATACTGCCTCTGTTCCTAATACTCTCATCAAGTTGGCTATACGTAGTTTTGGTACATCGGGTGGTAGCAATCCTATACGTATCTTGTCCATCTTTTCTTTTTGTGCTTCTAGACGTTTTTGACGACGTAGTTTCTTTTGCTCCTTCTTGGTCAACATTAATGGCCGTGCTACTACAGGTGCTTTATTACCAGGTGGATCAAGTTTCGAGGGATGGTGCACTAGACTGGTTACTATATCCGAGTCGTCCGTCAGCTTTTCACGATATCGTCCTAGGTCTACATCCGTATATGATCCTGAAGGAAGTAGTGGTAAATCCCACCATTCAACTATAGGCGGTGGCTCCTTTCTTATGCTGAGATCAGACACCAATTCCATTTCAGTTTCCAGACCTGATTTCTTGACTGATTCGGCAATAGCCTGTTTCAAAGACTCTAGCTGAGCAACAGCTCTAGCCTTATTGGCTTCTTCTACAAATGCACCTGGTTTTACAAAATGAAACGTCTTTTTGTGTCTCATCTTGGGAGCCACAGCAGCCGTCAACTTCGGATCAAAGTATGGGTTTTGGCGTGGATCAGAGAATGCTGCTGTATCTGGTCGTTCAATCTTCAATTCCTTTATTTCGAACTTTTCGGGTTTACTAGTTTCACGGATGTTGGCTTTTGTGGTAGCAAATGAGGATTTCGGGATGTTTGCTTTGATGGTTTCGAGATTGATAGCTCCACTAGTCAAGTCTAGACCAGGAAAGAATTCAGCTTTTAGACCACGTTTGGTTTTATCTTGTGGCATTGCAAGTCCAGTGCTTGATAGACCGGCTGCTACTTTGGCTCGGGCTTCGATTATTTTTTTCTGGATTTCACTTATATTGATGGGTTGTGATGCTGCGGGTGTGGTGGATTGTGGTTTCGCTGTTAGTGTTGTCGTTGCTGGTTGAGGCGTAGCTGAGAAAGTGGCAGCACTCGTAGCTGATATCTGTGAGCCATATTTAGCTTGAACCTAATGTAGTAGATATAGACGTTGAACAGCGATAGTCGTCAATACACAGTTGCAACAAAAATGATTCTGATGTTTTCTCAATCCAATTCCAAATACGATATAATCCAAAACGAGTAGCCTACCTCTGCCTTCCTAGCAGCAATCATGGCTGCTATCTCTGCTGGATTCATACGAGGAGCTCCAGCTGCTTGTGCTGCAGCAACAGAAGTTCCGTTTTCTTGCTTTGGGCGTTTTGCGTCTGGTAAATCCCCATTAGGAGCTGGTCTTTTACCTGGTGCACTCATGACGTGACTGCTAGCACAAGCTATGCTCTCTGCATGTGAATTAACTACGCTACGGATGAGCTAAATGTGTAAAAACATGTTTTTGTGCATGTTGGCACAAGCAACGACCTACGCATATGGTAAGAGTCAAGCAACATAATAAAAGACGGTCAGTGATGTTGCTACGAGTATTTTCTATTCACGTAATTCACGTAAAAAAATGCAAGTAAATGAAATAATGGGCAGGTATATGTCTCGATTCGGTAACAACATGAGCATCATATCAAGCCAGTCTACTCCTTTATCGCAGCCGGTTTACTAGTAGTCGACAGTCTAATCTTTGCAAGTCCAGTTTTTTGCAAAGTCTCAAAACACGGAGAACAGTAAATCTTGTCATTGACTGAAATTCCCTTCAGATCCGCTAGTCGATTTTTGCACTCCTCGCACGTGAAACACTCTAGATGGTAGTTCTTGTCCTTGTGCTGAACTAGCGACACGTCACTTGCTTGATCTTGTATCCTGATTAGTTTGGAGCATTTTGCACAGGTTGGTGCGTGTTTGTCATCGAAACATGGCTAGGGTGTTTGATGATGTTAGGCAGTTTATCGCAAGGCTTGAGATCACTTAAGCTTACCAGACAGAGAAAGTTGTTATCTCTGTGAATGTATTGCTTGTTGAGCACTTGACTGCATGCGTCACACTTGAAGCACTGTTTTGAATGGAAGAGATTTGGTGATGAGGAAATGATTGGACATTGACAATAGCGTAAAAGTGATGAAGATGCTGACCGTTTGGTGGAATTTTTTCTCTCCAACCGTCACAAAGGTGCCATTTGAAAGGATGATGTGGCAGACCTCACAAACTCCAATTTCCGTCTTGGCGCACTAATCGGGTTTGAAAATTGATGAGTATACACCATCCCCCACTTAAATGCAACAACATGCACTCACAACTTCACAGTAGATCATTCCGTTCTCATAAAAGAGGTTCTTGCCCACTTGCATGGGTTTCTCACAATGGTCACACGTGTAGTGATCTTTGTGGTAGCGATGGGTTACGCCATCATATGCGAATGTGATGTGGTTTGGTCCTCTAATGGCAGATTTACATTTCTCGCAATGCCCTAGAAGGATATCAAGGACGTGAGATCATCATTGCATGAACACTCTCTTTTCTTGGAAGATGGTGGGTCCATGTCGATTTTGTTGTGAATCTTTTCGAGGAGTACAGATTTGTAACATAACTGCACTCAGCATTGGACCACCAAAGAAGGGTCACAATAAATGATTGACTATGGCATACGCGTAGGATGAAAAGTTACCTTCAAACCCTTCTTCACCAACCATTGCCAGATCTATAAAATGTTGGCGAATTGTGTCAGTGTTTTTGCATAAGAGCAAGAAAACAGAGCGATAGATCAGTTCATCATACCATTAGTGAGAGTTTCGAGTATCCTGGACAGATCGTCTTCCACATTGGATTCCCTCCTTTTAGCCATATTGTTGATCTGGTTCGAAATCACGAAGCGGGGGGACGTGTCTTAATACTTGATTAGGATTAGCCTGAATAAGTACACGTAACTCAAATTGATTAGCACGCGATTTCGTGATCTTGTAGTTCAAATGTGTCTGCCTATCCTGCTTCCAAAATCGAGCAAAGTGTGAAATCACGACGATTCTAAGTATTCTAAGCTCAGTCCCAAGGGAGAGACAAGGGCCAATTCATACAAGATCAAGGCTACAAGGCTACCTTTGCTACATATCATTATACACAGGTAACAATCGAAAGCTTCCGTTTGTATAGACATCATAATTCGTGTCAAGTTTCATCCACATTTGAACTCACTAGATTTTTTCACGTCCAGGATGCCACCTCGCACGGAGGGCTTAGTTTGCAAATACTACAATCGAGCGGGAGGATGCATTCGAGGAGACAACTGCAGATACCTTCATCTCGGCATCGATGGATCCTATGACATTGATGCACGAACGGCAAGGCGTATGTAAGAACCCAGTTTATGACTTGTTTCGCAGTGATATTCTGTAGTCAAGTTGCTCGACGGTCGTTTTGAGCAGCTTCGTAACTTTCTTGTCACTAATGCTTACTGAACCCTCATTAGGAATCCACTGGCGAACGCAATGAATCCCACGGGTGCTCCATGCAAATTCTATCAAATGGTACTTGAATCGAAAACTGACTTCTTTCAGAATCTCTACAAAAGCGAGTGCCCCCAACATTGGTCACCCAACAATCACTTGGCATTTAGGGAACATGCACAAGAGGAGTGAATTGTGCATTCAGTCATGGCCGCGACTTTACTCTTCCTCGCTCTGCATTCAGCAATACCAACACGAACCCAGGCTCCTCATCAAAACCTGCTCGATCACCAGCTCTCTCATCTGCTACATTGAACGAGAAATCATCATCAAAACAATCGTCCAGTACTTCTCCTATACCTGCTAGTGCTGAAGGTCATGGAGAAGAAGAAATCATCTGTGCAATCTGTTTTGAGACGTAAGTGACTGGTCTTTATGGATTTTCATAAGAGCCCTCAGAATTTTCAATCGCACCAAAAAAAAAAGCGGAAATTAACGCTTTGAATTGCTCTTTGGCGTTTAAACTAATCAGTGTAATTTTCCTTCTAGTCCTTCTGTGTATGGTTTATTGCCATCTTGTACGCATGTATTTTGTTTGGAATGTGTGAGGAAGTGGCGAACCAGCAAGTCAGAAGTTGTAGGTTTATATTACTATGACACACTATTCATCTTCTTTTTGCAGTCAACCCAAATCTCTCATCATCACCCATTTTTTATCCTCCAGCTACAGGACTCTGGAGCATCCAAGAACTGTCCCGTGTGTCGTGCCGAATGTAATTTATCAGAATTTAAACCAAGTCTGATTATAATAGCTTGTACTGATTTGATTTTGCTCTTCTAGCGACCTTCGTATGCCCATCACCAACGTACCCAACGGAACCATCCCTCAAATACGACATCATCAACAACTACAAGCAACGCACCGCACGAATTCCATGTCGATACTTTACACGCACATCACGATGTCCATCGGGCGACGAATGTCTATATGCACATAACGATGCATCTGGACGACGAGTCCTTGGTGTACGTCGACCTGCTCCACGACCTAGCAGAGAAAGGATTGCTATTCGAAGTGTGCAAGATTTGGTTGCGGTAGGTTGTTGAATGTGCTTCGTGCCAATTATTGATTTTGGCTGAGTCTTTTTTTTCCGCACGATAGAGCTTTGATCAAATGCTACGATCTGGAACCATAACGTTCATTGACGGAGTCCCATATCATTATGAATCTGATGAAGATGATGATTATGAATATGAAGACGATGAAGAGTATGATGATGAGGATCCAGAGTCTGATGAATGGCATACTGATGGTGGTGGCTCTATTGATGGGAATGAACGAGAAGAAGATGAAGATCCATGGGGTACTGTTGATTAAAGAGCAAATTTTGAGGGGTTTGGAGGTGGATTTACGAGGGATTTAGGTGAGGATTCACGTCTCGATACCTGCACGATTGTGTGTTTTTTGCTTAGTTGACTCTTTCCACTTAACTCTGTACAGGGAAGGAGACTAGCCAACACTCAAACTCTGTATGTATATAAAAAACCTCATAAAAATAAAATTAAGTAGTAGTGTTGCTCTGAATATACCAGTGAAAGATAAGACAAATCAAGTTCGATTCAAACACAGTTGCAGAAACGGATTTTGGGCATGCGAATCAAGTTTCATTAATATATGATATGGGTGTGTTCTGTGGGGAGCGCATATACAAAAATGTTATCTGCTGCTTCAAACCCTAGTAAACACCACAACAAAAATAACAAAACAAAGGAGGAACCAACTACATAATTTTTTCGTGTCTTTTAAATACCATCCATTTCGGATTTATGGATGACCATTAGCCACATTCAGGTGAAAGATATCAAACACAGCTTCTGGGACTTTGTAGTTGTTGTGCACCACATTCATCAAAAACCACGTATCGTGGATTTCTGTAATGACCTGAGCGCTCTTAGATTTGGGGTCGTATAGATTAGACCATCGGCCCCATAACTCGAAAGCTTCGTCCTAGTCGATATTGTATGGTGTTCGGGTTATCGAACGAAAAATGAGCCAACGAACACAAACTACAGGCAATTCTATACCTTCCATGCCATAAAGCTCACAGCTTCTACTACAGTTGGCTGAACAATCTCTTGTCCAGGGAAGACACCCCATGTCAATGCATTTGGACCATCGCCTTTCGTGTTAGTTCGTAAATCACCATGACGGTTGACTGCGTAAAAGGTTATGGATGGATCGGTAGCAATTCGAGCAGTCAAGATATCCAGTGCTTCGGGGGAGACGAAGAATTCCAAGTAGGCCTACAATGGACGTGAATTACTACACGAGTTTTGCGCTGGCGTGTTTGAGAACTGACATAAAAACTACAGTAACACCCCGTAACGGACGTAGCAACCATTCTTTTCACAAACCTACAACACCACTAACCTTCTGATAACAAAATCCATTCTTGGGTCCCCATCCAACTGATCGATCTGCACTAGGTGCACCATCAACAGCCGGCTGAGAATTAATCGTCAGGTAACCCATGACATTCATTTGTGTCAGGTTGTCACGAATACGAGATGATTCTGGAGCCAATGGTGATTCAGACCACGGTAATGCCTTCAATTGTCCGCGACAATAGTCGGCGAATAGTTTGATGATGTCTGCTGTTGATTGTGGTGCTCCCCACATTTCTCGGCATTCGTCGTGCTGTTGTGATGGTTGAAATTGTTGAGCAAAAACGAACCGTTTGCCAAGGCATGTACTTACGGAGTACTTCAATGAGACACCATAACCATCTAAGTCACCATAGGCTGAACAACGTAAAGGTCGTTAATTCATTGTTTGATTTGGTCAGAAAAACCGCAAGTTCTCACGTACCTGGCGACCTTGAGTCTCCCCATCGTCCATTTGGATAATCATCCCATGATTCGGTGCGTGCAATATAGCTTTTTGTTCGGTTGGCCCAGAATATTGGCCTGACAGTCTCCTTGTCTCGTCCTTTGGCTAGACTCTGCAACAAAAAAACCACTCAATCTTCCATGATTGCATCACACAACATTTCAAACTCACTGGAACCCATGGTAGCGGCTTAACAACCTCAGCATCAACGTAAAACTCTAGCCCCTCCAAAATTCGTCGCACAGATTTCTCCAAATTCAAGGTACAGAAATGGAAACTTCGGACACCACCAGCTCGTAATTCGTTACACATTTGAATACTCAGTTGAATACCAAAATCTTTTACAGCTGCGTCGTCGTCCTTTATTGGTTCTAGTCCTTGTTTGATAAAGTCGGGTACGATGGTTTTTGATAGAGTTGTCATGCGTTGGAAGCCGCCATATGATTGGATGGGCATGATTCCTGGGATGATTGGGATAGTGATGCCTGTTGTTTAATGTAGATTAGTGAGTTTGGCAAGTCAGGGATTATTCGTGAAATATTGATGTTCTTTATTGTTTGCCTCGTACCAATATCTCGACAGTCCTTGAGCCACGCAAGGTACAGATTCGTATCATAAAACATCTGAGTGATAATGAAATCAGCACCACAGTCGACCTTGAGTTTTAGTTGTTTGATATCATCGTCCTTGCTTGGATTGTCCAAATGTCCCTCGGGATATCCTGGAGTTGATGCAAGGTTTTTGGTCAGATATTTTAATAGGAACCCGTGCCAAAGAAGCAGGGTTTGATCTCGTACGTACCGGCAACACCAATACAAAAGTAGTCGCCATACTGCTGTCGAATGTATCCAACGAGATCCGAAGCATGAGCAAATCCTGTTTCTACAGCTTCCCAATGTTCTTGTCCACGTGGTGGATCACCTCGTAAGGCTAGAATATTTTGGATGCCAGCATCCTTGGCTCCCTTCAATGCAATATCGACTTTTTCACGGGGCATGTTGGTGCATGTTCTAAACAAATAATGTGTTAACAACCCTCAAAGCGGTATACAAATCCGAAAGAGGCGAATCCTTTCAATAGATATTTCTTCAAAAGACAGAACGCCACTTTTTTTGTACCAGCTCTCAAAAATGGAAATGCCCACTTGTTAGCCACTTACAAGTGCATACAAGTTTCGAGACCATATACGGATTGTGAGGTTGTGCATATATCCAATGTCAAGTCTGAAGTCGAACCGCCGGCGTTCCAAGTCACATCAATGAATTCTGGTCCCAATTTGTACATTCGCTAAGAAAATTTTGATTTTGAGTTTGATGTCCGTGTAAGTTGCTTTGACGGTTAAGCGAAAAGGAACGATGCAGGTCGGGAACATATGGTAGATTTGATTCTGCAGCATGTCCAAGCTTGTTCCAAGTTGAAGTTTCTTACCTCTAGACGATCATACAAATTGAGAACTCCTTGCTCCGTTTTTGGAGGAAAGTACTCAAAGCTCCAGTGGCATTTGTCCTCTTTCAGCTTCTGGGCGATCTTGTCCGTGATCTTGGTCATTTGGAACTTTGAATCCTCCTTGCTCGTTGAATTTGTTTGGATTCTGCTGAAAGTGATGAGTCGACATAAAACACAACGTGCTAACGTGTTCACGGTTCGAATAAGTTACAAAGCAAATCTATAATTATTCTAAACCAATAATTTTACAAGCAGCAAATATCACTATTCTGCCAAGCCCCGTTGACACATCTCCAAACAATTTTGCAAGACATACCGTTTGATCACGTTCAGATTCACACCTATGACACTAGAAATCACGTTCAGACTATACGGATCTCCGTTCCGCACTACCATCACAATCGACCTGTGATCACGTCTCAGATAATACGAATCACCAACTCAGTATCAGAAGTCTCATCTTCGGTGTCTTCAAGAACGTCCTCAGCACTACTATTACTTTTTAAAGACGAAGAAGATGCTGCTGGATTGGTCAAGAAGAGCGGGATGTTGGCAGGCAATCCAAGTATAATGGCACCGTTCGATAGATACTCTACCGTTGCTCGTGATTGACGTGTTTGACGTGCGAATGGTCTGCCCCCTATACCAAGCAGCTTCTTCCAGGCTGAGGACCTTATAGCACCTTGAGAGTGTGGTGGATCCTGTGATCAGTAAAGGACTATTAGCTTAAGTTTGGATTGACATTGCTGTGTAGTTAGGTACCGCAAAGTTGTGAATGATTTGACCAGTTTCAGACAATACCAATAATCGCGAAAATCTGAAGAAAACACCAAAAATTATGAGAAAACACAACTTCGACAAAACAACACACAAAAAAAGATAATATTACTTAAAGCTTACCCAAGAGCACATTGGACCATGCAAATTTCTGGGTTTCCAAAGCATGGGGATGCTACATTGTTGACGCTCTCCAAAGGACCCAACCAAGGATAAATTGGTAGTGTCTCATCTTCAAGAGGGTTTATGAAGAACTTGGAATTCTGGTAGACATAGCGCCGTGCGAGAGTGAATCCTTCTTTGTCGTCTCGGACTCGTTGAGCTAACAGAAGCAAGTGTTCAATGAGTCACACGTCATATTGGCTTCTCAGAGCAAGACAGCCGAAACTTAAAAAAGTAAAAGTGATATACCGATGGCTTGAGGATGAGTCAGCAATAATGTTTGCTGTTTACTCAACAGTCTATCTAGCAACTGACTCTCTCGCCACCCCAGAATGTTCTCGTGAGGGTTTCCAAAAGAATCACATTCAAGAAGCCTTCTATATCCGAGCTCAATGACACCCTCATTGACAACATCCAGTACTTCCATCGTCTGAATAAAGCACAGCCATGTTCGAGGACATTGTGCTGATATGACGTGTGTGATCAGCGGATGGTTTGTTCTCAAGACGTTAAAGACACGCGGTACACCACGAGTAGGTCTATCTGCTGAGCCTTCGTTCAGTTCCAGCCATGTTTGACTGAGCACAAATCGATAAGCGTATGTAAACTGGTCTTCAAAGTCCGGTGATTTCACGAGGTTCATATGTATGTTGGCGGAGTATCCTTCATCATGGGCAGGAGGTGGCAGACGTGCCAATGGAGACATTACTAGGCGGGTATGGTTTTGTAGAGTCTCGTTATATCGAATACAGTAATATGTTTGCCAGTTCGTTTTCATGGTGCTCGGTTGCATTCGAGAGTGATTGATGGCAGTTCGGGTACGTTCTCCTCCAAAATCTCGGATACATAGCTGTTTAAACGACATTGAAGCTATTTTAGATACGAGAGTTCGGTTAGATCCTGTGCGAATGCGTTCATCCGACGGTGAATTGATAACGATTTTACATGCCTAAAGCCTGCCAACTTCTGCAAACTTGCTGGCATTTACAGAGATCTGAGGCCGCCAATTTACAGAATATGGCATCGAGAATGTCGTCCACGAGTCTCACACTGATCTGATCTGCCATTATGAATTATATCGGTATAAACCTGCTAGATTACAAGATTCGGAACCAGATCAATGACAGTAGCACATACCAGTACCTATGGAGACAGAATAAATGCTATGAGATTAGCTATGAGTGACAGACAATCTGCTTCCTCGAGGACTTATGAGCGGTTGGGTTTAAGGATTTCACGTGTCGAAGTGTGTGTGAAAATGACGTGCGGTGTCCGATGCGAGGAGGCTACTGACAGCTATTTCGATTCTTGAAATATTGGAATTGGTATCCCATCAGTTTCAGATACGATATAACGTTGAAAACACGTAGAAAGTCAAGTTAATAGGCAGCAAAGCAAGCGACAGCTCTAATCGAGACGGCAGATCTCTGTATCGAAACGCTAGGACGCAGTATCGCAGTATTCAGATTGATGCTTCCAGCATGCAAAGTCCCTGAATTTGAGGCCGCGATCATGCTCTGTCCAAACCATTATTGCAAGAATTTCACCAAATCTGAAGGCTAAGACGCGTCTTTTGGCGGAAAGACTTGCGTTTTGCGTTTTATGACATTTTCATTGTAGTCGCCGTCCTTTCGGATATAAATGGAACTCCTGCTTCGTCGCGGTCTTCAACACACCATCTGACAACAAGCAAGGTGCTTCTGTCAATATAAAGCTAGGCAACATTATTTGCACCAACTCCTTATGATGGCGGAACAAGATCAGGGTGCTCCAAGTATCAACGGCGAGGCAAGTCGAATGTACTTTTTGTTGCAAGTTTGAAATATTCGTTGTCAGCATTGTCAGCGAGCAGGAAGCTTACGTTGCAAGAGGGTGTCGCATCAGTCAGAACGCGTATTTTACGTGAAAGAATTGATAGATGCGTCCCTTGGCAGCGCTTGATACTTGAGCTGGTTGTCAATCGACCCGCATCAACACTGTTTCAAAACCAACACACCTTTGAACAAACAGGACACGGACTTTCTGTCTGGCCAAGAACAATATGATATGAATTACACGAGCGCTCCTGTACTCAATTCATCACCAGCACAACATGGCGGTGGCATGCTGCATCACCAACCATCACACCATTATAACGAGTCTATGGATCCTTATCGAGATTCAGCCATGACTGCTCCAGCATCTTTTGGATCGTTAATAGTCACCATGGACGAGGGTATGGATGAGGAAATGTCTTATGACGGGTACAACAATCCGCCACGACAAAGTGGACATCATCATCATAGTAGCCATAATAGCAACAGTACGCGAGAACGACCATCGCTATTAGGACATCATTCCCCTGTCGGATCACCGTCTCATAAAAGGTCATACGATGGTGCTTATGACGATATGCAACGTATACATCAACGACCACGCCTTAATTCATCATCACGACCGACTTCTACACATGTCTCACCGGCTGCATCACCGAATTCGAAAACAAATAGTCCACAACTTTCCATACCGCCGACTCATAATATCAATAATAGTGATACTAGGGCTGAAGATGTACAATCTCCAGCATTGGGACTCGTCATGTCACAGCAACAACAGAATTCGACATCATCACCACCACCGCCTGACGAAGAACTCGTTAGTGAAGCACTGGAAAATCCACGACCATCAGTAGAATCAACTGATGCACCACCAACAGAAGCTACAGAAGATGAGGCTGAAGTAGATGGCAGTGACGGAGACTTTGATTATCGAGCAAGCTCTCCAAGGACTACGAGACGTGGAGGCTCACGAGCACAAATACCACGTAGAAATAACTATAGTGCGCCTCTAGCTCCAGTAACTCGAGGTGGTCCACGTCGTCGTGGCGCAATAGCAGCCAAAATATCACGATTTGAACGATATGATTCAGCTACCATGGCAGCTCGAGTGCCTCCTCTATTATCCGCTGACCAGCGTGGTGAACCATCACAGCTAGAACAACGTCATTCAGCTATAAAAATCGATGATGCACTTGCAGCCTATAAACCTGAATCCGCGGAAGCCGTCCTAAAGAGATGGACTGAAGAAGAAATCGAACAATTAGATGCTGGTCTCAACCTACTCGGCCCTAAAGGTGGAGCTAAAGCAGGTCACTTTTATGGTGCTGCCGGTCGTCCTCAATACAAGTCTCAGGATTGGTTGGGTGCAGCTGCTAAAGCAGTCCCTACAAAATCAACTCGAGAAGTAGTCCAATTCTATTACATGTTTAGGAATAAACTCCCGTGGTGGCGTGCTCGTGCAGCCGATAAGTACCGACGTAAAATGGCTGTGGAAGACCGTGAATATGAAAAGGCTACTGCTTCTGCTCGTGATTGGGCTGAACGATGTGAAGATGAGATTGACAGAATGGCGCGCTTTGAATCTGGTGGGGGGACTCGGCGGTCTGAACGTGCTAATGCGGGTGCTAAACGACGACGTGGGAAGAACTATGTGGAAGATGACGATGATGAGTCGTTAAGAGGGGGATCTGTGGGTCCAGTAGATAGGGCCAGGAAGAGTCGTGTGTCGTTTAGACAGAATAGTGTTGATTCAGAAGACTATTAAATAATTCAGCATGTAACATTTCTGAACAGGCTTTTTGTATCATATCAAAAACAAGCTCAAACAATATAAGGATATGACTTTTAGCATAGAAAAGGTTTAAAAAGGCAGTTTCTAACGTGGGTTTATGATTAGACCAGCAATGACAGAGCAAAAAACTGATTCGAGGCTTTTGAAACTACTTGTTGAAAGAATCGTTAGCATGATTAGACCAGCAATGAGAGAGAAAAGAAACTATGAGTACCCGTCTTGATTCAGCTGTGCCTCAAGCCTGCTGTGATAACTACCTCTTATTACCATTCATTCAATCGATATCTCCAGCCAGTAGAGAATGAAGGTAATGGCATCGTCATATAGTGTCTGGTGATCCAAAGCTACCAAGTAAAACGGAGCCTAGATACACTTCCATACGTCAACTCCTCATGATCATTATCGGATTCTGGAGTAATTCCGCAGCCATAACGTGATTCTCCATTAAGTAATGTACCATCACCACCACCAAAAATTGATGTGCTTAAACCCACGAGTCCATCAACACACACATGTAATACTACCCGCCGTCACTTCCATCACCACCATCTATTGCGAAAGCGACACGTATAAAGCAGCAAGTCCGTCATAAAGCAGCATGTAATCTTCTAAGCAGTGCCATGCACGACGATCTGTATCCTGATCCAAACAGATACATGTGATTCAAGGCATGATATAGCTCATACAGATCGAGTCGTCGTTCAAAGCCGGATTCTTTCGGAAAGTGTGTGTGATATGATTCATAAAAGTCTATTGGAATGGTTGCTCATGAGTGTGATAGTAAAGAAATGATGATGAGTTTGAAGTAGATCCAAACCTGAGGAGAAACCACCAAACATTCTCATAATTCCCAGATCAGCTTCATGATGACCATAGTAGGACGCAGGATCGAATACTACTGGATGAGTGGTGTAGCCCCAATTTCCAGACCCTGCAACAAAAAAAGGCAACTTTTAGCGAACTCGTGTTATTCAACTCACGCAACCTGTCTTTCCTTACATAGATCCCCATGAAGCAGTGAAGGCCTAATCTCATCCACATTTCGAAAGAACCTGTCGCAGCCTTCCACCACCTCAAACCCCATATCCAACAACTCCCTCTGCTGTGAATGCTCCCTCTTCACATTCACCAACATTGGCTTCAACCTCCTCTGCTTCCAAAACTCAATCCAGCTGCTCATATACGTGTTATCCTGTTCCGTAAGTCCACAATATGTAGGACAATCAAATCCAAACTTTGCATTGGGCGATGTGATTTGATGCATCGCTGCAACCATGTTTCCAAATTCAGCGTGTGATATTTTTGGTGGTGATTTCTTCATGTCTAGCCATGACGTAGCTAGATACGCACCACCACGAGGGAGGGTGCCTTGAGATATTGTTTGAGGGCAGAATGTTGGGAGTGACGCGGATATGGTTTTCAGGGAGTGGGCTTCACCAGCGAGCATTGACGGAGCGTATGAGTTCCGATTGACCTAGATAGATATTCAGAGTACTTATCAGTGGACTTCAGGTGTAAAATTTATAGTAAACAAAGACAAATGTTAAACTTGTGGCAGTGGATCTAATGTTCAAATGTCACGTACTTTGACGAATATAGGACGGTTGTCGCGTGTAGAAACACGATAAGTTGCATTTGAACTGCCTCCATATTCATATTCTTCAGCCTCCTGCTCTTGATCAACTATCAGATCGTCCAATTCCAAACATCTCTTCACATCAGAAGCCAACATTGTGATGGAAGCTGACACGGACGAAGCTCTAGCGAGAGATCTTCAAGCGAAAGAATATGAATACGACAATGGCAATACCAGTAGTAGGTTTGGACGAAAGGATTTGGTGCTAAATGCTGGTGACGAAGAGTTTGCGAGAGCTCTACAAGAGGAAGAAGACAATACTGCTCTTCAACCTAAAGATCCCTTACAAGCTGAGGAAGGGGTCGAGGAATATCATCCTAATCTGCACGAGACGTTTGCTTATTTCAATCAAAAGGTGCAACGTCAACACATCAAAGCTCATTTGTTACATTTCGCTCTTTTTGAGCTAACGTCCTTGTTTATCTTTATTGATCTAGCATTTTCATCGTGTTTTGGACTCTGTAGAAGTTCGCTGGTCCACCAAAATGACTCTTTGTGGTGGAATGTGCTGTAAGTGTCAACTGTAAGCTCCCTGTTACCTCAAGTTTTTGGCAGATCGTACGACTAGCCCCAACGATTCACATCGCTCAACCAACCTTGAATTAGACTATTACAAAGGAGGTTACTGCAGTGTTCGTCTCTCGGAACCTCTCCTGAAATTCAGGACTCAGGACGACTTTTTCGACGTGCTACTTCATGAAATGATTCATGCATATCTCTTTTTGACTGGGAAGTGCAGTGGATCTCACGATGGTAAGGCCGGATTATGCCTATAAGTCGTGCTGAAGGATCTAAGACATCTGTCGATAGGACATGGTCCGCACTTTTTGGAAATGGCTGCAGATCTCAATCGAAAGGAAGGTCGAAACATTACAGGTAAACAAATCTACAGATCTGTAAGAATGTTGACTCTACAACTTCCTCACGCTTGCATATTTCTTAGTCTTTCACAAATTCCATGATGAAGTGCGACACTATCGCACTCATAAGTGGGTCTGCAATGGTCCTTGTAAAGACCGAGCTCCATTCTTCGGCCAAGTCTCCCGCTCAATGAACCGACCACCTCAGAAAGCTGATCGGTGGTATGAAGACCATCAACGAAGCTGTGGAGGATCTTGGACAAAAATTGATGGGCCCGAATTCCATGAAACCGAGGAGGACAAGAACAATAAGAAACAAAAAAAGAAACGTAAGCCGAATGATGCTGATGGTGGTGGTGGTGAAAAGTCAAAGAAGAGTGGTAATGGGTCTACTTTGGACGATTACTGGAAGAATTTAGGCGGTGGTCGTACTCTGGAACCACTTGAACCATCCGAGAAGAAGAAGAAGGAAAAGTCTCCATCAGAAAAGAAGGACTCTCCAACAAAGAAGACGGAAGCCTCATCATCGTCTGCGCCGGCATCGTCAAAACCTGTGGTTAAACGCAAAGCAGTATTCGAGCACGATTCAGACTTTGAAGAAGAGGATCCTCCGGCGTCTTCGAAGACTACGCAGCCTATTATAATAAATGATGACGACGATAACGCCAATACACCACCACCTCGCATACCATCCGATAAATCTCATACACCCACATCCACTGTAAATCCCGAGTATATAAATTGCTTTGTTTGCCAGACTCGTATCTTGGCTACGTCCATTAATGACCATTTAGATATGTGCTTGAACAAATAGTAATGTAGAAAGCAATTCCAGCCACCTGTCCATGTATAGCGAGACCTCTATCATAAGCCTATATATAAAAGCTGCATTTTGTAAACAACCTCCTTTCAGAATTATATTTTTACATGTCTACAGAACTTTCAATTTATTTGTTTAATATTACTCGAAAGTTGTGTCCAGCACTATTCAGTAGTAGTCTTCCAAAAGGAACACTATCACGCGTCAGAGAGTCATCATTGAGGTCCTTGTAGATTATATATTGCTTCAGTTGTTTTCATCAGCGTGTTTTCCCTCTTGTTCCAGCATAACGTCGACTTCATTCAAAAACCGAAGACATGCAAAAGTCTTGACTAACCCATCACCACACAGCAGAATGACACTAAAAAAAACCTTCCACGAGCTATTCGGAGACGACAGCGATGACGAACCAGCTCCGTCTCCTCCAATACCAACCACGTTCACCGAAATCCCTGGCCTACACCTGTATCGCGACCACTTGCCGCAACCCTTATTAAATCGCCTCCTCATCACAGTCCGAGCAATGCTAAATCCATCAGAGGGACGTAATCAGGCTATGCTATTCGGTAACTTCCCTCCTGACATGTCTGAGCTCGCTGACATCTGTAAACCACTGCTGCCAACATCTTTACGTGAACGACAACCTGCTTTCAATCAGTCGATTGTAAATCATTACGAGCCTGGTGAAGGGCTAGCGTTTCATGTGGATTTGATGCGGTTTGATGATGGTGAGTGGACGTTGTAGACGTGCCGATGAGGGATTTGCAATCAAACTACACAAACCATTCGCAGCATTGATGGTACATGAAACGAGACACCAAGTTATCTCCCTATCTCACAATTCTGCACGTTTTACTAGGGATTATAGTTGCCTCGTTGATTGGAACATGCATGTTTCAATTTCGACGGACGTGTACATGTAGACCTGGTGGTAGTGTGGGATGTACATGTGGACGTGTCGGCGTTGACTCAGATATCGTCTCTGTATTCCTCTCAGCCGGTGATATCATATTACTCACGGGGAAATCACGCTATGACTGGGAACACGGCATCCGCGCGGATTTGCAGGACGTGCATCAAGGTGTCACGTATACCCGAGTGTCCAGACTGAGTGTGACTCTCAGGAGACATTCAGAGTGAACGGCGAGATTATTCAGGTGGATGTGCGGATATTAGCAGTGTAGCCCCAAAACGTGATAGGCTTTGGGTTAAGCGATTGTGCAAATCTCTGTTAACTGGCCTTTCTCCATGACTTTTTAAGAGCAGCCGTACAACTACAGCAAGAGCACTTAAAACGTACAGGATTATATCATCGTATTACACTTCATGTCACCGAATCGAATGGCACCAGCTCCATCGTACAATGCCAGTGCACCACCTGCAGCATACTTCACCACACAATGTGACGACGAGCTCCCACCATACCACGAAGCAACCTGTGACTCATCCACAGACTATCTCCCCCACTGCCCATCCACACTCTCCTACACTGACGAAAAACATGAACGAACAGAAACAGTCTCATCTGGCGTCCGATCTCGCCAACTGAGCACCGTACCCAGCGTCCCACAACCCTTCTCACGATCAAGGACTTCGTCAGCTGCTACATCCACAGCGTCGCAACAAACATTGCCTGGTAGTCGCTTATATCCATCTGTAGCACTCACACCTGAACTATCGCCCATAACCGCATTCATAAAGGAAGAGTGGGAACCAGCGCTGGATTTGACGAGGAAGGGTGGATTGTCGGGGCTTATGAATCGGGCGAGGAGTGTTAGTGTGGAAAAGAATTGGAGGTTTGCGAGGATTGAGGTTGTGAATGGGACTATCTCGTGCAGTGAGAGTAAACAGACGGCGGCGAGTATCTGGGGTGGGATGGAACAAGAGGTAAGGCAGTTGCACTAACTGGAACTTCTTGTTCTATGGATGAGGTGTTGACGGCTTTTTTTGTGTGTTAGGCAAAACCAGAAGCACTCATGGCCAGCTTCCGCCTACGACACGCCACCATCGAACCACCACGACACGTACATGGTCGCGACCACTGTCTACAAATCCACCTCATGAATGGACGCACGGCAATCATATCATTCACCGATGCCGAATCAGCCAGGATATGGAAGGACGGTTTGTCTGTAGAGATCAGTTATGCATCTACCAATGCAAGCTCGAAAGCAAGTCGAGACAGATCACTAGCTGCCAAAGCACCACATTCACGATGCACGTCGATAAAATCTGCACTGCAGTAAACATCACAGGAAACAACACAACACAAAACAGTAACAATATAATATTATACCATATACCACCCATATCATGAAAAGAAATAGTTATAGTAAGCACAAGTGTACAAAATAGCTGACACAACAAAAATAATAGTAAAAACTAGCAATGGTGTGCTTTTCGTTCTTTATTCTAATGCTTGATACCACTCGCCCTTGACAACCCGTTCATCAGCATCAAGTTTGAAGAATGCAAAGTCGTGTCTGCCTCTCCAGTGGTAGACCAAATACATTGGTTTTGCGGGAGTGCTCTTGTTGTCGATGAATGGACCTGGCATCAATGGAGCTCCGTCAAGGCCTATGTAACGGGTTTGTTCGTCACAAGCGGAAAAAAATCGTAACAAACCCAGTCAAATACCCTTTTCAGGATTGTCAGAGATCTCATCAGGAGGACCTACATAACATAAAGTTTGTTAGTGATAATCCAAGAAGTGTTGAACACACAAGAGTACGTACCCATGATCCTAACGACATCCGATCCCGCAGTTCCTGGTTTGCCCAAAGCTGTTACGAGTTGCTGCATCATGACATGTTTCCTAACAAGCATGCTGTCGTATAAGAATCGGCCTTTCACACACTATCAAGACGGTGAGTATCTACCTTCCACTTGGAGCATCGACTTCCTGCACGAATTCACTCGCTCCTTCCCAGTGTCCCTTGGTTTTGCGAAGTGTTTGGAAGTCGTTGCCTAATGTCTTTAGTTGATCGTCTTGCTCTGTGGTAAGCTATGGTAAAAAAGAGAAGTATAGTCGGTTTCAAGATGTTTAATGATCTTGGAAGCAGACCACGTAGTTGCATACCGATTGAATTGGATCAGATACCATGAGGGGCATGTTTGAATTGAGTTTTTGGATTGCTTGGTGAGAGAAATCTGCGAGATAGGGATATGCGAATGCAGCGAGTATGAGGGTGATGATGATTAAGAAGATGTTTGATTTGTCCTGCATCAAGTAGATGGGTGGAGGGTGTAAAGTTTTGATGCGAAGAACGGCAAGAGCGACGTGACTAACTATAAGAGCGATCGGTGGTGTAAGGAATAGGACGGATCCCGGTAACTGAGTTTGATAAATTGATCACGTGGCTGCTAGCGCGACTGGACTGACTTGCGTCGGCTGCTTATGAGCTTCACCGCTTCAATATTTTGTTTTACTTGACTCGTTCTTTGACGCGTCAATTCAAATACTTTCTGTTCAAAAGAGTAATTAGAATGCTTTCTACATTTCTACAATGATTTAACGCGTCTGTAAGGGTCTACCTCTCCCAAAATGTCCAGTTACTGCGATCTATTTCGTTGTGACTATTTTTTTTTTTTGTCAAAATCCATCACACAACATATACGCATCAAGTGCATTCAATAGCTTGACAGCTTCCGTAGCAAGTCTCCTCATATTAATCCCCACATAAATATGGCCGCTATAACAAGCACCGACACCCTCACATCATACTGCTCTACACACGGAATAGCAGCCAAACTCCATCAACATGCATCCACAGACTCGGTAGCCTCATGGGCTGAATCCATACGCTCACTAGGTGCATTCCCGGCCAAATGCCTCGTCGTAAAGCCAAAAGGAATCAAGACGGGCGATCTGCCCATACTCATTGTCGCGTCTGAAGCTACCAAATTGGATTTAAATGGGATGGCTAAGTTGTTTGGTGGCAAGGAGGCGAGAGTTGCGGCTGACAGTGTCGTCGTGGATGCTTTCAAGACTCCGAAATTGGATGGTATGCGGGGTTTTGATCATTTAATGTGCATTCAAAAGGACGTTTGAATTCTTTTTTTGTTGGTCGATCTTGACGGGTACTAACACGTCAATCTATCTCAACAGTAACTCCATTCGCATTGGCCAATGTACAAGATCCATCAACAGTCATGGTCGTCTTGGACAAGGCACTGACTGAATCATCCGCTCCAATCGCATTCAGAGCTTTTGCTTCGACAGCTTCTATCGCTGTCTCGATCGCCGACTTGCAAAAGTATCTCGCTTCTACCAAAGTGGAAGTCAAGACTGTTGAATTTGCTAGCTTTGGAGGTGCATCAGCTGCTGGTGCTGAAAAGAGTGCTGCAGCGTAAGTCCATTTGAAATTGGTTTTTTTGCTGAAATAAACTGACACGCTTCGCAACACCCTAGTAAAGCTCCAAAAGCTGCACCCGTAAAAGCTGAACCTTCAGCGGCTGAAGCTGATGGTGACAAGTCTGTGTTGATTGGAATTGATGTCAAGAAGAGTGAAAATTTCCCTGAATGGTACCAACAGGTAACGTTGTTGCTTTAATAATAAGTCTAATATGAAAGGATGATTGCTTATTATATACGTTTGAACAGGTGCTGAAAAAGTCGGAAATGATGGACTACTATGATATTAGTGGATGCTACATCTTGCGTCCATTGGCATTCAAGATTTGGAAGGAGATTCAAAGTGAGACGCATTAATTGAGTTGATGTATCAATACTTGTGCTTGACATCTTTGTTTTTGGTTGTTGCTTCCAACAGCATTCTTTGGCAAATGCATCGAGGACAGTGGCGTAGAAGACTGCTACTTCCCAATGTTTGTGTCAAAGGCTCGTCTAGAGAGAGAAAAGGATCACATTGAAGGTTTTGCTCCTGAAGTAGCATGGGTCACGAAGGCGTAAGCTGAGGGAATGTGCTGATGATTCGTAACGTGGACTTACTATATGTATTTTTAGCGGATCTTCTGACTTGGCAGAACCAGTTGCTGTAAGACCTACATCTGAAACCGTTATGTATCCTTCATATGCTGATTGGATACGAAGTTACCGTGATCTTCCTCTGAGATTAAATCAATGGTGTAATGTTGTGAGATGGGAGTTCAAACATCCTCGTAAGACATTCTGCATACCTCTACCATCTTTTTTTCGCATCGACCAATTTCTTCTTACCCACACCAGAACCATTTTTACGAACCCGCGAATTCTTATGGCAAGAAGGCCACACCGCATTCGCCACCAAACCCGAAGCAGATGCCGAAGTCCTCGAAATCCTCGAATACTACCGCCGCGTATACGAAGAAGTACTCGCAGTCCCCGTAACCAAGGGCGTCAAATCCGAAAAAGAGAAATTCGCAGGTGGCCTTTACACAACCACCGTCGAAGGCTTTGTTCCTGCAACAGGTCGTGGCATCCAAGGAGCTACATCCCACTGTCTCGGCCAAAATTTTTCGAAAATGTTCAATATCACCATACTCGATGATAACATGCAGAGCTCATTTGTATGGCAGAACTCATGGGGGCTGTCTACGCGTGCTATTGGTGTATGTGTCATGGTACATGGTGATGATAATGGGTTAGTGTTGCCGCCTCGAGTTGCTGCGACCCAGGTTGTGGTTATTCCTGTTGGGATTACAGCAAAGACTGCTGTGGGTGATAGGGAGGCTTTGATGAACGCTGCTGAGGATGCGGTGGCGAGGTTGAAGGCTGCTGGTGTACGTGCCAAGTTGGATGCACGAGATAATTATACGGCCGGATACAAGTATAATCATTGGGAACTCAGGGTACGTTCAGGGTTGGTTTGTGACGGACGCTGTGACATTAGGTTGAGTATCGTTTACAGTTTTGTCTGCAAAGACCGAAAAAAAAATATTCAAAACCTTGACAGACAATCCACCCCACACCTCTCTAGGGCACTCCAATCCGCCTCGAAATCGGCCCCAAAGATCTCTCCAAAAACGAAGCAAGAGCCGTCCGACGAGACAATCGAGCCGCCATGCAACTATCCCTGACCCACATAGCAGATGCATGCAAAACCCTCATGACTACAATCCAATCCGAAATGTTTGCCCGTGCCAAAGCCGAACGAGATGCACACTTGATACGGCTCGAGACTTTTGATAATTTCGTAAAGACGCTTGATGCCAAGAATGTTATTCTGGCACCGTGGTGTGAGAGGGTTGCGTGTGAGGAGGATGTCAAGAAGGAGTCTGCTAGAATGTAAAAATGTTATTAAATCTTGTCTTGTTCTTTGTTGTTGCTAACAATGGTTTTTTACGATAGTACCGCAGCAAACCAAGCTGGTGCTGAAGAAGACGAAAAGGCTCCATCTATGGGTGCCAAAACACTATGTATTCCATTTGCGCAACCAACTACAAATCCATTGCAGCCGGGGGTTACGAAATGCTTCTTTTGTAACGAGAATGCGACAAGATATGCAATGTGGGGCAGAAGTTATTAGAAAGGGAATGTAATAAGAAAATAGTGTTTGGTCATATATAAAAACCGAAGGCAACGTTAGAGTGTATCCATATGTTTCTCGGTTTGTTTTGTTGTGCAGCGTGGAGGACTTAGTGATAGTTCTGATAGCGAAAAGAGCGATCTTACAGTCGAGCAATGTGTCATGCATTCATTACTACCTTAGCAATATATTGTTTATACACAAATGCAAACTAAAACCACTGCTACAACCCCTCACTCCAACAAGCTCGCCATATGCTTAATCTTCAACACCTGCAATTCACACAACTCATCCACCATTCTCTGTGCATTGCCCTGCTCATATCTCGCCAATATACGGGCTTCAGACATTGCTTCAGACATGGCTTGTTGTAATGCTCCAGCCATGAGTAGTTGTTTAGTGGGTTTAGTGCTGTTTTCAGGTAGTATTTTAGCGAAAAAGGCTATATCTTCTGTGTTGTTGGGCTGCGTGTCGGGTGTTGGTTCTGCTTTGGCGTCTATGCTGCTATTATTGGTGGTGTCGATGATGGGTTTCACGTCTACAGGTACGGCTGTTGTTGACACAATAGGTTCAGCCTTAACTTTAACGTCCTTGGCCTCTAAATGCATCGGTGGAAACTCCAAATCCATCCAAGACTGATCATCCAAGTCCATACTTGGCTCTATTCCATATACTGTGCTGCTAGATGCAGCTGCAACAGGAGTTATCTGCGACTTAGTGCTGTCATCATCCAACACTTCATCCTTAACTTCCAGCTTCAAGTCACTTTCATCACTATACTCAATCGGTGTAGCTTGTTCCACTACGGGAGCATTAGAAGCCTGTTTCCTTAACTGCAGTATCTTAATCATAGCCCCTCGAGAAGCAGCAGCAGCAACTTGCGGTGCAGTGGCACTACTCAACGTCTGCAATAAATTCATTAACGGGTTTTCAACACCAGCACCTAAAAGCAGCGGCACACATTTCCTAAACTCTTGCTCCCATTCATTGTAGCTGCTGGTATCTAATGGATGTGTGTCGTGACGAAACGAGACTTTCTCTTCGTCGAGGGTGGTACGTAAGAATTTCTTCAAGCATAGTTCTTTGGATTTGGTGCCTCCCATAGCTACAGATATGGCAGCCCAATCATCAGTGCCGTGTTTCTCGACGGCAGCCAAGAGTCGATAATACTCTTCATCGGTCCATTGTCGCGAATGCTTTTGCTTGACGGGTTTATTACTGTTATTATATGATGGTTTCGTCGCCTTGACAGGTGAAGAAGAAGTAGGTGGTTCGACATCCATCATGGGTTCCGAAGATCCTAAACGAGTCTCTGGATTCGTGGTTGCTACTACACTACTACTACGTAACGATGCTCGTCGTGGCTCAACAGCAACATCAGAATCATCATCGTCGTTGTCATCGGAATCTGTAGATACCACCTGGCTCTCGTCGTCATCATCGAATTCATCATCTTCTGGATACAGAGCCGGCAACTCGATTCTCACAAATCGATTACTCTGCATATAATACGGATATTTACCATCTAGATAGCACGATTCACAGAACTCTGTTGCTGCATACTCGATCGAGGCGTATAGGATAAAGAAGCACGTCGCTCCACATGACATACAAAAGTGTTTTGATGAGGTGACTGCGGTGGTATGTGGAGGTATTATAAATGGTGGCTTATCTGACGATGGAGGAGGGCCTGAAGACTGTCCAGCACCATCATGCAAGTCAGCAACATTCTTATATACAAGAGACCCCAACGATGCTCCACGAGTTGCCTCTTCTCGATTCTCAGACGGATGCAGTATAGCCTGATAATTTATGAGACCCCATCGTTCCAAGAATGTATGTAGACGATACACTAGACTGATGTCTTCCTTGGCATCCACACCAAGGCATTCCGTAATGGGCAGATACTCTATCGGCCGTCTTCTATAAGTATGTATAATATAATCACGGACCATTTTATAAGTGTTTTCATCCGTGTTTCTGATCATCATGGGATCTTCTTCTGGCATAATCTCGACATCGTCCACATATATGGGTTCTGGTGGTGGTTGCGGATTGAAGATGTCACCAAAGGCAGACTTTTCTAAATTATGTATGACACTTATATTAAACCATTGGCTCATGGCTGGTGTGACGATTTTACGAGTACCAGGCCAAGGGATGGTTAAATCATCTGTAGTCTTTTGTTGGCTTTTATTCACTGGCTGGGCAGCCTTCTCAAGAAGCAAATCCCAAACTTCTCCTTGCTCGCCACCAGCAGCATTAGCAAGGTCGAATAAACCACGAGATCCTGCGTTATTCGTATATATACATTGTGAGATGTTTCGAATCAGACCATCTGCTACAGGCTCCCATTCCCATCTCTTTGTCTGACTCCATATACGTTCATTCATATTAATGAATGTCATTCTCGGGTACGGTTTGGGCCCTGTTCGAGCTTTTTCTCGTAAAGCCAATATATTCTTCTTCGGTGGTCTTGGCCGACTTGGACCTGCGCGTCGTGTACCATAGTCATCGTCATTACTCTCTCGAATAGGTCGAGCGGCTCGTGACTGTTTACTACTACCAGCACCAGATTTAGGTGGACGTCTTGATCCATAATCAAAGTCGTCTTGATCAGCATCTGGCGGTTCTTCACCGTCATCGGAATCATCTCCTCTGCCACCACCTCGATCATCGTCGTCATCGTCGTCTGCATATTGATCTATGAAATTATCGTCTCCTACAGCACTTTGCTCGTCTTGAGACTCGTCTTCATCGAAACTGTCGTCGGCATTGTTGACTGAAGATTGTCGTTTTTGTTGTTGGGTATTGCTACTAGTGGTTGTTCGAGCGACAGGCGCTGGTTCATCAACTTCATAGTCCTCCTGATTAAGGGATGAGAGTCAAAAAACTTCTACCACGTCAAACTGTTGAATACGAAAGCCACCTCGTTCATCCACTCGTTGTATAGCGCACCATCACGAAGCCACCTTGCCGATACACGCCATATTCCGTGATGTTGTGGTGGTGGCTAGAAAGTAAAATCTGTGAGCGTCCAGCACTTGAACAGGTCCCACGTCTTTCTCTCTACCTCAGGCTCTTCGAAGTCCCAAGGGTTTGCCATCCACGCATCAGCACTATCTGGCGTGTACCAGTAATGTACCAGTGCCATATCGTCCTTCTTCTCGAGAGTGCGAAGATATGTTGACTCGTCAGGTTCTTCAACCCAATTCTCAACAATATGCGTTGCTTCCTTGGTACTTTGGACACCAACACCTAGAAGAAATTCATGGTTACATTCAACGTCATGATTCGGTAGAAAATAAACGCCTTGAATCAGCATACCATTCAATGATCGTAAAGCGTCAGTGAAGACCTTTTGTCTTGCTGGAGGCATTGAAGGAGCCCAATATACGAGCGGCGGTGTTATGATCCTGGCCTTGCATAACTGGTCGTAAATATGTTGGACCAAGCGAATGGCGAAATCCTGTCTGCTAAAATCAGGCCTTGGTAGACCTTGAGACTTGGTAAAGCCATATATTGCACGAACGACATGCACAAGTCCTCCATTTGGAGTGGCATCCTTGAAAACTTTGCCCGGTATACGTAAAACGTTATTTATTATACGTGTTCTTCCGAGATTGTCTTCCTAAAGTTGATTGTGAATGTTTGTCAGATCTCACACAAAACTCCAAACATCTTTATCAAATGTCTTGCGTACTTGAAATTGAACCAGTTGGGCTACGTATTCTGCAGCTTCTAAAATATTTTTAGAAGCTAATTCAGGAACGATTTGGGCCAACCGTCCGTGTAAAGGTTGCCAGATGCGTTTGATGGTTCTTTGATCTCGATGCCATTGAGCAAGAGACATTGATTGTGCCATATTCGAGATACCAATTCACCAGAATTCTCTTAAACTATAGACTCTGGATCTTTGAAATCAAGTAGAATCGAAGGTCATTTAGGTAAATTTGGGACATTGAGCTGAGATTGGAAAGTTGTAAGGTTAGGAGATCAGCACGGCAGACATCTCTTTCTTGCTCGACGAACAATTCAATTTCTATTAGGAATTATATTGATTGGAAGGTGGTGCTCGTAGAAAGGACGATGAAGAAACGCCGACGTGCTGGTACAACTCGGCCTCGACATATCGTTCCTGTGGACGAAAGCCTAACGGCAAATGCTTATAAACCTTCGACAATCTCAGATTCACGAGATATTGCCTTTTTGGCTATAATCTGGATTTGCTGTCTCGCATTTTTGTATGCTGGAATCATCAGCAAACTCCTTCCACTCACTGGCAATGAGGCATGTCTTGCTAGAACTAGCATTTACACTCTATGACAAATCTGACATGTTTCGAAATTTGATTATGCTGACAACTACCATCTTTAGATTTTGGACGCGATCCGTGAGGACGAGTTTTACTGCTATTTTCTCCCGACTCTGATCCCAATCTCCATATATTTTGTGTTTTACGGATGGATTGGAATGAAGCTGTTTCGACACAGCTGACTTCCGACGTGTAAAGGGTGCGTCTAGACGTGGAAGGTAGGAAGTCGTCCTTACTGTTAAAACACGTGTGTCAGGCTTTACGTCTGATCTCTAGTAGTCAGTGTAAGAGTATAGAAAAGACACAGTGTATAAATGTATATCAAATGATGTTAATTGGGCCTCTGAGTTGCTGTTCGACCACGACATCGCGTTCTGATCTCTGTTTGAAGATTTTGGAAAGTTGTTGGGTAAAACACACCGTAGTCACCTTCTTGCCGTCTTTCAACGATCCAGTACAATTTATTACGCGTAAAAGCGCGCCAGACACCTTGGGCAGGTACTATAGCAACATACTCGAGAAGCTCCCAAATCTCAAATAAATCTGTAAATATCGCGGTGTCATGTAAGGCAAAGCAAGCTGACGTCTACAACGCTTACTTGAAATCAGTAAGGAATTCTTCATCACTCCCAGAATTGCTCCCTGGGATGTTAATTAGGTGCTGCCTTCATTCGCGTCCAGCTTCGCATCATCACAGCACCAATCTGAGAGCAAGATGAATCAAACTGGTAAGATCTTGATGATGCATTGATTGCCAGACTCTGATACCCGAATCTGTCCACTCACAATATCTGTTCCATTAGAACATCAATCAGTTCTGTTCTCCGTGCCTATTAGCTTGACGAGGGCTAAGATGGAGAAGAGACCATTCAAAAGGACCATTGAGTGAGTAAATGATGCCTCTCTGTGTGCTCAATCTCGCATGTTAACCGAATTCGTTTGAAATAGGTCAATTGAGAGAAGGACAAATACGAGCATTGCTGTTGCACGAACCGTCCACGGCCATAGTCTGATTATTGCTTGGACTGCTGGGACTACGAGGATGAAGTTCGATAAGGCGTAAGTTTGGATTCGTGTTGTAGTCGACGATGCTGCTCGGCCATGACCTACAATGATGAGGATACAAGATCATATTGTGTATATTCAGATTGATATCTACTGATGCGTCCATTATCTCATTGTCCTCCTGTCAAATAGTGTCCAGGAAATATCTGAAATGCTAGGTACTCGACCATTTCAACCAGGGACGGCCCACCAAGCTATGCCTGATCCTCCCATACAAGTGCCACAGCAGCAGGATCCGCAGCAACAACAGCAGCTACAACAGCAACCACAGCAACCACAACAGCAACAACAAACTGGTTGGGAAGAAACTGAAGTATCTGAGAGTCCATGGGTGGTTGAACCCGAAGAAGAAAATACAGAGCCAATTCAAGGCAAGTCATTTCTTCTCCGAGGCTCCCTTTTCTTTCACTAACAGTATCCTTTTAGAGCTGTTGAACATTCCTCGCAATCTGAGCGCATTCGATGCAGCAAGACAACCAGACTACTTCAAGTAAGCTCGCGGCTCCTTCTCGCAGCCCCAAAAACTCAAATCTCATCAAATTGTTATAGAAACATGAGCAGCTCGACCGGCACAGCTATTGAAAGGTTGGGAGATGAGCAAATTGTGATTATTGGATTGAAGCAAGACGGCGTAACCGAAGCGTCAGTGTTTAACTTGATTTCTCGACCTCTGGGATGTGCTGACTGGACCGTAAAACGCTTATAGTGCCATTGCCATACAAAGCTTGTTGACTGAGAAGACAGTCTCCTCCGCTTCGTCTCTCACCACCTCAGACTCATCAACAACAGCATCTACGAACGAATCAGTGACGCAACCATCATCAAGAGACGAAGACAAACCAAGAAACTGGTACATATCAGGAGACGAGGTCAAACCAACAAACTGGTACACTACTAGTGACGGATACTGGATTACCAGTGAATTCGCTGATGAGGTCGATTGGCCAAATTCGCCATCAGCATCCATTGCTTCCAAAATTGCGCAAATGACGACTACTTCCTTCTGCAGTGGCTACGGCTCTACAAAGGCTTCCATGTCAAACGTAAGCAGCAGCTTCGATGATTCGTCGAGTTGGATTGAGCATCTAGAAAGACTCGACTAATAGATCCAAAGTAGTTCTACACCTGGTAGGTCATATCTTTCTTGCTCTCCTCTATAGTCTCAAGAGCCATTTAAAAGACTTGGCACATAAAAATATCTCATAAAACATCTTTGCTAAATTATCCTTTTATATAAAGCACAAAGCGCTCATTTTCTCATAATTTTTTGCTTTCTTTCTGACTTCGTATCCTTGTTCGTATTCTGGTTCTGCGGTTGTGTGGTCTTCGTGGGGTTTGGCAATATTTGCACCTCCAGGTCCGTTTTGCAAAGAGAAAGGTCGTTCTGAAGCCAAGACGAGCTGCAATACTCGACTTTTACGTGAATCTGATTGATGCTGTAGTCTTTCTTGTAGTTCCGTGCCTCGAAACGCTTGTATCAACGTGGACTGTTGGAATCTTAACGAGGACAGATAACGTGTTTATGACGATACAACACGTTTAAAACGACTGGAAATGCTATCCGTATCAGTTGATAAATCAAACGGTGGTCCTTACCTAGTCTCGGATGTCGCCAAACCGAGTAAACCAACCACCATCAACCGTGAATCATCGACTACTATTTTCGAACTCAAGGTCCAGATCCCGTCTGAGCTAGCTTCCTCTTGGCAGACGATACATGATTGCGGTGAACGGCTGAGAGCTATTCTATCGGATGTAAGTTTGTTCTGCACGAACTGAGGTCGTCCAGGACTAACGTATCATTTAGGATTACTTTGAAGTGCACTCGCATCTCGCAACAATCTTGGTATATGCGCCACATATACTATTACGACCACCTCCTGATTCGCCTCAACCGGAATCTCTATCAACACCGTCGTTGATCACAATCCAAACTGCAGGAAACCGTGTGTCGCTAATAGTCGAACGAACGTTATCGGTGCTGAATGAAAGATTGACCATTGGACTCAATGATGAAGATGCTGTAAATTATGGACGGCTGGAACGTAAACTCATTGATGCAACGGCTAGCATCGAAAGGGTCGTGAACAGGTGTAAAGAATACGAACTATGGAGTGGCAATTGGGAAGATGCAAAGGGTACATATGCGTATTTGATGTCAAATATAAAGGGATTTGCTACCTCTTTACGTGATTATGTGCAGTTGATTACGGAGCTGGCTTCACATCATCCAGGTATGTCTGACCTCTCGCAGCTCGTCTCTGACCAACCGTACTAACGATATCATGTTTTAGACACTTTCCCGATGGCTGAAAGCCATGAAGCCTTGAAGCCGTTGTTGCGAAGACGAACCAGTAAGTTGATTGCGAATCGCTCTCCGTGTATTTTCTAACTGCTGTCTTTCTAGTTGGAGATAGAATCCTCAAATCGATTGCTGCACTTCGAATGCACGGTCTAGTGCAAGTAGAATCTGAGAACACTCCAGTCGCGACCGTGACTTCGGAAGCTCGAACATCCAGGTCAACAATCTTTCGAATGAGCCAGACACCAGAGAGTCTGCAAAGAAGGACACCGTTTGATATGCCTGCTCGTAACAGAGTTTCGTTTGCATCTGAAGCTCAATCGTTGGATGGATCCACTGCTCAGAAACCCTTACCACCTATTCCAGAAGGTGTTACGGAAGCCGGTATGTAATAATGTGACGTAGCTTTTTTAATTGATATTAATTTGCCTCGCAGTAGGAACTTCATCACCAACCGCTGCAGCTGTATTGAAACCACCGGTGCCCGTTCAAGTCCATCTCGTTCCTTCAACCGCGAGTCTCGGAGTTCGTGTTGCTACATCCATTGCTGAAGCATTGGCAGCATCGGCTATATTGCCAGGTATATTGCCAGGACCTCATGAGAATGAAGGCATTACAGTTGAGCACGAAATCCATAATTCCCTAAAACGAAATATGTCTGTATCATCGGCCGCACAGTCTGTTGAAATGGCTGTTCAAGAACGGCAAAAGCATGGCAACCTTCTCCATATTTCGGAGGGTGGAGTTGAGGTGCTGATCTTAGAAGATTTAGGATCTAGGCTTCAGATCGTGGCTGGGACAGTCGACCGACTTATTTCGCGACTGGCGGACGAACATGCTACTGGTGAGAATTCGCAGAGTCATTTGGTCACAACCCGACTCATGAGGTCGTTTATTTTAGACGACGAGTACTTGGACATTATGATTCAGACCCACATGTTCTTCGTTTCGGCACGAGACATGTTTGATCAGATGGTTGCAAGATTTCATTGTCAACCTCCTTCAGATGGGACGACGGATACTGAGTATTTTGTCAAGTGGCAGAAAGTCATCCAGTTAAAGTCAGTATCTCGCATTTTCAAGTATCTCGCATTATTCTCATTATGCAAATTCCGATAGGGTGTTGAATGTAGTAGGAAGATGGTGTCGCTTGCAATTTTCCCCTGATTTCTCTAATGACTCAGCATTAAGAACTGCTTTGAATGGATTCTTGGCTGACGCTCATCTGAAAGGATACAAATCAGAGGCTGATCGAATCAGGCGTATAGTCACATTACAGGGCACCGATAAAGTGAAATCAGGATCTTCCCGTACTTCGACAGCGTCGAGTAGTATGACTTCATCACCTTTTTCGACAGCTCGGCCATTGTCGAATCTATCCCAGCTCTCACGTAGTAGTAATCAAAGTCAACAGTCGTTGCCGAATGGTCCTGCCACATACTGCAGAGGCTTCGATTCTCCGGTATTGGAGCTTGATCCTGCCAGTGTTGCTAAATATCTGACGACCACTGAACGTCGAGCACTAGCAAATGTGACTGTTAGTGATGTATTAGCTAAAGTTGCTGGTGGCATAAAATTGGCTAATCCTTGGACTGGTGAAGTAGATATTAGAGAGCTCATTGTAAACAGTACGGGTGCCAAGGTGGAAAAGATTGATAAGATTGCTGAAAGAGCAAACCGGATTCATAATTGGGTTATCTTAGAGATCGCTTCTGCCAACTCGGTCAAAGCGAGAGAAAAATTGCTGCAGAAGTTCCTGAACGTTGCTAAGGTATGAAATTTTGAGACCAACCAATGTCTCTTAGAGATCGCCAGTGCTAACGCGACCAAGTCTAGCAAATCTTGAATTGCTTTGACGAGATCTAACTACTTTGTTTTCACATGTAGCAATGTTACGCATTACAAAACTTTCATACTATGCTTGTTATTGCAGCTGCTCTTTTATCTCCAACAGTATCGAGGGTATCGAAATCTCTGCCACCACTACCGCCATCTCACTTCTCTACACTACTGATGTTGGAGAAGTTGCTAGACCCTTCGTCGAACATGAAGGCTTACCGGATTGCATTATCTTCAATACATCAAGGACAAGCTGTACCACTGTTTCCAATAGTGCTAAAGGACGCGACATTCGTAATTGAGGGATCACCACCATTTGCTCCTCTTGCGAATGAAACAGCTGATAAAGAGCAGCAACCACCATTGGTCAACTTTGATATGTATAGGACACTGGTCACAATCGTTACTGCTTACTTGGATATAGTTAAGGAACCGTATAGCTTTGAATCGGATAGGAAGCCGCATATTGAACGATTGATTGAGGATCGACTTGCTGCAGCCGATGATGAGGCTGGATGGGACGACACTGGAGTGCTGTCCACCGTATGGAATATGATTAATTCTGATTCGTAGAAGTTGAGGAGGGTGTAGTTTTGGTTGGTTCTTACTGAAGCTTGCAAATGGACTGAATGACTCTATATATGATATTGAATATTGATACGAGCTCGTAATTAAATATGCCTGTAAATGCTGTAAAATGTATATAATCGACCCGTCCTTGACAAACTGACACCGTTTAGTTACGTGTGTTGATGTTCATACTTCGCATGAGTAACTCACAAGCATTGTCAAAATGTACGTGATTGACGAGATTTTTGGTGTCGCTGGGTCTTCCAACCCTCTTGCTTTGTTTCATGGGACGCGTCGTCACTGCAAGTTTCAAAAATGTCAGAGTCAACAGAGCAGAGAAGAGGTAGGGTAGCCGAGTTTGCCCAGATCACAGGAGCGAGTGCAGAACACGGTAAGCTCAGACTTCGCCCTGTATATTTCTCATTCTAGAATGAATACTAAAGGCTCGAAACCAAGAGCTCGAAATTCAACATTGACTTGTTTGAGATCATTTACTAACCAGTCACGTCTATAGCGGAATTCTACTTGGCAGCCAACGATTATAATTTAGAGGTATTTTAGCGCATCTTTAAGTTACTTCTTGTCAAGGACATTTGACTTGAAAACAGCAAAAGTCCAAACCGCTTACCATTTCGACTTTTCATGTCATAGGGAGCACTATCATCATTCTTTGATAATCCACCTGGAGACGGACTGAGTGATCAATTACAAGACGAAGACATTGAACTTGAAGACGAACCGCCATCTCCTCCTCCAATAAGAACACATCAACCAATCCAAACACCATCAATACCACAAACCATGTCTGGCGACAACAAGAAGCCTGCTGCTGGTGGAAGGTAATGAAATTGAATATTGTGGTAGATCCAAAGTGCTGAATCAAAGGTAAAATGTCTTTGTCATAACACGTCTTTTTAAGCTCAAGAAGGGTTGCCACGTTGGGTGACTTGAACAGTCAAGATCATGACGATCACGAAGGTCATGATCATGGCGACGAAGGACAAGACTACTTTGCAGGTGGTGAGAAATCTGGAGTCATGGTACATGGTACTGGAACAAAACAACCAAACCCTGCTGCGGATCTTGTCAATGACATTTTGAGCAAAGCTGCCAAGTAAGACTTGATGATTGAAACCCGAACTCGATTTGTCGTATCCTTTGTGACTAACGCTCTGTTTTTGCTTCAGAGCTGGACCGCCACCAGAATCATCATCAAAAAAAGATAAAAAGCCAGCAACTTTTGCAGGATCTGGTTATCGATTGGGTAGTGAAGAAGATCCAGCACCTACAGCACCAGCAGCTTCTGTCGCACAGTCTCTACCACAAGCACCTGTTCCATTGGAACCAGTCGAAAGGCAACTGACATTCTGGAGGAATGGATTCAGTATTGATGATGGTGAACTACGTGATTATAAAGATCCAGCAAACGAAGAATTCTTGAGGGCTATAAACAGCGGGTATGTGATTGTGTTTTGAGTGTTCTTTCGAAGGCATGGTGTCGTTATTCAATGTACAGCTCCAATTATTTTTTCCCAACACCCATTTTTCTATATCTTTGCAGTCGTGCACCTACAACCTTGTTGAATGTCGCATATGGTCAACCAGTCGAAGTCAAAGTCGCAAAACGTATGGAAGAAGACTACAAACCACCACCAAAAAAGCCTGCTGCTCCATTTGGTGGATCTGGTCATCGTTTGGGAGCTCCAGTGCCAGGTGATGCAGCTCTTGGAGGCTCTAGCAGCGGTGCTGGTATTCCAGGATCATTCCCTGGTGGTGCGGCTCCCGCAGTGTCCTCCGTACCATTTGTGTTCTCTGTTGATGACAGCAAGCCTGTTACGTCTATCCAGCTTCGACTCGCAGACGGAACAAGGTGAGATACTTTAGATACTCGTCTGTCTTTTTTTGCTGGCAAGTCTTCCTTTATGCTGATTCTCTCTATGTTGTAGGATGATTGCCAAGTTCAACCACTCTCACACTGTTGGGGACTTGCGCCGGTTCATAAATCAGTAAGAAAAAAAATGGACAATCGTAACGCTGTAGTGGAGTACTCATTCTCTTGCTTCGACTTTTACTATAGTTCACGCCCAGGAACCTCTGGAACTCCGTATGTACTCATGACAACGTTCCCAAACAAGGAGTTGACTGATGAAAGTGCCACTTTGCAAGCCGCTGGTCTTGTAAATTCTGTAGTTGTTCAAAAAATGGATTGATCCATATACCGTTATATGTCTCTGGCATATGTATATGTTACCCCTTGCTACATATAAACTCTTCAAGAACTTCCCAATGATACTATGGTTCCCTCAAGGCTGTTGCTGCTGTCGCCTCTTCCTGAATCTCATGTACATTGTTGTGCGATTGATCTGATATTGTCATTTCGATTGGTTTATATTACACTACTTTAAAAAACTTGACTGAAACTACAAATCTTGCTTGCCAGGAATATGGCCACGGTAACCAGGGATTGGTCGTTGATCCTTCAATTTTTTGGCAATAGGAACATCGTCTTGGCTTGGTGCTGGCTTGCCTCTTTCATCACGGTTGTTGAAGGAATCGTATGCAATCAAAGTTGTTCTTCCAAAAGTCTGTGCAATAGTTCGTGATGCAGATGGTATGAAGCCAGTGAAGCCTAATGTCAAATTCACATTCATCAATATCGTCGCGTCGGTCCAACAACAACTAAAAAAAGACCACAGGGATGGAAACATACCAGGAATAGGCTGCTTGTGAATCAACGCCTTTTCATGTCTCGTACGATCTTCAACAGCCTGCTTAGGCGCCGTAAACTCATCAATAGCCTTCTTGACACTAGCACTGTAACTCTCTCCAAAAATATTCTGCTTGCGGGGTACAAAACCCGTATATCCAGACGGGAAGGTTCTTGGTGCATCACGACCAGGCAGTCTAGATGGCGATGGACTACCGGCATAGCTAGTGTATTGAAACAAGTGTGGTCGTTGATCACCTTCGTATGTTGGTTCGGGAATCAAGGGCTGATGAGCGTTTTTCACGGCTTTAACACGAGGTGGGAGCTCGTTCTTGCGGGCCATCATTCCTTGGAATTCTGAGAGGGATTCGGAGGTTGTTTGAACGTACGAGTGTCCGAAATGTTCTTTGGAACGGGGGATGTAGCCGGTGCTAATAACAAAATGAAGGAGAGCCAGTTAGAATGATACCTTATGGAGTAATTTCAATTGCTGAAACGCGAACATACTATCCAGGAACAGGTGGGAAACTGAATCGATCATCACCAGTCGCCCAAGTCTTTTCCTGACCCCAAACGACATTATGTTCTGGCTGTTTGGCAGCGGCTCGTCTAGCTGCTTTGGCAGCTTCTCGTTCCTTTTGAATACGTCCTTGCTTTAGCGAGAGGTTTTCGTCGAGGATTTGTTTGGTGGCTATTCCAAATGTGTGCCCGAACGACTCGCCCAAAGTAGGGATAAAGCCGCTGTAGCCTGGTGCGAACGAGAGCTCCTCTTTGAATCCCATGCTTTTTTACTATTGCTTTTGTTGAAACGGGCAAGAAGGCTTGAGAGGAAAGTTAGTGTCAATCACGAAAATGTTGAGAAAATTGTGGGGGGCGCGCGTCACGGGCGATTTAGAGATTTCGGAGAATTATATTTTGGATCATTGAGTTTGTCGCAAATCAAAGCTCTGTGGTATGTTTGTCTGGTTGACACATGGACACCTCGACTTTGGTTTAGTGGACGCAAAGCGCGTTTATAAAGTAGGGATGCTTCAGCAATCTAGTAAAGAACTGAAGAAATGAATGTTTACTCGGTCTGAATGGTTTTGTTGGTATTCTGTACATGTCATAGTCAAAGCGAGCTGGGTGTCGTCAGACCAAATTCACGCTTAGCACAACCAATGAATCATAACTCACAATACCATAAAAGATGCTAAGTAATATTATGGCTATCCAAAAAATACATTATGTTAATTGTTTCCTCGAAATCATATTATTGTATATTTTCTGCTGTGACCACACTAATCCTTCGGCGGTGGGATTGGCGATGGAGGCATCTCATCACTCTCGCCCCTCGACATCGCATTAATCGCGTCAGGCACATCAAACGGCGTCATAGGTCTAACTGCATCTAATTTATAACCAGATGAGCTCGTACCTGGAGCTCGAGATTCCATTGGTAAATCCGGTGACGATGATACATTCGATCTCGGCGGCTGTGGCGATGACGACGAGTATCCCGTACTCGCTGAGTTACGTTTCGATATATACTCGAATGGTATAGGTGGCGACGGTTGCGATGGTACAGGTACAAGCACAAATCTACTAAATAACGAGTTTCGTTTCTGTGGTGCCTTATTTAGCGGTGCTACTCCAGTTGAGAATAGATGCGACTTGTCTAGTGTTGCTAATGCCGATGGGTATTGTAATTGTGTTGACGCGTTGGCGGATGCTACGGAACTATATGTGTCTGATGACATGCGGAGCCATGGTGCGCTAGCTGATGATCCGACTGCAGAGCTTAGTGCCGAGTTATCGTTTTGGGAGGATAGTGATGTTGGTGATACGAGGGATGTTACGGAGGTGTTGGACGATGAGCTGCCAGTTGAGGATGATGATGCTGAGAAGGATGTTGGTGATACCTCCTTTGATGCTTCGAGAAGAGTGACACCGGCACTAAATGAAGTTATCTGTTTGACTGCGTTCACTTGTCCTCGGCGTTCTCGTTCCCATAACGCCCATCTGATTAAAGAAAAGTGTGAGCCAAAAAAAAAGGAATCTAGGTCGACGCGAATGAAATTTATACCGTTTCAGCACCACTCGATTGGTATCATCTCCCGACAGCGGATCGTCATTATCCTCCACCAACACTATATTCGCTGCACCCTCCACTCGCCGTGTCTCCCCCCACGAAAAGTCATCGAAATGCCACCATGCGTATAATGGCAATACCAGATTCCATATAGGGATGGCCATAATGTAAAAGATCATGTAGAAGAGGTAAACGGCTTTCCTTGGTGTTGCTAATAGCACCAGAAGTGCTGGAAGTCCCAAGGCTCCGACAAGCAGTGAGATTGTAAACCAATCAGGATGGCCGGTAACGATGTATACGATGATTAGACCAACACTGAAAATTACTGCTACTGGTAGGACAACAGTTCCGACTAACTCCAACTAAAAAAAAACAGAGGTCACATTAGCATCTAGAAACTGAAGAGTCAGCAGGCATGAGGCAAGTACTTACAAAGACGACAAATTGCATAGAGAAGCAGAAAATTCCACACAAATCTTTGACTAGCATTAGCTCAAGCAAGTTGTGAATGGTGCTATTAATCCACCGACGACGTTGAGATAGCAGGACACGGAAGGTATCAGGTACTACTGTATGGCACACCTAAAGCAAAAGAGGCGAATTAGTCTCGGGCAAAAAACACCAGCTGGAGAGGCAGCAACGTACCGCTTGAGGCACAAATACCGTCTTCCTCTTTGGAAAATTACTGAGCATCAGTGTAGTCAAGAACCGATCTTCACCCAATAGTAACAGATTCTTCTTGTGCAGGGTATCAACGACATTCTCAGAGTACTCTTCCACGATATCAGGATTAATCAGCAGCGGCACCCAAAATCCTTCCGGCCCTTTGCGGACCTTGATTCGATACATACAGAAACAGCCAGGCAGACAAGTAACACCTCCAAAAGCAGATTCAAATCCTTTACCCAAGTGATGCGATATGTAGTACTCGAATACTTGGATGAGGGTAACCCATGAAGCACGTTTGTTTCCGATACGGGTTTCACCACATAATCCCATGATGGAGCTATCGTTTTCGAGAGCGTTTACGAGTTTTTCTACGGCGTCTGTGGCGACTCGGGTGTCTGCATCCACCATGAGAATGGCTTCAAAGGCGTCTGGTGCATGAGAGCTTAAAGCCTCAATTTTCCAAAATAGATCATAATCTAGGGCAGTCATTCTGTCGTCCAAAACTGCACGAGATAAAAAGTTCATAATCATGAGTTGGGAATCACGTTTTCCTCGGTTTCCTGGTCGAGCTTCGGTGCGTTCGGATGGGGCTCCTACTTTTACTATTACTATTGTCGGTACACGATCACCTGTCGTGGTGTAAAACCAGCCTCCGTACTATTCAATTTGGGTTGAGTTGAGTGCGAGAAAAGTATGCCAAAAAATAAATGTACGCAAATCCTAACGTGAATGCATGGCAACACTCACCACTTTAGCCATTGAATGTTGACGAGCACCTAACCCAATGGCCAGATAACTCTTTTCAACGACAGGACCCAGCATGGGTTCCAATTGTATCAAACTCAATACAATTTCCGGTGTCGAGCGATCGTTACCAGCACCCGTAACAACACCATCACAATTAATGACCATTAATTTACGATTATTTGGGTATGACGAGTTAGCCAAAGACTCTAACGACCGTCTCAGTGATTCCTCATTCTCCGAGTAGCACGTGACCAACATCAGCACCAGCATATCATCACTATCCATATTCTTTGGAGATTCCATCGACTGCGACAATGCCGAGTACTTTGATACGAATCTACGTCTGCTCTTTTTACTATTGGGTGCTCGTGTGCGAGTCAGGTATGGGGATATAGTCCAGTGGAAGAAGAGCGACATGACAAATCGTAGTGTAATCATGATTCCGACTACGGTGATGATTAATACAAACATGACTGATGCCAAGAAACAGCCTAGTGTTACTTCATCTACCCAGCCTATTTGGTATCGTTGGCGTAGACATGCGGCTTGATCCTGCAAGTCCGCTGATCTCATGAAATCACGGGTACCGTCTCTACCCCACACGTTCCTCAATACTGGGTTTATGAGTCCATCGCTTTGGACACTGTCAAAGAAGGTGCCGTTGTAGTCGTTATAGTATCTGGATATATTTATAATGGCACCGTTTATGACGGTGATGGCATTCGGAGGGGTGTTGGTCAGCTTAATTTCACTCCAGTCCATGTATAATCTCCATCTTGGCACCATGGGAGCTATTACTGTTGGATTAGGACATGCAACACCTGCTAGTGGGAGTGGGGTTCCACCGTGAGGTGGATCTAGAGTACAATTATACTAGGAGAAAACCCATTGTTAGAAATCGTGTCCTTTGCTTATCGACAAACTGGATGCTTACAGTGCCTGGAAACCACTTTGCACACTTGTCATTCGTAGGCTTAAACAACTTTGTGATATCAGTCCCCCTCCAGTCATCATTAAATCCAAAACTATATCCTCCCAATGCAAAGAATAATGCATCAAAGTCATACAAGAAACCGCCAATAATAAAATCACCACCGAAAAACGGTTGAGGTCTCGGCCAGCGGTATGATTGGTTGAATATAGGCATCAAGTCCTCGTAACCACCAGTAGGACAGACAATGTCCCGTAAGAAGAATGTTAATAGTACCACCAGGGCACATGATAAAAATATTATAATACAGAGAGCGACCTAAGATGCATTGTGAGTGAGAAACAACCATTTCTCTGCAATGTTCACAACGACACACACCTTTTCTCTCCAAGCCTGCTGTACTTGATCTGATTTGAGTCCAAGCAGGCCCAAGAACGATGCAGGGAAGCAACAGGTCAAAACATGCGACGTTTTGCTCCACCAATTATGACAACAGCCAGGCGACCTGCCTGTGTCTGACACCATTGCACCCCACCTATCCAGAGTTGAAAACTGTTCTCGTCTTGTAGATGTAGCGCCTAAGATAGAGTAAGGTTTAGTAGTTTTTGGTGTAATCTATTCAGCAACACAAAGTTACAAACCCACCACTTCTCGCAAACGGTCTGTCAGCTGTTGAATCTCTCATCAACGGCCTCCGCTTTAAACTAGCACCTCTCTACATCAAGTTGGTAGTGGTCAGTCCAGCATACACAGTTTTCGCCACCAAGTTTCAAAATTCAAACCCCAAAAAGTGCTGTTGTATGGGGGCAAGGACTGCGCAATACGACTCCAAAACTTACATCAGGGCGAGACAAACTGTGATGTTTCAAGTAAGCCTTGTCTCTGAAGGGGTGGTATGTATCATCGATGTAGGCTTTTGTGAGGGTCTCTGTACTGGACTGTTTTTTGAGCACAGGGGGGCCAGTGCCAGCAAACGGAGCCTCCTGAGCTTGATTCTCCCTTGATGCATCCTTTGGTGGCACTTCCATTGGAGCAATCCTGTTGGTTGGGAAGGTCGGGAGCAGATTATTACTATTGTCGGACGGAGGTTCCATTTCCCAACGGATGATTCTAGCTACAGAGCCGTTTTCATGCAGCAAATGGCGTCTTACGAAGGGGGTAGACGGCTTTAGTACTTGATCTTAGAGCGATCGACTAGATAAATTTCTGGGTGGAAGGATATGTTTATTCTGGCTCGTCACACATGGCGAAAGGAAAGACAAACACCACCACAGAAACCGCAATGCCAAACCGTTCCAGAATACTCGGTATATTCGACCTAGGAAAGGTGTAATTTGGACGAGAGGCGGAAGTGAGTGCCGACCACTTTCAGGATCTTGCGCCAGTTGAATCTCTCGACTGGAGCAAATGGCAAAAGCACCAAAAGTGCCTGAAGTAGCTGCTAAACCAACCAAGACAAGGGCCAATAAGAAGAACAAGGCTACCACGAATGGCATTGAATCTCTCCCTCCCACATATCTGGCGCCAGCGCTACAGGACTTGGAATATGGGACATCGTTGCGAAGCAGATCAACTGTGAACAAACTCGACAGAAGTGCGAGTAGGAAACGAGTCAAGCCGCTGATGCGAAGAGCTTCTGCTGCTCCACCGCTGGCTAGAGCAGGCATGTTTTGTGTATTTGTGTTGAACTTGCGTTGGTTAAGTCGCAATGCCATGATATGAGGTATTTACAACCACGAAATGATCTGTATGTCTAACCGCGTCGTGTTCATTAGGTGCTACATCTACTAGACATGAAGGCTGGGAGGCTGACGGGTCTGGAACGCTACATCGAACACACAAAACCCTCAAACAACAAGCTGTATCCAAAAAATCACGACGTAGACCATACAATTGTTGGGCTGCTTTTGCTATGATGTTGACGTGTTGCTTTCCGCCGTATCTGCTGGCCGCATGCGGCAAACGAAATGCATCTGTGAGACAGGCCTGGCGAGAAAAGGTTTGTTGGAGTCAGTCTAGTGTGTCAACACTTACAGATTCTCATTCGTACTACTGCACATTTATAGATCGCTCTTTGCCTGATAATTTTGTTTATGTGCCTAATGGTTGGTTTCATCACTTACTTCTTGAGATCTCTACTGTGTCCTACTGGAGGCTACGACGATGTGATGGTAAGAATCTGACTTTTCCCTGCAATTTCCTGCAGACCAGCTAATTGAATTCAATTGATAGCCGGTCTTCAATCAGAGTTACAAGTGGCCGAGACCGATGCCCTCCTTTGGAGGTGACATGATTATAAACGGCTTCTTATACGACTTTGACAACATATCAGCCACACTAGGAGCATACTATGGATTTACAGACGAGTGGAGAGGCGCTGATATAACAAAGCTCTTCCCACCAAAGCCAGACCATTGTCAGCAATTTCTTGGATATACATCGTATGATTGCACGATGCTTGGACCTCACGGTGGGCCAGCTCTACCTGCTAATGGCCAAGACTGTCCCAATATGGCGTATCTACGAGGCGTGCCTCAGATGTACAGACTTTGGTTTTCATGGGACGATATCAGGCAATCAACAACCTACCCGCACCTCCTCACAGTATTCGACGGCAAGGTGCTTAATTTAACAGGCTACTTTTATGGTGCTAATGGTCTACAGGGTCGTTTCCTGGACACTCTCGGCTATAGAATCGCGTCTATAAAAGTAAACGAAACGATCGGCAAAGACGGCACGAAGTCCTTCTTTTCCAACTCTGAATCATATGAAGCTGGAATGTGCTTCTCGCAGCGATATCTAGTAGGATATGTAGATAATACGACAGCCGGATGCTTCTTCTCCCAGGTTATCATGATATTGATTATAGCGGTGGTTGGTACACTGATGCTCATTCGAGTCACGATGGCCTTCATGTTTTACTGGGTAATGTCGCGAGGTCTGACGAAATCCAGGGATCCGAAAGAAAAATGGTCGGCTACGGATGCTGTGAATTTGCGACTCAACAATAAGCGGGGCCCGCCAGATGATTTGAGAACTGTGTTGCTCATGACGTGTTATTCTGAAGGTCGTGAAGCCATTTCACGTTCTATAGGAGCTCTGGTGAATTCGACGTATGATGATAAGAAGAAGCTGCTGTTTGTTGTCTGTGATGGTGTAATTACAGGGTCTGGTAACAAGCAGTCCACACCTGAACTGGTCTTGTCGTTGATGGAACAGGACGAGGAGTTGGGTAAAGTAGAACACAAGGCGTATATTGCTATCGGTGATGGTTCGAAACAGTTTAATATGGCCAAAGTGGTGAGGCCCTCTGTCTGTTCTAGCCCTTTTTTGCGTGTGGCTACCTGTTAACACCTTCGCTTGACTAAATAGTTTGGAGGGTGGTGTCGAACCAAGAAAGGCGGCAAAGTCGCAACCATAGTAGTAGTCAAAACTGGTGCTCCAGCCGAACGATCAGAGAAGAAGGCTGGTAATCGTGGTAAACGGGACTCTCAGCTCATCGTGATGAACTTTTTGTCTCGAGCTGTATTAGATGATCGCATGACTCCCTTGGATTATGACATGTTTTGGAAGATTGAGAAGCTGACGAATTATACAGCAGATAAATTTGAATCTATACTAATGGTGGACGCAGACACCGAAGTCAAGCCAGACGCCCTCCAATACCTCACGAACGCACTCAAAAACGATTTGAGCATAATGGGACTATGTGGTGAAACGCGTATAGCAAACAAGGGACAATCGTGGGTTACCCTCATTCAAGTGTTTGAGTATTATATATCGCATCACTTGGGTAAAGGATTCGAATCCGTGTTTGGTGGTGTCAGCTGTCTGCCGGGCTGCTTTTGCATGTATCGTATCAAAGTACCTAAAGGGCCACAAGGGTATTTCGTGCCGTTGCTGGTCAATCCTGATATCGTGGAAGAATACTCGGAGAATGTTGTAGATACGCTGCACAAGAAGAATCTGTTGTTGTTGGGTGAAGATCGGTTCTTGACGACGCTGATGCTTCGTAACTTTCCCAAGAGGAAGACGGTGTTTGTGCCCCAAGCGGTAAGTCCATGGACTTGTTTGTATATTTTTGCGCCACTCATCTCACTCTCTCTTGTCGATATAGGTTTGCCATACAACTGTACCCGACAAATTCAGAGTCCTGTTATCTCAACGCCGTAGATGGATTAACAGTACTATTCACAATTTGCTTGAATTGATTTTGGTCAAGGACTTGTGTGGAATATTTTGTTTCTCCATGCAATTCGTCGTGTTTGTAAGTTCACTGTTTATGCAAAAGCCTCTACAGCGAATTTAACAACTATTTTCAACATAGCTGGAACTGGTATCAACGGCCGTGCTTCCTGCTGCTGTAGTCTTTACAGTCTTGCTCATTGTAAATAACATCATATCCGGAAAACCAGACTGGTTTACAGTAGCCATGATTGCCGGTACGATGCTCCTTCCAGCCATCCTCATTCTCATAACGACGAGAAAAGTCCGCTACCTTGGTTACATGGTCTTCTGTAGGTGCCAGTATTCTCTTTTGTTCATCCCAACATTTCAAAGCCAACACAGCCCATTTCAAACACTTTCTCAACATACCGTTAGATATACTTGCCATACCAATATGGAACTTTATCCTCCCCGCCTACGCATGGTGGCACTTTGATGACTTTTCATGGGGCTCCACCCGTGTAGTCGAAGGTGACGCCAAAGGAGCCCACGATGAATCTAAAGGTGTCTTCAACCCGCGTAAAATCCAGCTCAAGACGTGGGATGAATGGGAAAAGGACCGTCTCAAAGCTATGCGAGGTGATGTGGACGAAACTGTGGGCCAAGCGTATGATCCGTATGGTTGGACAACGTTTGCTGATCCGTATTATGGATGGCATTATTATGGTGGTGGAGCTGACGTGTATAGTAATACGTATTATGCTGTGCCTCCGCCAGTGCCTTTTGGAGGGAGTGAATGGGAGGTTAAGAATCAATATGATCCTGTTTTGGGTGGTGGCGATCCTCAATATGGACAGAACATGTACAGTCAGAATCCACCGTATAGTCCACCTCAGTCATTCATACAGGATCGTCAGTATGAGCTGTATAGTCAACCCCAGCCATTTATACAGGATCCGTATAGTCAAACTCAGCCGTTCATTCAAAACCCGTATGCTCAAGATTACATCGGGTAAGTTTCACATCTTTTGATTGTTCACATTTCTGGACCGACTGTCAAATCTCATTTTTTTTCTATCTCAAACAGGCAAGGTCAGATGTACGGAAATCAAGCTGCTGCATATACTAACACGTACCCCGGAGCTGGTATTTACGATGCATACGCTTCATATCCAAGTCACGGACGGGATAAAATGTCAACGGGCTCAAGACATGGCAATAATACCCGTGGTCGATCATTGCCACGAGCTGATGGTAATAGTAGTGGAAGTCAACCACGTGGCAGATCTAGATCCAAAGAGAGCAAGGTGCCAACAGGAGAACGTGGACGAAGTGCCAGTAAATCATCGCCGAAAGACAGGAAAGGTGGTGCCTAATCGAAATCGAGGGAGAGGAGTACATCTGCTTCAAGGAGCAAGAAGGGTGGTGCCAAGTAGGGAGGATTATTATTATTATTTTCATTTTCATCAGGCCTCATGTTTGTAGTGTAAATTCCTCAAGAGATTCACATTGTACATTTGGAAAATGGGGTTTTACGCAGATTGAGAAAGCAAGCGACTGAAGGGCGAGAAGGAGCTGAAATTGGTCTTTCATGCCGTTACTCCAGTCCGACAACTGATTTGACTTTTGAAATTGGGGTATCTGCAAAACGAAACATGAGCCCGCTTCAGCATACATTTGAAGAAAAGCTTGTGATTGTCAGTGTTTCTACAACACGCGATAGAGAGCTTGTAAATGCTGGATATCTCACACTCCGATCTCTCTGTGGTCTAAAATTACATAGCCGCTCTGGCCTTCCCCACCAACTTGCTCTCGTCAGCCAAACAGTCTTTTTGCTCCTTTCTCCTTGCGCCAACAACCGTTTCCACAATCAAACTCAGAACAACAGAGGGCGGGACCAAAGGCAGGTTGTGTCTTGACCCAGTACATCTCCTGTACAATTCCTCAAATGGTCTACGATGCGAGCCCCTTCCATCATGAAGACGAGTCCACCTTTTACAGCAATGACAACCAATCGCTGAAAACTCCTCCAAGAGCCATGCAGCATGACACACTGGACAACAAATACCCCATGCAGCCTATAATAGACTCTGACAATCCATTCGCCAGCCACTTTGCCGAACGCAAGAGACAAAAGAATGTTGGTAGTAATAATCCCAGTCGAACGATATCGCTACGGAGGGGAGCTAATAGGTCGATGAACAGACCTAATCGTGCACCCAGTATGCGTCGAGTGCAGCCCATGCTGAGAGGAGAGGACGAGCCACCGCCGTTGGCAAGAGCAGGTGCCACCTCATCACGAAAGAATAACGATGGGCTGGATGCAGGTGCTACGTTGTCGAGAAAGACACCGATAATGAAGAGGAAACAAGTTACGTGGTGGACGCATCTGTCGTTGCTGGCAACGTGCTGCTTCCCTCCTTCGTTCTTGATGGTGCTGGGGTTGAGGAATGAACCAATTAGGCAGGCGTGGAGGTACGATCTTGATTTAATTATGCACCGTATCTTGCTGTTGTTTTGTTATTTGGATTCTCTGTTTATTCTTGACGATGCAAAGTATCTCACAATTAACTTTCAAATCTCTCAATTCACTTCTATTCCGCGTTATGTTAGAGAGAAGGTATGTGTCTTATATGCTGTTTCAATGTTATTCGTGAATGATGATACTGATTATCTTTGTACATAGGTCGCTCTCTGTCTCGTTATCTTCTTGCTCTGTGCTTCTGTTGGGTTTCTAACCTTCTTTTTGCGAGCACTGTTGTGTAACGGGCTTGGAGACAGTAAGACGCTCTCGACGCTAACCGCCCCACTATCTACATATACTAACCCACCTAATAACTCTAGTCGACGGTCTATCTCTCTTCAACCAAACATATATATGGCCCAAACCACTCGCCAATCTCGCCGGTGTGTTGATTATAAACACATATGTATACGACTATGATAAGGTGTATGCCGTGCTAGGAGCCTACTATGGATTTACCGATGAGTGGCGAGGAGCAGATATAAGTCGCATGTTCCCACCGGGATCAGACAGCTGTGTCCGCTTCTTCCCTGGAAACTATAATTGCTCAATCCCAGGTCCGCATGGAGGGCCCAGTATACCAGCAGCAGGCCAGCAATGCCCGTCGCTATCATCGCTTAGTCGTGTGAAGCCCGCATACCGTCTTATGATGTCGTGGGACGATTTGTACCAAACAAAGGCCGATCCGCATCGCCTCACTGCATTTGATGGCGCCATAGTGAACCTGACTGCATATAGCATAGATCCGTATGGTGGATTTGCTAATGGCCTGTCACAAGCCACCGCGCGGCTCGCAGTCGCACCTGGTCGGGACATGACGAAATCCGCATATAGTAATGAGGACTCGCTAGATACCTTTGCCTGTATGCGGCAACGGTACCGTGTCGCTTCTCTAGACTCAGATACAGCTGGCTGTTTCTTCTCGTTTGTAATATTTATATTGATTCTGGTCACGGTCGGCACACTATTGGCAGTCCGATTCGCTATGGCTCTGGTCTTTTACTGGTGTATATCGGGCCGACTTACGAGACAGGTTAATCCAGGTGTCAAAACAGATCGCAAGTTTGCATCTCGGTTTACATCTCGTGGTGCCGACAGATTTGAATTCAAGGCCAATCCATCTGGACTTGATGACGAGCAGGGTGAACCGCCTGTAATCATGTTTGTTACGGCGTACTCTGAAGAGGAGCTAGCATTACAGTTATCGTTATCGGCACTGGTAGATTCCGATTATCCAGATGGTCGTAAACTGCTTTTCGTAGTATGTGACGGTGTGGTTACCGGATCCGGAAACACGAAAAGCACACCTGAGATGGTCTTGCAGCACATCCAGCTCGAAGAATCATTCGGGATACCAAACCACCAGTCATACCTCGCCATCGCAGAAGGTGCACGTCAACTCAACATGGCCAAAGTGTTTGGCGGATGGTATAAAAACAATATAGGCCACTACGTACCCACCATAGTCGTAATTAAAACAGGTGCACCATTCGAACGATCCGATCCCAAGAGCGGAAATCGTGGTAAACGGGACTCGCAACTCATCCTGATGAATTTCCTATCTCGGGCCGTGCTTGATGATCGAATGACCCCACTCGACTATGAACTATATTGGAAGATCGAAGCGCTTACAGGTAAAAAGTTTTTGATTTTTACATTTACAAGATATAATGTATAATTCTCTTTTGCACTTACAGGCCGCCAGCCAGATTCCTTCGAGCTAATCATGATGGTGGACGCCGACACACGTGTAAACGCCGACTCGATGGCCCACATGGCAAACGCAATGAGGAATGATCCACAAATAATTGGCTTGTGTGGTGAAACCCGTATTGCAAACAAACGAACATCATGGGTGACACTAATCCAAGTATTCGAGTACTATATTTCACATCATCTGGGCAAAGGGTTTGAATCCGTGTTTGGTGGTGTCACTTGTCTACCTGGTTGTTTCTGCATGTATCGAATCAAGGCTCCGAAGGGGGAACAGGGGTACTGGGTGCCGCTGTTGATTAATCCTGATATCGTGGAGGAATATTCTGAGAATATTGTGGATACGCTGCATAAGAAGAATCTGTTGCTTTTGGGTGAAGATCGATTCTTGACTACGCTCATGTTGCGTAACTTTCCTCACAGAAAGACAGTATTCCTTCCTCAAGCAGTAAGTGGTGTGCGTTTTGAATGTCGTCTAGCAATCCTTCATGAGCCAAACATGTTTTTTTTTGCAACAGATTTGCCATACCACAGTCCCAGATACCTTCCGTGTCTTGCTATCTCAACGACGTCGTTGGATTAATAGTACAATCCACAACCTTATGGAGTTAATGTTGGTCAAGGACTTGTGTGGAATTTTCTGTTTTTCGATGCAATTTGTCGTCATGGTTCGTCTCCAACACTCGGGTTTTTGCATCAGCGCTCCAAGCTCATTATCTCTACCACCCATAGTTGGAACTACTAGGAACTCTCGTCCTCCCCGCCGCCGTAGTCTTCACAGTCCTCCTAATCGTAAACACTATAATCACCAGCAAACCCGACTGGTTTACCCTCGCCATGTTTATGGGTGTCCTGGTACTCCCCGCCATCCTAATATTCATAACAACCCGTAAAATGGTATATCTCTTCTACATGGTATTCTACCTCATGGCCATCCCAATCTGGAATCTTATCCTGCCGCTATACGCATGGTGGCACTTTGATGATTTCCGATGGGGCGAGACGCGCAAGGCGCATGGTGATAAGGCTACGGGACATGATGAGGATGAAGGAGAGTTTGATTCGAGCAAGATTGTCTTGATGAGGTAGGAATATCTTTTGTTTTTTTGCAAGTCACTCAAGGTTTCTAACTCCGTCTTATTTCACAGACTATCCGAATGGGAAAAAGAACGCCGCGACCGCCTCACCGCAACCGGCAAGCCCATAACACGCGTCATAAACCCCCAGTACAATAGCAGCCATGCTGGCATGGCTCCCTCCGAAGCTGCTCTTGCACCAGGATACCGCTCCCAACCAGGCGCACTCAAATCCGCTCTCCGCATAAACACGCCCGCTACAACCACGTATTCAGCATACTCGTCGACCACAGCATCCAGCAGCACCATGACGATGCCGCCAACAACAGCTATGCCAATGACACATATTACGTATGCACCACCACCACGTGTCACGCCGACGGTTGCGGCACCACCGTTGCCAACGCCGACATCCGTCTACCGGGAACATGATAGGTCGTCAGGTGGGGTACGTGATTCCGTGTATGCTAATGAGCTGGAGAGGATGCTGGATGCAAGTCCGTCGTCGCCTGTTATGACTGCACCGGTTAGGAGTACCAGTAATAGTAATAGTAGTAGTAGTAGCAGTAGTAATATACCGGCACATGTGGCACTTCCTCCTCCAACACGGGTATGGAATGCAGGAGGTGTTACGATGAATACGATGGATTCAGCACAGTCCAAGGCATCGTGGGAGAGTAGGAATGATGGTGATCTTATGTCGCCGAGTGGGATTAGTGGATGGGAGAGTTTAGAGAGGATGTTGCAGCAACAGTAAAGAGTACATTATATAGTTATAGTCGCAAAAAAATAGTTGAAAAGTTCCCCAATATAAGTTACTTCACGTGAAATCTCTTATTGAACTGATTGACCTCTTCAAATGATTTTATGCAATTGACTACGCGCTCAGAAATTCGTTGAGTTCGTGAATGTACTTTAGTTGAATTGCCGAAACAAGCAACTACCAAGCTCTTTCACCTACAATAATGACAGAAGAAATGGACTCCAAGAAGGCCCGTACAGATGACAAAGCATCAGATACTCTGGCTCACGCAACCAAACCAGATGTAAGTTCACCTCAATTTGCATACCGCCCACATCAACATTCTCGTTCTTGCAACGAGTATCGCATCAATGAACCTGCAAACAACGACATATGATACATAATCATTGAAAAGGCTTGATACAGTCGTTTCCACCATTTGCAACCGCTTCAGTTGTTGTTGTATCGTCCCAACATTTGATTTTTTAGTATTGTACTAACTTTGTTTACATGGACATAGGTACCAGTGGAAACGCAAACGAGGTTGATTAATGTTGGCATGAGAGTCCGTTATGCTGTTGCTCGAGTAAGGAATCACCTGAATTGCACTACTTAACTCTTGAATAACACTATGATAATCAACAGGGCTACCAAAACAAGCACATCACCACCGTCGAAGCCGCCATCTCGGACGCACCTGCTGTAGTCAATCCACGTAAACGCACTCTGGTTCCATACAGTGACTAGAAAAGGAGAGCTTCTGCTCAAAATCCAACCAGTCATCAAGTGTACCATATGTCTTGTTTTCTAAACCTCACAAACAGCAAAAAGCCCAAAAAGAAATAGTCATTGTAATTCATTGTCGGCCTCTTTTTGCCATTGTATACTGGGAATCCCTGAAATGTTTGTTATATGAGAAACGTCGGTCTCGTCTGTATTATTGTACACTAGAACATAAACAAACACACAACATAATAAACAGTCAATATTCATAACGATACAATGCATTGTGGTCTGACTATGGTTGTTCTATTTGATACGTGCTACAGAGAGATGCAATGTCACAGTGTTTGACACAGATTTACATGCGTGGGGTATATTTCATACGATGAGTAAACCAGTGTCTTTGAGTTCAGTTTATGCATTAGTAAAGTAGCTCCTCTTATTAAGACTCTTCCCGACACCAATCAGCGTAACAGTTCCTAACACTACAACGAGAGCAGACAAAAACCCCATTTCAGGCACCCATCCAAACTTCTCAAAGATGGATCCAGCGACGATGGGAGCAATCGATAGACCTATTCCGTACACGACGTTAAAGATTCCGTATACTCGGCCTACACCACTTGGAGGCACGACTGCATTGGAGGTATAATGAAGTGTCGTTAAAATAGAGCTCTCGCTTAAAAAAGACACGATCAAGCTTACCACTTGCTAAGGCGGGAATAATAGTCGAAAACGCCAAGTTTTTTGCCACAGAATAAAAGCATAGGGCTAAAGCCAACCCCCACGCACCAGGAGCAGACGCAGCTGCACCCATACTTGCAAAAGCAGCAAGCATTAAAACCAATCCAACCAGAGACGTCGGCCTAAATCCATATCGATCATACGAGAATCCAGCCAACGGACCCGCGCCTAATCCAGGCACATCAGCGCACAGCAGTATAGCACCTATTCGAGCAGTATCTAGTTCATATCGGTCTCGCAACAAGATGGGGAAGCCTACATCCCATGCTGCCACAGCAGACCATAAGAAGGCTCCAACTAGTAAACTGAGTAGTGCCCGGTTGTTGAGCAGTTGCTTCCAGCTCAGCATGGATGTAGACATTATAGAAGATGCCGAGGCGTTATTATTTGGTTTGGCGTTATTGTTGAGGTTTGCGGTTTCTGGTACAAAGTACCACGCTACAAAGTCGATTGCTATGAGGATGCCACAGAATAGAGACGGGTACCAGGCTTGTTGGGTGAAGAGGAGACCGCCAATAAGGGGACTAGAACGAGAGAGGTTAGCTCGAGTAATAATTGGAGTAACCAATTCGATTTCACATACCCGGATATTTGGCCTTGTTGTTGCCGTAAAAGAAAATTGTTAGCGAATTATTTGGCATGTAAGAACCATCATTAAAGCGACTAAACCTACCAACATTCTGTGCCACATTGACCACAGCCATGGCTTTCCCTTTGCCATCTCCGTCTCCAAACACGTCAGATACCATGGCTAGAGCTAGAGTCCAGCACGCGCCAGCTGAAAATCCTTGTAGGAAACGAGCAAAGAATAGTACACCATATGAAGCATCCACGAATGCAAGACAGACCATAGCGGCTGCTGCAGCAACGAGACCACACATCATGATAGCTCGTCGAGAACCTGTTTTGTCTGATAGCCAGCCCAAGAATGGTGCGCTAGTTGTAAAGTATTGGGCGAGGTCAGTTAAAGTAGAACATATTCTTCCAAGACAAGACAAGACAAGAACAAGAACAAGACGCAGACAGAGAGGAGAGGAAGAATAACATTCTTCCAAAACTAGACAAGGCAAGACAAGACACGAACATACCTTATGATGTTGCCAACAGAGTAAGCAGTAAGCAAGATAGAAACAGAAGTTGATGACTGGTCCACAGCGGTGTAGAACGGAAGAATGGGTATAAACGTATAAAACGACGCAGCCTCACAAAAGATAGCCAGAGATGCAACTCCTACAACATATGCCCTCGTCCTGAAGAATCTCTTCACAATCCCAGTCTTGTTTGCGGCGTCATCAGATACAATCCTGTTACTGCGTACAGACGAGTGTCGTGACGTTTCTACAGACGCGACCAGATCCTCATCGATCTGGGTAAAGAAGGATGGAACAGCAGTAGATGATCTGCGACGTGGTGTAAGACTGGCGGCGTCGCCCTTTGTGTCCCCTTTTAGCGTCGATGTCGAGTAACGGGGCGATGAGGCAAAGTAGGATGGTAATTCCTCATCGCCCAAGTCCAGTTCCTCATCATCGAAAGAGGAAGCGTAGATTGATGCTGGGTATATTCCTGATGAGGATGACGGGCCAGTGAGTGTGGTCAGTGGGATACTCATGGTGTGTCTACTAGATGAGAAAAAGTTTTGAGTTAGAATTTTGGAAAAATGTGAATTATAGAGGCTATACGTGCCGGATCAATGCCGTACTTGCCTATACTGGGATTAAGATATGTGTCAACAGGATAGGGGCTCGTGGATCTATTGATTTATTCAGTGTTTGCGGCTGCTATGTGTAGTATGAATTTAGAAAAGTTTGTGGAGGCGGAGTCTGAATGCTGTAACTGGAAAAAATATGAGTCGCTTACAAACAAACGAGAGCTTTGAATGGCGTCTTGGAATGCATACGATTCGACTTTGGATCGTGATGGTTGTGAGAGATCGTGTAAGGGCACGAGTGAAGGACCCAGCACTCGCAGAACTTGGTGCATGTAAACGTAACATCCCTTCCCATGGAGTCTCAAGTCAGCTGCGCGCTGCTGACAACGAGACCTGGATCAAGATATTCTATTTTGTTGGCTGAGAACGTTTCTGATACGTCCGCAACTACCGATACTCTTGAAATTCAAAGAGATTTGACGACATGTATCTTTTTTGTTTCAAGACTATGGAAAGTCTAAACGGCAGTCAAAGATCAGCACTACACGGCCTATATGGCTCATTTATACTTGAGCGGCTCTTCAAGAAATCCTTCGACACTCGGAAATACTGTTGGAGCTTTGCACCTGTTGCACCATTATGTTTGACACTCATGACTTTGACAGGACAACTTCCGCTTCTCGATGTTTAAGACATCTGCCGTCGGGGTATCGCTGACGAATCCGGCTCATCCCAACAAATAACGCTTTCTCGAAGTGCATGACTTTGACTGACACAAACCACTATCCTCGAGGTATACTTAACTGACGCACTGCTTTTACTCAACCAAACAACCTCAAACATCCCATCACTTTGAAATCAACAACCATCCAAGCACACTCCTATATACCATCTCCAAAAGCAAACAATGGAAGCCTTTTTTGTCGCCATCCCCTCTCAACGAAACCTCACATCCAGGTTTACCTCACACTCAGTCTTACTCAAGGGCCATACATTTACTCTCAGCATCGCTCCTCGTCGAAATACCAACTACTATGTCGGTACCATGACTTGTACATCAGAACATCCAAACGTCACTCTCTTTGTAAATGTCGTGTTGCGAGAGTCATTGAAAGGTGATGATATTGTACATGTCCATCGATGCCATACTTTTGATCACTCTTCTGATGCTGCTGCTTTGGAAATTGGCAAGTTTGCCAAGTCTGAGGATACGAGTTCTGCTCGATACATGGTAATATCATATAGTGAGCCAGACACTGTGTTTTTTTTTGGTTGGTGGTTTCAATTCATATCTTGACATTCGCACTCAAAACATAGGGAGTCTTCTGCTGGAAGGAAGCCATGGAAGGACAATCCAAACCATGTGCCTATCTCGTCGAGAACGATGAAGGTGTCTTCTCCGTCGTCTCTACTGGCACATCATCCAACAAGTCCATTACCAGCAGCTCTACAGACCCATCAGTATCAATCTCTACCTTCTTCAACCATCCCGTAAACGCAGACCTCATATTTACCACTGTCCCACCTATACACATACATAGGATTGCACTCATGGCGGCCAACGCCAAAATAGTCAAAGATTTGGCATCACCCCCAGCACCAACTAAAATCAACATTCCATCTCACTTGACTCAAACTGGGTTGCTGAATGTATTGAAGTCTATATATACAGGTGCTCCATTCAACGCTATCTTGGAATCTGCTGGTTTGGTTGATGTCATGGACGCATGGTTTGCATGTGAATATCTCTTCTTACCTGAAGGTATTTTTCATTTATATATTTGGTTACTTAGATTTGATTTTCATCATTTGAGAATTCACATTTATTATTCCTAGCCAACTTGGAAGAAGTCGAAAGGATCTTTGGAAGCAAGCTGAGTCCAAAGAATGTTGCCGAAGGCATTACAAGATGTCATATGATGGCAAAGAGTGAAAGTTTGATGTCTATTATGATCGAGTATATGGCCAAGAATTGGTAAGTTGGGCGCCAGGTTGCATTGTGCTGTCCACATCTGTTGTTCTTTTTTCACCCTTCAACTCACACCTTGCTTCCTTCTGAACAGGAGTGAAGTTCGCGTCAGCGAAGGATTTGCTCTCTTGCTCAACGAGCCCAAGGTACTCAACAATGCTTTGATTTCAACGATTCAAACTGACTTGTCACCTTCTTTACAGACGTATGGTGATGTCCTGACCAAAGTATTAGGTGCCTTACGTGTTTAGCATAAAAATCAACTTGTACCATCATTTTGTTATCTTTGCTGTTTTCTCTTTGTTTTACGTTAAAAATACAAACTCTCATCATAACCTAGTAATGTACACTGTCTATGGGTTTGGCTTTAACGAGTTCAACCAAATCGCACCAGACACCACCACCCCAATCACAATCCCACATATAATCCTCAGCTCTCCCTCCAAACCTCTAATCGCATCCTCATGGAGCACAACAGTCATAATCTCCTCAAACACAATAACTATCCCCGGTTTCCTCGCCAACCAAACAGGAAAATGGAGCACTCCATTACCACCTTCATGCGGCACACCATCGCAACTCCTCGTACACGGCACCTCCATCATCATCTGTAACGAAATCAACGAAATCTGGATTCTCGCATCGCCCACATTCGGACGCAAACGCAAACACCACGATGATGATACATTGTGTGACGAGTCCCTCATATTCAAGAACGTGTATAAATTGCATGATGGATGCACATGCATATCGTCAAACCGCATTTCGATTGTCGCTGTGACGAAAACCAAAGAGCTCTTGATGTGGGATTCCGATATGACGTGTCGTGTTATTGAGATAGGACAGCCTGTGAGGAGTGTATCATGTGGCAAGACGCATTATATTGTATTGTGTGTTAGTGGGGACGTGTATGCGTTTGGAGGCGGGTTGCAGGGGCAGTGTGGTGTTGGTGGTGCTAGTAAGGATATTGGCGTTAGAGTTGTAGCTGCGCTGCAGGGGGTTAGGATTGAAGGTGTGTGTGCTGGTGGGTGGCATACGGTGGTTTGCAGTGGTGGGGATGTGTATGCTTGGTGAGTTGAATGTGTGCTACAAACACATTCTTTATAAAGAAGGTGTTTGTAGCAAAACAAAGCAGAGACTAAAGGCCTCCTAATTAACGTTTAATATTCTTGTAGTGGCATGGACGATAAAGGACAGCTCGGTCTCGCTGAAAACGAGGAACCCGTGACGGATCAAACGGTCCCGCAGCTACTTGACCGTGATTTTGGAGCTAGTGTGAAAGTTGCGTGTGGATCTAAGCATACTGTATTAGTCACTGAAGATGGTGATGTGTATAGTGTTGGTTGGAACAAGTATGGACAGTGTGGTAGTGCAGATGGTGAAAGGGTCGAGAAATTTCACCGTGTGGTGTTTGAACGTGATGTAAAGGCTGTAGATGTAGTTTGTGGAGATTGGAATACTTTTGTTACGTGTAAAATTGTAGATTCGAGTAGTAATATATCGGGGTAGAACGTGTCTTGAAACGTGTTTAAAACTGAAGCAAAAAACTACCAAAGTCACTATAAATAAGTTCTGTTACAAACTCAGCTCAAACAACAAACTTAACATATAAAAACAGGTATCCAGCCCTTACCATCCAGGAACGATGCATCCATCAAGCCAGCTACGGCGCCATCTCCTCCTGATACTACGCCAACAAGCATGTCTCCACACCCAAATCCAACAGCAACGAAACATCCAAATCCCATCAAACGCCCCACACATATCTAAATCCCTCGCCATTCCACCCGCATACCCGCCAGATGTAAAAGCCCGTCTAGACTCCTTAATACCACCCTCATATCTCCCAACACCATCATCAAACCCACCAACATCAGAAAATCCAGACCTCCCAAACATCACAATCAAGCACCTCATAGCATCAGGTCTGCATCTCGGCCACTCGACAGATCTGTGGCATCCCAACATGCTGCCCTACATCTACGGCAGCCGTCTCGGCATCCACATCATAAACCTCGAGCATACTATAACGCATCTCCGTCGTGCGGTACACGTAACGCGCGAGATCGCCGCTGCTGGAGGCAAGATATTATTCGTAGGTACACGTAAAGCCATCCATAAAATCACGTATGACGCCGCGGTATCGTGTGGAGGGTTTTATACGCTCAGTTGGGTTGGGGGATGTATAACAAACCGTGAGAGGGTGCTTCGCAGGTCGTCGAACTTTGATCCGGATAAGGTCATACAGCCCCCTGCTGTCCCTGGTGTCGACGATATGGATGTGTCTACTGAGGGCATGAGTGGTGTGTTGGGGAGTAAGAGGCAGCCAGTGGTGCATGTACCCGATTTGATTATATGTCTGGACTATCCAAACACGTTTTGGGCTGTGCATGAAGCGAATCAGGCACATATACCGGTTGTGGCGATATGTGATACGGATTGCGATCCGACGAGGGTGCAGTATCCGATTGCGGGGAATGATGATGCGGTTAGTAGTGTTGAGTTTGTGGCGGGGTTGTTGAGTAGGGCTGCTTCTGAGGGGGCGCTTATGAGGGCCAGGAAGAGCGTTGATCGGTTTATGGCTCCAAAGGGCAAAGGTAGTAGAGGTGGTAGACCAGGTTTTGTTGGTGGTGGTGGTGGTAAAAGTGGTAATTATGGTAGGAAGAGTGATGCCGGAAGACAATAGATGCATGCAATGATAGTAGAATTCAAAGACAATTATATAATCATATTGGCATTTACACCGATACAAGCAACGTTTATAAAATTATTTGTGTTTTATACAATAATGCAAACCGTAATGCAAACCGTAAACGTCTCTCCGTCCAACTACCAGCATCATCTGTATACCCAACAACATCATCTACTTCTTCATTCCCATCATTTGCGCCAATACCATATCCTCAAAGTCCGAATCCACCGCTTTACTACGCGGCACACTACCATTCGTCAATGAATGCGATACACCAGCAGCAAATGCAGGAGCACCACTAGACGGTGGCAGCAACCTCTGCGCTGTCTTTACTGAAGCTTGCTGAGCTTGCTGAGCAGCTCTCATTGTAGTAGCTTCAGGAGGCTCTTGTCCAGATGCCCAAGATAGTTCGTATTTGGATGTTAGGGAGGTGTCTGATATCGCTTGTATCTATAGCATAGGGAAACTAGGAAGTGAGATTTGGGATGCAAAAAAAGCGTTCTACACTCAGAGATCATGCACTTACAGCAGCACCGACATCCTTAAACGCCACAAGAGCAGTCTTGGCAGGCCTTCCCTTCTTACTAGGCAGCAAAACATGCTCAACATTTCCATACTTTTCAAACACTTGCGTCAGCTCGTCGTCAGTTGGTGTTGTCGTGTTTGGATTCCATTTCACTGTTAACGTTGCTTTCAAATCTGGCGTATCGTCTGCTTTTGGAGCCGTATTTATAACAACAGATTCCTTTGCTATTTTCTGAGCCCGTTCAGCAGCATCAGCCAACGACCTTTCATGTTGACGTAGTTTAGCAAGTCCGGCTTCACGCAATCTATCTATTTCTTCTTTTGTAGCTGCTTCGGCTTCAGCATCTGTTGTGCGTGATTTCTTTGCTGCTCGTTCTCGTGCTTCCAGTTCTATGTTATGTGGAGAGAGTGATGGGGAATCAGTACATCAGCATGCCACAACTTTTTTGCATTGCATCGTGCAAGCACAGACAACAACACATTACCATCTCTCATCTTTCTACTCTCCGCATTCATAGCCTCCTTCCTCTTGAGTCTCTCAAGCTTGCCCTTATGCTTCACATCATATTCAGCACGTTTCGCTTGATCCGACAGCACATCATAGGCTTTCGTCAATGCCAGGAAGAGGGCAGCGGCCCGAGTATCGTCGGGGCCAACCTTGTCTGGATGACATGTTAGAGCTTTTGATCTAAGTGGGGGTAGATGTTAAGATCCAAATGTTTGATGTTCAATGTGTTCGTGTACCTGCCTGTAACTTTTGGCGATTGCTTTTGAGTTTGCGGTTATGTCAATGCCTAGTAGGCCGTAGTAGTCGATATCTTCGTCTTCTGTGGGTCTTGATGCCATTTGAGAGTGATTGAAAATGAAGCTTGAAAGTATCACTAAAGAATTAAAGGTTTATGTCTTGTTCTGGAGGTTGATCAGGCGATGATTCCGGCGCATAAAGTGATTGTGAAAGCTGATTTAGTCTTGTACAATCTAGTAAGGGATTTATGGGGTCAAAGTCAGATTTGAATGTTTTGGATTGTTTGTTGGTTGCTGCGAGGATGATCAAAGAAAGGTGAAGAATACATGAAGCTCGGATTACGTGTCGATTAAGTGATTACGCATATTCGCTGCATTTCTTTGATGTTTAACTTTGGTTTCTATACGCTTCGCAGCATCGACAACACCGCAAGTTTCAAGAGTTTTCGACCATAAGAAAGCTATACTATCATGAACCAACCTCATCATACTAACATTCAAAGCAAGCTACTATGAGTGAATTCAGCTCTGAGTTCACGGTTAGGAACGCCGTCCAGTACAGAAAACTTCGAAAGGCTGGACTCGTGTCTGGTGTGAACTCAGTATTGCCAACATATGATTATGACGATACTGAAAAGAAGAAGGGAAATGATATTAGAGCTATCTCTATAGTGCAGCTGGCTGTACAGGTATGTGGTGTTTGGATACATGTGTGTTGGAGTGTAATTTGATCAATGTTCTCGGATCTGATGTAACTGAGATTTGTAACAAATTAATCTGATCTATATAGATCTTGCCCTCTCTGCTTATTGCTCTGTTGGGACTCGCGTTGGCTGGGTCAAGGTTGGATAGGTTGCAAAAGTACGCATCGTTTCAAGCCAAACCTTCCTTGTTTATACTCGCACCTGTGCTGCTCAACCTGTAAGTTCATAGGTTAATGATCAACGATTTGATATACACGACCATGGCCACATTATACCGTGTTATGACGTGTGACGACGTTTCTGTCGTATTGATGTTCACTATGCGCGTTTTTTCTGTGTTTACAGCAAGGGATGTCTCGAAACAAGCCTCGCATCCCGCATATCAACATCCGCCCACCTCGGAATGCTAAACTCGACACACCAAATAACCACTTTTGCCACTGGTGCACTGGCACTCTTACAATGTCGAGGCATGGTGGCTGGCTGTATTGCTGGCGTCTTCGCATGGACTGTATCGAGATCGTCGTGGAGAGACTTGTTTGCTTCGATGAGTGCTGGGATGCTGTCTGCGTGTTTGAGTGGAGGCATCATGTCGGTTGGGTTGACAGTGTTGGTGGTGTTTGTTAAAAGGGTTGGGCAGGACCCGGATATCTTTGCGACGCCGTTAGGTATGGAGGTTTCGTCTACCTGGTTTTTTTTTCTTGCTGATATTAGAGTATGTTGATTCTAGCGGCTAGTGTTGGAGATCTTATTGCTATTATTGTGCTGACGAATGTTGCAGAGTTTATTCATGCTTATATGGGTGAGTAAAAGAGTTACAGAATGTACTGGTCGAGACAAAAACAATGCGGTAGTTAAAATCATACCTTTTCGTTTTAGGTACTCTCACATGTTTCTTATTGGTGGCGGCCATGTTTTCAACCCTTCCATTCTGGGTGACGCTAGTGCAACGCAACAAGGTGAATAATATTTGGCCTGTGTGACTGGACTGCTTTGTCTTCAGCTTATATTTGTTTGTCACTAGCACGTCAGTCAGGTCCTAACAGTTGGAGCACTACCAACAGTACTATCACTCGGAATATCTTCATTAGGTGGATTTGCACTAGAGAGAATGATGTTGCCATTCCCTCATTTGGCTGCATTCGCTCCTGTTATTAACGTGAGTGTCTATATCTAGTCGTTGAGTCAGTTCTCTTAATATCGCATTACGAGAAATCAAAGCCACTGCGGTGATGCTGGAATCATATTTGAAATCTTATATAGGGAACCTCCCATAATCTAGCCACGATATTCGCCAGCAGGCTCTCAACCCGTCTCCAAGTCTCCAAAGACCAAGACACGGCCTTGAGAATAGACGCCATGGCTCTTGTGATTGCAAACAGCATAGTCCAGATCCTATTCCTTATATTAACAGCCGTGTTTTCGCTCGATGCGATATGGCTGCATCCGTTAGTTGTGGTTGCCGAGCTGTTGGCTAGTGCAGCAACGACATTCTTGTTGCTGGGACTTGGTGTGGCTCTTGTCAGGAGGCTCCACGAGCTGAAGTTGAATCCAGATGATTTGGCGTTTCCGATATTGACTGGAAGTAGTGATCTTTTGGGCACGTGCTTCTTGGGACTAGCTGCTCTGGCGTTGAAGGGTTTGGGGTTGACGCCGTTCTCGGAATGAAGAGGAAAGAGCGCTCCAGTAGAGTTAGGCAGCTCGACTTGATGACGACTATCACTTGCATCATCATATGTTAAACACGTGTATAGTAGTATAGTATTATAATAGATTACACATGAATAGAAAATAGATCATATTATTAACCAGTTGTTCAATGAAGTCTTGCTGGTTTTTATTCTCTCCATCCTCCGTCACAACACATGTTTTTCGCAAAACCGCCTACGAAAGTCCCAGACCTGAAATATCGACTAGTACAATAGGTCGGATCCAGTCGTAAGAAGATCTCTAATCGCAGAATGGGCGACGATTATTCGTACGTTGTTGTAAACGCAGTCACGTTAATAAATTCATTGATTTCAAGAACTTGGAGCTAAAAACAAGGCATTTTGTGATACAGGGATGTGACTTGGGACACTGCTGGACCGCTATCTGAACGAGTACGTCTCCGCTTGGCACTCCTGTAGTGCAAAAATTCAAAATCACTTGACGGCATCTGTGGACTATCCATCCTTTTTCGCAAGCAACAACGAGGATCTATCCGTTAAACCCATTATCAAGAATACAAATACTGATATTTTCTGTACCACTAGAATCCACTAACATCACCAACACAAAACCCAATCCTCTCTCCACCTCAAAACAACCCGTTATCAACATCACGACCATCAAGCGGCTATGGAGAAACCCACAACCATACTAGCAGCGCTAATAATATATCAACACAGGCATCATCGAGCTCGAATAATAATGACAATAACAAGCCACAAACGCTGACTTCGTTTGCTATTGCTTCGAAAGGTGCTATACGTGTCACGGTCACTGATCCACAGAAACATGGGGAAGGCGGTGGGTCGTATGTTACGTATCTGGTTACTACAAAGGTCTGTTGGTGCGAGTAAAGACATCGTGTATTTCCTGTATGATTTCTTCAACGGCAAATGTTTTGTTGATAGACGGTCTTGGACAGTTTCTCAGCACCAGAACAATCAGTCCGTCGACGGTTTACTGACTTCGTGTGGCTGCATCGCCAGCTACTAGAAGAATACCCTGCTGTTATTATACCGTCGCTGCCTGAAAAGAGGCGTATGGGTACGCATGGAACCAGTCTACGTTCTCCTATTTCCTCTCGACACTAACATCCATCGCCAACCCCCAGAGAGCTACGTAACAGGCGACAGATTCGCTCCCCTCTTCCTCGAACGCCGTCGCGCATCCCTTCAAACATATCTCGACAGACTTGCTCGTCACCCCACAATACAACGCTCGGGACTTCTCAAACGATTCCTCGAAGCATCTGCTATCGAATCGTCCATACTTTCTGATGTGCAGCCGCCACCTGCATCGTCGAGCAGTATACGGGGACGACAGTCATCGGGCACGTCGTCGACGGGTGTGATTGATAACTTGTCGGACACGCTTATGAATGCGTTCGCCAAAGTCAAGAAACCTGATGAGAGGTTTGTGGAATTGAGGGATGTTATTGAGAAATTTGAGGAGAATTTGAAGACTGTAGAAAAGTTGACTAATAATTTGGAGAAACATCAGACAGGTATGTATATGTTGTAGTAGTAAGCGAAATGAGAGCTTCTTGATTTCCTTTTTCGCTTCTCACTCGTTTTCCTCTTTGCTCACAAGATATAGAACAAGATATGATGGAATTCAGTGGATGTATGACGACATTGGGTATCATGGAAACTCAAATCACGTCTCCACTAAGTGCATTTGCTGAGACTTTCAAGAATGTTGCGTCAGTCCTCAAGAAGAAGGTATTGAGCAAACGTAGGGTTCCCTTTTTTCGATTGAATGAAATCTTGCTCACCACAAACATTCACATCTAGATTGAACATGAAGAGGCAGATTACTTGAACGCCCTTCATGATTACATAAATTACTGTCAAAGTGTTAAGGTAAATCATTCGTAGTACTCTACCTTTTTTTGCACTTTCTCACCAACTCGACTGTTTTACCAAATAAAGGATGTCCTCAAACTACGAGACCAGAAACAAGTAGACTATGAAGAGCTCACAGCCTACCATGCATCGTACTCAGCAGAACGAGATCGACTCGTGGCAGGACGAAATGCCAGTGGCATATCAGGTTTCTTCAAGGAACGATACAGGGATTTGAGAGGAGTTGATCAAGAAAAGGCTCGACATGCAGAGATTGCGAGGTTGGAGAATCGGATTACTGAAGTACGTGCCATAAGGCGGTCTGGCGGCATTTTTTTCCGCCTTGTTTGGCCATATATTTTTTCTGAAGCAAACACACTCACTTCAATAGCTATCAGACGAAGCACAAAAGGCACAACATATATCAGTAGCATTCTCAAACGAGGTTGCGAGAGAAGTAGATTTCTTCCAATCAGTCAAGGTGTTTGATTTCAAAGAAATCATGACGAATTATGCGGATTCGCAACTCAAGTTTTATCAAGAGGTATTGAATCAAGCATCAGTATGTATTCTAAGAGTTTTCACCTTTTTTTCCGCCATAGGGATTCAAATACTGGGATGAATTGATTCCAATATTGGACAAGATGAAGGCTGAAAAGGTTGTGCCTGAGGTTGCGTCATGAGTTAGTTTGATTTATTGTTACCCTTGTATCGATCGCGATTGTATAAAAATGAAATGATGGAACTGATTTGGTTGGTCTTTTCAGCGAACAAAAAAGGGACGGAAGTTGAGAAGAAACATGCGTCCATGTAGCAAAAGTCAAGGGGTAATTGTGTAGTAGTACTAGCAAGTTTTATTTTTTTAAGGTGGCGTGCAACTGTATAGACAAAGATAGATGAACAAACATCATTCAGAGGAAAAGACTGGGAAAGGATTTAACCAGTCTTCCTTCGGAAAGAGCAACCCTCTGTAATACAAAAAAACCACAAATCGTGAGTATACAATTCTCGATCGATCGGATTCCAGCAAGACAACTCACCACTTAGTCTTGCCTTTCCACCTGAAGGTTGAGCCAATACTTGCGAGCAAGAGCCGCACAAGACTACAGTTTGAGCGTGTGAAAACACGGTGGTGATTTGGAAGCAGCCTATTTATACAATATGCGAGTGAGTTTATGTGTGTCACACAAGGCAGATTGCGAGATATGTTCAAGGACGTAGTAACCACATCAAGCAAATTCTTCTGCTAGACTTGTAACTCAGATATGCAGTCTGATATCATCTCCAAATCCACATCTTCATCGAGAGAGCGATTTAATATTTACCTGGACACTTTACATCCATAAAGTACGAGTTTGGACTTTGCACCAAACGTTTTAACTTGTGGCGCCTCTTTTCAGTTGACTCGAGAGGGTTGAGGAGATCAACAGCCAACTAACAAGTACAGAGGGTGGGTTTAGTCACGAAACTTGGGTTGTTTGTGTTGCAGAGAGCTTCAGCATCGATATTAGATGTTTGAGAAGCGCATATATGCGTCCACAATAATCCAGTAATATCTGCAATGGTGGGCTCTTGCTGCTGTGTACGGTAACTTACAGTCATTTTCGGATTTTATAAAGGGCTGTTTGATGGAGAGAAATGTTAGATTTTGTGTTTGATTGCTGGATGATGAGGCTGCCGAGTGCATGAGTGCTTGTTGAGCTGTATGGAGCTTGCACACATTCTCTCTTTCCATTCCATATGTCTCTGTATGTTGCTTGCCCATATCCGATGTCTATGAAATCCAAGTTCCATCCCATCCATCCATTCGAAAAGCAAGGAAATCGAGGGGGTAGAGGACACTCATGCACTGGCAATGCCTTCATTGATATGTACATACCTTTTTTAGTCTTGTTTTATGTGGTATGAGTTCGTTCTGATCAACGAGTGCTGAGAGAAGGAGCAAGTTAAGTACTGCTTATTAATCACTTACTAACGGCTGGAGTTGCAGCTTCAAAACTTGACAAGTTGTAAGGTGATAATGGAGTGATTATGAGACAATTGACTTAATTTACAATCTTTAGAAAACGCGTCTTGTGTGCTCCTCGTGTGTTTGTAGTGATCTTGCCTTGGGGAGCGTCTTCACATCAAGCTTGACACTCATCCAAATAAGCTATGGGCAACGAGGCCCACGACATTGACGTATGGGCCGACGAGTCCACCCTCGACGATGCATCGTACGATCGCGTCATGGCCGATAGATCATGGAATCGTATGCATCAACAACACGGAGTTATCGGATACAAGGAAGGCAAGAGTGAAGGACGTGAGAAGGGACTGCAAGCTGGATTCGATCAAGGGCTGAAAAGAGGTGTTGCGCTGGGTGTTTGTGTTGGGAGGGCTGGTGGTATCATTAGGTATGGTACATCAGCTTTGAATTTGATTGCTACATTGACTCTATAAGGATCCAGATCTAACATTTGATCTAATTCTATTCAATCATAGCACACTGCAAACATACAACACCCATAAAGCCTCCCCATCCGAAAAGCTGTCGGGCGATATCTCGTCCAAGCTTGAAGCACTGAAACAGGAATACGATGATCTTACTGTAGACAAGGTATTCACTGCTAGATATGTATCAGAGTGGGATGAGGAGAACAGTGTTGAGGTTGTCGCGTTGAGGGAACGGGTTGATGCGTTTTTGAAGAGAGTTAAGGAGGTTGCTGCTGCTTTGGATATCAGTGTCTAGTTGCTTGTAGTAAGAGGGGTTGGATATATGTCTCTGTGCATCTGGATTAGGTGTGGACGGAATCTGTTGGATCAAGGGGATAGATCACGGTCATGACACGTCGCTCTCTCAACATCTTGTATAGTTGCCACTAGGAACCGCTTGCAAAGAACGTCATTGTCCGAGCTAGTCGTTTATCTTGTAATAGATTGCAGTAACCGCTTATACAGGAAACCCAACTACAGCTGATCTCATATAACACTCTTGTATTTAACTTTACTTTTAGCTACAATGTACACAAAGACTCTTATATACAATCTCAGCAACAATCTTCCTACGATTGCGGCGGCACCTTATTCTTCTCAACAAGCAACTTCCACTCCTCATCTCCAACACTCGCGTTCCTCCCACCACTCCATCCACCAACATCAGGCACGCTTGGCGCCCTATTACTAACATTACTCTTCTGCTCATACCTCTCAAGCCACTCATCAGTCGGCACAGTCAATATCCCATCAGAGTAATCAGACTGGTCATCCAACGCCCCTCGTAAGCGTTCTTGTTCATCAATACCATCATCGTCAGGTGGCGTTTTACGATATCCACCATACAGAGTAAATGGATCTTCATCGTTACTATTGTTTACATCATCTGCTTTCGGCATTATTGGTGAAGCTGGAACGGAATCTTCGTTGTGACTGGCAACGCCAAAGGTATCTCGAGAGTTTACGATATGGGCTCGTTGCATGTAGAATAGTGTCTTGTTTCCCCCTCGTTCGCTGCCGTCACCATTACTACTATTCTCGGCACCGATGATTTCTGGTTGTGTACTGGCACTTAATAAACCGACGGTTGAGGAAGCATTATCATCCATTTTTGGAGGAAGCGGTGCATCGGCTCCACTAATCAGTGGTAGTCCAAGGCGTAGCAGTAGCATCGAGCCCCACAATACGAGCACATTTATGATTCTAAATAACAGAAAGTAATCATCAGTCGGATATCAGATGAGAATCAGCAAAGCTGAGTAACAGAATAATCGCCATTCGCCTCGTAAATTCCTTGTTACAGGCTTACATGTAGATCCTGAGTATCAGATCTCGTATAGCAGGTAAGAACTGTCTCATTGCAGCCTATCAACAAATGTTCGTCAACGGCTCGTCGTCACAATAGTAAACACCACGAGTACTAAACGTCTAAAGACTCACCACAATCATACTCAATCCAACAACTCGATTCAACACCAGCAAACAAATAAGGAATATCCTAATCCTCTTGTTCTTAACGGGCTCATACTCAAAGACTTGTAGTCCACGTTGAATTCGCCAAATGAGGATGAAGCATGTCAAGTCCACTAGAAGTTGATTGGTTTAACGATAGTTGAAAGTTAGGCGTCTGGTTCCAAAAAATGAAAATACAGTATCACGAGCGGGGCGACTTTTTTACCCAAAGAATCGATGACTATAGTAGAGCCTGTAGAATGATGCTCATATCAGTCAAACTGCGTCGTAAAACAAGGATCAGTTCAATCTCACCCAGTGAAACGAAATCCAACACTCTCTCGTTAGCGGCATACGAATACATCTGTGACTTGATGGTCATGTACAGATTAGCAATAGATGTCACGACCCATAGCAAAGTAACACCGATCTACATTTCATTCAAGTTAATGAGTCTTTGTTTGACATGTGTCGCGCAAATCTGCATAGCCAATGCCACTCAAGAAAAACAGGCATCATCACCACCGCGTTATACTCACTTGAAGAGCAACTTGCAACTCTCCAGGAAAATACTTGAAATGTCCCGTATTCTGAAACACTGATAATCGAAACAGATTGATACAGCAGGTTATTGCAGCAGCTCCATTGCGTAGCACTGCTGCCACTGCGACGAATAGTATATAACTTGAATACGTGATATCTGGTATCAACGTATTGTCACTTAGCAGGAACAGCCCACTATTTACGAATGTTTTTATCAGTGTGTTGTCGCCAAACCAAAATGCGAATGTGATTTACTCGGTGATGATGAGCAACAAGAATGCAAGTGCCAATCCAAAGTAGACAACTGATCTGCGTCTCCAGCACAGTATCGAGACGAATGCCAAGGCCAGTAGCGAGAGGCCGAATGAGATAATTAGGAGAATGACTTGAATTGCAAGTCCCATGTTTATGCCCTGTATGCGGATGGATCAAGTTAGTTAGAGTGTGGAGAAAGTAGATTAGTGTCTCGGAATGTCGTTTAGAGGCTCGATCTATTCACCTTGAGCTTGTAATGCAGCAAGAACTGTTATTTCATTATGGTGTTGGTTTTTTTTTGATGAAAGTCACAGGTCGCCAAATTTCCTCTGAAACGCACGCGACGACGAATCTTGGGTCCAGGTTGCCAGTTTACTCAATGATAATATATATATAGTACAACTCGCAACACGTCCAACGCCAAATTCCGCAGCAGAATATAGAGAAGATGGTATATTGGTCCTAGTTTCCTCCCTTCCTGACTTTAGCTTGAGGGGAGGCAGGTGCGCAAAGTACCACCTCATTGACAATCATTGCTGCAGTATTGTTTCCAGCAAAGTCAGTCAACTTGACGTTATTTATTGTCACACTTTGTAGCTCAGTAGGACTGGGGACCTTCAACAAGAATCTTCTTGTTTCGAGCAGCCTTGTCATTTTCTGGCGTGGATGCAGACGTATTTGCCATTTGGTCATTCGTGTTGGTGACATCTACACTGACTGTAGTGCCTGCTGGCGCTATGTTAGGCAACCACATGTGAGTTAATGACGGTTGAGGAAGTAACCATTGAATAACGAAGATGAAGGATCAAAGTGCTTACAAGTGAAAATGATATACATGCTAGTGTAAGCCTTCAGACGGAGCGCATCTATGAGTGCTTTATCCACGAAGGTTGCTGAACTTGCTCCGTTGGCGTTTGATTTCAGGATTACGGTAGAGCCATTGCAGGTCATTGCACCTGAATAGAAGATGGTTCAAGGAAAGTCAGTAAATAATGAAATAAAAAGTGTCCGCAGTACTCGTGTGCAAGGATTCTTTATACCAAACAAGGCATAGTTCTACAAATCAAGCGCTCACTGCAAACTTATCACCACCACCAGCTGGCTTATTGGGACATTTAGCTACTGCGTCCTGTATGTCACCATCATTGAATTTATCGACACATCTAGCTGGAAGTGCTATCGTGTCGTACTTCTGTATTGATTTACAGGGCTCGCACTAGTTGCCTGCCAATACGAGTATTGAGCTGACGACAGAAAAAACAAGGAGGTGCATCAGAACTAGGATGATTCCTGATCTATTGGTGTCCTTTTTATCAATTTGGTTGGTGATGGTGCGTGCGTTTTGACGCCACAACTCCAGAGTCGGCTCACAAGGGGACATTCCAGGGGAAACATGTTGTCATTGCTTTAAATATTCTTGTATTAGAATCAGGGAACTCGGCGAAATCCCCGTCTTGCGTACTCCTGCTAACATTCGAGAGGCCATTCGAGTTTCACCGTCAGAAATCAATGAAGGATTGGGAAATCTAGGAGGTCAGCGACATAGGAATAAAATTCTAGCAACGGCTTGTTTAATGAAACAATTTCAGATATAAATTGAATTCATTCAGCCATCAGCTACTCCTCCAGCTGTGGATTTACCTGATGCATCGACAATTGCGTCCAAATGGTCTCTCGCAAGGTTTTTGTAAGCAAGGCACCACCTTCCGCGTCCCAGGATATCTACGAATTTAAGATTTAAATGTAAGTTTCCATTGCTGCTTCCCTCGTGAAGCTCCTTCGTGCTTGAGAACTCATCGGCTATACGATTTCCAAACCGGACTCGTGAAAGTCAATTGGTGTTCCACCAGTAATTGTCCTTCAAAACCTAAGAAGGAAGTAACTCAACGGTAAATATGGCAGACACCAGCTCGTTGATACTTGGAGCTATTGAGCGCATTTCGTCACAGCTTCCATCATGGAGGGTTCTTGTTTCAGGGGCAGCGGTTTCGACTGCTTTGTACCTTTACCTCCTTCCCTCAATGAGGACTAAAATTGGAGGAGTTCCTGGTAGGAAATTAAGTTTAAATGCTTTCTTAATTCAATGCCTATCCTAGCGTCCTGACTCCTTTCTGTAGTAACCTGTGGTTTGCCATTCATTGGCATGACCAAAGAAGAAATGAAATTGATCCATGCACCGTTCCTAATCAGCTTTGACAAATTCATGCGACTGGGACGTATATTTGGTCACTACCATTGGAATCCATTCACAATCAAACGAGTGTCAGTCGCTCATCCCAAGGTTATCAGAGAAATCTTGCAGTCCGAGTATCTAACGTACGACCACGGGGCTGAGCAATTCAAAATTTGGTGAGTCTTGACATGAAGACCATTGTTTCGTGGTGTTGTTTGGTTAATATGAGAGTTTCTTTTAGGTATGATGTCGCGGGAGGTCTTGTTTTTCAAGAAAACGAGCCCTATTGGGGCTCAGCACGTAATTTGGTGAGTATGCTTATCAGCTAGTTGGCCAGTTGGCTCCAACGCATGCACTCTTGTTTCGACATCTGTGGTTTAACCCCTCGAATTTTCACGACAGTTCAACCCCTTCTTTACTTTGCCATGGATGAAGAAGATGAACCCACTGCTCACGGAAATGATGGAGTATGTAAACTTTTATTGCGGCATTCTGCATATCGTCTGTAACATCTCGTTTGTAGCAACCTTATGAAGAGTATGGAAAGAGACATGGAACGCACGCCAACTGGCTTCGACTGCCAGATCTTATTCTTAAGAATGACCTTTGATACCATATCTCGTATGACGTTCGGTGTCGATACACACACTCAGATGCATGAAGGTTCCAAGTACCTGGCTGCATTTCAGTAAGCAGTATCTTCAGCTCGTTAGCTATGTAATGAATCTAAACTGGCTGCTTTGCGTTAGATACATGATGACAGATTGTATGCGTCGTACGTTGCGCCAGCTGGTAGTACCTGCTTTTTTAAACGCTCCTGGGGCAGAATATAAGAGACAGACCGCTACCCTTCGATCACTATGCTACGACTCTATTGATGAAATGGAGAGCGGGGTATATGATCCAAAGAAGGCCGACTCGATTCTCTCTGTGATTTGGAGTGGCAAGAAAATTCCAGAGTGGATGAATAGAGAGGAACTAGCAACGCATTTGGTCACACTCATGTTTGCAGGTCACGATACTACGAGCGTAAGATTAGGGTCAATTCAGTGCTTCAGAGCTTCTGAAACGATTTTGAAAATCGACTTTGCGTTTTTTCTAGAACTTGTTGACCTGGATGATGTATTACTTGAGCCAGCATCAAGACTATCAAGAAAGAATCCGTCAAGAGGCTTACGCTACCTTTGGCAAGGACGGTCCCATCTCGGCCGAGGGTCTAGAAAGCCAACGCTTCACCAACGCATTCATCAAAGAAACTCTCAGGTTGAAACCAAGTGGTCCAGAACTAGCCCGAAGGCTGAACAGAGATTTTGAAATGGACTGGACTGACGAGGATGGTGAAAACCATCATCTTGAACTGAAGAAAGATACCCTGATTTCATACAGCATTTACGGTGTACAGGTAAAAACTTCATTAAAAGTCAGTAACGGATATCGGTTGTCTCACCAGATTACATATAGAATCATCCTCTGTCGTACCCTGATAGGACTGCAGAGTTCATTCCCGACAGATTTATGGTTGATCCATTAGGATCTGCAACTTCAGTATATGCATATATTCCCTTTAGTTATGGTCCAAGAAGGTAAGCACAAAAAAACCGCGTTTGGCTTCAAAATCGGCTTTCCCACTGCATCAGAATTATCATTTCTGATGTCTAAAGCCTGTATTGAAACCACCGCATTAAGTATGTCCTTGAGCTCACTCTTCGACTCTTGTAGATGCCTCGGCGAACGTTTGGCTTTAACGGAAGCTCGCTGGGTTTTAAATATGGCAAGTCCTTTCATAAGACGGCAGCGACATGAAATGCAACCTAACCCCATTTTTCTGATAGTTGACGAGAAAGTACAAAGTAATACCCGCGGAAGACTGGAAGTGTGAAGTAGCTGCCGAAGGAAATATGAGGGCCAGATATGGAATCGGTTTGAGACTTGTACCTTTGTGAGGAAACTCTGTTGTTGTTGAAAAGTAGAAATATGTGTTATCTTGTTGAAAGTAGAAAATTTTGCGTTTAATTTCCCCTTTGAAAAAAGTAGTAGATCAATCTGTGAAATTGGTTTATTGTCTCAGTTCTCGTTTTAGTTACTTTATCGACATTTGCGTCAGTCTATTTATATTGTTTTGGCACTCCAAATTACACCACTTATCAGAGCAATGCTGCAGCCATAAATAGTAGTGCCACTACCCATACGCTGATGCTGATACGTTCACCATTACTCTTCGCCTTTGGAGCAGCCGTTGGAGAAGCTGCTGCGGCGGTAGTTTTAGCGGGACTAGGACCAGCAGAAGTTGTAGGTGCTGGCGCTGTTCTACAAGTACAATTCGACGTAACCTGCGGTGTAGCACCTGACCCAGCATTAAGGAGTCCCCAAGCAGGCATCACTCCAGCAAAGTTTACAATTCCACAGGAGAATGATTGGATTCCGAATTGTGTGCATTGGTCACTACACAGCGTTTTCTGAGACGAGCACGACGAGATCGCGTCTGCTGATAAGAAGGTGTCAGGATTTTGGATGACATAGCCTGCGGAATCTAACAGATACAAGGAATCAAGTGAGTTTGACGATACAAACAAAATCACTGCCCTACGATTACTACTCACTCTCGTAGACCTCAATGATAGAGTCCACTGATGGATCATAGCATGTCTGTGACGTGCTAGAACTGACAATGATATTACTGGCGTTTACATATCCGTAGCAGAATTGGATCTTCTTCCAAGAAGCAGCACAGTTTCCAGAAGCAGCATACGTCGATGCGCCTAATATGAATAGATTTGGAGTTATACTGAATAGATTGAGACGTGTGTATAGTGTCTTTCGACATCATCAGCTGAACTTAGTGCTTACAGAGAGCCTTAAGATTAGAATCAGTTTGTGCTACGATTGGAACGAGCTCCCAGTCAGTTTTTTGGTCCACAATATTCAACAGTTGCATAAGCAAACAACATGAATCAACATACGTAGAGGAACTAGCTGTGACGGGTATCCGTTTGGAGCATCGGGCACGCATAGACACTGTGAGATATATCTCGATACTCCTGCTGTATCACTGCCTAATGCGACACAGCTGTTCATCAAGACGTAGGTACCACAGTCATTAAGGCATTGGCCGACGAGGGAAAAACATGGCAATGTTTGTCCATTGACTCCATATCTAAAGATTAGGAGAATGGAGAGAAGTAATCCTATTTACATTCAAGTGTTAGAATCGTGATCGGCTCAAAGGTACGGCGTTCGTACCCGAATACATGTTCGTTGTCATCACTTGAATCAGAATATTTGACATGTACAGTTACAGCAGGAAACGAACACCAAGGACGAGAGAGACTATCCTATGCACTATTAAACGTTCCTTCCAACAATCCACTGGTGGAGAACTACCCGGATCTATCTATTTCGCGCTGGATCAATAGCGTGTTTTTTCAATGCCAAGTTTCGAGGAAATCAAAAATCCAAACATATAACGGAAGCGTAGCAACGAGATCAAAAAAGAGGAGATCAATGGCATCCTTAATAATTCTCGCATTCATATTGGAATTAGTGTCCTTGACTCTGTCACAGCCTTTCATTCCATCAGATCCTTGCTATGCTGCAATTGGAACTTGCAGAGACAACTGTGGTGGGTTTGACGGATTGAGGATAACGATGTGGAACTCATACTGATTTTGAATTGACTTTCTTTGCAGGAAACGCGGTCTTGATCAATTCGTGCGTTGCAATTGGTAAAAATTCAAAACTCATTTAGAGATTTGCGATGTTGACCTTTGCAAAATATTGCAACCTCAGATTGATCTTAGTCAAACTCGTTTATGCCATTTTCTAACGACATCATTCCTCCACCGCTTGATAGGCTCATCGTATTCCACGGTCAGCTCATTTGTGACTGCCTGCCAGTGTGTCCCAGGAGCTAGCACTGGCCCTTTAATCTATCTCAATGCATTGGGTACTGCTAAAAATACTAGTATTTCGCATTTCTGAGTCCACGACCGCTGACTCTCTCAAACAATATTAGATCAAACTGATCCAACATTGCAGGCATTCTGTAACCAAGCTTACGCTGCGTCAGGTGCATGTGCTGCGTCTTGGATACCCTTAAAGTTCTGTTACGGATATGTGAATAGCACCGGTGGACTAATGGTATCTCAGGCCAACCAACAATGCTATAACCCAAGCACGCAACAGATTTTAGAGGTGTTTGAGAGTAAGTACCCTGCTTTTTTTAACGTCATTTGCCAACTTATAGTCATCTAACAAAATTCTATAACACGTCATAGATTCCCAAAACTACACATCTCGAAACCCAGACACTACATTAAGTGTCTCGACCATCTCATCGTGTACGGCTGCCGACACAGCGTGCACAGGCCGATGCTCGGCCACAAGTGTACAGAACTTTACGTGTGGAATTAATGGATTCAGTGGGTTGTTGCCTGCATGGCCTTTGTTGAGTGCTGCAAACCAAGGAGGGCCGTCGATTACGTCGTCATGGTATGGATCAAAGGAAGTTAATTTTTACATATTCGATACGCTAACCACGTGTTCCTCGTTCTGGCAGCGTTTGCAAGCCTGGCACGAGCGTATCTGCAAGTCCTCTGGCCGCATCTGCCACCTCTGCTGCCCCTGTTGTATCTGCTGCTTCTAACTCTTCACCCAATGGGCCACTATCGTCCGGTGCTATTGCTGGGCTCGCTTTGGGTCCGTTCATTACTACCACATTCCTGTTTTTTTGGTTATTGCTCAAGACTGATACATAATCACATCGTTACAATTAGTGGGAGGATCTGTACTATTTGCTATAATTGCTGTCTCGATTCTTGTCAGAGGTAGAGTCTTCCGTCGTCGTCAAGCTGAAGACGAAGCTGCTGCCAGAGATGAAAGTGAGGCTGCTCCAGCTGCCTCAGGATGGTTCCGGCTACCACGATTGTGGTGAACATTAATTTACGAATCTGTAACTGACTTGTTGTTGGGATCGTAGCTTTAAAGCTTAAAATGAGTGTGTGTATATCTATATATTGTTTGGTAAAAAGGTCTGTTACCTGTCTTCAATAAAGTGAGAGGACTATTTCACAAGTCGCAATTTCGTTTCTCTGTACAAAATGAAACAAGGTTGGTATGATTAAAGAATATGTCTTATTATAAAGTAGAACTAGTATTAAGAAATCGGTTTGCGGTCTATTAGGATTCAGTCCGTTTTAGAGGCTAGTCTTTCTGACCTTCAGGCCTTGGCAGCAGCCTCAATAGCCTTCTCCTCAGCAACAATCTTGTTCTCTTCAGCATCCGTGATGATCTTGACTGGTCCTTTAAACCACTTTCGAGCAGACACGAACCACGATAGCAGTGAGCCGATTAATGTTACTCCAACAGCGACGCACGTGTAGTTCATGGTTGTAGAGATCACTGGATTGACGGTCGGTAGACAGAAGATGATTGTAATGAATGCAATCCTAGAGTGATCATTGTTAGAAACGACGGCTTTTGGACACAATGGGAGAAACATACCAAACGACAGCAATCCAAGAAAACATGACTCCAGCAAAACCGAAGGTGACGGGTCCGGGAACAAAAGTCTTTGCACCAATGGTCAATCGAATCAGTATAGGAATGCCGTACGAGATGTACAATCCAATGGTTCCGATTGAAGTTACAGTCGAGAAGGCGACTAGTAATGTTGAAGGAGTCTGTCAGAACTTGATTCATTGACTACCAAACGTGTGGGCCTTACTTGGCGATCCCAGATATGGTAGAATCAAAATGAAGGCCAACACAGCGGCAAGCCTAGTAAGTTTTGAGAAAGATGTTCAAGACATGTTCATGCTTGGAAACGTAAACTGGGCGCTGACGTACCAGACAGTGTTTACTGGAGTTTGAGTAGTGGGGTTGACGACATGCCAGATAGCTATATTTGTGAATGGGGTGAGCGACAACGATGAGCTAAGACCTGCCCTCGGACACCAATTTTTTACCCAACCGGGTGAAGACATCGATCACTTACAGCTCAAAGGCATTGCGCCATCACGGGAGAAAGCGTACATCATACGACTGTTGGCAGTGATGGAAAATAATCCACAGAAAAACATGGCTCCAACGGTAATGAATAGAAGCACAGTGGCTCCTTGTGCACCAACGGCGTCAAAGTAGACTGGTTTGAGGATAATGTAGTTAGAAAATGGTGGAGCTGAGGAGCACCGAAAGCAAAAGACCTACTTTGGGCAACTGGGGATATGAATCCGGTGCCAATGACAGCTAAACGAGAAACAATTCATGAAGATGACGGAAGGCAGCCAGAACTGAAGAAATGCACCCACCATCAAAGTCTTGGATACTGAATAGCATAGTCACAATGTATATGAAACCGACGACACCTGAAATCACGACTGATGAAACCATTCCTACAGGGCCTCCGACAGCAGCATTCTAAAAAATACCGGTTTGAAATCGATTCTCCTCAATCGAAAGAAACACACGACAAGATACCTTTGTTTCTTCTGATACGTGAGCAGAAGCATCGAAGCCAGTTAGGGTCTAAGTCGAGCAACTTTGTAAATTTCAAGCCAAAAAATGTGGTGACCGTCACAAACTTACATATTGAGACATCAAAAGACCAATTAAAAAGACGTAAACGGGCGAGGCATTGTCAGGCGACCATCCGGTGTTGTCAATGAACTGGGTGAAAACCATTGAAGCAGGCTGATGGGTGGGAGCTTTGGCACCTACGACTACCACGAGCAACAGAGTTCCAATCAAATGCCACCAGATACTGACATAGTTCAAAACTCCGAGAATTGTTACGGCAAAGGTGTTTAGTAGAGCTTGGATCTAATGATCAAACGCAGCATGAGTAATCACATTTCGACGCATTTTTGATGTTCTCGCTGAAGCAGTTCCTCACAATTATAACTCCCAGCGTCACGGCAACCTGGATTCCTTGTGTAGGCACAAAGTCCGGTTGGGTGAATTGGACGGTAGCGCATAGGAACTGTCCACAAGCTAGATCGATTCCGGCTGTGACACCAACTTGGCCCTGTATAGTGTTGATAAAGTTGGCCAAAATATGAAAATGGAAGAAATGGAGCTTAGAATTGAATCCTACCAATAAGTTAAACCATCCAGTAACCCACGATGCGAATGGACCCCATTCAGGACCAGCAAGCTTGGCAGCCCAGAAGTAAAGCCCTCCAGCTATTTCAGAAGAAGCCGTAACGTTTTGTTAGCGTAAATGGTTCATGTTCATGGTCGTCCTCCATGACAAACCCACAACACAGGCTCAATTCAACCTACCCGTGGGGAACGATGAGCAGATTTCAGCCATTGCCAAGCTCACGATCGTGCTCATGATCGTTACAAATATCCATCCAAATGTCATGGCTGCTGGACCACCGGTATTCAATCCATAGTAAAAGAGCGAGGGAATACCAGTCAAGATACCTGTCAGAGATCTTTGTTAGTACTGTACATGCGAATTCATTCATCTTTTCCATTTTGATTACTGCTCATTCAGCAAGTGGGTTTAAACCAAGTTGGGGGGCTTTTTGTGGGGGAAAATCAAAAACGTGAAGTTGCAGCCATAGGCGGAGCAAAAAGGACACGATTCATCAGCTTCAGCTACTCACTGATGATTGAAAACGATACTCCAAAGTTGCTAGAAAACAATGCGAAATGTGTCAATTTATGCCAAGCGATTTGTCACGATCAAGGTCACGCTCACTGGAATGAGGTAAGTTCACGTCGTAGTTCCTGCTTGTAGCCGAGCTTGGCAAGCATAGCTACGTTTGAGACGGGTTAGAATGTGTCTTCTTCATGTTTGTATTTGACCTCCACTTGATTGATTTCGATGACGCACATATGAATCGACGCAAATGAGGATTGTGAAGGTGAGGAAAGCGATACGTACCTTCATCTTCGATTTTCATAGTAGCGTCTGCCATCTTCCTCAATCTTCCGATATTGTATTTGAGCCTATTTATATTGGGTGTTTGGAGTGTGGTGGTTGCTTGTTTGTGTTCGGGTTTGAAACTTTATTCACTATCATATCAAAACCGGTTTAAATGGTTTTTATTTGTATCGGTTTGTTGAAAACCTCCATCACTTACAATGAAACGTTCGCCTGGGAGGATCGATCTGCACAGATATTAATATTGAGCTTGCAGTTGTAGTATCGCTCGCAATTGGCTGCTTAAGAAACGGCACCAACATGCTTGCAACGAGTTCTAGGTTTTGAAAGCATACCATGATCGATGGTCTATCCCGAAAGGATGATGACCACCGAATGGTCGCAGATTCGATTTAGGATTCACCTCGCCATCATGACGCTCCTCTTGCAATTCTTGTTCACTGCTGCTGCGTTTTCAACGCGTCCAGTAGAGAACCAATGCGAGCAGTTCCCAAGTTCTTTAATAGAAGTCATTTTTTAACTATCGCTCGTTGTCGCGGTCGAATCTTAAACGTCAAAACGCTCCTCATCGCCATCTCCAAACTCCAACGCATCAACTTCAGCGAGCGATTGAGACATAGTAGAAGATGCCACCTGCCTCTCCTATTCCAAGACCGAACGATGATACGAAACCATTAAGGTATTAACAACGAAACAATGCTTAACTTTTCATAATCTTCATTGAGAGCAACTCAAACTGACTGTCAACTTCTAGTGACGAGGAACGCAAGAATGTAATTTGGGACATGCGTACTGAGCTCGGTGGACTAGCTGATGGCGTCGATGATTACGAACTGCTACGTTTTGCAGTTGCCCGTCAAAACAACATCGTACGAACTGTGTTCAAACCAAAAGAGTCACCAACCTCTCACACTTTCTCGTTAGAAACAAGCGTCCAAGATGTTTACCGAGTATCTTGAGTGGCGTAAACGAGACCGAGTCGATGAACTACCTGTCCCAAGTGTAAATGGAGCACCGCTTTTACAGCACGTTAGAGGATACAAGACCATTCCCGATGGTAATATCAACCCGCATCTTGATGGCGTGCCTGAAAAATTCAAGTCTTGGTATGGATATTCTGGTGGCGGAGGCTTCCACAAGCTTGACAAGGACGGACAACCTGTCTTTATCGAACGAATGGGTCTTTACGATGTCCAGGGAATGATCAAGTACTGTACAGCTGAATCTATAGTGGATATACACATCCGGAATGCTGAATTTCTGACTCGAGTTCTGATGAAGGAGTGCTCGGATCGCGCTGGAAGGAATATAGGTTGGCAATATGTGCTCAAGAGTCAATTTTCTTTATATGCCCTTCGCTGATGCCTATCTATGCAATAGAGAAGCATACAGTCATATTTGACTTTGAAGGAACTGGCTTCCATCAGTTTGATATGAGGGGCTTGGCCTTACTTAAGAGCATCACGGAGGTAGAACAGGCTTATTATCCGGAACGTCTAGATAGATTGTTTATCATCAACGCACCATGTGAGTGCAACGATGCCTTCAGTAGTTCTCTCTAATATATGAATTGACTATCTTCGTCTCCTATAGTCTTGTTTACAAAAGTATGGGCAATCGTAAAACCATGGCTGGCTCCGGCTGTCCTAGACAAGATACATATATTCGGCTCAAACTACCAAGACACCCTTCTGAAACACATTGACGCCGACAGTCTTCCGAAATATCTAGGAGGAACCTGTGAATGTGCTCACATGCAAGGAGGGTGCGTACCCTCACCACAGCTCGATCACAAGCATCAGAACTATGGGTTTCAGGCTACAATAGATGGGAAAGATGAGCATACTTTTGAAGTCGAATGTCCGCAAACTGCTACGAATGGAGCTATGTTGGTGTATGGATTCAAGAGCTCGGGACAAGGATGTCGTTTTGAGATTCGGCATCGACAGCAAGGGGGTGTTGCTGAAACAAGGTAGATGAAGTCGTCTGGTGTATGAGAATCCTCGCGTTTTTGAGCGTTACAATCTCACACCAACATAATGTATTAGCATCCTCCCATCTACTCTACACGACAGCGACAAGAAGATAGTGACGGGCCAATTCCCAGCTATACCTGGAATCTATATATTTGGCTGGCGAAAACCACCTGCAGGTATGTCATGTCACGTAGTCTGTGATAGCGTGGCAAATGATTCGAATGATGCTCGTTACTACGCAATAGGTTGGGTGTTGAGTGGACCAGCAGTGAAATTAGAGTACAATATCGAGGTACTGGATCCGACTGAAGCATTAGGATTGGCAAATCCTACTGATGCTCCCGAAGAACCTGTTAATATGGAGTCTGATGCTCCTGTAGCATCTGGAGCTCCCGCAGAGTCGGTATAAGTGTTTTCAGTTCGCATAACTGCCATTTATGTTCAGTAAATTAATAGAGTACTAGTGACCAGTTGATGACGAGTTGTTGGTTTTGACTACAAAGCGTCAATACTTCTGATAAGGAACTCCTTATATGATGTCGGAAGTGAATCACGTCTTTGCGTTCAACAGCTCCCTTCTTCCCTTCCACCTCGCTGTTCCGCCTTGCGTTCTTTCAAGTCACAAAAAACAAAAAGCACACACTAGCACAAGCGAGACCAGGGTCGAAAATGTATCTCAGCGGTGAAGACGACGTTGATCTAGTGGAAAAACAACTATTCTTATCATCGTACGTACCTCCGAGCTTCTCATTCCTCGCCTTGATGTCAGAAAGCTAACTTTTTCGCCTGCGCATGTGTTAAATCTAGCTTACAGCCCACATTGAACAAGCGAACGCTTCAAAAGTACAAGATAACACACATTATCAGTGTTATTGATGAAGAACAGCCTGCTTTTCCTAATGTAAGATCTTTTGGCGTTGGGACATGTCGCTGAACATCTTTTGCCTTGTTTTTTTTTTTGATCTATGTGATCTATGACTTTTACGGTACAAGTCATCTATCAAGCATACGATCAAAGACAAATTCGTATCCATGATCGTCCACTGTCAAAAATTTCTCATCCTTCTTCTTCAAACCTAGGATTTCACATACATGACAATCCCAGCGATAGACTCTGAAGAAACCAACCTCCTAGGCCACTTCCCTGATGCTGTCAAATTCATTGAAGACGCTATATCCTCAGGCGGGAATGTACTGGTACATTGCTTGGCCGGTGTGTCAAGATCTGCTACAATCGTGTTGGCCTACATGATGAAAAAATACGATATGGCCCCGACATCTGCTCTCAAAGTGCTGAGAACTAGAAGGCGAATCGTGTCGCCTAATGATGGGTTTTTGAATCAGTTGGAGCTGTGGGCCGAGTTTGGGTATACGGCCGAGTAAGAATTACTTGTTTGTTGTTCTCTTACACTTTGGTAGAGAGCTTACCACTTTTTTTTGCATAGTTTAAAAGACGCTGGTTTCCGACGATTCATGATGGAGGTGACAGCGTCAGTCATGACTGACAATCTGGACGCTTGGAATATGGGCGAGATGGTGTTGGCTCCAGACCCAGCTGCTCAGTCACGTCATGGTGCTCTAGCGACGAGGCAGAGGGTTTTGAGGTGCAAGATGTGCAGGTCGGTAAACAACTCTTCAAGATATTTTTTGGTTTACATTGTTGTGCTTACACGAATCCTTCCTTCCCTTCACATTTGTTTAGACGAGTCCTCGCTACACGCGACCACATTGTGGACCATCCCCGCGGCCCAGGCCCGGTATCATTCGCTCGATCGTCCAGAAAAGATATGGATTTACTCAGAGTGCAACAATCGAGTGGATCTACGGCGGCACATCCACCGTGCTCCATGGTTTTCATTGAAGCTATGGAATGGATTTCGCATATCCGTGATGGACATTTGAAGGGGACGTTACAGTGTCCGAATCATAAATGTGGGGCTAAATTGGGTAGCTGGAGCTGGAGTGGTATGTTGTGAAGTTTGGATCGTTTGTTTCGACCTTTAGTTACAATTGATGTTTGATTTATTTTTCTTGTCTAACTTTCTTTTGTGACGAAATCAGGATCACAATGCTCTTGTGGTGCATGGCTGTCTCCTGCGTTTGGACTACATCTGAGTAAAGTGGATCTCATCACTGCGGCTATATGAAGGTCGTCGATTGTTGTTTGAATCTGTGACTGTGTTTCTATGGAGAGCTTCGTTTATATAATCTTTGGAAGGGGGAATCATTATAATAGTATTTAAAATCGTGTAAATGGGAAGTACTGAAACAACGTGTGCGTTTGGGACTGAGATATGAAAGTGTGAATGTTTGTGCGAAAGTCTTGGTCTGAAGTACAAGCAATTACTTGTTTTCTTGAAGTACGAGTCTTGAGTAGAAAACGTACATACATTGAAATACTGCTGTTTGACTTGCAGTGGTGCAGCGTGCATAGTAGTGTGAGTCTGTTGGTGATGTGGCATCTGATCCGCGCCTGGAAAGAAAGAATGCGAGTTAGACAAGCCATTTTGAATATGAGTAAATGAATATGCGGTGCATGATTTTTGAGATTTGATCGCCCAGCCATCACCAAACACCTAAAAAAGCGTATCAATACAACGCAATGCCACACCAGCAACAGCTCAACGTACCTGCGATACACTATTAATTTCGGCAGGAACGGCTACAGCATACTGCTGTTGCTCGTTATACTGAGGGTTTGCCACTTGCTCAAGACAATAATCCCGTTTGCGACATTTCCGCAATACAGCCAGTTTCAATACGAAGGCACGAATTAGCTGCATCGTTTGATAGAATTGATGCAATCCATACGTCTCGAATCCTTGGCCGTCTGGATCTACTCCACTAAGAGACCAACACCGTCATAACAATCCAAGCTTCGAAAGTCCCAAACTACAAGTCTTCCAAACCAATCTATATATGTGCCACAACACTACATCCGACGAGCTAAACAACGTACCATTCCATGCATCAACCCACATGCACAAACTTCCTCCTACTCTTCAAAGCACATAGGCATATCAGCCTTGCCAATGCACAGCACGCTAGCCATCAGTACTTTTCGCTTCACCCAAAGACTTGCATTAAACTTATGCAAACCAGAGCAGTTAGGAAGCACACATACATCAACCAAGCTTCTACAACGCAGACCTCTTCACCCAACCAAACTCGTCAACCTTCCACCTTTCCTTCCTTGCTGATACTGGCGCTTCCGGTGGTACGGTTTCTGTCTTGCTGCTGCTCCTCCTCCTCGTCTTCCTCGTAATTTCGTCCGCCGGTACATCCCAGTTACGAGTCCACCTTCCATTACTTTCGATACTTGATGTTGAGGATAAGCAGGATGATGAAGACCATAACGATCCAGGATATTTTGGAATATTGAGTATTTGATCATCCCATTCGGCTTCCCAGGAGTAGATGATCCACGTGCTGTATACAAAGGAGCAAGATGGGATTTTGTGTTGGGGTGGGTGTTGTTTGTCTTGTAGTTGGGTGGATGTTTCGCGATTAATGATGTGACTTCTTGTGTCCTAATAATAGAATGAATTCTTTAGTCTGCTGGTTTCATGTAAAAAGTTCATCAATCGACGGCTACATCACCACAAACCAACTGTAAGATGTAGCAACTTACGCCATATCAAATCGTTTTTAACGAATCCGTCAATCATGAGCGCATGTCCGTCCGCTGTTCGTACTTCGGTTATGGTACATCCTGTTTTCCGTCTGATGCGTCTGTTTGTCAAAATGTTTGGAAAATGTGAGGTTCAATTCTCGATTCAAGCATCTGAAATCATTCAAGAGTATAATGATGTCTTTAATAACACATGTGCAAATACATGCCCAAGTTCATGTTGTATGTTCTTCATAGTTGTATTGTCGAAGAGTGCTCCAAGAGGAAGTATCACGTTCCAGCTTTGAAGACCTATGAAGGAGGAAAGAGAAAGTGAGCATTTCGTGACCTTACACTATTTCATATATAGTGGCGGTCGTTCCATATGTTGAACGTTCCCTCATGTCAAAGTCTTACCGTTGGTGCGTTGCTCGTCATGATAAGACACCATCTCCCATATACAAGATCCCTTGCGGAGGGATTTTTGATGGAAAGAGTCGGAATAATCAGAGTATGAAGGTAAAATGTCTTGAATACAAATAGGTTTGATGGGAGGTTTTGTCTGTTGTCTTTGTCGCGTAACCCGAGAAAACCACGCAAGGTCAAACAATCACGCCAGAACGAACTATGGCATGAAACTCGACCTGGAAGTATACTTGTCTCGTCCTTTTGCAAAAACTTCTACATCTTGTATTCTATGCTATACACTATTACACTGTTTTACGACAAAAAAATAATCTTATTGGAAGAAGCTCGCTGCTTCGTATTCATATGCTTCAGCCATTGACTTCAAGAGGGCGGAGATGGGCTCAGTCATGGCATTGGGTTCCACATTCTCCGTAGCTACTACTGGTATACCACCAACACGACCCTTTTTGGAGTTTGGTTGTTGATGTTGCTGCTGTTCAGCGTCCATCATTTCATCTTCTAGCCTCTTTCGTTTAAATACTAGATACTCCAATGAGTGCACAAGCGGTTCTTCTGAAGCTACTGCGGTCGGCAGAACGTCCAATGGTGGTGCTGTAAACCATTTGAGTCGACCATCAATTGTAGCGTCAAAGTAGGATGCTATTGAAATTTGCAAAAAATTCGTGTGTTTGCATTCTACCAGACACAAAAAAACCACCATGACCGGCGAGAAATACCTGTTTTGCTGGAAATTCCATCACGATTATCTACCATATATTGCGTCGCAGTTTGCAATGGTCCGACATGATTCTAAAAATGAGACAAGGAATAGAGGCCAAAGCGTAAGATAGACCTTCGAGATATACATACGACAACTGTCATGTATTTTTTTCTCACCTGAAGTTGAGGAGGAATATAAGCACCAGGAGGCGGAGGATGGAGTTGACCAGCTGGCATAGCCGGAACAGGTCGTGCAGGAGCTTGCTGTCGAGGAGGAGGGCCAGATTGAAGACGACTTGGAATTCCCATCTAGAATACCAGACGGCAAAAAAATTAGGAATTCGTTCAGTGCTGTAACGACGATCGTTGTCTTGTACTCGTACATGTCTCCACCAGACTTTTCCAAACTTACCCTATTCCTTCCACCATCCCGTTCAGCACCAGGCGACCTCGACCTCCTTCTTAGCGAAAGATACTCTGATGGTTCAGGTGGTTCAGCACTTGGTGCACGTCGTCGAGATATAGGCGGTGTCTGCGTATGAGCATCCTCTCTCGCAAACTCTGCAAAGTATTTACGTTGAGATTTCGGTTCAGGGAAATTATCAATCTCAATCTTGTTTTTGCGAGGTAGACATTGCTGCCAGTTCTTTATCTTTTCTTGTCTTTTTTGATCAGTGTATCTTGATTCGCAAGCATACACTGTACAGGACTTTGGTAAGCCTCGAGGTCGGCCCTTGTGGTATTGTCGCCACCATAAGACAAAGCAGCGGGATTCGATTTCTTCCAGTTTGTAATATAGGGTTGTGTTTGTTTTGAAGACTTCGTTTTCGTAGAATTTGGCCCCTGGTAATTGAACTGTTTGTTCTGGTCTCAGGTACCACATGGCCTTGATATAACTAGGACTACAAAACAGACTCGAAAGCATCAGTAATTACGAATAGAACACTCCAGCATTCCCAGCAAGTACAAATACTAAAACCCGTTTGAAGTCGAGCAATACTCACCCATCAGGTTTACTTGACTTGATAATTTCCCATATCTGACCAATAGTTGGTCTACTCGGATCCAAAGGATTCCTAATATGACACCACTCTCCAACCTTCCAAGTTTCACCATTAAATTTCACTTCTTCCACAGAGTCGCCTTCAGGTGTAACAACCATAGCGGGTGTTAAAGTTATAGGAGCTGATGATGACAGGTCTCTGGCAACCAAGGTTTGGAATAAGCGCTGAAAAAAAGAACAATGAGTGATAATCCAGTCACAGGCTCTGGTTCTGGTTCTTCCGCACAAAATCTAGTTACCTCCAGCTCAACTGCATCCTCATAGATCTCTGACCCTTCCTTGTTATACCGCTGTGCATTCTTGAACATGATTTTCATGTCTGTTTCGAACTGCTCTTGGGTGTCATACCCTTTTCCATTTAATCGTTTGGAAATCATGTTGAGACACATTGGCGTTTTGATCTGTTATTGTGTTGATTTGCGATAAAGATTAGGTCGATGACAAAAAAACCAGATCGGATGGAAGAGCCATGAGAGGGAACTTGCCTCTTGATAATAATCTGGATACTGGTCACGATCCGGCAAATTATCAAACATTTGAGAACAAAGTCGACCCCTACGAAGCCAAAGTGTTGATACACAAAAAAGCGTAGCGGAAAAACTGTAGAATGTGGGTACTCTGCATTCTTGTGATTTGAAATCTTTTTCACTATCGCCTTCATTTCATCATTTGGCTGTTAAGAATCCAACAAAAGGTGTCAAGACTGATTACTAAACCCCCATCATCACAAAGTAAATCACAACAACTTACTGATCGTGCTTCAGTCCTGACTTCAGCCTTGACTTCAGCCTTGACGGCTGGTAGTGATTGTGATGGTTGTGGTGTTGGTTCGATTGGAGTGTGGGAGATTCCATAAGCTTCAAGCTCTGAGCGCAAGGTAGCTTCAAATATTTCCTGGATGTCAAAGCAAGTGTTAGACATAGAATTCTTGATGTAGATATTCTTAGCTCTCATATCATACTTTGAGAGTTGCAGCATCCTTCCAAACAGGCGACTTGGTCTTGTTGAATTGTTGAGCATTCGCAATCATGATATTGAAATCCCTTGTAAAGTCATCCAATGATGCGTATTGGTTTGTGTTGATCTTGTTCTGTGGTTGGTTTAGGTTAACGTGTTTGAGGTTTGGACAAACGCAAGCCAGTATACAAGGTCGCAAAATACGACAAGAGAGTAAAACGTACCTGCATAGTATCGAACGCGACGACATCACGGAACAGTTGATAATACTCTGGATACTCATTTGGATCTGGAATTTGTATGAAATGAAAAGCGTAATGTCGACCAGTCCTGTAATGAATATGGCGTCAAAACATACTCAATGAATTTGTATTTGAATAATAAACATTGCCTTACTCTGGTTCTCTTGCATCTCTCGCAGTCCTGGCAACTTTGTTCATGATTTCTCGTTTTTGTTCATCTGTGAGGGTCCTGATGCTGTTATTGCTCGGATTAGGAGCAGGTGAATTCGCTCCTGGTTGCTGCTGATGTAGTGTAAGTTTGAGCTTCATCCTAGTTTTGGCTCGTCCTTTTTGACTCTTTTTTGTGTGTTGTGATGGATCTTCCGAATTACCAGAATACCCTAATGTCATGTATACACGCACCGAACGTAAGATACGCTAGACAACATAATACACATCTATAAGACGCGTATATCCAGGTTCAGCACGTACTAGACAAAGCTATCTCAACAGACCTGGAAACTTTTACACGCCCAACATCATGCAAAACACAAATCATCACAAGACGAGAAGAATACTCAAGCAAATCACGTCGCGAAGCCACTTTATATGCATTGTTTGAATTGTAATAAATTAAATGATGTCACTAAATAATGCATGCTTCATGAGTTCACTGACTACGACCACATTCAAGCTGTTCCCAACCAGTTTATAGCACTGTATACGCGACAAACTACTCGGAAACTCAAAGTAATGCTTATCATTACATTTGCCTTCGCTACCACCCTGCTCCTGCAGAGGTAGTCCGCGCAGTTTTAAGTTAGCATCACCATCCTGCTCTCGGAGCGGTAATCCATGCAGTCTAGCGCATTCAGTAGGTGTAAAAAACCTCGGCTTGAGGTCAATTAACGTCTGAGGGTTCAAATACTCAAAGCTCTTGCCGAAATCTCGTGTTTGTAAAAAACTGCCACTCCCGATTACGTGATGACTTCCATACGCTTGAGTAAAGACACTGCACAAGTGTTCATTGGGCTTCACTACATCTGTGCAAAAAGGTGGCTTAATGAATCCGTATCATCAGAGAGATGGCACGAAACATCGCGGTGACAATGTCATCCCTTTCATAACATACCAAAGTTGAACTGATGCCGCTTCAAAATGTACTCGTCAGGCACGTAATAATCTGCTTCAACAACATCAGAGTCCAAGTATTCGCTCAAAGCTGGTGGACTTTTGGGAGTTTCAATTCGATCATTGATGGGCCATCCTGTAATCATTGTGGCACGTTCTATGTATGGCTGTGTACCTTCTGCTCGAGATTCAAGGACTCGACGAGCCTAAAATGGCAAAAAAAGTCAGTCAAGTCCTCGCCTGGATGAGGTTTTCTCAGTTACGCACTGTAAGGTAGTATCGCCTTCTATCATTTGCAATCCCAAATTGAAGAGGCGTCAATAGGAATTCGTTGATATCGTAGCCTAATACGTCTAATTGTTCGACGAGACGAGCTCGACTCCTTGATCTCTATGAAGACAAATAAAAAAAAATTCCCGTGAATCTCTTTCAGCAAAGGCTTTGCGCTGTAGTACTCTTGTAATGCATACACATCCACATACCTCAAAATTAGGGACATTTTCAAGAAAGATGTAGTGGGGAGGTTTATGCAGCTTTGGCAAGATCGAGATCAAGTGCAACAGACCCTTAGCTCTTGGATCTAGATCATCCAGTTCCTTTCCTCCTTTAGTGAACAAGATTTTCAGCAAACTGTACGTGCATGAGTATGTGGCGACGAGTGGGGAAAAGCACCATTCAATAATTTCCATTGTGGTTTTCTTTTGGCTGGTTTACCTTGCGTATACGGTTGACAAGGAGGCGACATGGTCCAAATATCAGCTTCATAAGATGCATACTTTTCAGCCGCAATAGTCTCAATATTCCATAAATGAGGTCGAAATCCAAAATTGTGAAAATAGCAATTGTTGGCGTTGATGTTGATGTCAAAAGCTGCAGCTACTATAGGGAGTTCCTTATCACCGAATGCACGCTCCAAGGAATAGTGCTAGAGCATTGTAAACGGGTGAGCTTATTGCGTGATGATGAAGGTTTAGATCAGGCAACCTAGTTTTCAAAAACACAACAAAGTGTCATATAACTTGCCATTCCACCAAGACCACTAAAGAATTCGATGCATTTCATTATAATTCGCATACAAATAGTGCTTCTAGACTATTACAGCTTATTTGCGTTAACGAGCTTGTCAAGTGTCGTAACCCATTCGTCTTTTTTATCAGAATTGCTCAATGTCAATGACAGAACATCATTGATAAACACCCTATTCATGACATGATGATCAGTTTTATGATTCTAGGTGTTCAAAGCGCATCAAGAGCTTACTGAGGCGTTCCAGAGACACCACGAGTGCACCCATACTTCCACGCAACACGAGCTTGCGCATCAGCCGTCGAATTCCGATTCAAAAGCTGTCGAAATTCCAATTTATCCAACGGAAACCGTTCAATCAAGAATTTAGACACAAATGTTCTCGTGTCAGCATCATTGAGTTGATCCGCGATAAACGAATCCATTTCCGAGAAGACTGCGTCCAAGAACTTGTACACCATATCTGTTTCTTCTTGTCCTCTATATACCAAAGAAGTAAATTAGATCCTTTGCAAGAGCTGATTTTGTGTAATGTCAACCTTTTGGGTTTGAGCGATTTCAATGTCGCAAATGCTGCCTGACAAACGAGATAACTGTTTTTGTGATAGGGAAGAGGAAACAAGTGGATGACTATTTTGAGTGCTGCATCTCCATAGTGATTGGATACGTCCTTTAGTAGTGGGAAGACGCTTTGCGAGTCGTCACACCTTGTTCATGGGCGTTGCTTGGTTAGTTTTGGCAATTGAGACATGTGGGAGAGGTCATTTTCCTAGCTTACAATGGATCCAGGAATACATCGAGTCTCAAGTCTCCGCTTCCTCTTGCAAATCCTGGTGTTTTGGAGGGTATTGGAGCTGCCATTGCGAAAATGTGGAACAAAGATGTTTGGAGTCAGCAAGCTTTAAGAGACGGGTGAAAATGTTGGGAAATTTGGGAGATATCGCGATTCTGTAATCGTGGTACTGGTGTTGAAGTGGCTAACACACCAAACGTTCACCTCAAATGCACAAGACATCACCATTTTATCGTTTTACATATATTCCGTGTGCAATGGGTAGGTACTAATAAAGACAAATAGAAGACTGATAACCACCACCATCACAGTCAAGGCTTTGCCTCTTCACCCTTGCCGCTCAACATTTCCCCAACCTTGGATCCAGCACTCTTGATCTTCTCCATCAATCCAGGTTCTTGAGCAGCAGCACCTTGAGATTCCATGTTTTCACCACCGGACTTCATTCCAGAGCCAACAGTTTCTTCGGCCGATCCTGCAGTAGATTTGGTCTTGTCTCCCATAGCTGAGGCGGTTTCTTGGGCTGATTGTTTGGCTCCTTTTGCGTGTGCTGAGACACTATGGTGAAGCATGATGATGATGAGATGATGGTGGAGGTGTTGGAAGTACAAGTAGTTGCATGCACATAAAAGTGAAGCATCGTGACCAACATGCACCGATCGCATCGATCGATCAAAACAACTTACGATTGACCAATATCAGCAGCCGTAGCCTTGACATCTCCCAGTTTGGATTGAGCAGATTCCTTTTCAGCTTCAAATCCCTTTTGAGCCTTTTCAGCAATGCTAATCACAAGTGTGATGTTGAGTGTGATGGTTGATCGAGAGACCGTACGCTCATAGCAAAAGACTATGCAAGTACCTCTTTGCTTCTTCATGGACCTTTGAAGCAGTGGATTTCATAGTGTCCTGTAAAAGAAAGGCAGTAGAATTGTTGCTCAAGGTACTGATTGATGACAACTCAAAGATAAACTCTTCAGCACGATACGTACTTTTGCTTGTTCTGTAGTGCTAGACATTGTTTTCAGATTCTTTGATGTGAGGATGTTATATCTTGCTGTTTGGTATTGGCTTGTGAGTTGGGGTAGTGCTTTTGGGAGCCGTTGCATTTATAGATTCCAAAAGGGGTGAGGAAGCTTGAGGTAAACCTCAAGATAAAAATTGACACGTCGCGGCAAGAATCAAATACCGGAGCAATTATCAAGAATGACAGCTTTACGCGTCAAATCGTCGTGTCAAATCAGTCATGACGTGATGATCGCGAGCTGGTCTTGACTTTTGACGATTAAAGAAATACCATACACTATCGTTGTGGATAATAAGGTGCTTGAATTGGTAGTCTCATCGATGTTGCTCTTAAATGCTCCCTTTTCGCAACGATCAAATTTGTCAAGTCAGAAATTGTTGTTATTGATTATTGTTTATTGTTGATCCATATGAACCATGTGGAATAAACGCATTTGAAGCGGAACTGTCAAAAAACAATGCAACTTGTTGTCATTTACAAAACTATGATCTCTTTAACTGTTATTGTGTGGGTTTACTTTACAATATTGGTACAAGGGAGTGACAGTCGTTTACTCTTTTAATCCCAACATGTCACCCAATTTGGCTCCAGTATCCTTGACTCGATCGAATAGAGATGGGTCTTCGACTGAATTTGTTTGATGTAGACGATCTCCCACTGCGCCGAAATCCGGTTGACTGGCCCGTGCCAGTTCACTTGCTGTATCGGATGGAGGACGATCACCGTTTTGAGGAGCAAAGGATGTGATGGGAGTGCTTTGTGCTTCTCGTCTGGCATTTGCTTCAAAGCTATTGAAGGGGGGTCGAGGTTAGACCAGTCTGCCTCATCGTCGTCACCCAGCATTTCTCGTGCTATGGAGGCAACTTCCACCACAACAGCAAGATCCAAAAGACTTTCAAAGCCTATATACACCGAGATCCAAACCAACGGGAAACTCTGTAACAACTGAGCTATAACTTACTTGGCTTGCTTCAAGTCGCCATCTGTATCGTACACGGGGAGAGCATTGTAATCACCCTCGAATGACGTAGCGTCTTTCTCTGGAGCATTACGTTTGGCAGATTCAGCATTCAGTGTGAATCTACAAAGTGGTTGACGTTAGTGAACGTTGGGAACGTTTCGATTAAACCTCACGCCGACTTTACAGGATCCAAAACTACAGGCTCTTATCACGATCTACCGGCAACTTACGCGTGACCAAAGTCTTGAGAAGCGGATTTCACATCGTCGAACTGGACATGTGCAGTCTTCTTACGGTAATCTTGGTAGTTGTCTTGAGCTTCGTCAGTTGCCAAGCTAATGAATTAGAAGTGGAGTCAGGAAAACATGTTATGGTGTGACGACCTCATTGAGGTTAAGGAGACTCTACGTCTCAAAACAATAAACAGTTGCCCTACCTGTGAGTTTGATTGTGTGCCATGTTTCTGTTTGATGTTTTGTGGAGGTTGCTAGTGTTTCCCGATGAATTCTTATTGTAATTTTTAGTACAATGTTAAATAGAAATCGTTTGTCGTTTTTTACTATTTATAGTCTCCATTTCACCGCACGGTCATGATCACGAAATTCCGCCTCAACCTTAGCAAAACCAAAAGCCGCAGATCAAACCTAAATAATAGCACGTCGACGACGCGTGAGTATCGGTGTATAGCCATTCAAACCCATTCATACATGGAAAACATCAATCTCGTTAGCTTGATACGCGTTGTTTTGGCTGGTATTGTCAAAGTTACACATATTGCGGCAATGACTGCGAACACTTGACGCGTAGAGCAAGGACATTCGAAAATCATTTTAATGTCCAAAATTTCAAACTTCTCAGTCTTATGCGAGTTGTGCTTTGCTGAGACACATGGTACCAACGCTACTGCTACTGATATGGGTCAATCGTAAGTTACTCGAGCGATCGGTCACGATGTTGTTCCACCACAATTCTCTGTATATTAGTGTCTCATCTCACGCAGAAGGCGCCAAACAATCAGCACAAGAAACCGCTTCTGCCATGGGAGACAAGGTCAAATCATCTGCAGGATCGGCTGAAGAAACTCCTGGTTCTGGAATGAAATCTGGTGGTGAAAAGATGGAATCTCAGGTGCTGCTGCTCAAGATCCTGGATTGATGAAGAAGCTCAAGAGTGCTGGATCCAAGGTTCGGGAAATGTTGAGTGGAAAGAGCCAAAACCTTGAATGTGAGGGTGGCGGTATCTGTCTTATTTCCTTGCACGTAGTATACATGTATCTGTTTGCACAAATGTACATATAACAAGATGATAAAATGGTGAAATCAGGGTTGGTTTGTAGCGATTTCACCCAAGTTAACAGGATTCAATGAATCTCCACAGGTGCAGAGTGATTTACATTCTTAATTCCTAACATTTCTATTCTGAAGAATGAGCTGATCATTCAGACATTGTCCAATGTTTTCACAGGAGAGATGTCGAATCCGAAACTTTTGCAAGAGCAAGCGGGAAGATGAGACTTCCTATCGTCCTTCATCCATAGTAAGATTCAAATGGACTTCTTTCATATCGGCTGATTAGCAAAACCTGACCGCACAATTCTCTATTTTGCATTAGATGTGACAATTCACACACTGCTGTCACGACGAAACCATGCGGTCAGCCATCATGGAGATCAAGCAATCAAAATCGTCGTCTACTAGTATCCTCCATCCTACCTATCACAAAACCCGTCAGGCATCATTTGCGATATTCGAATTGCTGAAATTTAAAATGCTGATGAAATGGCGAAACGACCTATACAACATGGTGGAGAAATTGGAGCTGTATTATTCCTGATTAAGATACCACGATGAGGCTGTTGCCACTATAGCAAGCTTTCGCTATACTTCACAAACTTTGAACACACAATTACAATGACCAACATTTGACACAATTGCAAGACGACTGTTATGAGTTATACTGCTATGATTTTATTTCAATGTGTTGAACTGTTTACTATACATTTTGTTCACCTTCAGCCCATCCCCTTCGCAAGACTAACTAATATATTACTTTAAGATTGATTGTTGTGGGGCTTTCGGTTCATTCCTCAGCAACCTTGCCAGATGTGGTTGTGGTGGTGGTACTTCCACTGAGACCTAGCATCTCACCGACTTTGGTTGCACCTGACACGACAGTGTCTTTCACTTGGGTGTATAGAGATGGGTCTTGGGCTTCACCAGCTTCATGGAGCTTGTCACCGGCTTCCTTCATGCCTGATCCGACAGAGTGGCGAGCAGATTGGGCCAATTCACTAGCCTTGTCACTGGCAGCGTTGATGTTGTCTTTAGCTGATTTCTTGGCATCTTCCGCATGGTTTGAGAGGCTGTTGTGAAGAAGTTGGTGGAAAGGTAGATGTTAGAAGATGATATATCCGAATATAGCCGATGCATGTTATGTAATAGAATGTTTGAACAAACATTTGATGTTTGACAAAAGTTTCGAGTTGCGGCGAAATCAACAAATATGAATCTTTGTACTTACGAGTCACTGACATCCGAAGCGTACTGCTTAGCATCCTCAAGCTTTTCTGAAGCGGCCTTCTTGGTTGACTCGTATGTCTTTGAAGCAGAGTCGGCCAATCTAGAACAAAAGATGAATGTTTGATTTCGTTAGTACAATGATCTAGATGCAGGCGTAGAATAAAGTACATTTGTATTCGTTAACTTACTCGTTGTATTTCTCTTGAGCAGCTTCAGCCATAGAATTGGCGGAGCTCTTAGCATCTGCTTTGGCAGATTCAGCTTTGGCTTGAGCTTTGGTTGAAGACATGATTGTTTATAAGAGACTAGAGAGTGGTTGAGTAAGTGTTCTATAGAGTGAGTTGTTGCTTTGAATAGTTTTTGTGATTGAAAGATTTAGAGCGCAAAATGTCTCCTTTTATAGTGTGTGCGGCAGATCATCTGAGATCTCCCATTCGCGCCTTTAAAAACTCAAACTATAGTAAACTTTCCAGCACCTTCCACAACCTTAAGATTTCGTCAGAGAACTTGTTCCAAATCAAGTAATTAGTGAGGTCGCTTGATTATCTACAAGTATATTGCAAAAGACTATAAAGGCGATCTTTCCTCAAGTGTTTCCATCAATACATCTCAATGACCCAACCAAAAATCTGTTCCTTGATTCGCCACTTTTGGTTGGCGGTTTATTGCAGCGAATCTCGCATCAGCTGTAACTGCTTTCTCGCGCATCTTTCGCAAATCGGTTTCAACCGTGGCGTTCTGTTTTATTTTTAAAAATATGGTTAATGATAGGCGACTCGGATGAAGAAAAAGTGAAGTAGAAGTGGCGACTAAGAGCCAATAACACAAACACATACCTTGCCAACATCAAACGCCCTCAACTTCCTCAACGACATGACTTTTCGTTCAGCGTCTGCCCTTTCCAAACTCTTGACCAAAGACTCTGTAATCTTATCCTTTTCAGAATTTATCAAGTCCCTTGCTTGCAATAATCTCTCTATGGGATCTGGTGCTGCTCGCTCACGTATCACACCCAGTTGTGACTCCATACTTGCTTGTGATTTCGTGGTTGGGGAATTTGGCTGCGAGTTTTGCTGTTGCTGTTGCACGATCGAGTGTTGTGGTGCCAGTGGTAGTCTACTACTTGAAGGCGGTATTAGAGATGTTGTGTTTATGGGTTTGAGAGTTGTTGAAACAGAGTCTGGGATGTTTAGATGGCTTGGTGATATTGTTGCTGATGTGGATTTGCCTTTGGTGCTGAGAAAAGCAGAAGAAAAAAAATTAGTTGTATCTATGGTATATGGGTCTGATGACTCTTGACACTCGTGTCTCTCTCGAAACACACCTTGCAGGTCTTGTAGCAGACCAAGCACCACCATACCCAGCACTCTTCTGTCTCTCTTTCGATGCAATAGAGTCACCTCCATCCGTTGGAGCTCGTGTGCGTCCATTCAATGCTCGTTCAAGAAGTCCAGAATAATACACTTGCTTAGTCCCATCTCCAACATTGGCATGAAACGATGATCGTCGACTACTTCGTGCACGTTTGACTCTCTCTTCTTCTTCTTTCCTGATCGTCTGGTCTAGTTGCTCGCATATTTCCATGTATGATATCCCAAACTTGACTGAATGGATTCGTGCTTTGGACTGGGCAATCTTGTCTTTGAGATATGATTGTCCGTTGCTTCTTCGTGGTTGCACTGCAGCTACATGGCAAAAAAATAAAGCTTAAAATCACTTTGTATAGCTTAGAGTACACAGAAACTCGTTTGGCTACCTATTCTCTCCAACCCTTGAGCAACCTTTTCGAAATACACCTTGTCTTCTTGAGCTTCACTTAATTGCTCATTGTAAGACCTAAAAAAGGAGCCAAGAGAATTTGAGTTTGAGCAGTCAATGAATACGTCCTGTCTGCACACGTACTGCTCGAATGGGTTTGAATCCAAATGCATTGGGTCTTGAAGTATCAAAGCTTCTGAATTCAGTACCGGATCACCTATTGAAAACTTGCTGAGTACCAGTTGTATAAATGATCGGTATTTTTTTTGTCTGTGCCACTCACCCAACGCTCGATAAACCTCTTTGGTATCTGCACAAAATCCACAAGAGTATACAGCCTAGTCCAGCATACTATAAGTACAATAGTAGACTTTACAATGCTGACATCGAATCCTTAACGCACCTTGTGACGTTTTGTCCGGTCAGAAACAATCCTTGGATAGTCTCGAACCTCCATAAGATCCACCTTTCGACATGTAACCCGTTCAGGCTCGTATTTGAAACTTCGTTCCATTCCTTTGTCGAGTATAGCCTGTCTAATATGTGGCGACAGCATGGCATCTCGATCGTCTGCTCTACTCATGAACGAGTTGTGGGAAATCACATTATGGCCACCGTGTGTGGTATGTCGTTTAGTTGGTCCTGGGATGACAGCAGCATTATTACTGGCAGCTGTACCAGTAGGTTGTAGGATTCCATGTAAACCAGTCGTTGGTACATTGGCGAGGGTTACTGAAGCGTTTCGTGCAAGTTTGGTTTCTTTGGAAAATGTCAAGACACTTGGAGAGGAAGGACGTGATATTTGCATCATGGTCGTTTGCATAGTTCAAATGTTTATGCTGCTTGACTGAAACCACCTTGGCTGACAAGAAACAAGTGTTGGGGTTCATCAAGACCCTCAAACTTTTTTTGTTGGCAGGACACGACTGCGCGAACAAAAACAAATACCCCTGCAGCACTTTTAGAGGTTTTATACTCACGCGCTGAATGAGACATTCGGCTCCAGCATCTCTTGCTCACCTAACGTTTGCTGCACCCGTCGGTTTGCGATATTGCGTCCTGCTCGCTAACTTTTCGTAATAGAAGAACGCGTCACAATCCTCCGATCTGTGTCTGTGCCATGAATAGTAAGTCTTTCAATTGTGTAATTGATAAAACAGATCAATTTTCTGAAATATGAAAATTAGACTTCCAAAAAGGCTGGTGGTCTGTGAACGTTTACCCATTTTTATGTCCTCCCTTTTCTAAATTCTCCAATTGAGTCGAGAAACCACTTCGGAGGAGCCACACAGCCACTCTACCTAGGACCAAACTGTCTATACTGATACAAAATTCGTTATCTGTCAATCTGTCACCCTGCCACCAAATGACCACCTACTAACAAGAAAACGTCCTGTCCATCACAATACCGAAAAGATTTTCGCCCAATTCAATCCCACTCTCCTTCTGATTACCGAATCCCAAAGCTTTGCCTTGCAGAGGTCCGCAAATAAGTCGACTTGTCGCCATCAGTGTCACGAAATCAGCACCTGTGAAGATGGCTTGGAAAAACCAACAGATCTTCTTCTTCTCAAAGGACCAGCTTTCTGCTATCAATTAGTAGACTCCAAAAGAAATTCGAGTGTTTGGTCGATTTGAAGGACTCTGCCACCAAAAGGGAAAAGAACCTTCTCCACTTTCAAATCCAAATTAGCCTCCCTTTCTCCATATTCCAAACCTCAACACCGCCAATTCTATTGCGGGGCTCTACTCTGTCTACGTCTTGCGCCCAAAGGATTTCAATCACTCCTCCAACCAACCTTTCAAAATCTTCAAAGTTTTTGACAATCTTGGAGCTCACTTTTCACCATAGTGAGCTCCCAGTACCCTCTTGGACCTAACTGTACCGTACGGAGGAGGGTAATGTGGCCATAGCCGGTTCCAAGCCCGGGTTGAGAAACACAGAGGACCCTCTTTTAACAAATTTGCCATAATTGCTCTGGCCATAGCAAGTCTGTATACGCCATAACTTATGCCATATACCATATAATGCTGTATATTATTGATGTTTACTCTCTTTTGTACATTCTTGTAAGACTTCTACTATGATGCAAAAAGGTATCCACAAGGTTTGGTGTATGTTTAATTTAGCGATCTGAAACGAAGAAAAAACCGTCAGCGGTAGCTCAAGTGCCAGCATAGACAAAATCGTCCTTGTTCAACGTGACAACTTACTCCTCATCGACATCAGATATACTCTCACTTGTAGCCCTCACGGGAGCGTACTTGGCAGTAGAAGCAGACCGCTGACCCTTATTTACAGGTATCAGTCTTTTAGGCGGTGTAGCCAGCTTCGGTATCCCAATCTTTAACTTGTCCGCAAACCGTTGCGATGGCTCTGGTGATGCATCCGCTTTGGAAGCATTGCCATTATTAGACCGACTTGTCACAAATCCATTCTCCATACGTGGACTTATATTTCTGCTACCGCCTGGAGAAGATTCGTCTGATCCTGGAGCTTCGAGATCTCCACTATCTCTTCTTGAGGCTGATCGTAGGAGAGATATGTCTCCTACTTCTTTGAATTGGTCTAGATATTTGGTGTCTTTGCTCATTATAACATTGTCGATTAGCCCTGGAGGGATATGAAAGTTCTTGTTGCATGGGATGTTTCTTAGAAATTCGTCTTTGCGGTTGACTTACATGCTTGCAGGACATTCATAACTAGAGGAAACACAAACATGACAACAAACACTTCCAGCCGAGTGTCTTCTGGATACTCTAAAGGTCTTAGCAGTAGCGATGCTAACCCAGCCAAGAATGGGAAGACATCCAGCATGGCGACTACGGACAGCTTTACTAGCAGCCATGCAAACACAAACAGAGACAGCTGCTTAATCCATGCATTTACACGTGGAGGGTTTCCATAGACTCCACTTTTCATATCAGTTAGTCTCAGGTATGTTGCAATGTTGTTTAGCATCCGTAAATACAACCATAGGAAGCCTACGCCTATTGTTGTATCCACCAGTATCTAGATCAGTATATCTGAAAGTCAGCCAAGGGAAAAATATAGATAGCATCAACCTAAAAGATCTCACATTCAGAAAGTAAAAGACACAGGGGTTTGCTGAGAAGTCGCTGGTTGAACCACTGACTAACGCCAATGCGACATTAGCAATGTGGACTGCACTGGCGGCGATGGCCTGCTTTGACGTATCAAAGAACCTACATAGAGAATTGTAGTAAGAAAATGAATGTCGAGGGTGCCAAGATCCGTCATCCAAGACACCCGACACGGATCCAAAGCCTGCAATTGAGACCAACCATATTAGATAAGGCCGTCTAGGAGATTCACGATGCCTTTTATACAAAAGTGACGAGAAGGCTAAAGAAGCGAGCGATAGCTGCACGACCACAGCAAATGCTAGAAGAGAACAGCAGAGACGGGAAAGTCACTCAAAGTCCAGGGATTCCATAAAAATCATCAGATCTCTTCTTCTCTTTCACAATATAGGTTGCTTGGATGGCACTTGCGTAATTTTCATTATCGCTGCCCAACTTTTTTGATTTCGCACACGTTTTGTTCTTACCATCCATTAGTTGACAAGAGCTGCCAGTGGCAGTTATATGCATATCCATATTCTGCAGACACCGTGTCCCTCCTCCTCTATCAAAAAAGTCAATAGTCCCTCAATGTTGTTCGCGTCGTCAATTGTCAAAGAGGACAACACACTTTCTCAAAACAAGGCAAAGGAGACACTGGATTTACGTGATTTGATCAGATATTTAGGTATTTGCGTATTTGCTAGTAATGACCGTGTCTGAATACGTGTTTGCCACGTGTTTGATCTATATCTTTGCTTTAAGCAGCTGATTTACTGAACCATCTTTGCAGATTAGCATTCGAATAAGCTATGGAACAGGTGGATTATATAGAGATCCAGGCATATAGTAAAGAGGCTACTCAAGACATCTCGCTACTACGAAAGAGAAAAACTCATTGGAATGACACGTTATCGAAATATGTATCAGTCACCAAGAGATCAAGGACAACAGTAAATGGTGATGACAAGGATGATAAAATGGAAGAACGAAAGGTCATTCAATCGCATGCTGAACCAAGCTCCAATGTAACTCATGATCGGGTCATCTCTGATCTAGTCGTAACGTTGCTATCGTCAAATCACACGAGCCTGCCCATTTCACTGCCATTCTTACTCACTCTGTAAGTAGGGCAGCATCAGGATGACCATTTTGCATTGTTTTGCTGTCTTTCGGGACGATTGCTGTCTTTTCGAAAGATCCAAGTATTGCTAAACCTGAGCTTGACCCAACAATGCCAACACACACCGTCTCGTTTACGTATAGCCTCTTGCAACAAGAACAATCCTTGACTACTCAACCTGCTGCTACCTTTGTAGTAACAGAGGCACAAGTCACTCTCATCTTACAAAAGCTACGAGGTCAAGGAAGCGTCATACTTGACAGTGTCAAGTTAAATGATTCCGATACTGAGGATACTCTGATCATCGTTGATGCTGGCCGAACAAGGTACGTATTCATGCTTATAAGTGGTTGCAAGAGTAGTACCGAGAGTGTGGTCAAGTCAGAAGTTGTACGCCATATTTCCTGTTACCTGATTGTGATTTTTTGCCGGTTTACGTTCCTCTCCTACCAGCAACACGTCTTCTGCTCATCGCTCACACCCAATGTTTTTCAAAACATAGTCGTCATTTGCCTCTTCGACACGTCACAATCCCATCACCATCAAACAACAACAAGTCACCAAACATTCCAAGGCTCGACATCTGGACCGGCTCAAACCCTGATCTTAAGGAAGCCGAAGATCTACTCGCCAAGAAATCATTCCGTGAAACTCAAGTTGAATCGGTTTGGAGTGCCATTGATTATATGATCAACAAGCCTACTGCGAAATCGCAACTCGTTAATGAAAAGGTAAAAAATAATAATAATACTATGGAATCGCGTCATTTCAGTATTGTGGTGTATCTCCCTCATTCTCTCGTAATACCATGCAGTTATGAACTGTTATGTCTTGTTCTAACTGAACTAATCATCATCACACCAAACTCTAGTTGAAGGGCAAGGAGGATGTATCTTTCCGAGAATTTTGTGAATGGGGTTTACGAATTGAGTGTAGACGAAGATGTGCTCCTGGTGTCCATTGCTCAAAGGTATGTTTCCTTCTGGTAGAAAGGAAAACTTGCGAATGGCGAAAGTGGAGCTGAAAGCATGTTCCCAATCCACTCTCCGTGGTAGTGCCTCTTTTGCGCTCATCGCCAACACCTTTTTTGGTGCATACTAGCTACACTTTCGTCGAATCATGCTTCCTCAAACTGACATTAAGCTTGGTGATTGCTCATATCTGAATACCTGTCATCACATGGACAACTGCAAATTCGTTCACTATGAATTTGATGAGAATGTGAGGGGTGATATTGAGCGACCTCTTCCGGTAAGATTCTTGGACGTGCATGAATACTAATTTCTTTTGCTCATTCCCCTCACCTCGTTTCTTAGATTTTGAACGTTGGAAAGCCTGTAAGTTTTGTAGGGATCAGCGTTGTTGTTGGTGCTCTTCAAACTCGAGTCGTATGGAGTTACCAAGGTCGACTGGAGCTGAATCGTTCAAGACATCTCATAAAGTTTTTGTCCATATATAGCTGCCAGCTCAATGGATCAACTGTGATGTTCGACGACTGGACTACACCATTTTGGGTAAATTCTCAGTCATTATGGCCGATCCTCCTTGGGATATCCATATGCAAGTACGACAAAATGACGGTTTTTTGTACGTCGAAAACGACCTCAAACCACACATCGCTTGCTCACTTTTACAACCAGTTACCATATGGAACAATGACGGACGAAGAAATGAGAAGCATGCCAATCTCAGTCCTTCAAGATGAAGGCTTCATCTTCCTATGGGTTACAGGTCGAGCTATCGAACTAGGTCGAGAATGTCTGACGACATGGGGCTATGATCGTGTTGATGAATTGATCTGGGTCAAGACCAATCAATTACAGAAACTGATTCGAACTGGTCGGACTGGACATTGGTTTAATCACTCCAAGGAACATTGTATTATCGGTGTTAAGGGCAATCCCACATGGCATAATCCTGGTGTTGATACTGATGTTTTGGTTGCTGAGGTGAGTATCCTTGTATGTGAGGTTGTTTTTTTTCTGGTGTTTCGCCTCTTGCGTGTCAAGGGGCCTTGTTGTCTTAGTGACAGTCCTGAGACAAGAGCGGCCACGAGGACCAACACGTACAGCGACTTACGATTGGGCTCCTGCTCTAGGTTCGAGAGACATCATGGAAGCCTGATGAGATATACGGTCTGATTGATCGATTGTCACCTGGTACACGAAAACTCGAGATATTTGGAAGACAACACAATACTCGTGATGGTTGGATGACTCTTGGGAATCAGCTGGATGCTGTGAGGATTTATGAACCTGATGTCTTGGTATATTGAACGTTCTCATGTGATACTCGCGCTCGTCGAGCCCTCATAAGCTAGATCGTTAACAAAATCAATATATAATATTGTAGGAACGATACAACGCAGCATACCCAGATCACAAGGTTACTCTTTGCAAGCTTCCATACTAGTTGGCTTCACACGAACTGTATTCTCAAGAGACTAGTTTTACTTGACAAAGGCCGTTATTGAGCAGAAGATTTATCATTGCCATGATTGCCATGGTTGCGAGGATGGTGTCGTCAATGTCGACATGATCTTGATGTCTTCGTTTTGGCAAAATTCGAAACTTGCTTGCCAAGCATATACTCATAGCATGCGAGTCCATGCGTGAATACTACTCGCGCGACAACTATGATAGCTGGAACCATTGCGAGTGCCCCAAAAATGACTCCATTGTCATGTCCAAAACGGAATGACGTGGCGGTCGACACACATCATGTCAGTGTTATTTGGTGAACTTCTATGGTGAATTTATTTATTGTGAACAGTGTTATTTGGACTCATTTCCAGGGACATCAAAAACATTAAACTTTTGAATGTTGTTGCAGTTTCGCATCGCAAAACTATGTTCCCTATTTTGCAGACTACATATTAACTCTTCACTCGCATAGGCCTATAATTCAACCGGTCTTCAGTTGGCTTCATGAAACACACCAAACCAATTCAGCACCCCCACCCAATTCAGCAATCCCAACCACTCCATCCAAAGTTTCATGGACCAATTGAAGTTCCTGTTGTTTGCATATAGCACGAAGAGACCATTGCGTGGTTTGCTGCCCAAGCGTGAGATTTGTCTTTTCTTCCAAAACACAATTGAGGACACACACCTCACCAGTGGATGGGCACCTGGAAAGAACGTCCAATGTTGCTGATTACCATTATATATTGTGTGCCGGTGATGTTTAGCGAAGCAACTTACGAGCCTGATTCCCTTGATGTCAGGTATGTTTTGATGGAGCTTTGATATTTCTTGCCATTTCATTCCGTATACTCACTCTGCCTCCGATTATCAAATAGTTTTACGGCGTGCTGTATGCTGACAGGACTAGATAGAGTAAACCCATTCAAGAGTACGGGTCAAGTAGCCTTTCTGGATACAAGGGAATTACCTAATGCCAACTCTGCTCACGTCAAGCATTTTCAAAGTAAGAATGAGGTAAGAACAAGGCTTTTTGAAGTAAGCACTTAGCACTTAAATTGGCTCCAACTTCTAGGCGGATGATGCGGTGGACTCTTTTCCTTAAGTCTGGAGATATTTAGAACGCTTCTAAGGACAACAGTCTGGCAGGACTATTCTAGGATAAAAACTGCTAGGACTATTTGTAATGGTAACGAACTCTGTTATATATTTTGAACGCGGAAATGGACATCTATAGTATCGCTCTTACAATACAATATTTCGGTTTCCAAGCTACGGAATTCTTGTCTGATCTATGGTCTATGGATCCGTTCACGTCCCTCTACTACCCGATTCTTACGCCTTCTAAGATTCACCTTCGAAAAGCAGTAACGCAGACAAAACTGGGTAATTTGGATGCGTCGGAAAAGGGCCAAAGCAGGAACATATAGACAATATTCTATTGTTTCCTATGACCTTCGCAGAGGCTATACCTCGTGAATACCGTCGAGTTCTCCACTACCGTAAGGAACGACAACAGCGCCTTCAGCTATAGAAGGCAAGAGCGAAGCAACCCAGCGTGGGGGAGCATCTCAAATGTCATGGTAAGTAATCCATCCATAGGCACAGCCAGTTCAATTTGCTTGAAACGTTGCAAGAGCTTCGAGTTTCGCTTTCTTATCGCATTTCTGTGCTAACTACATCGTTGGGGGGTAATAGGGCCATTTACGGCTTCACCATCGATCAAAATCAAAGCCTGGATGACTTCTCTCTTTGCTTGAGTGTCTTCGGACTCCCATTCCACGACATCAAACTCAAGATCAACACTTTTGTCATCTTGTCGTTTCTTCAAATAATTGTCATATTGATGGTTCTAGTCTGCAGAGCCTTTACTAAACTTTGGCTCGCTTAGCACTGTCATTCAACTGGCCTTCGGTTGGGTTCATGAAACACCTCAAAACCGTTCAGCACCCCCACCCAAATCAAAAACTCGAGTGAACTCACTCCCAACTCACTCCATCCGAAGTTTCATGAGCCAACCGAAGTTCCGGTGGGTTGTTTATACCACGACGAGACCTTTGCATGGATTGCTTCTCAAGCTTGAGATTTTTCTTCTCTTCAAAAGAAAACTTAAGGACACGCACCTCACCAGTGGATGAGCACCTGGGAAGAGCGTCAGACTACCAGGCCCGAGGTGCGCCAGGGATGGTTTGGCGAAGCAGCTTACAAGTCTGATTCCCTCGCTGTCAGGTAGAACTTTTGCATTTTCAGCTATTTCATTGCGATTAGGTTGCACAGTTGCTCTCCCTTTACTAGTTGTGACGGCCTGCTGCATTGCTGACAAGACTGGAGTAGACCCATTCACAACTGACGGATCAAGGGGCCTTTTTGGATGCAAGGGAATGTAGGTGACGTCGGCTCTGCTTACGTCAAGAACCTTTTGCGTCGGGATGAGGTAAGAACAAGCTGGTGCGAGTTCAGTACTTGATCTGACAAAAAACTTTAATCGACCAGCTTATGGACATTGGTGCTGCTTCTCTCTCAAGCCTACGAGAGATCCCCCTTGCAAGGGCAGATGGGTTGCAGGACTACTTAGGAATGAGGCTTGCTTGGACTGTTGTGACGAATTCAGCTTCTTAGTTGGCCTTTGAAATAGATATAAAGTTACCCCAATTCTTGCTCAAGTCCTAATTCTGAAGAACGGTATAAAATGATAAGAGTTCTTATATGAATCTTCCGGGACGTTCCATGACACGTGTTGACACTTGCTTCGCTTTTTTGGACTTGATGTACTCGCTATTGTTGGCTTCGCACGTGTTGGACTCTTGTCGTTGCTGCTATTGGTGTTGTCGCCTACTCATTGCATGGCACTATTGCCAAGTCATCTTCTTTCCGCAAAGTAAGAGAACATCCAGATCACGTCCCGCTTTTGACAATGATGAATCTTCTACTCAATTTCGGCCATTGTCAAGTTTAGACTTTTTTGAATACTGTAAGTGTGATGCCAACAAATATGGAACCTTGCAACGTGTAACCTAGTGCAACCTAGGGATCTGGATATGCTGAATTCTATCATTTCTACATCATTCGGTTGGGGTTTGTTAACGGTCCACTTCATGAGGTGGAAAGGACGTGCACAACATGCTTACCACAACATCAGGTTCTTTCTACTAACAGCACCCAGTCGATTCCCAAGAGCCAACCAATTCAACCTTCACTAGAGCTGTTCACCACCAGGAGTGTCCACTTTTTGAATATTTAGAGCTTTGTAAGACTCCGACAGCATCCTCATGATTTCACCATGGGATGCTCCACCATTCTGCTCTCTGGTGGCTTTGAAGTGGTCCTGCAATTTTTGAGTTCGTACGTTTTCTTTTAGCTTCGTATCATGGTAATACGTGAAGTCGTGAGTCTCGATCGTTACCTTGACATGCAAAGCAAACTTTGAAGGTGCTCTGGGAGTCCCGTCCTTTTTGGTATCAGACTGCCTTGCCAACAATATCAGCCTGGAGTTACAAACTCCGCAAGCTTGTTTGGTCGTGTCAATAGATTTGGAATGTCGACAATATCTAAAAACGAAGCTAACGCTGTAAGAAAACAAGCAGTGCAATGCAGTGACATGACAATAATGCTTCGCTTTTTTTGTTCTTAACAGCTCCAACCAACCTCAACAAAACTTACACTTTACAGCACAAGGAGTTCGTGCATTGATAATGAAACTTGTAGGAAATCTCGTAAGAATGAAGTGTCGTAACTTCAATGTCAGCATACTGTCGTTCCGCTCGAGTGCCCCATTTCTTGAATACTCCTCCGTGAGGAGGTTTATTCGAGGCATCGACTATCCAGGACGCCGCATGACATAGCTCGTGAATGAGAGTATTTCGTAGCTTGTATTCCTCATCGATAACTTTACTCGATAATTCAATTCTAGCCAACCGAACGACTTCTCCGTTTCGCATTTCCCTAATGTAAGGTGTGATATCGTCAGAGGCCTGCATGGTACTTCATCAAGTTTTGAATAGCAGGACTGAAGTTCAAAGAAGACACGTTCACAAACGTACTGCCTAGTCCAAGTCCTTCCAGCTGTCTTGTTCAACTTAACAGACCACGTGATTGCCACATCGTTGAGACGGTTTCCAAAGACTCGAGTATTGAATTCTGCATACAAACTTTGAGCCATAGATTCACGGGTCTGTTTGAACTTCTTTGATGCTGGTGTTGCACTAGGAAGTTTGGCTAAAAACAGGAAGGCCACTTTGTTGTTGTTTGAGACAATGTTAATCAAGTGCACACGTTACATACGTGTAGCTCTCATCAAAGGGGTCGAGACAGTATGTTTCAAGTCTGGTGACCAAGCTTTTTTGGTAACAGGACGAGTACTGCTCGGTTCACTAAAACACAAAATGTGTCAAACGGATGTGGCGATAGAAATTGAAAGGCACCGTGCAAACCACATACAAGTGTAAGTATCCATCAGAATTCTCATCCTGATTCTCCTTGTCTTCAACATCATCACAGTTCTTTACAACTGCTTTGCCCTTAACATCACGACCAACTATACGCACATTAACCTCCTCCTCGTCATCATCTGAGTCATCTAGATTAACAGCATATACCGGTTTTGGCACCCTTCTCGAAATCACTTTCACAGACTCTTCGGATTCACTAGACGAATCATGAATGACAAAAGGTTCACGATGCACTGGTTGTAATGGTGCTGGGTTTAATGGACGAATGTGAGTTTTGGATGGTGGTTGAGAGTGTGACAAGACAAGTACTTCGTCTTCATCATCCTCCGAGATGATGGCACGTTTACTCTTCTGTGGACGTTTTTTATATAATGCTGGTGATGGTCCTTCGTCCTGTTCTACCAAACTAACGTACTGGTCGTCACGGGGATCTGGAGAGGTTGAATTTTGACAATTTATAAGGTCTACTCGTGCTTTATGAGGGGAATTTACTTCTTCGTCGTCTTCTGCGTCGGCTTCTTCATCTTCATCAGAGGAAACGACGACTCTCCTTCGAGCTGCAGGTGTACCTCTACGTCCAAACAACTTTATAGGCGATTCCTCCTCACTTTCTGCCCCTCTAGTTGGCGTTTCAGAAGGATTCGCTCCTGTTTCTATGGTATCGTCATCGCCATCATCGAGTTGATTTATAGGATCTACATCACTTTCATTATGTGCTGAATTTAAATCAGGCTCTTGATTTAGATCAGATACTTCCGATGAAGGATCTGACTGCTGCTGTGATTCATCTTGTTGTGTCTCATCTTCATCTACTTCAGGACCATGCTGCTCATCATCATCCGTTACACGTAAATCCTCCGATATCTGCAGATGTTCGAAACCAAGTTCTTCATAATCATTCTGATAATGATAGTCATCATTTAACCCTCCATCAACATCATTATACACTGGGGTAACTTGAATCGATTGCTGAGGCGATGATGCATGTTCAGATGGTGTGGTATAAGCCGATGACGTAGGAGATACAGATATCTTACGTGGATCTGTAGGCGACGGCGAAGAATCGATGATATTTCCGGGAGTACAGTATGGCGTTGCTGTGACAGTGACTGTAGGTAAATCACGACGGCGTATGGGTTGAGGAGGCGTGATGGTACTCGTAGCGATATTGGCGGTAGTATGATGAGATGTAGTTCCTATCTTGAATGGACCTTCTTCCCAAACTTGCTTAACCAGTCGTTTTCGAGGTGTTTTGCGCTTCGTTACGAACGAATCTAGTAGATAATTAGCAGCAAAACATGTCAAAATATTGCATAAAATCATAATGAACGTGGTTTCCTCCAGATCAAACGAACAAATAATGTTCAATCACATTCACCATCAAAACCCAAATGTTGATTTGCAGACAATGGCTGCAACGTTTCGAATCCTTCATCTAAATCATCACCAACAAGTCCACCAGAAGCTATAGCGCCTTGACTTGGCTCTTCGTTCGTAGCTGTACCAACTTTGTCGTCATCGTCTTCCTCGTCGAAAGCTTTCACTTTCTGATATATGGAAAGCCTGCGTCTTACGGGAGCATCCGATAGTGGGATCAATTGTGTTTCGCTCATTATGGCAGTCTCCCCGTCCTCTTCGTCCCCAGAAAGCATTGGATCAAGCGAAGTGAAGTGTGTTTGCTTAGGGTGTTTTGGACGGTTAGGTTTAAGCAAAACCGAATAACAACACTAAAATACGAGGCAGAACGCCGTACACTGAATGCTGAAGCTTATATTATGAATATTACGTGTACTAATCTTGCATCGCGAGGTTCTAAATAATATACGAGTGCTAATGCTACAAATCATGGCCAACCAGACCCTTCACCAGCTGTTGTGATAGTCACATTATTCTCATCACTTGGTGGTGTTAACTGACTCATTTGAGTACCAGGCCCAAACAAATCAATTTGAGCTGGTGTTCTCTTCACAGAAGGTTTCTTTTTTCGCGCAGCCTTCTCTTCAAATGCTCCATGACACAGCGAGGCAATGTCATCATCGTTCGAGACGCCTGCCTGTACTAGGTCGAGAAGTTCCATTGGCACTACTACACCAGAGTCATATTCTATTGATTTGGTAGTTGATATGCCAAACAAAAGAGAGCCAAATGGTGAATAATGTAGCAGGCACTTACTTTTGCAATGATCATTAATCACTCGTGACCATAAACGTGAACGAGAAAGCAAGCCTGCATTTCCAAGCACAAACAAGTGACGTTTTGCTCGAGTAAGCGCAACATTGACTCTCCTAAACATGCTCATTGTCAGATATCATTGTTTCAAAACTTGCAAAGACTATTGGTATCACCTCGTTTCATCAATGAATCCAATATTCTCAGTCCTGACTGTTGAGAGTATGATGACTGACTTCTCAGCCCCTTGGAACGCATCAACGGTGGATACCTGGACAGGACTCTTTCTCGATCCACCTCGCAAAGCTGTATCAATGCTGTCAGCTTGACCCTTGTCTATCATATGAAGAATTTCAGCAAGTTTGAGGGAAAACAGATTATTGTACAGAAAAAAAGTCAAGCGCAAGAGATCGAATGCGAAACTTACACAAACAAATCACACCAATCTCCGCAGCAGGAATCCTTCGCTTCAACAATGCATTGACCAATCGTACAGCAACATCACATTCTTTCGGATTACAGTACGTCCCACCTCGTTGGTGTTCTTCATTTCCATTTTCTACATCAACAAACGCCAAAGTCGGTAGTCCTTCAATCAAAGGCGTCAGATCTTCCTCTGTACATCCATTGATTAACGTGTTGCCATAAAAGAGTTCATTGGCGATACTGGAAATGCGAGGATGACACTATAAAATAAGGGCAATGTTAAAACTGACAGAGACTTCTCCAGAACAAAAAATATGCATGTAGTATACATAATATGCATACTCGATATTGCACTCGAAGCCGAATCGGTTTCATTCCTATGTCTGCAAGGCGTTCAAACATTGTTCGACCAAGACCAGTAGAAATGGCTGATTCTGAATTCAGTGTTGGTGGCAATTGCTTTGGATCGCCAACCAATATCTAGAAGCAATGACTGTAAATGAAATGTATCCAGTAAAAAAAGCGCCCGAGCACATATGACCTACAGCCTTGGAGCAGTTGAATTGCTTTATGGGACACAACGATAGAGGTTCCGGAATTTGACTGCTTTCATCCAATATGACAATATCAAACTCTTTCTACAAGTAGCGCGAAAAAAATGAAAAATTATAAAGGCGTACCAAACTTCCAAACAGGAAATACACTCACATCCTTGACGGCTTCAAAGCTGGTAGCTATACATGTTATACCCATCAAGAAGGCAGAATTTATAGCTTCTCTGCCTTTGTCTGATTTGAATCGCGCAATGGCCTTTTTAACATCACGATCATCTCCTTCGCCATCATTATCATCACCGTCTCCTCCTTCATCATGTCTTGAAACGAGCTCTTTAATCTCTAAATGTTGCTCGCTCCAAGTTAGACAGATCGAGGAAAGAAAGATTAGTCGTGAGGCTTTAATGCACAAACCTTCTTGTGACGGCTTGACTTGACCAGCAAATGGCAAAAGCTTTTTTGAAATCCTTTTCAGACTACCAACACGTACAAAGTCTCTAAACCCGAGTTTCAAAAGGCCTAGTAGTACTCGATCGACGGCAACTAAACCTCAAACGTCAGAAAGTATTTGCAGAGAACAGGAAAAAACTAACGCAGACGGAAGCCATGCCAGAAATCGCTCACCATTTGTCATTGACGCAAAGGCTACTCGAAACTTCTCTTTTGACGTCATCTCCTTGGTTGTCAGACCAGCATCCGCGACTCGTTTCAAAAAGATAATCAACACCATCAACAAGAAACTCTTGCCGGATCCAAATACACCATGTACTAGAGTGACATGGGATCCACCAGAGACACTAGCAGCAAAAGCATTCAATACCGCAGTTTGATCGGCGTTCAATTTATATTCCTTGCCCACGTCGTCTCTGATTTTTAGAAATTTGGGCATTTCACGATTTATAATCAGCGAAGAGTTCATGGCAGGGCTCACAAACCCATTGGTTGATGAGCCGGCGCGAGTCAATGGTCCTTTTGTTGAGGCAGTAGTAGTTTGCTTGCCGTCCAGTAGATATGGAATCAAACGGCCTCTGGCCTTCGATTCAAGGTTCTGGATCATGATGTCTTCGGAGCTGGCTTCACATAATCGTATGGCGTAGAGTGCTCTTTCGCCTGAAGAGACTGAAGCTATTGTTGAGGCAATTCTTAGATCCTCAGGAGAGTATGGCACCAGCTGTTGAAAGATGAATTGTGAGATTCAGCGATTTGTTTTGCTTGAGAGTTATTCGTACTCACGTCTAATGACATATTTGACAATCCATAAAAGAATGTCTTGGCAAAAAAGGTTTCGTCCTTGATAAAGTCGATAGAGTTCGAGACCACCCAAATGGTGCCTATTACATTTCATATTCAGCGTAACGGCGACAGCGAGAAAAAAATTGTGAATTGATGTTAACATGCCTTTGGAGTAAGCTGCATTTGGTTCCTTTCTTGAGACACCCAACACGAAATGAGCTTCGTTCGCTGGACGACCTCCCTGTCCTCCTGCGAATGACGGCAGAGACCGGCGTCTACGGATTAATCTTGTGAGATAGTGATATGACTCGTATTGTGAAAAGACACTTACTCAAGAGAGCATCTTGCGTATATTGGAGTTCCTGACTTCTCAACTGATTTGACCAAATCATCACCACGATGAGATGCAACAGCCTTGCGAAAAGCGACAGCAATGTTGGATATTTGAATCTAGACAAAACACAACGAAAGTTTCAGCCTATATAGATATTTCTGTATGAGATGGGAAAGTGGAAAGCTCATCACTTTACTTGCAAACATTCCGTGATTGCATTGACAAAGGCAGTGCGATATTGGTCCTTGTTGGCAAACCGTGTTGGAATATCCGACACACGTAATAATCTACGCTGACCCATTTTTTGACATTCTAGAGCACATAAAGATAACGTTTGTGCCTGGAATATTGAGTACGACTCGGAATAGGTTTAACAACACACTCACCTTCTGCGGTCGGAAAGCGTAAGAACCGAGAGTTTGGTGGTATCATGGGTGTCCTACTCGGAAACGAGGTGAGTAATTATATTAAGCGTTAACCCCTTTATTTGTGCTTACACAATCACAGGACTTGATACCACTTCTCCTGGTACCACAACACCAATTTCTGGCAGTCCCTGTGCTAGGTCCACTTCCTGATCAAACTCATTCATTTCAAATTCAAGTTCAGGCATTTCCAACATATCAGAGCCCCCATCAACATAATCATCACTATTACTATAGTTGTCATTGATGGGGTGCAATACAGCTTGATAGAAGTCTTTACTTGTACCGACACCTTGCAATTCCAGAATACGAGGTGGTGGTTGCTGCTGTCCATCTACCTGATTGGCAGCACCTTCAACCACATTATCAAGATCTAGACCAAAGACTTCTAAATCGAAATTCCAATCCATTAATTTATCGTCCAAGCCAGCTTCGATAAGAGGTGCTGCTGGTGGTAGATTATTTTTCAAATCTCGTAAAGCAGCATTTAATGGGCTTTCAATTACTTGCTGTTTAATGTCAGATGGAAGATCAAGGCCAAACCCAAAAGTTCGAACAACTGGTGGATTTGATGGTCTTGCTATGTTATCTCTAGTGTCGTACTGTTTGGTGTCAACTCGAGGTACTGGTTTCTGTTGGTTTGTGATGGTTGGCTGCAATACTCTGAGACGGCTATCTATCATTTTCTCCTTCAACTTCATCAATGCTTCGGTAGCCGTCAGCTTGAGTCCATTTATATGAGGTTCAACAGGATTATTATTTACACCAACTGATTGCTCCATCATTCCGAGGTTTCGTTTCGGTGATACTCGAGCTGGCGTACTACCAAAGTCGAGTATAGCATCCAGATCGTCCATAGGATCATCAACCAAATAGCCAATAATAGATGCAGGTGGAACGGGTCTAACTAGTGTGGATTCACGTCCTTGGACTACTGGTGCTTCCGACCGAGTGACTGGTACTGGTGTTTCTACTACCGTATCAACTAGCGGTGGACGACTGAATTCAGCCATAATCTCAGCCATGGTCTTTGTCTTTTTGGCGGGAGGTGGTCCATCAACAAGAGCCTCCTGCCCTGTACTTGTTTTCACATTCTGGAAGTCTGTGTTTGACGTAGACACGGGATTAGACGCTGACACGGGTGCTAGACGTGATAAACCAGGGTGTCGCCGTGCTAATGGAATTGGTAGGGTTGGAGGACTTGGCTGGCAAGGTTGATCTACAGTCACTGCAGCAACTACAAACGGAGATGCCGTTGGTGCCGGCGCTAGTGGAGGAGGCTGTAGATCCTCACGATCAGCACGAGCTGATGAAGGCTGATTTGCATCTGGCGAGACACGTGGAGTAGTTCGTGGTCGACCTGCAAGAACTTTTCGAATAATGGGAGCATGAGCTGTTACGACCTAAGGTGTAAGCAAACTTCAATAAACGAGAGCGGTAACCAAAATTTGTGAAACGTTCCAAGATATTTACAGGTGGCTCTACAGGCTTCCCATCAGCCGAAAGAGCCTTTTCAACTTCAACAAGGAATCGATCAAACTGAACTTCAGCTCCCGATTCGAACGAGATTGATGCGTTTACAAATAGACTAGGGAATGATGGAAATATTAGGAGAATATCAAGCGTAGTACTATCAATATCGAGCTGTCTTTTTACCTGTCGAGTTTGATCTTCCTGTCATCATAAAGTACTGCCCTTGATGAATCCACTGTGATGATGCCATCATTCCAAGTCTTGCGCTTCTTCTACGAGATATGTAATATAACATTAAATCAATAAAGAGAAATTAGCACTTTATGCATCTGAATCCTGTCAAGATCAAGCTAAAACTATTGCGAAAACTCCAACCAGAAACTTACATCCTTGTACATGTTGGAACACCACAGAACTTGATAGGAAGTCATGGCGCTCTCCTGAGATATGATTAGATGGGACTTTCTCGTTCTTCCGTCTGTTACTAGTGTTGAGCTTCATTCAATAGCGGGTGTGTATCATTGTCGAATTGAGCCCAGTATTCAAGCTTACGCGGTTAACACGTTTATACGATCACAGGGAACTATGTATAATGCAAATTACAGACTACAGAGATCTTAAATCTTACATAACTACAAACACGTTGTCCGTTTATCCTTATTATTACCTAGTCATCATCATCATAGTCATCATCATCGTCAACTTTAGCCTTACGCGATCGTGCTGGTGGTTTCTTGGCCGCCACTCGAGGGGAAGCTTGCTTGCCCTTAGTCTTCTTCTTTTTCGATGTTACAGTCTCCACAGATACGTCAATCGAAACGTCAGACTGCCGTTTCTGTTTATCTAGCAGTAGATGACCAACGTCAGTACTCGAAAGATCATTTCACGATACCAAAACAACAATCAGTTTTGTGTGTGTGATTTACTTCGTGATGTCTCGGCAGCAGGTTGCTCAACAGAAGCACGTTGTTCAGTAGCAGTAGGAGTTGGTATAGTATTTGAGCCAGTGTTGGCAGAGCTGGAAGCGGTCAGGACTATTGTGTCATATTAGTAACTTTCTGACAGCTTGAACATAAAAGTGTTAAATTCAACTTACGTGGACCGACTTCTGGAGCAAATCCTGGCAAAGGGTCGAAAGAGAAGGACATTTGTAATTGACGAGCTTGATACTCTCGCAGCGTTTGAGCATACATTTGCAACGACTCTACAGAAAGTGTCGGATGTTTTAGCCAACATGTCTCAAATCCAATGAGGGTTGCGACGCTTACGTATGGGTCCACTTGACGAGTTAAGGTTGAAATTTATCAGCTCTCGCATCTGTCCTACAACTTCGGCAATCTACACCGGAACAGTGTTAGCGTCAAAGTAACTTCAGTATGCTCTTCAATCCTTCACACCTCTAAACATCGCATCGTCCGGACTGTAATGCCAAATTCATTCACAGGTGAATCTGGTAGTGGTTTCTGACCCGTTGCACTTCCTTGTTGATTTGGGCGAACACCGGGCTTCTGCGGCAGCTGTGACCGTTGCCGGTCATTGTCTTGGGGATCAGTTTCAGGGGCAACAAGAGCCCGTGGAATGTATTCAATATGTTTTGTCGTTATAAACTCGAATGTCTCAATCTTGACCTTGTCATTAAAGACAACTCGTAGTCGGCCCGCGGCGAATAACTAATGTTTTATAATATGTTAGCTCCCTCCAACTAGGCAAGGGACGAGGTAGACTCACCTGGACTCCATTGTCAAAATGATATATGATGGATGCTCTTGGAGCTTCCACTATAGATCCGGAATGCGGCGGAGGAGTAGTGGATTCACGAACCTGCTCCACCACTAGCTGAATGTGGCCCACTCCCGATTCTGAATTTACTTGAAAATACCTTGGAAGTATGGCTACTCCCATGTCTACCAGGGATGAATAAGGAATCAGCGAATAATGAATATCGAAAATTCGTGAGCTGCAGAAGTGTACCAAAATTTCGGGCCTCCCTATGCTGTGAATTCCACAACGTGTACTTGAGTATTCCAGTTGGCGAGTAAAACTCATTTACAAACATCTTCCAATAATTTATATTCGTCTTGTGCTATTTGAAAATGCAGGCATCAATCTAAAGTGATCTAGAATTACTGACAAAACCTCTTACTTCTGGTGGTGGGTTGAGGAATTCTGAATAATGTAATAGTCTAGATAGCCCCGATTGCGGTGAGTTCGTTGATCTAATAGAAAACACACGCTCAGCCGTCGTTTGCACTGTCGGGCAACAACTTACAAACAGCACTCACGGAATGTACGAGTTCGAAGCAGTTCTTGCAATTATCGGATCATCGAGAGGTGGTGTAGGTGCTTGCACCGGGCTCATATACGAGTGTGGTATCTGCTGCTGAGGATATGTCGGTGCTCCCTGTGGCAGAAAAGCCTGTGATGAGGTCGCCATGTGTGGTTGTTGTGAAGGAATATGGACTTGTTGCTGCTGTTGAGGTTGAGGAGAATAGATAGACGGGCTAACTATACTCTGGTGGTTCATACTGAGAGACCGTGTTATAATCTGGGGAGGGACCATATGATTTGGCCTGTCCGTATACGCCTGGACTTGATACATTGTCTGCTGAGGTTGCACGGTTGATGTTTGGGGAAGAAACGGTGCCTGTGCTGTAAATCCAGGTATAGTGGGAGCCATTCCTCCATGATTCTGCTGCATCTGCATGTAAGGACTGCCATTGTAAGGTGGTGGGCGTTGGGCACTGTAAATTTGTTGTTGGTGCGTTTGTTGGCCATTGTATTGTTGCTGGCCTGGCGCTGAAGCCATACAGCACCGTTAAGGGATGTGAAAGACGACTATAATATATCGTCCAACTCTCCTGTAACTTGCTCGATTGGTCCGCGGTGTGAAAAACAAAAAATGAAATTTTGGATCGTTGTCTTGGACTATTTTGCACGCGTTTTGACCTGGAACGGCTGAGCAGTGGTCGACACACGCAACTGGCCGACTAGACTTATCCAAATTACAAGTTAGAGATAGCGAGGACCCGGATATCGTTCCTCACGGCAGGAACTGGACGCGAAACAAAGGCAGTACAATGTGTTGCCAGATCCCAGCATCATTGAACCCTTGCATCTGCTACTATAGTTCGTGATACTGAATTTACTAGTGAATAATACGACGTCGGTTAAAAACTAGATATTTTTTACGATGATTCTTGAATCCAATTGATAATGTCCTCAATACCGCTAATCTCGTCTTCTGTACCAGCTAGGCATGACTTGACAAATGTAATGTCGCTCGGTACGTGATCAAACTTGAACGCCTCATTGTCAAACCCCAAATACACTTCTTCTTGTCCACCACTATCCTGTTTATCCAAGGCTGCTGCTCTGGTTGCTCGAAGCTTGTCTCTACATAAAAATGATTTGTGTTAGCAAACGATTCATATCGCTGTGGATCTCATGAGTTTTACATTTCCGTTTCCAGCAACGTTCGAATCTTGCCCTCAGAAGCAGCCAGCAAATGATCCGACTTGTTGCAAACCACAAGTATAGGTATCGGTTTGGGTACCGTAGCATGTCGATTTGCCAATATATCATATAAATATTCAGCGGATCTTCGTACTTGTTGTGTAATCGTCGAAGAATCCACTACAAAAATGATTGCTCGTGCGATCGGTAGGAATTCTGCAAACCTGTACCGTAACTTTTCGTGGCCTGGCACATCTACAATGTGGATTGGTGCATTTGCCTTGTCGGCATTCTAAGTTTGATAAAAACGTCTCGTTGGCACCTTGCGATTTTGGAATATTGCGATGCCAAACCTCCGTGTGTAAGGCAAAAAGCCCTTCGTTTTCTTGCATTGATGTATGCGTAGGTTTTATTCTTCCATATCGTAACTAGGCGAGTTAGTACAATGCGTATATCAGTGGATCATCACAAAATGTTAACAACAAATGTCTGCGAGTTTGTTGCAACGTACACGAAGGTATAGGGTAGTTTTGCCAGCATCTGAGAGGCCAGTGATCAGGAATGTGTCTCTGCGACTGGTAGCCTTCCTGAAATAGCTCAATATCACAACTAGCACAGTGGGTGGAAATGGTCAACAAACATTCCGTGCAAGTTTCGACGAGATTGCCTTACCAATCGTGACAGCAAGTACGGCAACCAACACAAATATGAGTGCCGAATCGAGGTATACGTCTCCCAGGATCATCGTAATGCTGATACGGCGCAAATGGCGTCAAAAGTTCAATTCGAATTATCAAACGCACATTTACAAACGACAACGCAGGTTTCAGCGTGAGTTTACGTGTATTTCCAGATTAGATATATACAGAAACAGAAATCCTCGTATCAACACACTAAAACTGACCGCTCTTTTGTTCTAAACTGACATTCCACGGGCACGACCCTCCACTTGCCGTCCCACACTATTGATTGCAGCTTCATGCCGCCTCCAAAACGATTGTTTCCATGCTTTCAAATGTGCTTCTCTATACAAGGGATCTGCAGGTAATATTGCCTCGGCAGGTGGTTGCCATTTCAGGACGTTCGTCAACGTTTTTAGCGATGGCCTTCGTTTCCTTTGTTTTCGTTTATGGTCGGAATGGATAGACCCTCTCCTGTTGTCATTGGCTGATTTGAATCTTACTCCTCGTGAATTGCCACCACCACTGATACTCTTGCCACTACTATCTTTTTGACCTGTTATATCTTCAAGGTCCTTGGCAGTGATGCTCTGCCTGCTCTTGTTGCTTTCAAAGCTTTTCGAGCTGCGTAACATGGCACTGGGTAGTCTCGGAGCTTCCGTATTTTGGCTGTTGTGGGTGAATGATCTGAGTGATGACTGGCTTGGTCTGCGACGGTCAGCTTTGAGGAGAGGGTTCTGAAGGTTGGAATTGGATGATGGGTTGCCGACCTGAAGGAGAGAATTACTCTGTATGTATGAGGGATTTCGTGACGCACGGCGGGAAGTGGGTGAATGAACGATAACATTCTCTTGGCTTCCATCGGAATCTGATTCTTCTAGGAAAGAATCTGTGCCGCTATCACTCTCATTTCGACTACTGTTTTCATCGTCCACTTGAATGGAGAGGCTTTGATTCATATGTGACGGATGTGATTCGTTCCTCCTGTGGTCCATTCCAACAGAGCTTCTGCCAGGGAGCAGTATAGAGGCCCCACTCTTGCCGGGGGTCGGTCCTTGGCGTGTGGATACAGTTAATGATGTGGTACTTCCAATAGCTTTGACCAGCATTTTGGAAGACATGTTGATCACTCTTTGTATCATAGCACTGCTTCTCGTTTGGATGGTTTGTGCAGCGAGTGCGGCTGCAGCTTCTGCTTCTTGTCTTCTGGCTTCTGCTGCCTTAACTTCGTTTTTAGCCCTTTCTTCCCTCCGAGCAATAACAGCTTGAGCAACACGTTCAGCCAGTGAGGGGAATCGAGACAGTATTTGCTGAAAATCGTGTTTGGAGAGGACACATAGCTCGGTTTGTCCTTTTCCACGTGTCGTAGCAGTTCTTTTGCCACTGTCAGAATCAAACAGGGCTAATTCTCCAAAGAAATTTCCAGGACCAAGAGTGGCTACCACACGCTGCTCCGGACCGATACATATTTCAATATTGCCGGATTTGATGAAGAACATTTCTTGGCCTTCGTCTCCAGCGTGGAAGAGAATCCATCCGTCCAGTAACATCAATGGCTAGAGAGAAACACAAATGGTGAGTTCAATTTACAAAGACTCTGAAAGGAACAAACAACCAGATCTTGGTATATACCTTGATGGCAAAACAGACGGCTTGTCGTATCCTCTCATCATCAACACCACCAAAAAGCGGCACTGATCTCACTAGCTCCATGTACAGCTGTTCTTGAATTTTTTGCTGTACAGATCTTGGAATGTCATCAAAAAGATGCGCTTCGTCCATTCCTTGCACACGTCGATACTGTATTTCCTTGTATGCCAATACTTGATCTTGGACTTCTGGGGGTAGACTGTTTTCTCTCATGTACTCTCGCACGTTGTCCATATGCAGTCGATGCTCCACATCTAGAATGTAGTGTAATGTTTAGGATGACTGCGTGTTTCATGCGTACAATACTTTTCAAGTATACCTTGGTGAGCTTTGGTTGCAGACTCATCAAACATACGTAGTACAGCAAAGATTTCAGCAAACAGAGTACCATATGCCAATATACCAGCGATGAACTATGTCGGACGAAACCTGTCGTAAGTACCAGAACCGTAATCGTCTGATCGATCAGGGAGCGTACCTCAAACACTACAAATAAACACTCGGATGGCATATACGCTGTTCTCAGCTTTAGCACTAAACTGGCCAAAGATCCCAGCAGCGTGACAGGATATTGTGTAGTCCAAGAAATCTCAGGGTTGGTCAGCGGTATGGCTGTCTCGTCAATCCATCGTGTTCCAGGCGGTAGACTGATTTCCACAAGCCAAAAGAGACATGTATCTATATGTCCAATCAGCATGAAAATAGCCAGGGATTTACAGAGACGGGAAATTGGCTAGAAAATAAAAGGTGTCAAAGAACACACCCCAAGTCCTGGATGGTCAAACGCTGTTCTTACTATTGGTAGACCTGGCAGGTTGGCATTGAAGACGGTTGAAAGAGGAAATCCAAATATTGACTTGAAAACTCGGAATAGGGCCCACAGTCGTATTTGATGGCATCTGGAATTGAGTTTTAGAGCATTTGAAACGAATCGCTTCAGGTGACATGCAAATGTTGATTTACTCACCCCCAACCGCTAGGCATCATTTCGCACGGTACAGCAAGAGCTATAAAGTCCCACGGCAGAGCGCCCAGTAGTTCAAAGATACCCAAACTCTTGATCATATAGTCTTTGACAACAACTTTGAGGTCAATTTCTTCACCCCACTCATTTTGCGTATGCAGCCTTGTCTTGAAAAACACATGACACAGCAGTGCCATGTCAAAGATGAAGCAGCAAATACCAAAAACCAGCAGCATATGGAACGAGTCTCCGACGAGGCCCGGAACAAATGACATGATAAATGGCATAACTATGATTTGTTCCATTTGGCAAAGGAGTATGATTCTGTTCCACCATATGTACCAAGTTGCGTTGGGGTCTATCTTCGCTGGTGGAGCGAAACGTTTCAAAAAAGTCCATATTATCATCCTGTACCTGAGCACAACTTCCCAGTAGCTCGTCAGCGATTGCCGAGTCTTCATTTGCCATGTAACTTGGGGAGGAGCTTCGCTGTATTGAGGCTCTTCAATGTATTCTTGCGATCCGCAATCTATCGGTTGCGATGATTCTATAGGATCATCGTTGGAGGAGGTGACACTTCTAGCGGGACCCGACATTGACTTTGCTCTTGCAACTGTATTAGCAGCTGTATTAGACATGGTAGATGGTGTTGCTTTGATTCTGATGGCGGAGACATTGATTGGTATTGGTTGTAAGATTTGTAGGGATTCGATAGATGTGGTTCGTGGTTCCTGATATGATACAACTGAGCCACTTCTACTAGCGATATAAGGTGTCGAGACGTATTGTGGGTCTGTTGCAAGTGGCATTTTCTGGGGAGAGCTTCCAACAGCAGCACGTTGGACTAGCGAATTTCTGGCTATAGCAAGTTTGCTAGCCGGCGAGGCACCATCGCTAGCATCGACAGGCAAGACTGACAGAGATCGAGGATCGGAGCCATCAGGAACTACGCTGACCGACAATATTCGATGCTCCTGTTCTAGCCTGTTGAGTGATAAGGAGGAGGCTGTAGAGGTAGTTGTAACTGATGCCGACCTTTCTGTAGCTGTCGAATGCCTTCTTAACTGTAAGGTATTCCCACTGGTCGTGACGGGAGCAAATGTGGGACGCGGGTAAAGTGTATCAGGTGTGGTCGCGCGAGCCGGTGTATCTACAGGAGTATGATCGGGGGGAGTATCAGCAGGAGTTACCTGCACACTTGGTGCACGCCCGATCAAGCGTGTTGGCTCCTGCATGCGTCTTCCAATATGACCTTTCTGTAAAAAGCGAAAAAGACGACCACTGGTACATCGAATTACGTAGATCCATGATATTTTGCCAATCACCTGAACGTATAAGCAGTGATGGTCTGTCTCTTTGGTGGGTATCCTGATACGTCTAAAGGGTTTTATTGGGGTTTTGATTCGGCGATATATCCAAATTCGATTGCAGAACATGACAAGTCTTCAGTACAATTCCAATTTTCGTGTAGCTCGTTGTGTCTAATAGAAAGATCTTCATGAAACCACGTGTCTGTTGCCCTGGTCTGTTGCAGTTGGTTGCAAATGCTAAGTGTCAATGTTCAACGTTCGTAAATTAGATTAAATGACGAGTACACAGAAATGGAGGAGGAAGGTCGAAACAGTGACGTTAGCCTAGTCTCCAGTGCGAATATAGGCGGCAGCGAATCTCAAATAGGCTTGCAAAGAGAGGCGGAAGACACAGCTGCAGCAAATGTCGAAAGTGGCAATATTGACATTGCCGAAGCACCACCATCATCCGCAGGCCAACGAAGAAGTGAATCGGCTAGAGGCATCAGCGACGGCCAGTCTAGTAACGGAGATCAAGACAGTGACGAATCCGATGACGACGAACCAAAACTGAAATATCAAAGACTAACTACTGGACTGGCCGACCTTCTCAAAAAGGACTCTGTGAGCTGCATGACTGCTTCTGAGAGATTTCTGGTAAAAAATTCTATATTTTTATTCTTCTGGTTCCTCTCTCAGTTTGCTCTCTTCCGACACGCAGACAATAACAACACCATACTTTGATCTTAGGCTCTTGGAACTCACTGGGGCATTATTCATATTCTGGACTTGGACGGCAACGATGTCAAGCGTTTCCAATGTCATTCTGCTACTGTAAACCAATTAAGTATTGATACCCATGGAGAATTCATTGCTAGTGCTTCTGATGATGGTGAGCTGTCTTGAGACTTGTCTCCAATGCCAAAGCACACCTCGGATTCATCTTATCATACATTAGGACGCGTCCTGATTAACAGTCTGTATTCGGCTGATGTTCAGCAATTCAACTACAAACGTCCCGTCAAGGCAGTATCCTTAGAGCCTGAATATAGTAAAAAGTCGACACGGCACTTTGTATCTGGTGGCATGGCAGAACTATTGAATTTGAGTGGAAAAGGTATGCCTCTCCATCCTCCGCGTGCCTCCTTTTTTTGCAAAGCTCTGAAAAAAATCAATTCAAACTAGGCTGGTTTGGGAACAAGGACGTTGTTTTACATTCTGGTGAAGGTCCTGTTTATGCAATTCAGTGGAGAGCATCTCAGATTGCGTGGGCCAACGACGCAGTATGTCTTTCACAAATACTTGATTATGCAAGTTGCTGATCGACAACTTACATAACTAGGGTGTCAAGATCTACGATACTGTTCTTCAGCAACGATTCGCCTATATCGACAGACCTGCTGATAGCCCAAGACCAGATCTCTATCGCTGTAATATATGTTGGAAGTCTGATACTGAATTGTTGATTGGATGGGCAGATAGTGTGAAAGTTGGTGTGATCAAAGTACGCTATATATAACTTGCTCTTTTATCTCCTCGCATCATATTAATGCTGTACGTTACCATAGGAGAGATCCAAATTTGACGTTGCTTCTGGACTTCCGCCAAAATACGTAGAAATCGTTGCCCAGTAGGCCGACTTCAAAATTCCTGCCATTTGAAACTTCTGTCTGACATCACAAACTCTAGATTCCGCACCGATTTTATCGTATCTGGAATAGCACCATTCAACAACATGCTCGTTGTCTTGGCGTTCATGACTGATTTGGACGATTCACGCACTGTTGATGTAATCCAAGACGGACCTGCCAAGCGAAAGGTGGATACAGAATCATGCGAGTTGTCTTTTTTTGATAAATCTGAAATGAGTTTTCCAAATCTTTTAGAAATCCAGAGCTCCAGAAATATACATTTTGGACGCTCAAGGAGAAGAGGTCGCAAACGATGTCTTGTCTTTGAATCAATTTGAGCACTTTCAACCCAATGATTATCGTCTTGGTATTTCCTCGCTTGAATTCCAAGAGTCGTAGTGTGCAAGCACCTGTTTAGCGTGTTATCAATTGTAACCGTCGTGTTTTTTGCTGTCCAGAATTTTCTCCATCGGAATCAAGTTTCTTCATTGTTTCTCCAAAGGACGTGGTGGTTGCCAAACCTCGTGATTTAGAAGACCATATCGAATGGCTTCTCGAAAGAAGTCGATACGAAGAAGCTCTTCGAGCTGCTGAAAAGGCTGGCGAGTCGTACGGCGGTCGATTGCAAGTCGCAAACATATTGGATATTGGTCAAAAGTACATGAATACTTTAATGGGTGAAGGTGTGGATGAATTGGAACCGTTTTGAGATATTTGTGAAACCCGTACATCTTTGCTCAACTCGTTGTCTTTCGCAGGGAAATATGCTGAGGCTGCGGCAATGTGCCCAAAGATTTTGCGTCAGAACGTGGATTTGTGGGATCAGTGGATTATGGCTTTTGTAGAAGCGAAGCAGACACACGTATAGTCTACCCATGTTTTGTTGTATACGATATCTTTTGACGTCCTGTTTCTTTGACAGGCAATCCGTCCACAAATACCGATCAAGAATCCCAAACTCTCCAGCAACATTTATGAGGTGGTATTGGCTCATGATCTTGGTGCCAAGGCTTACAAGGTATGCAAATGTCAATACTTTCGGAAGTTTTAATGCCAACGATTTCAACCTTTTTGGGCCATTAGGAATTCTTAGATACCGTCAAATCATGGCCGCATGAAGTCTACGATGCCGATAGCGTGATCAAGGCTGTGGAAGAAGCGTTACTAAAGGAGCCATCAAATACATTCTTGAGTGAAGCTGCTCTTGAATTGTGAGTAATGCAATTTCTGGGCGTTACCATATATATTTTTTCTTCGTACGTTTCCTCACATTTCTGTTTCTCTCAAAATTCAGATACACTCGAAACAAGCAATTCGACAAGGCACTGTTACAAGGTCTCAAACTTCGACAACCAGGAATTCTTGACCTGGTATGGATGAACAACCTGTATGGGTTTGTGTCATCACGAGCAGTTCTCATGTTGGAGTATGATCAAGTCATGCTGGAAAAGGGCCAAGTAGTATCAACCGCTATTGCTGAAGCAATGGACAAGAGTCAAATCGAAGAAAATGATGAGGATGTTGGTCCAGCTATTGCCAGCATTCGAGCTGCAGGTCGAGCACCAGGAGTGCAAATACTGGTTCAAAATACGGATCGAATACCTGTAAGTGTTGAGTCCATCAAGTGCCGATGAATATGACTTCAATGAGTCTTTATTTTTTGTCCATATAGATACCTCAAGTCATTGCTCAGATTAAACAAAATCCGAAATTCCTCCACATCTATCTGGATGCCCTGTATCGAAAAGATCCTCTTGTGGGTGCAGAATATCATCCATTGCAAGTCGAATTGTATGCCGAGTATGATTATGCCAGGCTATTGGACTTTCTCAAGAGCAGTACATTTTATCCTCTACGAAAGGTACATGTCGCTTCAGATTTCACTCCGTCTCTCGACAGCCTTAGTGCTTTATATTCATCTACCATTTCGTTTTTTGGTTGACTATCATTAGGCTTATGAGATTTGTGAAACACGTGAATTCATACCCGAGTTGGTGTTTCTATTGGGCAAAATGGGTAACAATCGAAAAGCGCTCTTCCTCATTATTGAGAGGTTGGGTGACGTCCGACGAGTAAGTGTGCATCTTTGTTTGGAAAGTTTGGGGAGTGTTGTTGCTCAGTCTGTGTAATCTTGTTAGGCCATTGAGTTCGCAAAAGAGCAAAACGACGAAGAGCTGTGGAATGATTTGATGAAATATTCCATGGATAAGCCAGGTAGCTTTCTCAATCTTATATATTGGAAGTTTTTGCCACCTCTTAAAGCATTGTGTTGAATTTTTTACACACTTTAGACTTTATTGTTGGCCTACTGGAGAATCTTGGATCTGTAATTGATCCCATCAGATTGATTCGTCGGATTCCTGCTGACTTGGAAATTCCTGGATTGCGTACAGCCTTGATCAAGGTCATGCATGATTATGGGGTCCAGATGAGTTTACGGGAGGGATGTGAACGGATTTTGCTGGCTGATACGGTAGAGCTGCTTACAAGTCTGCAACGAGCTCAGAAGCGTGGGATGTCATTTGTTCGTAAGTCGCATAGTCGTTTGTTGTTTGCATACGTCTCGCTTGGACGTTCAAAGGGCTTATTCTGATTCTGCCCTTATACAGCTGAAGTGCAGTGTGCCATGTGTGGTGGTCAGATATTCCAGGACAGCAGTAAGGGCTGCTTTCACCGAGGGTTGACTGACCGGTTTTTTTTGTCTAATTCAACTATAATTTTAGATCCAACTATAGCAATGGTTGCCTTCTTTTGCCGACATGTATATCATTATAGTTGTCTGGCAGAAGGACGAGCACCAAGCAGTTTCAATGTGGCAACGAACGCCTTTTCTAACGAGAGAGTTGCTCGTGCCATGTCTACGTTGTATGCCCGTCCAGGCTATAGCATGAAGGAGCCATTATCTTCCAATCATCCACCATCACGAAGTACTAGTGAACGAAGCCTACCTGAACCTGCAATGCCACTAGTCGGTCTATCGTGTCCACTATGCAATCACACAAAAACACCACTGATACCTCGAATGAAACTGGATGAGCCATCTCCAAAGAGGGGAGAGGTTGAAATAGGTGGGTTGGTTGGCTCTGTATCTAGTAGCTCGGGAAGTTTAGGACTCAGAGGTAGTAACTCTGGCTCAAAAGCTCTATCTGCTATAGTAACTCAAAAACCGGCTGTGTCAGCTGTTGTATCGCCACCAGTAATTGTGAAAAATGTATCAAAGTCAGGGAGTGTTGCACCAGCACTACCCCCTCGTGCTCCAACGCCTTCCTTGAAAAAGTAAGGTATAGATAAATGTAGAAGTTTTGTAACATTCTTATGCAAGTAAATAGAAGATGCCATTTGCACAACGGTAACATGTGAATTGCTGTGGGCTCTTGTTGCCCTCAATCCAGTAATCTTCTGCAATGCAGCGAGTAATGGCAAAAGCGGCAATTCCAAATCAGCTGAATCCACTGGCAACACAGCACCGACTGTTTCAGCGATCCCACACAATAGCACGGATCCCTTCTTGCTCTTCACTGCAGCAAGACTCAAGTTAAGTGCTTCAGCAGCTTGATTATTACGGACTCCGTGAATGGGTGTTTCGAATTTTACCATATTTGGGAGGGTCATTACAGATATATCGTAAGCCTACACAGGCCATAGTTCATGTGATAGATGAAATGTTTGCAGAAGACCCATTTGAGTACGCTGCATCTTGTCGAAGTACCCTGTCGAAGTTGCCTGGTGGTGACGATGTTCTGCGCAGTGGGTTTGGGACATAGACTACACGATGGTGCCTGTAGATGATTCCAATATGGGGGCAAATGGATTCGCGAATCACCTCTCAAACCGTTCGTGGAAAGCTCTAGCCAGTCGTGGAGAGGTAACACTAGGAATATTGACAATTCTTTTGGGCTCTAGTATGGGGCACCAAGCCATGCCATACATTGGTGATTCGTTACCAGTGCGGTTGTTCGTTCTCGTTTACGTTCGTTGCTTGTAGTGTTGATGTTGGTGCTGTAAATATTCATCGAGGTGGCAGCCTGTTTACTTTTATCCGCTGGTACAACACCTTTCAACTCCTTAAACTCAAACAGTTCCGATGGATCAGACTTCATTCCTTTATTCAACTAGCTATTTAACAGCGTTTGCTCCAAAGTGGGAGTATCAATTGTCGAAGAAATATGATGTCCGTATTGAATGAACTTGATAAAAGCTCCTCTAACCTCCAATCCCGTGGGCAACTTGAACTCGCCAACGGTCGTTGATGTCCCAGAATGGAGGATGAAAAGAGAATCCATCCCACTAGCAATGAAATGAATATGTTAGATATGTCTGGAACCCCTAGGCATGATCTAGTGCATTTACCGTCTCATCCGTCTCAAAAACTTGCAACGGGTTCTTCAATGATGCTTGGAATTTGGGACCGTTCCGACGCAGATGGCCATCGTTCTTATTCATAGCAGCTTACCTGCAAGTGTTGAGTACTTGATCCAATTATTCGTCCAGTCTGGCTTCATGTGATTGTTTGCTAGATTGATGAGTTCTTGTGAGCGAAATGCGGAACCACATGTTTCAAGCATATACAGATATGGACAAGAACACGAAGTCCATTGACTTGTACGTGAATGTACCTATAGAGGCTCTACGTCTTTTGTGCGATCCGTTGCTCTCCACATTAGGTATGCGAGCTTGTCGACAACATGTTGGAATTGAAGACCACCATGATGCAGAACTTGCGTCATTAGGAGCACAGCGAGCATATTTTGAGTTATGAGAATCTTATGACACGTTGCCATAACTGTAATGATCCTCAGTCAGTGTTTTCCTATCTCGCCTCTGACTTTTTTTTTGTAAAGCTTTAGATCATTCAAGCCGCGATGGGCAAGCTTAAAGGAGCCTTAGCGAGGCTAAAGGCCACTGTCAAGACCTCGAAAAAGAAGGCTTCGAGCAGTCATCAGCAACCAACCGCTCCCAAAAATGTCTCGAAAGACTCGAAAGCTCCGAAAAAGATCATGCCTTACACGCTAGAAGACGAGATCTTACTTGTAGGAGAAGGTAGAACCACTCGTTTTGATCTGGGTTCCACCTGGTAATATACTGACCGTGATCTTATGTAGGAAACTTTAGTTTCGCGAATGCATTAGCCCTGTTGTTGCAATCTGGTGAAAACATTACTGCTACGTGTTACGACTCGGAGGAGATATTGAATCAAGTTCGTATCTACGCTATGACTTCATTGAAGCTTTACTCTTTTCGCTGACGCATCCCTGGTGTCGTGATCTAGAAATACGATGACGCAAAAGCACACATTGAAAGCTTGCTCTCATTACAAGGGACAGTGTAAGGCATCTCCTCATACCATTTCCTGTATCGGGATCCTTATACACCTCTCAAACATAGAATGCACGGAGTCGACGCTACACAACTATCCAAACACAAACGCCTAAAGCTAAAACGCTTTTCCAAAATCATCTTCAACTTCCCACATACCGGTAGCGGGATCAAAGACCAGGAGATCAATATCCGGACAAACCAAAAGCTATTGAATGATTTTTTTGTGACTGCCAAAGAACATGTGTCCATTCCAAAGACCAAGTTTGAGCAGCCTGGAGAGATACATGTTACGATCAAAGATGGTGAGAATACGTTGGAGGGAATGCTTTCGAGCTACATGGTGTTGACAGCTGTTGGTTTAGGTGAACCATACGCATCATGGAATATACGAAAGATTGCCAATCAATGTGGACTGCAATGCCAGACGTCATTCAAGTTCCATCCTGAACTGTACGATTCGTATCGGCACAGGTGAGTCGACTGTGCGTACTTCAATGCCAAGCGTCTTCCAGGTTCCACGCTGACATCTAACTCTTCATAGGCGAACACTTGGATATCAGCAAGGTCTGTCAGATGATGACAACAACGAGGTCTCTTCTGCACGGACGTATGTCTTTGTGATTGCTCGTGAGCCTGAGAATCCAAAGAAACGAAAGAAGGGAGGAGATGATAGTGATAGTGACTAGACTCGTCCCGATATGTATATCCATGTTTGTACAAACAGCAGCACCCTCATAACATAATCAACCCATTTCAAGAAAATGCTTTTGGCGATGATGATGATTAGGTTTTTCTATTATTGTACGTGTTTGCGCCGGCCCAAGTAATATACAGGGTTTTATGCGAGAGCTTGATTTAATGAGCATGACCATGACCACTATGAGAATGACCATGTTCCTCATGAGAATGCCCATGTTCCTCTTCATGCAAACGATCGTCGTGACTTTCATGAGATACATCATGACCTCCATGTGAATGGCCATCATGCGAGTGTTTATCGTGACCTCCATGATCATGAGAATCTTCCAATGGTCGAAGACCTAAATTTCCTTGAATGCCACGAATCGTACCACCTCCGTATCGTAGACCTGAAGGGAGCGTCGGTGCGACAGCTTTGATGAATCCTCCTGTTGGTGGTGGTGGTGGCATCGAGTTTGCTTCTAGTGGTATTTGATCGGTATTTGTTTGGTGTGGAGTTGCTGGCATGGAAGTGGCATGGAGTCCTACGTTTTCAAAGTCTGATGTGATGGTTTCTACTGTGCTGGATGATATTATAGGTGCTTCTACTGCTGATGGCTCAGGTGCACCTGTAACTTTTTCGGCCTTGTATGGTGTCTGTAATGGACCTCGTTTGATTGTTGGAATGCGATGTATGTATCCGTAGCCAATATCACAACCCAAAGTACCAGGCCCTCCCCATGCTAGTTGATCATTGGGAGTTAGTTTATCAGCACAAGGATATGAAACAGATAATCTCTTGAACTCACTATCATTTGGAACCAGCAACACCTCCCGCACACTATCAACATCCTTGTTGTAAACAAACAGTTGTAATGGTTGACCAAGAGACCTTTCAACCAGATCATATAGATCTTGCTGATCTCTGAGAGTTGCTTGTGGAGATCCAATAATGTAGTCGGAATGTGCCTTCAGTCCTGCTTTCTGCGCTGGCGACTTGTCATATCTAACCAAACAAATGGTCGTGAGCTTTGAGCTTTGAGGGCATTCAAAAAGCCATCTTCACAAGCACTACGAGTAGACTTGCGAAGTCTTGAACACTCTTACATCTCCAAGATATGCCAGACATTCTCTCCAGATCCAGCATAATCACAGAATCTCACACTGCATCCAATCAATCCATCTTCACTCTTTCCCCATGTTCTTGAAGGCACCAACGTAACTTCTACAAAATCATACATAAAGAATGAGTCAAAATATGGAAACTCTTTCAAGTAACATGAGATACGCCATACCACGTAAATCTTGATATTTGGCACTAAACACATGCAAAAGGACTTGAGATTCCAAGTTCTGCGTCAACACGGTTATGAGAAGCGACGATTCTTCATCCTAAATAAAGTAGGGATATAGCAATTATTTAGCTTGAAACTCGTTGCTCGCGCACATCAAAGTGCAAAGTTATCATCAATTTACCAATAGTTCTCCATTGATTGCGACGAGATAGTCAAAGTAAGGTTCAAGACCAGCAACATCACCAGGAGACCCAGGCACGACCTATTGTAAATTGCTGGGGTTAGTATTCAAGAAATGAATTTTGCGACAAGCATATGTTGATGAATGCAGATTGATTGCCCTTGAGGTACCTTCAAGACATGATAGCCACGTGTACTGCCAGTTGGACTGCTCTGCGTGGAGCCCATCTATCTCTAATTATAATCAACTGGAATCAACACTAGACGTGTACTTGAAACAAAACTCAAAGCCCACCAATGGATTTTTGCTTTGGGCCAACCAAGACTTACCTTTCCTTCAGAGGAACGAATAGATCCAAGCGTGCAATTGCTTCAGGTCGTGATTCTTATCTATCACAGAGCCAATTGTGACTTTTGGACTTTTCAGCACCAAGGCTCTCAGACTTCGCTTTGCAAAGGTCAATGACAAAGCAGGTTCTAGGGCGCGTGTAGGCACAGCATCTGTAAACTATTATAACGAGTCTGGTAATATATACGTAATGTTGCGTCTTGGCTCGGAAAAGTGAATCTTCAGGCCTGATCGCGTTAGAAAGTCATGTTCTATTGGGTCATATCCTTTTAATATCTGCGCATGCCGTAAGGCTGTCGTGTTGACCTTCCTGTTTCCTTTTCAACCCTACAAATGCAGCAGCTCACAAAAACTGACAGCCTCACACGTTTTTGTACATTGCCTTGTCGCTATTCCCTAGATTCTTTTACAAACTTGCTTCATGAACTTCTTCCATGGATATTATTATTATCTACGACCTGCTATTCTTGATGTAATGACAACATCTCTCGGTGATGGATACCGTGTTGCTGTGACGGCCTGTACTAAAGCAGTTCTGATGGGCTGAGGTGGTTGGAAGGCAGGCACACTGGCAAATACGGCCATAGTAGGTGCTATCATGGGTACTGGTACTGCGGTTGTCGCATTTATGGCGCCTTGGAAGATTCTCATTCCTCCAGCAGCCTTCTTGGCAGTAGCTTCTTCTTCCCTATCTGCATACATACTACCTACTGGTACTTTTGACGCTCTTGGAGGTACTCGTGGCCGAGTTACTCCTGGTGGTAGACCTGGTCTCACTGGATTTAGTAGTGGCACTGTTGGGATTACTGGAGACGGAGCTGCTGATGAAGATGGTGTTACGTCCATTTCACTTGTTCGACGTGACGCTCCAACGACTCCTGTTGATGGTTTTGTTTCAAATACTTCCAATAGATTGCCTAGAAAGAAAAAACACTAGTCAGCAAGAAAAACCTAGACATATATTCCGAGTTCAGGATTAAACGTCGATCATCACTAGCTCCATACCATCGGCGAATTGACCATTGTACTTGGCGATAGCAGCTAAAGCAGCCGAGCGTTCTTTAAACATGATTTGAGCTGTTCCTGTTGACTGGCCAGCCTGATCTTTAGATAATGTTGTCTTGGTTATAGTTCCGAAATCCATAAAGCATGCTTTCACATCAGCCTCGGTAGCTTCCAAATGTAGGTTTTTGATGGTAATCGTAGTCGGGCCATTCGATTGTCCTTTAATAGATACACTAGTGGTTGCTGCGGTTGGTTGATGCAAGATCTCTACTACATCTTCCATCTGTTCATCCTCATCTGTTAAATCTAATACTTCACGAGATTGGATTGTGCTTTGCGGACGTGGTGGAAGCGGTGCTCGTGTTGATGGTATTTGTTGCATTTGCTGTACAGAAGGCCCACTGAGTCTGGCTGTGATGGATGATGACTGGTTGTGGTGTTGTTGTGGAGCAGCCATTCGTGTAGGAGCAGCAACAGCACGGACGTGTACTTGACGGACTTCAGTCACTTTATGATTCGTAAAGAGACTCGACATTTGGATGTGGGAAGAGGGAGCAGCAGCATGGTTTGTAAATGTAACTCGTTGTTGAGGTGCATTCTTGGTCGTTACTCGAGATATAAAGTCAGATTGGGGTTGTGGACCTCCATTTCGTCCTGCTGGTTTCTGTTGGGTTGCAAAGAGTCAAGATTTTAAAAAATGGTTGATGTTGGCGAGCAAGGCAAGTGAGGTATAGAAGATGAGGCGGTTTATTACTTTACCTGATATGGAGACGTTCTCTGCGTGCTGACTCCACCATTGTGACTCCGTCGGGGATGCTATCATTGACAAAGAACTAAAGTCAGATACTTGTTTGCCATTGCGAACAGTTGCCAAGGCACTTACCATCACATGCAGCTCAACGAACTATGTTAAATGGCAAAAAGAACAGCTGGTAAGCCTTTGATGTGTTTATGTGTGCCTTCACACTTTCAATAAGTCAACATCAAATTGATGCTTTTGCAGAGCACTTGTGATCTTGCTTGCGTGACACTTTATGATAATCTATTATTTTCTAAACACTATTGCTGACTCTGCTGACACGATACTAGCTGCAAACCCCCATATATCACGTCTTCAAGTTCAGAATGGACGTCGCTGGATCAAACGTAAATGTTTTGGGCTAATTTCATATTGTAATTTGTCTATTCAATATCTACAGTAGTTTGATTACAACTTGGCTTCATCACTCAATTCATATTTACATCGTCCTTCTTTAAATCACGGGTGGTAGTCTATTAGGAGCTCGAGGAGGCAGACGCGGCACGTTATTATTATTCGTCGACGAAGATGGTAAAGGAGGCACTGGTGGCACAGGACCACTACTTGAAGACATAGGTTCAGAGCCTGATTGAATCCTGATCCACTTGTCTGTACGAATGGTGGTGCGTCAGATTCACAGAATTCATGTATACTTTTGGCACGTTTCGCCAGCTTTCTGAAAAGTCTTACCTGGCACCATAACAAAGTATTGTTCCATGGCCCTCTCGAAACGTTCCTTATATTGTAATGGTGGGAGCACCGTGACGGAATTCTCAGCATCTTTCGTTCCAAGACCCACACGTCCAATAGTCAAATTACGGAGACTGGCTTGTTTTAGTGCTGTCTTGGTCTGATTTTCCAAATGCTTGAATGTGGTGTAGCGACCAATAAAGTCGACTATACCAACGACAAGTTCGCGACGTTCATCATTGACTCCGACAAGCAATGAGTAGTCCATAACATTACAGGATGCTAAGAATGCTGTATCATTCTTGACCGAATCCATGATGAGCCGCTTGGAATGTGAATGGATCATAAGAAGAGATTGATATCTTCCGTCAATCCAATCTTGATCATACATGGTTCGCTCATCATGCTTCTTGGGATTATCGTTGGCTGGTGCAAGACGATCTGGAATGCCCTTCAAGTCAAAGGTCTGAATAGTTGAGTTAGCTTCTTAGGTTCTGAAGATAGCAGCAAGCAAACACTTTCACTTACTCGAGAGACCTTGATGTTGCAAAAGACATGTTCCATTACCAACAGATCCATTCTTGTGACTACACCTGTAACTTCATTTTTGTGCTTGAGAGTATAAAATCCAAATATTTTAGCAAGACTGGTTGGATTCTATCAAACATTGTTGGTTGGTAATCTGAAAATGTGTTGGATCGTAAAACGAAGACACTCACTTTGTCAGAATTCGACATGTATTCAAAGTAATTGGGAGCAAACTTGAGCAACCCATCCTTTTCCACGGTAGTCCAGTTTGTGGTAAGCTGTTTGATTACGAGCTGATCATCTATAAAAAGCCATCCGTTGGCAAAAACCCGCGAAAAATATATTTTATTACATTAATTCGACATACCCATTGTTTTGAAAAAGCCCACTTTGCTTTTACCGCCTTCGGCCCTCCAAGAATTACAGCGGACCAGAGACTTGACATAAGAAATGTCGAACCCACAGCGCCGACGCAACTCCTCAAACTGGAAGGCGAAGTATATGGCGCAAGAGAAAGAGTTCTTGCCGTCCGAGAATTCTGGGGAACAAACACCCACATTAGACGAAAATTCATTAATTCAATTTCACAGACAGCACATACTGTGTTTTACATGAACGCGAGGAGCATCTGGACCTTCATGCGAGAATGCTTTCAGCTTGAAATGACAATCACCAGCAGTTACATCCCACAAGACACCATTGGCAGCAGCACCAGCACCAAATGCTTTAGCGTTTCTCCAAATACCAACTTCACGCAAGTATTCTCTGGAACTATAAACAGATGGGATGAGGTGACAAATAAACATAAGATGACCTTGGGATTGCTTACTTGAGTGCCATTGCGATTATCGAGCTTGGCTCCTCTAATCGTACCACAATACATGAGTTCGGAAAGAGAAAGACTCCTTTGGCACTGGAAGGCAGAAACCAAAAGTTCTGGTTAAAAGGAATCCAGATACAGCGAGATAAAAATTGTAGCAATCGAAAAGGAAAAGCCATTCACCTCATATACTCTGGTAGCAAACAATCAGATATGGCAACAGAAGGAGCATTTCGAATCCTCCAATCGTCCAAACGACCAACTGTGGCATCAGCAATCTTTACAAAGCGCCGTCTTAAATTATTGGCTGCTGATGGTACTATTCTTGTAAGCTGTTCCGTAAGCCCAAGCTCTTCATCTCGGAAATCTCGACTCATTTCATCGAGACCGACTTGCATTCGAACCTGTACCGGCGTCCCTTTGTTCATCCTTACAGCTGCTGCTCCTGTATGTTGCTCCAACATCTTGACTACATCTTTTACCGATCCATAAAAGTATGCAATCTCCATTCGTAGTTTGTCTGTGATTTCAGCTTGTTCGGAGATGGTCCACGAAGTTTGTTGCGTGAGCTCTTGAGGTGGAGGACATAGATGGGAAGGCATTACTTGTATTTTAGGCACACGCATCTCGTAAAGGCTGATTGGATCGGCGATTAGAGATATGGTATAACGTCCATGCCTGAAACATCGACGTGGAGCACGTTTATCGGACGTTACGTGGTTGCATCCACCTTGAGGTACAAACGACGGGTGGTAAATCATCAGTTCGAGGTATTTACCAAAAGAATATTTCCACGTTGCTGTTGATATTGGCGCTGCCACATTCCTCCATCCACACATTGTGCATTCAGTCCATGCATAGACCTGAAACTGCGAGTCTTTGGGCATTACTGAGTCGTCTTCCAATATTGAGGCAGTGACTCTGACGGATCCATGAGTGAATCGGTGTTGATGCTGACTCATAGTCAAACGGCAAGTTATGTCTGGGCATGGGTCATGTACTGTTCGAAGCCAAAGATCGATCTGTTGACCTATCGTCAAATCGAGGGTGTTGCTTTGCTCTTTTTTATAGTATTCACAGATTCTGACCACTGGCGGTTGACACGGGATGGTACTCGAAGACGATCTATATAATGTATACGAGTATGCTAAAGACTGATGTTGGACTATACCAGCGAGAGAATTGTTATTGGTAGTCAAATAGCCCAGTCCACTCTTTTCAGCGGAAGAAAGCGATGTTTTAATAGCAGTAGATAGCCTTTTGACATCTTGAGTAGTAATAGTGGTAGCACTAGCAACCGAGCTACGGTCCGCATCTTTGCCCCAACTACGAAATCGTTTGCCAAATACACTAGCGTCAGAGAGGGGCTCTACATCCGATTCTGCATACGATTTTGGTCTATGATGCTCGTCCGTAGCAGCTTCTTCATCTCTCAGCCTTACAAGAAGGTGAGGAGGAGGAAACTGGACGTCTGGTGAGATGGAGAGTGTGGTCTTTTCGATTTGACGTATCACTCGGTCGAATCTATTGGATATATCAAAGTGCTCGTCTTCAGGTAGGGATTTCAAGGTGCCAGACCTGGATTTGCCTTCTTTGGCAAAGATATTCCAAACTGCAGAAGAGTTTGTAGATGTTCGACTTTGACTACTGCTATTATTATTACTATTACTCGGCGTATCGTGATTCTTCTTGACCATCTTGATTGCAGCAGTCAGATTACTTCCAATCGTTCCTGATCGTGACGGTGGGTGATCATCTTGTAGAGTTTCCGGATTTCCCATGCGCACACTACCATGATCGTGTAATAAACACATCTCTAGCTTGAGATGAACGGCGATAAAGGCGACCAGTTCCATAATTCTAGCTACTTTGGCAATCTCTTTTGGGTCACCACGTAGCTTGCACACTCCGCCCAGGTCTCTTAAATGTGGGACTGCTACAAGAGTTCCGTGACGACCACTTTCTTCATTTGACGATCCTTTAAGAAAGCGAGAATCCTGAGGTGTTCCTGTCGGTATAGTCTCCACTTGAATTATATGATGGATGGGTACACGAGCAACTTTTGGTCTGCTCTGTTCCTTGGAATCTATTTGAATAAATATGTTATCAGAATATGAGTTTGAAACATTTGAGCGTCATTGAAAAGAATGTGAAAGATGTAGAATTGAATCTTCACTCACCTCTTGGTCCAAAATGAGCAGCTCGTTCATAAACCTCTCCATCTACTCCGGATCTTCCTACAATTTTAAGAGCACTTCCAGCACCATCAGCGATTTCTAGACCTAATCTGGCAAGAACTGGACCCCACGGCTCGTATTCAAGATGGGCTTCGTGTAGACACTGTTGAATGATCTTGTTCAAGTGTTCGACACTCGCCGAGTCTAGACCTGGAGGTAGAGGTAGTGGCTTTCGAGCTACAAATGGAGCAGAAGGAAGAGGCTAAACAAAGAGAGTGATAAAATCAGATCAGTATTTTGTTGGTTACATGTTTTGTAGTGAGTGTACCAATAAACCGATACGGTACACGACAATATAGTGCCGATTGAGCATCAAAACATTGTTCTAAAAACATTTTCCAATACTTCTTCTCTCTTCTTGCACATCGTCCAAAATGTTTTGTGTTGAAACAACAGCAACAACGTGCAAAGACCATCATAGACAGTCAAATAGCATACCTTGTCTGATTTACGATGCTCCAAATCATGATCTTTACTCAAATCCAGGGCAGAGTCCTTCTTGTCACTTGTTGTATTGAAGAGCGATAGCATTCTCACTTGTCGATTATACGTAGTTCCTTACTAGTTCCAGCTAATACTGACAGTCCATAGCGACCTTCTATATGCAACGAATGGTATGAAAGCTCTCCGCGAATGAGAGCTGTAAAGACCGAGTCTGAAACCTGTCTCAGAACTGTTGTACGAGTTTGGACAGTTGGAGGTGTTACTTTTTGGCTACTCAGGCGTTCTGACGTGCTTGATACGTTTGATATTGATAAATCAGCCTATTCAATACATAAATCATGTATTGGTTTCTGTTTTACACGCGAATGCACTCAAAAAAACAATTTGGGTATCAGAGGAATTAGAACTTTAGCAAGAAGCGGTGAGCAAGATCAGATGTCTATTTCAAAGTAAAACAATGAAGCTGAGTTCGTTACAGCAGTCCAAGCAAGCTTCATTCCTAAGTAGTCCTCCAAACCAGCTCCCTTCAGAAGGCAGATTAAGTACTGAACAACTCCTGAATTCACACCAGCTTGTTTTTACCTCATTCTGAAGCGGGAGATGTTTGGTATGAGCTCATTGGCTCTTTAACGTGTTACCAAATTATGTTTTCACCGACGACGATGTTGCAGATCGAGCTAGTGGCTAGTAGAGTACTGCGAAACCATTCACAATCTTATTGGTTTGCAAATAAATCTATTAAATATCTAGTTTCTACCGTGATGCAATCACCAACAAACAACCCGTCTTCTTCACAACGGATACCGAAGGTCACCATGCTCTTCAAGGTACGCAGCCATTCTCTTCAAAAACGCATTCTTCCTCCCAATACACTCTGAATCCCCAATAACACACAAATGCTTCTTGGCTCTCGTCAATGCCACATTCAGCCTCCTTGAATCAGACAAGAACCCCACTTCACCATCTTCGTTACTCCGCACAAGGGACAGCACGACCGCTTCCTTCTCACGTCCCTGCAAACCATCGACTGTACCTATTTCCAGATCGGGATATGTCTCTCGGAGACGGGTCCGTAGCAGGGATACTTGGCCAGAGTATGGTGATATGACCACAATGTCGGAGCTCTTTACGCCTGCTTGTACGAGAGAGTCAACGTGTTTGACTACGAGGTCGGCTTCTCCTTCGTTTAGTTTGGATTCAGAGAGGTCTTTGAGTTTCGTGTCTTCGGCTTCACTGGTTTCGCGGAGGTCTGAGCTTGATGTATCGATGAATACAACGGGTACTGTAGTGTCATCTATGAATAAGAAGGTGTTGAGCTTCATTAGAACGCGTGAAAGGAGGCACGCGAACCAACCTTGTTTTACCTGTAGCTTTAACCCCAGCAAGCTGAGACAAGAGCCCATCTTTCACACTATTATCAGCGATAAGTTCGTCATGATAGAATTCATGGGACGAGAAGTTCATAATCTTGGCATTCTATCGAGACGAATTGAAGAGGATTGAAGCATGCAAAGAAGCTGCAGGCCATAGAATGGATAAATTCGCACCATTCGATACTGCACTTTCAACATCCGCTTCACAGAATCACCATACATCTCTAGCATCCTATCAAACAGAGTGGTTTCTAGTGGCGATGACTTCTTTTTACTGCTCGGCGTAGATTTGATTGTCGGCGACAATTGAAGATGATCTCCTGCAAGAATGACTCGTTTAGCTTTGAGTAACGCAATCCATGATTCTGGTTCAAGTGCTTGGGAGGCTTCATCTGTTTGAGGTGGTTGTGCGTGTTAGGTCTGTTGACGAAACAAAAAGAAACGATGTTCCTACCAATGACAACAGTATCAAATTTCTCTCGTTCAACTACTCGACTGGCAGCTCCAGACAATGTAGAGAGTATCACTTGTCCCTTTCTGACAATGGCGTCCATGACTTTTGCTTCTCGAGCTCTAAGCTAAAAAAAATCCGGTCAGGAACGTTGCCTATGATGGGCGACACTCCATACTACCAAATACCTCAGTCTTCAACGATTTCACATCTGCATAAATCTGTCGACGTTCTTGCCGAGACTTGCTCTTACTAGCAGCAGCAAGCTGAGAATCAATATCCTTGCGAACATCTGTTACAAGTTGTCCTTCATCAGAGGTCTTTATTCGAACCTCTAATCAATCGAGATACTGGAGTAATTTTTTTTGGTCTAACGCATTTCATAACATTGTAATAATTTACCAAGCGAATGATCCAACACTGAAGCCAGTATCCTCGCAGGATGTCCCACCCGAACCATCTCAATCCTAGCCTTCGACAACCTCTCTACTAAATTATCAACTGATATATTCGATGGCCCACATACTAGCACTCTGTCACCTCGAGAAACCAGTTGCCGTATAATCTCGACGCAGGTTTGTGTCTTGCCTGTTCCAGGTGGACCGTGTACTAGTGCGACGTGGTTTGCACTTAGAGCGAACAGGACTGCTTGCTTTTGGGACTCGTTCAGCGATGTGTCTAGGTATGTGATGGTGGGAGCGGTTTCGAAGGAAGGTTTCTCAAGGCCGAATAGCACTGAGACGAGGGATGATGAATTTGGGTCTACTGATTTCAGGGTCTTGAGTGCGGAGGTCATCCTAAATAAAACATTTGGTTTGCCTGAGTCGTTTGCGATTGCGTTTGAGAAACAGTTCAACAGCTTTTCGTACCTTTCATAAGTGACGTTATTTGCAAGTTTCGATCTATCGAGGCAGAAGTTAGATCGTGAGAGAAAAAAATAAGATGACTCCTTTACATTTTACAGATCTGAAACTCATCCGTCCAATCCTGCTTGAATGCAACCGTAATAACCTGATCATTCAGACGATACACGACACCAGACAATCTCGTATCTGATGTCGTAGCAGTAGCAGCCTTCTTGGAAACAGTTTTCGACACATGTTCTTCAACAGCGACAATATCACCAACACGGAATGTATGAGTTGGTAACGCGTTCTGGCCTCCAACGCCACTTTCAAAATCAACCAAACTAGAACCAAAAGCACGATGAGGCTATGGTATAAACGTTCGTTTGAAGAGAAGCAGCACTAACGTTTGACCACCAAGACCAGATCTTGTTCCAGAGACTCGAAGTGAGCTTAATATTATTCCAAGCTTTTGCAATTGTGGGATGGAGAATCTTTCGTGTAATTCAGTGACCTTGTATAAGATAAACGCGTCGTTTCAGAAAATCGTTTATACTGATGTTACAAACTTCACGTTTGTTTCTTTCAGTGACATGCCTGCTGAATCTCCGATTGCCTTTCAGCTTCAACCAGCTTGATTCTTTCTTCCACGAAAGCCTGTATTGTCTCTGTCATTGTCGTCAATCACCAACACTTCTAAAAATCCAAACATTTGAGTTAGTGATCACTTCCGACGAACAATATAGAGATAGATAGACACCAAAGAATGGACGGAATACCTGATGAGATACTTCTCAAGATATGCCAATACCTAGTAAAAGCCCACGATCTCTGGACGTTTTCGAAATCATCCAAACGCATCAACGCTGTGGCCAATGAGAACACGTTATGGCTGGACGTGTTGGCTAGACGTGTGAATTCGTCCGCCAAGCAGCTACTTCAACGCCCGTGTTGCCATCCGAGTGGTTTGAACTGGACATCTGAAATCACGACTTTATCCGATATGAACTGGAGAAAGGAATACCTATGGAGGACTAGTAAATTAAAGCTCACGCATCTTCTTAAGCAGTCTTTTGTGTGGAATGCTGTTTCGGATGAGGAAAAGGACCGGATTTATTCGATCAACTCAGATGGAACTCTCAGGTATGTGCAGAGGACGAGTAACGATATAGTAGTGGACAAATACTGAAACTTCATCTTTATTTAGGTACTGGAAGGTCGAAGATGATTCCTGCACGACAGTATTGACCAGATACTGACTTTCACTCTTTGTTAGGTACTGGAAGCTCGAAGATGATTCCTGGACGGAGGAAGCCGCCTTCCCGGTCGAAACCGCATTCCAAAAGCAGGCCGTCCTGCTCCACGACGTAAAACCCTCGCGAGTGCGACTCGACCGTGACAGTCTCCTCTACCTGTCAGCCTTTGAAGTAACGAAATCACACATCTTCAGCTCATGGAAGGGCTGGCTCATATCGCGAGACATTAGCACCGGACTAGTAGACTATAGCATCGAAGCACATCCCGGTAATCTCGTAACCGCAATCCATAATTGGGATGAACATGTCGTCGTTACTGGATCTGTAGATAAGAGTATTAGATTGTTTGATGTACGGGTTGGGAGGTACCATGTGGCGGAGTGGAGAGAGGAAGGCACTGTGTTGTCACTGAAACGGGCGTGTGAGACCGATGTGCTTGTTAGTTGTGGGAGGTATAAGAATCTATCTGTATATGATTTACGAAGTAGGAAGCTGGAGAGGGCGTGGTTTGCTAATAGTCTTGCAACTCGATCTCTCGTTGGGTCAGAACGAGGAGTTCTGCATACGGCTACTAGTAGTCGCGGGATGGGAACTGTTGATACATGTATGGATTCTGTGAATTCGGGATTCTAACCGTTGATACAATTCTAACAGTTGGCACATATAGGGGATGTGATAAATGGTGTGCGTATTGCTCGAACGAGAGACTTCAGATTCGGAGAAGTCGTATTGGGTATGGCCTCTCACGGAGCGCGCATTGCAGTATCATCTTGGGACGGGAAGATAAGTTTGCTAGATAGTGGCACACGACATATACGGACTCTGGTATCTGCTCCGCCGTTTTGCTTCTCTAATATCAGTATGGGAGCTAAACGGTTGGTAGCATCTCATGATCAGGGTATTGCGATTCTCGATTTAGGAGGCTTGCCTGAACATGACGATGACGAGCATGTAGAAGTGATTAATAGGTCTGCCTTTATGACGCACGAGGACGACGATCTGCCAACAAGTAGGACAATCTTCACGTCGTCGTATAGTGGTAATAACGGCCAGACAATCTGGTAGAGTCGCAAATGATATCCTTAAAACTGCTTCACAATAACAAACCCAATCCGTAATTCAATCTAAAAAAATCCTTGTTTTGGTTCTTAAAAATGCTAAACTTGCTTGCGTCAACTACAATTTCGTGGTATATTATCTTTGCTGGGATTATAGTACTGGGTTGTGGAAGAGATATGATATGCTTTCTCCATTGTGGGTACGTCGAATAGCTTCAGCGAGCACTCCACTAATGTCAATAATTCGAAGCTTCTTGGTCATGGCCTTTTTAGCATCTGATATGGGGTATGAGTTTGTCACGATAACCTATTGAGTGTGTCGCAGATGATGAACTTGAGGAACAAAAAAAGACATAGAGGTAGACGAGATTACCTCATCAACGGCATCACAATCCTCAATTTCCTGACACGCGTTACCAGCCAGGATACCATGAGTGGCGACAATATACACTTTGGACGCTTCAGAGAGTTTCAAATGTACTGCGGCATCGAGGAAGGAGTGGGTGCTGTCGATAGAGTCATCCTGGGAAATACGTAATGGGTGAGTGCACAACAGCAAAAAAAAAAATCCCCATAGCCTCCATATACATACGACAATGAATGCAGGCTTCCCCTTCACATCTCCCACTAGAGTCAACCGCGTTGTCTCAATCTCTCCAAACCCATCATCCTGCTGGTAGTGGTAGATATCTTCTGACGTCTCGGTGCTATCAGTTTCGTTTCCATTCAAGTCTTCTCTCATATGATTCTTTTCACGATGAATCAATGCGAAATCAATCTTGAGGCGATCTGCTAGCGATGTTGCCCTGAGAAATGTGGCGTAAGTCTGGGAGAGGAAAAACAGTCGAACGCGGAGAGTTCCAATCAAGCAAGACGTTCTTACCTCTTGGCACCACCAGCATTCTTTGAGATGATGACACCATTCTGCCAGTCTGGGTACTTGTCGCGAATGTACTTTGCGACTGTTGGTTCAGCGAGGAGGTTATCGACTGGACGGGAAAAGAAGCCTTGCACTTGGGACGAGTGCAAATCCATGGTGATGACGTGGTCGACACCGGCTACGCTCAACATGTTTGCTACCACTAGAAAGGGCGTGGTATTTAGAGAGCAGATAGAGGAGGCAAAAAGAACACAGTCTGTTGGACATACACTTTGCAGTAATAGCCCCCCTTGCAATCTTCTTCTTTTTAGATTGCTTGTTATATGGAAAGTAAGGCAGCCTAAACATGCGCAGAAAGAAACGTATGAGATCACACAACCACCTCTGCATCATCAGGATCTAACACATACACTGCAGTAATACGTCTCGACGAAGCAATCTTGCAAGCATTTATAAAGATGAGCAGCTCCATCAAATCATCATTGACTTGTGAAGAGCCAGATTGGATGATGTAGACGTCCTCGTTTCGTACCGAGACACCAATCTCGACGGCAGTTTCAGCATTTGAAAATCTTTTTAGAGTTGCAGTGGCAGGTGGTAGACCTAATCGTTCTAAAATCATGCCTGCTAGCTCAGGATGCGAGGATCCACTGAATATCTAATGTAGGTGTTGTGGGTTTGTGAGTGTGACGTGTGTCAGATATGGTCTATCTCGTAGTGCTTTTTGGCTGGTGTTGCCAAGTCGCAAACGGGGGCGATAAAGAGCAATGCATTCCAATAGCCACGATAGTGCGTATCAAATCCAATGTAGTCCAAACTCTTCTCAAGTCCAATTGTAGCATACCTTTACTTTTCTCATTGCACGATTTGAATCAGAGGTTGTTGATGTTCGGAACGGCAGCTGTCTTGCTCTGGGAGCAGATGGGGACGATGGAGAGCGCGGCGGTGGAGAAGTTGGTATGGGAATAGAGGGAGTCTCGTCTCCTAGTTGTTGGTTGTCGACAGCCTCAGCAAAGTGTTTTTTATTGCCTTCCTCCAGTTCGACGAAACTCCGTTTTTCAGAGTTCTGACAAGCCTATTTGAGATGCGATAAAAAGAGTGTCGATGTGTCTTAAATCCTTATCAAAGGACTGCTATTACGGTCTTGATAGTCTCATAATCTGGTAGCAAAAATGGGTTTTTTGGGGTTGGAAGTGAAATTCATTTTTTTGACTGGCTGGATACAAGAGTGGATTTTATTGCACGGTCGCTACTGTAAAGCAACGCATATGAATTGGAAACTCGTGCCAGAATCCACAAGACGTGCAAGTCACGTCCTTCATACACTCCAAACCCCATTCGTTCACTTGGACGCACCAAAAACACAGGTTGCAGTTGGAGCTTGACGAGGACTCAAAGAACAACCATGGCAACTCAGGGACGTGTAATCTCAATTCCGGACATCCAGACTCAGTCCTGGTCATGCAAAAATGCCTACGCTGCAAAGGGTACTCCCATTTCGCGTACCATGGTTTTTGGCAACATTCAAATTGTTACATCCAATGTATAGATATTATAATGTATAACCTAGCGTTGGGTGCTAAATGCCAGAACGGCCTGGACCTTGTCTTTGAAGGAGATCCAAACTTCCATCCTCTACCAACATTAGGTACGACAACGGTTGAACCGAATACACGAAACATTTCACTGAACGTTTCACGTCGAGATTTACCTATTTATGCCAAGGAGAACACGGTTTTAAGCTGGTACTGACCATACTTCTTACACAATATAGGCAGCATTCCCGTAATCTCAGTCATGGGTCCCGTCACTCAGTCAATGAGCTCCTTCTTGCCTGGCTTCCAAGCCCACAATCACGTCCATGGAGAGCATTATCTTGAAGTACGCTCTCCATACCCACTACAAGCTAATCTCACCACCACTGCTCGAGTCGTGGATGTGGTAGACAGGAGATCCGGAGTTACAGTGTGTGTAGGAATCACAACTGTGGATGATGCCACCGGGAAGGAACTCTGTTACAATGAATGGACGTCGTTTGTCATGAAGGTTCCTGGAGCTGGTGCGAACAAGACTGCTATGGATCGCGGGGCACGTACTGCGTCGAACGAGCCTCCGAAGAGGGCTCCTGACGGTGTTGTTGAGGAAAAGACGACACCTGAACAGGTATGAATACTGCTGTTTATGTTATGTTTCGTTAGTTTGTTTTCTTAACAGTCGCTGGTTGTAGGGTGCCTTGTATCGTGCTGCTTCTGGAGATTTGAATCCCTTACACATAGATCCCAAGGTAAACAAAGCACACTTACTGACAAAACTATATTGTTTACCCTTACACAATCTATCGCTCCTACGCAGGTTGCCAAAGCTGGCGGTTTCCAAGGCCCAATTCTCACCGGAACCTGCACCATTGGAATTGGTGTGAAGCACGTAATCGACTGGGCAGCCAATGGCGATGCTACTCGCTTCAAAAACATTAAATGCAGACTCAGCAAGCCCTTGTATCCAGGCGAGACCATCGTCACAGAGATGTGGAAAGAAAGTCCTACTCGAATCGTCTACAGAATGAAGGTCAAGGAAAGGAATGTCTTCATTATTAGTAACGCTGCTGTGGAATTGACACCTGCTGGATCAAAGATGTAGAGGGTGATTGATGATCGAAAACCAAAAGATGTTAAGAAATAAAGTAGGTTTTTACTAAAACAAAAATGTTGTGATCAACATTATGGATGTTTTATGATTGTTTAGTGAAGCGACGAACGAACTCGTCAGTCATCTTGGGAGAAGTCATGCGATATACCTTCAAGTGTGGGTGTTGCATAAAACGTTGTTGGAAGGGAGTTGGCCCAGCCCTCCAAAGCGTCCAAGTCCACGCCAGCACTGAATCCCGTGTAAAGAAGACTTTATAGAAGGACTCGTGTAGGTCTTTTCCAAACAGCCGTTCTTTAGTGAATGATCTCACAAGTGTCCTCCATATAATTCGAGGCCAAAGAATATACCTGAAGCCAAGACGTATGAGTGACGTAACTTTGTTGGCGATGATAGTAGCCTACCAGGGATAGTCAAGCCATATGACTTGACGACACATTGGAAATAAGTGATCATCTAGAACTCTGAATTTTGTTGTGACTGAGCATGAGTTTACAAGTAGCTGATCTAGCGGCGACAGAAAGAACCTTTACCTGTAGTTCCCATCAACAATAAATTCATCAGCACCCTTCAAAGCTTTATCAGTCCTTTGCTTCAGTTTTAGTGGACGTGTTGGCACCCAATCTTCATTCCAATGTAATTGATCAATGTCGATACGTTTAATGTTGAGCTGTTTCGATAATTTTTCAGCCAGAGTGGACTTTCCCATTCCGCTAATACCACATATTCGTATTCGATACGGGCGGTCTGGTATCTCCTCGGCCAGCTCCATATTCCCAAAGCTCGAGAAATCACAACAAGAAACAATACCCCGGTCGCTATAGTAAAGCGAGTGAATTTCGAAGAATCCCGATCAAATCCATACTTACCACACAATCTACATGACCTGGTAGTCGAAATTGGCACTACTTCGCAAACTGTGCACGATGGGAATTTTTCAAGATTGGAGTCATTTTGCAACAAACCTGCAATTCTTGACAAGAACAGGTCTAGATCTACCGCAGAATCCGAATCGTTTATTATTTAAAAGATGGCCCGTGGAACTTATGGACCCAGAGACAATGGGAATCTACTCGCACACGATCCAACACCAGGCACAAATTCCGAATACAAACCATTGATTAAACGATCAGTTCCAAGAAATCAACCTGCTCCTGGTATCAAAGCATTGCCACCCATCATGCCACTACAGAACTCTACTCCTTGGGGTATCGACGCATCGATGCCAATGATTGCCCCTGCTGAAGGCCCAGTACGCCAATTCCGTCAACAGCAATCTCAACCTGACGTCTACGTTATGCAGCAACGAGATCCAAGAAACCGTGGAATGACTGATGCTCCAGATATGCCGTATCGTCAACAGCGGCAACAGCAGCAAGAACGTGTGCAATCTGCACCTCGATTATCACGAGAGTCGTCTATTCCATTGATGCAAAAGCCACCGACGCCTGATGCTCAACGAGGATACCCATCTCGGTCCAGAGAGGCTGAGAGGACTCCGCCGACGTCAAGGACTCCTGCCAGACCAGATCCTACTGTTCCGATTCAAATGTTGCATGAGAGGTTGATGGAATCTGAGAGGACTACGCAGGCTGTTGCAAGGATGCAAGGAGAGGCTGTTGCTGGGCTTCGTCAGCATGAGGAGGTGTTGAGGGATGAGACGAGAATGAGAAGGTGAGCATAACTAGCATAACCATCTCGTGGATTTTAAAAGGTTTACTTTGTTTATCAGGATGATGGAAGGCCACTTGCAATCATTACACCCAACCCTGGATCGCATGCAAAATACCATGACCTCCCTACAACAAAACATGCAAATGCAAGAAGCCGCCCGTGAAAAGACGCTTCGAGCACTATCCGAAGACGTTGACCGTCGTATTCGAGAAGCCGTAACAATGATGTCGTCTCAAATCAGAGAAGACCTGCTACATTTCCGTGAAGACATGTCCAGAGCCCAATCCGAAATCCATCAGGAACTCGCTGCTACACGATCAGAAGGAGACGCGCTACGAGCCGGGCTTGGCCAGGAATTGAATCAAATCAGAGAGGCCATCAAGCAAGTCGCAGAAAGTGGACACAACGTGTCAATGAATTTGGCAAATGAGAGTAAAATCCGTGAGGAGAGTCTCAGTCAATTGTCGCATGCTGTCGGAGACGCAGTAACTAGTATTAAACGCCAAGAAGAAACCGAACGTGCCACTTTACGAGAAACCTTCATCAACGAACTACGACAAGTACAAATCAACGCACGGGAAGACAATGCCGCAGAAATCCGAAATTTGCAAGCCCACATCCAGAACGAGGCCACAGCAACAATCCAATCCCATTCGGAATCCATCTCGGCTCGTTTGGAAGGCTTGCGTCACGATATGGAAGATTTACGTGGATATGTCAACTCTGGTATGAAAGGGTTTGAAAGTATGCTAGATGGTGAATTGAGAAACCAACAAGCTCAGCAAGACCGTGTTGGGCAGGAAGTCGTCGGAGCTATCTCGTCTATGAGAGCTAATGTTGGGGTATTACGTGATGAAGCTCGGGAATCTGTTAAGGCTCTGCAACAGGAAACTCTTAATGGGTTGGATAACTTGAGAAGTGAACTCAAGTCTGAAATGAGACGTTTGGCTAGACCTCTTGTCGTTGTTTAGAGTGTAAATAGATTAAAATTTTCCTTGAAATCACGCGTGGTAGATCGATATTATGCGATGGAATGAATTAAACGCGTAAATGAAGTGGATTCGACATATACATCAGAGGTTTTTTGTCGCGGAATTCGCTGACTGGAAATTCTGAAAGTAGTAGTTTAGTTACCTGGGTCATGGGGCAGTGCTGACAAATATATTACTCACTGTTCTATGGGTTTGGCCCTGTCTTGCATATACTATGGCTCTCGTCCTGTTCTGTCCTTGCTTTCTTTCTCTCTCTTGCCGCTCCTTCGCATTTGCTTGTTGTTGCATTTGGCACAGTTGGCACCTGCTGCAGAAGTATTACAATTAAGAATCTTTTGCTCACAAGTTACTCTTACTCATGGTGAACCTGTCGATATGAGTGTGCCCGAAGACTATCCACAATTAGTAGATGCATCAAACCCATATTATTTCAGACGGGGTAGCACCATCAAAGAACGATGGGGTATTTAGCATGAAACCTTCTATCCTATTCCAGCAACAGCTGTGGACGAAGTCAGACTTATCAATGGCCAATTGCGCTTATAGAAGGCAATAGATCTCTCCGATTCGAAAGACCCAGAAAGTCACATGCACGTCACCAAACAATATCAGAGGTATGAAGGTAGACGATTAATGGGGGTTTTATATGTCTACTAGATTTTATGCACGGGTTATTACACGGCGACGGACGATTATTTCATTGTACAAGCTTCTATGGGAATTTACCATACGGTCGATGTCTGTTCGGGGAATCAGTTCTGTTTCCGTCATGTCGACTCCCATGAATGGATTCGTGTTCTGGATTGAAAAATGTTCAGCAGCGCAGAAGGCACATGTGAGATCTGTATTATTGTGTGGGTAACCAACAGCTTCCGACAACCAGTCTAGGCAAATCCCGCAGCAATAATGTTCAGGAGGTTCCGAATCAATTGGTTCGCCTTGGCGGATGCGTTTTACTATCTTAGACACTCGTTTCCCACGGCCCTTCCATATAGAATCAGCAATGGCTGGCTGCTGCATTTTCAATTTAACAATAGCTTTGAGAATTTTAGCATTTGTCAAGGTTCGAATGTCATTCACATTATGGCAGTCCGCGGCGATGATGACCTCATTTGTTTTCGGTCCTGCGTCGTATATCTCTGTGATGGGTGTGGATCCGGTGACTAAAGATTTGATCATTATTGAAATGAAGCAAACGAAAAGCGAAAAACTGGAAAATACAATACCAATGTCTTGGATTTCAGCTCTTGGATATTCTTCTTCCGTTTCACTCATATTCGTTCACCGCTGAAACTGCAATAATGTGAGAAAGAAAAAGCAAGAAGTTGTGTCATCAGCGAAATCCGGGCTTGTTATGATAAAAAATCCTCACGACGCGTCATGACAACGTTTTCACGGTGTTTATGTGTTTATGGGCATTATGAATTATGAATAAATATTTTGGTCATGGGTCATGGGCCATCATGCTGGCCATCACGATCGTTATCAGTACGCGTTTTGGTCATGATAAAAGTCATTGTTTGTAAACTACATCATGAGCGACCGTGAGAACTCGACCCACGGCCATCATGATCAAGGCCCAGTTTTACGAATTCTTATGGCCATTATGATCATTTTGCTCGCCACTGCCTTGGTCATGACGGTGCGAATCCAAGGCATAAAATAACTCATGGCATCGATTGACGCTATTATCACTTGAAGGGACTTAAGACAGATTACCACCATCAGGACATGCTTTCATGCATACTACTGAACTTCCCTGGTGGTAGATCTTGTTCGTCTGCTAAGAATCAGTTGAGATATCAGTGATAGAAACATGACGGTTTGTGCAATATGGACAGTTGGAAGACACTCCATTAAATCAACGAGCTACACTATGTCAACACCCCTGCTTTTTGATTCGTGGATATGCTCTGAAGACGTCCATACTTGTGAAAGTGTTGTCGTTATAATTAAAACAGTAACGATCAGACACCTAGATCCGTGCTTCGCAAAGGATGACTCTGATTCGAGTATTATACCCAGTACAGTATCAAGTCTCTGCTTTCTATGGCAGTTTGATCACTCCTCTCCCCTCACACGGTACGTCATCAATCGTTGTTTTGTTGAAGGTATTTTCATGCATGGCAAGGGGGATTTGACGACGACTGATGCTGTGGATTATGAAGAACTGCAGTCGATTTTTGTATGTCCTTTCCGTCGCTGCTGTGTGCACAGACGAGACGTACATCGACTATGGTTATTCATTTTTCACTGCATCAGTTGTGTGATGGAGATCTCGATCATTGTGCAAGCACTAACGTTCGCTCATGTAGTGCATGTTACACGTTCCGCTGAAGGTTATCGTTGGCCCCACTTCATTGGTAAGTTGTCAGAATCGCAATTTCTCAACTATATTTTGTGTTGACAATGGATGCTTGTCGTTATTTGTGGATCTGAAAAGGGCATTGCTAATTGCATCTTCAATAGAGTCTTAAATCTCCCTTGCTGGAATGCCAGATGGTGGCTCAAGTTGATATATGCATATTTGTTTACCACAGTACATTTGATCAATTTCATAATTATGAGAATACTAAGAGCTTATAAGTGGTCATGACAACTGTGAACTGTGAGTTAATAAATCACGACGTGTCATAATGGTCGTGAGAATGGACTCTCACAATACCATGACACGATGCGTTTGTCATGAACCACCATGAGACTTTCGACGCGTCATGACACTGTCATGACAAAGCTATGTCTACACGGACTCATGAGGGCCCGTGAAGCCATCCCCGACTTCGCTGATGTGTATTGTTGTATTCTCATTTTGTCGACAATGTTTATACGTGTATTAAACTGAAAAGAAGAAAGCACATCTAAAGTACTACTACAACCCTCAAAACACGTCCCCCTTCCTCATGCGAGCTGTCAGCTGCAGCCCCACACCCTTCATAATAGCGAACCCAATGCACACTACTGTACTTCCGAAAACCCCTAAACTCACTGAAAACGCAGAGGTTTAAAGATCTCAGTAGATAGACAGAGTCGGAAAACGTAACTTACAAGCAGCCGTCTATGGGCTTTCATGTTCTCTAATAGCTTATTCTCATCACACAACACTTGGTACGCATCGTCACTTTTCTGTAATCTCAAAACATTTCATCAAGCTTTCTGGGAACTCCCTTTCCTTCCAACATCCATTCATATGCTAATATCACTCGATATCTATCATAGGAGAGGATTTAAAAGGACTTCCGCCACGCCTAAATCACCAGCTTGAGTTCCACGTCATCAAGCTTCTGAAAAAGCTTTCAACCAACAGACATTCGTAAAAATGCCACCACACGCCAACGATGGTCCAGCCAATCCCACTGGAACCCACCAACGTCCTACAATCCGTGTAAACAGTCCGGATGTGACTTACAAGGACGATCAGTTATACTCGAACTACACTTATCACAGTGCACAGGTTAATCGTCAAGGAGATGAAGTCATTGTGGTTCCCACCACTCAGTCGTATCAATTTAAGGTTGATTTGACTGTTCCTCGTGTCGGGTACGCTATCCTCTTGCCAAATCCCATGTTTTTTGTGCTTTTACCAGCAGCAAACTGACACCTTCCAAACAGATTGATGATGGTCGGCTGGGGTGGTAACAACGGTTCCACCTTGACAGCCTCTATTATCGCCAACAGACGCGATCTATACTGGCGCACCAAAGATGGACGTGTCAATTCCAACTACCTCGGAAGTCTGACACAGTCCTCTACTCTGAAAATGGGTCGTGACGCTATTACTGGACAAGACGCATATATTCCATTCTCGCAGATCTTGCCAATGGTACATCCGAACGATTTGGTATTGGGTGGTTGGGATATCTCAAAAAAGACATTGGCTGAAGCGATGGAACGGGCTTGTGTTTTGGAATGGGATTTGCAGAGACAGGTGTGGGATGAGATGAATGGGTTGCGTCCGTTGCCTTCTGTCTATTATCCTGGTATGTATGAGGACATCATGGCGTTGTGGAGCCTGCATATGAGGCCATGATCCATTTTGCCATCATTTTTTGCGTCTAACAACTTGCATATTTGAAATAGACTACATTGCAGCCAATCAGTCCGAACGTGCAGATAATCTCATTCCCGGATCTAAATATGACCAGCTCAATCATATTCGACGTGATATTGCCAACTTTAAAAACGTTAATGGATTGGATCGAGTCATTGTTGTTTGGACTGCAAATACTGAACGCTATTCTGATGTAAGAACCAGCTTTAGTCGATATGTGCTGTATCATCCTTCAAATCATCCGACGGGTTTTTTTATCCACACCACTTGAAACTACAATAGATCATCCCTGGCGTCAACGACACTGCCGAAGCACTCTTGAGCTCCATCAAAACATCACACTCAGAGATAGCTCCTAGCTCTCTCTTTGCTGTAGCATCCATCTTGGAAGGATGTCCCTTCATCAATGGATCACCCCAAAACACTTTTGTCCCCGGTGTCGTTGCACTTGCCGAACGTCATCAAGTCCATATCGGCGGAGATGATTTTAAATCGGGACAGACCAAATTGAAGTCAGTTTTGGTTGACTTTTTGGTTGCTGCTGGTATTAAACCTCTTGCTATCTCGAGCTACAACCATTTGGGAAATAACGATGGGCTGAACTTGAGTGCTCCACAACAGTTCCGTAGCAAAGAGATATCAAAGAGTAACGTTGTTGATGATATGGTCGCTAGTAATAATATTTTGTATCAGGTTCGTGGTTGGGTACAATTGAAATCTCGCTGCAGCGGAGGAATCCGAAAACTGATACTCCTTTTTTTTGGCAGGAAGGAGAACACCCTGATCACCTTGTTGTCATCAAGTATGTTCCATCTGTCGGAGATAGCAAACGTGCAATGGATGAATATGTTAGTGAGATCTTTATGGGGTATGCAGACGTTCTTGGGATTCTTTTTTGGCTCAACTCTGACTCACTGGACGCTGTCTTGCCTCAAATCCAGCGGTCGATCAATCATTTCAGTATACAACCTCTGTGAAGATTCTCTCTTAGCATCACCTCTCATTTTGGACTTGACCATTATCACTGAACTCATGACTCGTATCAAATACAAAACGGACGATATGTCTGACTATGCACCATTCCATGCTGTCTTGTCAATTCTGAGCTACATGTTGAAGGTAAGATCGTTTGCAGCACTCCGATGTATCCTTGTATGACTTAAACGAAAGTCTGCCTTGACAACAAAAAACGGGACTGCTTTGAAGATTCATTAATACTCAACGCACTTTTACCCTCGTTAGGCTCCTCTGGTACCCTCTGGTGCTCCTGTTGTCAATGCTCTAGCTAAACAACGAGCCATGCTGGAAAACATATTCAGAGCATGTGTTGGATTGCAGCCACAGAATGAACTGTGGCTTCCAAGCATGAACGAAACCAAAATGAGACAGTAAAGTAAATAAGTAGAGTCAGCAGACTTTTGTGTGTCTTTTACACTCTGTTTTTACCCAAACTAGAAAACCAAATTGAACGGATTTTGGTGATTTAGTTGTGTGTGTCGTTTATCTGTGTGCAGTAGTACGTGACTGTCTAGTATTTGATAGCATTTTTCGCTGTGTAAGGAATTCAGTGAGATGAGTATTGGAAACATCGCTGATCGTGTACAGCGTAGATTGGTGCTTCAAACCTACCAAGAAGTCTAGATCTAGCAAGCATCCATGTCCCTGTCCAGCATACGAGATGCCTAGAATACCACGAGTTCTCCAGCCTTCCATGGTGTGAATTGGTCTCTGCAGCTCGAACTTCAAACGTGCCCTGGACAACGTCACGGGACTACCCTCGTCTGTACTGAAATTGTCATAACCTGTATACAAACCACGGGCCTTTCCTTTTGTGGTAGTCTCGAAATTGAAATCGTGCCTGGGGCTCAAACTTCAACTTAGGACTGAAGATCTGCACGGGGCTACTCCAAGAAAGTCCTTTATCCTGAAATCATCGCCACCTGGATCAATACCACGGGCGTTCTCGGGTAACAGCGCCAGCTTTCCATTGTTTGAATTCTTTCCTGCAACCGGATCTTCAACTTTGTACTTATGAACTTTACGGTACTACTCGCACAAGTAAGTTTCTTCTGAATCTACCAAAGTTTGCATGACTACCACTAACCCTGTGTTTACGTGAAAAATGAATTGTTTCACTGGATTGACATCGACTCTCTGAGCGTCTATGTCGTTTAATCGTGTATAAGTTTTACCAATTCCGGTTCGAAGTCTATGCTGCTCCTAAGCGACAAGCTCTACATTCTCAATTTGCCGTTTTCGTGCCTTTACGAAACCGCTGTCAGGAGAACCGTACAAGCTGTTGAAAGCTACTATTCAGAGCTAAAAAGCAATGACACAGCTCGATCTTTCGAAAGTGAGCTGGGCCCTTCTAAAGTATCGAATCGATAATTGTATGTCTTTAGATATGCTTTCCGACGTGAGAAATAGCTTTCATTCGCTTTGGGTCACATGCTGCAGCTCCGTAAACAAAATCACTGGAAATCCGCGATCAACCAATCCACTGAGACTGTCAGACAGTCCAATAAGAATTGCTGAAATCATAAGTGGATGACAATGATGATTCAGGATGAGAGCAGACTTCATTGGCTCTGACTTACAATATAAACCACACGGTAGTTAAGATCAACATTTGCAAGACAGCAATTACAATTTTGCAGCCTTTGGATTCAGGATACCGTCCAACATATCCAATTCCTTCTTTCTATACGTGTCCGGCTCCATGTGAAGTCCCTTCAGATCAAAAACTGCGACCTTTCCAGACCCTTCGACATATTTTGTCCAACTCCTGCCAGGAGCACCAGTGTATGTAAAGGTAATCCAATTCTCACTTATGGTATGCGCCAACTTGAGCTCTTCTTTCGTCAAGAAATACTCGTTTGAGAATACGAATGGTATTTCACCTAACAAACTCTCGTAAGATTTCAAGAAGCGTCGAATGCATACACGGAGCTTACCAGCATGATGCGCCCCAATATTCAGATGAGACGAGAACGACATTGGATGTTCAAAGCGATATGCATATACGTCCGAAGTTTTAGCTAGTTCCCGCATGGTTGCCCGTACAGGTTGATAAAACACGGCGTCTCCGATATATTTTCCATAAGACTTCACTGCCGTGGCGGCTGCAGGATCATCGTAGATACTCATTAGCTCATCCATATGTTGAGGATTGCGGCCGGCTATAGTAGCTCGTAGTTGGTCTCTCGTGCTGGGTACACGGGGATTCAAGGTGAATAGAGATCCCTAGATAGCGATAGTGAGAACCACGTTCATTCATATAAGTAACCTCAGTCTCACCTCGTCACTGTTGGTACCGATAATGAATTGCTTGACTGTTCTCTTGCTAGACCTCCAATTCTCAGGTAGAGATACACCATCAACGGTTGGGAATGATGCTCCAGCGATGAGATTAGCTGATGCAGCCAATAATTCCTGAGTTGATTTGGTCAACAGGAAGTTGACTCGGTCTATTCCGACAAGAGACTCTGGCCCGTTTAGAGCGACATACAATTTGTCAAAGAGTATTTGAGCATCTTCAAGACGGTTTGGAGGGAGTGTCATGGAAGTCCCGGACTGCATGATGCATCGTTTGAACTAGTAGAAGCTTGTAAGCACAAAAGTTTCAACAGAGTGTTTTGGTCGCGGGACACATACCAGCTTTTCTTGTGCAAACATGATAGAAAGGTAATCAACAGACACACCACCGGCTGATTCGCCGAATATGGTCACATTGGTCGGATCGCCACCAAAGCTTGCCTATTACGCATAGTGAGTTGTTGGGTGACGAAAATCGCTCGAAAAACATAATAGTTACAATGTTCTCCTTGATCCAACGCAGGCCACATCGCTGATCAAAAAAACCAAGATTGCCGGTGCTTCCATCATCCGAGAACTGCTGTAGTTCTAAATCATGAGTCGTCTGTCAGCAGCAAGTCGCGAGAACATCAGATCTGACTTCATCACGTACCTTTAGAAGCCAAGAACCCAAACAGATTAATACGGTATGCGATGCATACGACAATGACAGGCTTCTTGAGCTCGGCTGAAAGTCGAGCAAGGTATTCCCCAGAATGCCTAGCATCAAAACAGCCTGAGCACGAAAGTCCAGGTTTCAAGAAGGCCCAAAAAAATCATCCTCACGTAATTTTGTTGGTTTGGCCTTCCGCAAGACCACCTATAATGTCATTAATCAATGCGGATTCAGGAGAAATGCGTCGTCGTCGACGTTGCACATAGAAGCAAGCACGATTCTGTGTCAAAAATTGGTCCATTTCGTACCGCCGTAAATCCAAACAAGCACGGGCACCTTATTAGTACTCATTCCAGCTGGTTTCCATATGTTCAGATACAAACATTCTTCATCGTCAAAGTCACCATCGAAAACTTCATCGATTTTCAAGACCACGGGAGGGCGATTCTGTGGTGGGCTAGGCCTGAAAGAATAAATATCCATGTAAGCTCAAAACATTGAACGTGTCTGCGCTTATATAAGACTTGCCCAAATCTGTTTGCTTCGAAAACACCTTCCCACTTTTTCGTGACTGGCACAGGCTTCCTGAATCGTTCAGCGGTGGCGAATTGTATACCGAGGAACTGTGCGACGTTGCGCCTGATGCTGCCTCGTATGGTTCCCAGCGGTGTCTCGACTTCCATGGTGTTAGTGCTTGTTTGGACTTAGGTTTTTTGAAAGAATGGATTTTATGGAACAGGTGCCTACAATGTTAATCGATCGGTTATCTCATGCCGCAAATAACGTTCATTCAAGTTATTTCAAGTTTATAACTGGTGTCAAACTATAGGTTTAAAATCGAGATCCCATGTAAATCGTTGCCGAGTATTCGTGTGTAAAGCTTTACAGTCGAGACCCAATACCATGAGCTTCAGTAAAGACCTTATCACAAACATCCAACGCCTCCTTCCTGAAATCATCATTTTCCAGCGTCATTCCTCCACTACCAAACACTGCGATTTTGCCGTTCACTTTATACTTTGGCCACTCTGGTGCTCCATTGTAAGCAAAAGTGATCCATTGCTTGGTCATTTCCTTTGCCAGTATCACCTCCTTCTCGTTCAAGAAAGCCGCATTTGAGAATACAAAGGGTATCTCTGATGCATGGTGAGCTCCAATTCTGTACGGTTTCGACGTGGCTAATGCGTGGTCGAATCTGTATACATATACGTTTGCTGATGTGGATTTGGAGCGAGCATATTGCCGGACTGGATACTGGAAGATTGTATCGCCAAAGTATTCCGTGAACGCTTTCTGTACTGTGCCGTATTTCTTCTCGTCATAGACCTTTAGCAGTGCGTCACGATGTTGTGGGTTTTGGAAGCGAGCGCCGATTCTGGCACCTAGTTCCTGCATTGTTTTTGGAGATCCAATCATTGTGAATAGGGTGCCCTGCGACAACGAAGCAGGGTTAGTGACTGGCTTCGCCAGATTGATTAACATGGCAAAGTACCTCGTCACGAGTCGTCCCAACCATCATGTCCTTGAGAGGACGTACCACATGAGCCCAATCACTCGTGATCGCAACACCATCAATTACAGGAGATATAGCGACTTTCAACGCCATCTTGGACCATGCCTCTTTGACTTCTTCTGTCGATCTGCTTAAGAGATATTCGACTTTGGCCTTCCCTTTGAGATCAGCAGGCCCCTTCGAATGCTCGTAAAGGAGATCAAACACTCGTTGGGCTGTTGCTACAGGAGCTGGCGGCATCGTCAAAGCTACACCTGACTGCATTATACATCTTGTAAACTATTGAAAGTAAGCCAGTTGAGCGTGATGCGAACCAAGCAAACAACATCCAGCTGATTTACCAGTTTTTCCTTGGCAAACATGATCGATAGTATGTCAATGGATGCTGAGCCTGCCGACTCGCCAAAAACAGTAATATTCTGTGGGTTACCACCAAACCTGGCCTACAAGACAACGTAGTCAAGGTCTGGATCAGCTTGCATGTGAACAATGTTTGACCTACAATGTGTTCCTTGACCCACAAAAGTCCCAAACGCTGATCGAAGAAGCCCATGTTTCCGGTTGTCCCGTCACCATTCCATTCTTGAAGCTCTGCAAGTTGAATATCGTAAGGCTCCACGTTGTACCATTGTGTGACGAATCTTTGAAACTACCTTTGGAAGCCAAGAAGCCAAACACGTTGACTCTGTAGGCGATTGAAACCACAATGACTGGCTTGTTCAGCTCAATTGAAGCCTTGACCATGGGTTGGCCATCATACCTGAAACGACAGTCATCAGCAAAGTTGGTTGCATGTTTAGATCCAAGCTTCACACTTACGCGAGCATGTTAGTTTGGCCATTCGTCAGCGCTCCGCCATAGATCCTAGACAGTTTAAAGAACGACAAGATGTCCATAAGTATGCTGCAGTAACAGACGGCCAACTCACGATCATGTAACAAAGCTTGGCTCACCACACCATAACCGGCAGATTTCGACCTTCCGCATTTGGAGGCGTCCAAACGTTGAGGCAGAGACAATCCTCAGACTGGACATCACCCTCATGTGTGTCAACGAGCAGCGAGATGGGGACGGGCATATTCATTTGTGGGGGAGATGCACTACAGCGCATGAGTTAGATGCATAATATAGACTACATATGATACGGGTTTCATACCTAAAGTTAGTAGCATCATACAGATTGCTCCACGGTTGAACTGCAACAGGTCGCTTCCATCGTGCTGCAGTTGCAAACCGTACTCCTAAGAATTCACGGATGCCACTAGGTGCAACTTTGCCTCTTATAGAACCAAGAGAAGTCTGAACCTGCATCGTTGCTTGTATGTAATCGCAACTGGTCGTAGTACACACACTCAAGGAAAAACACCGTTTCAAGTGTTGATGTTCTCGTGCTGTAAGACAAAGCTCATACGAATCACGTACCAAAACGCGTTAAATTGTGTAAGCGTGCAGTAGCTATTAGCGATCGCATGTGGATTTTGGTTGAACATGTTGAACATTCAAATTTCCCGATGTGCCTGTGTTCAGTTTTTCACGAGGGGCTCACCATCTTGATGATCAATTAACTCTCATACATGAATATAATCGAGACATCGTAAACGTATCGCGCCTCAACTTGCTCAGCTCAACGTTTTGGGCTCTCTCACCGTCCATCATCTCTTGATCATTATTTTTTTTCAATTCGACAGCTTACAAGATTTCAATACGACATGGCAGGAGGTGGAGCGTCAGGATCTAAGCGAGGCGGCGGAGGTGCTGGAGGCAAGAAAAAGTTCTACTCGACTTTAAATACAAAAAGCAAGGTAAGCTATCTGCAAGTCTTGATCACTTTCAAAGAAACACATTCGCTTGCAAACAGACACTAATCTCATTTCACAGGCGGGCTCTTTCAAGGCTGGTATAGAAAACAAAACAGCTGGTATCCTGATTTCATGTGCTCAAGGCAAAGAAACGAAAGCTGCTACCGAGATCAGGAATTGGTTGAAAGAGGTATGAGAAAAATACACAAATTCACGTTCGATTGGACTATCTACTAACAGTTTTATTTGATATAGATTGCAGACAGGCTGTACGGTCCAGAAGAAGCAGCCGAGGAAGCTGACACGAAAGATGGGGATGTCGAAAAGGCTCTACAAGCTGAATTGGACGGGCTCAAGAAAGAGAGGAGGGAATGGAGGTTTCAGCAAGTGCTTATGAAGTCTGATTCTATGATATACTTTAAGGTGTGCCTGCTCTCAGCGTCAGATCAATCCGATTTTCTGTTTCACACATATTTTGGTTAGACAATCGCACCCGTCAATCCCGTTGAAGTGGTCACAGAACTGATGGAGAGCGTCTTGAAGACCGGCTCAAAGAGATCTCGTCATTGCATTCGTATAATACCGATTCAAGAGACTTGTTACGCGTCAGTGGAAGAGATATCCAAAGTCGTCAGCAAGCTTGCTAAACCTGTTTTCGATGTTGACGGTGATGAGACTGTTATAAAGGTAACCGCGATGCCTTTGCATATCTGCTTGGAATACGACCTTTAAATTAGTGGGTTTTTTTCTTAGTGGGCACTCGTACAAAAAGTCCGCTCACATGCAGCTCTGACAGGAGAGATGCTCATAGAATCGATACCTGGTCTGATTCCCAAAAGGCATAAAGTAGATTTGACTACCCCTGAAGTGTGTATCGTCGTTGAAGTTGTCAAGGTAAAAAAAACCAAGCCGTATGATAGCCGCATTCGACCAATGTCAGATTCGAGTTTGGTCACCATTGTTACATCCGCCATTCGTCTTATACCACCTTCTTCTCCATCATATAGACCACCGCCTGCATCAGCATACTACGAAACTTCAAACGCTTCAAACGCTTCAACTTACGCTCCATATGGGACGACATGCATCCAGACGAGAAGGCAGCCATTGAAGCTGAAAAAGCCGCCAAAAAAAAGGAAAGATCTGCACGTGGCGAGGAGGTTTGGAGAACGGGCAAGAAATTTGACGGTAAAGCTAAAAAGGGCAAGGGTGTTGAAGCTGAAGCTGATGATGATTCGGATGACGATGATGAAGAGGTGGAAGCATCGACCAAGAATGGATCTAAACGAGGTGCTGATGAAGAGGGCGTTGAGGATGATGATGCCAAGGAGGAGGACCATAGAGATAAACGTGTCAAAGAGGATGTAAAAGAGGATGTTGCAGAGTAGTCAGTAGGTAGTAAGTCCCACCTTGTAATAAAAACCAGCATTTTGGATGTTTGTACTTGAACGAAGTGGTTGATTTCAAAGCTGGTGACGGTTGAGTTAGGTATTATATTATTAGGTTTGGTATTGGGTTCACGATTAGGTTCTATATTAATACTACGATTGAGGTATTGAATATTGAGGCGACGACGGCGTATGCAGCGTTGCATCAGAGTACACGCTCGTTCTCGGCGATGTGGGTGACTGTGGCGGTGTCGTTTCTGGGGATGCTGCCAGACCATCACCTTTACTGCTACTACCATGGTCCTGTTTACTACAATTACAGTTGCAATGCTTCTCCGGTTGACTAGGCAACACCCAATGCAAATGGTCTCCGGGAGTCCTCACAAACACATATCCGACATAGTTAAACACCACTCTAACAGCAGGCTTGTTCAGTATACGTGCTCCATACGGCGTATCCTTACTCTTATGCTTTTCCTCGTGAGATTTCGATACGAGCTGTTTCTGATACAGCAATCTGCGGCGTTCGCCAGAGATTGGAGTGTCGAGATGACCGATGTCGTCACGACCGAGATTATATGGAGATGTGAGCAAGAAGGAAAGGGAATGTATAGATGTACTCCATTTGAAAAAGTCCGTCTTTGCCTTTTTTATTGCCTCGATATTGTCCTGCTTGTTCTTTTCTTCCCAGACGATCTTCTCATCCTCGCTCAATCCCTTGGGAAGCATTTTCCAACCGTGATGTTCCTTCAAGTGCGTCCGTTTACTCTTGATACGGGGCAAAGCTTCTTCTAAATCCAAGGTCAGACGAGCAAACTGAAGATTCCGCTCTTGACGATGGTCGCTCAAGGTCTCCTGATATCTGTTGAAGTCATGACAGCAGCTCAGCACGGAAACCGATCTGTAAACATGTTTTAAACTTACGCGGAGTTGATGAGCGCGATGAGAATATTGATCAACATTAGGACAGACACTGACGCCCAGTATAGATAAACGAAAGCGGTAAGATCCGGTGTCAGAGTATCCGAGATATCAGAATAGGTTCCAAGTTGTAGTACAATTCGCAACGTATATCCAATTGACGACATTGTGTGTACGAAGCCGGCACCTTCCATATCATCTGGCGTCAAAGTCACAATGTGCCAGGCCAATCCAGCGCCAAGAAGCAAGACAGCGACTAACGGAGAGGAATCGAATCAATCAACCGCGGACATATGTGATGTTAACAAAGATGGTGTACTCACATAGCAGCAAGAAAAACAAGAGATATTGTTTTAGTACTTTGGCCACTACTACAACCAAAGCTCCAATTCGTTTCGATGCCGAAACAAATGAAAACAAGTATGCCCACTATTGAGTGTGTTAGTATTGCACATGAGGAGCGACAAACTTACTCAAAACTTACACCCAAGATTGCGATAAACACTAGCAAGACATTCTCAGCAGGAACGTTGCCCTTCACGCGACATGGCACGCACATTATCACCATAGCAGACCACGTAATTTGCATACAATCTACGCAAGAGCATCAGTGTAATCATGGTCCAACTTCCCAACAGATTCAAGAAACCTACTTCTGAGTCCACCAAACCCAAACATATAATATCTCAGCTTCCCAAGCAGGCTATTACTTCGCGAATTACGTATAATCTGAAGCACTTCGATAGCAAACTGAACTGTTGCAAAGATCAAAAGCATGATCTCCATTGCTAAACGTGCGTTTCCACGACTTGAACTGAAGTAATCCAGTCGATCTGACGAGGTTGCTGGCATCATTGCCAAAGCTACTGACATGACCATTATGGCGAGGAATGACCAGAATAGAAGCCACAAGTAGAAGCGATAGAGATAAACGTTCCATTTTATTTGAAGTACCATTTGGAACAGATGATGAGACACCTGTTTAGCCAAGCACGGTAAAACGTTAGCCTTGATGATGCAACTTCAGAAAACCGTTGCACTCTTTCGCAGAAGACCCGCAACGATACTAACCATTTCTTTATCGTCATTCATTACAGCCAGCTCCAAAGCCGAATGCGAAGGGCGTTGGTAAAGGTGTGGTTCAAACTCTGGGTATTCCTTCGATTTATCCGTTGGATTGCTAATCGTTGAATCAATATCCTACCAGACACTTTCGTCAGCGACAGTTAATCACATACCAGAAGCATCCATAAACGCTTACCTGAATATCAAAAAAGCAAGAAGAAACAACAGTCTGCATAGCAGGCCCTTGTTGCTTCTTGAAGAAATCGATGTGCGACCTGACGAATTCGTGTTGCTGTCTATCAACGGCGACCAAGAAAGGAGTCAATTTCTTGTTCCCATCCAGAACACACCCATTCAAGAGCTGGTCGTTGGGACGATCAAAGTCTACGAGAATCAGTGGGTCAGAATTGGAGCCGTAAATCAGCCGAATTCAGATAGTCTTCCAAAACTACAAACCTCCTTTTGGATGAGCACTGTGCAGCGACAAAATTTTTTGATACATATCCCAGTTTCCAAAATACGCTAGAAGATGCAATATGCTGTTTCCATAAAAGTCTTGATAATTGATATCAAGTTTTGGCCCGTCACCAGTCTTCTTGACCAAAAACTTGACAAGTTCAATCTTGTTGGTGCAAGCAGCGAAAGATAGTACAGAATTCCCAGCATAAACGTTTCCATAGCCTCTCCGGAAATAAACTCCTTGAGCCAGCATTTGTCTCTGCTGATCTGTTTCAACACCGTTTACTTGAAGCCCCAAGTACGCCTTCTTCTCATGCTTGAAGATTTATAAATGTGAGCTGGCACTGATCGTTTGAAACTAACAGAGCGACGTACGTACCAGCTTTGTAATCAAACTGGTAGCCACGTCATCAGTAAAGTTCAAGGCAATTAAATGAGCGGCAGTTTCACCGAAAAACCGTCGTCGCGTAAAATATGAGTTCAAGAAGGCAACATGGTCTTCTGCGCTGTTTCGACGATGTGATTGTTCAATGATGTAAAGGATGCAATGCACATTTCCATCAGTTACGTTGGTGCATGCCTAAGAAAGCTCGTTGAGCCGAAAGAGTTTACAACGAATTACGAGAACGCTTGATCCTTACCATCATAAGGATAGTATCTCCTTGTCTTTCTCGTTCTTTACCAGCAAAAAGGTTGCTCCAATTGGAAGGATTTTGTTCAATGAGATGTTTTAGCAGGGCAATGTCACCATTTTTAGCTGCCGTCCATATAGGTTTCATCACTATTTCCCAACTTGGAATGAATGGTGTTGCATTGAAGAATGCTTCGCTGAAGTTCAATTTCCTGAGTACTTTGTTATCATCCTCAACGAATGGATCACGATAAAACGAAGACCGCCATGTATATGCGAAAAAGCGTTGGTGTATGAGCCTTTCTGATTCTTTACTGGCCACCGCGACTTCTTCTGGTGGTTGATCGGAACCTTGCTCAATATTCTAGATTATCAGAAGAATGCATTAGTATACAACAATTCAAATGTGGAATATCATGCATCAGAAGACAAAAATAGAGACCATGTAAATGAAATCCGGCCTCACCGCCGTCATCTTGTGCTGAGTTAGAAGTTTTGACAAACGTAAAAACTGGCCACAAGCCAGCCAAACAGGCTTCGAGCTGCAGCTCAGCTAATTGCACACGGCTCTACGTATACGGTGATGCTCAGCAAGGTCGATACCGGGTTTAAACGGCGGAAATTCGTCCACTTGCTTGCTTAGTGGACTTCTGTGGGTGCATAGATAGAGTAAGTCGCAAACAACTCAAGCAAGATGCTCAAAGTGCAGACAACAGGCGAGATACGCTGTAGAGTATTGATATTTTAAACAAATCGTGCTATTTTGAAAAAAGGTAGAGATGAGCCATTCCAATTCCATCCACCGCACCCAACAATCAGCCCAGCTCCTGTACCATGAACTCACCAGCTACGTCAGTAATTGTAGCGCAGTGGAATACTACCTAAGTTTGTGGGGTCAAAAATTATATTGAAATAGCAAAACTACAATACAACAGTAGTTGAAACCGTGAGAGCTGACGCACGTGAATAATTGATAGGCAAGCAGCGATCAGAGCCTCATGCTAGATTTCGCAGTCCAGCAAGGTTCTGGCAGTAATCGAGCGCATGGAGCCGAATGTCTCAAGATCTCTGACACGTATTTGACAAGGTATGTGTGGCCCTGTGGTCTGTGGTTTGCAAAGTTGACGATACCAATCGCAACATTGGTGACAACAATTCTCAACAACGCAAACTACTTCTTAGTATTCCTCCACCACTCTACAGACTAAGCTCTGCGTGGATTTACGTGTGACGATGGTTGTAAATGTGGCCGTGGTTGGAAAGTCTTTATTGTGGTCCTGCTTCATCACAGTCATTTGCAGTCTGCCAGAATGGTCAACAATACGATGCGCTGGATGGATGGCCATGTGTATTGGCATTGCTTCCACGATTGGGTCTGCCGCCTTCAAACAGTCGTGAGCAAACAACGTTCAGTTTACGACCGGTTCCTTTAAACTTACACCCATTCGTGTCAGACGTATCATAAATCTCTGTCTAAAAGCAGTCCAATACGGAAACACATCGCTGACTATCCTAGTCCTCCAATACGCCCTTGAAACGGACTGGATCGCGAAAAGCACAGCACCATTCAACCCACTTATAAAAGTGCTTTTGGCGCTATGGCTGGTCTACCGCTGTCTGTATGGCTTCTTACACCTATTCTATCTCTCTTTTTTGGATGAAATGCACGGTCGAGATATCATCGAGCTAGATCCCTGGTTTCAATGTATGTCGCTGGGAATATTAAGGTTGATTGCCAAGGATTTCAGGACCGCCAGCCCTCCCCATGATATAGGCCCACCACCAGCACGAGCTCTATCCTTGTTGGAAGTAGAAAAAGTACCCCTTTTCAGCGCAATAATGAAAGCTACCGAAATTATTGATGGTTTCAACCAAAACCAACATATGGAAATACGCGAGCAGGACGCTGAAAGTCTTCGGATATTAGATATGTATATGCCGAAAGACAACCAGGCCATCATAACGTACGATAATGTAGATCTGGCCAGATTCATATCCACCGTAAGAAGAGATTTCATTGAAATACTCGACATAATCACAGGAGACACAAGAGCAGTCTCATCAAGACAAAAATATAGAATAAGGAGTTATTGTAATATCTGGCTGGTTGCACTATTATAAGGCTGGCAGGGTTTGCAGCTATATATCAAAATGACAGCATCTCGACGACTTCCTTGTACAGGAGGTAAATGGAGTGGTTTCGATGGCAGACGACTTGGTTTGGATGTATGTACAACAGACAAGGTGGCTTTCTAAATGTGTCCAGTGAACCAAAAATGGATTAGGAGGAAGACGTTGTGACATGGTTAACGCATGGTATCAAGACAAACGTACAAATACATCCCTGTAATCCCATCTTAAGTATTGACGAATTTTCCAAAGTTTAGAGTGACTTTGCAAGACATGAGTGGTACAAGCTTCAACACTACTTCCAATGGCATTTAGGCAGCCTCGACTCCACTAACCTGTCACAAATACAGAGCAATAACTCGACTGGCAATGTATCTAACATCATAACAGAGGAAGAGGTGTCGCTCAAAGCATTTACATGACCAATGTCTTGAGCAAATGACGAATCAGCCTCAATGGTGTTCATTCATGGCATCACTTTCATCATGTTGGGTTTGATGAGGTTGATTTTCAAAGACACAGAGCTATTGGAACTCATTTATACATAACTTTGAGCAGGAAAATATTACGATTATATGACTACAAAGTTCCATGAAATGTAATTAGCTGGAAGTTCGAAAGGTCCAAACCCAAAACATGTAACGCGACATTGCTTAATCAAAATGATAATTCTCACCAAGTAAAACGCGTAGCTCGGAGTTCCGTGTGCCTGTAATACGATTGGCGCTACTTATGTCGTCCTTGGTCTCTGCGTCCTTGGAGCTTCAAATGCGTCCTGAGCCTCTTGAGGGTCATTCAGAGAACCGGTGCAAATTACTATGGAGATTACTGTAAATATAAAGCGTGATATTTGAGAGAAAGCTATCTACTACTACAAAAAACTACAAGTATATCTTTATGAGCGTTGATTCTTTGGCAAAAACTTTTGCACCTTTTTATGCGTATTATCAACACGAGCCTGAACTTTATCAGCCTGTGTCGTAATCCTCGTGAAGCTCCCATTCTGCCCATCAATCTCCTCATTCATTGCCGAAGCCATGAATTTCAGACGCGACAGCCCACCACTTATTTGATCCAAATTGACATCTATTTCTTCTTCTGTATCATCACGTTCTACGCCAGCTGGAGTACTGTACGAGGATCCACCACGAGGACCCATACTGGCTTGCGCATCCATGACTCGTTGCATGCGGTCGTTGCGTTGTTGATTGGATTCGTCTCGAGCTTTATCACGGTCTTGACGTTGTGCGTCACGAGAAGCGATACCGTTTTCGTTGCGTGCGGATTTGGCACCCCATGTTGGGAGGAAGAAGGGACGGTTGAGTTTTTTTAGTTCATTGGTTTTGGCATCTGCTTCAAAGGCTTTTTGGTCGGCCAAGTCCAGCTTGCGTTCAATATGATTTAATTGTTCTATTTAGGATGAGATTGGTGTTAGGTTGCTTTGGAAGATCGAAGTGAGTTGACAAGTTGTAGTTTTTGGACTCCGATTGTGCTATCATGTAATGACAGCAACGATCAAGATTGCAGCAAATTCATAACTGTAAAGCAGCGATATCAACAGTAAATGATAGCTTCTCCTCCACATCAAACTGATCTCGCGCTACTTCACCAAACAAGTTGGCGTTTCAAACTAACCTCCTTGAGCAGACACCTTCGAAAGATTGGACTGAGCTACCACTTCAGTCTCCCTGACTCTCATAAGAGCTCGACGAGTAGATGATAAACTCTCCTGCTGAATGTCCCTTGTACGAACTTGCAAGTCCTCATAATCGTCTTGCTCATCATATAGGGCTTCCGCTCCTCGTTGAAATCCACCACCTCCAGTAGCCTTATCTGCTGCAGCAGACCATTTGGAAGCTCGATTTGACTCGTATGCAGGTTCTTCTATGTATTTTGCTGAATCTTGTCGACTGTTTCGTGATTGAGGTTGAGAGTTGCTGCTGTAGCGAGACATTTTGGTATATGGTTATTTAGAAGGTAGCGGGCATGTGCTATATTGGTATTAATAGGTCCGTTCAGGTTTCTGAGACGACTCTGATCCTCAAGACTGGTTATCTCGCTTTGTTCAGCGGTCAATGAAAAGTTGTGATCGGAGGAAAGAGAGGAAGGTGCCACACAACATTTTGCTCGAATAGAGGTGAATAAACTAAATATATTGATTATTTACGTGATGTAAAATGCTAACTTGCTCTTTATGCGATTGGTTTGAACTAACTCTTACAACGTTTGAGGACTTTTAATTTTTTGGGGTGATCTATAGATTCAGGGTTCCATATGAGAGTTCAGCTGCTACGGCCTTTACTTTGGCGTGCAAGTATTCATTACGACGCCTGATTTGAGATGGCATGTTTTCGTGAACGGGGTGTTCTACTAATGCAGTAATAAGGACTTGCTTGATCTTGGATATAGATTGGTTGCTCGCAACCCTCGAGAAGCCTAATAACGCAGACTCAGTTTGTGTTCTACACTCTGTCAAACTTGCAGAACTTACCCAGATCAGTACTCATCAGCACGTAAAGCGGATGTGACGGGTAGAATCGTGAGAATGCCATTTCCAAGTTGGCCAAGACTTCCTCTCGTGCACGAGCAAAACACGTTCTAGTTCCTTTCCGAACCCCATCGACTACCACTCTGAGACATCGATGCGATACATTGATTTCGAGTGCTGCATCAGATGCCAAATAGGTGTGGAAGATGACCTCGGCCGAGTTGTCTCTATTAGAATGTACTTTTTCTTCAAATAGTTTCGAGTCCACCCAAAAGAGCTATTGATTCACGTGTTAGCGATGAGACATACTCAGATAAGTCCACATTATCATCACATTTACCAAATTCTCAGCGTTCTGTTCGTACAGCGTCATTGCAAGGAACCACAGGAGCGGAATTCTGCTGGAAAGTAGAGCAGGAAGTCTTAATTCTTCGATTTCCGGGATCGTGATATCAAGAGGTGCATCTGGGAATAGGTAGCCGAGCTTGCGATTGCTTTTACTGAGGACGCTTCGAGACGAGGCCAACAGCGACCGAGTTGGCAGAGCTCCATACAGCGATGAAGATGGCCATGAGATTCCATCTGGTGACAATCCTTCATTTACAGGTTCGGCAGCCGGAGAAATGACGTCTTGATCTACCACAACAATACTGTCCAGTTCAACGGCCTCCACAGTTGCAATAGAGTCGAAACTTGGTAGGGTTGGCAGCGACCATCGTCTAAAATGTCCAACAGAGTCTTGATCCGAGTGCATTGATTGCTGGATATCGTTTGCTGAGGTGGACCGTGTTGTTGATGTTTCATGCCGCCAATCGTTGGGAGACTGAATTGTGCCATAGGAATAGGATGTCGAAGTTTCAGAGGTTGTTTTTAGTCTGGGAATGGTCAGTCCTAATTTGAGGCCAAGCTTTGAAGGGCTGCCATGGCCAATCTAGAACAATATTGTTAAAAATCACCTCGAACCATGAAAAAACGAAACGCTGACTCACTTGGAAAGCGATAATCCGGCTCTCGTCAAATCCCAGCAATGCTGATACCTTGACACGCTGTTCATGATCTCTGACTCTGTGAAGAGTATTCATTCTCCCTGTGTGTTGACAAACTGAATGCTTGTGTGAAACGAGAGTTGGCTTCCTGGCATGCAGAACTTGGAACAAGGGCGACGATGCATTCAATTTGATTTTCGAGGAACTATTTCATACCAGGACGTTTAAATACCTGTATCAGACCGTCCATCGCGAAAAGAACTGCTGCCGAGAATGGTTCAACTTTTTTTTCAAACACAGTCAAACACAATGTAGCGAGCATCTCTTATCTTGTATTCGTATTTCTTATCCTAACTACAGACACATGATTTGTTATAATATAACCAAGTTTGATACGATCGAGGCCCCCTACTACAACAATTTCATAATAATACCCAAAGCCCCAACAAAAGCACCCTTTTTACGACCTATCTAGATATTTTTACTTTACTAGCTGAGCAGCAGCAGATCTACCCATTCTAGTAGGAGGCTTGTCCTTTGTAACAGGCGAAGCCTTCCTTGTTGGTTTTGTCTTTGTGGCAGTAGTACCGGATGATGCGACGGGAGGTTGAGTATTGGCAGCGACGGATTTGGATGAAGTATGCTGTTTAGTAGGTGGCAATGGCTTTTCTTCTGCGATTGGTTCGGTGTCCTTGTCATTTCTAGCAGTAGTAATGGTTGATGCCTCGATTGTCCGGAGAATGACACCCTTGCTGAGACTTCCTACAGGTAGCATTATGACGATACCAGGTATCAGGTCCATTTCTACATGTTTGGAAGGAGACCTGGTTGGAACGTGCTGTTTTCGATGTTTTCTTATTGAGGAGACATTGTCGGTCTCTGGACCTAACGAGTCGGAAGTTTCTGCTTTACGAGGTGAGTCTGATTTGACTGAAGACTTGACTGATCTCCGCTTCATGATTGCTATCTAGAGTGTGCCTATGTTGTGAAGTATTTTGTGTTTCAAGGAAGCGTTCAGCAAAGCCATTTCACTTGTGAGCACTAGTCATGACTCTTTTCACCGAACAACGCTGAATACGATGATTACATTTATTTATTTCGTAATCTGGCAATTTTGATCGTGTATCTGCGCCGGATCTGCTTCTTAACTTAACAAGGTTGGTTTTGTGAGCAAACACCCCCACAGCTCAGGTTGAACCCAACTAATACAGACAACGTGTGAGCAAGTATTGATGTATGGGTGCTTAGATTCAACTTGCATGTTAATACCCTGCTCGCCCTTTAGGTATTTCCGTCATTGCTTTGTGGCTCTTGAGTCTAGAACGTCGACCGTACCGTAAAATACGTTGCAACACTCACAGCAAAATTCACAAAAGGAGACTCTCCGAGTGGTAGGCAAATACTCTTCTTCAGTATCTTGTCGTGTGTAGTCGTTGCTTGCGGTGAAGATTCGTCCAGCTCATTGATCGTACTGTAGGTTTTCTTCGTTGGATTTCTCATGTGTTTGGATTCGGGACAATAACCATTGTACAGTCTTTAAACTTTCCTCCTGCCATTGTAGAAGGACTGGATCGATTTCAACTCTAGTCTTTTCCTCAGCCCAACGTTGCTTATTACTGGGGGGACGACGTCTTTTGGGTGGTCATCAAGATTTTTAAGATTTTGCCTTAACTGTAATCGGCAACCAAAAGCAGGCGTTCTAGTTGAAGGAGACAGTGCTTAATGAGCAAACCTGCTGTAAACAGTGAGTAAAATCACCTTATGGGATGGATCGAAGGAACAAGCAACTTACTACCCTTGTCCTCTTCCACCAGCTGCACCATTCATCTTTGCATTCCCTTCTCCGAATCCACGTCCAGTTAGAGCATCTCCCGCCCAACTTTCGCCCGTCGTCATCAAGGAATCGCCAGTAGTCGTCAAGGAGTCGCCAGTGCAAGCTAACCCATCCCCAAAACAGATGCCAAGTGCTGTTGTCGTTGATCCATCACCAGTGGTAGTAATCAAAGAGTCACCAGCACCGATAAATCCATCTCCAGTAATCAAAGAATCACCAGCCCCAGTTGTACCAAGTCCAGATAAACCTAGCCCCTTCGTCATGGCTTCAGCAGCTCCATCCCAAGCGCAACCATCACAAGCGCAACCGTCACAAGCGCAACCATCACAAGCGCAACCTTCACAAGCTCAACCTTCGCAAGCTCAACCATCACAAGCTCAACCATCAGCTGCACCTCCGTCTGCTGCGCCGTTGAAATCGGTAAGCTCATACAAAAACCACCCCCTTTGGGAAGAGCTTACCCTCTAACTGACTTTACATTAGGCCGCGCCATCTCCTGATCCTATTCAACCGTCGCCTGTGCTTGCCAGTCCAGTGCAACCATCAGTACGTAAAAAGCACTCCTCGTTGAGTTGAGTTTTCAAACTAATTTGATTTTACAAACACAGGCTGCACCGTCTCCTGATCCAATAGCTCCATCACCTGTAGTCGCTAGTCCCACCCCGATACAGCCATCGGTATTTATAAATGGCTGGTGTTTTCTTGCTCCTCGTTGACTAATTTGACATTATCCACACAGGCTGCGCCATCTCCAGACCCAATAGCTCCTTCACCTGTGGTCGTCGCTGCTAGCCCCAACCCAATACAACCATCTCCTGATCCGATAGCTGCCTCGCCAGCACCTGTGGTCATTGTAGCGAGCCCAAACCCAGTACAGCCGTCGCCCGTAATCGCCTCGCCTGTGATAGACGCTGTCCCTAGCCCGGTTCAGGTATGTTTGTCTTTATTTCCCAAGGAGTCATTTCACATATCTGATTCGGGTGCTTTTTTTTGTTAATTTTCGATTAGCCAAGCATCGCAGTGGTCCAACCCAGCAATGGTTTCATTCAAGCCTCACCTGGCATCTACCAACCATCTCCAGAAGTCGTAATCCCAAGCGCTGCACCGCCAGAACCAAGCCCGGTAGTCGTTCCATCTCCCATGCCAAACGATCCAGCTGGTGGCTCAACAGCCGGAAACGTAAATAGCAACTCGTCAACCGCAGTAGGAAACCCAGCCATGAATGCATCTCCATCTGCAACCACCGGCTTCCTGCTCTCCAATGACAAGAGTACCAGTCCAACACTCGGCGGTGGTGAAGCAGCAGCTATAGGTCTCGCCGCAATATTCGTCGTACTAGGGTTTGTCGTCGGGTTTGTTATATGGCGACGACGTGATCGCCCCAAACCGTCATCGTCGTACTTTAAAGATGACGAGGGGCCGCAGTCTGATATGCCGCTTACGCATGAAGATCCTGAGAATGCCGGGTTTGAGGGACACAGCCCTGATGGGGAGTTGTGGTTGCCGCCAAATAGTGGAGATTTGGGTGTTTCGACACGGAATGCTGCATTAGGAGCCGCTGCTGGAGGTCTTGCTGCTGGTGCTTATAAATACGCAGCTCAGCCTGTCGATGAGTTTTACGTGCCACCGCCATTGAATTGGGTTGCAAGTAGAGACTATCACCCGGTTATGAATGATGAGGTTGAGTTTAGATATGCGGATCCTATTGATATCGAGTAAGTGGAACGAGAAAGTATCTCGGTCTGATTTGAGGATGGAAGAACAAAACCCCGGAGGAAATAGAGTTCTGAATACTTGTTTGTTTCTTTCAGGGTCATATATAACGATGGATGGTGCAGCGGAACTAATTTAAGAACTGGACATCACGGTACGTTATCGGAGCTTTCTTCATCTCAACAGTATCTGACACAACCGCACTACAGGAGCCTTCCCCATGATAATCGTCACAAACGCCGACGACATGCATTCCCTCCCAGCCCCGCTCCCACCATACCACTACCCATACGACCAACAAAACTCTCTATCCACGCCATCCCCTCCCGTCTCACGCGCCCCCACAACCAGCACCAACGCCTTCTCCTTCCGCCGCGGTCCCAACGCCGAGCAGCTGCAAGTTATGTACCGCCGCAACCCCAACAGCACAAACCGCAGCGGAAACGGAACCGTAGTATCACGCGGCCAGACGAATTATAGTAAGATGTCGTCCGGGGGAACGGCGTTCACGAGACAGGATGATTTGCAGAGTATGGCGCCATCGTATGCGACCAATTCAACACATTACAGGAACGTGCCAGAGGCGCTGCTTGCTGCTGGACAGATCAGTGAGGATGCGTATCTGCAGCTGTATCAGGTACAGGTGGAGGAGGAGGCGAGGTTGGCAAATCTGTCGCCGATTAGTGAGGAGGGTAGTAGCATGCCGCTTGCTCATCCTGAGCTGTATACGCCAGAACCAAGGTCGGCTAATGAGTTGCTGGATGTTTATCGTGGGATGCCACATTCGGCTGCTACATCGGCTACGGGGTCTGATGGTGTTAAAGTAATAGGGGAGGAGTGGGTTTATGGCAACTAGCTTTAGCTGTGTATTACGAACGTATGTTTTGGGGGGTCGCTTTTAAACCAATTTTGTTATCTGTGCTGTTATTTACTTTTGATTTCTATTTAAAAACACAACAAGAAAAACGGTCGCGTATTTAATAAAACTCTATTCTATTTCGTTTCGGTCTTTTTGAATATACGAACATGAGCAAAAATTGATTCTATGAGTCTTATAATCGTCCCTGTGTGGGTACTACTTCTACTAGGAGACGACCAAAGTTCTTGCCTTCAAACAATGACGCAAAGACGTCTGGTGCCTTGTCTAGCCCTCTCGCTAACATTATGGGCCCCTTGATAAAGTTGCCTTCTACCCATTCGAATATCTCTTCCCGAGCTTCGACTATTTCAGCCTGTGTGTATGATGATACAGTAAATGTCTTCATTGTGACATCTTTCTTAGATGATGCTAGGAGACAAAAAGAAGTCAGAACCTGGTGCATATTGGACGCAGGTCATTGCAACTTACGAATCTCAGGCACAACCACCTTCCCATCAAGCTGACTCGTAGCCCCACACAATGCGATTCGTGCGCCCTTATTCAATCGTTCTAGCACCAATTCAGTAATTACTCCTCCAGTGGTATCAAAGTATCCATCAACACCATCTGGAGTAACCTTCTTCAAGAGTTCTGCGAAATTAGGTGAGCGATGGTCGATAACATCGTCAAAACCCACAGCAGATTTCACGAACTGGCATTTCTTAGGGCCTCCACATATACCGATTACGCGGGCGCCGAGTGCGTGTGCTATGTTGCCTGCGATGTTGCCTACGGCGCCTCCAGCTCCGGAAATGAGGACCTAGAGGGTTGAATTGTTTAGGATTCTGTGGTTGTAGTAGAAGTTTTTCTTTCAGTACCGTTTCTCCCATCTCTGGCTGGACTATCCGCGTAGTTCCAAAGTAAGCAGCAAGACCGGTGTTGCCGTATAGGTTTATCCCATCGTGGACACCGCCTAACAACACATGCAGATCTTAAGTACTCAAGTAGTAACATATCTAATATAAAAGAAGACTCACAATCCTGTGGAAATCCATTCTTCTGATCTATCTTCTCGATGCTGTTCTCATCAGCGGTAAAGTATTCCTGCCAACCAACAGTTCCAATAACCTGATCTCTGATTTTGAATTTCTTGCTTTTTGATGCAATGACGATTCCAGATCCAATTCCTGGTACTGGTTCGCCGAGTTCGGCAGTAGAGAATTCGGCTAGAGAGAACAAAGGGGTCGAAATTAGTATCTAGCGTGTGTCGGCTGGTAACGTTCGACTGCACCTCTCAAGCTAGGATCCATGGCCAGCACGAGCACTCTGATTCGAACTTGTCCATCTTGTAGTTCAGGGATTGGGGATGTGACTGTCTATTACATGGATTATAGTGTGAGACTCTCGATGCTGAGTTTCAAAAACATGATGTTGATGATGTCACATTTCCCCAAACCAGGCAAGCCAAAGGGCGAATACTAACCGATCACGGCCACTTACTTGATACTGTTCTCTTGGCACGATTTTAAAGTTTCTTGGTCTAGTGCAAAAAGTGTTGTTGAGTTGTAAGCAAGGATGTAGACAACCAATCGGTCACTGGCGCGGTAAGCAAACGAGAGGTTTGCTGTACTTATAACATGGCGTACCGTTTGACGAGCAGTATCTGTTTGTTTGTTTTCGGCTGCTCCATGTTTGCTTGAAAGTTGAATCTTGTATTGGGAGTAGTAAGAAGCGAACAAAAGCTAGACCAATCATGGGAAAGAAAGATTGTAGTTTAGAGACGCGAAAACCACGTCAACATGCAGCATCAAACTCTTTAAGAGTTTAGCAAATGATCTATCGAGGATGCAAGAACAAAGCTAATTAAGGGAAGCAAGTCGCAAAAAGTCATCTAGTTTTTCAACAGATCGTGAGTTGTAATGGATGAATCCCTTGGATTTGTTTGCAACCGAATCTATTCTTTCTTGTGGCGTCTTCTGTGCACATGCTGCGTTGTCTGTCCGGTCTTTGCGCGATCTCAGCTCTACCAAAACCCCTCTGTCGCGTCAAATATCATTTCAAATAGGTAAATCAAACATGAAATAATGATTGAGTCGAGTCAACGCGTGCGTATGTGATATATACAACCAGCCGTTGCTTCTCTCTTCGTCTCAAACCTCATTTCCCCTTCCATTAAGATTGAAGGCCAGAAGGACTGACGTTGGAATTAGATCCATCGTATATCTAGTACTTGTAATTCATTGCCAGTCGACTGATTTATTATATCATATTCCATCCCGTCTGATTCGCATCCAACAAACACCCACACCACATATTGAACATCGCATTTGGAGAGAATGTCTCATCAGGCTGTCTATGCTCAGGATGAATATGGCAGACCATTTATTATTCTAAGAGAACAAGGAAAACGCTCAAGAGTCTCGGGTCTGGAAGCCCAAAAGGTATAAAGTCAATCCCAAAATGCAAAAAATAATCAACATTTGTTGAACTGCGCAAATCCAAACTCTTGACGGGAAGCCATGTCATTAACACTCATATTATATATTATAGACACATATATTGGCTGCACGGACTGTCGCTAATATCCTAAAGACCTCATTGGGCCCAAAGGGACTGGATAAGATTCTCATTTCTTCTGATGGAGACATCACGGTGACAAACGATGGGGCTACCATCCTGTCTCAAATGGAAGTCCAGCATGAAATTGGAAAGCTGCTTGTACAATTATCTAAATCTCAAGATGATGAGATTGGTGATGGTACCACTGGTGTCGTTGGTATGCAAATGTGGAATGATTATGCATATGACATACATACACATCAATATTGATACTAAACCCCCTTCCTGTTCATTTCATAGTCATGGCTGGTGCGCTATTAGAACAAGCAGAAGATTTGCTAGATCGAGGAATTCATCCCATTCGTATTGCTGATGGGTTTGAACGAGCTTGTAATGTCGCTGTTGCCCATTTGGACAAGGTCGCTGATACTATTGACATTATGGGTGACAACAATGTCCTGCTCAAAACTGCCAAAACCTGTTTGGGTTCTAAAATGTATGTTGATCTGTCGCTTGTCCATCACTGATATGATTCGATTGATTAAGCCTCCTTGCCTTTTTTTCTCTCCTGGCTAGTGTATCGAAATGCCACGAACAATTCGCACAAATGGCCGTCGATGCAGTCATGTCTGTAGCTGATCTAGAACGAAAAGATGTGGACTTTGAACTCATCAAGGTCGATGGCAAGATGGGTGGGTCTCTATCAGACTCTAAACTTGTCAAGGGTGTAGTAGTAGACAAGGACATGTCACATCCTCAAATGCCCAAAGAAGTACGAGACGCAAAGATTGCCATCCTTACCTGTCCATTTGAACCACCAAAGCCAAAAACCAAGCATAAACTTGACATTACCTCGGTTGAAGAATACCGTAAACTTCAAACCTATGAAAAGGAAAAGTTTGAGGAAATGGTACAGCAAGTCAAAGCTACAGGTGCTAACTTGGTTATCTGTCAATGGGGCTTTGATGATGAGGCAAACCATTTGCTTATGCAAAACCAGTTGCCTGCTGTACGTTGGGTTGGTGGTCCAGAAATAGAGGTACGATCGATAGTTGATAGTCGATTTTTTTTCGTTGGGTCATTTCACATACTAATATGCCATCTCGTCGGATCATAGTTGATTGCTATTGCTACCAATGGACGCATTGTTCCTCGATTTGAAGAACTATCTGCTGCCAAGTTGGGTCATGCTGGAATCGTACGAGAGATATCATTTGGTACAACCAAGGACCGTATGTTGGTTATTGAAGAATGTGCCAACACCCGAGCAGTCACTATCTTTGTTCGTGGAGGCAACAAGATGGTAATTTTCTCTCAGACCATTTCGGTCTTTTTTGCTGACGAAGAGAGTTTACTAAATCCAACCATTCAATTTTGTAGATCATTGATGAAGCCAAGCGCTCGCTCCATGATGCCATCTGTGTTGTCCGTAACTTGGTTCGTGATGCTCGTATCGTATATGGTGGTGGAGCTGCTGAGATTACTTGTTCCTTGGCCATTGCTGCTGCAGCGGATCAGATATCTTCTATTGAGCAACATGCCATGCGTGGATTCTCAAAGGCGTTGGATGCTATTCCATTGGCATTGGCTGAAAACTCTGGTTTGGCACCTATCGAGACTTTGAGTGAAATCAAATCTCGTCAATCAACTACTGGCAATTCCCGTTTGGGTGTTGACTGTAATCAGACTGGCAACAATGGTTAGTCATCTTGCTTTGTAGTATATATTTTTTTGCTCGTTTGATTGGAGACGACCTCATTTTGTAATGATAATATACTAACGCCCTTTACTTGGCCATGTAGATATGCGAGAACAATTCGTGTTTGATCCCCTCATCTCTAAGCGTTCTCAATTCTTGTTGGCTACTCAATTGGTCAAGATGATTTTGAAGATTGATGATGGTAAGTGGTTTGCATTTGAGTCGACACAGCTTTGAACTATATCCATTAACGATCTTCTCTTCTGCACAGTTATTATGCCTGGAGGAGTAGGTCCTGAAGAATAGAGGGTTGTCAACGCATACCAAAAGACTGTAAAATAAAAAGCTCTTGTATGTATGAAATATCTACAATGTAAAACCTAAGCTTTCTTAGCACAATGTTATAAGTTTCTTAATCGTAAAGCTTGCGCGTTTGGATTTGATTTGATAACTCAGCACAGAAGAGGATCGAGCAAGATGCATAGTATCAAATACTCGCCGACGGCTACGCGCAGCCTGCAACAGTGGGCACCTCTGATAGTCTCTCTGGTCATCGTTACGAGCATCGTCACCGTGAATCTGCTCGCACCATTCTTCAGCGCACCTGAAACCAACATGGAGAAGGCTCTCAGAATACTCGACCAAGCGCCGATAATTGACGGGCAAGTTATACTTTGAATTTGCACGCGTCTTTGCTATGTTTTGTGCTGCATCGCATTTCGCCAGGCCATCAACATCGCAACATTACATTAAAACATTAAGCTTACACACCATCGGCACGTTTTCTTAGACACAACGATTGGCCACTCAAGATCCGATTCTACCTGAACTCCTCGATTAACGATGCTGATCTCACCACCTTGCCTGAAACGTTCGATACAGGTAAGTCCATACACACTACTTGGCCTCCCTTTTTTTATCGCATTGACCACACCTAACACCTACGTTCCCTCCAGACATTACCCGTCTCCGCAAAGGCAAAGTCGGCGGCCAGTTCTGGAGCGTCTACATGCCCTGCACTCCCAACGTCACCGACTACACCACAACCCTCCGCGACGTGGTCGAGCAAATCGATCTCGTGAAACGCATGGTAGACAAATACACGGATGTGTTTCAGATGGCGTACAGTGTTGCTGATATCAGACAGGCGTTCCGGCATGGCAAGATTGCAAGTCTGGTGGGCATGGAGGGTGGACATAGTATGGATGATAGTTTGGGGGTGCTGAGGCAGTTGTATGCCCTGGGAGGTTAGTTGTGGTGCTATTGACGGTTGTCAGTTTTTTGTTTGTTTGCAACATACGTACATTTACTGAAACGTAAGCTTAATGTTAGCACGATACATGACACTAACACATACATGCCACACCGCATGGGCGGACTCTGCTGCTCCTCCACCGCTTCATAACGGGCTAACACTGTTTGGGGAGTCCGTCGTGTCAGAGATGAATCGGTTGGGAATGCTGGTTGATATCAGCCACGTGTCGCCGGATACGATGAGACATGTGGCACGAGTGTCGCAAGCACCGCTGTTTTTCAGCCATAGCTCTGCGGCTGCGCTGTGTAATATTACGAGGAATGTGGTGCGTGGTGATAGAGATTGGTACTTTTCACACGATGTAGAAAATCTAATTGGTTTTCTTTTGGTCTTGGATTATAGCCTGACGATGTGTTGGAGATGGTTAAAGAGAAGGGCGGTATTGTAATGGTTAATTTTTTTTCGATATTCGTGTCGTGTAATACGGTATGGCTATCATTCCATGACTTCCTTCGGTTGTTCGTGTGCTGACTATCTGTGTTGTGCAACATGTTGCTTAGACGGCGACGCTATCACAAGTAGCGGACCATATCGTGCATATCAAGAAGGTCGCTGGCGCACAACATATTGGACTCGGTGCCGATTACGATGGCATTAATTCGTGGCCTGAGGGCCTGCGTGATGTATCTACGGTTCGTAGTCGTTGTAGAACGTGCAGCTTTGTTAGCCCTGTAATCTCTGTTAAATTACTCACAGAACCACCATCCTCATCTAGTATCCAAACCTAATCGCAGAACTCCTATCTCGCGGCTTTACAGAATCCGAGGTTCGCGGAATCGCGAGTGACAACCTGATTCGAGTACTAGATGAAACGGAACGTGTCTCAAGACGCTTAAACTCTATGAAACCGGTTGAAGAGACACTACGAATCAACAAGACGTGTCCGATACGGGCGGAGGAGTTGTAGTAATGAAATACAATTAGAATTTTCTTAATTTTCATCTCTCTGAAATGCAAAGTATTATCAACAAGGGAGGTTTTACAACTTGTGTGTGGTTTTGGGGTGATGGTGGTATTGTTATTCATCTACATCGTGGTCGTGGTCTGTCTTGTGCTAAGAAGAGAGCCTGGGTTAGATCTTGCTGTATGGGGATCGACAGGGGTATGTCATAAGCTTGCCTTCTTCTTCTATATGACGTGGACGCAATTTGGGTTAGAATATTGGGACTGATTCAACATGTTCCTGCTTTTTTTTACCTTCTTCTTTTCTTGACTGCCGTCAACATCATCAATGTCCATCTCATCATGAGATCGTTTATGTTTCTTCTTTTTCTAAAACAAGGTAAAACGTGTACATAAGCTTCTGAAGATGCAAAAAACGGTCCTAGAGTCCAAGCACACCTTTTTGGCTTCATCACCCGACCCATACGGATTCCCAGCGTCTGAAACTATAAACGAACGTTTCGGCAACCGTGCAAAATAAAACAAAAGATTTTTAGCACACTCACTCGACCCAAGCATCGGCAATCTTATCTTCAGTTTCAACGACGGCCCTGTCGTTGTAGCTGGCGATGCAAATGTTACTGTACTCGTATTCGGGGTTGGTGCAGCAGCTGTTCCTGGTGGTATTGTGGTACTAGTAGTACTAGCCGATTCAGGTGTTGAAGCTAAGGTTGGTTCTTCTATACCGAGCCATGATCGATCCAGCTAATTGAACTGTAGTGTAAGCCTACTGCTGGAAAGATAAAACAACCGATGGCGTACATGTGATAAAGCCTGTTTTGATTCTTGCAATGCAAAAGCACGCTGTAGTGTTGACTCGTCGAAACGTCCTAGAGGTAGTGGTGGTGGTTCTGGCGATGATGACGATGATGCTGCTGTTGGTAGTATGCTGTGTGCGAGTCGGGATAGTGTATCGTTTGGTTGTGGTGTGTTGTTTCCTGTTGTTGCGATTAAGGTGTTCAGATTTCAAAGATCATTCCACATTTCCACTGTGGTTTTTTTGCTGCACAAGAGACAATACCTGGCAACTGTTCAATATACACTCCAAAAGATGATTCCGATTTAACCTGATCAGCATGGTGCTTTGAGCCCCCAGCAGTGCCTGATGATGATGGTTGTGGTTGAATGTGTCGCTTGTACAGATGTGTGAGATTAAACAGGTCGAGGAGATTCCGGTCTGCAGTCAATGGCTTTTCTGCAGCTAATAAAATATTGGTAATAAATATGACGAGTTAGTATCTAGATCCAAGATTGTAATTCGACATTCCACAAAAACACGATTCCAAGCTTAATCGAAACATACACGTTGAATCACCAAACAAGTATAGGGTTCCATTAGACATAGTCAATAGCTTGACTCGGATTACGGGCATCAAGGAGCTTCACTATTAGCTAGCTGGTATGAACATATGTTGCATCATCGAGTGTTTTGTGTGTTTGGCGATTTTCTGGACCTTACAGCCTAAAACGTCTTACTTTAACGTAGATCTCGTTTGGATCTTTCATTTCATCGCTTATTGAACACGGTATCATGTCATCGCAAGCGCTGGACGTGTCGAAGCTACGTGATTATTGGCAACATTGTATTCCATGGTTTGATCATTCACGGCCATACAAAGTGCAACAGGCTGCACACGGGCAAGGTATTCTCCATTGAATGTGTTCAGTTCATGCTGAGCTTCTTGCCTCTCATTGACAAGATAAGCTGACTGTCTCACACGAACTCTCGCTTAAGGCAACCCAACATTCATAATCACTGACGCTACTGGAAAGTCCGTCGTACTCCGGAAACGCCCCGCTGGCAAACTAGCTCCACAGCTGCACCGTGTCGATCGTGAATACCACGTCATCAAAGCTCTAGAATCGACGACGGTACCCGTCCCGAAAGCACTACTGTTATGTGAAGACGAGTCGATCATCGGAACCGTGTTTTTCGTCATGTCGTTCCTGCCTGGCCGGATATTTATCGATATGAGGCTAAAGAGCTTTGGGCATGATGAGAGACGCGACTAGTTGAGTATCGTCGTTCTTTTGCAGTTCAATAACGTTCCCTTAACATACATATACGATCTAGTTACTACTCTGCCGTGAAAGTCCTCGCACAGCTACACAGCATCAACCCATCAACACTCAGCCTCCCATCGTCCATAACATCCAAAGCAGGCAACTTTTACGCAAAACAGCTTGTCATGTGGGACTCGCTGTCGCGACAGCAGGCTAAAGTAAAAGATGTTGAGACGGGAGAAGAGTTAGGGATGCTGGATCGATTTGACGATATTCTGGGGTGGTTGAAGCGGAATATGCCGAGAGATGAGGTTGCGGTTATGCACGGGGATTACAAGTTAGTGAGTGTGCATCTCCTTGTGTTTGTGATTCACAGTATCGTTGATCTAACAATTTGTGTTTAGGACAATCTAATGTTCCACGCAACAAAACCAGAAGTAATTGGCCTGCTAGATTGGGAACGATGGAGCTTAGGACACCCACTAGCTGATCTCGCAAACTTGGCTTTAGGACGATACTGGACTTTTGAAACACTATATAACTTGAACGAAACCGGACAAGAACCGGATATTGGAATTCCAAGCACGAATGAGCTCGTGCAATGGTATTGCAAAGAATCTCACCGAGCATACCCCATTCCGGCATGGAACTACGCCAGGGCTTTCAGTGCGTTCCAGATGGCTGTCGGTGCACAGAATGTAGCTTCGAGAGGCATGCAACGCACGTCCAATACACCTCAAGCTATAGGGACGCGAATAATCATACCGGAACTGACAAGGCTCGTTTTGTCGTTTGTAGATAGAGGTGACTTAAAGTCGAACTTGTGATGATGATCTCATGAATTAAGAAAATATAAAGGGCCTTGTATGTAAAACGAAGAAAGTGGGGTTTGGTGTTTACAAATAGTTGGCTACAGCTCATTTCGAATCGTTTCCCAGCGTTTGAAGGTGTAACCTATTAACAACGTCGTTCCAAATCAGTTTTACATCCAAAACAAAAAAAACGCAGGTAACAGGATTGTAAAGCTCTTACCCAAGAAGGCTAAATCTTTGCTTGTTCCAACACGCCCTGTTCCTGTATCACCACCCATATTAGCCCCTTGATCAACCGACATCATAACCTGATCAGGAACACCAGCCAATTCTTCAGTAGGGAAGTAACTCGTATCCGTTATACTCTTGAGTTCAGGTATGAAGGGTGCTCGTGTTCGTCGTAATAGTTGCCAATCTATACCTCTAAAGAATGGATGACTCTTGATTGAATCTACAGTGAGTCGTGATTCGGCATCACATAATAATCGGCGGATGAGGTCTTCGGATTCAGCGGATAGGTGTACGTCGTCTGGGATATATAGAGCGTCTCGCCATGATATGATTTTGCGGTATGTTTCGGCTGGTGTTTCTGAACAAAAGGGTGGGAATCCCACGAGACATTCGTACATGATGGCTCCTAGTGACCACCAATCACATTCTTTTCCATATCCTTTCTGTGAGAAAACTGTGTAATGGAGTTAGTATACTGTATGTCGCTGTATTCGTGCAAAATGAAGGTCCTTCATTATTTTTGCCTCGCAACACGACCATCTACACACCTTCTGGAGCAATGTAATCTGGAGTTCCAACTGTTGAGTAAGCCAATGCCCTTCGATTCCTCTTCCAGGTGGCTGCTCGATCCCTCCTTGAGAACGTCAAATCAATGCCACGTGTCGTTCCCATATCATAGCTTGTCGCAATGTTTGCAGCATTTCCATTCTCTTTTTGTCCAAGCAGTCGTTGATAATATGTCGAGTCGTGTGTTTTGTGGAAGCCTGTTGATAATCCAAAGTCCGATAGTTTCAAGTGTCCGTCCTTGTCAATCAACACTGCGAAAAAAAAGCACGAAATACTTATCAGGCTCCATAGACTGGACGAGTCAGTTGATATGAAATCACAAGTCTTACGATTGTCTGGTTTGATATCCCTATCGCAGCAATGTGTTAAGATGCGACATCAGTAAGAATTTGACCAACACGCAGATATACCGATGAACAAATCCAAGCTGATGAACAGCCTCAATGGCACAAACACATTCAGCCATATAAAACTGTGTGACATCTTCAGCGAATGTATCTTCTTTTATCAACATTGTCATCAGATCGCCTCCCGGTAGGAACTCCATAATGAGATATAGGAATATGGGATCTTGGAAGGAGAAGAAGAGTTGAACTACCCATGGAGTGTTTACTGATTCTGCTAGAACATCTCGTTCTGCTTTGACGTGGGCCAGCTAAAATACAATAATGAAATTAGGTCAATCGAGCTGGATGCGTTCGTGTTTTTTTTGCTAGTACCTGATCCTTCTTGACCATCTCTGACTTTCGTAGTGTTTTCATAGCATATATCTTTCCAGTGTCTGCCTTTTGTGTCAGTCGCACCTATACAACAAGTTCTCTAAGTCCATCCTCAACAAATCTCATAGCCACATGGGACACACCTCTCCGAAAGCACCTTTCCCTATGACCTTGACAGTGATGAAATCATCTACACCTAGTCTCACTCTCCTCAGACGTAAGAAATCAGATTCCTTTCTACCGAGATTTGCCAATTGTTTGCCACGTCGTTCATCAGACATTGTTTCTGTTCGTAGTTTTTCCTCTAACTCGACTCTCCTATAGGGTTTGACGATGGGCAGCTGTCAGAAAAGGTAAAATATATTCAAGGTCTATTGTTTCCACTCTGATCCTGCCCTGTTCCAAGTCAGAATCTGACATGCAACAACACATTTCAACTTGTCCAACAAATGTTGAAAGGTTTACACTACTTCCAATAGTTCTTTGCGGGACTTGATCTTTACGAAATAATGATGACAGGCGTAATATTCGCATACATACCTGGCTTCACGATCAGCACTTTCGGATACCTGCAACTTGTAGAAATGTTCCAGTCTATATTTTGCGGCTGCCGCACGATCAATGGTGCTCCTGGAAAAGTTATCGACAGTTCTAGGGAAGGCGTATGATGCTTCACTGCTGGCGGCACTGTACTCATCGGACATTCGCATGTCATTGCTTTCCTCCATTGCTGTTTTGAGCAGAATAGTTGGTTTGTGATGATGCAAAGTTGATGTAAGTGTACAGGGCAATAGCGTATTTATGTTTTATTTTGATATTTCTATATAGGTAAGCGCGAATGGCGATGGTCACCGTATGGAAAATCACGTCCTTTGACACTTCAACTGCTGATCTGTTGTGCTGTTGTCGCCTGAAACGCACTGAGAGAGAACCGTTGATGGCAGTTCTTTCAGATATTTACTATTACTGGATTTGTCAATTTTATAAAGGCATTCCTATGCAAAGCACCAACAAACTGTTTTGGCATTCCAAGACCCCAAGACCCAAGTGATCCAAGGTACGTTTCAAGCAGGAAGATGAAATGAGCAGGTAGGGCAGGTACCAGCGTATTTACAGGTAGGGCTGCACGTCCTGACGCGTGATTATGGGCTGGGATCTGTAACAGAGCTGGGAGAGAAGATTGTAGTTGGCTTTGATGCCAGCAGATTTTGCAGATCTTCAACATATTTCATCATCTTCAATTAGGCACAATCAATATCCAAGTAGGATACGTGGCAGCGAGGCCTTAGATCTATCTTTGACTCATACGTGTATGGCAAACTCTGGTGAATCTATTGCTATGCTCCCCAATAGTGAAAAAGATGCACCGACTGTTGCAAATGTCGAGGATGATATCGCCCTCAAACCAAACCGAAAATGGTGGCAACTGGCTGAAAAGGACAAGACTGCTAAAGATCCCCCCAAGAACGTGCCTTATCTCAAGTTGTTTAGATTCGCCTCTCCTTTGGACCGTCTTTACATTTTCATTGGACTCGCTATGGCGACGGCACAGGGTGTTGGGCAAGTTCTTGCATTTTCCTTTCAAAATCCTCTTGATCTTTGGAGATCTTGATCCCCGCAGCCTTCCTTGGGTGTGGTGGTATCGCCACGTATTTCAACCGTGCCATTCACATGTGATTGTGATGCAACACATTCTGTTTTGCGGAATTATATGGTCAATATCTTATCTAATGCAGACCTTTTACCGTTATTAGAATGCCGTTAATGACCATTGTATTCGGCAACGGAATTCAGGCCATCATCACTTATTCGCCCTTGATACCTGGCTCTGCTGATAACTTGAACACTCAAGTTACGACCGCAGTTATATATTTATGCATCATTGGAGTGGCCATGTTTACCGCCGCTTATCTCAATATGACGATGCTCATGCTATCTGCTGAAAACCAGTCTCGACGCATCCGTCAGGTACCACTTTCTAGGTTTGCAAACTCACACGAACAGCAGTGTCTAATCGTTTTGAATTCTCAGCGATACTTTGCTGCCCTTTTGAGGCAAGATATTGGGTACTTTGACGCTACTCAAACTGGAGAACTAACGTCGCGTATGAGTGGCGATTTGGGACTCATTCAAGATGGTATGGATGGTCTGGCACATAGCTCACTGCTGCTTTAAACAGATGGTTATGATCTGACCCCTTTCGTGTTAGGCATTGGCGAAAAGGTCGGAGTCGCTGCACAATCCATTGTAACCTTTATTGCAGGATTCGTGATCGCTTTCGTGCGTGGGTGGAGGCTGGCTCTTGTGCTCCTATCAGTTTTTCCTGTGCTTGCTGGTGTAGCAGCTTTAGTTGGCTCTGTCGTTGGGTCCGGAACCGGTGCTTCTCAAGATGCATATGCAGAAGCTGGATCAATAGCTTCAGCTGTTATTAGCAGTATCCGCACTGTAGTCGCTTTTGGTGGAGAAGCAAATGCTGTCAAGCAATATTCCAAAAAGCTCGACGATGCTATGAAGAGTGGCATCAAACGGGCTATATTCACGGGCATGGGCATTGGAGCCGTTATTATGGTTGTGTTCAACACATATGCATTGGCGTTCTACTATGGATCGAAACTCATTGGATATGGGATCATGAATGGAGGCGAGGTGCTAAATGTTTTCTTCTCGGTGATCATTGGGGCGTTCAGTATTGGTCAAGCCTCACAGCCTGTTGCAGCCATGAGCTCTGCGCAAGGTGCTGCGTACCGTATCTTTGAAACCATTGATAGGGTCTCGCCTATCGATTACAAGAGTAAAGAAGGCAAAAAGCTCGAAAAAGTTGATGGAAATATTGAATTCAAGAATGTTGACTTCAGGTAGGTGGGAATGTATCACTGTTATGAGGAAGGCAATAAGCTAATGCTATTGTAAATAAGATACCCTACTCGACCTGATGTTCAAGTCCTGGCCAATTTTAATCTCACTGTCAAAGCTGGTAGCACTGTAGCGTTGGTGGGAGGATCAGGTAAGCGAGAATATGCTGTTTTGTCTGCTCTTGATCCTTCTGTAACGGCGCCTTGATTCATCAGGATCTGGAAAATCGACAATTGTAAAATTGGTCGAACGATTCTACGATGCTGAAAAGGGAGCGATTCTAATTGATGGAATTGACGTCCGGGAATACCAAGTCAATTCACTTCGTCAGCATATTGGAATAGTCTCTCAAGAACCTGGTCAGTTTATCGTTCTAATTCGATTTATAAAAAATCGAAAATTCACCAAGTTTGAACTTCAGTGTTGTTTGATGCCAGCATAAGGCGCAACATCCTCTATGGCTTGCCAGAGGAGTCAATTGGCTCGTATACGGAAGAACAGTTGGATCAGTTGGTCAAACATGCCTGTAAACTTTCGAATGCTTGGGATTTTGTGACCAAGCTACCTAAAGGAATGCATACTATGGCTGGAGAGGCCGGTAGTATGCTTTCGGGAGGTCAGAAACAGAGAATCTCTATCGCCAGATCGGTCATAAAGAATCCCTCCATACTTTTGCTTGATGAAGCTACAGCGGCCTGTAAGCGCTTTGGATAATCATCATCGCCGTCACTCAAAGCTTTTTGTCTCACGGTTGCTTTGCAAAAATAGTGGATACTATCAGTGAAAGACGAGTTCAAGCTGCTCTCGACAATGGTATGTGCATGAACCTTTGAACCTTCACCCCTTAAATGTCTTCAAGGCTAAAATTCCACCACAAAAGCATCGAAAGGAAGAACAACCATCGTCGTGGCACACAGATTGTCCACCATTAAGAACGCAGACGTCATCGTATGCATGAAGGAGGGTGTCATAGTCGAAACTGGAACACACAACGAGCTACTCGACAAGAATGGGTACTACTCTAGTCTCGTTGAAGCTCAAAATCTACGATTTGGTGGTGACGCCGCACTGCATCACAAGGACTATTTGGCTGATGAAGACGATGATGACTTTTTACCACCACAAGCATCACCAACTCTAGGTCCTCGTCGAGGTTCTGTAGCAACTTCTTTCGTTAGTAAGATGTCTGATGGAGTGCATGTTGCTATGGGTAGTCTGAGTCGTCGAGGATCCAAAACACCATCGTATGCCGCTGTACAGGAAGCTGAAAAGAATGCAGAAATTGAAGAAAGGTCAAAGCAGTTGAGGAGGCCTGTTAATTGGTGGCGTCTCATTAAGATGAATGGTAAGGACGGGTTTGCCTTTTTCTCGTTGAAGAAGCATATATAGGTTAAGACTTTTCAATTCGTGACCAATAGCTCCAGAATGGTGGATCCTGCTAATTGGACTAACTGGAAGTGTAGCCAATGGTGTCACTTTTCCTGTCTTCGCTTTGGTTTTTGGCCGAATTTTGGCCGTATTTGGCAACCCTGATATAGAGCAGATGCAACGGGATGCCTCCTTTTGGGCGTCAATGTTCGTAGGTATGAGAATAGTGATTTTTATGGCGAGAGGATGTGTCAGGAAGTGAAAACGGTCTAATTTTCCTATTGTATGGTCCTAGTTCTGTCGGTCGTGGCAGGGTCTGCGAATTTTTCGCAAATGGCTTTGTTTGGCATTGCTGGTGAGCGCCTGACGAGGCGTCTCAGAGAGATGTCCTTTAGAGCTATTGTTAGTCAAGAAATCGTAAGTAATCCGCCACGGTTTTTGTCTTTGTCGTTGGTTTGATGGTTTCTTTTTTGGAAGTTTTTGTAACTGCAATGGGTAACTTGGCACTCAAACGAACGACTCACAATAGGCATTCTTTGATGAAGACAAGAACTCGACTGGTGCTTTGACTGCCCAGCTTAGTGAAAATGCGTCGTTGGTTGCTAAAACTACCAGTAATGGGGCTGCAACCCTCGTACAAGTCACAGCGACGTTGACTGCTGGATTGGTTATAGCGTACGTTGAAACTTCTCGCCGCTTTTTTTCCATCTAGGGTGCTGTTTTGATTATTGCTTCCATCACAATCGAATACTCAAACCCCGTTTACAGGTTCTCCAACTCCTGGCAACTCACGTTGATCATACTCGCGATTGTACCTCTGATTGCTGTGGCTGGTGCAATAGAGTTCCGGCAGATGGTAGGAGTTTTTTGATTTTGTAGTGTTTGGTGTGGTCATCTCCCTTTCTCAGACCTCTACTTTTTTCCTCTTCAGACCGGAACCGGTTCCCGCAGCAAGGTTGCTCTAGAAGAGAGTAATCGAATCGCCAATGAAGCAATTTCAAACATCAGAACGGTTGTGACGCTAGCTCGTGAAGAAACCTTTTTGCAGTCTTATGTCACTAGTATCGAAAAACCACATCAAATAGCTATACGAGGAGCACTGACCTCGTCTATTGGTTATGGGATAAGTCAAGGGGCAATGTTCTTTGCGTTTGTAAGCACTTGTCTAGCAGAATGTTCAACCGACGAAATATGTTTCTGACTTTTGCTCAACTAGGGTCTATCCATGTTTTATGGTTCTCGGCTCATCCTGTGGGGTATTCAAACGCCTCAGCAGATCTTGTCTTGTCAATTTGCTGTCATCTTCACTGCTCAGGGGGCAGGTCAAATCTTGACTCTGGTATGAGATCAGCATTTCATTTGAGAGCATCTTGCATGAGATCGCATGAAAACAATCAGAGTCGAGATTTCATCTTGATGTATTCATTGGTGCATTTACTTTCAATTTGTAGGCTCCCGACATAACCAAGTCTGGCTTGGCCGTCCTTTCAATTTTCGTACGTTGTCCAATTTTTACAAATTTTGTTCTGTTTTGTATTTAACATCGTCTTTTTAATGTGGTTAGGACATACTCGACCGTCTACCACGTATTCTCGCCTCTTCATTATCGGGCCAAGTGCCCAAGACTGTTGAAGGCAATGTCAGCTCTAGTGAAGTTGAATTCACATATCCAACTCGACCTGATACCAAAGTGCTGAATGGTTTGAACATTGAAGCTAAAGCCGGAACTGTCGTTGCTTTGGTCGGGTCCTCAGGCTGTGGGAAAAGTACCGTCATTGCACTTTTGGAGAGATTCTATGACGTTGATGATGGTGAAGTATCAGTCGATGGGATTCAAGTCAAGGATTGGATAGTTTCAAAGTTACGAAGTAATATGGCTCTTGTTGGACAAGGTAGAGATCTTTCGATTACGCTTTTTTTTTGGCCTTCCCGATCTCACTTTTCTCTCATGTAGAACCTGTATTGTTCTATGGAACCATCAAGGAGAATATTGCTTATGGAGTAGAAGGAGACGTGTCAATGGAAAGGATAGAAGAGGCTGCTAGAATCTCAAACTGCCATGAATTCATAGCGTCTATGCCAGCTGGCTATGAGACCATGGTTGGAGAGAAAGGAGCACAGGTATGTTTCAATGTCCAGAATCGTTGTCAATTTGTCAAGATTCTAATTAGTGACCTTTGATTCTATAATAGCTCTCTGGAGGGCAAAAGCAACGCGTGGCACTCGCTCGTGCGTTGATCCGTCAGCCAAAGATACTGCTTTTAGATGAAGCAACCAGGTATTTATACTACTTGGTCGTTTTATGGTCCTTCTATGGTCCTTCATGACATATCATGGTCATTTCCAAAAACAAACCAATAAACAAAGAGAACTTTCTCACTTTCAACTTTTGTAGTGCTTTGGACTCTCAATCAGAAGCTATAGTACAAGAAGCCTTGGATCGAGGTATGTTCAAGTGTCGCCTGAGCTGTGAAATTGAAGTGTAGCTGACATTATCAATTTTCTCCAGCGAGCAAGGGTAGAACTACCGTCGTGATCGCACACCGACTGTCCACCATCCAAAATGCCGATAAAATATATTATCTCAAAGATGGCATAGTCGCAGAATCAGGCACTCATAAAGAGCTAGTGCAAAAGGGAGGCCTTTATGCCGAATTGTATGTTAAACGTCCATAAGGTTTTGAATCATCACAGTTTTACTCACGTTGACCTCGTCACTAGGGCTGCTCAACAAGAATTAAACAAGCAACCTCAAGCTTAACGTTGTCCAGTGTACAAATTATTTCAATTTAGTTAGATCATCCATTTTGCCCTTTAAACATATAAAACATCCAAAATCAGTCAAACCCTACTATAGTAGGAACTTTACGCTCGAATTCCTCAACTCCGTGACGGCTTATTATCACCAGTCGTTCCACCGCATTGTTCAGATTTGCAGCAACTGGTGTATATATTGCTGTTTGCGGAAGTACAATCAGCACAAGTTCGTTTCAGGAATCAACATCGTTGGCTCACGTACCTAGGTAGTTCAAAACTACAGCCAGTGTAGCTCCCACCATGGATATACTGGCAAATATAACTGTTGGCAAATTATCTGATCTTGTAACCAAAGACGCAATAGGTCCCTATTGCAAAAGGATGTGAGGTTTTCAAGTGCCAATTGCTGACCTAGCAGCTAACGTACTTGTATAATCCCAATGTATCCATGTCCCAAGTTCACTATGGCTGAAAACGTGGCTCTTGGGCTAGAGAGAAAAACAACATTGTTCAGAACGAGTTCCAAGCACCATGGCACTGAAACTCACCCTTTCGGCGGCTCAACGTCTATAAACGTACCCGTGTGAGTTCATATATCATATTATGCGATGATCATTTCACTCACTTACCAACATGCAACCACGAGACCACAAACGTACTTAACGTGCCGACAACGTTGAACGGTAACGTTAGCTAGCAAAAGCTTACGATGATTAGATCTCGCTTGAATGAAATACACCAGATTCACGTACATACCTTTTGAGCTGTAGAAAGATTATTTGTAAACAGGGTACAAATGTTGAGGAAACTTGCGAGAGTCGTTATTATCGTCGCGACTCGAATGAAGAGTCGTCTGCCTTCGTAACCGTCTTTTATAGGCTCAGGTGTTGTCATGCTTGATTATGGTATAAATGCTTTAATATTAAGGATAAAGGATGGTGGTTGTGACTGTGCTCAACTCAGCCACTGTTGAGGGGGGGCTTAGTCCGAGTTCGAAATTGGGGCTTTAAATTCAGAATAGAAGAGACCATTCCGAGAACACCATGGACCAAACTTGAATATTTGCTGGCTACGTCCTATTCACCGCTGGTTGATATGCTGACGAGTAAACGCGTGCAAGGAGTACGTTTCAACAACACACCCAGCAATATTATAGAAAATCTTCGGTATTTAACAATTAGTGTATTGTGACGCTGAAAAACTACTCTAAAGTTTTCTAACTTCTTTGTCTCTACTCTACATTTTCTCTAAAAAATCCACACAGAGTCATGAAGCTCACAATTCATGGAAAACACGGAGTCTAATAGCCTCACCAAAGTCTTCCGCAAGAGGAGTATAAAGTGCTAAAATCGAAACACAGTCAGCGGAAGATCCCACCACCAGCGTCACGATTGGAGCCTGAATAAACCGAAATGAGGAAAGGGATGGGATTTTAGGTGTGCTTTCGATTCCAAATCCTCCAGTACAACACATACCTGAACGACTGCGAGGTAGCCGCTAAGCAAGTGTACCAGAAAAGTGATTTTCTCGCTTCGACTAAAGGGCAACAACAGTTGGGTCAATTTGAACTTTCTCGAAAGTCCCACAATTAACATGCAACTACGTTTGAGGAGGGTCGACGTCTGAATACATAGAACGAAAGATTGAATAAACTACTTTTCCTTTGCACAACTTTCGATGCTGTTCGACACTTACCAATATGTAGCCAGGAGACTATGAAGGTCCCTACACTCCCGACTACTCCAAATGGAATCGTTAACTATAAGACGACAGTTCGATATTAGAAACTATGATGAAAGTTAGAAGCACCAATGATTCGAGACGAGAACAATTACCTTTTGAGCTACAGACAGAGTGTCCGTACGGACTGAAAACACATTGAGCAAACTGGTGATTGCTGCGAAGACAATAGCAACTTGAAGTAATATGACTCTCCCTTCTGTTCGAAATTTGGCTGTTTTTGCTGTGGTTGACATTTTGTTGAGCAAGTACAAGTGTAGATTGTATGGTGGGCTGTTTGTGCTATGTGCTCGTGCTCACTTGCTGACTTCTTTTGTTGATTTTCAATAGAGGGCACGTTGATCTTGATTGAAGAATCAAGAATTGTGGTCCTCACACCTGCTGCCACAACATTCGTGCGGCGGCTCTATTTCATAGGTGTCCAAACAAGCGATGTTCATTGACGTGCAATCCCAACCGATATGGGAGGGACGGCCAATTTCAAGGATAATGAAATCAAACCGAATTGTAGAAGTAAAAGAACAATTCTTCAGTTCAAGTTCTGAATTACAAGAAAGCCGTGCAGTGAAAGTCACTACTTCGTGATGTCGAACGATTGAGGGCGTGTTTCTTAAAGAAAGAGTCCGTAAAAAGAGGAGTACACCTTGGAAAGATTAAAAAGAGGTAGAACAAACGTGTTTGATGCACACAATTGAGGTCTCTTCCGAATCTGTCCAAACAATCCAAACACCCAATCAATCAACATTAAATCCCGAGGCCATGCCATGAACTCACAGGAGATCGAGACGGTACTTGAAGAATATGGTGTAGATGCTTCACATGGCCCCAAGTTCTCTGAATTGCTGGAAAATGGCCAGGAATCCGAAATCACCAAACTCTCCGTTTCAGTGGCAGGTAGGATCCAGGGCAAGGCACTGTTTAGGAGGCTGACGAATAGAAGCCGTAGTGACTCCATCAGTAGTGGCAGAGACTCCCCCTCCCCCTCAAGTTTGAACTACAACGCCGCAGAATTCGCCCCTTCATCAACATCGGCTATCTTCACCAGAACGCACAGCAGTACTAGTTTGAGCAACCAGGCCACATACGATGATACATATAATAGTGATTACGTAGAAGAGGATCACGATATATCACCGACAAATGACATTGAACGGGTCGTCAGCTTCCTAAGATTGGATGATGTACAGAACGAGGCGCCGACCAATACTGAGCTTGAAACAAAGGACGTTTATGACTCAGTTTATTATCAGCATTCCAATGAAGATTCTGACGAGATGTATAATTGGAATGAATACTACTATGAAGCTGAGCAGCAGCCTGAAAACCAACTCCTCACGCCGTTACAAGAGATCGCAGCTGTATTTGGTCATATGCCGATCGAGAATATAAACGCCATCTTAGAACTCGTAGGATATGATGTAGAGTTGGCGCTCGACGCGCTAATGCAACCGGTGGAAACAGTAAAGCCAAAAGAGAAGAAGACCATTTGTAGGCACTTCCTCGCCGGGGGTTGCTTCAGAAAGGTATAAACAATCAAATATTCCTTCGGCAATCGCTGACCCTTCTTCGCCTACTTAGGACTGCTGGTTTTCTCATGATTTAGAAAAAACCGTATGCAAGTACTTCATTCAGGGAAGGTGTCTAAAGGGAGATGAGTGCGACTTCTCGCATGACATGGATGACTTTTTGAGGGCATCTCAAAGGGCCTTAAATAGCTCCTCAGATAGCACAGCTTCACCGCCACCTGGCTTAGCGCAATCACCGATAACTGATACCCAGGAAGAGTTTCCGTCGCTCGCTTCTGCAGCTTCAATGCCTCAAAAGAAGCATCACACTAGCTCGAGTAGGTTTGCCGATATTGCACGAAAAGGTGCTATGGCAAAGGTAGAGAGTACTACTCCAAGTACAAAGAGTAATAACTCCACGAATCAACGCAATAAGCCAACTCTTGTATCTGGTAAAGTGTTTTGGGTCGACACAGGTCACGCTGTTGCCAAAGCATACAAGATGGCGCGGCAGGAGGCAGTCGACTGTGCAATTGCCCGGAATAAGCTCTTTCAAAGGTAGCCAATAACATTGCTGGGACTGCTGTAACCATTCGCTTTGACTGAACTCAAGTTTGTCCTTGATTCCTGACCACTTTAACAACCTTTAGGGCTACAGAAGCGTACAAATCTGGAGACTCGAGGTCCGCCAAGGCCTTCTCTTTAGAAGCTCACGCATACAACCAGCGAATGCAGGAGCTCCATCAAGAAGCTGCCTCGCAACTGTATACATCTCGAAATTCAGCTAATACCAATACGTTGGACTTGCATGGACTCTTCCCGCAAGAGGCCATTCAGATACTTGAAGGAAAGCTGCAACAATTACGTAGGACTGGCGGGAGCATCTTTGTCATAACAGGAAGTGGTCATCATAGTAGAGGTGTGGCGAAATTGGCGCCTGCTGTTAGAGAATGGCTAACATCCAATAGTTATTCGTGGAAGGAGGCTGATATGGGAGATGGGTACGGTGGTTGCGTGTATATCGAAGTAGGTTGAACATAGTAATTACATATAGTTTAGTATCATGTCTAAATGACCACCTGTGTTTATGAGAGGCTCGCAAGAATGCGGTCGCTGACGTCGCTTCTTTTGGACGATGATGGATTTACTAACGTGGAAAGTTTGCGGGAGTGTATCCCATGTAAGTGACCCTGGAGTCCTTCGTAGCCGATGATCAAACCACCGAAGGGTCCAAGCAAGCTCGTAGACCAGAATGACTTTGCAATAGCACGACGTGGAGAGCCTTGAAAACCTGCTCAGATCTGAAGACTTTTACAGGAAAATTGGAAGGAAGGCCCGGGAATATCTAGCAACATCGCACATTCGTCGAGTTTTCGGAACGTCGACACACACGTGAATTCGGAGAGGGTACATGCATGGTCAAGCTCAGGATTTGCTGAAAGCGAGGTTGGGAATACAGTTTCGATATGGCTACAACCACCCTCGTTTATCCAACTTTTGTAGCTCCAACCGCTCTCAAATTTTCAAATTTTCGTCAAAACATACAAACCGAAAAGAAAACTTGTTGAACTCGAACGCACTACTTTGCTGCTTTCACCTCTCTTGTTGGTTTGTCATGGCTGGCAACGATTGTAAACGCTGCAAATCCCTACGATGTCTACAACACCCTCACGCTTCCAGATGAATGTAGCGACAAGGCAAACAGCGGCGACATAGAAGAGATGATTGTGACTTGCCCTGGTGGCCCGAATGGAGTATGTTCGCTGGAGATGTGTGTTTTTCGAATATGGACTTTGTGTGAGCGTCGAATATCGAAACTGAACACAGCAAAAGAAGATATATCAGTATTCTACCATGGCAAACTTGTTTTCATACGCTTAAGCTGTTATTCACGTTGCTCAAGGGAAATCGATTTTAGGTAGAGCCATGAGGAATCATATCATCCAATCTGGTTTGCACCTCTTTTTCAGTTAGGCCCCGAGTGGTTTGTGGCCATAAAGAAAAGCGATTTTGTAGCCATAAAAATCGACCAATTTCTCACTCCATCAACCCAAAAAAACCACCCAAACAACGAGCAGTCTAAACTGAATCAACGCTTCATACAATGCACTTCCATGCGTTTACTATTGCTGCTTTGTCAATGTTGGCAATGACTGCAAACGCTGCTCCAGCGAATCCCTATGACAAATACAATACCATCGCTTTGCCAGATGGTTGTGTCGATAAGGCAAACTCTGGAGATATTGAAGAGATGATTGCTACATGCCCTGGTGGCGCTACTGGTGGTAAGTTTGCTTTCGATTTGTCCGTTGTCCTCACTTTACGTGCTTGTTGCCTGTAGTCCATCGATCTTGCACAATATGGTCTTTTTGCACTGACTACTACTCGTCTCTGTACTATAGTCAGCCAGACCTGTGTCGGTCCGGCTATGACGGCCACGGTTGATGCCAGTGGAATGGCCACCATTGTCTTTGATGCAAAGACTTTGATCAACCTTCCTCGCTTGCAGGCTTACACTAGCATGTACATTACGTACACAGGTAAGCCTTTTGATTGTTTTGATTGATTGCTCCTGGATAGCCATGTCCAATCTTTAACTGAACTTGCAACTTGGGAAGTTTCAGCCACCATATCTCTCATATCTCCTTCTCTTTTAATATCTAGCTCCAGTAGGAACGACTTGGAACGTCGATGTTACCAACACCAATGGCCAAGCGGCTCGTACCACTACTGTCACTCCGGCTGGTACGACGAAGAAGGTCAAGAACACCTTCCTTCTCCAAGTCCCAAACCCGACTGGTACTCTCCAGTCTGTAACTTGGAGTGGAGTCAAATTGGCTGACTTTGCTGCCACTACTGGTACTCAGAAATTGAACGAAATCGTCATCTGCGTACCACCCGCCCTTCAAGCACAATATGCTAAAAACAGTACCAGCACAGCTGGGCCCAAAAGCGGGGCTTAAACTTTGGTGGTGGTGTGCACTCTTCCCTCCTTGAATTACAGTTTTGCTGTTCAAAATACATTCTTCACCATTCTTCTATAAATCCACTGTGTGTTGGTTGTTGTTTGTCTTTGGGAATGGGGTTTGTGTTTTTATCTCCTACCACGTGGTTGCCGATTTACAGCGACATCAGCTGTCGGCACTGCTACCTCATGCCTTTGGCGCAAAAATTGTAAGTCACCATACAACGTTTCCTTGGACTGCTCTGACTTGATATTGGGAAAGAAACCACGAATTATCGAACCTGAAGTACATATAGCAGAATCTAATACAACCTGGACCCAGCGTACTGATCGTCTCGGAAGAAGTATCATGGAAAGCTCCCTCATCTGCCATGATGTCTATGGCCACAAACTCCACGGATGTACCACTTGTTGTTTGGTGTGGTCATATGAATAACAAATTCTCCCCTACAAACTGTTATGTGGTGTGGCCATAACGCAAATCTACAAATACGCAATTTCTCCTGTTCGCACTTCTCCCACCAAAAAAACCAAACAACAATCCAAGAATCACTTTAAACGTTGAAAACAAGGCAATGCATTTTACTACCTTTACTAGCATTGCTGCCTTGTCGTTACTAGCAGTCAGTGCAAACGCTACTCCTGCTCCAGCCAATCCCTACGACAAGTACAACACGATCGCTTTACCTGATGGGTGCAGCGATAAAGCAAACAATGGTGACATTGAAGAGATGCTTGCAACATGCCCTGGTGGCCCGACTGGTGGTATGTTGATCGTCTGACTCGTTTGAACACTGCTGATTATCACTCAAAGTCGTTTGCACAACAGTTTGTAATCCTTGTAGAGTATTAACATACTCTCAACTTTGACATAGTATCTCAGACCTGTATTGGTTCAGCCATGACTGCAACCGTAGATGCCAACGGATTTGCAAGCATCGTCTTCAATGCAAAGACATTGATCAACTTGCCTCGTCTGCAAGCGTACACCAGCATGTACATCACCTACTCAGGTAACATGCAATTTTAATACCATTGAATCATCAATCAGTTTTCCGCAACTCTGCTATCCAAATCACAACCTCACACATCATTCCCGAACAATAGCCCCTCAAGGCACAACTTGGAACGTCGATGTAACCAACACCAACAACATCGCTGCTCACACAACCACTGTGACTCCAATCACCACCAATGGCGTATCAGGAGCTGCCACCACCGCAGGATGCAACCCAAACAAGATCGGAGCACCTAAAATCAAGCAGACCTTCCTTCTCAATGTCCCGGCTCCGTCTGGAACGCTTCAAAGCGTTACCATGAGTGGTATGAAGTTGGTTGACTTTGCCAATACTACTACTGGTACTCAGCAATTGAACGAAATCGTTATATGTGTCCCACCAGCTTTGCAGGCTCAGTATGCTAAAAACAGTACCAGTACTTCTGGAGGCAAGAACGAGAATTAAATTCGTTCATAAATCTGTGACTTGGGAGAGGGCAATAGGAGGAAGTTCTGAGGGGTGGAATGATGTGACTTTTATTGTTTTCTGTTCATCGTGATTCATTAATCGTAGGTTTGGTCGCCAAAATACAATCTTCAATATTCTTCCATAACATATTTACGTCTTTTTGTGTGTTTTGTTGGCCATTGAAGTTAGCATACTTTTTCAACATCGAGACACAGCTCATAAGGTACTTTTTGATTCTATTGTACAAGAGCAATATACAATCCCTTTTGCATTTACACAACTATGATATACACTTTCCTTATCTTTATCTACATTACGATAACAGCCTTTTATACTCTCCTACTCATTCGTGATGGGTTTTGTATACACGGCCAGGCTCTGTGATGAGGTTATGATAAAAAGACGAACGACTTGTTGAGATTTGGCATACCCTCCAAGTGCACAGGACAGTTGAAATTCAGAGTGGAACCTAAGTATGAAATTGCGAGGGTTCAGAGTCCAATGTCATCCGACCATTCCTCGCAATGCAAGCAGCAATCCAACCCTTTCAACTTTTTTACCAAATTCATTTCGAAGAGTGGTCGCACCAACGGTCCATACAGCAGCACAATTGAAAATGAGTCTACTACGTGGCCTATCAACCACAGATACACCGACAGTGGTCGGCGTTGTAGCACTTTGGTTTGAATTGATTCCAACCAAGCCGCAACTTGCCAAGAAGTTTGTAATAGCTGCTCCAGACGATGCGGGTGATACAAGTTGAATGTATAATGACGAATTTGCATTCCTGGAGGACTGAGGTGGCACCGAGAATTTCGTGAATGATGACGAGGCAATCACAGTAGTTTGTTGGAGTGGATGATATGCAAAGCACGTCATTTCGTCAATAATTGTAGTGAGATCTAGGTGTTTAATAATATGTGAATGCTTATTGTGAGGAGTATCCGATTCCATCACAAGGTTTACAATTTGAGCTGTCGACTCGTACACCCATAGAGAAGTTGAATGAAGCCATAGCAGGGTTTGATTGCAGCTTGACCAAATCCAGTGGAGAAGCAGTCGAATTTCGGACTGATCTCACATGAATAGCTAAGTGATTTTGAATATGAGATCATCAAATTCTCAGGAGCATGGATCGACCACCCGATCCAAACATCAGAGTCACAAAGATCGATGATGATGCATACTTGGGCTTCTAGGGAAGCAAAAGAAGACAATAAGAATGATAGCCAACAGCACAGACAAGGCCAACCCCAGGATCAACCACCACTGAACACGTCTCTTCTTCTTCCTTTCAACAGCAGCAGTGACAAAAGCTCCTTGACTCCAAGCAGACGGGGTGTTATAGATTTGATCGAATGGGTTCTTTGGGCCTTTGGCTTTACTGGGAGAGACCAGGTGGTCTTCGTTGATGGAGTGCATCAGTGAATCTCTTTGATGAGGAGCAGTAGGAGAAGTTGAAGGGAGAGCGACACTAGGTCTGGAATAAGTCATTGGCATTGTACTTGTTGGACGAGATAATACTAGAGTAGACATGACTCGTTTGGGAGGTTGAGGACTGTTGGGTTGACGGTCCATTTGCTATGTATGTGGCAAGTCTCTTGAATATGTAGCTTTGATAGCCTATTGAAATGAGATGATTATGACTTGATGCAAACACTTCTAGCCCAGTCTCCTGCTTGTTTCAAGTGCTTGCTTGCAATATAGAGAAGTTTTCGTAAAAGTTTGACAAATGTGATGCTGTTCGCAATGAAGGGATGGAGTGACGTGCCACGAAGGTCGCTGATCAGAAATTTCTGAGTATAAACGACAGTTTGTACGCAGCTTCAAGCCTGGATCACCCTCGTTGAGCTCAGAACGCGTCTGACAGGTGTGTTTGTTAACAGGACAGATGGTGCCTTTAGGCAACGCTAGGATGGCCAGAAAGGACATTTGCAGAATTCAACCAGAACTTCAATGTGGATTTCCTGGTGATCCAAAGGTGTTGGAAATTGCGCGTTTGGCTGGTCTGATTTCATAGTATGCACTTGTAACGGTGGTAATGGATGCCCACTAGACTCAAGGCATCTGCAGGTGTATTTGACGTACGTTCGACGTTAGAAACCATATTACTGGCGAATAGATGAACCATTGTTTTACCAGAACCATAGCGTTAACACCAACATCAATAGCAGCTACCATCGACCCGATAATAAAGGTAATCATAACAAGTGGGAAGAGATAAATACGTGCTTTGTAAAAGATCCAAATCAAAATCCGGAGCAGCTTGCCCAAGAAACGAAACAGGAGAGCATCCTTGATTACACTTTACTAGCGAGCGAAATATTCGAGGAATCGAACCAATTCAGTCTTGATGAATCGACGTTGCAACGTGTGAGTTGAACATGGAATCAATTGAAGAGGGAGCTTGGGCGACGTTAATCAAGGGAGTATCTGAGTTATGCGGTCCCTGCAGTTCTAAACCAGTATGTACTTTGTCTTGGACATGCTCGATAGCCGATAACTGTAATCATTACCCTCGTGGAAACATACAAAACAATGAGCGACACTATAGTGCTCTGGATTCAGCTCTATAAGCGACTTGCTGACAGGGCAAACGATCAATCTGCTGCTGTTGAAGAGTTGGGACGTGCTGCTGAACTAGCAGTGGAAGGTGTTCAAGTCACAAATATCGATAGACTCTGCTTTGCGCCTTTGCGCGACTTTAGCAATTTCCCAGGCAATTTCAACCAAGGAGCAAATCGATAATGCCGGCGAAAATGGCCAAAGTCTAGAGGCGGGTACTGAAAATCTACAACTTGAGTATTCCGGTGTTTTTCGCTGTGCGGTGGTAGAAAATCAAAACTTGACCGACCAAATTCCTAACTATCCGATAGAACGAAGGAAGAGGAGAGATTCATTTAACGGGTACGTCAGTATTTATCGTTCGACCTACGAATGACTTTGGCCATCCTGCGTTCTGTTACGTTGCCGAAACAAGCACCAACAAAGTCAGCAACTTTTGGCAAAGGCTTTTCTGTCCTTGTCGGTTGTTTTCTTGCAAAAGATTGATCAACAGCTCTAACATTCTTGCTTTTCATTTATAGATCTTGCATACTTTATTGGAGCTACCGCACAAATCTCCAAATTCGACTAGAAATCGCTCAAATTCGAGAAATGACAGCTGGAATCACCTCTTCTGGTCTCTACGATTGGCTGTTGGGACCTAACAGTATCGAAGTGCCTCAAGGCCCCGTCGTAATTTCTGTAAGAGTATCATCAAAACATGCATTCGAATCAAGCCACTGACAAAATGCCGATCTATTCTTCAATTTATAGGGCTGTGATACTGGTTTTGGAAATTCTTTGAGCTATGAATTCGCAAAACGTGGTTGGTGAGTATCAACCATTGCATGTTTTAGTGTTTTCATCTCAGGCTCAATCGTTTTCAGGAAAGTTTACTCGGGCTGTCTAACAGCTGCGGCTGTCAAGGAGTTTGAAACTGCTGCTCTCGGTGATCCACTACTGAAGGGCATCCATCCCATTTGCTCTGATGTGACAAAGTCCTAGTACATTGAGAACCTTCGCCAAACCATTGTCAAGAACGAGATCGGCGGCTCGGCTAATGTCGTGTGGATCAATGAATTATTACCTACTTGGTACGTAGACGAGTTGTGATATATTAACAATGCTCAATGGCTCCAGACGTATGTACTAACAAAACTCGTACTTGAAACATGTAGGGTTGGTTTTTGACAATTTGATATGGTACGGGATGCGTCGAGACTGCACCCTCCCTAATGATGCTACTCCATACTTTAAGAGCCCAACTTGGTGGTAGATTGCCTATTTGTGCTGCTCGTGTTGATGATTGATGGTTACCCGCATTGTTTCCTAGTCCGAAAATGTAATATGTTGTGTTTTAGACGTCCCCCCTCATATGATCAAAAGTTTGTTCAAAAACTGTCCATTTTTTGAAAGTTATCGCACGCGTTATATGACTTGCAAGTGGTCTGGGGTGAAGGTTGCCGTTACCGAGTCGTTCATTTCAGATCGCTAGATCGTAGATACCCGTCGTCTGGTGTCATCAGTACCATTAGAATCTCGCTGACATTTCGTGTATGGAGTATGGCCTCTCGCCTAGTAACGGTGGACCTACACACCACACACTGAAACGATTTGAATATGAAAGCAGAAAAGAGCGCAGATTTCGTCTTGTCTATTGCTATTCCTCAATATCATATTCAACAGCATCAGCATGTTCCTTGCTCTCATCAGCAGTACTGCTTCCCTCCTTCGTTGTAGTCAACTTGGAAACTTTAGGAGACCAAGAAAGCAATAATGCTACTAACTTGTTGACTCCCTCACTTTGTTGCACCAAACTATTATCAAGCTTTTCTTGCATTTTCTGAATCTCATTTGCTAATTTTGAATTTGCCTCAATCACTTCCAGTTTCATGGAAGCTACTTGACTAGACAGCTTTGCCAGACTGGTTGCATCATTCAGTAAACGATCGATGGGGATTTCGTAATAAACAAATTTGGGAAACAGGACGACATTTTTCCGTAGTGGACGAAAGATTGTCAATATCTGTGTGAGAAAACGGCATCTAAGTACTTTTTCCCAAACAAAAGTGTGACGAGACTTACTAAAACTTCCATCTCTAAACATGCATGAGCAATTTCGTCAATTAAAATGGAGGATTGTCCAGATGCTTGCAGATTACCGAACACGTTAATTAAAACTGCAATGATGACACTAAAACAAAGGATTAGTTGAAGGGTGATCCTACAAACGGAAAGTTAACAAACTCCATACTTGAGCAGCAAGACTGACAACATCACTTGAAACAATGCATGCATCGCTACCGCAATCCAATTTTCATTATGATTTTGTATGGCAGCAAATTCTCCAAATGTGGCATAGAAAACTGATCTATAAAGAATGTGGAAAGAAATTGCTGTTTAGATAGGTACCAAAAAGAAGTCAAACAAAACGACAAACCTCAGAGAATTGACATAAGTGCTAAATGTGTTGGATCCTATATTATTTCCAGGATCAGCTTGAAGCAAAACAAAGAATGAGTGTCCAAATGCCAACGCCACTGCCAAAAGAAAGGCCTATAAGTATATTCTTTAGTTTAGCCTTGAGAAATGGACACAAATGCAACACTATACAATACCAATAATGGAAACACCCTAGCTATACTTTTCAATGCCGAAGAAACAACACCTCCAATATAAGACATGTTTCTCAGATAAGAGATGACTTTAAAATACCACAATAGCAACCCAATCGACCAGCACCCACTTAACACATTGGAACCATCCAAGTCTACTGCTAGTTCTACACAAACTAACACAAAGGTATAGATGGTAGCTGCCACATCCAAAAACCAAAAAATACGCAAAATGTAGCGTTCCCGTAAATACAGCGAAAGTATCACAGAATAGATCAGATTAGGGAGTATTGTAAAACCCAAAAATACTAATAGCAGAGTATTAGAGGGCGCCGAGGAGTCGTATAAAGCAATTCCAAGCAAAATTAAGCCAATAAAATCCATCAATCCCTTGATGAAATAGGGAAACCAGTAACTAGTGTATTATTTCAGTGAGCTAAAGTGACCATCGAACTAATGAGTAATCGCTTACAATTTCCACGCAACAAGCGTTAAGGCTTCATATTCTAATTCACCAAGAATATCTGCTACGTCATTTTTGACCAATTGCATGAATTCCGACTAAAAAAGACACAGACTGGTGATTGTTTGCAATAGGGAAAATAGAGTTTACTTACAAGACCACCATCATGACGCGGTTTCAATATTCCCAAGAAGGGAACTACATAACGATATGAAGGCTGAGGACTTGTGTAAAATAACTGAGTAAACCAGGTCATGTTTGTTGATCCCACAATCGAAGGATTTGAATTCCCAAGAATGAAGTAGTAAATATGCGTAAACCAAGAATCTTGCGTAAGACTTCCTTCAGTGTCGACCAACATCTGGAGAGACATCGACCGAGGGTATCGTCGATCAAACGCAGTTTCTGTGACTTTGACTTTCGTAAGACTCTTGAAAAGGTCTCTTAAGCCGGCGTGGTGATCAGGATAAGTAGCGTTGATCATGCCAGTCAACCATTCTAGGCAGGTGTAAGCCTGCTATTTGCTTAGCAATACTACATAGTGTTGAATATTTTTGAGAATCCCACTCACCCCTGGAATGCCTAATATGTCGTCACGCAAGTTCTTTAAAAGTGTGTCTACTAAATTTGTCGAGTTCTTGACCAAAGAATGGGGCTCGGTAATTGGTCTGAGAATAACGGCTTGGAGCAGGTTTTCCGACACATAAGGGTAATGAAACTGCTTTTCTTCGAAATTATCTGGAATGGAGCTACATTTTAGTGCATTTTCATTGAATAAAAGTCAATTCTTCATGTACCTAGCTGTATCTTGAAAGTATAGAAGGGAAACAGGATTCTCTTCTCCCCCTTGAACAAGGGGAGTAGATAATCACCATTCTTGACAATTTCACAAAGGGTCAACAGCAATGACTTCCCTTCATGAACTTGGGATGCCAAATACTAATACAAGTGCGACTTTTAGCGTTTTGATTTTTTAAATACGTAGATGAATTCTGAGCAATAACATACCGGATGCTCAAGGATTTGGTCCATAATTAGTTTCAAGATTTTGAGGTAGAGCTCCATACGGTGCTCAAATACGATGCTCGCTTTTGCCTCAACTTTCTGCAGAGCTGCCACCATCACCCATACGTTGCTCCGGCTTTCCGTGTCGATCTCGTACGAATATAGCATTCGTGCTATGAATTGAATTTTGTCAACAGCAGTCTGATGAAAGAGACCGTAAACTCACATTTGTCCAAAACCACCACTTTGCGTGACATAGAGTCTGACGCCGGACCAACCGTATCTTCATAGCCCCCGAAAATAGATTCTGTATTGACTCGGCTGCGAGCCTTTCCAATGCAAGCCTTTGTCACTTCCGTATCTCCCTTCAGTCCATCAGAGAACCCGATTTGTTTCAGATCATAGGAAGGAAAGTCCAAAACCTGTTAAGACAGTTGTTAACAAACATGATATTTTATCAGTCCACTTTCATGACTTACATAGAAAAAAGTTGTGTCAATGACAAGCAGAAATCCGTGGTTTTGATTTTTAACGAAGTTTAGACACAAAAGAGTATCAAAGCTGACGAATTTACTATCATACAGGAAATCACTGCCTTTGTCAGACGAGTTCCATTGATCATCAACGAGCTGGAGTTTCGTATGGGTGACTCTCATGGAATTTGAAACAAAGAGCACCGTCTCATTATCGGTGATATTGCCAAAACAGGCAAAGGATATAGATAATGGCAGACTGTACAACTCTTTCTTCCGCTCACTTCCTCGTAAAACAAAAAGGGTCCTCTCATCCGACATCGTGTCGTCATCAGTCAGCAACATTTGCAAAGAACCAGAAGATATAAGATCTTTGATATCACCTGTATATTCCAACTCAGAAACCACCTGGTTGTTGTTAGTGCTACGCACTTGAATTCCGCCACCAAAGTACGATGAATGCAGCCTTGTATTCCAGGACATCCGTTCCATTATCTGCATAAACCGGCCGTCATAATCGTTCTCTGCCTCAGCAGCCTCGGTCTCGTCTTCAGCGAGCTCGTTCAAAGGTTGGGCTTCTGGTCTGGGCGTACAGAGACAGTAGTACTTTCCATCTGAACTCAAACATAAAATATCTCCGTTTGTCGGGACTTGCTGAGTCGAGCCATCCGTGACTCGGAAGAGCTTGGAGTCAGATGACAAAAAATACACCATGTCGTTCACAACAGCCAACGATTCTACTGTAGTCTCAGATTCTAGAAAGCTATAGAGGGAATGCGGTTCGTGTACCCTGTTTCTCTCTATCTTAGCATCCACAGTTTCTTGATTACTGATACGTCGACCTGTAAATGTTTCCCATTTGTCGACAAACCCGAGTACAAATGATTGATCACGAGACACTAGGCTGATGTGGGTGTTTGCATCAACACTCACATAAGACGCCAGGCATTCTTTAGACTGCCAGTCGTACAAGCTGGCAATAATATGAGGATCGGGTCGGTCTTTCGGATTGTATTCTACAATAAGATACACCTGTCCATTTCTGCATCTCACATCAAAATCGACCACTTCATGATCCATAATAATGGGAGACAGGTGCTTCTTCAGTTTCAAATCCTTTATTATCAGTGTGGTTAAAAAACTGCGAATGGAATGTTGACATATTAAGGGCAACTTACGAAAACCGAGATACTTCGCGTGCCGGCATCCACCATTTTGCTGAAAAATAAGAGTGCGTCATCCGCCAACCGAGCAAGAATCTGCGGAAACTCTGGAACTGGATGGCTAAAACTCTGTATCGTGACCCAGGATGATGACTGTTCAAGGGCAGTGTTTGTGTGGTATTCAGTAAAGAGTCAAGAGTTCCTCACAACGTGACGCCCTACCACGATATCCCATAGCTTGAGCTTTGCATGCATTCGAGCTGAGGTGAAGTTGGGAGTATCCAAAACGGCAATGATATTTCTTGATAGCCATCTCATCGCAACTACAGGATCGTGAACGCCGCATCCGGCGATTTGGGTGTTGTCCCGGCCCGTCGTCGTCACGATGAGAGTCGCTTGGTCCTTGTCGACCTGGACGACACGAGCTGCGTGCTGTTCTTGATATGGATCATCTTCATAAGGACCCGATCCCCGAGGAACCACAGTCTCTCGGGGAACTATATTGATGTAGCTCCACATTCTGTCTTCTGTCCTCACAAACACGGTGAATTGGTCCAAAGGGGCCAAGAGCTGGTCAATTCTATCTATTTAAGTTCGCCCATAGCGTTAATGGATCTGTGGCGTCTCTCTGGAAGTCAATACTAAATCATTCGTTACCTTGTCGAGCTTTGAACTTTTCAATATCTGGTAAGGGGTGTGGAGTAAGCATCAGCGAGTCTCAAATATGAAATTCAAGTGCATCATACCTTCAATGCTCCTAAGCACCACATCAGAGACGTTAACCGCAAAGGCTGACATCACTGTCTTCTGCTGCTCCTTTTCAGCAACTCGAGTTGAACTTGAACTTGAATTGCTGAATAACTGTTTCCCCTGGCTGAGCTTCACCAGTCCAAAAACACAATAGGCAAGGCGCAACCATAGAAGAGGAAGCCAGAGCTGAGATATCATCCAACAGGTACGTACTAACGTTTCATGAATTGCATCTATGTAGCTTGAAGGTTTCTTCGCGTTTGACTACAGTTCCAAACTCTGTAAAAGCTTTGCCTTCGGCAGATACATCATATTAATCTCGAGAAATGACGGCTGGAATCATCTCTTCTGGGCTCTACGATTGGCTGTTTGGACCTAACAGTATCGAAGTGCCTCAAGGTCCCGTCGTAATTTCGGTAAGAGTATCATCAAAATAACCGTCAAATGACCAAAAACCAATCGATTTTTCAATTTTTAGGGCTGTGATACTGGGTTTGGAAATTCTTTGAGCTATGAATTCGCAAAACGTCGTTGGTGAGTAGTATCAACCATTGCATGTTGTAGTGTTTTCATCTAAGTCACAATCGCTTTCAGGAAAGTCTACTCGGGCTGTCTCACAGCTGCGGCTGTCAAGGAGTTTGAAGCTTCTGCCCTCGGTGATCCACGACTGAAAGGCATCCATCCCATTTGTTGTGATGTGACAAAGTCCGACGACATTGAGAACCTTCGCCAAACCATTGTCAAGAACGAGCCTGAGGAATTTACTGCTTGATCAACAATGCTGGTAGACAGCTGGCTCAAATTATTAGATCTATTGAATATCTGGTCTGACCAATTCCGCTCTGTTATAGGCATTGGCTACGGAGGATCTGTTGAGTGGACGCCTATGGAAGCCTACCGGAAAGTTATGGACGTCAATTTTATGGGCATGGTGGAAATGACCAAAGCTTTTCCTCCTTCTCTACGATTACATGTCAAGGTAGCGAACATCAATAGCATCTGGTTCAACCCCCATCATTTATCGCAGCTGTCACTAGAAACGTCCTGATACCTTGGCACCACGTATTATCAACATAACGAGTGTGGCGGGGCGTATTACATCAGGTGGAATTTCTGCGTATTGAGCGTCTAAACATGCTGGTGAAGGTAATTATTCTGTTTTGATTTCCCTTTTCTGTACGCCTAATACCTCATTCTGACAACACCTTTTCAACAATTTCTTAGCATTTTCTGATGCTCTCAGGATTGAACTAGCTCCATTCGGTGTGCGTGTTGTCATCATCGAGCCATTTTTTGCTATCAATCATGAAGACTTCAATACTCTGTTGGATGGTATTAAATCAAGTCTATTATATGTATATATGGATGCAGAATGCAACACGCCACTTGAGGCCGACACATCATTGAATGCCATTACAACATCTGCCAAATCTCCATTGAGAGTGGTGAGGCCCGCTCCACCTGTTAGTAGGATGTCTTTTACTATGGAAAGACCAGGTGAGCTCCTCATTCACTAGTTCTGTCGATGCTTGAATGTCACATGTTTGACTCACTATTCTTCGTTCGCTCATCATGCTATCAGCCTTCTCTCTTTCTGGTCTGAGACAGAGTGTTCTGATTCGATATACTGGGCCCATTGAGACCGATAGCATTATATCATTCCTGAAAAGCTCTCCTACCGAATTCATTCCTATTAGAGAATGGTTTCGAGATCCAGCAGACCTGGAGCAACTGAACTATGTCAAGGTCGATAAGTCTGCTCCAGAACCATGGCTGCATATTTGGTCGAACTTTGTACGCCAATTGGACATGCCTGATAATGGCAGCGAGAGCCTATGTAAGTCGAGATTTGTCATGTTCTGCAGCGCTCGTTAAAGCTTACAGACGTCCGTGTCATTAGACCATTTCTTCTGGGACTGTATTCTGTTGCGCCCTTTGTTGTACTTCTGTGAACTGTCGGAACTGGTAGTAGAGTACAATCGAGACACAGCTGATGCGTCGTCAGCTACTCTTCGCCTAAAACGGCCTGACGTCTGTGTATGGCTGAACGGTCGATTGGTTTACAAGAGTGAAGAAAAGAAAACTGGTGTCGGGCTAGGCGATCCTAGCGATGAACTTGTTGAGAAAGATACGAACTGGTGGATCGTAACTTATGGACAACTACCCATGTACTTGTGTACTGCTACTAATGGAAAGCTTGTGCAGTGAGTGTACGCTTCGATTTGGAGGGCACCCTTGATAATCCCAGTGTTCCATATTTCCAGGTTTTTCTCGTTGGATAGGACAAAAGCCCTCAAAGTTGTTATTCCGCTTCTCAATCTGCAGGCTCCTAGCAGTCGCATCAGAGCAGCTGTATTCATGATGAATTACTCTCGAGTTCTTCAAGCCTACAAGCAGGACCAAGGCCCAGGATTACCCCTAAGTATTTTCAAACCAGATGTGAAAGTTTTATCAAAAGAAATGGGAATTGTAAGTGTTTACGGTTTGGTACAGAAGTCGTCAGTTTAACCAGTATTCCTGCGGTCCTAGATTCGCACGCTGATTCTCTATGATGATAAAATTGAAAAGAAGATTGAGAACTTTGATGGTTACATTTACTCGGATTTGGAGGTAAGCCCACTATTTCAAGGCTCCACTTCCATGAAAAATACTCATTGTGGTTTTACTAGACTTTGAAAGAACTGTATGGTACAGCTGCAGACACCATACATCATACACTCATACGCTGGGCCCTCAATGCAACACAATACCTATCGGGTTGTATTTCAGCCACTTAGATATCATTCACCGCCGTCAAATGCTTGGGAGCTACAAAGCTGTTTGAGTGTATCTTGGAAGGATTACGCAGTTTACACCGGGCTGCTCTTGTGCACAGAGATTGTGAGTAATGATCAATATTTATTGCATGCACCGGGTAGATTGATACTGACTGTGTCTCTGTGGGTTAGTGAGGTGGGAAAATGTGATCAGAACTCATGGAATGACATGGGTCATTATAGACCTGGAAAATGGTGGTCGAGCAGACACAAACCCACTGTTTGCTTTGGGTCATTGGAATGATCAGGCTGTTGGGAACGTCAAGGACGAGCGTGGAAAATACTGTCCGAAACACGACATTCAGTCGGTTGGACCTATGATTGACAAGTTACGGCAGTACATACCAACAGCATATGCATCCTTAATCACTGTTAAATCTATTTCATATTGAGCAAACAATTTCATTCAAATTATACTAGTAGATTGAATTGTGTTGGTGTGTTATATAATACAGTATGTTCCATTCCAGATGGGTCAATACATGCCCCCATCCTATACCTATAATCAGGTTTCAAAGTAATGTAATGTAAAAATTCCATAAGATCTAGAATATAGTGAAGAGGTTCCTATCTATCAGCTGCATTGGTCGTCGATTGTGCATTCCTTTCGTGGTTGTTTGATGGATTTGTGTTGAAGAAGGTGTGATCTCGTGCGACAGCCCTTAGAATGGCATCCGTGCCCTCCGTCACTGCATTGCGACGACGATATAGGTATGATGGCGCAGGTGATTCAGGCGAGTCCTCGTCCGAATGGTTGTTATTGGTAATCGTGACAGAATTCATTGTTGATGTCGAGGAGATCCGGAGGGGGAATCGGTATTCAGTTGGTATAGATTTAGTGGGCATCCAGTGATGGTGGATGAAACGATTCTCTTCCCAGCTAATACAGTCCTGCTTTTTTTCGTGTTCAACCTTAAAATTCGACTTTTCTCTTGTGGTGAGAATTTGATGATCACGAGCTGTAATTACAGTTGAGAAAGGGAAAGCGATCATGCGGAATCGCAGCAATATATATACCTGAATTGAGCGATCAAATTGATCACGCTGGCATCAGGCTTCAAACGGTCAATCAACACTCTCACGCACCATGAAATTTTTCTTGACGCAGCTAAAGAAAGTATACCCAGCTTTGTACGAACAAGCACAACCAATATATTTTTCATACCATCATCACACCAATACTTCATCCTGACACGCTGAATCAGGCGAACTGGGAGCGAATAAGCTCAAAAACGACCGATTGGTTTCTAAAATTGCAGATTTGACGCGACTGGTGTTTCTATCACGTAAAATCATATCATAAATACCTTTAGCATATCAAAACGTGCGACTCTGACCGCTGGAATCACGTCCTTGCCCTCCTATTGCTGTTGAAGTTAGACATCACTCTATCAAACTCAACCACCAACAAACCCAAAACTTCCACCGTTCCACTCCCATTACCAGCTAATTGTACGAGTAGCCATGTTCAGACTATGCTGTGGAAATGAGGAGGATGTCATCCAGCCAAGAAGAAAAGCCGCAGTAATCGCTCCAGTGGCTGTCAAGAACGTTGCTGCAGTAGCACCTCCAACTTCAGTGCTGCCAGTGTTGTTGGCTCCAGAATCTGTGCCTGCAGAAACAGCTGAACCTGAGGTACCTTCACTTGCATCCCTCATCCGCTTGGCGAAATGTTGTTAGGGTTTCTCCAAACATCACATCTGGAACTAACCCCGCACACCCATTTTCAACTAGGCAATTACTGATTCTGGCACTGTAGACGTTGTAAAAACTCTCGAAGTTACTCCTCAAACTGAATCAGCTCCTGGCGTAATCACAGCAACCACTACTGCAACCACAAAGGACGTTGCTGGTGATGATGTTACAGCCACCAAAGTGCAACAAGTAATTGCTGACGATGATACAAAGATCGCTGTCGTCACCAAGACTCTGGAAACTGAGCATGCGCCTGATGCATCAGGTGTTCAACAATCTGAGGTAAGGGCAATACCACATTTTTCCATTTGGCTGGAATCGCATTTCAACGGTTTCAAACCTTGTAGTTCATCGAAACTACCGGCATGGTCACTGATAGTGTTAGACATGGTCCTACCGGAGACGTCCAAGTGCACGAGGAAACATCAGTGGAACGTTCTGGTGATGCTTATAGCGGAGAAAAGGAAACAAACGCTGTAACAGATACTTTTACTCGCACAGTTCATACCGAGAGTCAAGAAGTTAAGGATACGGCTGGTGTTGCCCATACTATTGAGTCGCGTGAAGAGATTTTGGAAGCTCGCCAAGAAACCGCTGAAGTATTGGGAACCGGCGTTTCAGGTGCTGATCCTGATTCTGTAAAAGTTACTACGTGAGTGGTTTAGAAAGCTGCTTTTGAAATGGCATTATCGTCTCACTTTCCAACAACACAAATTTAGACACTCGACATTTGTTGATGGTGAACTTGTCGCCCTATCTAAGACAACCGAATCTCATGGCGACATGGTTGTACCTAAAGAACTGAACGAAGAATCCATGAAGGGCCTTTTAGACGAGAAGAAAGCCAGTTGGGATGCCAGTCACGCATCAACTGAAGACGTCGCTAAAGCTGTAGAGCCCGCTACTACTAGTGGTGTCCATCCAGCTTTACTGGCTGGTGGTGCAGCTCTCGTTGGTGCCGGTGGGTTAGCAGCTGGTGGAGCTGCTCTATTTGCTAATAAATCAGAAGCCGAACCTGCAGCTGCCACTGAAGAATCAAAGGACGTAGCTCCAGTTACCGATACCACACCAGTAGTAGCTTCGACTGAAGAAGAAACTGCTCCAGCTGCTACTGAAGAAGAAGCTGAACTAGTACCAACCGATGTGACCAAAACAGTAGATTATGTGCCTGCAGGCGAAGACAGCCCTGAAGTCACTACCACCACCACTACAGCTAAAGCTGTCGATGAAGACGGTGCTGCTATAACTTCCACTGATGTTGAGCAAACTGTCACAAGTGATGATGGTGCAACTGCAATCGTCACCAGTACTGTCGAGACTGATCATGGCACTGATGAGAATGGAGTACAAGATATTGAGGTAAGTGGCCAACGTGGTTTCTGTGTCGCTCATGAACGATATCTGAATCCAATTGCTTTGTTTGCATAGACTGTTGAAAACACGGCCACCACAACCGAGGCGGTTGTCGAAGGAGACAATGGAGAAGAAATCAAAGTCACAGAAAACACTACTGGTGAAATCTCTTCCGAAGCCTTGTCAAATGAAGACCAAACCGATGCTGTACAAGATGGCATGTACACCATCACACACAGCGAAGTCCGTACTGAAGTAGATGAGAATGGAGTAACACACACGATTGAAGAGCGTGAAGAGGTAAAGTCTGCTAATTTGTGGTTCGAATTTCTGCGTTTTGGTTGGCTGATTACATTTGATCTCACACTAGGTGCTGGAAGCTCGTCATGAGGAAAGCACCGTCCAAGATGGTGAATTGACTGAGGAGAACCCTGACGATGTCCTTCGGCTTGTAACGTGAGTGGTTGTATATTCCAAGATTGCATCGATTTTAACACCGTCCTTTACTGTATAGACACACCACGCTAGTAGACGGTGTCGAAACCTCAGTGACCAAGACTACTGAGACCGAAGGTGATGTCGAAGTACCCGCAGAAGTGAATGAAGACACCATGAAGGAGTTCCTGGCATCGAAACGTGAGAACTGGGTAGCTGAACACACTGAAGATGCCCCTGAAGCAGGTGAAGCTACTGAAGCAGGTGAAGCTACTGAAGCTGTGGCTGGTGACGCAGAAGCCGGTGCTGCTGAAACTACTGAACCAGAAGAAGCCGATCAACATCATTTGAAGGCTGCTGCTTTGGCTATCACTGCAACTGAAGTATTGAAGGCAGAAGAATAAGGTTCCTGTATATTGGTAACCTGTTATTTTGCAATCCAAGTCGTCATCCACAAAAATCACATCTCACGTAATGCAACCCAGCGAAACCATAATTCTCTTAATCTTTATCATATTATACCGACAAAATAGAAAAGCACTTCTTAATAGTCCTTCACAAATTGTTGTCAACGAGCTTTGAACGAGCTTTTGGTCCAAAAGTTCTTTCACACAGTTTCCAAACCCAAGTTAGGAAGACATACACAAAGAGACGATAAAGAGCAGAGTGTCATGCACTGTATATACGAGGAAACATAAATGGGCCTTATCAAGTTAACAGATCTCATAGGATTCGACCTCAACGGAAGCCAGTTTCAACACGCAAACAACAATCACACTTCGATTCCAGCACCACCTGTAGCAACATCTTCAACACTAAGAAGGATGACAATCTCGTCTACAGGAGAACACGACGACACTCCATTTCCCGATCCCATCCAAAAGGCCAAGAATGTCTTGCTGGCTGATGTAGAATCAGAGTATCAACGAGTGCTGCAGCTTGAAGAATCAACGCTGGACATTCAGAACAGTATAGGAGCCGTACTACCAGCTCTTGGCTTTGGTGTAAATAGCCTGCTAACGCAGTGTATAATGTCAGGACGTGCTCAGCAACGTGTGTTTGGAAGTTTTGCTGGATACAGATTACCGGCTACGCAATCAGCAGTTAAGGGGATAAGCAAGTCGCTTTTGTTAGGAAGTATGGTGCAAGCTACTGTCGCTACGGTGGCTCACGCTACGAGAAACGGGCTGGAACGAGTGTTGGGTATGAGGAAGGCCGATAGGAGTCTTGTTTTGGATTGGGGAGGCGCTTACAGGCCGTATCTCATTACCACTTTGCATTGTGTATGTCGTGGGTATGTGCCAGTCGCAAGTTCTTGGGGGGGGGGGTGTCGTAACTTTAAATCGTACTCACATATTTCATCAAATAGTGTTGGATACATGGCTGCGTATCCACTATATCGGCTTCAAATACTATCTCTATTAGGAGTTGACACATGGACGCCCGTCGCATCACTAAACAGCTTTAAATGGACGATGATACTATGGTCACTTCGAGACCTCTCCGAAGCAATAATCCACAATTTTATAGCCTCAATAATTCAACTCCCCTCATATACATTGCCAGCATACGCAACTCCCAATTCATCAAAATCAACAGCCTCGTCACGAGCACAGTCTCCCGAGCTAGGTCGACGAGGCATTGACGGGTTGCCAGGCACGCCAGAAGAATCCATATACTCGGAGCCATCGAAACGCCTCATATCGTATACATCAGTTAGTAGGAAGCTAGCACCAGAGAATACGCCCACGCTGTTATACACCTTCTATCCCAATTTTGTGGTTAGGCTGGTGGCTATTACGCTGTCGCAGGTTGTGACACATCCTGTTGAAAGCTTGTGTATAAGTGCGATGTGGGAGCAATATTCGGGATTATCTGTACGGGGGTCTGTGTTCGATGGAATTGGAAC